AAGGGCTTGTGATACTCTCATGGACATGTTTCTGTCATTTTATCGCTATCTTCACGCCCAGCCCGTGTTGTACCACCGTTCGCTCTGGCCCCGTCCGGATGCGGAGCAAAGTTGATGCAGGGAAGCACGCCGTCCGCGCAGGACCCCACGAAAGCAAAGGGTTCGACTTGTGGCTCGCTTGACGCATACCGTGCCAGGTCTGCGGGTCAAGTTGGTTGAGGCAGCAGGAATATAACAAGTGATTACTAATGTTGCAGCTATCCGTACTACCGTGTCCGCCGCCACGGCCGTCGACGGCGCAGCGTGCGCACCACGGGGGCAGGCGGGCGGGACGCAGCGGGCGGCCCACGAGCGCCCGTCCGCTGGGCCATCTGTCCCTGAGCCTTCTACGGCTGTCGCCGGGGCATTTCTACTTGTGCGTGACGAAGCCGGGGCCCTTGTAGCCCTCCGCACCGATACCTAGACGCGCCGAGCGGAGACGGGTCAGAACACGCACAAGCACACCACGGACGGGGGATACGGGAGGCGGGGGGGCCGGAGCGGGGGCAGATTCGGAATGCGGGCGGGGACGGAGCTAGAGGCGAAGAGCAACCAACGACACGCACCGTGGATGGGGTCCATCTTTTGCTCGATGGCGCGCTCGTTCATCGCCTCCTCCCACTCCTTGGAGACCGTCTTCGGCGGCGGCGGCGCTGTCGACGGCGGACGGGGCACGGGCGCGGGCGTGAGCGGGCAGCAGGCGCAAAAATGACGCAGCACGCACCCTGGGAGCGGACGGCGAAGAACGTGGCGCCGGCGGCGGCCATGAGCGCGGCGACGGCGAGGATCACCTTCGGGACGTCCCCGGGCTGGGACGTCGGCGTGCGGGGCCCGTGGGGGCCGAATGCGACGTAGTACGCTGTGTGTCCGGGGGGTGCCAGTCAGCTCGGGGACGCGGCGACAGCGCGACACGAGACGACGCGGGGAGGAGGGGGAGCGGCGGACGCACCGGCCTTCTTTTCGTCGACGGAGAGGGTCTTCCAGTCCTTCTTCTGGATCTCCTCGAGCTGCGCGTGGATCGTCGCCTGCTCGTCCTCGGAGAGGCGGACCCACATCGCCTCGACGTTCGAGAGCGGGATCGCGGCGGGTGACGACGCGCTGGCGTGGGCCGCAGAAGGGCTCGCGGCGGCAGCGGAGAGGGCGCGGGAGGAGGAGGGGCGGGCAGGCAGGCGGGTGCGCGCCAGGCGGAGGGCTTGCATGGTGGAGGACGGCGGGGAGGAGGAGGAGGAGGGTGTGGAGGCAAAGTGCGTGGATGAAGGCGACCGCGGAAGCGCCCGCGAGCAGCCACGAAAAGGAGGCGCCCGATTGGCCGGACGGCGGGCGGAGCCGTGCCGCCCGCCGAACGCAGCCCAGAACGACCTCGACGACCGGACGCTGGCCGGACACGTCCTGGACCTTAGCGAGTCCATCCTAGCGCTGTCGCATGTCCTGGGTCGCGGCCATGCATCTGCAGCTTCGGATATATTCGGGCTCGCTCTACGATATGCTATATTTCTGACATGGCGGACATGCGTCTGTAATCGTACACGGCGACAACGAGTACTAGAACGCAAAGCAAGAAACACGAGAGAAAGCGAGACGGAGATAGGGATACAGATCGATCAAACTCAAGAGCCCTCGGCAGCGGCCGGCGCGCTGTTCGGGCAATCACGCGAGATATGTCTGGGCAGGTTTTATTAACAGGAGGTTCGCAGGAGAAACAACGCGCGAGCACCCACCCTTCGGATCCGCAAGTGTAGCAGGCCCGACGCTGCGGCTGCGGGCAGTCCTTCGAGATGTGGCCCTAGATGGCGTCGGTAAGGATCGATGACATAAATTAAGCATGCGAACGCCACTCACGAAGCCACTGCAGTTGTAGCACTTCGAGCCTTGAACGCAGTCGCGCGACAGGTGGCCTACACCACCACACGTGTAGCTGTCGCGGCTCGGTAAGCAGAGAAAGGCGCTTGTAGATCAGAGGGACGCACCAGGTACGCTGCTGACCGCCCCCGAACGACGAGTATCCGCCGCCGTAGCCAGTGCCCCCGCCAGCGGCCTCAGGGCAAGCACGGGCGATATGCCCGACCTTGCCACAGCGGTAGCACTCCGTGCCAGAGCCGCCTCCGCTGCTGAAGGCCCATAGCTACCGCCGCCGGTGCTGGGGTTCTCAGGGCAATCACGAGACTGTATGCGGAAGTAGATTGGGCACTGAAACGAGAGGTAGATGTATGCAGGTACTCACAATATGGCCTTCCTGCCCGCACTTGTAGCAGGTTTTAGCCTTAGTTTCGGCGGTGCACTCCTTCGAAACGTGGCCTTCAAGACCACAGTTGTAGCTAGATCGTGTAAGCGAAACAGCAAGCGAAGAGCGACGAAGATCGGCTCACCAAGTGGGAGTGCCGGCCTTGGGGCAGTTGGCCGCTTGATGGCCAACTGGAATCGGGTTGAGATGCTTACGAGGAAGCGAGACACGACGAGCACTCACAACCACCACAGTTGAAGCATCCACGTGCGGCCATGAGTTTTTTTTATAATCGGACCTGGGCGGAGAGGAGTGCGCGCAGATGAGCGATCGGGCGGCAGCAGCGAGTGCGCTCGGGCGGAGGAAGGGAACTCACGGAAGGAGAGGGCAAAGAGAGTCAGAGACGACGACAACGACGAGACGCGTATGGGGGAGGGAGAGAACGAGGGGGGCGGACGACGACGCGAGACGGCGGTCCTAGGGTCATACGTAAGCAGACTAGGCCCCATATATGTACAGACAGCTCCCCACGTGCGCGCGGCGATTGAGGGTGCAGACGGGCGCCAATCTGGGCCCTCTCTATCTCGAGTCCTCGACCAGGCCGGCTTCCCGCCGCGGAGCTCAACCATGGCTTCCTCCGCGTACCACTGCATTCAGTCCGGCTGCGATCAGCGGTGGGCGTGCACGCCAAGGGGGCATTGCACTCAGCGGCTGCTACCTGACCCGGGTCTCCTGTGCGCTAGCACGGCGAATCGCGACAAAAATTAGCGCATATATCGCGGGCGTTCACGGCGTCCCCCACATGACCGCGCCCGGCAATCGCATGCAGCAATGAAGACAACCACGGAAGTGGGACAACCGCATTCTGCAGCGGCGAACTTGGACGGCCATCTTCACTGCCTCGAGGATGTTCAGAACAGCCTCGACGCCTTCTCATGTCTAATACAACCGACTGGCCCACACGCGAGGCGAGCAACCTGGGGTAAGGGAAGAAGAGGAACCGCACCTGATATGTCCTGGGCCGGTCGCGCAGAACACCGGAGGGTTGCAGGACCTCGAGGCTGGACAGGACCCTGGGCCACGATGTGGGTGACACATTCTCGGAGATGGGACCCGTAAGGCTCGGCCGTTCTTTGACGAGAGAACGCGATTCCAGAGGGGGGCCCGTCACAAAATGCTCTACGTGGGTGGCTCCGATTGGTACATCATCTCTCCCTACACCGCAGCCTTCTTCGGCGCGTCTTCTACCGGAGGAACGAGGTACGTCTGGAAGTGGGGGAGGCAGAGCACCGCCAAGGAGTGGAGTAGGCAAGACCAGTAAAGGCGTCGGAGGACAATAGACATCACAGGAGAGGGGTTCGTCAGAGAAAGAAGCGAGGGAGTATGAGTAGGACGCACTTGGGGACCACCCTGGCCGCCCTCCCAGCGCTGGTACCGCATCGCAGTGAGACCACGCTTCTCAGCACGACACGCTCCTCCTCCTTGAGGGATGCACGGAGGGCACGCGCCGCGATCTGGGAGTACTTGTTGTACCTGCGTGGTCATGGTAAGGAGATTTACGGACGCGTCAGTTACAGCGCATCACACAAGGCAGATGATAGAAAGCGGTGGGAGGCAGTTAGAGGGAAAGAACTGGGAGGGAACGTACGAGAAGAAGTTACGCCAGGTAGCACTGCTCATCGTGACGGAAAGGGTTTGGGGGAAGCTGGATGGTTGAGGTCGACGTTGGCCACGGCAGAGGCAGACTGGGCGGACACCCGGGTAGCTCCGACGGGCCACGTGCCGGCAGTGGCGCACGAGCGCAGCGTCGCGACTCGGGCGCGCGTGCACGGTTCTCCTCGACAACGACCACGACGACGCTCTGTGCCTTCAGCACACCCGCACGACATCCTTGCGTTCTCCTGTAACTTGTGCTGTGTGTTATTTCTTCCCTCTATCGCTCTTTCAATCTCGCTGTCTCTTCCTAGCGCCCAGGACTCACCTCATCTACCCCGGATTCCTTGATCTCTACACCTTAATCCTTGTCAAACTACATCAACTCCACCAACTTATAGACGTCATACTCCCTACAATGGCTGGAGTAGCTTGGCATTATGTGCTGAAGTTCATCATCACTGGTCAGTTTACTCTCGCCGTTCACGCGCTGTGTCTTCCTCTCCTCTTGCCTACCCCTTTCGCGAGTTCGAAGTGCGTTGTTGACCAAATGACTAGGCGATGCATCTGTGGGAAAGTCGTCTTTGCTCGTCCGGCTAACCGATCAACGGTTCCTCGCAAACCCGGATCCGACAGTATGTTTACCCTCGATATTGTCCCTTCACGCGTACCGATCATGCATCTCTCTACAGCTAGGTGTGGAATTTGGATCGAAACTCATTACCATTCCTGAGGAAAACAAGGTCGTGAAACTGCAGTGTATGCCGACTATACATTGCGCTCCGGCACTGTCATTCATGGTGACCACTTACAGGCTGGGACACCGCGGGAACTGAATCCTTCCGCTCGATCACGCGCTCCTACTACCGCGGCGCCGCGGGCTGTCTCCTCGTCTACGATGTCACCAGCAGGCAAAGTACGCTCCCTACGCTCCCCTCCCTCCTCCGCTCGCATCTCACGCCCCGCCACCGTTTTCCCTCTCCTATTCCTCCAGGCTTTGCGAACATCCGTTCGTGGCTCGCGGACGTGCGCGAGCACGCAGACCCGCATTTGACCTGCATCCTGGTCGCGAACAAGATCGACCTCTGTACTGAAGACCCGGCTGCGCCCGGCGTCGCACCCAAGCGTGCTCGCATGGTGAGCGCAGAGGAAGGCGAGCTGTTCGCGAAGGAGGAGGGGCTCTTGTTCGTCGAGGCGTCCGCCAAGTCCGGAGAGAACGTCGAGACCGCGTTCGAGACCGCGACCCGCGATATCCTCGACAAGGTCCGCCGCGGGGTGTTTGACGACGACAGGGTGAGCGCTTGCATTCCGCTCTGTGATACAAATGCGTGGTTGCTGCTTCTTTACTTCGTTTGGGTCGCAGTCCGGACGCCGTTTCCGTCGCACAGATTTGTTGCGGATTCTCCCCCTGCGTCTCGCGCTTCAAAACTTCATGTCCGGGTGCGACTTGTGCGCTCGCACAGCCCATCAGTCTCGCTGCCAGTGGTCACATCTCACGTCAGGCCCACCCTGTCTGTGAAGATGGGCGAGATGCGCGCTCCGGTCGTGGCGTCTGTCCCAACTTCTCCCGCGCTCTGTTCCGCCCCCCGCACCGTGTTTCAGCTCAACATACTGACTTTAGCCATGTTTCTGTCTTTGTTCTAGTCGCCGGGCGTCAAGCTGTCCAAGCCATCGGCAGGCGTTGGCATCGACGAGCCTGAGAACTCGGGCTGCTGCTAGTGCCCCCCTCTCGGCACCTTCTCTGAACCTCTCTGGGACCTTTGACGGGCGGACACGAGCGAAGAGACATGAACGAAGAGACACGACGACACGCCCGCCCGGGGACGCGGGTGCGGGCACTTGGTTATGAGCTTATTTGCTCCTGTGGGCGGGTGGGTTCCACGTGGACGACTAATTGTGTATGTATTGTAATGTGTATCTGTACGGACGAAGGTTTTCTGGAACGTCGCGAAGAGCCTCCCCGCGCGCCCTTGGGATCGGTCACACCAGTGGAAGGCTCTCCGGGGCCCGGGGCCCTCGGGAGCCGGCGACGAGGACGTTCCTTGGCTCGGCAAGCGGATGGCGCCCGGGGCACGCGGTGCGTCCTGGGTCCGGGCCCGTGTTTGTGCGGTTTGGAAGGTTGGAATGACGGAAGGGAGATTAATGGAAGGCGCGGAACGTTCCAGGAATCCAGGGGGTGGTTCGCGTCGCACCTTGACCAGAACTCTGACCGGACCTGGGCCGCAGCGTCGCGGCTCTTCCCTCTGCAGATGAACAAGCGTAGTCGCGCCGTGGCCGCGCAGAACAGCACGCAAGCCCCATGTGCATGCCAGTACCATCCATACGTCGCAGCATTCCTCGCCCTCCCCCGAACCGACGGCGAACGGGACAGCCCACCACGCCAACAGGGCGCGCGTCCTCCGTGGGACTGATGCGCATGCACTGCAGCCCGCGTTCGCACTAGGCGAGCCCCACGCACTCTCCGCGACGCCGCCAGGCGGCACACGACGGACCACCACGCTCACTGCTCAGCATGATTCCATCTGAACCCGGTCCGACCTGAAGCACGCCGCATATGATGCGTGCTGCCGCGGACAGCCTGCCGTCTCACTGCATCGTGGGCTCGTGGCGCACGCCCCACGCCTGAGTCCTGAGGCCTGAACGGGGAGCCCCGCCGCGGCGCGCGATGCGCCATCACGGACGCGTGCGGACGCGGACTCGCTCGCTCTCGCCAGCCACCTCTCGAGTCTCAAAGCCTCAAACCATCAGCGCGCGGGGCCGATCGCCCCCTCCAGGTCCCCGACTCCCGAGCCTGATCATGGCGATGGCGCGATCTGCAAGGGCCCTTCGCTGCCGATGCGCGCGAGCCCCGAGCGAGCGGGTCTCGGGCGCTGCAGGCCAAACGTCGATCGGGTCCCGCCGTTCCACCCGTTCCAGCCTCCCATCTGTGGTGAGCGCTTTGTCTCACCCACGCTGACTCCAAAGCGGGACTCGTACGTGCACCGCCTGGAGTCTCGGGCGTGCGGCGTGCCGTGGTCAGCCACGCATGCATGACTGGCGGCGCGGCGGGCGCGGCGGGCGGAGGCCGCTCGCGGACGTCGGTCGATTTGGCTTCGCAATGCGCGCACACACGTCGCGCCAGCGGGCCGGGCACTGTGTGCTGGAAGATATATGATGTCACAGGCGTGGCACCGCGCACCCGTGCGCGTCGACTGTGCACGGTTCAAACAAGCTCGGGGGACAACGGCACACACCTGTCTGTCGGCTGGTTTCAGCGTGGCGCTGGGCTGATGTTATGAGCGGGCCCGGACGGACGGACGGACAGACGGACTCTGGCGCGACGGTCCGCCGTGGACGGGGACGAAGGACGTCCGTGCCGGGGGCGCGAAACAAATCACACCGGACAGGCTCCCGGGGGCACGCGGAAGTGAGACGGATAGCGATGTGTGTACAGCCTGGGTGGAGTGAGTATGAGTACATTTTCTGATCGGCAATAAGTGACTAGAAATAGTGAAGTAAGTTTCTTTTGGCCCCAGAGGGAAGTAAGATGGAATAATGATGCTGGGATGACCGCAAGTTAACCGAAGGGAAAAGAGGAAGTGAAGCGGGAATGGGAAACGGAGGCGGGAAAACGGGCAGTCAGACTCGGGACGGCAGGGCGGTGGGCAACGGGCGCAGGTTGGGGTGGGTGGGGATGGGGAAAGAAGCGAAGCGGCGGGCGAGAGGCAGACGGACGGACGGACCCAACGCGTCCACCGCATTGCGGCCGCGAGCCCTGCACATCCGCCCCCTTCGCGGCCTCGGCGTGGCCACCGCGCAGAACCCCTCGAACTTGGGGTCCGGCCGTCCCTCTCGCCTCCCTCCTGTGGCCCGCGCCGCGATTGAAAGCAGAGAGCGTGGCCAACCCTGCCCGCCGCGGCGCAATCGGCCGATCGCCTCCGCCGCGGCGCACTGTGCGCGCCCCATCACGGGCGACGCCACAGCGCCGCGCAGACGTGCGGGGAGAGCGGCGGACCAGAGCGCAGGCGCATCCATGTCTCAAATCCATACACACGTCTGATTCCGAGTCGGCGCGAGCGAGCCGGGGGGGGGGATGTGGGTGGGTGTCGGTGACGCAGGATCCTGCAGGCCTGCAGCCCGCACCGGGAGGGCCCAGGGGCACGCCCCCAGGCCTCCCGCGCGAGGCGCGATGCCCACGTCCACGCCTACGCGACCTGCCTGCGCGCGAGGCGCGGCGACTTGCGGAGGGTGGGCGCCGCGGGCGCGAGGCGCAGGCTCGCCGCGTACTCGTCCAGCTGCGCGAGGAAGCCCGGGTTCGGCTGCGCGCACGGGCGGGCGGCCTGGACGGCGCGGACGGCGGTGCCGGGCGCGCAGCCGGCGGAGGCGACGAGGTAGGCGGCGACGACGGAGGCGGAGCGCGAGATGCCCTGGACGCAGTGGACGAGCACGCGCGCGTGCGGCGCGGCGAGCGCGGCGGCGAGGAACGCGGTCGTGTGCGGGAGCGCGGCGGCGAGCTCGGCGAAGGGCGTGTCCGTGAGCGGGAGCTGCATGCGCTCGAGCGCGGGCTGGCCGCGCGCGCGCAGGTGCGGGAGCGCGGAGGGGGGCGGGAGCGCGACGTGGCCGGGCATGACGCTCAGGACGTGGGTGATCTTGAGGGCGGCGAGGGTCTCGGGGGACTCGGCCGCGGCGAGGTCGCCGATGTAGAGGCGGGGGACGACCTCGGTGGGAGGCGGGGCCTGGAGCGGGGAGGTGGTGGGCGAGGCGGCGTCGCCAAAGTGGGAGGACGCGGAGGGCGGGCAGCGGGCGAGGGGGGAGACGCAGAGGATGGGCTTGAGGGACGGCATCGGGGCGGGGTGGGGCAATATCTGGGCGCGCAAGATATAGTGAGCGGCGGAGGGAGAGCGGGGGGCGGACGCACGGATTATAGAATAACTTATGGTGCGGGCGGGTGTGGTCGGGGAGTGGCGGAAGAAAAGGAAGAAGAAGAAGAGGAGGCAAAGGCAAGAAGAAAGCGAGGCGGCGAAAGGCGAGCTGGGGCTACCGGGGCATGTGCGCGCGGGGGGCCTATATACGCCTGGTGCGCGCGACGGTCGGCTGGCCGCGGGCAGGCGGTCCTCGAGTCTGAGCTGAGGCCCGCCCCTTGAGCCGGCCGTTAAGACCCACAGCCGCCACCGCCTCCAGCCGCCCGCACCCGGACAGCGCCCGTGCCCCAGCCTGCGTGCCTGCCGCCGCTCGCCGCACCCACAGACTGCTGCCCATCACTGATTTGCACGTCGCCCGGGCCCCCTCCCGGCGCCCGCACCCGTTCGTCCATCAGACTCCCCCCGCCATTCGGCCGTCATGCGAGGAAACCATCATCTTCATCAGCGGTGTATCGTACTCCTTCACAGACATACATAGGCGCAAACACGTAGCAGACAGCGGGTACGACAGCCTTCGGGCGGTGCATATACAACAAAACACAAACACATTCACTTCTACAGTCTCGTGGTCGCGGCGGGGGCTATCGGGGTGAGGTGAGTGTGGCGAGTGCGAGTGCGATGCGAGCTACGGGCGGCGAGGGTACGGCAATGCGGGCGAGTGCGATGGCGAGATGCTGGTGGACGATGGTGTGACGGCGCTTTTGTGATCCGGGAAAATCAGAGGTTGGTGATGGGCTGGTGTGCAATGTTACAGAAGGCAGATGGCGAGGCGAATAATAATCATCTAAATCAGGTCGCTGGAGGTGATCGACGCCGTCAGTTACCGGCCATCCGCACATGAGAATCGGCCACTTACGCGACGTTCAGAGGCATCTCATCAATCTGGGTGTTGTAGAACTCTGTCCTCACGCCGTCAACGCTGTGCTTCATGCACCACAAGGGAGAGTGTTCACTCACGTTCGATGTCGCGCAGCATGCGCACGTCCTCCGTGGTCACAAAGTTGATGGCCACGCCCTTCCGTCCGAAACGACCACCACGGCCGATACGGTGGATGTAGTTCTCGCGGTTCGTGGGCAGGTCGTAGTTGATGACGAGCGACACCTGCTGCACGTCAATTCCACGCGCGAGCAGATCCGTCGTGATCAGCACGCGAGACGAGCCAGAACGGAACTCCTTCATCAGGACCTCGCGCTGCTTCTGCTCCATGTCACCGTGCTGTCCAGACCGAGACCGTTAATTGACGGCTGTAATAAGCGAGCGGGATAACGTCATCCACTCACCATGGCGGACACGGTGAACTCTCGCGAGTGCATCTTCTCCGTCAACCAGTCCACCTTCCTCCTCGTGTTGCAGAAGATGACAGCCTGAGTGATCGTCACGGTCTCGTAAAGGTCGCAGAGCGTGTCGAGCTTCCAGTCCTCCTTTTCGACGGCAATGTAGAACTGCTTGATACCCTCAAGCGTGAGCTCGTCGCGCTTGACGAGGATCCGCACGGGCTCGCGCATGAACTTCTTCGTGACCTCGAGCACGTCCGCGGGCATGGTGGCCGACAGCAGGACGACCTGGGTGTCCTGAGGCAGGAGCTGGAAGACCTCGTAGATCTGGTCCTTGAAACCGCGAGACAACATCTCATCGGCCTCGTCGAGACAGAAGATCTTGATGGTGTCCGTGCGGAGCGCGCGACGGTTGATCATATCGAACACACGGCCCGGGGTGCCGACGACGACCTGGACGCCCTCCTGGAGTTTGGCCATGTCCTCGCGGACGTTGGTGCCGCCGACGCAGGCGTGGCACTCGATGTTCATGTAGTCGCCGAGCGCGATGACGACCTTTTGGATTTGCTGCGCGAGCTCGCGTGTTGGCGCGAGGATGAGGGCCTGGGTGCCCTTCACGTTCGGGTCGATCTTTTGGAGGATAGAGATGGAGAACGTCGCGGTCTTGCCGGTGCCGGACTGGGCCTGGGCGATGACGTCGTGGCCTTTCACGACGGGGACGATGGCGCGCTGCTGGATCGCAGACGGACGCTCGAAGCTGGGGGTGCGCTCGGAGATCAAGACGGGGCTGTGGGCGGGCGCTGGGACGGTGCTTACCCGTAGGCATAGATACCTCGGAGGAGCTCGGGCTTGAGGTCCATGTTATCGAAGCTGGACATCGCCCCTAGTTCAGGACACCGGAGTCGCGCCTAAGGGGTGCGAGCACTCACTTGTCGACGATCTGATCCCAGTTGGACTCAATCTCATTCTCCTGGAGGTCCTGGAGGGAGCCTTCGCTGTAATGATGCGTTTTGTAAGCGAAGGTGCCCTGGCTTGGTGCGGAGAAGCGGACTCACGTAGCCATGATGGAAGTAGAAGAAGCTGGAGTGTGTGTTCGTTTGGAGGAGACGACGGCCGCGTCGACTCTGTGTGGGTCGGGGTAAGGATCGATAAATCGGCGGGGGTGGTCGTGGTCAGAGACCTTGATTGCTGCAAAATTTGCTGTGTCCGCCTTGTCGCTGCTCTCTCCGGCCCGTGCCGGCCATTTCGAACCCCGCCCGGAGCCGGCGATGTCCAAGTCAGGGGACCGGCACTGGCGTAAGTATTGCTATTAGTATTAGACGTTGACAATTTTGGCGTCCCTATATGTGCACCACCACCATGACCACCGCCGACATCCTCCTCTTGGTCTACAGCTTTGACAACGATTTCTGCGATGTGCTGGAAGTGCCTGCCGACGCGATGTTCTATTAAGTGGCCCGTCTCTTCAACTCGAAGTGGTCTTCGGACCAGCTCAAGGCCCTCAAATTCTATGTTGTAGGTGTACCTTAACGTTGCACGGATCCACCTTGATACTGATGCGCATATAAGCCGTCAGACCTTCCCTCTGATCCTGAAGATTCACTTGGCACACGCACGCTGGAGTTCCTTCATACGAACCCACCGGCATACAAATGCCGCTCCTTCGTGGATCAGTTCCCTATCCCAAAGAAGAGTGGTCGGATTGATATCGTTCTCGGGTTCTATCCTAGTATGCTGGCTTTCTTGCTTGAGTATGGTCCTTGCTAATACATCACAGTCCCTGAGTCGCTGTCCGACCTCAAATTAATGCAACGTACGTCTTCCGGCTACAGACAGTGATGATATGTGTGACCTGGGCCTACAGAGGTCGACAAGGCAAACGAGTTGATACGGCCGCGGTCGACCCCGTCAGCTATAGGAAGCAGCGACTCCAATGTCATGAAGGCAACCCAAGTTGACGACGACGAAGCCTTCGTCACTGGCCGCCCCTTTACCAACCGCGGGCCCCCAAACACATTTTTCGTCCCCTCTTTGGCAACGTTGTCCAAAGAGCTGCAAGTCAGCTCCATCACGCATGTAGAAAGACAGGCACTCGTCCATCGATGCCGTCGGTTCATGGAATTAAGCTGTGCCTTTTATGACAACGTGACCCTCCGCCTCGCCGCCCTCGAATACTCGCTCACGCACGACATCCTCTCCGGCGACTGCAAAATCGACACTCGTGGAGTGGGAGCGTCGTCCCGTGCCGACTTCCGATGGTATAGCTCTCCCGGCGGTCAAGAGATCAACTACACCATCCTCCAGTTGCAGAACCAGCGAGGAGGGACTGGTGATCCTCGAATGCAAGCTCAAGCTACATTTCGAGACCTGGTAGTCCCGGCAAGTCTACACCCCACTTCCGCTCACGTGATACTCGTTGACACCCATATGAGCAGTTGTTGAAGCATAGGCGTCGCACCAACTTCCCCGGACTCACCCTCACGCTGTCCGCCACTCGCCTCGACATCGACACCGGTATATTCACGGACAGAATGTACTGTGAACACGTCTTGACCATCGACCTAGAGGTCCCATTCTGTGCCGATGACCACATCGACCGCTTCGTGGAGGTCGTGCATGCGCTGCGGAAGTGCTCTCAGGAGTTGAAACGGCACTATCAGACGGCGCTGCTGCATCCTGTGGATCCCATGGCACCCTTCCTCCCGACTCCTACTGGCCTTTCTGATGAAGCCGTCTCCCTGCTGAACGATCTGAAATTCGTGAGTCGACTGGATCAGGATGGCGATATCCTCGGGGCGACGGTCGACAAGCGCAGTCGCGAGAGCCCTATCTTCCTGGCCACGCTGGACGGCAAGAAGGTTTTGACGAAATTCGTCGCGCAATACAACGGGACGGCGCACGGGTTGCTCGCCGACGTTGAGCGCGCCCCGCCCCTTCATGGCGTCGTCCCCGTCGTAGGGGGATGCCACGTCGTGATGGGGTATGCGGAGGGTGCACACACGCTTCTGTACGGGAAGCCGGCCGGTACGGCAGAGGCCGTGAAGGACGCGTTGCAACGACTGCATGGGGCGGGGATCGTGTTTGGGGATGTTCGTGAGCAGAACGTGCTGGACGTCCCCGGGACGGATGGGCAGCTCGCTGGCACCTGGCTGATCGACTTCGATTGGGCGGGGAAGGCGCACGACGCCGTGTATCCAGCGATGATGAACAATCACCTGAATATCTGGCCGGCGGGAGTGGGTTCTGGTGCGTATATGGAGTTGGAGCACGACAGGCAACTATTCCGTAGAATGTTCCCGGAGGCTGCCGATCTTCACGCTGGGTGGTAGCTTGTATGTGTTTTTTTACATTGATATGTTCCCGGACGATGTCGACCCCCCCTAGTAGTGAACTCTGTACGTATCGATGTGAATGGCTACCAGTATTCAACGTTCTCCGTGCTTGTGCCGCAAGTTAGCAAGCAATGCCCCATTGCCGCCATACACACTCCTGGCAGGGGGCGTCTCCGTTGGGCCCGCGCCTGACCTTTAGGCAGGCGCTTATGTCAGCAGTGCGTGCAGTCCAACGCAGTGGCTGCTCCTCCGCGCGCCGTCTCCGCCGTCGTCCAGCCCTTCCTCTTCCTCCCCCGCGCGTCCGACAACATGGCCACCCAGGTTGCGACTGCAGTTGCGCCAAACGGCGTCAAGGCGAATGGCAAGGTCAAGTCCAAGAACCAGCTTCGGCGGATGAAGGCCAAGGCGAAGAAGGCGGAGGAGATACCGGTCAAGGTGTGTGGCACAGTCCTCACGCACAGACTGGTGGCGTCTGACAACCATGCTAGGAGGTGTCCGCGGAGGTCAATATGGAGGAGGATGGACCACAGAATGTCGAGTACGTATCTGAGCAGTTGGATGTCAAAGACCCGGCTCTCGAAGCATTCTCCGACGTCTTTGCCCGCTTCCAGCTGCCTCCCGAGGCATCCACAGTGCGTCCAGTCTGCTCTTAGATGGTGTTTTGTGCATTGAGCTCTGTGTGCACAGGTCCGCGAAGTCGAGAACGTGAAGGGAGAGGTCATTTACTCGGACGACGACATGGCCTCGGAGGGCGACTCGGACACGGAGGAAAAGAAACCTCTGTCCAAGAAGAAGGCGCGCAAGATGAACCGGCTCACCGTCGCGGAGCTCAAGCAGCTTGTCAAGAAGCCGGAAGTGGTCGAATGGACGGACGTGACCGCGTCGGACCCCAGGATGCTCCTCCACCTCAAAAGCTACCGCAACACCGTCCCCATCCCTGCGCATTGGAGCGCAAAGCGCGACTATCTGCAGGGAAAGCGTGGTATTGAGAAGCCCCCGTTCCAGCTGCCGTCGTACATCGCCGACACGGGTATTGCAACCATGCGCGACGCGATCAAGGAGAAGGAAGCCAACATGACCCTGAAGGCGAAGACGCGTGAGCGCGTGCAGCCCAAGATGGGCAAGGTCGACATCGACTACCAAAAGCTCCATGATGCGTTCTTCAAATTCATGACGAAGCCCAACGTGACGAGCTTTGGCGAGATGTGCGTCCTGCGTTAGTGGCGTGTCTAGATTCAGGCTCACAGCCCTCATCCTGCGCAGGTACTACGAAGGGAAGGAGTTCGAGACCCAGCTCAAGCACAAGCGCCCTGGTGATCTATCACCTGAACTAGTCGAGGCGCTGTCTATTCCACCACTTGCGCCACCACCGTGGTTGATCAGTATGCAACGCTTCGGTCCACCGCCAAGTTACCCCACACTGCGGATACCTGGTCTCAACTCTCCCATACCGGAAGGGTGAGTTGTTACCCTGCGTCATCGCGACTGCTGATGTGACACTCTGGCACAGTGCACAATGGGGTTTCCACCCCGGAGGCTGGGGCAAGCCGCCCCTTGATGAGTACAACCGACCCCTGTACGGCGATGTGTTTGGTGTATTGCCCAAGAACACCGACGCAGATGTGAGTCCGTGCCTCGCCGACAATGTGATTGCCCGCTCTGATCGCTATTTCTCTGTTTGTTATAGATGGGCGAGCCCGTGGACCGCAATACGTGGGGCGAGCTCGAGCCCGAGGAGGAGGAAGAGGAGGAGGAGGAGAGCGAGGAAGAATCAGAAGACGAGGAGGAGCAAGCGCCCGCACCCGCCGACGGCACGCAAACGCCATCTGGGCTCGAGACCCCCTCGGGCATGGCCAGTGTGGTCTCTACGGTCGCAGGCGGGCTCGAGACGCCCGACTTCCTCGAGCTGCGCAAGAACGCCACTCGGGCGACGTCGGAGGCGGACAGTGGCCCTCGGTCACTGTACCAGGTCGTTCCAGAGCGCCAGACCGCCGTCCGTGGTCTCATGGGCAGCGAGCGCGGATACGACGTCAGCGCCGTCGCGGGTAACAGCGCGATCCCCGTCCTCGGGGACGAGCGCGGGACCAAGGTTCGTACCCTTCTCTGGTCTGCGTTGGCGCCTCACATGACTCGTGCTCACTCACTGCGTCGCACCCACAGCGCAAGGCGAACGGCGTGGACGTCTCGATCGACGCGGCAGAGCTGGAGGGTATGTCGACGGAGGACCTCCGCCGCACGTACGACCGGCACTCGCGCGGCTCCGCAGGTGTCCCGGGCTCGAAGGAAGACTTCTCGGATATGATTGTAAAGGAGATGGCGAACAAGCGGCAGAAGGCGGAGCGGGATCGCGAACGACGGAAGGAGAAGGACTTCAAATTCTGACCTCCCATTTCCGTCCGTCCCTTCTTCGCGCTGTCGTCCCGTCCAGTGTCTCGCGCTGTGTTGCTGTTTGCGTTCTTATTGTAGCCTCCTTGTGAACTAGTACATTCATCCCCGAAGGGCTCGGATATTGCGACGTCCTGTGTGGTATGAGACTGCTGGCTCGCCCGAAACAGGATATCAAGACATGCCAACATCCGACGTCTTTCATTCTAGTGGCGGGGTCACATCACATCACCATACCGTATGAGGTTGTCCTGTGAGTCTCACATCACGATGGTGCAGGTCTAGCTCCTCTTCTGAACGACAACCTCCCAGACAAGTGACCAAGCGGCTCGGCTCCTGCTGCTGCGGTAACCGCATCTGGCGACACTAGCCCCACTGCCTCTGTTCAGGAGACGCGGCACAACGCCAACCTGTCCAGTGTCGACGAGGCTTGCGCACCGATGGAGCACGAGATATCCACGCTTCGGTGAGATCGATAAGCAGGCCAGGTGCCTCGCGGCGGGCGGGGCGTCCTGCCGCCATGAGTCCTGCCGAGATGACTGTAACCACGGGGCAACTGCTTTAGGACATATGAGCAAGGCTCATTTTTGCGGTGCGCCGCGGCCAGGAGCGGAGGGCTAGAGTGCGACCTCGATTCGTGGTTTCGCGACAGGCACTTGCGGATCTGAAGAATCCCGGCGGCGGCGGGAGATGGACGAGGCCGTCTTGAGACCGGCGGTGGGCGGATGCCGAAGCACCTCTGCGTCGGAAACGACAGCACAACACACGGACGAAGGCCCTCCCCGACTCCCGTCTGCCGAACCCAGTGCGAGATCGTTGCTGCCCGGGGAGCTATGGATCGGCGCAACGGAAGTACAGTACAGACTCGCAGACCACACACTGCGCGACATCGCCATCCGGGTTCCGGGGGCTCGAAGGCGGGGCGTCTCTAGGGCGCTCAGCCATCTACCTACGCAACGTTGCTCGCTTGGAGCCGCCGGGGCTGTGGGCGTTCTGGCGCGCCTGTCGAGGTGCCCGACGATGGCATCGAGGGTCTACGCTGATAGAATTTGATCCTCCACCGCGGGGGGTCGCGTCAGCCGCTGGTATATTACTTCACGACCGGGCTGAACTCCATTGGGACAGGTACGGAGCGGATGCTGTGTTAAGTACTAACTCCATCGCAGCTGGTACTGTGTAGGAGTGTTTCTTGGCGTTCTCCAGCGTCGGGGCACCGCGCACAGGCGGCAGCGGAAGTTCTCGGGAAGCCCGTTCGGGAAAACCGCAGATCTAATACTGCGATCTCGAACGCCGTTCCCTCAAACGCTCATACAACGATCGGGGGGAGGGGGTTCTCCATCTGTCGAACGTAAGTACTAGCGGCTGCGCACGGCTGCTGTCGGGAGGTCGCAGGGATATTTGGCGCACGAGGGGTTGAACTGGAAGCGCCGTGCGGTCGAGGCCGGTGCGCGTTCCACACACGTCGTGGGAGGGGTCGCAGTGTTGTCTGCCAGGCCTGCGACGTTCCGTGCGGCGTGCTAAGATGCACAGAACATTGAAGAGTAAGTATAGGGGCATAGGAAGCCTTTACCCGTATATATGGTGTAGTACAACTGCTTGTACTGCTTGTGCTCGTTCAGAACACATCCTGGGGTTAAGTTGAGGTGGGGCGGCGGTGTGCTCAGTCAATGAAAGAACTTCGCGTCATCTGTAGACACTGATAGGTGATGATCTCCCCGAGCCTGGAATATGGCGCCAAGGCGTCAGAGACGGCATTGGGAAGTAAGTCCGGCTGAACCACCGTAAGGTCGCCCTTGTTGGCGCTATTGTCGTCCTGACTCTCTGCTGTTACCCTGCAGTGAAAGGGAGCCATTTGTAGTACAGACGTGTGATGCCTCCACTTCTACACCGCATCGTCGCTCCTCAGATCCGGTGACACCACCTCAAGCGACTGCGTCTGCGCCTCGGCGACCATCCCGGATCCTTCTCGCTCTCCGGCTGCGTCCCGGCTCGGACGACGTGCGCTTGAGCGTGTAGTGACGGAGGAACAGGACTGCGGGTGCGTCGTCAGCACCTCACGACGGTGTTGCTCAAGCTATTTGGGCCACGCCCGCCGCACCAGTAACTAAGCCTGCGGCGCACACGGGCGCGCTGACCACCCAGATGTGCGTATTGAGAGCGCGTAGGCGTGCGTGAGAGCGACGCGCTCCGCCGCGTCCTGAACGACAAGTCAGCCGTCTGCTCAGCGCCAGTCGGCGGAGCGGGGCGACGCACGGAGAGGTGGGGTATTTGCTGACGATCTGCGTCAACGTGGACGGGGAGATGTCGATGGTCACCCTGAGAGGCGCGACTCGGCGGGTGAATTCCTGTGAGCGGTGAGAATCGCATCTGGGGTGTGTGGTGAAGTGGGGCGGGCAGACGTACGTTGGAGATGATGACGAGTCCCATCGCTATGCCGATTGTGCCGCCGAGGTTCCGGGTGATGTTGAAAGCGCCAGTGGTGGTCGCCATGTCTTTGAGCGGCATTGCGGCTTGTAATCCGATCAAAGGGGACTTCGCGAATTCGGTGAGGTGACGTTTATGGATGAGTGAGGATAGACACATGCCTGGAACAGCAAACCTATGCCCAGGGAGACTACGAACGGGTACAGAGCTTCTCGCTCTGCGGAAAGATTATCAGCGGGGATGTGCCAGGAGACCCGGACATAAGACAAAATACGCACACATTGGAAGTGTCGTCGAGCATCATCATGAGGCCGTAGCCTAAGACCATGATGACCCACGCTCCCCACATAACTTCCCTCCATCGTTCGGTGCGAGCGATGATCTGACCTCCAGCTATTGAAATGAGAGAGCCGCCGAGGGAGAAAGGGATGATCCTGTGGCCGTATGTCACTGTAAGCGCATTTCAAGGAGTCAGAGACTCATACGAACCACACGCCGGCCATCGTCGCCGAGGCACCCATGACTTGGAAGTACACGGGCAGATAGTAGGTTGCGCAAAAGAATGTCACGGCGTGTATGAATACGGAGATCAAGATTAGGGCGGTCGTGCAAGTCTATAGTAAAGCTGTCAAAATGACCGCCATTCACAATGAGGCAAATGCGCACGTGCCTTAAATAGTCGTGGTGGAAGGATAGGCGACTGTTTGGTGTACATCTCGTTGACCAAAGCAGCAACCAAAGCAGCAAACCCGACCACAAGCAGGGCTATCGTCTGAGGGCTGCTCCCTGCGAGACGGGCGCGTGAGTGCTACGGGCTCGTATATGCGCGATGAACGGGGTATTACAGCTTGTTTCGCTGAAGTTGAAGCCAAGGAGAATCATAACGATTCCTGAGATGAGGAGAACCAGACCAACGACGTCGAATTCGTGCGCGTGTTCTCGCCAGCTCCTTCCGTGATGGGGATTCAGGTTTAGGAAGAAGAATAACAAAACTCCCCCTATCCCACCCATGGGTCTCCGCAAGACGTTTCAAATCAGTCACAGACCAGTTTGGGACAAAGGGACATACAAGTTGATGAAGAAGCACCTGAGTTATCGTGACTCGTGTTAGTCAAACTCAGCGAGTCGCAGTAGTTCGGGTAAACACTCACCAGCGCCATGATAGATGGTCCGTGAATGCCTGTACAAACAATCAGTGACGTACCGACTAGAGGGACGGAGAGCGGTGACGGCTTACTCCACCCATGAGTGGGCCAATGACGCTGCAACGTCCGAATCAGCACTAACTCAAGGAAGGCGTACGGGACGCACCTCGCAACCCCGAAGGTGGCCCCAACTGCTCCCCCGTACTTGCCACGACTGGGAGCGATGGACCGACTTAGTCAATGATACTGGGCGGAGAACCAGAGACACAAGGAGACGCACTCTTCGAGGGAGACTATGTCGGCGATGACCATCTGTACGGACTGGATTATTCCGCCGCCGCCTATGCCTTGGACTGCCCGGGAGACGACGAGCCAGGTCATGCTTTGCGCCGCCCCACAAAACGCGGAGCCGGTCTGAAGGCCCGTGAGGCTATGGGACGAACACCGAAAGGACCGGACGCACTAGAAAGATCGCGAGAGAGTAGTACATGACGGGCTTTCGGCCTGGTGAGGGGTCAGTGAGAAGGCTAGTAGGTGCATGTGCTGCGACCTCCGGCTCACCGGTGATGTCTGAGAGTTTCCCATACAGCGGGGACAGAGCAGACGACGCCAGAAGATAGGCACTGCGGTGATGAGCACGAATCAGTGTCTCGCAATCTGAGGTTGGAGACGGCCCCCGCACCTCCCCACCCAGCTGTACTCGCTCCCGCCACCGAGGTCCTTGACGATGGTGGGGAGCGCAGTCGCTACAATCGTCTTCAGATGCCAGGGAACAGAAATCGTCAGAAAAATGTGATCCAAGAGCACATTGACACACCTGATCAAGCGCGGCCAAGAACATGCAGCACATGAGACCCGTGAATACGATTCCTATGTGGTTTTTTGGGAGGTAATGCCTTTCGTCCTGCATCCAGTCGCTCGACGCCTCTAAGGTAGCCTCCTTCTCAGAGTCGGAAGGGACAGCGTCCGTCGAGCGCGACGGCACGACGGCAGGAGTGGCGGGCTGTCGTTCTTCATCCTTTGAACACTATCCGGGACGTCAGTGGCGGAGTGAAAGGAGGAAGGTGACAAGACTAGTTAGCGGACGACGCCGTCGCTGAGCACGCTTAAACGAATGAACAGTGATGCGTGGCCCCAGCACTGACTCGTCCTGAGCGCGGACTAAGTACTAGTCGCGACGCGAACGTCCGCCACCCCGGAGCGCCTCGTTTGTCAACCAGAGCCATGTAGATGCGGAGCGGAGCGAATGGCTGAGCCTGACAATGGCAAAGCCATGGTAACCGGGGTCAAAGCAAACTTCATACCAGTCGTCGAGCGGGTGGGAGGATAGACGCCGCGTGGTGGTGATTCGCACGTTCGAAGCCTTGACGCCTCACGAAGTATCTTCAACATACACCAACACCCTCCAAGGCTCATATAGAAAATCTACGAAACGATAGCGTACATGCAGTAGTTGAGTCAAGCCGACAGTCGATCAATAAGACACTGCCTATCGACAGTATTACGGACTCTAATCCGGGGATATCGCATACGTGGGTAGTGATGTGCAGAGCAGATGCGTGAGAATATGAGTAGATAAATGTAAAGCAGATGCGACGTTCAATGCAAAAGTATGGTGTGTGTTTGATGCTGCGGGGTATGCCAAAATCCACGTAAGCCGCCGCGAACGGCCTTGAGCCCAAGGATCTGAACGGGGGACGGGAATAAAAAGCAGGGGGCGTAAGCAGTCGTGTGGTGTCGTGCCAAGCCAACGAGACGAGGAACATGTTCACTTCTTCTCGGCGTCCACGATCACTGTTGTGGCCGGGATCTCGTGCACCGTCCGCTCCTCGTCGAGGTCACTCGACGTGGACACCGTGGGCAACGTCTGTGTCTGCGCCTCGACGTCACCCACGGACAGAGCGCCAGCGCCTTTCGCGGCCGCCTCTGCCTCCATCTCAGCCGCCTTGTCTTCAGCGCGGATGACCTTGCGCTGCAGCGAGTAGTTGCGGAGGAAGAGCACCATGAGCGTGCAGGCGCCGAGAATCGGCGCTGCCGCAATCCAAATCGTGGCCATGGACTCCGTGTAGAGATGCGTGAGCAGTGTGCGCTGCGCCGCATCCTGTGGGAACGAGAATGGTCAGCGCCTTGGACACGGGGAGAGCAGTGAATAGCCCGTACCTGGATCTTCGGAATGACAGTCACAAGCTGAGTGATGGCGCTCGCGGAAGTGTCAATGTTGAGCCCAGGGACCTCAGCCACACGACGACGGAAATCCTGGATAATATGGACACGTGAGAACGGTCCAGCCAACGGACAGACTCAACACGTACCGAAGAGATGATGACGAGTCCGATTGTAGTGCCGACAGTACCACCCAGACTGCGAGTCAGAATGACGGAACCAGTGGTGGTAGCGGTGTCCTTGATGGGCATTGCGGCCAGAAGACCGATGAGAGGCGTTTGAAGCGCGCCTCCGATGCCAAAGACGCCACAAAGGATACAACAACTTCTCGGCGCTGAACGCATGTCAATACAGCCGGATAAGAGACAGTCATGACCAGTGCACGTACGCGTTCGAGTTATCATCGAGCATGGTCATGAGACCGAAACCGAGGGTGGCGATGGCCATTGAAATCCACTCGATGGGAACCCAGTAACCGGTGCGCGAAATGATTTGACCCGTGATGATCGAAGAGAACGAGGCGGCCAGCGAGAACGGCAGCGTCCTGGAAATAGTTCAGTACGCACGCCAAAGTGAGTGTGCGCCATACGTACCATACACCCGCCATTGTAGCTGAGGAACCCATGACCTGGAAGTACACCGGGAGGTAATACGCAGCAACGAAGAACGTGACGGCGTGAAGGAAGACTGTGATGAGCAGAATAGCAGTAGTGCGAGTCTGAAGTGCTGTTAGCGGCAGATTCACCATACCAAAACACGATTGGCATACCTTGAACAGGCGAGGCGGAAGAATCGGAGAGCGCGTGGTATAGGTCTCGTTGATGCCAGCGAGGACCAAAAGTACTACTCCGATGACCAAGCATGCAATCGTCTCCGGTGTGTTCCCTGCAATGACGTCAATTTCAACTATATGCGCTTTCGATGAGCAAAAAACACGCACAAGCCGTCTGGCTGAAGCTGAAGCCCAGAAGGACGAGGACGACTCCACTGATGAGAAGTAGGAGACCGATGAAATCGAACTCGGCAGCGTGCTCCCTCCAGCTCTTTCCTTGGTGTGGGTTGAGGTTAAGGAAGAAGAACAAGATGAGGCCACCGACGGCGCCCGTGGGCAGGTTGATGAAGAAGCACCACCTCCACGACGCATGATCCGTCAGAGCACCGCCGAGCAAAGGGCCGATGACGCTCGCAAGACCCCAAGCCGCGCCCAACAAGCCCGCATACCGTCCACGACTACAAGGCACATTCAAATTGGTCAACATGCGGCGCGAATACTGCAAGAACAGGGACGTACTCTTGAAGGGTGGTGATGTCTGAGATGGTGACCTGGATGATCTGGATGATACCACCGCCTCCGATGCCTTGAACAGCGCGACAGATGACGAGCCAAGTCATGTTTTGAGCAGCGCCGCATAGAGCAGACCCGAGGAGGAAAATGCCGATGCAAGTGAACAAGACGGGCTTGCGACCTAAAGAAGTTACGTGAATATTGGATCACGAACGTGTCGAACGGTAAATCTACGAACCTACGATGTCCGAAAGCTTTCCGTACAAGGGACAAAGCGCAGCGGTTGCGAGCAGGTAGGCGGTGCCGACCCAACTGTACTCGCTTCCACCACCGAGGTCCTTTACGATGGTTGGAAGGGCGGTGGCAACGATTGTCTAGATATACGGATGCGAGTGAGACTGGCGCTAATTTGAATGGCAGTAGAGCGGCGCACCGAATCGAGGGCGGCGAGGAAAATACAGCACATAAGGCCGGCGAAGACGATGCCCATCCTGTTTTTGGGCAGAACGTGTTCTTCATTTGCTTTCCAGGATGCGCCGGGGGCATGTTTCTCCTTCTCTGAAATGCTGGCGGGAGCCGCAGGAGTGGAGGTTCCGGATGTCGCAATCTTGTCAGCAGCCATTGTCGCGGGGTGAGAGCCGCAAGGAATGGAAGGGGTGAGAGGGAGCAAGCGAAGGGGGACGGAGTCGTGAACGGATCTGCGTCTGCTTATGAGGGATCGGTGGGACGCCCTGAAAAGCAGCCGGACTCAGCATGACAAACCGAGGCGCAGCCGTGCCGGCGAAAGAGGAGGTGGGATGCGCACTCACACGGCGAACGGTGACCCGCCACCAGGTCCGACGGCGCCATGCAGCGTCGGGCACTTACACGTTCGAGTGCGGGCGGCATGGATGCGGTTGGTGACAGAGCACGCTGGAGGAGGCGGTGAGTCGCAGAGCGTATCAAGGCGCAGACGCCCGGGGATACTCCGAGACACGCAAGCGCCGGCCGATCCGAGCGTACTCTGGCCGCGTCGCGCGGATTTGCTGACTCACCTCGTCTGACTATCGCGCTTCCACAGACTCGTGTTGCGAGCGTCGGCCTCGATCCTAGATGTCTAGAAACTCGTCGGTTTTCCGTCGGCATGATCTATACTCGTCCGCAGAACGCGTGGTGAACGATGGCGCATGCGACCAAGCTGCAGCACCAAGTACCTCGCAGCAGTGAGGAGAAGAACTTCGACCCAAGTTGCACGGTCAGGCAAGAGGTCAGGGTGCATTTGAAGGAATTTGATCGTGCATGGTCTGATATTCAAAGTGACTGCAAACATTCCCAGTCGCATCGTCGGATGGCTCTACGAGCCGTGGCCGCCCAACGGAAGCGCGACGCCCGAGGGAGATGTGGGACTTGGCCACTTCCCTGCTGCCGTCGCGCGGCGGCAACGGGCACTGGCAGTTCGTAGGCGCGCTCAAGCGCTCACCCTCGCGTCAGCCCGGGCCCCGGGATTGCGCGTCCAGGTCGCCGGGCGCCGAACACTCCGACGCTCAGGTGCGTGACCGTCCCCGCTCTCCGTTGTTCCTGCAACAGACCTGCACAGACCTGCACCCGCGGGAATCCACTTCCACCTACACGGTACTAAAGTATCTGCCTACTGTTCCTCCCTAAGCTGCCCCCACACTTCCTGTTTGGCCCATAAGTAAGAGCGTCCGGCGTTTGCCGTTGTTCTACCTCGTGCGCGCGAGTCTCCATGGTCCCGGTGCGGCTACTGTCCAACATATACTGAGGCTGTTACTTTACACCTTTTCATCCTCTTTGCCCTCGTTGACACATACCCAGACAGAACATACTCCTTCCCCGGACCCCGCTGCGCTCTTCGCGTCACCGGGCTCGCACCGTCCTCGCTTGGCGCACTCGCGCTTCCTGCCTACTCGCACACCCACCACTCTTTCGATCCAGAGTACTTCGTCTCGTACGCAAGAACGTTGACGGATCCTTGCAGGGGGTACTCCGCCGCTAACTTCACAGAGCGGTCTGCTGCGGAATAGTGTGGTCCGTGCAGACGTGAGTCGCATCGATCTCTGTGACTCATTTCCTTCTCACTGCTACGTCATTTCTCTTAGCATTTGTACTGGAGCCCGTAAAGGCAAAGAGGGGTGGAGCCGCGGTACTTCTCGCTAGCCCTATAACTTCAACTCCCTCGGACAGGGGCCGCGACCGAATAATTGCCAACCGCCCACTGACTCAGTAGAGCCTATCAATGCGGCGCCTCATTCAGTATGGCTCTTCTATCGCTCGGATTGAACTACGAGCACTGGTGTAACTTTGGCTTCTGGCTTACGAATTCTCTACCGATCCGCAGGTCGTCATGTGTGACAACGCCAACCCCCCAGGAGGATATTTGACGCACGCTGGACATGGAAAGCGGATTGCTCAGCTTCCGTGGATCGGCCTTTGGATATTCCGCCCAGATGAGAAGATCCACAAACATCACGGCGATGTGGGCGGAATATAAACCGTGCGTGCAGCGCCGTTTCTTCCCACATCGCATCACCATGACCAAGTACTTGCTCAAGGGCGGAACGATCGCCACCTGCGAGAAGGGAAAACCAGGCGTCCGCGTCTTCAAGTCGGACGTTCTCGTCGCAGGCACGACGATCACCAAGATCGAGGAGAACATGGCACCCGAGGCTGGCGTGGAGGTCATTGACTGTACAGACAAGTGGATCACTCCAGGTTTCGTGGACACGCACCGGTACGCGACAGGTGTTCCTCGAATCTTGCTGGCATGCTGACTCCGTACGCCCTCTAAAGCCATGTCTTCATGGCCGTCATGCGCGGCAACCACTGCGAGTGAGCACCGGAACGCCGCCGCGGCCGCGCTGCCATTCCACCCTGACATAACTTTCCCGCCGCAGCTGGCTGCTGACCGAATACTTCATCAAGAGTCCTGGTACGTCCGTCCCTCCGCGCAGCCCTCCATCCACGTTCGAGCACGACACCTGACCGTCGCACTCTACAGGACCGTCCAGGGCGACCTCACCCCGGACGAGGTCCGCATCGGCACCCTCGCCGGCTGCCTCGACGCCCTCCACAACGGCGTCACCACCCTCCTCGACCACTTCCACGCCGCGAACACGCGCGCGCACCTCGACGCCGCGCTCGCCGCCACGCTCGAGTCCGGCGCGCGCGTCGTCTGGGCCCCCGCGCGGCAGTCCGCGCCCACGCGCCTGTACCCTTCGATGGCGTTCGCGGACGACGCCGCGGCGCGCGCGTGGCAGCTCGACGCGTCACCTCGCTCGGGCGCGAGCTGCGCGCGGACGGGCGCGTGACGCTCGGGCTCGCGTACGACGTCCTGCGCGGCGCGGATGTGGCGCCGCACGTCGAGTTCGTGCGCGCGGCGCGGGCGGCCGGGGCGCGGATCGTGACCGCGCACGCGCTCGTCGACGAGCACGTCACGGCCTGGCGTGACGCGGGGCTCATCGGGACCGACGTGGTGTTCTCGCACTGCAACAGCCTGCAGGGGCGCGCGGACCCCGAGGCGCGGCGTGGAAGGTGCTGAAGGAGAGCGGGGCGGGGATCGGCGCGACGCCTGTGGATGAGCTCGGGATGGGGCACGGGAACCCGCTCGCGTTGGAGGCACTCGCGCGCGGGGTCAAGTGCGGGTTGGGTGCGGTGAGTCGCGCGCTGGGTGTGGTGGATGTGCCGGGAGACGGGCTGACGGGCTTGGGCTTGGGATGGCGCAGGACGCGGTGTCGATCAACGGCGGAGACATGTTCACGCAGATGCGCACGCAGCTCCAGTGGTCGCGCGGGGCCACGCACGAGAACATCCGCCAGAACAAGCTCGCGCTCCCGTACAAGAACGAGTGGAACTCCGCGGACGTCTTCCGGCTCGCGACTCTCGGAGGGGCGGAGTGCTTGAACATGGGGGACCTGATCGGAACGGTCGAGGTGGGGAAGCGGGCGGACCTGCTCGTGTTCGACACCAACACGCCCAACCTTGGAGGGGCGGCAGACCCGGTCACGGGAGTGGTCTTCCACGCCGGGAGCGAGGACGTCGAGACGGTGTTCGTGGATGGGGAGATGGTGAAGAAGAACGGGAAGCTGGTTCGGAGCTGGGGTCCGGTGGCCATGGAGCTGAGGAAGCACGCTGACGCGATCCGCGAGCGGTGGTCGGCCAACAAGCTTGAAGGAGAGTGGAAGAAGTGGTGGGACACCTTCGGGTCGCCCGTGTGGTAGTAGTAAAGAGCCTTGATTATGATATGCGTGCCATACATCTGGGACGACTTGATAAAAGGAACACGGCTCACCTTGCCAGAGTCAGTTCCATGAAAGGTGGTGGGCTCTTATTTGCGAGCGTGTGCGGTGCATAACATTCGGAACTTCGTAGTAGTAAGAGGGTACACATGTACGGCATACGTACTAGACGAAACAAAGAGAAGAGATTCGGCGCATGTTGGTTTCCCACTGGCGAGCGTCCTGGACGCCCCCAGCGGTACTTATCCCGAGGACCACGAAAAGGTCTGCGCCAGGACGGGCCCCCCATGAACCGGTGCGCCCGCCCCCCCTCGGGAAAGGAAACGACTACCTTCAGACTGACCTTCGCATGCATCTTCGCCGCCTTCGGGAGTCAGACTTGCGTCGCGTACCTGAGCCCCAAGCTCGCTCTTGATATCTCGGCTCGACACTGGAGCGACGAGAGCCTTCCGCGCATGGGGACGGCTTGAGAAAAAAAGGGACCAGACTCCTCTTGATGGGCGCCGGGTTTCCGGCTTCAACTCACGCCGTCTTCGGGGGACAGACTTGCGTCGAGTGCCTGAGCCCCAAGCTCGCTCTTGATGTCTCAGCCCGACACTGGAGCGTGAGAGCCTTCCGCGCATGGGGACGGCTTGAGAAAACAAAGGACCAGACACCCCGCTTGAGACAGGCGGACCGCCGCCGCACGTTGCGGGACCCACGACGGGGCGTCTTCGGTGTGCGTTGGAGACCGAGGGCGCTTGCGGGTTCGCGAGGCGAGTCTTCGGCCCACGCGGACGGCTGACACCTTCAAAAAAACGACTGCATCATAGAGGTCAGCACAATGCGTGGTAGGGCGGAGAGAGAAGAGAAAAGCCTGGTCAGTGTCGGCGGCGGACAGTTGTGAAGTTGTTGGGAGAGGCGACGTCTTGCACTGGTCGAAGGCGTTGAGGACCGTTGAGGCTGACGATGGCGGCGTTGAGACTGATGCGTAGTCAGTGGCGAGGGAGGTGCTGGGGTCGAGGTCAAGAGAGGGAAAGAAGCGAGGAGGAGGGGGAGTGAAGAGAAGATGGCGGTTGGGGATGAGGATGAACGACCCAGCGAGGGCACCTTTTATAGACTGGGGACTGGAGGCGAACCGTGTTTGTTTGTTTGTTCGGCGCACGGCGTGCGACACACCGCAGGCTGGTTACTTATCGGAAGTGTCAACCACCTTCCCATATCCGGTCTTCCGCGACGGGTCGGCTGGGTATAGTAACCTCGACTGGACATCCGACGTGTTAAACATGTGATATCGCGCCCATTTTGCTCATGTCGCGGGTGAGCGAAAATCAAAAGCAAGATGGAATCGCGAATCGTCCAAGTGCCATCTGGGTTGTTGACAAGACTCCTGCGGCAGGAAGCGAGAGTGATCTTGTCCTCTCGCAGGGTATCAACGACAAGACGCTGGATATTGGCGGTGAAAATACCAGGTGAAGAGCGACTTTAGTCTCCCCTCTCCCGAGCTGGCGTTGGTTCGAGGTAACTGGGAGGGAGCGCTGGAGAAAGCCGGAGAAAGCCGTCGTTGGGCGTGATCTAATGCTATCTAATCTGGCTGCACGAACGCCCAGCGAGTGATAGAAGGCCCCGGCCCTTGAAGAATATTGTGTGTTGCTAGAGTTTTCGCAATAGGATCCGTGTGGCTGCCAACGCGTTCTATTCCGGAAACCGCAGCAAAAATCTAGTGGTTGGCATGATGTCGTGAAATGTAGGAGTGGTGTTCGAGATAGTAATGTGCATTGGGCATAGCCTTCAGAACTTCAGACCCTGCCCCAAAGCCCGCCCAAGATGGCGTATCGCGCGGCAAACATGAATGCCACGGCAACCATGACCGCGGACCCTGCGTGTGCCCACGATGTGTCAGCTCTGTGCGAGGCGGCGAGGCAGCGAAGAAAGCGCGTACCTGCGTATATGCCGGTATCCTTGAACCCGCCCGTCACAGTCTGAATCGCCCCAGATATGGGCGGCCCGGCGATGCCGCCGACGGCGACGAGCGTGAAGCTCATGCCCGCGCGCACGCCGACTTCTTGGACTTTGCTGATGCGCACTATCGGCGCGGCGAGCAGGGAGACGTACACCCCGGAGGAGGCACTGTTGGTCCAAGTCAGATTAGGCGATTGATTCCTGGCTAGGAGCTGAGGGGTCGACACACCCGTAGACTATCGCGATCCCAATGTTCCCGCCGACGGTGTGGTTGACGAACGGCCAGACGTAGGTCATGATTCCGGCCAGAAACGTCGCGGGGATCATGATGTTTAGCGGCCCTTTTACGAACGAGACTCGTAAGTCGTGCGTGGAAGATGAAAGCCGCGGTAAAGACGCTGTACCTGTCCACCTATCTGCGACAAGACCGCCGACCACACGACCAACGGCAGAGCACGCATTCGCGATGGACAACAGATAGAAGGCGAGATTGTCCGAGATGCCTTGTTGAACTGCGGCTACGTCCAGGTAGGTGAGAACCTGTTCGGACGGTTAGTGTTGGGACGCGAACGCAGGTGATTGAGCTTACCGTGTACAGGCCGAAGAACGAGACCAGACTCGACAGGCTGTAAAGCAAGTATCGAATATCCTTAAACGCGGTGAGGTCGACGAAGGGACCGGAGCGCGGCTTCGGCGGGAGTCGGCGCTCTACAGTCTGCGTGTAAAGATATCAGGCCTTAATAAGGACAACGGAGGCGTGCAGTAAATGACGTACAACGAACTGAAATCCGAGCAGGAGAATTTCGAGGAAGCCAAGGATGCGCATCGTCCACTGGAAGCTGTAAAATCCAGCACTCGATATTAAATACCCAGGGCTGCTTACTTGGAGTTGTCAAAAGTCTCCTCACCCTACTTGCTGGACTAGGTTCTTGACGGCGATGGGAAAGAGCGTCCCGCCCACGCTGGAGCCGAGTGCCATGACACCGAGAGCGGCACCGAGTTTGTGTTTGAACCAGTGCGCAGGGATGGCGACGATAGTCCCAAAAATGACACCACACGCGAGCTAGAAGCGCGTCAGACATGCTTGGTGGAGATTGAACGTAAGACACACCCCTAGCGCGATTCCCTGGCAAAGGAGGAATTGCCAATACTGAGTACATTGCGCAGTCAAAAATGTGGCGGCGACCAGGACCGCGCTCGCCGCGCCCAGCATTGACTTGAGGTACCCCATGTCGAACAAACGACCGACGACGAGTCCCGGCAGGAAGACAAGCGCATACTAGACGATCAGATGAGTGAACGCGCGCCTTGTCAAGGTTCGCAATAGCTCACTTGGACGGAACCTATCCAGGAGCTAGCACAGAAATCAATCAAAGTTGGCACTCTAGCCCATTCAAACACTCACATTGTGGATGTCGACGTTCCAGGGAGGATTGACTGTTGGTAATACGCTTGAAATACCTGCATGATGAGTCAGCTCGAACGGGCGTCCGAGAATACAAGGCACTCACACCCCAGGCGTTCACCAGCCCAAACGTCCCACACGTCCCAGCGGCGCACTATCGGCGTTCCTGTCAGCATCAACAGACGACCCTCAAAACAGCGCGTGCGACGCACCCCAATGACAACGAGCCAAGCTCGTAGACCGCCATCTGGGTTCTCTCCGTAGTCGACCTTGGGGTGATCGGGCTCGACGTACTCTTTCACAACAGCCTCGAGCTCGCGCTGGTGCCGCTGGTGCTCCGTCTCCTGGTGCGGGGGCGCGTCGGCGGCGATGGTCACTTCGTCAGATGTGCGATCCTTCTCCTTCTCCGGGTGCTCCATGGTCTGGTGCTTGTAGGGGGCAGCCTTCGCGAGGTCAACCACGAGAAGACGAGCAAAGAAGAAGGGGGATAGGGCACGGGGAACAAGATTTCTGACCGGTTGTATATAAAGGCCATGAGGTCCTGTGATCCTCGGTAATACTGGTTTCATGAGTCATGGCTCGGTGGTTGGCACGGACGGCATGTTGGAAGGTGTACGCCCGGAGCGGAGGGATTACAAAGCAAGATAGAATAGGCCTTCTGCCACCCGACGCGTACTTCGCAGACTGAGACTGCGAGGGTTGCGCTGCGCGCATTCCAGTGGGTCACTAGCGGGGGAAGGCCTGAAGCGCCTTTACCGGCCCGCCCCGGAATGGTGGGGCCGTGCGGCGTGCACGTGGATATTGACGCCACACCAGGATTCTCGGGCGCCTCCGAAATTTGCAGCCATAGCAGAACTCTTGCCGGTGCATCGTGCTCGCAGCCCAGGCCTCGGCTTTCATCATCCACGCACAGACCGTACAACACGACGAGATGGCCTTCGGTACGTCTTTTCGACATATTTATCCTCACACGTAATAGTACACTGACCGGGGTATCTAACAAACTCCTGCGACTTGTGCAATGTAGGTGATTCTGGCGGACGCGGCGGCTTTGGCGGAGGTCGAGGAGGGGGACGTGGTGGGGGTAGAGGTGCTCCCAGGGGCCGCGGTGGCCCTCCAGGCCGTGGTGGAGGTCGCGGTGGTGCGTTCTCAATTTCTCATCCTCACCCGCCCGTACTAATTTGCTATTAGGCTTCAGCGGGGGAGGCCGTGGTGGTGTCATGAAGCGCGGTGCCCCTGGGGGACGCGGAGGTGGACGCGGCGCACCTCGCGGTGGTCGTGGAGGTCGTGGAGGAGGCCGCGGGGGCGCGAGGGGCGGCTCTAACGTGATTCTCAAGCCCCACAAGCACCCTGGCGTCTTCATTGCGGAGGGCAAGGAGAGCTTGCTCGTCACCAAGAACCTTGTTCCGGGCGAGGCCGTCTACGGAGAGAAGCGGATATCCATCGACGGCGGCGTGGACGGTACCAAGGTCGAGTACCGCGTGTGGAACCCCTTCCGCTCCAAGCTTGCCGCTGGTGTTCTCGGAGGTCTGGACGACATCTACATCGCGCCTGGGATGAAAGTTCTCTACCTCGGCGCCGCTAGCGGAACCAGTGTTTCGCACGTCGCTGACATTGTTGGGCCGGTGAGTTTTCTCTTACCAACCTCTTTGCCCCTCTTCCTAGACCCATGCTCTCACAAATTGTCGAGGCGTGATGCGCTTTCCCTTGCATGGACATGCGACTCACACTGTCATTGCAGGAAGGCACGGTGTATGCGGTGGAGTTTTCACTTCGGTCAGGCCGTGACTTGATTGGCATGGCGAAAAAGCGAACAAACGTTATCCGTAAGTCGCGGCCAACTACCAATCCTTGTCACAACCTAATCCATCCGTACCGCAGCCATCGTCGAGGATGCGCGGACACCCCAAAGATACCGGATGCTCCTCTCCACCGTCGATGTTATCTTTGCCGATGTCGCACAGCCCGACCAGGCCCGTATCGTGACGCTCAACGCCGAGTACTTCCTCAAAAACGAGGGCCATGTTGTCATTTCCATCAAGGCGAGCTGTATTGATTCCACTGTGCCCCCAGAGGCTGTGTTCGCGCGGGAGGTGGACTTCTTGCGCCAGAACAACTTGAAGCCCATTGCGCAGGTCACCCTTGAGCCGTACGAGCGTGATCATGCCATGGTGACAGGTATGTAGTCCTTCCCCCCATCCTGGCGCATCACTAAGTGTGTCTCATCATCCGCAGCCGTCTACTTAAGACACGGGCAGAAGAAGTAAGCCGCGTGCGAAAACTCGGCTTTGGGTGTCCGTATTACTTAGTACCAGTTGTTCTGAGCTCTCGTCTGCCTGGCTTGGTCCACTTCTCTCTTCTCTCCGTCTGTGCATGTATCTCTGTAGTACTCCAAAAGTATGCTGCTCGCTTTCGTCATGCTGTACCATTTCAACACGCCCATTTAGGCTGATGTCACGGTGTGATTGAATATTTAAATTATCCTGGACTTCGGGAGGCTGCTTTTCGGTCTTGAAAACACTAATTTCGCCCACCGTTTCGACAGCGCGGGGAATCTTGCGTTCACGCGTCACGTCGTACCTTGGCTGGACGAACGGAGAAATGCGCAGCGCGTGGGCGGCCACGTCAGGATGGGGATGCTGCGGTGGCAGTACAGGCGAGGGGATATCAAGCGGGCGTAGACGCTGGATGTCTGGCCCAAAGACCTGCACGGCGCCCCCTCCCTCCAGCCTGCTGATGAGGCCTTCCGGACAAGTTGCCCTTGATCTCGGACCTCCCTACGAAGACGGCACCCGCTCGTCGTCTGAATTCGAGGAAATCCCCCACCCCGCCTCGCACTCCAACTACTGGGCTCCCGGCTCGCACTCCGCCCATCCCGCTCACCCGCCAGCGCACCCGCGCGAGGAGGAGCTCCCCATGCACCACATGGCCGAGGACAAGGCCCGCCGTCGCGTCCCCCGCCCTTCAAACGGCGCGGGTGGCTCCGCGTCTGAGAGGTATGGTGACGAGAAGGAGCTGGAGTACGATGCGTTCGACCGGGAGGGCAAGGATGTCTACTCCAAGATGAATGCTGCCAAGGGGCCCATCTCAAGCGGCCGTCCAAGGAGACCACCGCCCCCACCGCCTACGTCTGTGGTACGTCTCGCGTTGCTCCTCATGCGCGAGTGCCAGCGGAGAAACTGACGGACTCAACTATCCTGCACGCCCTGCCCCGCCAACCGCCTCTGCCGTCGCCAGCGGGAGTTCCTCCTTCAGAACTTCGAGCACGTTCCCCCGATCGTTTACACCCTCCTGTCGTGCTGGACACGCTTCCACAAGATCGGCCACTCCAACGTCGTAGTCTGGGACGAGGCGCACTTCGGCAAGTTCGGCTCGCACTACCTCAAGCGCGAGTTCTACTTCGACGTCCACCCCCCACTCGGCAAGATGCTCGTCGGCCTCGCCGGCCTGCTCTCCGGCTACGACGGCACCTTCGCCTTCGAGAGCGGCGCGGTCTACCCCGACACCGTGCCCTACACCACGATGCGTGTCATGCTTGCCACATTCGGTGTCGCCCTCGTCCCCCTCGGGTGGTACACCGCGGTCGAGCTCGGAATGACTCCGATGGCGTGCCATCTGGTCGCGCTGATGGTCCTCTGTGGTGAGCAACCCTATCCTAGCGCTGTGCTGCGCCGCGAGCGCGCTACCCCTCTGCTTCCCCGTACTCCGAGCGCTGACTTTGGATGATCGGAATCCAGACGTTGCTTGGTTGACGATCTCCCGGTTTATTCTCTTGGACGCCATGCTCCTGTTCTTCACGTTCACTACCGTTTTCTGCTTCACAAAATTCCACAATCAGCAATACCGGTGTGTACCTCAGAGCTTTGACGATGTTCACGCACGTTCTGACGCGCAGGATGCAGGTCATTCTCCCCCGACTGGTGGTTCTGGTTAACAATGACTGGCTACAATATTGGTTGCGTATGCAGGTGAGGTTTAAGCCGACCCCGACTGAACTTCCGCTCATCCTCCACCAGTGTAAAATGGGTTGGCTTCTTCGTCACAAGTTTGATCGGCGCATACACCATGGAGGACCTTTGGGAAAAGTTCGGGGATCTGAAAATGTCATGGGTGCGTGCACATCCTGTCCACCACAACGCACGAGCCGACCTCTTCGCAGCGCGACCAAGCCAAACATTGGGCAGCCCGCGTGGGATGCTTGATTGTGCTGCCCTTCTTTGTGTACATGCTGTCGTTCAAGCTGCACTTCATGGTCCTCAACCATTCCGGCCCTGGTGACGCTCAGATGAGTTCGCTGTTCCAGGCGAATCTCGAAGGAAATCAGTTCCACAAGAACCCTTTGGGTACGTGAACCGCTAGGCTATCTTGCATTGTCTCATTCTATTCCCAGACATTGCGTACGGTTCGAAGCTCACGCTGAAGAACATGGGCTGGGGTGGAGGTCTCCTTCACTCCCATGTCCAGACGTATCCCGTCGGCTCGGAACAGCAGCAGGTCACTTGCTACCACTACAAAGACGAGAACAACGACTGGATGATCATGCCTCGTTGGGACGAGGAAGACTTCGACGCAGAGGCTCCGATTCGCTTCCTCAAGGACGGCGACAACATCATCATCCGGCACGCGTCGACGACCCGCAACTTGCACTCACACAACGTTCCCGCTCCGATCACGAAGCTCAACCACGAAGTCTCTTGCTACGGCAACCAGACCGTCGGTGACAACCAGGACTACTGGATCGTTGAGGTCGTCGACGACATCCACCGTGGCTCCAAGGACAAGTTTGAGCGCATCCACTCGCTCACCACCCGCCTGCGGTTCCGTCACTGGCACTCCGGATGCTACCTTCGCGCGGCGAACGCCGTTCTGCCGCAGTGGGGTTTCAAGCAGATCGAAGTCAGCTGCGACAAGGAGAACGACCCGAAGGATCCGCACACCCACTGGAACGTGGAAAGTCACTGGAACGATCGCCGTAAGTGCCTCTGCTATTTCACGTCGTCGGAAGGCTCACTTTGCCCCCAGTCCCCGCTGGTGACGTGCGCTTCTACTCGTCGCCCTTCCTGCGCGACTTCTGGCACCTCAACGTCGCGATGGCCACCTCGAACAACGCGCTGATCCCTGACCCGGACAAGGAGGACATCCTCGCCTCCAAGCCGCTCGATTGGCCGCTCCTTCGCGTCGGCCTCCGCATGTGCGGCTGGGGCGACACCCAGACCAAGTACTACCTCGTCGGCCTCCCCGTCATCTGGTGGGGCGGCACCGTCGCGCTCGTCGTCAGCGTGCTTGCCGTCGGCTTCTACGTCCTCCGGCAGCAGCGCAAGTACGTCGACATGGAGCCCCGCGAGTGGGAGCACTTCCTGTACGTCTTCAAGGTCGCCCTCGTCGGCTGGGCTCTCCACTTTGGTGCGTCTCCCCTCTCTCCTCGTGTACGCGCGCGGTGCTGACCCGCGCTTCCCCTTTGCAGTCCCCTTCATGATCATGGGCCGCGTCACGTACATCCACCACTACCTCCCCACGCTCTACTTCTCCGTGCTCATGCTCGCCCACCTCCTCGACCACTTCGTCTTCTCCTCCCGCCGCTTCACCCCGCGCACGAAGCGCATCGTCTTCGGCGTCTGTGTCGCCATCATCGTGGGCTGCTTCTGGTGGTTCAAGGGCGTCGCCTTCGGCATCGACGGGCCCATCAACGACCACTGGGGCCTCAAGTGGCGCTCCTCCTGGAACCTATATAATGACTAATTATCGTACTAGTGCTCCCGCCTCCCTCGCTCCCGCCTCCCCTCTATCTGTCCACCTGTCCCCAACGGTTGTCGATAGTCGTAATCGCTCGCTACACAGCACCGGCAACGGACGTGTTCTATCTATGTACCCTCGCCGCTCTCGACCGGAGCGGAAGCAATGCATTTTTATTCTCTGCTACTGCACGTTGTGGATGCGCGTGGACGAGACGGCGGGTCATCAGTACGTGGTAGTACTCCAGCGACACGCGTCCTGACCCTGCAGTTTTCGTCATTGGCAAGCCTCGGAGTGCGAGTGAGACGCGGAGGAAAAGAAACCCCTGTCGAAGAAGAAGTGCGCACCAGATACACGACCGCGGGGGCACGTAACTCGAACCTACGGCTGCGTACGAGCCTGATGTTGTCCACTCAACTCCCCCCCTAGGGCCTGTTTCTCCGTATCCACCATTGCAGCCTGTATCCGAGCCCCACAGTATCAGAAGTGCACAGCGGGTACACATTAGGGGTTCCGGGAACCGAGCTTCACCCTCAAAAGCTGCCACATCCAAGGCCGCTTCTCTGGCAGCTTCCACTGTACGCTCAGTCACATCACGATGGTGCGCTCCCCAGATGAGCCCCGAATCGCCAAAGAAGGGCTGGACAAGAACAGAAGACCCGGCCTTGTTCGAGTCCTTAAGTAATCCCCAAGGCGAGGTCGTTGCCCAGTTCTCCATTCCCTCTCACCGCATCCCCGCCCAACTCTCCCGTCTCGCCCCGACGACTTCGACGATGCCTCCGAGGGACGCGCAGGTTCAAGCGGCTTCTGGTAGTCGAGGAGGTAAGCACGGATCCGACCTCTTGACTCCCATAACGTCAACTTATGCCTTTCCATCAAAACGCACTAGCGGGCGTACAGACTACTACCTCTGAATTCCTTCACCACTTTGAGTTGCTAGCGGCGCATCTTGTGCGTCAGTTCTTCCTCGACAATCCCTCCGCTCTCCCTATTCCACGCACCACGGCCACCGTAGACGAGCCCTCGTTAACGCGTCTCGACTCGATCATTACGGAACTTCGGGACGTCGTCCTCACCCGCAGGGAATGTCGGTGCCCCTACGATATCCCACCTCCGACACACCATTCCCCATTGCAGACAGCACCTCCCCCTCAGCCTGCGGACAACTCAGGCAAGTCCGCCTCGACGTCCACGACCGACGAGTCCTCCGAGCACCCAATTCCCCCCTCGCGCTTGTGGCAGGATCATGTGGGTGAGCCATCAGCGCCGTTCATGTCCCTCACTAACTCCAAGCACCAGCCACCTATCAAAACCTCTCTGGCGGTTCTCCCCTCTGGCTCGTCTCGGGAAGGATTATCGTATTAGTGCTCCCGCCTCCCCGCCCGTCCGCCCCCGGCGGCTGTCGATAGTCGAATCGTTCACTATACGCCACCGGCAACGGACATTTTCTATCTATGTACCCTCGCCGCTGTCGAACAGTGGAAAGCAATGCATTTTAGTTCTCTGCCACTACTCGTCGTGGATGCGTGTGGACGAGACGGCGGGTCCTCAGTACGCGATAGTACACCGGCGACACGCGTCATGGCTTTGCAATTCTCATCATTGGCAAGCAGTGCGCACTAAGTGGTCCCTCCGTATTACACTACTAAGCCTCCTCCAAGGAAGTGCACTACAACAGAGTACCGAGCTAAGCTAAGCTACCATACGTTACCGAGACACCCCCGCAACTACACAGATCATGTCCGTGCCGCGCCCCACGCTGCGAGGCGGCGGTAGAAGAGCAGGTATGGTTGGCGGTCCTCGCGCTCCTGGCCGCCGAAGACGTCTTGGGGCATGACGTCTGAGACGAGCTCATCGTCGATCCGGATCCACGCTGGCCGCGGGCGGTCTGAGAGCTCGCGGTTCGGGTGGAGGACGTCGAGGGTGTAGTGCCCGCCGAGGCGGAGGGCCCGTGGTGGTATAGGACGCCGAAGAGCTGGTATTTTACGGCCTGCGCGGCCTTTGGCCTGGCGCGAGCATTTCTACGGGTGCGGACCGTGTTAGTGGGGTGTGGACAGAGAATGCAGTAGCACGGACCTAGGGGAATATCGAGTTCGGCGGAGAAGGACACCTGCTTCCCGACCTTCACGACGTCGCCGACCTTCGTGTCGTACAGGAAGCGCTTCATGTGGAGGATGAGCACCGGCGGGAGCGCATCGATCAGCACCTGTTGCTTTGCGTCTAACACCACGCCCGGCCGCGTGGGGATTGAGATCTGCACCGTCTGGGGCTGTGAGATGTGCCGGATCGCGTCCCGGAGGGAGGTGACGTCCTGGGGTTGGATGTCGAGTTGCAGCGAACGCCAGTCCTCGATCGTGACGGAGTCGCGCTGGTGCGGCGTCTGCAGTATCGAGCGGAACTTCCCACCAAATATCCGCGTGATCGGGGAGTCAGTGGACTTGGCCTGGAGGGAGATGTTATCGGTAGCCGACCTTACACGAGGCAGGAAACAGGTGCTTACGGTTCTGGTGGTCACGGCCTTGTTCTTCTTCCCCACCTCCATCCAGCCATCATCCTGCACTGACTCCTCCTCGGAGGCCTTTGCAGGTTCTTTGGGCTGCAGCGATTGCGCTATCGACAGGAGCTCTTCCTCGAGGGTATCAAGGTAAAACCCAAGGAACTCTTCTGCATCCTCTTGATGTCCACCCTAGGAGGGGATTATCAATACACCGAAAAAATCAGGTGAGAGATCAACTCACAATCATGTTGGCGAACCGCTTCTTCTCCTTCATCGCATCGTAGACGTAGGTTGGGATGAAGCTATCGAGCTCATCGAACGCATCATCGTCACGCTCCTTGCCCTTGGACCTCGAGTCGGCGGCGTGAGCAGGTGGGTCCGGCACAAACTCTTTCATAAATTGGATGGTAGCGTCGACAAGCGGCGTGGCTTTCGAGCCTTCCCGTTGTGAGCCAACAACGGGACCGGAAAGATGCTTACGAAGCTCTGAGAAGAAGCGATGGAAGGGAGGACAGTAGACGAGGATCTGCAGAACCGCGTTGGCGAAACACATGTTGCCGGTATTGACCAAGCCCCGCGGGCGGATCTTCATCGCCGCGGCGAGGTTGGCAGTTGAACTTGACGGGCCCTCGTTGATCAGACGAAGGAGTTCGTTTCGGTTCGCGGCGCCCACCGATCCCCCCGGATGGGGAGATGACGACCCTCCGGAGGTGGCTGGGATAGAGAAACCGACGACGTTCGAGACTGGAAGACGGGGCTTGGAAGACGAGGCGGTGGAGTCCGACTGGAGGAGCGCTGCCCACGACTTGGGCTTCGGTGGAGGAGCAGGTATCGCTGGTGCAGGGGTGACCGGTACTGGTGCTGCTGGTGCTGCTAGTGCTGCTGAGGTAGCCGAAGTCAGCTGAGGGGTTGTGGGTTCCATAATCTCAGGTGTGGTAGAAACCTGTTCCGTTTGGGCATCGGCGAGGGGAGTGACCTGAACCTTGGGTGCTGAAGGCTCAACGGCAGCGGAAACTGACGTGGCGCATGAGTAGGGCGAACCCGGGACAGGTGTGTCCGCCGCAAGCGAACCTGATGGAGTTGTCTCTGTCGTCGAAGAAGACAGTTCACCGGCGAGCTCAGGCGAGCCTTCAACATCGCCGGGGACCGGTATCGAGGGCTGCGGTAAAGCAATGCGCTGGACCTTTGGAGAAGCCGGTGGGGTCCGAAGCTCGAGAGCTCTCTGCACCACGTTCTCGGGAGGAAAGGCACGGGGTGAGATGATGACCCCAGGCGCCAGACTGGGGTTTTCAGGACGACGTGACCAGATTACGAAGGTGGACGCAATCGCGGTGAAGGAGGGAGGCGCATCCGTAGGACTGTTCGGCATCTCAGACTCAGGACTGTTTGCGACTGCCTGGACAGTGGGTTCCTCTGCCTGTTGCGGTTCGGGTTCCGACTCCTCAGGCTGGTTTACGACTGCAGGCTCTTCGGGCGGAGTTTCTTCTTGAGGGATCTCCGGAGGAGAATGCTGAGGCTGCGAAGCCGGTATGGGTTGTAAAAGCGGCTGAACTATTGGGGAAGGTATCCGAGCAGCATCGTCGGATATCGGAGCAGACGGCGGTATAGGAACGAGGCGCATGTCTGGTAGTGGCTGCGGCTGAGCATTAGGTGGGGGCTGGGGCGGATGAAGCTGAGGATGCTCCTGGATCAGCATTGGCGGAAGTGCAGTGAGCTGTTTGGGGACGGGTGATGGTGCCTGCCCTTGCCAGGTATGAGGGTAATGTGGGGTCGGTTGCGGATGGTGGTAAGGAGAGCCGTAAGGCACTTGATGGGCGTGAGGATGAGGCTGAAACTTTTGTGGGTGATGGAAGGGGCTTGCGGGGGACAGTGGCGGGGGAGTCTGAACCGACATGGTAGGTGGGGGCATGTGCTGGTGGGGGACGGGCTGGTAATGGTACGCGGGCCCTCCACCTCTGTGAGGATAGCGGCCGCGCCCACCACCGCTGATTCTAGGGGAGGCTGGTTGATGCATCGGTGCGTGCCCGTTCATGGGTGGCATGGGGTATGCGTAGTACGGTGCCGGACCAGGCGCTGGCGCGTAGCCATAGTGCGGGGGCTGTGGTGGGGGTGGAGGATGTTGGTAGTAGGATGGCCCCGGTTGGGGGTGATACGGAGTGTGAGGACTGGCCATCTTTACTACCGCAACAGCCGAGATATCGCAGGATTGCGAGGATGAATAATCGGGAAACGATGACGGAACAGAGCAGACAGAGCGTACCGGTTAGTTCTAATCAGACAATTATCCAGAGGAAGGCTATCGTTGCACCGAACACATGTGCTTTGGTGTTGCGAATCAATGTTCGCAACTATGTCGTACAAAGTGCGGGGTGGACGTCGGATCGCGCGGAGCGGGCGAACGAATGTCAGCAGAGACTGTCGGAAGTCTTGAAGGGAGTACAGATGCAGGGGGCTTGACTAGCGTGTTGTGTGGGACAGCGAGAGAGCAAGATGGGACGAAGGCGGTTTTTGCGGGGCGAGGACGGCGGGCAGGGGAGGATCAAGCGGGGAGAGGGGCACGGACGACAAGGACAAGAATCTTGACTTCTCATCCTCGCCCAGCGCCCAGGCGGAGATTGTATAGCCCAACTCCGCCTAGTGGTGACGCAGATATTTGATCCCCTGCCTATGTATTTTCGCACTCCGACCGGTCCCGAGTGCTGTCCCGTGAGCAGCGCCCGACTGGAAGTCTGGAGCTCAACTGACTTTACGTGCTCGCGCACATGGCCAATACCCTCTCAGCTGCAGTACACGATGACCACCCCTTTGCCCTCGAACTCGCCAGTCTCCGCGCCGCCGTATCGCGCTATCAGGTCCGTCGGTGTCACAGCTCCGGCATTGCCGCACACCGCTCAGCTAACGTGCAGGCCCTTTGGTAGCACGAAGCCCATGCCGCCTCCCTCAAACTTCAACGACACTCTCTTGACAGCTCTCAAGCGGTAGACCATGCACGCGCACTCGAGCGCGAGAACGCGCGGCTGAAGGAAGAGCTCGCTGTTCTCAGGGCCAATCCGGACAACACCCCTTCGGAGGCTTCGACGCAGGTCGCGCAGCTCACTCTCGCCCTCCGCCGCCTTTCGGACAAGCTCACCGCCGTTGAGGACTCCTTTGCGCTTCAAACCAAGGACCTCGTCGATTCCCAGAGGGAGCTCGCAGCCGCTCAGTTGGATATCGAGGCAGCTCACGCGCTCGCAGCGGATGCCGTAGCGAGGGAGGAGGAGGGCCTCGCTCGTGAGCGGGATCTGGAACGCAAAGCACGCAAGGCGGAGGAGGAGCAACGCATGACAGATCTTGTTGTTCAAGAGTATGCAAGTCTGGTACGCAAGCTTGAAGGCCGTCCGAAGACGCACTCCACAACTTCTTCCATCTCGTCCGTAGCCTCCAGTGACTTGCAGCATGCAGCCAACGGTCCATCCACTACACTTATCGACAATCTGTCGGAAGGAAAAGCAGGGCTGCAGAAACTCATGGCGGAATACAACGAGGAGAACGAACGATTACACACGGAGATCGCGCAGCTTCACGGGGGTATCGCCATCTTGAACAAGGAGCTGGAGGTGGCTCGTCAGAGCGCGGAACACGACCGTGACGACCTCGCCAAGGCTCTGCACGAACTTGAGAAGTATCGCGCAGATGACAATACTGCCACGAAGATGGTGTCACGATACATGTACGTTGTGTCCCTTGTTTTCATTTGGCTGCATGCAAGTGTTCTCGGAGCACATGGCAGATGGCTTGTAGGGAATATCTAGCCGAAATTGCACGAATATCATCTGGAGTCGGCGCTCGAAACAGCGCTTGACTCCTCTGTATCTTCCGTCGCACAGTCAGACATACGACATCCTCACTACTTTGGCGTGGTGTCACATCATGAAATGTTTATGGTACTGACGACTATTTGAAACAGGAAATTCTCGCAAACCTCGACGGATACATTGCAGAAGGCCATGGAAGCCATGAAGGCGCGTCACGCTGCTACCCTCACGACGCTTCATTCCGAACTCTCCCAAGTGCATCACGCACTGGAGCGTGAACATGGGGAGTGCGAGCGAATACGCACTGCGCTGGACGAACTTACCGAAGACATCGCACGAGAGTCGTACGGGCGAAGACGCGAGGTTTCCCTGCGACTTGCATTCCTTGGGCGAGAAGAGAACCTCGCAGAGGGGCTTCGAAGATGGGTTCGCAGGGCCCGCGAAGCTTTGGATCGCTCTTCTACAGATGAAAGTCCGCAACACGAAGGCCTTCGGCATGCGTTCTCTTCAGCCGTTTCGAACGCAGAGACCCTCTTGGACGCACTCAATAGCTTACCTTCAGAAGTCGATGGGTCCGACGTGGGGTCATTAGCGCGGTTGATTCTCGCTCATAATACGGTGGCGACACTAACACAGGAACTTCAAGCCGAGACCGTTCGGCGATTAACAACAGAACGCAAGCTCAATAGCCTTCCGACAATAGGTCATGGCTCTCAGGATTGCAACGCCCATCCCTCCTCCGTGGTACAACCTGTTCCGCACCGCCTCAGTCTTTCCCAAGACACTCTGCTCCTAAACTCTCAAACTTCGCCACCAACGACGGAAGTCCACCTCGCTTCTTCTTCGCAGATCATCGATACCCCCGCGTCGGGTTCGGAAAACATACCGATTATTGAGGTCGTCTCTGTACCACCCGTAGAAGACTTGCCTGATCCAGCCGGCCTTGTGCTGGAGCCTAGTGCATCAGGTGTCTCCCCCCAACCCTCAGAACCCGAACATTCTGAGCCCACGTCGCCGCTGCCTGACAGCGAAGGTGTTCTTGCGATAGAACCGCCTGCTATAGTTGTCAACGTCTCGACCCCTCTACCCACACCCCTCGTCGGCGAATATCCCTCGTCTTCTATGCAAAGTGAACCTTTGGTAACAAGTCCACCGGAACTGGTTCACTCTCTCCCGGTACCGTTTCCGGCGTCTCCAGCCGCACCGCTGCCAAATTCATTGAAGGGCCCAGACGAGCCCTTGCGGGCTCCGAAACCACATTTGCCTCCGCCACTTCCTCTCGAGACCACCAACGGTCTGGCTCTCTCGTCGTTTTCTCCGAGTATCCCGTCTCAATCGCTCTCGTCGATGTCAAACGAGAAGGAACCGGAAACTCTTCTCGCTGGCCTGGCCCAAATCAGTCGTCGATACAACGAGATTCAGCGAGGCTTCCGCGACTGTCATATGGCGCTGAGGGAGTTGAAGAGGTCCCTAGCGGAGATCCCCTCTTCGACAAGTCCCTCCCCTACCGATATGTCTTTTGGGCTCCGGAAAGCCGTCGAGCGACTCGGCGACTTCAATGAAGACGCCCGTGTGGAGCTCGAGATTCGCATCACAGACGAAGAGCGCATTGCCAGCGGGTACACTGCTCTCCTCTCTATCCCCGGAGCCATGTCCCACTCTGAAGACGCCAACATGGACGAGACTGAGATGGTCAAGGAGATCGCCGCCTTCGTCGACGGGTCCGACCGCTCCGTCGCGAAAGCCACCCTGTCCTTCACCCAGAAGCTCGACGACCTCGAGCACGACATCGCCTCCATCAAGCGCGCCCTGCACGAGCTCGCGTCCGCGCCCGAGGACGGACCCGCCGCCGCGTCCGCGTCCGCGCGCACCGCGTCCCCCAGCTGGTCCGCGTGGACCCCGAACTTCCTCAGCCCGTCCCGCTCGGCGAGCCCCGCGCCGCCGACGTTCGGCTCCGTGATGACCTCCCCGCGCCTCCGCCACTCCTCGTCGATCTCGCACCTCCGCGAGCGCGCCGGGTCCGTGTCCGTCCCGGGCGAAGGGGAGGGCGCGGCCAGCCCCGGCGCGGGCGGCGACCCGCTCGCGGGCTTACGCCTGCGCATCGTCGTCTCCGCGCGCAGTCCGTCGGCGGCGAGCCTGAGCCCGACGGGCGCGTCGAAGCTCGGTGCGCGGCAGCGCACGACGTCGGGGATGTTCATGCTTGGGCTGGGCATGCGGAGCTCGACGTCGTTCGGCCCAGGAGCCGGTGCTGGGATTGGGCCGGGCAGGGGGCTGCAGAAGGTGCCGTCAAGAAGCTCGTTGGCCAGTGCGAGGAACACGGTGACGGCAGAGGATGGGATGAGTGCGGTCGATGAAGGGGAGAGGGGTGCGGAAGGAGGTCATGTGTCGGATGTGGAGTGAAAGTCGAGGGCTGTACTTTGCGGATGCTCCAATATTAGCCTGCGTGCTGCATACTAACTCATAACACGAAGCGTTGTTACGTAAGTTGAGGCAACCTCGTCAGCAAGTGTCCCCGGTTTCAGACATGATGTTCGATATAGCTTGTTCGTAGCTAATAGGAGGCGTCGCGGCGGCGGACCGACCGGGGAAGGGGATCCACAAAAAACGCCGACCAAGGGCGTTACTACAGGCAACCAGAGGTGGCCGTTGTGGGCATGATTTTCTGACCCGTTATAACTTGTGGCAGCCTTTGGGGCCAGCGCAATGCTGTTCGTTTCTCTGCGCCTTACAGAGGCCACACAGTACATGTTGGTCGTCATACCATGACTTTAGCATCCCGGAACGGACGACAATGATAAATTTAAGACAGAGTATTCCACTCATGCTCTTTGAATGGGGCCGCTGCCGCGATGGCTGTTGTAGTGGGTTACGAAGACTTCTCGATCAAATTCGCTGTGATACGCTCCATTCCACTGGAGTGCACATAGCTAGATGTGTGGAGGTACCCAAAACGGAGGCGCACGGGCGCTACTCCGGCTGGAAACGGTATGACGTGTAGAGTCGTGGAGGCTAAACAAGTTGCTTGAGCGATGGCACCGACGAATACAAGATAGAAACAGCACGCACGATATCTGAGTCGTTGACAACTCTTCCTGCCTCCTCCTCCTTTTGAGCCCACTTAACAAGGCGAAGGATAGCCCTGTCGCAGCCTTCCTGAGTGTGTTCGTTCAACTTTCGGCGCAAAAACGGGGATGCTAAGAGCAACTTATTGTCAGATCCGGACGTCCAGTCTTCAAGGAGAGTATGATGCGTACGGTAGGGCTCCTTAGGATACGGGATCATGATGTACCTGATCCCCTTGAAGGGTTCCGTTTCCCTCAACGCCTTCGGAAACCACTTCTCCGCATACGCTTCGACGTGATGGTCGAAGTCGAGCTTAGGTGGCGTGCGGCCGAGGAGAACGAACGCGAGCCGGCAAGGGAGGAGCCAGCCTTCTCGATCCACGTCAGGAGAGTCCGGGAAGCGGTACGGGACGTGTATGAAGTCGGGGCTGTCGAACGCTATGTGTTCGTTGTAATAGATGGACGACATGTCGAGGGGACCCATCTCATCGACTGCGGACGCGGGAACGCCGTAGTAATCAATAAGCAGGTGGCGGATTTGGTCGAGGCTGTTGAAGAGGAAGCCGCCAACATATGTTTCGACGAAATGGACGGGCTTAGCAGGTACATTTGAGCCTGAAGTGGGGGGGGCCGGAGCGGTGGCTGGAGTGACTGAAGTGGGAGCGGGTATGGGAGGAGGCATGCCTGCATCAACGGCGTTAACCATAGTCAAGAGAGGAACGTGGGGCGGCCTGAAGGCTGATGATTTAACATGGGAGAGTAATCACGTGTCTGTGAGACATCGATCATGGCAGGTGGCGATGGCGTCCCCCGCTTGCCCTTGCCCTTTCTCTCAATAGTCCTTTCCTCCTTCGATCGTGAAAGCGAACCATGGAAACGGTTGAATCTGGCACTATGTACGTCATTTTGCAGTAATTGTGGTATATAAGCCATCCCACTCACCTGCTTACTCCCTAAAGACCTAACTTGGAGCAGGAGAAGCTCGGTTATCTGCAAGATGAGTTGTCGAGAATAAGGGAGGCTCTGAATAAATCCGTGCAATACATCGCAGTGGGTTACAAGCCTTTGTCCTTCGCAAAAATGTTTGACGAAATTTCACTCAAGTCCAGGGACAATGACAACACACTCCTGATGGCGTTGAGTCGGTTAGATGGCATTATAAGCAACCTCGTGCGTGAACAGACGCTTTCTTTCCCTATACCTGCATGATGAAATCGGTCGTCTTGCGGCTTTCCCCATAGCGCGAACGGCATGAACTTCCCCGATGGGCGTGGCTCATGATGATACGGATTGATGCCCCCCGCTATGAATCGGCAGTGGATGCCATCGTCGCCGTCTGGTTGAACACGATCTTTCCCCCCGATTCTTGCTTCTTGGTCACACCTCAGCTCAAGGTCCGTAGAGAGGTCATTGTCCAAACCGAAACCTTGGAGAACGTGTCGGAATTCGTTCGTCTCGTTCAAGATCACAATGAACGTGTCGCCAACGGAGTGAAGGGTCCTGATCTCGAAGCTAAAATACAATCGTCCGTGATCCAAAGGTTCAACAACAGAGTGTTCAATGCTCGCGACATGGATGCCGCTGCGCCGAATGGCTCGTTTCTCTTCAGTAATGAACCCACAGCCGAGTCGCCACCTATGGAAGGAGCTGCACAAGTTCTAAACTTGTTACTCCAGGAGTCAGCGCCGCAGGGACCGATGTCGTCACCTTCCGACGTACCTATCAAGGTCCGACTACTAGGAAAGCCAAGGTCGGCGTCAGATGCCAGGCAGCCAGAGCCAGAGTCGGTGTCGGGACATGTGCTGCTTCCATCGTTACCTCCCTGGTCAGGCGAATCGGTGTCGGCAATGGGCTACCAGCAGATACCGACTCTGTCGTCGCCTCCTGAAGTACCTATCAAAGTCCGACTACTAGGAAGGCCAAGGTCGGCGTCGGATGCCGGGCAGCCAGAGCCAGAGTCGGTGTCGGGACACGTGCTGGTTCCGTCGTTGCCTCACTGGCCAGGCGAATCAACAGGCTACTGGCACCAGGGATCGACGCCGTCGATGGTATCGCCTCCCGGCATAGAGTCAGCGTCGCCTTTCATCGGCAGGGCTGAATTGCTGCAGCCATTGTCAATATCGGGTCACTGGCCGCATCTGCTTTCTCCAGGATCCGCAGGGCCCCCAGCGTTCGAGGCCGGGCATGTTTCATGGGATCCCTTGGTAGGGCGATTCGCCCCCGGTCGTGCCTTGGGCCGTGCGGAACTCTGGGTGCCAGATTTTGTTGTGATCAAGGTCGGCGAAGACGGCGAACCCAACCATGTCCTGCTCATCGTGGAAGACAAGATATACACTGATCCGTATCGTCAGCTCAGCGGATACCTTGCACTCTTCCCTGTTGAATGCGGGATTTACGGCTTGGGCTGTCGCGTGAACCCTCGCCAAGGAGGAATGGAGTTCATGCTGTGCCGGCGGACATACGACGACAAAGACGGGCTTGCGCATGTGGAAAGGCCGGAACGAAGCACAAACCAGTGGTACCCTGTGACCAGTGCATTCATCCATGGGAAGCTGCGCGAGATATCGCAAGCCCACCGCCGTCCCGCGACGTATCATCGGTACGACGAGATCGTTCAACCGGACAGCATCAGCTAGCCTGTCCGGACACCTTCCGATGATCCCAGATGTGAGTCATTATTCCTGTGCCACCATGTAACATGTCTTTCCTGACTCCAATTCCCCGCCCCCGACCCCAGCTTTGAGGCGCAGGCCGAGGACGGCTTAGAGCATGGGATTCAGGACACCAAAGTTGAGGACGAAGTACTTTGAAGGCGACTCGGCGTACCAGCGCGTGGCAAAGGGCGTTACACTGTTGTCCGAGTGGAGGCACATTCTGACGGTCGTTCGAGTTTTTCGAGAAAGCACAATGTTAAGGCTAAGTATTCGTTTCTCGCGCTGACCAGATGTCGCACGTTACATGCTTCAATGACTCAATATATGGCAATAACGAGCTTGAGAACGAGGGCACATGTGTACTATCCACATCTAGCTACGCGCACTCCAGAGGCATAGCAAAGCGAATGAATGACGTCGTAACTTGGCACTGCGGTAGTGGCCCCGTCCAGGGAATGTGAGTGGATGTACGCGGAGCGGAGGGGCATGGGCGTGTACGAATGTTTTTACTCCGGCCGGACACGATATGATGTATGGAGTCGTGGAGGCTATAAGTCGATTGAGCGATAGCACTGACGAGTTCAGGTTGGAAAAAAATACGCACGAGATCCGAGACAACTCTCCCCGCCGCCTCCTCATCCTGAACCCACTTGGCAAGCAGAAGCAGAGAGTTGTAGTGTCCTTCGTCGGTGTATTGTTTCAGCTTTCGGCGCAAAAACGGGGATGCTAGGAGCAACTTGTCGTCAGATCCGGATGTCCGGCCTTTGAGAGTGGAAAGACGGTGCGTACGGAAGTATGCTTTAGGGTGTGGGGTCATGATATACCTGATCCCCTTGAAGGGTTCCGTGTCCCTCAACGCTTTCGGGAACCACTTCTCCGCGTACCGTTGAACGTGGTGGTCGAAGTCGAGGTTAGGCGGCTTGCGGCCGACACGTACGAACGCGAGCCGGCAAGGGAGAAGCCAACCTTCTCGATCCACGTCAGGAGAGTCCGGGAAGCGGTACGGGACGTATATGAAGTCGGGGCTGTCAAGCGCTATGTGTTCGTTGTAGTAGAGGGTCGACATGTCGAGGGGACCCATATCATCAACCTCGGACTCGGGGACGCCGTAGAGGTCAATTAGCAGGTGGCGGATTTGGTCGAGGCTGTTGAAGAGGAAGCCGCCAACATATGTTTCTACACGCACTGGGGGCTTGGCAGGCGTATTTGAAGCTGAAGAGGTGGGTGCAGTGGTGGCAGGTGTGGGAGGAGGCATGGCTAGATGTTCCTGGTCGTTGATGGCCCGTGTCGTTCGGTTCGTAAACCGTGAAATCTGAAGAAATGGCGAGACCCGAAGGATTTAGCCGAGGAGGAGTCATTGCGCGCATCCCGTTTTGGGAGAAGTGATGGCGCCAGAGGCCGCAGTATATAAACCAGCGCCAGGTCGCCCCTTCGCTCCTCACTCTCCTCCCGCCCACCAACATCCAGGAGATCGTTCCAGGGATCCTTCAGAATCGTCACTCATTTGCCTGCCCGAACCCGTCGCCCCCTGCATCCTCTACGCCATCGCTCAACAGCGTCGCCCGTGTGCCTCCACCGTCAATCTTTCAGATACCCCCAAGTCTCTGCCAATTTTCCACCGCTGTGTGACCAAAATGCACTCGCCCGTTCAGATGTCTGCCTCAAGGTCCAGAAGATCTGCCACTCTCGCAACCGCTCTGTTTCCTTGTCGTCGTCCCCTGCCTGTTCCCCTTCGTACCAGTATCCGTCTGATAGACAGTTCCCCATCTAAGGTAGACGCGGCCAGGAACGGACCACCATGACATAAGCAGGCGCTCCCCGTTCGCCTGGCCTCATCTCCTCCGCCCCTCGCCCTCGTTTACATATTCTGGTCTCTGACAATGGTAGTAGGCATCGTTAGCTCTCGATGACAGAAAGAAATTTTGCGATATCATAAGTTTTGGCCGAGTTATTACCCAACAATTTAAGATGTTCTAAAATGTCGCAGAACACCTTTTCAAAGTGTTTGAGCATGTATTGAGGTCGGCGACGAGAAACATTTCGAACAGGCGTCTATGGTAGACGCCGTGCACGTGATATATCGGCCCGACTTGTACCGTCCCGAAACCTAATACGGGCTGGGCCGCGACCCGCACGTCAAGTGCGCCGCGCCCGCCGAGCCGCACGTCGCGCACGTCCGCGAGGACCTTGAGCGAGAAGCCCTGGATCACGATCGAGCAGTGTCGTGGAGAGTGCACCACCGGCGGCGTCGAGCACGAGTACGCACGCCTCAAAGCAGTTGTGCGGGAGTGCCGGGGCAGTGGAGGACTGTCCAGCTGCTGGAGACGAGATTGAGCGCGAAAGGGATATCCTCAAGCTCGTTGACACCACGGGTGTGCCATAAGTACCTCTCTCGCCTCCTCCTCCTCCCTGCACTTGAAGATCGACTGCCCACAGCCGCCCCACGGTGCGCGCGTGCACGACCACGCGCGCTGTCGCCGCCCGCCACTACTCAGGACGAGCGCTCGGGCTCACCGAGCTCATCATGGCCACCATACCCCTCCCTCCAGAACTGCTGAGACCGGCGAAACTCACTCCTGTCATATAATTGGTGCGTGTGGTGACTTTGAGGCTGCTGGGGAGTCATTCTCAAGAACCGATTTTTCGGCAGCGAGATTTCGAACATTCCCACGCCACACCCCTAACCCTAAAATGCTTATGTCATGGTAGTCCGTTCCTGGCCGCGTCTACCTTACGCCCACTGCAACTCCACCTACAAAAAGTCTCCCCGTCTGCGCTGCAACACACAACCTGCCCGCAATCCTCGACCTCACCATGTCGATCTCATGGTACGTCGTCTAGATCCTCGTCACAGGCGTTGCGTGCGTTGAGGCTGACGGGAGGTGCAGCAAACGATCGACGACCGCTACGATGACAAGCGCAGCCGGAGGTCTAGTTTCGCGTTGGTACGTCGCCCACTTGCGTCGGCTCATCGACGTCATCCACCAACGCCTTCTCTTGTTTAGTCCGATATCTTTGAGCTGGACGAAGAAGAAGCCGTCGACATCGAGATCTCTCCAATCCTTCCGCCTTCACCAAGCTCCGGTAGCTCCATTTCCACCACCGACAGCGTCAAGTCGCGCGTGAAAGCCGTATTCTCCGTGCGTCTTGACTCCCCTCCGCCGAGGACCCGATGCTGAGCACCTACACAGGACATTGCCCTCGTCGCGAGGCGACAGCTTCGGCGTGTCCGCTCCGCCAACACTATCCATATTGCCTAACAGTTATTCGCTCGTTCGCACATTCGTCTCAGCGCATCAGATGCCTCGCACCATGCCCACACATACCTCAATGTATAATAGCACACCCGTTGGCCCCGAGCCCCACTGTAATTCATACCCGTATTCTGCGTTAATGCAAGCCGTCCATATCTCCTCTCATGCAAGTGGGCTATCCTACAAGCGGTCACGTGTGTAAAATATGACAGATGCGTGGGCGGCGTCGTGGGCGCCTACGTACACTCCTCTCCCGCCACCATGTCCTTCTCCCTCGTTCCTGCTGCCCTGCGACGACAAGCCCAGATCGCTGCGCTCTGGGCGCCCCGGAGGTGCCTCTCTAGCGCGAGCCACCCGCGCGGAGGCGAAGCCGAAGAAGGCGAACAAGTGTGAGTAGACGGTCCTCTCCGCGCGGTGAACCGCGTCAGCCGGGTCGAGTTCTGACTTGCGCACTTCCTCTTCACCCTCTCCCTCTCTCCCCGGTCGTTCCGCCCTCGCTCGTCCGCCTGATTATCGCGTCGACTCTTCTCCGCACGTGTGGACTGCGCGCTCGCAGCTTCAGGACCCCCAGGCGCTCCTCCGCGCCAGAAAACACGGTCCTCGCGGGGCTCGCCTACCTCAAGAGCCAGCCGGAGGTGCTCGCGCTCCCTGACGAGGAGTATCCCCCTGGCTGTGGAAGCTGACCGAGCCGAAAAAGCTCGTCGACGACGGACCGGGCGGGAAGGCGGAGAAGGCGCGGATGCGCAAGGAGAACCGAGAGAGGATACGGGTCTCGAACTTCATGAAGACGCAGTAGGGGAGAGAGTGACAGCTGGCGGAGCGGGAGCGGGTGTGGTCGAGGCTAACTGGTGAGTAGTGCATCTGTGTCTCTTATTAGTGAGTGGGAGGTTGACGACGGACGACAGCTACGGATATGTATGCACTGTTAATGCAATGATAATATGCACTTGCTGGCTCTTCTCCCTCTTCGCTACGGCTCATGAAGTTGCGCTCTGCAATGAACCAAGAAATCGCTGGTTATATTTGATGTTCAAATGAAGCGCATAGTCGTCCGTGCGTGATACGTATGCGGTACAAACAAGCATGTGCGAAAGACCATATCTCACGTGGGGAACGAGCCCATGGTGAACAGAGTCTGTTTCTGCTTGCCCTTGCCCTTCTTCTTACCACCCCGCCCTCGCCCTCGCCCCGTTCCCGTAGACGCGCTCCCGCTCCCGCTCGCTCCGTTTGCCTTCCACGCTGGCTGGACAGGAGCGCTTTCCCCAAGGATCTTCTTCAGGCTCTGGTTCCCACCCACAGCACCGCGTGGAACGCGAGGGGCGGAACTGCTCCCCGGGAGCTCCGGAAACGCGGATGCAGACAAGGAGGCAGGAGCGCGTCGAGAGCTGGCTCCGGGACCAGGAACCGAGGTTGGCGGGCGGAAGGCGGGGACAGAAGCCGCAGGCGCGGCCGCGGAGGCAGCAGCCCAGGGTGTGAGACGCTGGGGAGGAGGTTGGGGCGGGAAGATGAAGGGCCCGAAAGGGGCGGGAAAGACGCTGCTGCAGACGATGCACCAGGACGAGGAGCGGAAGAAGACGCGGTGGGTTGCGTGGAAGCGGCGGCGCGAGCAACGCGGTCCCAAAGCTGACGAGAGGACTGCGCAGACGAACGAGTTGCTGTAGAGTGCTTCGCGTTCAGGACACGACCGCTTGTAACACCTGCCCACTCAGATCCGATGGCAGTTGGAACGAGTTCCGGGAACTGATTGCGTTGCTGAACCCGGCGTCAACAGTCCGTCAGAGGTGTACCAATCGATGAGCTTACCTCGACTTTGAAACCGTTCCATGCCGCGAGCAGGTCGGCCTTCTTGCCATCTTCCTCGATCACATCGACAAGCGAGTTCACGATGCTTGCTGTGCCATCCAGGTTGCGATCCAAGATGTTCCACACGGTCGAGATGAGGTCCCTGGCCGCTGACTCGTTTGCTTGGAAGGAACGAATCGCTGCTTTGACTGCTGGTATTGCGGCCGTCGGATTTGGAGCAAGACTGGACAAACGTCCTACGAGCGCAGTGAATCGAGGGTCGGTGTCCGCAGCTTCTGGAGACGGGCTCTTGCGTCTCTGTTGCGCATTCCCAGAAGTGCTTGGACCATCGGTGGTGAGGTTGCCTCCGAAAGCCTCCCGCCGCCGCGCCCCCGCCGCGCCGGGGCGCCCTCCTGCTCCACCTTGAGCAGGAGGCGCGGATACATGCGGAGGAGGCTCGCGCTCACGCTCGCGGTCCCCTCTATCGCGCCGTCCTCGACGCCCAGCGGGACCACCAACCTCTTCGAATTCGAACTCGGTCTGGACACGGCGTGCGTCGCGTTTGTCGCGTGCTGACATTTCGGCTCCATGTTCCTCGACCATGTGTGCCTTGAGATCCAACGCGGAGCCGAAGACGACGAACTTGCGAGCTAGACATTCAGTACGCTTGCAAGGGAAGTGGGCATTCATGAAGTGCTCCTCCTACAGATAGGTCAGATGGGGGGATCGAAATGTAGGAAAGGATGCGGCTTACAAGGGCTTCGTAATTCTTAAAGCTGCGGAGAAGTCTCATCAGTACATGAACATAGAAGGAAAAGGCGCAGTTGCAATCCCATACAATAGCACACAGCAGGCATTCGAGGATGACGTATAGCGTACTGCAGATGCAGGATGAATGTAGTACTCACTATTGGTCCTTTATCTCTTGGCGCTTGCAAACAAAGCACTCTTCGTGTTTTTCACGCATGTGGGCGTAAAGTTCGTCTTCACTGAAGAAGCAATCACGGCAGAATTCGCAATACGGGTGAACGCCGCCTTCCACTTGCTGCTGCTTATGATCCCGTCGGTATCCACGCGCCATCGAGGGGAGATGAAGGGGGAGAACGTTGGGGTCGTAAAGGGCATGTTCGTGGGCGAAAACCTTCTTGAAGCGTATGCACAGATCGCTGGGAAGATATACTCCATCTAAGTCACGCGCTGACGGTATAATGAAAGTGAAACGGACCACATCAGCTTGCTATGCGTTGCGCGCGTGTGCAGCTTGAGATCGCTCCAGCCGTTTCCAATGACATCGCAGTCGGGATCGGGGCAATTGAAGCGCAAGAGAATGAGAGTCTCTTCCATCATCTCCTGGGTTTCAAACGATATTGCGAGCTTCACATCTTTGTAAGGAATGTTATCGGGTGTATACGAGGACCACAACGCTTCGGGGGAAGTGGTGAAAATCACGGAGGGTTGGGTTCCTAGTAGATACGACGCGTTGAGATCGCGCATATTCAGGACAAGATAAAAATGACCAACGTACCTTGCAGAACGTGCACTCCAACTTCTTGTAGAGCGCGCGGAGGCGCAGAGCACATACATGGCACGTCCGGTGATTGCACTCGGAGACAGACCAGTATTTGACGGGCTCCGCGCAGATCCAACATACTGTACCGTCGTCAGCGTCGGTTTCGTCGGCGGCCAATTTTGCAACGACCTGGCCGTCCTGGGCATCGGGCTTTGTGACGGCAGCGTTGCCTGCACTGGAGCTCTGCGGGGCAGTTTTCGAGCCCCCCCGTCGGTTGCGGTTGCCGCCTCGTCCACGAGAGCTGTTGTCTCTGCTCTGGTTCGCCTGTGCGGGTGCTTTGATAGTAACCATGCGTGCGATGGAGGATGGACGGGGTGCGATGAGGGCGATGGGGAAGGGTGAGCTGCAGGTGCATACAGTCAGCCCCGGCTACTATCAGTCTGAAAAGACGCCGACGGAGCCGAATGGCGCTTGGACACGGGCCTCGATGGCGGGAGCAGATGAGGCGGAAGACCCCGGTTGGGGTGGCGCGCGCGGGCGAGGCGAGATTCAATAATGGACGATCTCGCAACAAGTCTTTTCGCTGGGACATCATAAGAACACTTATCACAACCATGTCCCCCGCCTGCCGCTCCCCCGCTCCCCCACCCCATGTCCCCAGACGGCTTCCCTCGCCGCTCTCTTTCCGAGACCACCTTCTCTGAGTCGTCGTCTGCTGCCCACACCCATCGCTCCAGTAGGCATTCTGCAGGCCGTAATTTTGTTCTCAAGCATGGGTCCAAGCACCATGCTTTTGACATGCACGAAGCACCGTGGCCGCTCTCATACGACACCTCCACACTGGCCGGGTGCGTTTGTCTATTCACGCCCGCGCACATGCTTCTCTCATTTCTGTGTGCAGCGAGATGTCAGACACTTCTATGACGGCCATGTACCCAGACGCAGTCTGTCTCGTCGCCCACCGCAGAGGCAACGCACCCAAACGATGTCTTGACCTTGGAACTGGGGTGAGTCATTCTGCCATACCCTTCCCCCATGTGACCCAACAAATATGCCGCGTCTCGTTCTCCATCCGTGCCCACCCTTCCTGTTCAGAAAGCCCTCACTACGCTGCCCCTCATCGTCAAGACTGACATGGCTTCTGCTAGCTAGGACTCTGGGTCGTACATTCGTCCAAATACTGGAAGGACACCACTTTCGTACGTCCTCAGACATTCGTCGCCCGGCTTCTCGTCCCTCAGCTGTTGTTTACGTAGGTGGGATTTGATTTGGTGGACGTTCAAATACCGTTGAGTATTCTGGAGCCTGAACAAGCGAATCGAATCGAATGGGTTCATGGTAATTTGTGAGTCCGTCAGTCTTCTTGCGTCAATTGTGCCTCACACTACGTAGCTTGGAGAGTCTTCCATTTTCCGATGACGAGTTTGATCACGTTCGAATGGTCGAGATTGGTATGGGGGTCCGGAACACAAAGTACGTGTCCGTGTAAGTCAGGTGCTGCATGTACTCACTTTGAAGTGCAGTGGGCTCCGCTGATGGAGGTACTTGCAACTTTGTCGTTGTTCAGCACCATTGCCCTTATATGTGTCTCCGCTACAGGAGCTGCATCGAGTCATGAAAGCAGGCGCCACGTTTGAGATCATCGACGAGGGTGAGACTGAATGTGTGCTGTTGTTGTCATTCTTCATACATTTTTTTCTAGATCCAATATTTCCCGTCCTTCCTCGATGGTTTACAGAGCCGCTCCATGCGCGAACACGCCCATCACCATCTGTAGACTTGCGAGATGACCCCAAAAACTCCCAGTCGTCGGACGAGCAAAGCAACGAGAGCGCCCCGCACGAGTACGAACTTTTGGAGTCGCTCTTCTACAAAGTGTTCGAGAGGCGGTTCATCAGCACAAGAGTCACTTGTGAGTGGATTTTTTCTCGGTTTTCTGGGGTTTCCAATTTATTCCCGTCAAACAGCCGTCTTACCCGCTACCTTCAATACGTACTTCGGAAATGTCGTCTCACCTCCAATCATCACCACACCCATGCCGCCGCTCCCTCCACTTCATCCATCTGAAACGAGTCGTGTCTCCACCGGCTCACAAAATGGGCAGTCGCACTCCTTAACAGACAACTTGGCTGTATGTGATGGCTCCGAAAATGGCGAACTTTCATTGTCGTATTTCCGCAACACCCAGCCACGTCGCAAATCCAGTCGTAATAGCACTTGGAGCAAGCGCCAGTCTACATCCGGTGCACCTAACATTGGGGGTCAGCCTCCGTCAGCCGCCTCATTTGCAGATGGTCTCCCGTGGTCCGAACCTGCTCCTCCCGTCCCCCCACTCCCTCCAGCCCTTGCCAGCGCCACTAGCACTTCAACAGTGTCCTCTTCCGCAACCACAGCGTCATTTTTCCCTCCTCCCTCTGCCGTCCCCTCTAGCGTTTCAAGTCGAAACCCCAGCCCCAGTGCATCGCGCCACAACCCATACCCAAGTCCAGGGACGCAAAGAGGTAGCGCAAGCCCCGGAGCAAGTCTTCAACATTCCGATCTACCGCTGCAGCGTTCTGGCTCGGAACGTCCTCTCTCATCAGTCCCTGCGTTGATGACTGAGTCAGAGATGGAGGAACATCAAGCGCAGAAGCGCGCGACGATCCTTGAACTTACACAAGAGAGCACGACTCTCGGGGCTTCCAAGACGATCGAGCTCTTCCCGCTTGACGCACTGATCATCTTCGACGTGCACACTCTGTGTCTTCACTTGCATCGCGCCCTCAACGTCGTGCTTGGACTGCGCGAGGCGATGTGGGAAGAGCTAAAGGCGCTGTGCTCCCGCGAGTTTTCGGAGAGCGATGCGCCCATGCTTGCGCGCTCAGGTTTTTTACCGCACGAGGACACCCCTGGGCAACTATACGCGAAGTTCAGCCGCTTGATGGAGCATTATAAAAGGTGAGTGTTTTGCTTGGTGCACGTGTTTCGGATTTTGGTCGCCTCATCAAACACGCTTCGGACACATGCCTCAGGGCCGCTTTGATTGTCCATTATGGATTTCCCCTAATACTCATAGGCTGACACTATTTGTTCTCAGTGACATGCACGTGCGAATGTCCATATGGCACTCGATGGTCCACTACGGCTGGGAGTACCCGCAACGAGACGATCATTCTCGTGCTGAAGAGTTCGAGGCGCAGCGTCTCCGCGAGGATATCCTACTTGCGCGCCACAAGGCGGGCGCAGAAAATGAGCGGGAGTCGCCATGTCGCTCAGTCCGCATTCTCGTCGGAGCGAAGGTCTGACCCCCGGCCCGCAAAAATTGTCAAAACATTCGGAATTGCTCGATCGTACGACATCTATCACACTGACGCTCCTCTCTCTCTCGTTGCATATTCGCTATGTTGTCTCATGCTGTATAAGGACTGTAGTAACCCTTGGCGCTGTACATACCCCATGTGCTTTCCATATCCTGCAAGCTATCCCCGCCCAGGTCGCGGGCCTTGCTTTGTTGAGACTTACCCGCCTGCAGGTCCCCGGCACGGAGCGCAAAATGATCGCATGGCAGTTTTCGACATCCCTACATCCGGCCAAGTCCAACGCGCAACACGAGACTCGCCCTCAAGCCATTCAAGTCCTCGTGGCTTTCGGAACACACCCGCGCTCCCGCGTTGCTTTCACCTCCTACCCAACTCGGCTCTACCGTCCCGCACCGCCGCTTAGGGCCGGCATCTCGCCTTTCAACCCTAGCGACACCACCTGGAGCCTCACCTCGTCGTCGCCGCGCGCAAACACAAGCACGAAGCGAGGGAACGCAAGTGTGCGGCGCGTATCTTTACGTCAGGACCCGCAGGGCCGTTGGTCGGACAGGCCACCCTCGCAGGATGCTTCTTGGTCCCACCAGGTGCCGTCGCCGAGAGCTACCCTGTTTCTCGCCGCGCTCCGTCCCCTCACACCGCCCTGCCGGGTTCAAAGTTGGTGTGCCTAGTCAAGATGTGGGCGTCCGGAGCGGAGAGGCTAGGCTCTATCCAAACAGCGCGCCGCGGAGTCGCGTCGGCGCCCTCACGTGCGGCGTGGATGTTCGCCGGATCATGTAAGGCACGTGCCGTTCGTGCTGAAGGTTCTCTTCTGTTCAGCTCACCCTCGCCCATACGGTGACCAGATATGTATTGCCGCGAAACACGGAGACCAGCGGGCTGGGGCAGTCATTAGCTCCGGATCTGATGTAGCCAGCGGAGCTTACGAGAGCTTACGGATCGGCCTCCGCCTGCCACTATTAGCACATTGGAACTTTGGAAGACGGAGGAAGACGCCAGGAACCACAAAATCTGTTGGATCCCGCACGTGGAAGGAAATCCACCATCTGGGCGTATCCAGGTGGGAGCGAGCTCGGAAGCAAGACGTCGTCAAGGCCCATTGACGCGGCGGCCGACCTGCACAGAATCTCCGGTGAAGCTTTGAAGTGCCGTCCTGATTCGACGATACATGTCGCCCATGTGCACATCGCTCTGACGAAGATGGCTACGTATCGCCGACGCTGCTCAAGGGCGAATCGCGTGTTCGTTTGCTGCTTGTTACATAAATGCTGACGTGCCTGTATATCTCGTCTCGAGGAGCTCTACTTATTACTCAATATTCTTCTTGTTCCATCGCTCCTTTCCCTGGCTGATCCAACCAGCCAAGGCGTTCTCTTTAGAGCGTGCTCGTTGTCGCTCGTCACTTCTTTTCGGAATGATATGCGTAATGGCCATCGACGAGGTTGAGATACGTGTGAAGGAGCGTGTCGCCCAATGTCGGAAGCCTCCAGAAAGGGCGTCGGTAAACGTCCGTCAACTTCTGCTGTTAGACAAACGCCCCTTGAGGACGGGCGTCGGGCGCCCTCATTAGGGAACACCGCGCCGTGGAAGAAGCCCGCGACCGACTCGCCTCGCGTCTTTCACCGCGCGGCCGCCGGTCTGAGGACCATTCCCGAGAAGTCGCATCAGAGGCATCTACGAGGCTGCGAGAAGACCCACTGTTGGTCAGCGAAGGGGCATCACTCTCGTCCGTCGAAGGGGAGAAAGGGGGGCTGGGAGCGTGCGTTTCCGGTCTGTCGTTCTGGGCGGAGTGCGACTTGATGGGAACCGTGCCCTCTGTCGAACCATGAGCCGACGAGGCACTGAACGTGGATGAAGCGGCAAGAACGAGCCCCGTCGATGATCGCGGTCCTCGTAGAAGCGGGGATCGCAGAAGTCTTAGTGCGATGAGGACGTCCGATATCGAGTGTCGAGAGAGAGTACGAGCAAGTCGATGTGCAGAGGCTTAGAGGTCGAGCTAAAATGGAGTGTAAGAGAAGGTGCAGCGGGAGGGTTCTGAGACGATGGGGCATGATGACTCCTGGGACTGCTTTGTTATGTTTTGTGGATGAGGCTTGGGCGCGTCACACTAGCTGCTATATACAGGGACGAACGGGCCAGACTGCTGCCAAGCGCATCGTCTGCAAAATCGAAGTCAGCAAGGACCCTTCTGAGCCACAACTTAGACGCACCTTTTCGGACACCGACGGCGTTGTGTAAGCTCAGCCCGGTGATGGTCGACCGTCGAGCCTCGCTCGGGCCGCTTAGTGTGTACGCAGCACGCCAGAGCTTCGAAGCGAATTCATTCCAACCGCCCCATAGGCATAGAGATGTCGTTGTATCGTCTCCTGGTAACATACACCGCTAATGCAGCTTACATTTATCACGTTCATCACTCCAGCGATCACAAGCGGTACACGATCTTCTCTGCGCTGACCTTGCCCTCCCGCATATATTGCAGGCCGTCAGCGAGCCCGTCCAACCCACCTTCCCATGCCTTGATCGGGAGCGGCTTGACGGCCCCGCTCTTCACAAGCTCCGGAACCTTCTCGAGGAACGAGACCATGTGCGCGCGGTCTTCCTCGGAGACGGGGAAGTGCATCGTGCCGGCGAACGTGAACTCGCGGCCGAGGGACGTGTAGATGAGCGTGGCTACATAGAACGCAGTCAGCCTTCAACCCCAAGCTCGGTAGCTGCCAGCGATTCTGGGGACGCACTCTTGAAAGCGACGTCGGTGCGCTGCGTCGCCTCGGGGACCCGGAAGAGGACGAGGACGACGTGGCCGCCGGCGGGGCCCATCGACTCGGCGCAGATCCGCTGCGAGTCTTTCTCGGAGATCGTGTCGACCGCCTTCGCGAGGGTGCCGCCAGTCGCGGCTTTGATCTGGTCGATCACGTCCGGGGCGCGGTAGTCGAACACCGCGGACGCGCCCAGGGACTTGACGAGATCGAAGTTCCGGGGGGAGGCGGTCGCGACGACCTTGTAGCCCGCGAGGGCCGCGAGGCGTACGGCGCACTGGCCGACGGCGGCTGGGGGAGAAAGCAGGAATGAGTTCAGACTGCTGCCTGCCATCCGCGGCTGCACGACGCACAGCTACCACCGTAGATGAAGATCCACTCCTCCTTGTCGGTCTTGGAGGGAGGCTCGACGAGACCGAGACGGGTGGGGTGGAAGAGTGCCTGCGCTGCCGTCCAGAACCTGTGAAAGTAAGTTTTGTCATAGGTAAGGTTGAGTCGCCGAGCGCGAACTTGAGACTGACGCGCAGCCAATTGTCGCCGCCTCCTCGTGGGAGAACGCGCCTTCAGGAATAGGCCAGACGAGGTCCGCCGGAGTCTTGACGTACTCCGCGAACGCGCCTTCGTCGGAGAAGGCTGAGCCGTGGACGAAGCCCGCAACCTGCTGTCCGACCGAGAGGTTCGTGACGGCACTGCCGACCTTCACGACGGTGCCGGAGAAGTCGCACCCGACGATGGCACCGGGGATACCCGTAAAGTCAACGTCTGTTGGTAGGGGGAGGTTACACCAAGAAGAAGATGAGGTGGCTCGGAACGGCGTACGTTTCCAGTCGGTGGGGTTGAGTGCGACTGCCACCGTTTTGACGAGGATGTCGTTGTCGCCCACTGGGGGAACGGGGTGAGATTTGATGGAAAATTTATGCCCCTACGGGGGGAAGGAAGAATGTGAGGATATAATCGAATATGGCTTTGAGCCGAACCGGCATACCTCCTCAATGACTGCAGCCTTCATAGTGGTGGGGATGGAAGAGGTCATGGTACGTATTTGATCCTTGAAGGAGAGTCGGGGTGGATGGGTACAAGTGCGTGAGAGCCATCGATGGCGAGGCTGTCTTTTGTAGGATAGAACGGATGCTCGGGCGGAAAACGGTGGGCTTACCAAGCCGAACTGAAGTGCTGAGCTGAGATGTGGTCGCCCGGGCCCTTTTATCCGTCCCACGGGACTGGCTCTTGGGAATGATTACCCGCTTGTGCACACCGATCCCCTGCAATGCCACTCGCGCGACGGCGTCTTGGATGTCTAGATTAATTCTGAGGTTGAAGTCCCGAGTCCTGCAGCATTTTTTGAAGCTATCTCCATGGGGGTTCGGGGATCTAGTATACGCACCACCCTCGTAGTCCGAGGGTTCTAGAGAAAGCAGGACAGCGTCATGACGTCATTCGGTCTTCCTCCGAGTTGAGACCGCAGTGGCGCAAGAGTGGGGTGGGGATAAACATAGTAGGTGACAGGCTGTTGCGCGCTAAGCCTCAAGACCTCATCGATCACCGCCAGCAATCAATGGCCGCGCCAAAGTCGCGCGTCGCCAATGAGACAGACCATGCAGCATATGTTTTGTACGCTGTCACAGATTGCATCCCCAGCGTTGATCTCATGGCAGGACCCGCAGCCTCGCATTTCAACACGCAGTCGCCAGCCCCCTCAAGGCCTGCGTTGCAGCATATTCTGTCACTCTCAGATCCATGCATAAAAACCATTGGGAGCACTGTTGATGGAATAAAGACCAGGCTCAGTACCCCTCCCACCCCGTCAGGTCGCCCCCAGCGTAGTGTGTGTAAATGAGACCAAGATGCAAAACCAAAACCTGACATTGCACCGCCTCCGATCCTTCGCGGGAAACTCACAGGCGGTACACAATCTTCTCTGCGCCGACCTTTCCATCCCGCATGTACTGCAAGCCGTCAGCGATCCCGTCGAGGCCGCCCTCCCAGTGCTTGATGGGGAGCGGCTTGACCGCGCCGCTCTTCACGAGCTCAGGTAACTTCTTCAGGAAGGAGACCATGTGTGTGCGGCCCCCCTCCGAGACGGGGAACGTGGTCCCATTGGGGAGCACCCACTCGCGCCCGAGCGCAGAGTAGATGAGCGCCGCTACGAACGCGCCCCCTCGAGCTCAGCACGACGCCGGTGCCGATGACGAGCAGGGGAAACAAAATCCACGCACGTTTGAACGCGACGTCCTTCCTCTCCGTCACGCCGGGCACGGGTGCGAGCACGAGCTGCACGACGTTGCCGCCTGCGGGCCCGATGGACTCCGCGCAGATCCGCAGGGGGTCCACGGAGGGGATGCTGTCCATGGCGTGGACAACGCCGTCTCCGGTCGCGACCTTTATCTGGCCGACGACGTCCGGGGCGTGGTAGTCGAAGACGGCGGAGGCCCTGAGGGACTTCACGAACTCGAAGTTGTGCGGAGAGGCGGTCGAAACGACCTTGTAGCCCGCGAGGGTGGCCAGCTGGACGGCCGACTGGCTGACGGCGGCTACGACCCGGGTGTCAGAATGTCACTAGATACTGGAGAGACTGGAGAGATATGTACTACTGCCGCCGTATACCAGGATCCATTCGTCATTGGATGTCTTTGCTGGGGGTTCCGTCAGGCCAAGACGGGTAGGGTGGAAGAGTGCCTGTACAGCCGTCCAGAACCTGGGATGAATTGAGTGTTAGCACGTAGCTCGTAGCAGATTTAGTGAAGAAAACGTACGCGCAACCGATCGCTGCGGCCTCTTCGTGAGTAAGTGTATCCTCAGGGATGACCAAGACCAAGTCAGACTGAGTTTTGACGTATTCTGCGAATGCGCCTTCATCCGGGAACAATCCACCGTGCACAAAGCCCGTGACGGACTGGCCGACGCTCACGGTCTGAACGGCGCTGCCGACCTTGACGACGGTGCCAGAGAAGTCGCATCCCAGGATACTGCCAGGAATCCCTGCGGAATAGGCGACGTCTGCGAGAAAGCCGGTTCATATTTACATGGACATTTGTTTTGTAGGAGGCGGACGGACGCACGTTTCCAATCCGTGGGGTTCAAAGCGACGGCCACGGTCTTAACGAGGATATCGTTGTCGCCGACGACTGGAACGGCGTGCGACTTGATCTCGAACTTGCGTCCCTGGGGGGAACGGTTTCATGAGCGATCGAACTGAGGTTGGATGGAACCGCAGGACCGAACCTCTTCAATGATCGCCGCTCTCATGGTAGCAAGGATTTCTGAAGTCATTGTAGATGGGGTGGAATGAGCAGGTCGAGTTCAAGACCTGTCCGAGGATGACCGGCTCGCTGCCGGATGGCCTTGAGGCACCGCAGCTTATAAGCCCTACGAGGTTGGTCTTAATATAGGTTTTGGCGAAGTTCGAATGAGCGCGAACTATGTGCTCGCGAGGCGACTGCGTACGATACTAAAGAGAGGACTGCTTTGTTTTGGGTGATAGTCGCCGACTTGACAGCTTCAAAGATGACGTGTGCAGACGTGTACCAAGGCATACCGGGATCCGAGTTGATACGGACGACTACTCTAGTTTCATTTCGGGCGCATCATCTTCTTGCGGTATGCCATAGCTGAGATGTCTGAGCAAATAAGATCATCCGTAACATGGTACAGCTGCATGCGGCACCACGAGCCTGCAATCGGACGTACCCTCATTTTCGTTGCAGGACATGTTGGTCGTCACTTCCAGAGAATTGGGAGAAAGAGACGGAGTCGATTCAGCGGCATCAGTGTGCTAGCCGCACGGTGTAAGTAGCTCTGCTTACTGCCTTTGATTAGGCTGTTACTTATCTCGCTATTGATACGGAATAGACGCCGTTGCCGGCTCCGATCTGCGGCCGCGCCGCCCCAAGCTGCCACTACCATTCACCTCCCTCTCCTACCTGTACTCACTCTTGCAACAATGGATGCTCTCCGTGTTGCAAAAGTGCGTGTCGAGCTATCTCCTGCTCGACCACGAACCTCTAACTCATTCTGATCAGGTCGAGGGAGTTCTCTGCACGAAAGGCGGAAGCACCTCCTCGGGGACATTGCACCTCACCGCCCACCATGCCATCTTCCACCACGAAGACGAGGGAAAGGAAGAGATGTGGGTCAGTCAAATCTCTGCCGGCAATGCAGACGTAAACTGACCGTGTCCCGCTTGTCCGACCTTTGTCGGTTAGGTTCCATACCCGCTCATCTCACTTGTCTCCCGCATGCCCATGACCATGCACGGCCGATGCCCACTGACGATCCACACGAGAACATTCGAAACGACCTTTTTTCTGTTCTCTTCGGAAAAGGAGGCGATAGATGTATTTGAGAGTGTGAAGGAGCTCACCGTAGCGAGTAAGTCCCTATGTTTTCTGCACATCCCGCAGTGCCTCCTCTCCCCCAAATACCGTTGCCCTTTTCGGGTGCGGTCTACGGTTTGCGGTGGGATCGGGCTGTATATTCCAGCTGTCGATACGATGTCTGTACATATGGTCGGCTCGCAGTGGCAAGAGATTGCCCCAGGACTACTTTGCCCGCTTCTTCGACATCAATCCATGACCTCACGACCTCACTTCCGCCAAGGGGCTGATCATATCCTTGCACAGCGTCGGTCACTCAACTATATGCGTTCTTCTATGTCCCAAATCCACCGCTTCCCACAAGTACTGGATGGACGTTGTACACTCCACGGGAAGAGTTTGGGCGTATGGGCGTGGGCACCCGAACCAAGGCATGGAGATTCACAGATATCAACAAAGACTACTCTGTGCGTCCCTCTCTGCAGAGAGCCACCGCGTCCTCTTGATTAACCGTGCAGGAATCGTAGTTCTCTCCGACATACCCCGCTCGACTAGTCGTGCCGACACGCATCAGTGATACCACTCTCCAATATGCGGTCAAGTACCGAAGCAAGGGCCGCCTCCCAGTACTCACCTACCTCCATTGGGCAAACTACGTGCGTCTTTACTTGTGCGCTTCAACCGATACCCACGCTGAATATGGTGACGCATCCGGCAGGGCACAATCACCCGCTCCAGCCAGCCCATGGTTGGGCTTACGAGCAACCGTTCGATCCAGGACGAGAAGCTCATCGAGGCCATCTTCCAGACCCACCACAACCCGGAATCACGCGTAAGCGCGATCCCGGTGTACGGCGCGACGGCGACGAACATCATCGTCGACGCGCGGCCGACGGCAAACGCGATGGCAAACACGGCCAAGGGCGCGGGCACGGAGAATATGGACCACTACAAGGAGGCGAAGAAGGCCTACCTCGGCATCGATAACATCCACGGCATGCGTGAGTCCCTGGCCAAAGTCGTCGAAGCCCTCCGCGCAACGGAAATCATCCAGGCCGCGGGCATCACGGACGCGGTCGATGCGGAGGCCGAGGGCACGACAGAGGAGCTCCCAGTGGAAGAAGAGCGGTCGGCGGCACCGGTCCTCGACCGTCAGGCGCTGCGCCGCTCGGGTTGGATGAAGCACATCATTGCGATCCTGGAGGGGGCGCTGGTGGTGGTGCGGAACGTGCACGTGAATTCGTCGCATGTCCTCGTCCACTGCTCCGACGGCTGGGACCGCACCGCACAGCTCACTTCGATCTCGCAACTCTGCCTGGACCCGTACTACCGCTCCATGAAAGGCTTCGCGGTACTCGTCGAGAAGGACTGGCTCTCGTTCGGACACAAGTTCCTCGACCGCTGCGGCCACCTGTCCTCCGAGAAGTTCTTCCTTGCCCCAGTCGAGAACGCCGGCAGTGGCGGCGGTGCGGAGGCCGCCCAGGCGTTCCTCGCGTCCGTCCAGAATCGGTTCGCATCGCAGCATCACATCAGGGAGACCAGCCCAGTCTTCCACCAGTTCCTGGAGAGCGTCCGGCAGATCCAGCGTCAGTATCCTGAACGGTTCGAGTTCAACGAACGCTACCTTCGCCAGCTGCACCACCACCTCTACGCTTGTCAGTTCGGCACCTTCATGTTCGACACCGAGCGCGAACGCCGCGTACCCGAGCCCGGTCAACAACAACCGTACATGGCACGCACGATCAGCGTTTGGGACCTTTTCAATTCGCCCGCGGAGATGGAGCTCAACAAGAACCCTCTCTACGACCCGAGTCTGGACGACCCTGCGAGCCGGGCACCGAAGGCCGACCAAGGCGTGCTGATGCCGAACCCGAAGGACGTCCGCTTCTGGCACGAGCTCTACGGGCGCACGGACGAGGAGATGAACGGCAAGTTCGTCGTGCGCCCGGTCGAGGAGCCCGAGCTCGCTGGGCCAGTCGAGGGGGCGGACGAAACCCCCGCGCTCGCTGCAAACGGCATCGCATCCGCTACCGTTGCGCAGATCAGCATCCAAACCCCACAAGCAATCGCACGCTTCCTGCAGGGCTCCGGCGCGAGCACCCCCTCGCCCGCCGCGACCCCGCTCCCGGACTCGCCCTCGTCCTCGACGCTCGGGCCCGACACGCAGCCCTCCCCGAGCCCGAGCCCGAGCCCGTCCGCCCCCCCGCGCACGCCCTCCCCGAGCGTCCGCACCGTGCGCGGCAGCTCCGCCGCGCCGCGCCGCGCGAGCACCTCCCCGCCCGCGTTCGCCGCCCCGGGCAGCGAGCTCTTCTCCTCCGGCGGCGTGCGCTCGCTCTGGGGCCGCGTCTCGTCCGGGGCGACGACCGCGCTCTCCGCCGTGCAGGACGCGTACGGCGGGCTCGCCAAGGACCTCCGCGGGCTCTCCCTCGGCGACGACGACGGCCCCTCGTCGTCCGGCCGCGGCGGCGAGCTCAAGTCCCGCAGCGAGCTCGCCAACCCGTGGGGCGCGGACGACGCGCGCTCGTCGTACACGCCGTCGCTCGGGCCCGCTCGTGCGCCGACGTACGCCGGCGGCAGCGGGGGAGGCGGGACGGTGTCGAGCAACCCGTGGGCGGCGCCCGCGACGCGTCCGCCGATCCCGTCGATGTACATGGAGAACCCGTGGGGCTCGGTGCGCGCGTCCATACCCGGACCCGGGCCTGCAGCTGCGTCCGCCGCGTCCGCCTTTGCGCCCGGGCCTGCCACCGCCGCGTCGAGAGAGCCGGGCAGCTGGCTCGTCGCGGACCCGCACGTTCAGCTCCCAGGCTCTGTCGCTGCTAGCTCGCGGATATCGCAGGCGAGGCCGGCGAGTCGGACGAGCACGCCGCCGCCCGTGCCGCCGAAGGGTCCTGGGCAGCGTGGATCAGAGACGGAGGGGGAGGCGGCGGCGGCGGCGGCGGCGTCAGACCCGTTGGGAGTGGCAGCTTGGTAGTTGGGGACGCTTTTGAGTCAGATAGACGGTCGAGCCTGAGGCCTGATCATGACGTGTAGGATTACATTGTACGGTCGCCGGGACGTGATTGTGTGTAGCAACAAGCACATCGAAGATACAGGCTTCGTCGCACGACATACGTTTGTACGTAACAATCTGAGATGCTAGATGCTACGTCCTGTTGTACTCGGATGGCCACACTCCGTTTTGCAATCTCTGCGGTCGCATTTGAAGCGCAACTCACTTGCTTCCCTCATTTCTCATCCTACGCGAAAACGCGCAGAGAGCCGCGTGTGGAGGTCCCCAGCGCTCGCCATTGCCGTCCTCAGGTGCACGGCTCGCTCACTCGTAAGGAGCACCTAGCCCCCAACACATCCATGGCGTGCAGAGTTCAATATTTAAATAGCCGACCAACTTCACGCAAAATGCATGCGAGCTCACTCAAAGAGGGTGACGCGGTTGAGCGCGGCTGGTATTCTGTTTTCTATCCAGTACTACAGGTAGATGACTACGTGATTAACGCGGCGCGAAGGACGGTTGCTAGTATACGTCAGTATGCGAGGCCTGCGCAGGGCCAGGGTGAGTGTGCGGCAGAGGTGGAGTGTATGATGTGCGGTGATGTGGGTGGGCAGAGCGTCATAAAAGTCATGGATCATAACATGAGGTGTCGCGGGCGGTTGGACGACGGACGTGCGACGAAAGCAGTTGGATGCGTCTAAGGAGGCTGGGTAGAGCAGCCGGATGGGACTAGGGGGGTGGGAGGAGGGCGTGCGCAGGGCTATGGTATAACAATAAAACAGCGTAGTGCGGGGATAAATAGCGGAAGGATGAACTTCCGATGCGGTGGGGGGCGAGGGGTGGTCTAGCAATACAACGACATGATCGACGACAAAAGCGACAGTGGACCCAGAGGGAGATCACGACAGAACAGGAAAGCGAGCTCAGAGGACGAGCTTCTTGGGCTGCTCCCAAGAGTACTCCGGGTTGCCGAAGTGGCCGTACGATGCCGTCTTGAGGTACTGCGGCTTTTGGAGGTTGAGCGTCTGGACGATGACACCCGGACGGAGATCGAAGTTCTTGTTGATGATCTCGACGAGCTCCTCCTCCGACTTGGTACCCGTGCCGTAGGTGTCGACGAAGACCGACAGCGGCTCGGCGACGCCAATGGCGTACGAGAGCTGGACGAGCGCGCGGCGGGCGAGACCAGCAGCCACGAGCGACTTCGCGATCCACCGCCCGGTGTACGCCGCCGAACGGTCGACCTTGGACCAGTCCTTGCCCGAGAAGGCACCTCCACCGTGCGCGCCCCAGCCACCGTAGGTGTCGACGATGATCTTACGGCCAGTGAGACCGGCGTCGCCCTGGGGGCCACCAATGACGAAGCGGCCGGAAGGCTGGATGTGGTAGATGGTGCGGTCGTCGAGGAGCTCAGCCGGGATGACCTTCTTGACGATGTCCTCAGTGATAGCCTTGCGGAGATCCTCAGTAGAGATCTCCTCCGCGTGCTGGGTGGAGACGACGACGGTGTCGACGCGGACGGGGATCATCGCACCGCCGTCGCGGCGGTACTCGACGGTGACCTGCGTCTTCGAGTCGGGGCGGAGCCAGGCCATGGCGCCGGAGCGGCGGGCGGCGGCCATGGCGGCGTTGAGCTTGTGGGCAAGGACGATGGTGAGGGGCATGAACTCGGGGGTCTCGTCGGTCGCGTAGCCAAACATGATGCCCTGGTCGCCGGCACCGATGTTCTCGAGGGAACCGTGGTCGAGGCCCTGGGCAATGTCGGGCGACTGCTGCTCAATGGCGACGAGGATATTGCAGGTCTTGTAGTCGAAGCCCTTGGACGAGTCGTCGTAGCCAATCTGCTTGATCGTCTCGCGGATGATTTTCTGGTAGTCGATCTGGGCCTTGGTCGTGATCTCGCCGAAGACCATGATCATGCCAGTCTTGGACGCGGTTTCGCAGGCGACCTTGGAGAATGGGTCCTGGGCGAGGCAGGCATCGAGGATGGCGTCCGAGACCTGGTCACAGATCTTGTCTGTGCGCGAGAAGGGGACGAACACGGGGACAAGGGTAAATCATCAAGTCGACTATCACGCAGCTAGATCACTACTGACCGGGGTGGCCCTCGCCGACCGACTCGGAGGTGAAGAGGATGTGGCCGGGCGCGAGGGGCTGGCGGGCAGCGGTGGGGGCGGAACCGTTGGCAGGCATGGCGGCGGCGGCGACGAGGAGGAGGGCGAGGGGAGCACGAAGAGCGTGGGGGAGGAAGGACGGGTTGGAGAGCCCATCGGTCGACTCGTCGGTATGTATAAATTTGAGAATGGGGACCCCGGGCACCGCGCAGCACGCCATCTGGCCATGGTCTGCGGCCCGCGATTCGCTCGCGCACGCTTAGCATTTTCCCCGCACGCTGCTCGTACGATGGTCCCGGCTGGCCAAGTCGCGCTATCCGCCCTTTACGTCCGTTGGGACGCGGCGACCTACCGCGCGCTGCCACATCGCGCTGCGAGAACCCAGCCGAGCTGCAGGCCGTCCGCACGCCCCAGTTCCCCGCTCTGCTCCCTGCGTCTGTGCGAGCCGCGACCACGTTCATCGCGGGCGGCCGGGCGTGTGATGACATCCCTCCATGCGTGCTAGCATCCGCTCCCCCTCGATCCCCGCGTTATCTCTATTCGCGAGAATCGATGGTCTGCGGCCGCCGACAGGCGCGGCTGTGGGAGTCTTCGTGTGTCGCGCACGTCTTCCATCTCGAGCACGCCCACGAATTCGCTCGCTGGAAGAGATGCGCACCGCACTCTGCACCCCGAGCTGCGAGCTGCATGTGCACGGGAACATGTTCGCGGCGCCCGAGCCGCCAATCCAGCAGAGCCATTGGTCCGGGCGATGGAAGTCGAGCGCACCTCATAACTACCTGCTAAAAGTACAGTCCATGATTAGACACGAGACGTTACGGTTTTCAACGAGCATAGCAGCTTCGAACATGCGGAGGAGCCAGATAGGCGAGTTAAGCTTTTGGATTGAGCGCCGTGCAGCCACAGCTCCAGATTGCGTGCGCTGTACGCCATATTCGTCCCAACCCTATGTCGCGTCGAAAGGGCCCGCCGGAACGTGCATAAGTAACAACCGCGTTTGCTCCTTCACTCCTGCCACTCGAACGAGCCCACAATCGCCGTCTTCCCCGTAAGCGAGCCCGGGCTGGGCGACAACACCGTCATCCTCTTGTTGGGCAGATCCAGAGCGGTTCTGCGAGGCGAGCGGGAGATAAGCGCACGAACGTGGGTCACCGAGGCGGAGCACGCACATCACCACGTATCCGACCACCTGCAGGTCGAGCACCTCCTCGTCGTATCGTTCCGACTCGTCCGCGTTCGGCGACGAGAGCACCGCCAGCACCGCATTGTAGAGGCCCGAACCAGACTTGGCGGGGTCGACCAGCAGGGGCTGCATCTCCGACACCACCCGTGTCGCGCCGATAGGGAGCGCGGACTGAGGGGCCATCGTCTCTGCGCTCAGGGTCAGCTTCATGGGTCGGTGGGAAAGCGGGATGTTCGCACCTTCGCCGATGCGATACATCGTAACGTCTCCAAAGTTGACTGACGTTGAAAGCGGTGATAGATGCAAAGTCAGATCAGGTGTCTGCTCGCCGCCCTGCACGAAGGCCTTGGTGGGCAGACCGGGGGGTGGGTCGATGATGTGCCCGTAGAAGTAGTTGTGCAGTTGATACTGGTGTATGCGCTCGCGATACGCGGAGTCGTGTTCTACTACCTGGATCCGACTGCAGTCAATCAAAGGGCGCTTGAGACAAAGGGAACCGTCGTACTCCGCCAGACTTCGGTATTTTGAGGACGACCAGGCGTTTCCCATATGTCCTTTGCATTTCCACGTTGAGCTTCTCGTGTCCCACCACAAGGATGAGATTGACTGGAGAAACACGTCAGCAAGCGAGCACATTTTGTAGTGCGCACAAAGCCTCGTACTCTGGAAGGCGTCAACACACGCCTTCACCATGTTCAGACGATGGTCATTGGAAGGCCCGGAGCTGGCAGCGAACGACGACGGGGTGTCAACGATGAGGCCTGAGCAGCGACCTGCGACACACAGTCAGTACATGAACGGCAGACGAGCTACGGCACCACTCTCACCTTTCGTATCGCCCTCCTGCCTATCTCTGATGTTGTCACCGAGGTTGCGGATGAGGCGCTCCATCAGGAGTGGGTTGCGGCGCATCTCCCGATGTCCATACCAGTACGACAGCGGGGTGAGCGCATTCGACGCGATGTGGCTTGGTGCCGAAGTGGCGCTCATGCCCAGCGGTGAAGCTGGCGTCGACGTTTGCAGCGGCGCGGTGATGGGCGCTGCGGATATGGCTCCGGGTATAGACCATCCGCCCTGAAAGCCCCAACAGGCATCAGTCCGATGGCTTCAGAAAGTCGCGGGACTGGAAAAGAACGAGATGAACACACCTCCGAAGGGTCCACATTAACATACATCGGAGCCCACCCCTGCCCCGCCCTGACGCAGTAGTTCACCAAAGTCTTACAGACCGACGTCTTCCCCGCGCTCTCGGGCCCGAGCACCAGCACGCGGGGCGGGTCCCGGATCCCGCGCCCCGTTGGATCGTTGTCCTCGCCCGGCGGCGCGGGCGTGCCGTTCGCGACGTCGAGCGCGCGCACGCGCATCTGCTCGAGCGCGATGTGCACGTTCGCGTACGGCGCCATCGGAGTCTCGTCGGAGACGTACTCGACCGCAGGCTGGCCGAAGACGTGCTGCGAAAAAACGGCAGGTAAGCATCGTGCCGCCGAGTGGCGCAGACGACGGTGGGGCGGGGGGCAGGGACGGGAGGAGGGACTCATCTCTATGGTACACCCTTGCCAGGTGTACACGGCCGCTTTGCACTCCTGCCCGAAGACGTACGCCTTCCCATCTGCGATCTCCGCGCCGAATATCTCGGCCTGTCCCTTGACGAGCTGTTGGGCGCATTGGAGATGGGGGCCGGCTGGCGGAGGGAGTGGGAAGCGACGCACCTTGATCGCGAGCGACGCGCCCTGGTCGAGCTCAAACCTGTACTCAGACTCGGGCTGGAGACCCACTGCTTGGGACGCCCACTTTCACCGCTAGCCATGTCTGCCGCTACCTCTCGAACGAGCTGGTCTCGGTGCGCAATGTGTCGAGACGACGGATGGCTCGTCTGCCGCAACGGAAAAAAACTGTGAGGGGGATGGGTACGGACCACACAAGCGTATATCGGGCGATCCAAAGTCAACCGATAGATTGAGCACAGTACAGCCAGTCCTCCAACCAGCGTGTCCTTCAGTCAGGGAGAGGGTCGTTCACAGTCAGTGCAGAGCACAGCCAACGCCGCGGGTCGAAAGCCCACAACCGTAACGGTTGAGCGATGACGTCATCCTTTCGCACGCTCAACCCTCTTGAGTACAATATTAAGTATTCCAGAGTATTCCAGCCTACGAACTTCTCCGCGCTGTACTTGCCCGAGCGCATGGCGTCCATCACCCCCGGGAGCGCATCCAGCCCCTCCGACACCCTCATGGGCAGCGGCTTCAGCACCCCCTGCTCGATGAGCACCGGGATCTTGTCCATGAAGCTCGCCATATGCTCGCGGTCCTCCGGCGCCGCAGGGAACTTCAAGCCCGGGAACACGTGCTCCCACGAGAACTCGCGACCGTTGACCGTGTAGAGAATCGTCGCTGTTGCCCCGACCGTCGTCAGCGCCGCGCGCGCGCATCGGATATCGTCGAGAGAAAGGAGAAAAACGGCACACACACATGATCACCACGTCCTCCCGCATCTTCCACTTCTCGTCCGCAAAAAGCAGCGTGACCATCGTCCCGCCCCCGGGCGCGAAACAGCGCTGCGTGATCTTGGACGTGGTCTCGTCCGTGATCGTGTCCAGCGCGTACTGGACGCCGCCCCCGGTCGCGGCGAGGATCTGGTCGACGACCGCCGGGTCGTGGTAGTCGAACACCGCGTCCGCGCCGAGCGCCTTGAGCAGCGCGTGGTTCTTCGGGGACGCCGCCGTCGCGACCTTGAAGCCGGAGTGGCGCGCGAGCGGGATCGCGCAGAGGCCGACCGCGGCTGCGTCGTGCGCGTGGTGAGCGGGGGTCCAGGCCAAAAAGCCGCGGGGCCGGGGAAAGAGGCTCACAGCTGCCGCCGTAGATGAACATCCACTGGCCCTCGGGGACCTTGGCGGGCGGTTCGGGGAACCCGAGGCGTTTCGGGTGGTAGAACGCCTGGATGACCGTCCACGCCCTGCGTATATTCCATCCGCGCCTGCGGTCAGCGTCGCGCTGCGGCGGAAGATGGGGGCAAAACGCACGCCACGTTCAGGGTGGACGCCTCGGCGTCGGACATGGACGCAGGCGTGCGCCACACGAGCTCCGCGGGCGTGCGCAGGTACTCCGCGAACGAGCCCAGGTCGGGGTACGTGCCGCCGTGGGTGACGCCCGAGACGCGGTCGCCGACCTTGGGCGTCGTGACGCTCTTGCCCGTCTTCACCACCATGCCCGCAAAGTCGCAGCCGCAGATGCTCCCGACCTTGCCCATCTTGTAGGTCACGTCTGCGGACGCCGATCAAGCTTCAGCGTAGTTAAAAAAGGGTGAGCGGGGTGTACGCTTCCAGTCGGTTGGGTTCAGGCAGACCGCGCCGACCTTCACGAGAATCTCGTCGTCCTCGATTTCCGGGACGGGGCGGTCCAGGAGCACCGCATCGAAGTCACTCTGTATTTCTCGACTGGTGAGCTTTCCACCCTCGCCTGATGGTCGATATGGGACTCACATCTTTCTCTACGATGACCAACACCTTCATTGTAGTGGGGATTGCTGTAGACACCGTTCTGCTTGTACCTTGAGTGTTGCGTTGAACGTTGTTTCCCTCACGTCCCTCCATCGGTCCGTATATATGCGTCGCCATCAATAATGACCCACGTTCAGTCCTGGATGATCAATGGTCCCTGCAGATGTATCGATCGTAGTAATCAGTTCCGACGTCCGATGTCTGGGAATTAGTAAGCAAGCTGGGAGAGCGCTGTTGCTTGGCTACCCTTGAACGCCGTTCGTACGTGGAGCCCGGCGAAGGTCGGACTGCGCGTCCCTTCGTTGACATGTTTGAGGTGAGATGGGATGACTCGAGACGACACAATATTCGGGGCCGTCGGGTGCGCTGATCGATAATATTCGGTCCTCTCCACTTCATGCACCAGGTTGTGTAAAGAAGGTATTTAGTGTGCCAAAAGATGGCACTCACCTGCCGTTCCGATTAGCGGGTGTACGCTGCGGACGTTTCGGAGATAGCACTTGCCCACTGCAGGTTTCCATAGTGTAACAACAGATACAATTACAGCACCACCACCAGGATATCCACAACCACCTACTTTCTCAAAGCCGCAAGACGATCTTCTCGGCGCTAGCTTTGCCCTCGCGCAGGTATTGTAGCGCGTCGACGATCATGGGCAGGCCGCCTTCCCACCTCTTGATCGTGATCGGCTTGACGCTGCGCTCTGTGACGAGCTGCGGGACCTTCTTCAAGAACGCCGCGATCTGGACTCTGTCTTCCGGGGCGGCAGGGATGTGGACGGGCCCGAAGTTCAACGGCCGCCCGGTGGAGGAGTACAGCAATGAGGCTGACGCAAAGCCATTCAGGATCGATCAGCATTCCGACCGTGAACGGACGACCGACCGACCGACCGACCGACGACGACCGACCGGGCCAACTCACAGGTGACTTTGATGTCCGACCGCGCGATCGAGCTCGGTTTGGGCGGCAGTATGAGGTTGAGCTTCCCGCCCGCGGGCGCGATGGCGGCAGCGCAGATCCGCTGGGTGTCTTCCTCTGAGATGGTGTCGAGGACTCTTGTGATCGAGTCGCCCGTGGCGGCCTTGATCTTCGCGACGACGTCCGGGTCGCGGTAGTCAAAGACGACGTCCGCGCCGAAGTCCTTGACGAGGGCGTGGTTTCGAGGCGAGGCGGTGGAAACGACCTTGTAGCCTGCGAGATGGGCAAGTTGTATTGCGTACTGACCGACCGAGGCTGCAGTGGGTGCGTTTAGAACATGAATCTGAGATGAAAATAGGATAGACTCACAGCTACCGCCATAGATGAGAAGCCACTCTTCTCCAGAGACCTTGGCGGGCGGCTCGACGATATCCAAGAACTTCGGGTTATAGAAGACTTGTACCGCAGTCAAGAACCTGTCCACATGCACACGAGGTGAGAATGCTTATCCGACACCCACGTCACAGGAGAAACCACGCACGCGACACCGAAGGAGGCCGCTTCTTCGAACGAGAGGGTGTTCTCCGGGATCACCCACGTCAGGTCCGCGGGTGCCTTCACGTATTCTGCAAAGGCACCGAGCTCGGTGAAGGCCGATCCATGGGTCATGTGTGTCACTTTGTCGCCGGCTTTGAGGGTAGTCACGTTCTTGCCCACTTGAACGACGACCCCGGAGGCGTCACAGCCGACGACGGATCCAACGACAACATGAGCCCCGTAAATGTCTGGATGGACGGCGGGAGGCGCGGGCGGATGGGTCAACCAGTCAGCGAGGGCCTGTCAGAGGCGAAGGAGTCACTCACGCTTCCAGTCAGTTGGATTGAGGGCCACCGCAGCGGTCTTGATCAGAACTTCATCCTCGGCGATAGTAGGAACGGGGTGGTCTTTGATCACGGCTTTACCTTGCTGTAGAACTATTGAGTGCCTTTCATGCGGGACTGATGAGAACCGCTCACCTCCTCGATGACGAGGGCTTTCATGGTGGTGGGGATCGAAGTCATTGTGGGAGTACGCAGAAACAAGTGAGGGGATGATAGGGGGGACACTGAGCAATGCTTGCGAGCACCTGTCTTCCTTTATACGCTATTTCTGCCGAAGGTTCCCGAGGACATCGTACGCGCGCCCTGCGCATGCCGGCCGAGAGGAGAGCACCGAGCACTGTGCGAACTGAATGACGGTTGAAATGCAAGATCTGCGGATGCCAGTGTTCGCCGGGCATGTTGTATCGCCCCGCAGAGGGCTCGGGATGCGGAAGCATATGGTTAGGCAGATGCCCAATGGTCGGCAGAGGCAGACAAGGCGGCTAATGGACTGGTGCCGATTTCACATCGGTGGCGAATCAGAGCGATAGCGTTCGGGCGCTTGGTCCTCTGTCAGCGGGTTGCTGACGAACCGCTACAACGAAGAGAGGGCAGAAGAGCAATCTCATTAGTCATTTTCATCAGTTTATACAAGGCCGGTGCGGCGGAAAACACGGACAGTTGTGTCGGAAGGAGTTCCGGGCATCAGTAAGTGCTCGCGCAATCACTAGTCCCATGCACGCCACTCGATCATTGTCGAAACTCTGCCATGTCATAGGGAAATGCATTTGGATCAGACGAGCGCGTCAAGCGCAACTACCAACGGCACATGTAGCAGTAGAGGTCACGAGGCACGGGAGACTATGGATACAGCTGTATGGATGCGGGCCACAAATGGACTGACAGGCAAAAAGCGAAGGGGGTGTACGGAATACAGTTGGGCGTCATGGGTTTCGTCAGGTGAGTGGGGGAGTCTGGAGTCGTCAAAACCGATAAGTGAGTGATGGGGTGGATGCACCGCGCCGAGCGGTGGGCGAGACCGTGAAGTTTCTAACAAGGGGTATGGGGCATACCGTGCCGTGCGAAGGCGAAGACGAGAACGAAGAGGAGGCGAGATCCAGGCGAGTCCGATGAGTGCGATCAAAGAGAGACAGAGAGCTGAGGCTCCGATGGAGGTGCGGGCGAGGATGGGAGCTTGGAGAACGTCGAGATCGGGGGGCTGTCCACGGAGGGCGAGGGCAGAGGGGCAGCCTCCACCTCCGGCTCGTCTGGAGGGTGTCCTTTCGGCGTGTACCGGGGTAGAGGCATCGGGTCTTCCTTCTGCGTCCCGTTCGCGTAGAAGAGCGCGTGGTAAGGCGGCAGCGCCTGCGCCATATGCGCTCCGAGCGGCGAGGTGACGTTGGCGCTGCCGCTCGACGTCCGCGGCGCGCACACGCGGGGGACGCGCACAAACGACAGCGGAATCACCAGCCGAAGCTCGTCCACGACTGGGCCGTCCGGATGGTCGTACACCACGGTGAGCGCAAGGTCGAGCGCATGGCTCACGCTCCGCAGCGGGCCGTTGGTGGTCGGACGGAGCACCGGGAGGCGTTGGTGCGCTGAGCGCGGGCACTCAGGATCGCTGACGAAGAGGGACCGGATGGGGACGTTGATGCGGAGGCGGACCCAGACGTCGTCGTCATCATCGAAACGCGGGTCGGCGAAGGACGCGCACTCCGCTTCGCGCTCGTTGAACTCGTATTTGCCCGTGAAGCCAGTAGGATGGAGAGAGTAGGAAGGGAAGACGGTAGCGTCCGCGGGTGGACTGCAGATCATCCCGCATTCGTAGTCGCCGGAATCGGCTCGCTGGCGGGTGAGCGGTCGATGCGGGGGTTGCGAGGCAGCAGGGGGGATGGGCCATGCAGCGGCGAAGGCGGAGGACGTAGAAGCACTGTGATGAATGAGTGTAGGTCCCAAAACGAGAGTTTAGACAAATGCACACCGAAGGGTCTCGTTCTGAGTCGCAAGTAGAGTGAATCCGGGGAGGCGAAGACGTCGACGCTCTTCCATAGACATCTCGCCAGGGCGCAGCTTGATGAGCAACGGGAAGGACTCCGCGTCCACAGAGATGTGCTCGGGCACGGATGTGCGCAGCTCGAGCTTCTTGATGATATCGCGGGGAATTGTGCAACGCGAGTTCTCTGTTATCGAACATGCGTACTCGATGCTGGGGAACATGGTGTCAGGGAATTCGTCGCCCACGTGGCGCGTTGATGGTGGCAGGCTGTAACGGTTTATCTTGACGGGTGTGCTCTTTGCGCGCGCGACTTGAACAACGGCATGCGCGGAGCCGTAGTATGCTGAACGCCACGACGAGTTGGGCTTGGCGTCGTGATACTTGGCTACAGCTGAGAGGTGGTAGCTGACTTCGGGCTCTAGATGGCTGCCATCGCCGAACGGTGTCGAGCTAGTGGCAGGAAGCCAGCCAGGGAGCGCGACGCTGAAGAGGATGAACCAGCGTGCCGGGTCGCGAGAAGAGCCTTGCGTCCAACTATGCCGGATTTCGATCGGCGAAGTGATGAGCTCTTGCGAGGACTCGTGGAGGCGACATGCAGAATAACCGGTGTGGGTGTGCACTAGTTCACTCTGACCCTCAAAGGCGACGACGAGGGAGTCGAGGAGAAGGTGCTCGTCTGCAGCAGGTGCGTCGCCGAAGAAACCGGACGGTGGAGTGAGAGTGACTACAATCTGGCCCGAAAGTGAATAGGCAGATCTACAGAAGAAAGTTAGACTCTTAAGAAGCTACGGAAGTTACGGAAGCACTGATAAGGTGGCAGAGACGCAGGTGGTTCGCAGCTAAGAGGGCACTGCGGCTGGCGCAAGGATTGCGGATGGAAGGAAACACTTACGATTTGTTAGGCGCGCCGTACATATCAACGGAGTCAAAGGGCAGGACCTCGATGTCGAACCTGCTGGATGAAGTGGCAAGCTGAGATATGGATTGCTTGAAGGAAGAGAACAATGAAGGACATGGGGGCTGCGAAGGGCCGGGAAGGGCAGCGAGGTCATACGGTGGCGGGGAGTCGAGGGAAGACGCCATGGCGGCGGTGGGGAACAGGGAGCAGCATCCCATTGGGGACGATATATAGCGTGTAGCACTGTGGCGGCTAGGCCATACGCGAGGGGGAGGATAAAAGCGAAGGCCATGAATGGGAATCCCTTTTGTTTGTTGTCCGAGAGTGGGTGAAGGACAATCGGATGTGTGGCTGACTAAGCGGGAGTCTTGTGTGGCCACGACCCCTTACTTACGTCGCGCAAGACGGCCTTGTGTTCGGCTAAGGGGCCCGCATGGCTTGTTGCAAGTTCGCCTGTGAGAAGCCAGGGCGAAAGACGTCAGAGGACGTCAACTTGGGTCAGGGGGAGGGCGCAGGACCGGCGCCTGAGGACAATAAACGTTTATCGAGCAGATCGCGGTGAGAGCGTGGTCGGTGCGCAGTGCGCAGATGCAGACGAGGGCAGCAGGAACATGGCGACAGCTGTGGTGGTGGGCGTTGGGTGGGCGGAAGGAAGCGGCCGGGGTTAGCGGCCGGGGCGCGCGGGTGTGGCAAGTGCGGGCAGTTGCTACGATGTTTGCGCCTGTTGACGCGAACTCTTCCCCCAACCCTCACCGTCCGCTGGTGAGCCCGTCGCGCCCATCGCGCCCATCGTCGTCTCGCCCGGCCGCCTCTAGGTATGTACTGCCCAAGCATGTCTCGGCTCGTCCCTTCCTCCCCCTCCTCACCGTCCCCCGCCTTGTCCCAGACACCCCACCCCGACTCCTGACTCGTCCCCAAGTCCCTCCCCTACCAAGCACCCCTCGTCCTGCTCGCCCCCACAGGCCCGCGGTGCCGTCCTTGAGTCCTGACCCCCCGTTTCTCCAATCATGCCAGAAGCCGACGTCACCCGCAAGCGCTCCCGCTCCCCCTCGGACTCGGACCAGCCCAAGCAGAAGCGTGCCAACACCGGCGCCGCGAATGATTCCCTTCGCTCAAGCCACTCTACGTCCCTGGCCGGTGACGTGAAGATGGAGAACCGCGCAGACGACACTGCTGCTTCCACCCCTGACGCCAAAGGTCCTCAAAACGACATCCCCGACCGTCCTGCAGGTGACGCGCCTGAGACGCGTGGCGACTCGGCCACGACCACTGGTGCCCCCGCGCCCTCTGGTACTCCCGCCGCGCCCTCGGCCACCATCCACATGCGGTGCCTCATCGTCACCCAGGATGCGTCCATTATTATCGGCAAGGCCGGTACGCATGTCAACGAGATCAGGGAGAAGAGCGGCGCGCGCGTCATGGTCTCAGAGAGCATTCCCGGCAATCCTGAGCGTATCCTCAACGTCAGCGGCCCTTTGGATGCCGTCTCCAAGGTGCGTTCGTTCATCATCTGCGCATATATGCGTCTTACACAGTGGGACTGGTAGGCCTTTGGTCTCATCGTCCGTAGGATCAACGACGAGCCGTTCGATAAGCCGTCAGTCCCCGGTAGCCGCGCGGTGACCATCAAGTTCATGATCCCCAACTCGCGAATGGGTCCGTCATTGGCAAGGGTGGCAGTAAGATCAAGGAGATTCAGGATGCTAGCGGTGCTAGACTCAACGCTAGTGAAGGAATGCTCCCAGGATCTACCGAGGTGGCTGCTCTTTTTCACAAACGTCTGCGTTCTCTCATCGCCCGTCTCCAGCGTCTGTTGAGTGTCTCCGGCGTGGCGGACGCCATTCACATCGCGACGTACTACATCGGCAACATCCTCATCGAGGCGAACGAACGTATGCCGTCGACGAACAACTCCACCTATCGCCCACAAGCACTCGCGCCAGAGTCAGCAGCAACAGCCGCCGCCGCATCAAGCGCGTCCGCCGTATATGGGATCCACATATGTTCCTGGCTACACGCCCGCCGCTGCCCATAATCCGTATGCGGGTGGCCCTGCACCTCCCGCGCCCCCGCGCAGCAGCTTCAGACCCAACAGATCTACATTCCGAACGACTTGGTTGGGTGTATCATTGGAAAAGGGGGTGCTAAAATCAACGAGATTCGTCACATGAGCGCGAGTCAGATCAAGATCATGGAGCCTGGTGCGTCGGAGTGGGATGAACGGTGCGCCTGCGCCTGCGGGCAGCGAGGGTGAACGGCTTGTTGTCATCACGGGCTCTCCCGCCAACATCCAAATGGCTGTTCAGCTCCTTTACTCGGGAGTGGTGTTGTTCATACTCGAATCAACGCTCCAGTGCTGACTCTCAGGTGCAGCGGTTGGAACAGGAGAAGCAAAAGCAGATTCGCCAGCAGTCGGCGCATGTCTGAACATGCGCTGTCGCGCCTAATGAAGTCCTCTTCCCAATTAATCAAGAACCTGCTCTCTTTCATACAGCTGACTTTCAACCTCCGATTCACTATCCCCCAGTCACTTCCAAGACGGTTTCTCCAGCCTCGGCCCCACCCCTCCCCCTTACCCCCGCTCGCCCCTACCCCTTCGCCCTTCCACGTCGCCCGTCTTTTGCCTGCCGTATGCTCTCCACTGCTGTCCTATTTAACATGGGATTCTCGTCCCTGTTCATACCGCAATGCCTCCCGTTCCCCCATCCCACCTACCAATCCAAGTTGAATCCCTCCATCCCCCAGAATCAAGACCCTATGTCACCGTTCCTCGCAATTGGGATAGTATCGCTGTTATTTAACACAACTGCCGTATGCATGCATGGTTTACGTCTCACATCGCTTGTGTGCCACAAAGGATTCGACTAGGTGCACTTGGACTCTGCCGCGACTTCTCTCCTTTGGTTCTGGGCATGATGGTCCATGCGTATTTCGCGCGGCGCGTACTCACCTATCTGCTGGTTTGCGCAGCGAAGGCTGAAGCGCTGATCTGTACCCGAGCAGTTATGGTGCACAAGCACACTGTACGTTGATACGATACCGAAGCATTCAAAGTAATGGCGGAGCGCGTATCTCTTTTCTTTTAGTGAGACTGACTTCAGTTTCGCAGCGGATGATTCCTGGACGCGCGAGCGTTGAACCCGGCCGGTGTGGACGTGGCGCGAGAATGTTGTGAGGAAGTTCGAAGCACAGAGTGATGCGTGGTTGGTCTCGCACGAATGGTTTGTTTGTTGTTTGTTTGTTTGTCGATGCCCTGTCGACTATATATGAAGCCACTGTGATAACAGGCCGGTGACGTCATGTAGAGCCTCCCGCATTAGTGGCAGAGGACGGCTGCCTTCCAAAGCCGTTTGAACTCTGAATCGAGTTTGACCGGCACAAATAGCAAGCATCGCACCGGAATGCACGGCTCGCAGCAAGTGCCGCCCCGAATCGAGCTTAAAGTTCGATTGTGTGTATGTGGTCCACCAGCCCCCTCTCCTATATGGTCTCGCTCGCTGCGCCAACCCGCCGCTGCCCACTTGGTCTGTCCTCCAACCACCACGTATCTCCAAACGGCGCATCCACCAGCTTTCGGTACAATTCACACGTGGCGAGAGCGAGCAAGGATCTCGTAGTACTCCAGGATGGCCTCTCCGACCCCGCCACCGCCATCGAAACCACCCAAGGGACTCCTTCCCGGACCCCACCCCGGCGCGCACACCGCCATCCCACACGACCAGCCGCAGCCCCATCGCCCGCCTCCCGCCCGAGCTCCTCATCCACATCCTCTCCTTCCTCACCAGCCCCGCCGACGAGCCCCCCATCGCCGCCGCCGCCGCCGCCCGCCGCACCCCACCCTCGAGCGCGTCTCCCGCGCCTGGCGCGCCCTCCTCCGCGCGACGCCCACGCTCTGGGCGCACGTCCCGCTCACCGCCGAGCCCGCGTGGCTCGCGGCGCACCTCGCGCGCTCCGCCGCCGCCCCCTCGCGCTCGCGTGCGCGGACCCGCTGCACGTCGTGCCCGTCGCGGACGCGCTCCGCCCGCACGCGCACCGCGTGCGCGCCGTCGCGTGCGCGCGCGCCGCCGCGCCGCGCCTCTTCCTCTTCTTCCTCGCGACGCTCGGCGCGGGCGCCGCACTCGAGCGCCTCCGGCTCGACGGCCGCGGGAGAGAGAAGCACCAGACCAGCACGTCGCGGACGCCGCGCGCGGGGCGTGATCGCGGGCGCGGGCGTAGGGGTGTCGTTCGTCCCCGGGTGGTTCCCCGCGCTGCGGGAGCTCGTGCTCGACGGGCTCGTGCTCGGGCGGCTGCCGCCGGGGGCGCTCCCGCGGCTGCGGACGCTGGAGGTGCGCGGGTGCAACGGGCGCGCGGGCGCGGCGCGGCGGGTGCGCGCGGCGGACTTTGTGGACGCGCTGGGGCGCTGCGCGGGCCTGCGGGCGCTGACGGTCGTCGACGCGTTGGACGCGCTCGACTTTGCGGCTGCCGACGGCGAGGAGGGCGGCGCGGAGGATGGGGGTGGTGGGGGCTCGACCGTGACGCTGGCTGAGCTCCGGACGCTCGTCGTCCAGGACGTGGACGCAGCCAGGTGGCCGCGCTCCTCGAGTGCCTTGTCGTCCCCGAGGCCGCGCGTGTCGAGCTCGCTCTCGTGGACCAGAGCGCGGTCTGCGTCGACGCGCTTGCGCAGATGCTGCCTCGCGGTCAGGGAGCGATGCCGTTGCTTGAACACGTGCGCCGCGTCGATGTGGTTCCTCTCCCGAACGGGCATGGTGTGCGTGTGGACGGTTACGCGGTTAAGGATGGAAGGACCCGAGGTGGGGACATATCGTTGACGCTGTCGACCTCAGGCGTCTTGGCATGCGTGGACGAGACTTTAGTCAAGGGCCTAGGAGGGATGTTCTGCAATGCGAAGGAAGTCAGGCTTGTGCTGTAGGCCACTCACTAACTGTAGGAAGGTGTAGGATAGTGCTTCTTGTGAACGATGCATCGACAACGAATAAAGCGATAATGATACACGACCTTGTTAAAGGTTTTCTGACAGCGGTATATGTTGCGTAAATGGTGGTAGAAGGTGGTAAAGTGATGGGAACATCCGGTAGTAATAACCTAGTCCGCGATAATGAGGTCGTCGGAGTCGTCATACGGTCCTGCTGCTCGCTTGGCAGATAGCACAGAGGCCTTCAGGGCATAATACTAGAAGGGTGCTCAACAACAATTGTAAAAAGACATGAGAATGCACGCACCTTCTTCTTGTACCTCATGCAGCCTTTCTGCGCCTTCTCCTTCTCGTCCAAGATATCGTTGATATTGACCATCGCAGCGTCGACTGACCTCTGCAGCCGACTGACCTCGAGCATCGCCTTCTCGCCCTGGTCCCGGAATATCCGAACGTTCTCGTCCTTGTCCCTCTGCAGCATCCGGATGTCCTTCTCGTACTGCAGCTTCTCCTGCTCGCGGCGTGAGCGACTGCGCTGCAGCTTATCCCTCATCATCGATTTGGCCTGTTGCGCTACCTGCACCTCTTGCTCGAGCAAAGCCACTTTCCGTTCGTAATCGTCCTTAAGTTTCTGAGAAGTGTGTGAGGGGAATGAATGTGCACGGGAGATGAGTGGACGAACCGTGGCCATAAGACTGAGCTGGAACTGCACTTCCTGCAGCAACTCCTGCGGTACCGTCGCGTTCAGAAGCGGACCGCCACGAGCCCAATCCAGACGCACCGTATTCAGCTCCGGGTAGTCTCGCTCGGGGATCGAGTTCACGAAGGTATTGCAGCTGACGTCCCGCATTGAGATACCGGCACTGCACTGCCCGCGGCACACGACACGCACCTCGTCAACGCCTCCTCCGGATCCAGTTGGTCTGCGATGGCCCGCTTCACGGCGTCCGCAGTCCGCTCCGCTTGAGCGTTGATGGACCAGATGGGGCTCGTCGGGGGAGCATCGACGGGCGACTTCGGGCGCGCGTCTCGACGCGGCTCCCCGTCCTCCCAGGTAGGGAACAGACGGATCATGCCATCCAGCGACTGCTCCTTGCGGCATATAGGGCACGAAGGCGTATTGGCGAAGTGGAATGTCGTGCAGCTGAGGCAGAAGACGTGGCCGCACGCGGCCGCCATGGGTGACGACGTGTCGCCGAGGGTGTCCCTGCAAATGATGCAGTAGATGGAGGGCATGGCGGCGGAGGGAGGGCTATGGGGGAGGCGAGGAGGTCGTGGTCGGAGACAAGGCTAGCTAGAGTCTGGACGCGTCCGAGCTTCTCGGAGGGCGCGCCGGACCGCGTTGCTTACGTGATGGATCTGAAAAGTTATTCGGCGCTCATGGCATGTGCTCTGCCTTTGTTTCTGCCCTTACCCATCCTCACATCCTCTTTTACTTCCAAAGCACCATGGCGTCGCTGCTGAAAGAGCAGAAGAAGGCGAAAGGGAAGCGCAAGGCGGACGCGATGGATGTGGACCAAGGGGACGCCCCCGTGACCAAGAAACCGAGAAACAAGCAGCGAGTGCTAATGCTCTCCTCGCGCGGGATCACCCATCGCATGCGCCACCTTATGAACGACTTGGAGGTTCTCTTGCCACATGTGAAGAAGGGTGCGCACTGTTATATCGCCTGCATTCGTCCTCTCACCGTTTATGACGTGCGTAGACTCCAAACTCGACTCCAAAAACCAGTTGAACCTTCTGCCTGAGTTGGCCGACCTGCACAATTGCAACAACACGCTCTACTTTGAGGCGCGGCGGCATGAGGACCTCTACATGTGGGCGGCGAAGACGCCCAACGGGCCAAGCATCAAGCTTCACGTGCAGAACGTACACACCATGGACGAACTCAAGATGACGGGGAACTGCTTGAAGGGCAGCCGGGGCGTGCTGAGCTTCGACAAGGCGTTCGACGAGAGCGAGTGGGGGAAGCTCACGAAGGAGGTCTTCACGCACGTACGTCGTTCGCGCCCTGGTCAAAGTCTGGTGTTTGAGCGTTTGAGCGTTCTCTGCAGATCTTCGGCGTGCCCCCACAGGCGCGGAAAGCGAAGCCGTTCGTGGACCACATCCTCACGTTCTCCATCCTCGACAACAAAATCTGGTTCCGGAACTTCCAGGTCGGTGCGATATTGATTTGTGTCAATTGCTCGGGCCGACACATGCGTGCATAGATCGTGGAGAAAGACCCGCTGCAACCCAATGGCCCCCCGCAGACATCGCTGGTGGAGATCGGGCCCCGGTTTGTGCTTACGCCGATCCGGATTTTTGAGGGTGCGTTCAATGGCGCGACGGTGTACTCGAATCCAGGTGCGTCTCTACGCGACTACTGCCCGCTTCGTCGTCCCTGACGGGCGCTTGTGCAGAATTCGTGACCCCGGCGGCAGTTCGTGCAGCGATGAAACGCGAGAAAGGGGACAAGTACGGCAGCAGGAAGGACGCGCAGGCGGAGCGGGGGGTGCGGAAGGAGCTGCGGAGGCGAGAGGAGGACGAGCTGGCGGTGTCGAAGGTGTTTGCGTGAGCTGCGTGCATGTCATTCGCCCCTGTGCTATCCATCCTCTTTTCTCCCATGTGCATTGACCTGGTCTGCGCGCGTACCGAAGACGGCAAACGCGAGCGCCTGGGCCCCAGCGCGGTCCTGCGGCGGGAGTAGAAATGGAGGAAGCGAGAGCGTGCTGCGGTAGGTGCTCCCCTTCCCCGCCGTCCACGACACCCGCTCATCTCCTCCCCGCCCACGCCCGCCTCGCCCCGCCCAGTTTGTCCATCGCGATGCCCGCCTTCCCCGTCCAGTGCGCCCAGTGCCAGGAGCTCTTTCGCAGCCAGGCCAGCTTCGACGAGATGCACAGGCCCGAGACCGGCCACTCCTCCGTCTTCATCTGCCTCGAGTGCTTTGACACCTTCGACAACGACCCCGACCGGAGGCAGCACATGCTCGCCACCCGCCACCGCCCCCCTCTCGGCATCTGGTCTGCGCTCGCTGCCTCCCGTGGGATGGCCGAGCTCGAGCCGGGGGAGACAACCGCTGCCCCGCCACCCACGGAACCCGCACCGGCGGGCCCCTCGAGTCCGACTCCGACTCCTCCGACTCCGACTCTAGTCCCGAACCCGACTCCGACTCCGGCCCCTCCCCAAGAGTCTCGTTACATGTGTCCTACTTGCATGGCGCCGTTCCGAACTCGCAAGGTCTCGCGGCCGTGCGTTGTCCTCGCCCCCTCTCCCGTCCCCGTTTGCGCTGACGCCGCACGATCAACCCCGCTGCAGCACATCCAGAGTACGCTCTCGTGCGCGACGTGCCAAACATGCCTAGAGCCCACGCAGACCTTACAGGACCATTACTGGGATGCCCCCGCGCCGCGCATCCCAAATGCAAGCCCTGTGGGCGAGGGTTCGTCGACGAGGCCGCGCGGCTCACGGTACGTTTGTTCATCGACTATATTCGTCTGTCGCTCTCGAGCTGACATTCTCGCAGCACAAGGTAGATTGCCCTATTTCTCCGAGTCGCGCCGCAGGCAAGCGCCCGGCCACCGCGAGGCCTCCCTGGAGCAATTCGCCCCAGGCTGCCACCCCGGCTACTCCACCACCGCAGCCCCCTGTTGTCGAGGTGCGCGCATTTCGTAGTGACATGTGGTATTATCTCTGATTTTTTCATAGCAACCCTCGCTCCCCAGTGTAAGTGCTGAACCCTCAGTGACTGACAGCTTCGAGCCCCCCCGAGCCCCCTCTCCCTCGCCTCCTGCCACTCCATTCAGGTGTTCTCCATGAGGATCGCCGAGGAGGAACCGCCTCCGCCTGTAAACGGCCGACCAACGGCGGCATTCGGCCGCACCAACCACAAATGGCGCGCCCTCGGTCTCAGGGTCCACCGTGTTTCCCTCCAGAACCACATCTCCCTCCGCGGTGTCCATATCGTCGTCCTGGGGGCGACCGCCCAGCGTCAACAGCCCCTCTCCCAAGGAGTCCCCGCTCGCGACCCCCGTCACGGTGCCGTTGCCAGTCGCCCCGCCACCCCGGGTCAGTTCAGCTTGCCCCTCCGGATGCGCCTCGCAGACGCCCGATACTAACCCACCTCCCCGCCTCAGACGATCCGCCCCCCTCGGCAGTCCGCCGCGGGCCCGGCCAAGACCCTCTCGTGGCACTGCAGGGCCTGCATGCGGGATCCGTGCCGGGAGCCGGTGACCACGGTCTGCGGACACGTGTTCTGCCGCAGGTGAGCGACCGTTCCACCCAGTTCGTCCGGTGCCACAGCCCAGGGCTCGCTAACACCGGCTGTCGCGCGGCAGCTGCTTCCTGCGGGAGCTGGACACGAAGATGTGCTGCCCGGTCTGCAAGACGCTGTTCCTGGTTCGGCTGCATGTCGCGCTTGACGTGTGAGAGGGAGGGAGAGAGAGGGAGAGGGAGAGAGATGGCGTGGGAAACAATCATGCTAGATACAATGTGTTGAAGTAGCCTCTTTGCGGGCCAGGATGAAGGACCCTTGGTATGTGTGATGTTCCATAAACAGAGTCTTTTGAGCCGAACTAATATACGAGTTTCCTGAACGCGCTCATTACCTTGTCCTTACCCAGGTTGACATTGAGGCTCGGCTCATGGGATACCTGGCTTGTGACCACTATTGTATCGGATCCAGACTGCTTCATCCGAACGGGGGACGGCTCAAGGTCAGCCATAGTAAGCGTGCCCGAACATTTGTATCAACTTTCCATCACCCTCCCTCACTCAATCTTTCTGGGACTTTCAAATTTTCGTCGCGGAGTGTTCAGCCGGGGCGGGTGATAACAGATGACTCCGCAAGCCATCCCCCACGCATTTCCGAGATCCACCAACCCAATTCTGGACCTGTGTCATTGCGTAGAACTCTTGTGTCCGGCTTTGGTTGTTTGCTACCGTCGAAAGGTTTCCTCTCCAATATTTAATTCCTGTCGTTTTTGTTCCGTGAGTCCAGCAAGATGAAGATATCTACGAGATATCTTTGCTACACAAGTAGTCAGAACATCTCCGATGGACACTTCTTCGCGGTTTTGGCGCGAGAGTGGATTGATTATGAAGTCCGTGCGAGGCCTCTGTGCGGGCAATTGGGTGGCACCTCCGGCTTCGACCTCATCCGCTACCTCGCATTATATTTATCCTGGTCCTTCCCCACAACGCCAAGTCGTCCCCATCCGTACTTGACCCCGTACTATAGACGAGGCTGACAGACTGACATCTACGCATATAAATCGCTATTCTGATCACTTGGCAGCACACTCAGGCGGAGCGCAAGAGCTCCTCGAAAGTCTTCCATTTCCAGAACTTCTCTCCGGGGTTGACAAGCTCGTTGTGGCAGTCGGCAGAGTAGTCCGCGAGGCCTTCCTCGATGAGGACCCTGCGCCGCGAGCGTCAGCTCGAGCTTCTAACGGGAATGTAATGGACTGACCCGGCATAGAGGACGAAGGCGGAGACGTCCTTGGGCGGGTAGATGGCCTTGAGGGTGTCCCTGGCGTGCTTGGCGTCAAAGGGCTTGAGGGTGATGTCGAGGCCCTTGGCGCTCTTGACGGCGTGGACGATGTCGGCGCTGGTGACGAACTGGCTGGCGATGCGGACGCCGTCCTGGGGGCGGGGACGCTGGCGCGCGTCGCGGGGTCGCGCGCGAGGACGGCGAGGCGGGCGAGAGTGCGCGCGATGTCGGGGAAGTCGGTGAGCGCCATGCGCTTTCCCGGGGCGAAGCCGATGGTGCTGGCGGTGGCCCAGTCGATGGACATGTGGGCGGCCCAGGGCATGAAGACGCCGGAGGCGACGGGGATGACGACGAGGTCAGAGCCTTTGGCGAGCTCGATGGCGGTGGCGCGGTTCGCGAGCTTGCTCGCCCAGTCCGGGTGCTCGTACCCCGGGAAGTCGATGTTGCGGAGGTCGCTGGGAGCGGATGAGGGTGAGCCGGGCGGGCGGCGGGCGGGGGAAGAGAAGGGGGCGCTTACTTTCCGAACTCGGACGTGAAGAAGACCTGGACGCCGTTGCGAATGAGGGCGGGGACGAGGTCCGGGAGGATGGTGGTCTCGAGGGAAGTGGGGAGGATGTTCGCGACGACGGCGGCGCCGACGAGGACGGTGTCCAGGGAGTCGCTGAACGCGAAGGCGTGCGCGCCAAGCGCGATGAGCTCCTTCGCCTTGGCGGAGGCCGGGTCGCGGGTCGTGAAGCGGACGACGGGGTAAGTGTCCTTGTACTCCTCCACGAGAGTCTTGACGATGGGGTAGCCTGTCGGAGCGGATGGGCGTGGTTAACTACGGTCAGTTTGAATTTGATCGGGAGGGGCTCACCGAGGTTACCGGTGCCTCCGAGAACGACAAAGGTGGACATCTTGATTCTTGCGGCTGGTTGGTACTGTTTTCACTGCTTCGAGCTTGGTTGAGTCGTTTCTGTCCGTTCCATGAGCAGCTGCAGACTTGTTTTATATGTCCCTGCGGGATCAACATCAGCGATGTTCTACCCAAAGCAAAGGCCGATTGAGGTCCGATGTGTAAGTACCTGTCATGCCGGGCCCAGGGGATGGGTCAGCATGGAGGTGGAACGCGTACGCGAGCCCGCGGCTTTGCCATGCGCGATGCTGCGATGCTGCGGCACTGCAGGAGCTCGAGTGGGTCCTGTGAGGGTTCACCGACTTTTCTTCCGCACTGTGTAACACTCACCAAGGCGGAGACGCTTACACCCTCGGGGTCCCTCGCGCGATAATCAGCGTGTGCGCGGCGTGGGAGAGCGGGCCCCCCAGACGCGCAGTGATTAAACTTCAAACTCCGCTTGTGCGCTAATTATTGCGGCGGCGCGAGTCCCTGTAGCTACGTTGCTCAAGGAATCTACCTCTTCCGCGGCCCCTCAGTCTGGTACCAACGGCGAGTATGACTCTCGTAAGCCTCGCGAAATATTGCGCCAAGAGATAGTCGACCGCGGAATGCAGTGCACCAAGACGGTCGATCTCGAGAGTTTCTACAGGCCTAAACTCCTTTCTCACCACTCCCCGGAGGATGCGCCGAAGGGAGAGGACATCATCAGAGTTTGGGAGAGATTCCAATCCGCAATGAAACTCAATGTGCCAGACAGAAAATTCAAAGAGAAAGATGTCACCGATGCATGGGTGTGTCCTTCGTTTGCTCTTACGTTACCTGCCTTGAGTCTCACGCATACTGGCTCAGGCTGACCTCGACCGCCAGGGAAGCTCTGTCCCAACCACACCTTCCAGATTTCCACACGCAAGGCAGATAAAAACGAGACGACGAAGTCGGAGCTCGACGGCGGCTTCTTCCACATCAATGACACTCGGTTCCTCTCCAAGGGTGTCCCTAGCTGGGACTATTCGCGCTTCCCCGTCGAGTTTAAGAACGGCAAGTCCTTGGACGATAGTCTGTCGCGCCTTGACGTGCGAGCAGCTCTACGCGTATACCGACCGTCTTCTCCATGCTCAACATCGCACCAAGGTCTACACGCTTGTCGTCAATGGCCCCGAGTTCCGTCTCTTGTACTGGGACCGCTCTGGTGTGGTGGTGAGCCATGCGTATCCTATGTGGCGACTCAGACGGACACAGAGCGCCTCCTCCGCCTCCTTGTCGACCTCTCCCGTCTACGGGACGAGGACGCGGGCCTCGATCCCACTGCACACCGCCTCTCCCAGGATTCATGTGGCTACCTGCGTATGTCGCAGGTCGCTGAAGCAGATAGCTTCGATCTCGACGAACAATACACCACCACACACAACCCTACTAAGATCCCTGCCGGCCTCCGCGACGTGCGCTGCGACTGTAAGCCATTTGCATCCGACGGCGACTACTCAGATCCTCGGAAGACGATGGATGGCGACAAGCGAATGTGGCCAGTGCCGCGCGGTACCTTCAAGTATGTACGCAAGTTCTTCAGGGACTCGTTGGAGGACAACGCTCTGCGATATATGCTCGAGGTCGAGGGCAAGTACTACCTCGTGTGTCGTTCCGTCGTCCGCTCGCACGGGCCGTCGGACGAGGGACTCGCGGGTGGCCCGCGCTGGAATGGCACACCCAACGCCTGGTTTTTCTCAAAGACGCCTGGCATTCGCACTGCGAGCGCGCGGAGCCGGAACACGACATCCTCCGGAAACTCAACGAGGCCGAGCTGCCTGGTGTCCCCACCTTGGTCGCCTCCGAGACATACGCCGGGCAACTGACCCATCTGTCTTTGATCACGGGCGTCACCAACCCCGCAGAACTGAATCCTTCCCCATCCAACCCCCTGTCCCCCTCATCGTCCAGTGCCACCGCCTCTCAGATGCACAGCCCGCCTCATGTGTTCTACCGGGACCTTCCCTTCCGTCTTGACCCATCGACTTTCGATAGTTGCGCAAACAAGTCGGCCACCGACGCTGGCGCCGATCCAGGAGAAGACGTTCAGGGCGTGAGACACTTCCAGCACGTTCGCATGGTGGTCGACGAGTTCTGCCTTCCGCTGAGTGCATTCCGCTGTGGACATGATCTCGTTTCGGCCATCTTCGATGCCATATTGGGTGAGCACTGAGCTAGCCCGGCATGCTACAGCAATGCTAACGGCTTTGTAGCCCATCAGCGAGCTTACAACGATTGCAATCTACTTCATCGAGACATCAGCGCAGGGAACATCCTCCTTCTTCCACGACTCTCAGAAACTGCGGATGGAAAGCTGCGAATCACTTGGAATGGGATCCTGACGGATTGGGAAATGGCGAAGGGCATAAGTCCAATCGAGCAGAGACAGCATGTGAGGACGGTAAGCACAACCATTTTCGATTGCCGTGCACGACCTCAATTGAGGCTCTGTAGGGCACATGGGCGTTCATGTCTGTGTTATGCCAGATTGATGCGACTAGAACCTCCGAGGTCAGCGATGAACTCGAATCATTCTTCCATGTGCTTGTCTACATGGTCCTCACTCGCATGCGCATTAACTGGACTGCAAGCATCATCAACGACTTCGTAGCAGACTACTTCCATCACAGTCGACACAGCATGGGTGGCGGTCAAACGTGCAGCTTGATCCGCGAGATGTACATTAAAGACGGCGTCCTCGAGGCTAGCCACACCCCACTCCAAGTCCACTCGGTCGACGACGAAGGGGAACGAGTTTTCGAGCACCCAATGAACGAGCTCCTCTCCTCGCTTCTTGGCCGGTTCCGTGCTCGCTTTCTCGTCCATCAATGGGACCGCAGGAACCCCTCGGCAGCGCATCCAGATCCCACTATCACAGTTTTGAGGCAGGCCGCTGAACACCTCAACACCCATAATGCCACCCTGGAGATGCTCAAGGATTACCGGGACAGGGAGGACTGGCCTCGTGAAGACATGACCACACCTCCGATGGGTGACAAGCGTCCTCGGCCACGGATGAGGAGGGGATGGAGAGGCAGTCGAAAAAGGCGAAGTCTACGCAAGCTCTATCTACCGGTTCCAGTAGCTCAACGTAGACCTTATAGATTATCATGCTCGCCTGTTGTTAATGCACGCGTGCTGACGGTCACCAAGCGGCAGGTACCATCCTCGTAATAGATTATAATCCAAGTCCATGTACGCTAGGTAACAATGCATCATCAGTCACTCCCTTCGACCAGCGCGCGCTACGCCAACGGCTGCTCTTCCTCACGGGGGCGGTGGCAGCGCAGCCTCCGTCTTCTCACCCGCGTCGCCGTTGGCCGCTGGCGCGGGCAGCGGCAGCAGGGCGTCGTTCGCGGACGGTCCGAAGCCCTTCGGCGGCGTCGGCGGCGGCACCTCGTCTCCACCCTCCGGCTCCGCGACGAGCGGCTTCTCCGGAATGGCCACGCTCGGCTGTGTCTGGGGCTGGTGCTGGGGCTGAGGTGGGAGGCGCGGGCGAGGGGCGTTGTCGCCCATCGGGTCCACCGCTGGCACCGGTGTGCCTGCCGCGAGAGCGGGTCCGGGGACGGCGTGAACCCGGGGGACGGCGAGTGCGCAAAGGTGGGCGGGAGCGCCTTCTCGACGATGACGGGCGTCGCGGGGCAGGCTCGGTTTGCGGCCGTTGAGCGTGCCGGCGCGGGCGAGCATGCCCTTGAACCGGCTCTGCGGCTGTGCCTGTGCGTACACTTGCGGCTGAGGGACTGTCGGCTGGGCAGGCTGCTGGGGTGCCGGCGCGGGTTGGCGGACGACGACGGACTTCTCAGAGACGATGGTCTCGAGCATGGCGGTTGGCGCAGTGACGTTCTTGAGGCCTGTGAGCTTTTCCTGGAGGTAACGAGCATCCGCGAGCATCCTGTGAAATGGCGGTGTCAACAGAATGTCTTAACTCGACACTCGATAGGGTGGGCTTACCTCCCCTTCGCTTCCATCGACGGCAGCTCGATTTTGGTGTACTCCTCAGACAATCGGTGATTGAGGGCAGCAAACACCTGGGTCATGACGTACTAATGCCAGTCTTGTGAGCACGGATACCGTCACAATGCCAGGGAGACTCATACCTCCACGACCGAAGCAGGCAGATACCGCGACAGCACTTTGTGCAAAGTGACGGTCTCCTTGATCAGCACCTCCATGTACTCGTTGACGCCTTCCTTGGGCACATCCCACTTGACGGCCTATCGGGAGAACCCAATTTTAACGCGAAAATGACTTCGCGGAGCAGATGAACGGACCTGGAGTGTACGAATGTGCGCAGTCAGGCGGTCGCCCATGATCGCAATCAGCTTCGCGTGAATCTCGTTCTGGTGCTCTTGGTAATCCTGCGCAAGGGTCAGTAACAAACCTCGGCTCGCAGGCAAGCATCTCAGACGCACCCGCTTGAGCTTGTCGAACTCGATTAGCATGACCGCTTGCTTTTGGCTCAGGTGACGACGGAACGTTTCTCGGACATACGGAATGAGAGAGATCATGATCGCCAGCGACTGCGATGCGAGCGCTACAAACACAACCTCTTCAGTCATCCACACACATGAAGAGGGGACGCACGTACCAAGGTGCTTCGCCGTGATGTTCTTGAGCCCCGCAGAGCGCATCGCCCCCGCTCCAAGCACGACTTGACACGTGCGCGAGTTGAAGCTCTTGAGCAACTCGATGATCCGCGCCATCGTGTCCGTCGTGAGCAGCGGCAGGTTCGTGATCACACGGAGGTAGTCGACGAGGAGCACAAGTACGTCCAGCGTCGCGCCGACCGCGAAGTAGGCCCGATCCTCGACACGTAGGTGCTTCGTTGGGGCGTTTGCTGAACGTCGGCGGGCAGCTCGCCCGGGCGATGGGGGGAAGTTTGGTGAGGGGAGGGGGGACGAGGGACGTGGTTGGCCGTTGAGGGCGAAATTAGGGGAAGTGGGTGGCGGGGAGTTTGGAGGAAGGGGCGAAAGGGTGTTTGGGGGAGGGCGGTTGAGTGGAAGTTCGGGAGGGTCGAAATGGAGGCGTCAACGACGATGTCAACTGAACGTTGGACAGAGGGGGCGACTTCTGCCGCATTCCACTGCTCGTCTTCCACCAGTTTCGCGCACAGGTTGAGCTGAGTTTGATGGAAATGTTGCAAGAACGTCTTCGCCTGGACGGAACGATGCCCATTGAAGCAGTATACACAACCATCGTAGAAGTTACATACCTGGCTGACAATTGTGCCTCGAAGTCCAACAATCATGCGCCTGCAAATCGTTTCTGACTTGACGACAAACTCCCACGACTCGTTGAACAAGGCGCAGAAACTTGGAAGGTCCAAAGCAGTATGCTGCTCGGCGCGAATGCTGATGACCTTTGACGCGCGTGCGTTCGCAAGCTCGGCTGCAGAGGATAGAATGTCCGAGAGCTCCTCTTGGAGTGCAGTGATATCCACTGGTGCTCTCGGAGATCTGCCAGAGCTGTCAATGAGCTGTTGCAGCCCATTCGACGGATAACTCACTGAATGCTCTGGATGACCTCAATGATGATCGCGCCTTGTCGATGCAAGCCTTCAATGGAGTTCAAAAGGCCCTTATATACGGAACGTATAAGGTCGATGAATGTCCCATGCTCCATTGCACGCAGCTCTGTGGCAGCAGGAGACCTGAAATATGGTTGTCATTTGGAGGGTCCTCTCGTACATGTATGCTATGAAACACATACTGGAACAGCGCCGCGTCGTCATCATCTGCTTCGAGCAGTGGTGTCCGCTTTTGAAAATGTCAATGCCAGCTCCGTATGAGGGACAGCGTTCACGTACCCGTTTGATAACGCCGCGCACTTCCGTCATGACAATGTCTCGCCAATTCAGCGTCGCCTCGAGGATGCCCTTCGTGCGCACCAATGACTGGAGCGACGGCCGAAGACGATCCCGGAGCGAAGCGTTGAACTCTTGCCGTCGTGCTTCGGACCACATATCCTGGTTCGTGTCTATACGTTCCAGAAGGTCATGTCGAAGGAGGGTTACAAACTCGGACGTGAGTGATGTCGTGATCTCCATGGTGAGTGTCCGCAGGTGTTCCGGCAGCGCAGAGAACGCTTTGAGTGAGGACAGTGGTATTGAGGGGGCGGGAGGAGGCGCCGCCGGCGAGGGAGAGGCGGGAGGCGACTCCTCGACAGTGGGGAGGGGTGACGAGCGGCCGTTCTTTGGAGGTATTGGAGGTGCTGGTTCCATCGCCTTGGATTTCTCCAGTGTCCAAAGCTTCTCGAGCTCCTCGATCATGTCCAGGGCCTCCCTCCACTGGCCTGCACCGACCAGACTCCTCGCAATCCCGGACATTTCCATGACGTTGCCCACATACCGGACGCTGTCCTTCACCGTGCCCAGATTTCTCATCTTAACCTCCTTCCGCACGATCTGCAGCCCTCGCTTGGCGCCGTTTTCGTCGACGTCTTTGAGGAGGCCGCGAAGCTGAGATATCCGGTCCAAACATTGCTCCGACTCCGTCTGCAAGTCTTGTAGGTTCGATAAGGCGGCGAAGAACGAGGTCGAGCGAACGGAGATTTCGCGGATGAGGTGCTGCTCGATGGTGTCCGCATAGTGGGAGAGCTTCTCCAGCAGCGGCAGGGACTGGGCGAGGGAAGAGGGGTCCGAGTACTCGTCGTCGTCGTCCTGCTCAGTCACCACGTTAAATGTCCGCGGGTCTCCTAGGTTGAACTCGCGTTCGAAGAACACGGTTGGCACGGTCTCCAACGGGGGCATCGCCTTTCCGGGCGGTGGGCGAGGCGTCCTCGGCGTCATGGGCACCTCCATTGTCGCTACAGTTGATGACCGTGTATCGTCGTCGATTCGCGCGGCGCCGTCCCGACCCTGTTCCGCATTTTGGAGGAAGCGTTCCCATTCCGGTGTGATGGCGCGGAGGTAAGAGTCGAAGTCCTTCCTGCGGACGCGTGGAAGGTCCGCAGGGGGCACCGCTGGGAGACCGGAGTGCGCCTTGGGGGGTGCAGATTTCTTGTGCGGGTTGTTGACCACGGTCGAGATGGCTGCGAGTCGTAAACTCGTTAGATGACATTCTCAGGTTTTGTCGGTCTGCGCGCACCGTTAAAACCATGTCGCGTGCTGCTCCATTCCGGCGGAAGGGAACCAAGGGAAGTCGCCGACGCATTGTGAAAGAGGTCGTACGGTGCACTTGCCCCTAGGTAGTCTCCTCCTCTTCCTTCTGTTGTCTCAGAGACACTTCCCGGGCCAGGTCGTCTTGATTCGTAGTTGAACCTGTAGGAGCGAGATGCAGTAAATGTAGGGAGCTCCCCAACAGGTGACCCGGGACGCGAGGGTGTAGAGGCGTAGTCAGACATCAGCAAGACGCAGTGTCGACGGAGGATATCAGAGGGACATGCAGAGCGAACTGTGGGAGGAGGTGAGGAGGAAGGTGGGTGTTCGGGAGTACTGCCTGCACGGTGGCGTGTAAGCGCGCCGGGCCGCGGACGGAAATGCGAATCCGTGATTATATCACCATTGTAAGTCGACTAACCCTCGAATCCAGGGGTCAAGCTTGGGTCAAGCGCATCTATAATGGGCGTCTCAATGCCGTCGCGCGGTCTCGGTCTGGAGCGCTCGTTGCTGCTTCGCCGTTCGTCGTCGCTCATAAGCATGGCGAGCCCACTCGCGCTCTCCCTCCCGCCCCCACTCCGCCACCTCTTCTCTCTCTTCCCCCTCTACACACATCCTGAAATCTCCTCCCCCGACAAAGCGCGCCCGGTCACCTCTCCCACGCTCTGGATACAGGAACCCTGGAGCCCTAACGCCGATGTCCTGAGTAGCGACGTCGAATGCCTCAAGTGGCAGGCCTACCTTGCCCTTCGCGGTCTCTCCGACATCGTAGTACGATGGGACATCGCCCTTGACGGTGCGCTGGAAGCCCGGCTACCCAACCTCCACGTACCCCTCCGGACACTCCCCGGCGCATCGCCGGAAGTCAAGGCGCAGGATGACGGGGAGGGCGAGCTCTTGCCTGCGCATCTGATTCCAGAATGGGTAGATGGCCAGATTGGCTCTTTGAACGATCTGGAGGGCTATGTGGACGTCGCGGCTAGGGACGAAAGCCGCGCGTGGGTTGCGCTCTTGGAGGGTAATGTGCATGCTGCGCTGGTGCGTCTCAAATTCCGTGGAACTCCAAGTGATATGCTTATGGTCTCGTAGGTCCTGGGCTCTTCCAGCACGCCCTCCTTCTTGTCCCTGATCTCGCCGTACCAACACAAACCACGACCTCTGGAGACTATTCTCCCGCATCCACCCGCGACTCTTTTCGGCATTAGCTCGCTGCTTCCTCCATACGGCACCCACGTCAACGTGGAGACGGTAGAACAGCAGTACAAGGATGCTATCGCCTCGCTCTCTGAGCGGTTGGCCACGGATAAGTGGTTCCTGGGCTCGTCGTGAGTATCATCTCAATTTGCCACTGCTTCTACTTAACGTCCGGCATCCCAAGGGCCCCAACCGCATTGGACGCGCTCGTGTTCGCCTACCTCCACTGCATTCTGCACTCGAAGGAACATACACTCCGGTTCGAGGTCACCCGGCGCGTCAACCTGGTCGCCTGGGAGCGGAATGTGCAAACCCAAGTCCGCAGCGCGTTCCGTCCGCGTGACGCTATCAATGCATGAAGCTCGAACATATAACCACACTGTACCTCCCGCCGGGCCATACAATAGATATCCGTAATACACCCTTGTACGCCTACGCTGGTCGTGCAAATCCCATTACAAACTGAAGCTTCGCGATGATCTACATGCACGAAACGTTGCCTCAAGCTCTAGTTATGCGTTCTCCCCGCCCTTCAACATTCCGCCTTGTCCGTCACGTCGCCGATGGAAAGTAGCACGCTCACGAGCACATGTCGTGTGCCACCGCTCTCGTCACGTCTGGCCATCCGGTCCAGCATGCCCGAGGCCGTGGTCGTCGCCGCACTGCCGGACGTCATCGTGGAGGACATCGCCGCGTCCGTGGCCCAACTGCTGGCGGTATCGTCCGCGTCCGCGGCCGTGTCCGTTGTTGCGGCGGAGTCTGGCCCCAGTGCAAGCGTTGCGGCAGCACTAGTTTGCGTGAAGGAGGAGCCCATGGTGGAAGACGGATCCGCGGAGGGAGTAGAAGTCGCGGTCGCGGTCGTCGCGTCGGGGTCCGTGGAAAGCACATCGGCGGAGGTGGCGGTGGAATCCGTCGCTGCTTCAGTCGCGTTCGCGGGTGGGATGGTGCCGCTATCCGTAGACAGGTCGGTCATCGCAGCGTCGAGCGAGGTCGATGTCAGGCTCATCGAACTGGACGTGGAGCCATCGGTCATCGGCATGGTTATGATTGCGGTGGTGGTATTGTCAGATGCCCAATATTCCACTATATGTCGTCGATGAGCACTTGATCCGTCGTCGAAAGCGATGATGCTTACGCTCCAGCGTGTAGAGTCCTTTCTCCACCTCTGGGACATCAATGCTCACATTCCCGCTGGACCAGTCAATCGTGTCATTAGTGAGGACCGCTGAAAAACCGCCATTGAGCAAAGAGACAGCACAGAGCGTTAGAGTGCTCAAATTTCAAGCTCACCATGCGTGTTTTCAGTCCCGTTCCATTTGAGCCAGAGTGTCACATTCACGGCGTCAGATAAACTGGCTCCCCTGACAAAAGCATCGCTGGATGAATAACTTCTCGAGTCGGACGGCGAGATGACTTACCACGTAATTAATACGGGCTGCCTCCAATATAGATGCGTGCACTGTGTATCGAGGGGTAACGCCCACGATAAGCGTGCGACGAAGCATAGGAAGAGGAAGTAGATGGAGCTTTCAATGCGCATACTGCTGGGTTGCTAGAGCTTGAGCGAAAAAGACAGGGTGGAGTATCGTTTCCTCGGCGAGCCGAATCCACGATATATGTAGGCTCGAGCACAATTGAGACGGTGCTTTCGCAATGAGGCATGCTTCTTCGTTTTGAAAGCACAAGTACAACATCATCCATCATACAGCGTTTCAAATAGTTGCTATGGATGAATCTGCTAGGAATGTTAGCCCACGCAAGAATAGCAACCTTTATTATGGCGAGCGAGTGGTACATACCGTAGGTCTCACAACACAAGCGTAGTGACTGAGCATGTTGTCCTGTCAGCGCTGCAACAACATTAGCCCACCACACAAGCCGTCGACGACTTCCCGCTCGCCTCCGCGCCCTCCACAACCACCTTATTATCCCCATCGTGGTTCCACCCCGGCATGTCCGCGAGGTCCTTCGCTGGCGCCGCCCGGCGCGACTTGCGCGCATCGCCCGAACCCGGCCGCCACCTCCACGCCCGACGCAGTCCTCCTGCAGCGTGCCCTCGAGCAGGTCCACGACGTACTTCCCAATCTGCCCCCACGCCCGAGATCAGCGTCCACTCCTCAAAGACTTCGCCCCGCCACCGCCACTCACGATGGGAAGCAGCTTGAACGAGTGCCCGCTGTCGCCCGTCGCGAGCACGAACCCGGCCCACCGCGGGTGCTCGCAGACGAGCAGGTTCGCGTCCGCCGTGTCCGTGCACCAGCACAGCGCGCGGTTGAAGAGCGGCCGGTCCGCGAAGCGCGGCAGGAACGTGGACACGGCGCGCCGGATCGTCGCCTCGGACGCGTCGGGGTACGTGTCCGTCGGGTGCGCGGCGTGCGAGCGCGGGACGGAGACGGGCGTGGGCGCGGGCGCGCCGAACGGCTGGACCGTCTTGTAGCGCGTGAAGCCGGGGAACTCGTCGCAGACCTTGATCACGCCGTGGCTGGAGGGGCGCGGGGGGCTGGTGAGCAGGAGATGGGGGAGGGGAGGGGTGCCGGGGCGCACTCGTCAGGCTCGAAGAAGAAGCCGATGTCCTCGTTGTAGACGACGGGGCAGCCGGCGTATTCCTTGACCTCGTCGGAGGTGAGCTGCAGGTGCGCATACACCCAGGCCTGTATCAAAGAGACGGTGAGATAGCGCATGACGTATGGGAGCACGACGTGCTTACCTTGGAACAACACTGTTCCTCCAAGTCTACCAGGGCTGGCGACCACGCTCCGGTGGCGAGGACAACCCGGTCCGCTAGATATCTAGTCCCGTCTTTCGCGACCGCACCCAAGCAAGTCATTCTGTCGTCAGATAGGATCAGGCTCTGAAAAGCGCCGGACCTTCAGTACAAGCACACTTAATGAGCCGCCATTGAGAGCAGAGGTGATGAGAAAAAAAGGGTATGAACTCACTCTCCAAAGCTGAACTGAACGCCATGTGCGGCAAGCTCGCGTCCGACCGAGTCGATCGCCTTCCTCGCCGCAAGCCATCCTCCCTCCTGAAACCAGATGCCCTTCCAACCCTGCAGGCAGATTCAACACACGTGCGATTAATTCGTGCGAGCACACGCACCTTGATCTCGCACCCCGTGAGCTGTGGAACGCGCCTGACGATCGCGTCCTCGCCGTCCAGCCACTCCACCGTATGCCCCAGTCCCGCATCCTTCAGCTTCTCGTACTCGTGCTCAACCCCCTTGATACCCTCCGGAGACCCACTACAGTCAATCTACCAACACCCGCTCAGCGTCCGGCCGGCCCGACGCAAGAGCACGCACCCGCCCCGTCCGATGGTAGAACTCGCGGAACGTTGCGTCCCCGGCCCACATCGCCTCCGCCTCGGCGCTCAGCTGGCGGTCGACCGGGTTGCGGAGGCTGGTGCCCATGATCTTGTTGAGGTCGTTGCCCGCGCTCTGCGCGCTCGGGAGCGGGTAGACGTCGAGCACGCGCACGTTGCGGTACCCGCGCCGCGCGAGGTGCAGCGCCGTCGAGCTCCCGAGCGTGCCGCCGCCGCCGAAGACGAGGATGGGGGAGTCGTGGGTGAGAGGGGCGACCATGGGCGGAGCGGGAGGATGTACGCGGAGCAGCGCCGTGAGCAACTTCGAAACGCGTCGAGACTGAGCAGGACCGAGCCCGCCTGGTTCTGGTGGGTTGGTGGCGCACTGGGCCATGGGTGTGGTCGGCACGTCGGCCCGGCGATAGCAGGCTTGGTTCAACCGAAAGGCTAACGTTTTGAATTTAGGTCTGCCTTTGACTTTCTTCCATCCTCATTCACGTCTAAGGTCTTCCCCATGTTCGGTTGAGTCGTCGCCCCGTCGCATCGGTTCGTGTTCGTTCACAGTTGATTGAGTGGGAGTGACCAGGAGTGACCCCGGCAACGCGACAAATCTCGCCCCCGGTTGCACCGAGATGATAGATCTTGACTACGCGAGATGCGAACCACTTGATTCGAGGTGGAAATCGCCGGTGAGGGGTGTTGACATTGATGTTCATCTGCCGCGTTCCACAGACCCTGCGCTCCCCGCCGACAAGCATTCCTCGCCTCAAGCAGTCCCACATCAGTACAACGAGGGCTGTCACGAGCCTCAACCATGCGCCCCAGGTCGCCATCCTCTCGATAGACACAAACGACGCCCCGACTCGCGGTGAACGCCCCAAGAAGGAAGGTGCTAATTCTAAATCCACGGCGTTCGAAAGCATTCCGCCATCAGCGCAGCCCGCGGCTTCCGCCTGATTCCAGGATGCATGTATCTGCGGTCGCCATCGAGTCCACGGACCACAAATGCCCGAGCTGCCCGCTCGCGCGCCGACGGCAAATCAAGCTTCGTATCCGACGCCTGCCGGCGGGCGGCGACACCTCCCCGGCGCGTGCGCTCGTTGCTTAGCAGACCGAAGAGCCAGAACGATGGGACGGGGACATGGACGACGCGAGATCAAAGTGGACGAACCCGATGCGCCGAGAGGCTATGGCGACGGCCAGCGAGACGACGCGCGGATTGCTGTCTGTCCACCGCTGTCAAATACCCTGGTGGGCTTTGATAGTTCACGTTCAACACCGGAGGAATGTCCCCATCGCCTGCAGGCAGTGAGGTGCAGTCCATCTCGGAAGATTACCGCCTCAATGATGCTGCTAGTGCCCATCACGCGCCACCGTGCATTCGATCCACAACGGTGTCTCATCTAACCATCCTGGAGAGCACCACATGAGCGCATCACCCCTCCAAACGCACACGAGAATCGTCTGGTCCGATCCCTTTGTATTGCGCTTGCGCACCAGCAGCCGGTTACAAACCGTAAGAATATCCAAGCCAACAGAGATGGTGTGAGAAAAAAAAAGGTAGCGCGCAGAGGAACCGCGCTCGTCGTGCTCGTGCCGCATCGTAAGGATGCGACGCCAACGTGTCAAGTAGAGGAGTGTGTAAGGTGCGTAACTGTCTGCAGCTGGGTATCCAGTCCGTGGTACATCCACCCAAGTCCGTGTCCGGAAGAAAGCAGGCCGACACGCCCAGCCTGGCCGGGCAAGCCCTGGGAGTTGGCGTCCTGCTCCTCGCGTGCGTCAGGTCATCGCGCTCAGAGGAGGAGGCCAGCGCGAGGCCGGCGAGCGAGACGAACGTGCCGGCGGCGCCGAGGGTGGTCGCGGAGTTGCCGGTCGCCTTGGCCGAAGGCGAGGAGGAGCTCCCGCTGGGCGAGCTGGAGGTAGGCGAGCTGACGCTGCCCGAGGACCCGGACGACGCCGCCGAGCTAGTGCTGTTGGAGGCGGCGGCGGGCGAACCGTTAACGGAGTTGGAGGAGGCAGCGGTGGTCTTGAACATGTCGAATGTCTTGGCCGCGGTGGGGTTCACCGCGAAGACCATACCCGCCTGGCAGTGCTTGGCCTGACGGCAGTAGAACCAAAGAGGGGCCGAGGCGTTGTTGATCGTGATCTGCCAGACGGGGACGTTGGCCGAAGTGGGGTCGACGAACTGGAAGCCGGAGTCGACACCGGTGACGGCACCAGAGGCGTCGGTGATGTTCGAGCAGGGGGCAGGGAACGTGGACTGGGTGACGGTGTGGTTCTTGTCCATGAACTGGAACTGGATGACATCGCCGTTGGCAACGCCGGTGAGCCTGCGGGCGATCGCGTCGATCAGGAGGGGCTGCGGGCGCGGCAGGAGGAAAGAAAAGAGACGAACTCGTTGGGGGTGTAGACAAGCTTGCCGGCCCCACCGACCTGGACGGTGTGGGTGGTCTGGGCCATGGCAAGACCAACGGGGAGGAGAGCGGCGGCGACAGTGGAGAAACGCATCTTGAACTTAAGAGTGGGCAACGAGCGGAAAGTTCGGGATAAGTTGGCGAAGACGAAGTAACCGACTCGAGACTAGAAGGGAAGTCAGCGGCCGAGCGAGGGGAACGGGAGCGGGGGACGTACCCTGCTCGTGGTGTGCTGGTGGCAAAGAGGACTGGGCTCGACAAAGAGAAGGGGAATGGAGCGAGAACCGCGGGGGGGAGGGCCTTATATTCACGCCCAGTCGCCGTGGAGACCCGTCGCCAGCGCCCATCGATCTCCGAGGACGCCTGATGGGCAGCCAATCCGGCGGCGCGGAGGCCTTGCCCTTCTCCCTCCTCTCCTCCTCCTACTTGCTCCCCATCAGCCATCACACCCGCCTGATGACCATCAGTCGCGCACAAATCGCGTCCAGTGGCCAGAGCCCAGCAGATGGCCTGGGAGTAGTGGCGGGGCGCCTGCACCATCCGGATCAGGCCTTCTCGAAGGCTAGCCGAAGGCCGCCTCGCCCCAAGTCCGCCCCGCGACTCGCGAGCCCAAAAAATAAACTCCCCTCTACTGGCCAGCCTTCACCGCACGTCCGGCATGCAAGATATGCTCGAACCTCTCACACACACTCCCACGCAGACCTTGATCGCCCATTGCGCACGGACAGTTCACCCCAAAGATACAGAGTTCATTGCGCTGCTTCGACCGTCCGCGGTCGCGACGTGCACTGCATATTCCAAGCCCGAGCTTAACACTCCGCGTTCCGTCTGCCGTGTATGGAACAACCCGTTCAGCTTTCGCCTCCGCAACCTCTCGAGTTGAGATGCACGGGAAGAGCCCAACTACAATTATCCCGGAGCAGAGACTGGACGGCAGCATCTCGGTCAAGCAATCCGCGCCTTTCACCCTGTTCCTCAACCACGTCAGCGTCTTTCTCCTTCTCTCACCCAGCTCGCGCACGCCTCTGCGAACGACACCCTCCACTCTGCTTCTAGGAAGCAACCATACGCCTGCCGCGCCGCGCTTGGCATCCGCATGCCGTCACTCCAGCGTTCCGCGTCCCCGCAAATCCACCGCATCCGTACCGTGCGCAGGCGGACGGACGGACGCCCACGCCTTGATCGGGCGCGCCTCGATGATTGCTGCACTCAAAGTGTCAAATTCGCCAAGCGTGCGCGACAAGGACGTCAGTACGTACGCACGCATCCGCGGCCCACCGTGCGCACGCCGTGCCCCCGCCGTGCGCCCGATGTGTATTCACTCACGCGGCCCTGCCCGCCAGCGTCGTCCACAGCGGACACGATCATCACCATCGAGATCAGCCGACCAACGCCAGTGGGCGGTGCACTCTGGTACTTAGGCGCTTAAGCACTCGAGTTGTACAGCCCGGCTTCCCGGACCGGAATGCACGTTTCTCCACGTTCAGCATCGACGCCGACACCGGGGTCGCGCTGGTGATGATAACATGCTGTGCGTTCGGTGGACCAGGGCAATCTGCAAGTTCGCGGTCGTTTGAAGCGCAAGCACTCACCGCCCGCAAGAAAATGACACATGTCGTGGACATCCCGTGCTCACTGCCTCTCCGATACACGCCCGCCCTCGCACTGCGGATGATGCACTTATCTTTGAGGGTTCGGGGGGCAATGATAGCCCCTGCCTGCGGGCCCTAGATTGGACACCCGCTACCGCCCTAGCGAGCGGTCGCGTGGTTAACTTGGCTCCCCGTAGCCCAGGACCACGGATATACCTGCCCTGGGGCGCCCTCGATTTACAGGGTGAGCGGCCGTCTAGACTCCGATCAGGGTGTGCCATGCTGGAGGGACGGATGAAGACGAGCAAAGGATGGCTACAGGATCGATCTCGAGTGCGCACGTTCTCGAATCAACGCCCTTGCCTCGCCCGGTCTGGAAACGCGGACCGCGACGGCGTTCGCGCGGAGGTTCATAAATTGGGACGCCCTCTCCGGATGCCGTGTCCGCACGCGCACAGGGAGGCGCGCCAACACCAAGAACTCGTCGCACAGACCTCGACTTCGCGCACCAGTCTCCGCAGCCTCGTGCCCACAGCCCGTGAACCAGGACCGCCGTCGTCCGCTGCATCGCGCACTCGGGCACACCCAGTGATCGTCAAGACGTCGAAGCTGGGGGCCCGCCAAGAGCACTGATAGACGTGTCCCCGATCGTGCCGGCACGCACGGTCGACCGTCAGCTGGAGGTTGCGACTCGCGAGCGAGCAAGCGGTGTCTATTTACGGGCCGAACACCTTTCGTAAACGACAACCGTATGGTCAGACGCGGACCCAGGCTGCAATCTGACCCACGAAGCCCAGATACATCAAGACCCGTATGATCTCCCCCTCCGCCCCCCGTCGCGCGATCTCTGCAGCCCCCAGGCCGGATGCGGAACGCGCCTCGGATGATCGTCCGGGCGTCTCCAGGGGCAACCACAACGCACGATCGAGCGATCGCAAGTGGCACTCGGTGTATTCGGAACCATCGACCTTCTGGAAAGCGGGCCGCCCGGGGGAACGGGCGCCTCGCGATCACTTGCTGCTCAGCAGCTCGAAGAACGCCTCCTGTGGAAGGTCGACCTTGCCGACGCGCTTCATCTTGCGCTTCGAGTCCTTCTGGTTGTTGAGGTGCTTGAGCTTGCGCTCATAGTGCCCTGACGGATGCGCTGTAAGCTTCCGGTCCGTGCGGCGCCATGATGCGGAGGCGGATACATACCGCCGTAGAGGCCCGCGGTGACATCCGCGCGCAGGGCAGAGAGCGTCCGGCGCGCGATGATGGTCTTTCCAACTGCGGCCTGGATCGGCACCTCAAATAGCTGTCGCGGAATAATTTTGACTGCGGATAAAGGATTGGCGTCGGTGGAAGAACGAAGAAAAAACGAGCGAGGCGCACATAGCTTCTCGACCCAATGGCGACCTGCCTCCTGGACGCGGCTCTCGTGCACGATGAGCGCAAGGGCATCCACGGGGCGCGAGTTGAGCAGAAATGTTATCTGGGTGACACCTGTCAGCCTGCGGCGCCACGGCCCCGGCGAAACACCGCGTACCTTGCGCAAGTCGCTCTTTTCGTACCCGGCGTCCTCGTAGCTGCAACCACGCGACATCGCCAAAGAAAGTCAGTTCGCACGTCAAACACACGGAAGCAAAGCGGCATGACGGCATGATGGGCTAGTTCGACGAGAAGGACAGGGAACGTACTCGAAGCTCGCAAAGCCAGAGCTCGGCCCTTGAGCTTGTCGAAAAAGCCTGTCACGATCTCGGACAGAGGCAGCGTGGCGGTCATGAAGATGCGGCTGACGTGCCGCTAACGTCCATTGGCTGCCAGTCGAGATTTGTTCCACGGTGCTCGTAGCAGAGGTCCATCATGGCGCTGAAGTGTTCTGCGGGCGCAGGACGATTCCGTGTGGCGTGGGGAGACGGTGGACCGGTGCCAGCAGTGGCAAACGGCGGAGCAATGAGCGAGAAGCGCGAAACCGGCGTGGGAAGTGAGCGGCAATGAGGAGCAAGGAGAAGTTAGCGCGGTGGTCGACGAAGGAGAACGAGTGAATGAGCACCTTCTGGGACGATAATCGAGGCCTTCACAATCGGTTCAAGGACTTCCTTTACGCGGCCCCCGGCGGCATAGTCGGCGGTGTCTGGGAAATCCGTGGGGTTGCTCACGAAAGATGTGCTTCCATCCCTGTGAACGACTGCACGCGCAGCACCATCCGCCGTGCCGTCGGGTGCCCGGTCAGTAGTCTATCTAGCGATATCTTGATAAACCCCGACAAATGTAGCCACCCACCCTGGTACGGTACCGTCGGCGCGGTGATGATGACGCTGGCGTCGTATTCATCTTCGAGCCTCTGTCGGAACACATCCATGTGCAATGTACCCAGGAAGCCAAGCCGACAGCCCTGGCCCAATGCGCTCGAGGTCTCTCGCATGACTTCTACACTGCGGTCTGTGAGACTGAGCTGCAAGCGGAGATAGGGGTCCATCAGCGAGGGGCGGTAGAGAACTCCGTGGCCCTAGGCACGAACCCTTCGAATCGATTCTTCGAGCTTGAGAAAGTCATTGTTGTCCACGGGATAGATTCCTGCATATACCTTGGGAAACACCGGGAATTATGTCGGCAGTCGGGAAAACATTACGGCGAATTGACTGACCATAGCCTTTGCCGGCCTGAAACCAGGCATGGGATCCACAGGGTGGCCCATGCGGTGGAACGTGTCTCCGATGTGGGCTTCATATAGAACGTCAGCAAATTCCAAATACACCGCAAACCTTCTGACCTTCGGTTGACTCTTTCATAGCACAAGCAACGAATCCAACCTGACCGGGACGCAGGCTCTCCGTAGGGACCTCTTCAGGATGCATGATTCCCAGTTCTGTCACTTCGTATCTTTTGTGGGTATGGGTGGAGGCTATCTTGTCCCCTATAGTAATGTTAGTGACTAGTAGGCGTGGGGGGGTGGGGACGGGCCTTTACGAAGGACACCACCCTGCACGCTCATCAAGGAGATGACACCACGGTATGGGTCATACCTATTGAAACGCTTGAGAGTTTGTAACGAAGCGTTTCATGGGAACTTACGAAGAGTCGAAGAGAAACGTCTTCAACAGTGCAGCAGGGTCCCCCGGGAGGAGGAATGCGCGTGATGATTGCTTCCAAAACCTTCTCGATACCAATGCCGGTCTTCGCAGAGATGGGAATGACATCGGCGGGATTAATGCCAAATGTGCCTGCATCTGTGCCGCGACTTGCTCAGGCTGCGCCGCAGGCAGATCAATCTAGGCAGACACGTTCAGGCAGCATGCAAGCACATGATAGTGATTGGGCGAACCTTGTTCAGCACGGGTATAATTGTAAGGCCCTTCTCCTTCGCAATGTGAAAGACAGATATTGATTGCGCCTGCACACCCTGCGAGGCATCCACTAGGAGGAGGGCACCCTGGCACGCCGCAAGTGACCGCGCGACCTCCCACGCAAAGTCAACGTGCCCCTATTGTCAATTAGCCAAGCTGGGCGCGGCACACCGCATACAGGGAAACCTACGGGAGTGTCGATTAGGTTAGGAGAAAGTTGGTGCCGTCCTTCTCATGAAACATGCTGCTCGATGAATGAGCGAACCATCGTTGAATTGGTCCTCGAAAGGCTCACCTGGCAGTCTGGGCTTTCACTGCACGCTTGATGTTTAAGTGACGCACGCTGGAAGGCGATGAGGTCACTGCTCAGCGCTCACCTGTGATGCCACGCTCCCGCTCAACCTTGAGCTTGTCCAGAACCTGCATATTTCTTCCCTTTTCTTTCTTCGCGATAGTCCCCGTCAACTGGTATCCATGCATGAGAGTCATCACAGATGCACGAGGCAATGCGCGTACTTCGAGTAGACTTCGGGCCAATTGAGCTTGGAAAACGCGGAACTGTGAAATGAGAACTGACCGATCCGCCAGAGTGGACTTCCCGTGGTCTTGAGACAGGAACGCTAAGAACCGGCACGCGCAGGAGCTTTGAGCCAAAAAAAACGCACCTATATGCGCGATGATTGAAAAGTTCCTGCACCAGAACGCGAGTTGGGGACTGTTCATACAGAATAGCATGACGTAGACACACCTAATGACTTCACATGGGAAGTTCTCCATGCCGATGGACACGCCCTTCGGTACGGCGGGCTTGAGAGCGGCCCCTGCATAACGGCCTGCAGTCGTTGAGAGCTCCCTGCTATGATACTGAATGATGCATGACGGAGGAATGCGTTTCTGGTGACGTTGGAAAGATCTCAAGCAGGCCTGCCGCCAGACTGGGTGCATCAGAAGTGGCCCGTGTGTCGATTGAAGTGCCGATTCCGCTTCAGCGTAGCTCCCAGAGTGTCGTGAGGATAAAGCCAAAGAATCTGCTGAACGTGAAGATGGTGGCCGAAGACGCGAGAGCAAGCATGCTCGCGTTTGGCCACGACGCATCTCGGGCCGCTTCAATGCCTGAACGGCAAAATCCGATTGCTTAGTCATAGCGCGTCTCAGCCCGCGGTGGCACGCTGCTCGAGGCTGCTCGCCGGTCGTCGCGGGTCCTTGTCTTGCGACCGCGACCATCCGCCCCTCCCCTCATATTCTTGCCATGTCCTTGGCCGACGCTCAGGAAGCGCGTAAGGCGCGTTTGCTTGCGCTTCGGAAGCGCAGAGCCGGCGAGGAGACCGAGTGAGTCACCGTTGAGCCAACACAACGTGTTCGACCTCTTGACATGCGTTCGCGTGCAGAGAAACATCGGAGTCGGTGATACAACACCGTTCATTTGACCCCGAGACCAGAACGCTGAAGAAGCGTATCCCTGGCGAAGACGTTGAAATGGAGGACACAGTGGAACATCAGGTGGACGGCATGGCGGAGCGCATAATCGCAGAGGATGCGGAGCGACGAGCGCAAGATCTGGTGCGTATTCCCGATGTTTCTCACGCGACGGTCGGCGGCGGACATCCTTCCGAGCCGACATAAGACATGGTCATGCCTGAACGAAAGACTGATGCGGATGTCGGTCACCTCTGGCTGGGGTATAAACCTCCGCGCCCACCTTGTGTGTTCCTCAATTCAAACAGCCACTTGGGTTCACTTGATTTGGTGTCTTTCTGCCCGGACGGATGTACGCCGCCGCCTGTATTTTCGGAACGAATATCCGAAGCACATCTGCGGTCAGTTGTCGGCGCGTCGGTATGCTAACTGCCGGCCACAGGACTTGTTCAACATCGCGCCAAAGAGGCCGAACTGGGACCTGAAACGTGAGCTCGACAAGAAGCTGAGCAAGCTAGAGAGAAAAACGCAAGAGTCAATACACACCCTGATCCGTGCGTACTCAGCTGTCTCTCTGTCCGACCTGCGCACGTTCCTGAATAATGCGACGCGTGCTCGATCAGGACAGCGGCTAGCGGCGCAGAAGGGCGAGCCCGACGACCTCGTTAGTGCTATGAACGCCCAGGAACAAGCCAGGCAGGCGGAAGACTCGTCAGATGAAGAGGATTAGCCAGTCTGCCGATCGGGCGCGCGCGTTCTAGCGCCGCCGGCATTCATACTCAAGTTCCGCACACGTCGGCTCGCGTACCCTCGGAGGCCATGCCGGAGATGTGTTTTGTTTCTCTGACCCGCTGCTCTACATGCATCAAGACCCGTTACGTATCTCTGTATTCCTACGACCTAGGCCCGGTCCTTTGACCATCCCTCGCCGTCCTATTCGCGGTGCGCGCACGCCCATCCCGAATTGCCCGACGGAGCCACAGGTGGATGATGACATTCGCTTGCCGAGCACGCGGCGGATTCTACCACGACCCGCCCCGAACGCGGCAGTGCGGTGCAAGAAGCACAAATCCTCGCGTCCTCCACATCCCCGGCGCGTCGAATTCCGAATATCTCGCACCACATCCGCCGCATCCTCGTCGCGGCGCGCCCCGGTCCCGCCCAGCCCAGTGGTTCGCCCAGCGTCCCAGCGTCGGCGGCAAGCCGTCCGCCGACAACCGCGCCGCCTTCCATCCGCGGAAGAACCCCAGGCTGTCAGCGTTGCGGCGATCGGGCGCGCGCAAACGCGGCGCGTCAGATAGGTCGCGCGTTGAGCATCTGGATCATGCGTTGGTCTTCCGGAATGCGCGGTGCGGCGCGGTGATGGCTCGTCGGGTACACTGGGCTCACGTTGATCGCCGAGTGCAGGCTCGGGAGCACCACCCCACCCCCGCCCCCGCCCACGCGCGGCGACGACGGGCGCGACGGCGGGGGCGGCGACGAGGACGAGGACGCTGGGGACGCCGGGCCCGAGCCAGTGGGGCGGCGTCGGAGGTGCGGGTGCGCGCCTTGCCGCTCCGGTACACCCCCTGGGGGACGACGACCGCACGGAGGAGCGGGTCGGCGTCGACGGTGGGGATCGACGGCAGGTCGGCGTACGTGAAGTATGCGGTCAGGTGCCACTTGCGCGGGCGATCGGAGGCGGGGGTGAGCACCCAGGCGAGTACGCCTGCTTGACGAGCCCGAGCGGGTGGTGGTCGCTGCGCTCGTAGTGCGACTGTGCGGAGGACGTCCACGTCCGGGACGGGCCGTCGACGAAGCGGTATAGGCATCTGCGGGTGTGTGGGGTGAGCACCCGCGGCGGACGCAGGCTTGGTCGGGCCGGCGGAGATACTCACTTTGATTTCGGCTCGGACGGGGGCTCGTCGCCGAGCTTCTCGTCGTAGAAGAGGTATGGCTGGGGAACAGGTCGCCGGACGCTGTCAGTCGGCGGCGGCGGTGCGGGCGAGTGCGGGCGAAGCGCAGCATACCTCGCGCATCCGCGACTGGCTCCAGACGCGGCCGTCTGTCCACCGTTTGAGCCCCATCTCGTCGTCGCTCTCCTCCCAGACGAAGAGGGAGCCGGAGGTGATGTAGCGCGTCCGCTCCATCTCGTTCAGCCGGCGCGAGACCGGCTTGAGCCTGCCCTGGCGGACGGCCTCGAAGACCATGTGTGCGTCGCGCGCGTCGCGCACGTGGAGGCGGGGGTGGGTGGGCAGCTGGACGTCCTGTGCAGGGGCGTAGAACATGATGTGTGGCGCGGTAGAGAGGCAGGGAGCTCGAGGGGACCTGTGTAGTTGGCTGTCGAGTACGCGCGAGAGGCTTATATTCACGGATAGACTAGGCACCCACGACTCACGAGGATGCTGTAAACGGCCCTCGCGTCAGACCCGGCCCATGCGCTGGGTCGCGACAGATCTCGATGGGGGACGAGGGTGTGCGGAAGCTGAGAACGAGTGGACGGCCGTCAATTCTGTCGTTCCCAGCGCTACGAGCGCGGGAACCGCTGGAGGGCGCCCGAGGGCGTCGCGTAATGCCAGACCCTGGCCGAGGCACCTCCTTGTCCCGGCCAAAGTCGTCGCGGCCGATTGAGAGAAGGCCGGGCGGGGGCTCAGGGACCAGTTCCTTTGGGAGGCCCGGGACGCGCAGTTCCCCGCGAGATCGCCTGGGCGGTGGGTATGAGAGCGCGCCGGGGAGTCAATGAACGCCTTCCACGGTGCGCAACTCAACCGCACCCAGCCCCGGAAAGGCTTCGGCTAAGCTCGAGTGGCGAACAGACTTGACGGCTCCTTTTTCCGGCCAGCTTGGCTTGCCGTCCCAGGGGTTCTCAGAGTCCTTCCGACGTAGTGGACTCTTTCCGGATAAGGCGGAGGCGGTCGCAAGCGTGGGTGGGAGCTTTGCGGGTTCCCGTGTGAGGTCGGTGTTCGACGCGGAGGGCGGCGGAGTGTGGACTGGTCCGACACTGACATCTGGATGACGACGCGAGATGGGTCGGATTTAGCGTGCTCCAAGCTGTACACGCCTGTAGTGCACGAGAGAGCGATGACCACGACCGGGCATAGAGAGGGAGTTCTCCCGTGCAGGTGGAAGGCACATTGAACGCATGAGACGGAGATAGAATTGGTCGGCGACAGTAGTGGTCGAGCCGCATGCTGCGGCCGTGCTTCAGGAAGAAGTCGAGGGGGACTCGGTGAAATAAGCTCAGGTGGTAGGAAATGGCGATATTCCGGAGTTCCCAAAGGACGGGACGGGCGCGCGTGTGTACATGAAACGGCAGATCGGACTGCGAGCGGCTGCGACGAGCAGGAAGGAGACCAACCGCGAGAATGACTTTCGCTGGCTTCGCACACCAAGTCGCATCAAGACAGCTGGCCAGGGCAGATTGTGGCACGGTCAAGTGGCTGACAATAATGACGTGATATCCGGGCGCGGGTGCCCTGCCGTCGACGACAGTCCGAGGACGTTGAAATGGCCAGATGAAGCCGTGAAGATTGGCGCAGGGCCTGGAGGAGGCGGTGGGACGAAACCGCAAACAAAGCCGTCGGTGCCCAAACTGAGCGGCGGCCGGGCGCTGCCAGCCACCAGCTGGGAACGTGCTGCTCGCGTGGCTCGCCTCGAGCGCCCCTCGTCCTCCCGCCACTGACCCTGCTGCTCTCACCCACCCGCTCATCCTACCATCGCCCCCTAGTCCGCATGGCGTCCGACACCGACCCTGGCCGCCGCCGTCTTCCCACTCTCGTCCACTCCTGCCAGCGTGGTGAGCGTTATGACCAGGCACACCAGATCTTCGGCTCACCCTAGCCCAGTGGCGTGCGCCCATGTCGAGAGTACGTCCAATTATTTCGTTCCTGACGCTTGAGACCGACCCTGCCATCTAGAATTTGTTAGTCTTGGACAGGGCTGGCGGTATGATCTTATTCGGCCGGTACTAGAAGGTTGCACACCCGACACCCTTCTCCGCTTCGAGCAGGAGGATCCAGTGCGTCCCCCGTCCCCACCTCGTCATCTGTGACCTTTTGCCCACCTGTATGCGCCCTCGTTGCTAGGATCTTTCAAGCGAGACCGCAGGTACGTCGTGCTGCGATCTGTGCCACGCATACACCAATCATTTTCCCTGGCAAAGAGATATGGAAGGCCCACTTTGCGAAAGAGTTTCCTATCTCGTTCCAACCTTACGTATCCGATGGAGTGGAAGAGCCCGAGTCATGGCGGGACCAGTATTACGTGCGTGCTATTCTTTGTACTAACACTCTCATCGCGCAAACACCACCTTCTCAGGCCGAACAAGAGCACGTACGCGAGAAGTTAGAGCAGATTTCTCTGAAACTCAAAGCATCTCGTCACGAAGAAGAGGTTCGTAAGAAAGAATCTGGTATCAAGGTCACCGATCAACCCCCACCTACAAAGCGGGCCCGGACGTGTGAGTATTTCCACGCCTCGCATGCATTCCTTGCTCGAGCTGAGATTGATACGCATACATGCAGGGGGTACAGCGTATCAGCCAAAGTCTCTTTTCCAACAGGTGAAAGGCGAGGCCCGCCGGGTCACAAAGGGTGTGTACTCCCAGAGTTTCACTCGCCCGGCGTTCCAAACCCAGAGGATCGTAACCAATACCGCAAGTGCCAAACCGCCTCCACCACCACCATCAAGATCGTCTGCGGGCTCTGCGAGCTCTTCAGGCCCTGCTAGCTGTGGTACTAGGGTTGTCGTGAGAACCATTGCCGTGCCGCAGAAGGCGCCTGCGCCGAAGACTCCCGTGAAGACCCCAGCGTTGCTGCCGAAGAGAGTTCGACCGACTGCAGCGTCCCTTAGCGCTATGTCTCCTCCAGCAATGTCCCCTCCAGCAAAGTCTCTACCGGCCACACCTGCAGACGCATCCTCTCCACCAGCAGAGTCAACTCGTGTCGGTACCTTGCAGCCGGAGCAACGTTCGCCGCCTGCCCGAATGCCACCCAAGAAGAATCCAGCGGCGTCGCTTTTCATACCCAGGAGCAAAGCTTATTCGCAAGTTCCACGCAGCCTCCAATCCAAATCGTAAGCGGCTCAACCAACACGTCATCGCCTCATCGCTCTATCGTTCTACCCGGATATCTATATCACCGCATAGAGGCATCTCTCTCGCTATTTCCACTGCCACTGCACTCTCTGTACTGCAATACACTATCCCGCATCGGTATCTAGCTCTGTAGAATTTCGGTTGTATTATTACCTGGACCGTGTGGCTGTACCCTACTCTACCTGTCCCCTGGATATACATGCTGCGAGTCTTCTTCCCTCCGCTGGTGGGTGTTCAGCGGTTGCACCCCCATCGTCGTGGGCAACTCACCACCCTCGGAGCACAAAACACTTCAAATACAAGACCTCGCGCTCAGCCACGTTTCCCTTGCTTTCCCTGTGTCCACCACGCGATACCCGACATAGCGGCCCGTCTCATCCCGCGCAGACGGAGCGCGCTCACGGAGACCCGGCCTCCGTCCGCGCAGGAAGAATCCCATCCATCCACTCGAAACCCGGACACGTCGCTGAACAGGCTGTGGGAGCTGAGCTGCGTCCGCACCCTGCCCCGGTTTACCGTGCCGTTGCCCACAGTAGGGTACGGCAGGCTGCGGCCCGCGCACCGTCCAGCACGACAAATCGAGGACCTCGCCGCTCCCCCGGCCATGCCACGTCCGCGTCGCTCCCGTCGCGGGCTATAGCGCCACGACCGCCCCGCGACCGTGCCCACCGCGCGAGAGCGCGTCGTCATGCGTTCGTGTGTCGATCGCGGACGCGCAGCGCGACGGCGACACGACCCCGCGGAGACCCCGGTGCCCGGGACAACGGACCGCGCTCACCAGCACGCCCCAGGCGAGGGAGCCCGCGCACCGCGCTGGGCGTCGTGCCCACAGCGCGCGCCAGGGCGGAGGCCACGCACGTCGACTCGAGGGCGCGCGGGGAGGGGGTGGCTACTTCAGGCAGCCCGAAGCCGCGAAGCAGCGGGACGTCTGCGTCTGTTCCGGCCAGACTCTGTCCCCAGTACTCTGTTCCGCCGCGCTGCCGGGGCGCGCTCGCCCGCGTAGGGACATTGAAGGGCCGGGGCCGGGTGCGGAGGGGGGGTGTGTGTCCCGCGCGTGGGTACGGGAGCGCGCAGCTCGCCGTAGGCACCGAGCACCGAGGACGCAGGCCCGGTGCGGTGGGCGGGGACGACGACGTCGCGCGTGCGCAGGCGTGCGCTTGCCGTGCCCGTCCGAGCCCAAGCTGCCCAAGCTGCCCGTCCTGCCCGTCCTGCCCGCCCTCACGCCCGTCCTCGGTCGCGACCTCGCCCGGCCGCCGCCCGCCTCGGTCCTCAGGTTCCCCGCGCCCGTCCCCTTCGCGCGCCCTCGCTCCCACCGGCCCCCCGCGTCCTCACGTCCGTCGCGGCCCACAGTGACAGTCGGTGCGACCCCGGCGTCGCACACCCCCGCAGCAGGGCCGCTCACACGTCCCGCCGGCGTGCGCCCCACGCCGGCGGCCCTGTGCGTGTGGGACGCGCGGGCCCGACGGGGCGGGGGGAGGGCTGCGCGCCCGCCTGAGGCCCGACGGGGGCGACCTGCTTCCAGGCGGGCTCGCGCCGGGTGCTGTTGGGCGGCGAGAGTGTGCACAGGGAAGGGGAAGGGCGGGGGCGCCGATACCGCCGTGCGGGGAAGCAGAACGCGACGAGAGGGACGGGACGGGAACTCACAGGCGTGAGCCCCCAGTCTTCACGCTTCACGCCTGGCATTTGCCTGTCGACTGGGTCCGCGCCGAAAGTCTGCTCAGAGTCCGTCACGAGCTTCGCCCAGGGCGGCATGCCAGACTTAGAGCGCACCGGCCATATTAATATCCTCGTTAGCGTTTGCACGGCGCAGGTCCTTCATGACCAGGATCGACGCCGGTTGGATCGTCTTCGCGCATCGTACCCCTGCTGCTCTTCCGTATGTGGCCGCCGACTGATAGTGCAGTGTGCGTTCGCGGTGGAAGGTCTCCCGCGTAGCCATGTATACTCGCACGGCCAAACATAGCAGCGCCGCACGATGGGCCAGCGCGATATACTTGGAATCCCTTGTCGCACTGTGAGTTGCCGAACTGTGGGTGCCGGGGCCCATGGACGCGGAAGAGAGCGAAGAAGGGAAGGGCCTGTTTGATAGCGTCGCACTGTAAGTATTGACCGCTGGGGTGCCGGTGGCGGGCTTGGAGGTCGGCGGAACCTATGCAGACATACCACGCGTCCCACATACGTTTAACCACGGACACGCCTACTGAATGGCACATCAACGTCGGCTCGGCTCGGAAGCGAAGAGCGCAGCAGGGCACGACATACCACACTGCACTTTCGTATGCCGACGAAGATGGTGCTTATGCAGCCGCTCCGACTCTCCCGGAGCTGTTCCAGCAATAGCGACTTCGACGAGCCCCAGGGCTGCGCGCGGGCGCACAGCAGCGACGCGGAAGGCCTCGAGGGAGGGCGCTTCGCACGGGTGTGCGACCGCGTTCGCCGTCCTGGTCCGGGGTCTCGTATTTGGGACACGCGCGCGGCGCGCGCGCCAGCAGTGCGTAGGGTGCGTTGGACCCGCGTCCGGCGCGTCCTTCTAGCCTGGGGAAGCCGCGTCAGAAATGCGCGTCGCGTGTCCGGACGAGATCTGCGGCGGGCCCCCACCGCCTGATGATATGCTCACCGGGGACGACTGTGTGCCGGGGTATTATGAGAACGGCTGGCGCTCGGGGAACGTTGGCTAGCTCCACCTGCGCGGCCCCGGCCCACCCGCGAGTGGATCCGTGCGGTGGTAGGCGGAAAACGCGCGGAAGCGGTTTCAGCACGGGCAGTCGAGCGGACGGTGCCCGATCCAGCGCGCAGCTGAAGCCGGAAGCGTGCGTGGGCTCCCGGCTTGCAGCGTGTTCAGCGCGCACCTCTCAACCGTGCTCTAGAGCGGCCGTATGGACGATAGAAGAGGCATGATCGAGCCTGGATCCCTTTCGGAGGCACAAGCGTCGGCGTTCTCAGCACTGTTGGTCCAGTTTGGGAGAACGGGGGCTTAAAAGCGTACCTCTGCTCCCATGCCACTCCACATGCTACGCGGGACGCGATATGAGCCTTCCTGGTAAGCGAACGAGGCTGGCACTCAGCAAGAGACATATCCGGGCTGTCTTCTCCTTGGGAAGCGACGTGAATTGCAAAATATCTAGGTTAGGTTCTTGCTTGCTCGGGACCTACTTATAGACTCTTGTCATACTGATGTTAGGTACATATGAGTCAAAGAAGTCAGTCGAGTATTCTGATGCAACACAGGGTCAGCGTGATGTGCAAAGCATGAACGGAGGTACCGGTCGTACTAGGTTTAAACTTTCGTTCGTCGATTATCCCAGCGGCGGAGTCTAAAACCCCGTAAATAAGAGTCATGTAATCGGGTATTAAAAATGCTGCTTTCGGAATTTAAACTCTTAAGAGCGCCCATAACCCATTGCGACGCGGTCCCGTGACAAGACGCGTCTCCTCCTCGCGAATATCAGCTGTGTAAGACGTCTCGTATCGTGTGGTCGAACTAGCGGCCTTGTGTCCGGTTGGTATTCGTCGACCGCCCCGCGCAGGCGACAGTACATAATCTGCAGTCCTATAAGGTACATATACAATCCGATGTTTGGGCTGGCGGGTTCGTCGTCGTTCATATATTACGGTGTACAGTGAGAGATGGAGAGGTCTACCGAGAGATGCGGAGATGCGGTGAAGTAGAGGATGGGAGTGGGAACGAAGAGCGTGGTGACGGTGGGTGCGCTAGACTTGACTGCGACATGACGTGGCGGATGTGCGATGCAAAGAAATGGCCGTAGTAGAGCGATGAGTAGCAGACGAAGGAGATTAAATGCAGCACGACATGAGGACCGGACGAGGGAAGCAGGGGGGAGAGGATCTAGAACAAAGCCGTTGTCGACCCGAGTCCATACCCACTCCCACCGTCTATCGCTCCTGCGGCCGCCGCCGCGCCCGCCGCAGCCGACGAGGTCGACGGCCCCGTGCCCGCCAAGCTTGAGCTGCTCGACGATGCGGACGCCGGGCTTGCGTCCCAGCGGCCCTTGCCCTTTCCTTTGCCCTTGCTGCTCCCCGCGACGCCGTTCTCGTTCCCATTCCCGCTCCCGTTCCCGTTCTCCATCTCGTGGTCGATGTCCAGTTCGCGCTCGTCTTTGCGTAGCGTGTAGTCCATGGGAGGGGTTTCCCAGATGCGCACCGTCTTGTCGTCCGAGCAGGACGCAAACATGCACTCGTTGACTGGGTTCCATGCGACGGAGTTGACAGAGCCCTCGCCATGCCCAGTAAGCGCCTCGAGGAGTGTGCCAGAGTCGCGGTGCCAGATGTACACGTTCCCGTCTGTTAGGGTGGGACGTCAAGGGATGTGTCGCAGGATAAGGAGGGAATGGAGAGCGCGAGGACAAGGCGTTTCGAATGGACATGAAAGGATCGGAGGAAGTAGCGTCGGTGCGATGATAACGTGCCAGAGGGTAATGTGTGGCCGGGATTGGAAGGGAGCCGGATCGTCAGCGCGCGAGCAGGACCCAAATAGGAAGACAGCGCACCTTCACTCCCACTGACAACAAAGTTGCCCTCGAAGCCCCCAAAGCAACTCCGAATGACGTGCTTCGAGTGATTGTGTCCCGAGTACTTGCGTACGACCTGTTGTGTGTTCAGATCGAGCAGATGGATCTCCTGCATAGGGCATGAGTAAGCCCTCCCGAGAACGTGGTTTCGATGGAACGTGGGCGTACCGCCGAGGGCCCGTTCTCCGACGCGTTGTTGATGAGCGCGAACTGCGAGTCCGCGGAGATCTTCACGCTCGTGAGCTCCCCGTAGAGCTGTATTGACCTGCATTCATGCGGCCATGTCAGCGAAGGTCCGGAACCGCGGGCCGAGGCCACGTTATCGAGCCGGGTACAGCTGTACGCACGTCTCGGGTTGCTTCGTCGCCAAGTCGTAGGTGATGATCCTCGTCTCAACTCCGCTCTTCGCAGGGCCTGTCGCACCGCCTCCTGCAGAAGCTGCCGCGTCGGCTGGGTTTGCTGACGTGGGTGATGGCGAATCGTACATGCCGACGGCGACGAGTCGTGTAAAGTCGGGAGTGACCATGAGATCTGTCACTCGTATTGGGGCACGAGCCCAGGTATTACGCAATTTCCCGTCGGCATCCTAGAGAGCGTGGATGGCGGCGGTAGCACACCAGTAAGCATACAGCTTACGAAAGAAACGTTGAAGCGAGTGCTCACCCAGAGAATGATCTTGCGATCGAGCCCTCCTGAGATGAAACCGGATCCGTCTGGCAACCATGAAAGTGCAGTCACGACATCGTCATGCGCTTCGAGTACACGCATGCACACCCCGGTCTATTGGTGAAGACGGTCGTGTGAGCATCGGAACCAGTCAACAGATCGTGAGTCTCGGATTGCTCACTCGTGCATTGTATAATCGGATGACGTGCTCCGCCGCCGTGAGCAGTATTGAGTCGTCTAACGACCATGATACAACATTCACGTTGTATGGGTGGTCGTCGAGTACAAACTCGGTCGTGTATGCTCGTGATCGAGGGTCCTTGTCAAGCTGCCGTAACGAGAACGTCAAGATGTGGTTCCGGCGGTCCGAACGACGACATACCTCGATTCGCCAGATTATAGCGCTCCTGTCTTTACTCGCTGTCGCAAGGAACTTCCCGCTGTGGCTCCACCCGATATTCCATACTTCGTCCTGGTGGACCTGAAGAACGGCGGTCGTGACCCGAGGGAACGAGTTGCGTTCGCACATGTGGTTGGTGTATAGTGAATATGATGATGATCGGAGTGGCGCGTTGTGGTAAAGACACCGGCTCTGCTGAAACGCTTGTGCTTGGTCGAGGAGAGTGACGAATCGGCGCTGTGGAATCATGACGGACGACGGTATATATCCTATGACACCAGCGTCAGTACCGACAGCATCTGATGCTGCGAACGGCCTGACTCACTCTGCAAGTCCATGAGAAGCTTTCGTCTTGACGTTCCAGTAGCACCGTCCCATCCTAGTTGATGTCGAAGGTCCGCAGGATCCGAGCACATCATTAGACTGGCAGATGCGGACGTCAGGCGATGCGGACGACGGGCATTGATAGCGCATACCTTGATAGTGCATGAAGGTGGTCGACTTCGGGGTTCAAAGGAGCCAACTCACTACGGAGAACATGCAGCGCTGCAGTGGTCCTCCCCGCCTCCAGGTGCTCCAGATACTTCTGCTTCGCAAGGAGAAACTTGGCCTCCTGCAGTCGCCGGTCAGACGAGTCGTGATAGAACACCTAAGAATAACGTACCCAGAGCCCGTCCCCTTCAGACACCCCCAATCGCCCGAGTGCGGTCTCCGCGGCCTCCCACGAACCGTCGAGGATGCACCGTCGGAAGTACGCCACCTCCGGGGTCTCCATGATGTATCCCGACTCTGCCTCGAGCGTAGCCGCCGATTCCCTTGCGGAACACAGTCTGGGCGGGGTCGCGCAAAGGTTGGACAAAAGAAGTACTCACATATACCCGACGTCCCGCAAGCTCTGTATCACGAGCCGGACGAACTCCTCCCGGTCCACATGCGAGTCCTCGTAGAGCGTGCTCCCCGGGAGCGACACCCGCGCGACCGGCCGCCGCGACCGCTCCGCCACGAATCCGTCGAGCTCGCCCGACGAGCTCGACCTGGCGGTCCCGTTCGTGAACGGCGGGGGCGCGCACCCGTTGGTCTTCGCGACGATCTTGTGCCCGTTGAAGGGGCCGGGGCCGGGGGCGGCGGAGGGCCCGGGCCCGACGGGCGAGTCTAGGGACGCGGAGAGCGCCGAGTCGCCGTCGCCGTCGTGCGCAAGCATGCCGCCGGGGATGGAGAAGGGGGTGCCGGTATCTGGGAGCAGCAGCACGCGCTCGAGGGCGGGGCGGGCGGGGGGAGGGGACGGGGCGTCGAGGCGCTGCCGCTTGCGGACGCGGAAGGCGTCGGGGTCGGCGTCTGACGGGCGGGGGGCCTGGGGGGCGAGGCCGAGGGACGGGTGGAGGAAGGACAAAGGGGTGGGGACGGGGCCGGCGGCGGGGTTGTGGGGGAAGTCGGCGGGGGCGTCGGGGGTGGTGTCTTCGAGCTCGGAGCGGGGGCGGGTGTGGGGGACGGTGCTTGGCGGGTCGGGTGCGCGGCGGGCGGGGAGGGCGGGGGAGGTGGTGGAGGAGCGGGGGACGAAGGCGAAAGCGGAGGTGAGCGAGGACGGGTCTGAGTCGAGCGGACGGTCCAGTGCTGGGGTTTGGTGCGGCGTGCCTCCCCGCGCTGGACTGGGGAGCGTGCGTGAATCAATGGTGACGATGGGGCCGACGGCGGCAAGGGTCGCGGCGGGCGAAACACGCTCGCAGCGGTCGGGCGAGACGAGACAAGATGAGCTGAGTAGGAGAGGGCGGCGGGCGTACAGCAGCCCGGCAGTCCAGGACAAGATGCAAGCGCAGACTAGCACCGACCGACGCTCGTCGTGCCCTCAACACACACCACGCCCACGAGCCGCGTGTCGTGCCCCGCTTGCTCTCCACTCTCTCCGCCAGCCTCCCACCTGCCCCCAATCCATCATCGTTTGTCTTCTTCTCCTCCGTCGAGGGCTACATGATACGCGCACGACCTCTCTGGATGGCGGCATGCCGCTACAGGAGTGCATACGTACGCGTTATCGACCCCGCAATCTCTTTCGTCCCGCACGCGGCCGTCGGCCGAGCCAATTGCACGCCCGCCAGGCCCACACAGGCGCACCGTGCCTCTCGTCTAGAGCCGTGTTTCGGGCGGTCAGGCCGTCAGCGGGAGGTCGGAAGTCCCCATATATGTCCCTCTCCTTGGGATCCGGTATCAGTACCTCGTCCTAGGTGGCGTTGCTTGCGCTCCTTTGCTTGCCTGCTCGCCTACCCTGCCTCGCTGATGCCAACGCCCCTTTCCCTCGTGTCCCAGAAGCGTCCGTCCATCGATTGCGACCAGCTCCCGCCGCGATTGTCATCGTGTGCAAATGCGCATTGTCTGGCTTCTGAGCGCTGCGGCTGGGCGTGGAGCAGATGTCGATATACTCTTCTTGTCGTAGATGTCTCCTGGTATTTGACTGGCTATCTGAGCGCTTTAAATGGTCGAAGGTGGACTGCAGCCATTCCAAGCATTTCCGTGCGGCGTTAGAAGAACTGCGCCTAGTCCTACGTCATTCGTTCGCGGCCATGGTCATGTAAGTTGGGACACTGACGGCCGGTCGAGTGCTTGTTGGTGAGTTTCTGCATTTTTCATCATGGATGGATGCCATTTGACAGTAGTGATTGTCCCTACCACACACCACACAGCTCGTACAACATTCCTGCGTCATGTGAACATGTAGCTCGGTCACTATTGCCATGTCAAACGGTGTGAACGGACACATCCAAGAATCGTCACTGCCTGCTTTGATTGAGATGGCTACAGTTCCCGGCACTCTTTTTCGACCCCTCACGGCATCAACTTAGCAAAGGTATCTCTCCTTCCGTCCCTTCGCCAGAAGCCTCGGTTTATGCATGGGACTTCTCAGAAACATATCTAGGCACCGGCACCTGCGGCTTCCCAGGGCTCACGAAGTCCTGTGTAGCATAACATACATCCCTGCCGCATTCCAGTGGGGCCCTCCTGGTTATGCGGGCTAGTGTTAGAGACATGGGTAGTGTGAAAATGTTTCGATGCCTCCTCGGAAAGTGGAAACGAATCGGCGCCCATGGAAACGGAAAATCGCAGAACTGGCACCGTTTACAATTCCGAGCATTCTGATGCAAAAATCTCAAGAATCAGATGAAAATTGGGTCTTCGGTACGCATATCGAAATAATGTGTTTCGGACCGTAGTTGATTCCTCCTCCATCCCGAATTACCAACCCCGCCATACTAGGGCTTGCAGGTCGGCAGAGATGTTATAAGATCTCGATCAATGCAGTGCCAGCTATACCTCTCGGTCCACTGCAGCTCCGACTGGCCGAAGCCATGACACACAAAGCCACGCATTTGAGCGACCTATACCACCTGTCCTCGTGCCCTCCCAAGCGCCTCACACAATCCGTCCACGTTCCAAACCTCCTCCTGGAATCTCCTCCACTCACCCGCAGCCTCCGCATTATGGCCCCGCGCGCTCCGTGATGCGTAGCAGTTCAACAGTCGGGTTATCTCTGCTCGCCATACACCACGCCTTCAACACAAGACCCTCCGTGTCCGCCACTGTCCGTATGCGCTCCATGGCAGCCAGTTCTAGAGCTCGATCCCCACACCGGGGTAGACCCCTGTGCCCGCTGCGGTACACGTACGCAACTGGCGCAAACACCTCAGCCACCCTCTCGTCATCCTGCGCGAACGATCAAAATCCCATCCCACCTCGACCCTCCGTCACACCCTCACGTCCGCACGGCCCAATGCGCGCGCGCCGATCCCGGACGATCGGCGCGACGAGCGACGGAGGACGGACGAGGAGCCATCTCCGATCGCGACAATCGCCGAGGACGTGCGTCCGCAGCGGTGGCCCCGGAGTGCAGTGAGGACGTGCGCGCGGCGTCCACTTACGCATCTGCCTTTAACCTTCGCGGGCGCGCGCGCCGGGATCGCCGCGACCGACCAGCCCCACGCACCCGCCCCTGCCGCGTCCGGTCCCGGCGCGTCGAGGTGAAGATCAAGTATGGCGAATCGGGGGCCGTGATGAGGGATCCGTGCGCTGGATACTTTGGGTGACACCGACGCGCATATCACCCCGTCTGGGGTCGGTGGTTCAACGCTCTTTATGCCTAGGGGACAGATGTCGTGCGCATCACGAAAGGAGAACGCCCCGATGATCCGTCGTCCGCCGCGTCCGCGTCCACGGTCTCTTTCTTTCTTCGCGTCCGGGGCACGTTGCAGGCGCATTTTGTTCAGTGGCAGCCTCCACACAGGCGTACGTGCCACGAGGCTGACGTCCACGCCGTTGCATACCGTTACGCGCCCCTCTGAGACCCCGCTCCGCGTCGATGACCGTGACCGCAGATGGCAGCCTCCTCCATGACGCGCGCGCCGATTGCCGGGGCCCCCAAACGACGCGCGAACGCGTGCCCGGCGTGCAGGATTGCCTTTGGATTGGGAGCACGGCGCGAGGGGCACGTACGCGGGCCCGTCGCTCCAGAATCGCACGCAATGCGCACGTACGCGTGCTCGCTCGGCGTCACGTCCGGCTGCCTTGTCCGCAAATTTCTCGAGCGCACCCCGCGCTCGCCGACCGGCCGCGTTGTCATCGTGGATGCCCTCGCCCTCTTCGTGCGTGCGCGTTGAACGTGACCGATACAGACCCCATTTTATCGCTCACGTTCGAGTTCTCCTCCTTGGAGACCCTCGAATCGGCTTCTGGCCCCCCGCAGGCCGCGCGCACAGGTCCTCCGCTCCGCGAGTGCGTGACGCACGTTCCCCGCCTCCTCCTCCGCCGCCGCCGCCACGCCCGAGCGCCCGATCGAAGAGGCGGGGGCCCGCATCCGGAAGGTGTCACACCCACCCCCGGCGTTCAACGTGCAATTTTAATAAGAATTGACTGTGCAGGTCACCGAGGCAATAATAGTGCTCGAGCTCTATTTCTCGACACTCGAGCGCGGAAACCCGGCGCTGCGCATCAGCATTCCGTTCCTCGGTCGCACTAGAACGAGCCCTCTTCCTCTAGCTAAATTAATGTTACTTAGTGGACGGCGCACACCACCGCGAGTCATCGAACAATTCCGAGAGGGTGTGACGGCGTCCGACGATCCACAACCCATCGAGGTACTGCGCTGGGGCGAAGGTCGAACGACGCTGCGTACGTGGGGTTCCTGAGATCACACCCCGACTCCGACGACCCCGCGCGCGTCCGCGGCCCGTACAGCTCACTCGGACGAAATATCCTGCGCGGCCTCTCCCAGTCATCACGCACAGACACTTGATCACACATGGACTGACAAACATACGGACTGACAAACACCACGCGGCTGCGCCCTTCCGATCTCGGAGCGCAGCGCACGATCGCCCTCGCAAGTCACGTACATGCACGGCCGAGTGTGCTCGCGCCCCGGTGCGGCCAGGCTGAGAGAGCCTCGCGCGGCCGTCAGCTGCCCCGTCCGACGTCGTCCGCTGACCCCGCGCGCAGCGCTACGCCAGTGGGCGGTGCGCGAGCGCTCAGGCGCTCAGTGCCGAGAGGGGTGGGACGAGCACATATTTGCAGACATACAGCGTTCGGAGTAGTGTTGCGATAGCTCGGCTCGGCTCGGCTGGCTGCGCCAGCCGGGTCATTTGGCTGTCAGCCGGGCTGGGAAAATCGGCTCAGAACGAGCCTCCCACGAGGGGAGAGCTTGACGCCAGCAGCCAGAATGGACTGATGGCTGAGCCGCTGGAAGAGCCGGTCTTGGGCGCCTCCTCCCAAGACGGAGGACCGGCTCTTCCAGAATATTTCCAGCTCGCTCGCTGGGCGCCCAGAGAAGGGGATTTATGCGAACTCTCTTATATGTTCCTGCATGACGCAAGCGTAGGATTGGCAACGAAAATATATTTATTAGTACACTACTACATAGTGGCAACAGCGGGGCAGGTGGAAGCGGAGGGCCGAGACAAAATAGGAGGCAAGGCAGCTGACCACAGCTCTACCAGCGCGCACAAGATCGGAGGAGGGCGACATAGAGGGGGCGAGGCAGAGGGCCGGGATGGGGCAGCGGGGCAGTGGGACGCGGTGCTCCGCCCGCGCGGGTAGCATGTGCTCGCGCAAATGAGCGGGACGCGCGCAAGAGCGGAGGAGGGCAAGACGAAGGAGAGCGGGGTGGAGGCAGAGGGTGAGGAGAGGACGCCGTGCCGAGCCCGCGCGAGTTGGATGTGCGCGCAGAGCAGGACGTGCGCCAGAGCAGAGGAGGGCGAGGTAGAGGGCGGCACATACTCCGGAGGGCCGCGACGAGGTGGAGGAGGCGGAGTGTGATGCCGAGGGCCGCAACGTGGCGGAGGAGGGCGACGCGGAGGCAGAGGTGGGCGACACGAGATGGAGGACCCAGAGGAGGAGGAGGGCATGTGGGCAACGTAAACGCGGGGGACCCAGAGGCCGGGGATGCGGATGCGGAGGACGGCAACAGGGAGGGCTCGCGAGAGGACCCAGACTGAGGGCCGGAATGAGGCGGACAAGATGGTGGGTGAGGCGAAGGCGGGCGACGCGAAGGTAGGCGATACAGATGGAGGGTAACGCAGAGGTGTGCAGAGGCGGACGACGCGGAGGCGAAGGAGGGAGGATGCGGGCAGCGCGCAGGTGGGCGACGTGCAGGCGCAGGTGGGCGACACGCAGGCGTAGGTGGGCGACACGCAGGTGAGCAACGCGCAGGAGGTGGGATACGCACAGGCGAACGACGCGCGCGAAGGAAGGCGACGCGAATGAGAGGGTCGAGGGCGGGGGCAGCGTGGATGGGTGAAGCAGGAGGGAGTGCAGGAGGGGACTCACCATAACAAGGGCCGCGGTACATCGCCGCGGCCTCCATACCCGAATTTCCATACTGAGGACTTCCGGATGGAAGTCCTCGTACAATGTGGATGCGGCCGGTGAACCGTGAAGGACGGCATCAAGGTCGAGGTCGAGGTCGGAGGCGGAGGGGAGTTGAACAGTCAGGTGACATTGAGCTAACCATTAAATTGTTAATAGTTGTGGTGTTATAAGTCGTAGCTTGTGTAAGTAACTTGTAGTTATCAAGCACCCCGCTTGATCGGACTCGACGTCAGATCTGAGATCTGAGATCTGAGACTCGACTCGAGTTTTGCCTGCAATATGGGTGTTTGGTCGACTTTGTCCAATCGTCCTCCTGACAATCTTAAAACATTCTGTGCATCGTGGGCACATATAAAATGCAGTCCTATCATCCTCCTGTTGCTCTGTTCCACTACAAAGCATGAATATTTGTTGTGCGGCCAGCGCCAATTGAAAAAGGCGGCTCATGGATGGCTTGGGCGGCTTGGCCTCGGCTTTGGTAATAACAGCCGAAATCGCAGCCGTGGCTCGAGTTTTGGCTTTCTCGCAGCCGTCCTGAGCCGAGCCAAGCCGAGCCAAGCCGAGCCATCGCAACACTAGTTCGGAGGGTGTTCCGGGGCCAGCTTGTTACGAGCACTGGGGTCCGGGACGTACGTGACAGACCTCGAGACTCGAGCCTTGACGGTCGCGCGCCACCTGAGGCGCGGAGCCAAGCCAAGCAAGCGCACGCCTCAAGCTCACGGAGGTGCCGCCAAGCCGCGGCGAGTCGAGGGCCTCGCCACATAACTTAACTTACGAGCAGCGCAGATGCCAGACTGCAGGCTAGTAAGTAGCACTACGTAGAAAGACGAGGGTCGGGGCGCGGGGGCGCAAGTACTGACGTTCGCGGCAGACGCCGACGGGCCCGCGGAATGCTCCAGCGCGTCCGCCTTCCGTCATGACGAGCGGAGATGAGGCCCTCGAGGTCTTTTAGACTTTTGTGCGGGTCGGCACGCCGCGGGTGTGAGAACGGGTGCCGCGGGTGAACGCATACGCACAGATATACATAAGTAACTGTACAGACGACGGACGTCTGGGAAGCGCGAAGCCAGAACCCAGATGTCCGCTGGGACGGTGCAGCTGGGCGCTGGCGCTGGACCGGGTCGTCCACGGGGCGCAGAGCGTGATCGCGAGCGCGAGCAAAGGGCGGTGGCCACTGGCCAGACGCGGAGCGCCCGGAGCGCTGCAGCTGCGGCCGGCGTGCGAGCACGTAACTAGTGTGGACGTCCGTTGTGCTCTTCTAGCTACTGTGCCGGGACTGGAAGCCGCATTGACAGAACCTGTCGGACGTACGCGGGCGGCCGCCGGAGGCGAGACGACGGACCTGGAACAAGAATAAAGGCGGCCTTGTCCTCGGCCACCGGAGGGGGGACACCAGCGGAGGCGGAGGGCGTCGGACATCACGCACGACGGGACTCGCAAAAACAAGATCGGGGATTAGACCTGGCATCGTAGAGTAAGCTCGCGTGTCTAAGGAGGGCACGAGCGGCGACGAGAGACGAAGGTAGATGATAATACAGCGTGAAGGACTTCGGATTCTTCGCTACATGCGCATGCGCAGCGAGCGCGCTCCCCGGCGGGTCTTTTTACTTCGAGGGGATTAGCGTGAGGGGTGTGATGGGAAGGAAGAGCGAGAGAGAGCGTGACTAGCAAGCATGACCACAGGGCATATAAGGAGCACTGGAACGGAGGGAGAGGGTGGGAAGCATCATGGCATGGGGGCAAGTGATGGTGCGGTGGACGTGCGCGTGAGCCAGCAGGGGCAGCACGATCGAGCACCTGCGCAGTCGCCTCCGCGCGCCGTGATGGTGGCACCAGCGCGGTGTGGGGAGACGGGGAAGCGGAGACGGAAGCGAAACGAGCGAAGAAAGACGAATGTGCGCGAAAGAGGGGAGTTGTCACCATTCCCGGCGCGAGCGGGTGAGAACGTAGAATAGAAAACAAAGCAAGGCGCAAGCGAAGGCGACGAACGAAGGGTGTGATGATGATTTTCGACTGCAGAGAGCGTAGTAGTATGAGGGTATGTATATACGTGCGGATCCGAATGCGGGTTTTGACTATAACAGAGCGGCGGGTACGTTTATGCTATCGTGGAGGGCATAGATAGTGATAGAGAAATGCTGTGAATGAAAATGCCGATGATGTATGCGATGGATTGTGCTTTGTGCTTGAATAACAAGAAATGCGTCGACACGTGCAACATGAGGAAAGATGGAAGGCATAGGGTCTCAAAGCGGCGACGCTGGCGCGGGCAGACGACATCCACCCGCACGACGGTCGCCGCGTGAGACCACTCGACGTCGACACCTTGAGGTACGACAGCGTTGGCTTTTGAATACCGGGGCAAGGCGGCGAGGTCGGATGCGGCGACGGGACAGGTTTGAGGAGAGCAAGATAGCGAACACGACGATAGTTGAGTATCACGAATGCAGACCGGGAACTTGATGCGAGGAGCGAGGAGTGAGATGAGACGGAAAAGTAGGTTGGGATGCGTCTAGGTGGAGAAATCCAATGCCGAGGAAGAGAGAGTGGGGGACTTGGTCGTGCAGTCGTGTTTTGAGATCGTGTGGTCGGTCGTCATTCCAATCGGGGAGGCGAAGTTGTTCGCCACTTTTACTATCGCCGAGCGACGCCAACCCTGCCGCGTTCGCGAGAGACCAGGCCACTGCGTCCGTTGCCGTAGCCAGGGGCGTTCCGGCCAGCACTGTACGGTGCTTCGTCGAGCTCGTTCATCCGCCTTCTGCCCCTCCTGACATCATCCACGGGCCCCGCCATTTCGTCCTCGACCGCGAAGCCGTCGAACGTCGTGTCGTTGATGTCCATCTTCTCGAACTTGGGGAGCGGCGGCGGCGAGCTGTTCCTGCGCCCCGCGAGGGGACGTGCCACACGGGCACCGGCGACGACCACTGGGCTGTGTGCGACCCAGTCGGCGACCTTCTCCATGCTGTCCAAACGAGCGCGCACTTGGGCGCTGTGGTGAGCGCGAGCGCGCGGCCGGGGTGACCGGGTCGGCGAGCGGCGAGAAGATGAACGCCCATCGAGATCACGCATTTTGCTGCGGCCTCGGGCGGCAGAGTCCGTGGCCTGGGGACTGGTCTTCGAGACGCGCGTAGCTTGAGGCACGGCGAAGGCAGCAGTAGTGTCCAGGACAGGGTTCGCGACGCGGGGGGTGGGGGGTGATGACGAGGAGTGGAGGGAGCGCGAAAGCATAGAGAGAGCGGACGTCTTGTGCGAGCGGGGAGTGGTGGAGGTGGAGACAAGAAGGGAGAAGTAGGCAGGAAGACTTGCCCGGTTACGCCTTCTCTTGCCCGTCAGTGTATCCTCCTTCTCCTCATGCTCGTCGCCATCAAGGGCGGCCATTTGTCCGAAATCCGCCGACTTGCGCGAGTGACGGCGGCTTGAGTGAATCGACGAGGAAACGGCGGACGCGGGGACGTCGGAGGCGTCATCTTCGTCAACGTAATCTTCCGGAGGGATGCCGGGGGAGACGCCGGAGCCGGGAGTCGATACCGAGGAAGTGCGGCGCTGAAGTGTGGGGACGGTAGACCGGTGGTTCGTTGTCGAGGGCCGGCGGACGTATGCAAGGGAGGAGTGGAGATGGCCTGACGAGGGCTTACCGTCCGCGAGGTAGTCGGGTGGACACCGTAGTACTCGTCGTCGGTAGTGGGGCCATAGAGAGCGGGGGACGGTTCCGAGTCGTCGTAGACGTCATCGTCCATTGCGGACCATGAGGTCGAGGACGCGGAGGACGAAGACTCGGACTGGCGGATGCGGCGTGTGCGGGACGCGTCGAAGGAGCGTCCGAGTGCTGAGGGAAGCAGTGCAGGGACCTCGGCAAGGTGCGGGGGGACATTTGCGTTTGAGCGGAGGAAGGGCGAGGGGTGTGCGCTGCTGGTGGTCGAGATGGAGGGGGAGATCACGTCTTGAGACTCGCATTCGTCGCTGCAGTATGCCCGGCTGTGGGAGACGGGGACGGTGAGCAGGGGGCGGGGGAGAGCGGGAGGAGGGACGTACTCGTCGGCGAGGACAGGCCGGCCGCAGAGGAGGCAGACTTCTTCGTACATGGGTGGGTGTAGACGAGCAGGACGGATGAGGACAGGCGGCTGGACGAGCGGGGTCGTTGGGGAGGACGGGGGTTATATAAGAAACATTGGACGAGTGTGAAACGGGCGCACATGACTCCGTCCCACGACATTTCCTGCCCTCCGTGACCCCTCCGTCACACCGATCGTGCCCCGCTTGGCGATCGCCCCGATCTCATAACACCTCCCGAATATGGCAGCATTCCGTCCCGTGTCACACACCAGTCATCGTCACGGTGTGGACGACGCTGAGCTCGCGATTTCACCGCAAACGTGGTCGCCGAGTGACGGAACGTGCTCTCATCCTACTCTCACAGTCGTGCTTGGACCTCTCGCGCCCGGTCGGGTCCTCGCACCGCGCAGCCTCTTCCGTGTGCACCCAACCTGTCCCTGGCTATACTACCCTCGTACGCCCCGCCCGATCGCGTGGACCAACCGTGCATTTCTATCGCCGCTGCGGCGTCGGCGCACCTTAATCTTCCTCCGGGGCTGAATGCAGCACGCCTTCTCCCCACGCGCCCGCGCCCCGGCACGCACATCACGACCGCCGACCGCGCACACTCTCCGTCACGGGCCCACCCACGCATTTGGGGAGCGTGATGGACAGATCTTCGCGCGACCGCCGTCTTCTCCTCGCCCTCGCCCCCTCGTCCGTACCGCCACATCACGCGCCCGCCAGGTCTCTTTGAATGGCCCGCGTCCCCAGCCTTCCCATGGCGCGCGGGAGTCGGCGTGCGGAGTGCATTGCGCACTGGGCGTAGGGACGCTTTCCGTGCCGACGCGTGAATCCCGCGGCTCGTCCGAGAATTACAGACGTTCTGTCCAGAATCCGGACGAGCACCATGGTTCGCGTCACTGGCGAGATTAGCATGGCACGGATGGTACGAGAGGCCTCTGGCCGGTCGCCGGTCGTGCCACCCCGCAAGTACCTCTCCAGTCTCGCCGCACACCCCCCTCGGGCCCTCGCTCGTTCGCGCACTCGCGGACGAGCAACGGCGCCTGCAACCTTAGCCCCGGGCCCACGCCGCCGTACCACACACAAAAGATCCCTCTCTGGCCGACGCGTGCAAACACACGCACGCCCGAGACCTCCCCGGTCAGCCGCGGTGGTTCGCGACGCGAGCGCGCCCGTCACGGCCTCGCCAGCCCCCGCACGGTTCGACGGTGCTTGGCGACGTGCCTCGGGGAGTTGCGTGCGGTCTGCCCATCACCCCACCCGCGGTCACAGGCGCCCGGACGCACGAGATCCACCGAAGAAGGTGCTCGAGAGTCGACGGTGCGCGCGGTCTCGAGTCTCGACCCGAGGCGCAGGCGGATCCCGCCGCCCGCGCGTCGCGTCGCGAGGCCCGGCGACGCGACGCGAGTCCGACGCGGTCCGCATATGGCAGGCGCGCGTCGACGCCGCGGGTCTCCCCGTGCACGTTCCTCCTCCGCGGACGACGCCGTGGGCGTGGGTTGGAACTTGGGCGTGCACGGGGCCCACCGTGTAGCGGGACTGGGGTCGGCGTGCAACGTTAAATGTTAACACTTTCAACCCTCGAAGCTTGAACGCTGCACTAGAACTCGGCCCCCACCCCCGCTCGAAACTGGCGCACACCCTAATTACGGACTGGGGCCCTGCGGGCCTGGCGCCGTGCCCGACGCGGGGTGCTCCCACCGCGTCGTGCGCGAGCTTTGTCCTACGCGGTGGCGGCCCCGGCCGACGCCCGCGCGCCCCTTCACGCCCGCGCATCAGCCACGCTGCAGGTTTAGCTTTTGCCCTCGGGTGCGGCGCAGGTATATATGTATACACGCGCGGCCCTGCGTGCGGTCCCACGTCCCGGCGAAATCGAGCGCGACGCGTCGAGTCACTCCGGACGGGTGCCTCTCCCGCCCTGGGCTCCCGTTCGGATTCGCGTCGAATCGAGGGAACAAAGGGCGCGCGCAGGCGCCTCGGACCGCACGAAGCTCCAGAACGGCCCATCCGCCGCCCACCCTCCCAGATTCGGGTGAGCGGCGGTGGAGACGGGTTGCCCCCCCTTTCTTCGCGCACCGACGCCCGACGCTTCACCCGAGCCTTCTTCGGGACGTGCGGCGCGTCGCCGCCTGTGCGTGTATGTGCCCCGCTCGCGGCCCCGCGGTCGTGTGCGCCGAACGAGACGAGCGGCGATCGAGCACGTACGTACGCACGAACTTCCGCGCACACAGAGACGGTGCTTCACTTCATTTTGATGCTTTAACGTTTGGGGGAGGAGGACGAGGCCGTGCGCGCGCGCGTTAATATATATTGAGCGCTGGTGCGGTGTGCGCCGACGCGCCGACCCGGGTACCTTCTCGATCCTAGGGCGTGACAGAGTGCGGGCGACCGGTCGCCGCCTTCGTGCGCCGCGTGAGGTTCTTGAACCGACATACAGGTAGGTAGGTAGTCCGGCCCCCACACAGTGCACAGTGAATTACTATGCGGCCGCCATCGAGCTTCCCTGCGTACTCAGGGCAGTGTGTCACGCCCCGCCCCATGCACTCTGCGGCGAGTCAACGGCATTAACTGAACAAACTGGTGCTCGCCGTGCGCGAGCGGGCGTGACGCGCCCCTTCTCTCCCCCGCAACGTCGTCCGCGGTTTGCCGTGCTTATGTGCCCGATCGGGCACAACCGTTCTCGCGCACGTACGCTGACTCGGAGGCACCCTCCTGGTTTAGCCCCACTGTTCGTGTGCGCGAGTCACGCCGACGTACTTGCCTCTGTGGTCCCTGGGCCGTCACCAGCACTGTGGTAGTGCGAGATGAACAGATCACTGACTCTCCCTCCCGAACTTTAACATTTTAACGCCGACCGGATGGCCCGGCGGACGCGCGAACCAGTTCCGTTCCCTCTCCGCGACCCTGGCAGTCAGCACCGTCCAAAACTTCGCCGTGATCTTCCTCGCTCTGCGATATCTCGCGCACCCAGCGTCACGCGCGCCAGGCCCGAGTCGGGTTCGAACGGCGAGATCGAGAGCTCGAGCTCAAGCATTCCGTCCGCGCGCCGACGCGCTTTCTCGCAGTGGGAGGCGCGATCGAGTGGCGGTGTCCCGCGCGTTTCAGCTGCCGGAGCGGGACGGGGGGGGGGCTCGACGTGCGCCTGCGTGCATCCCGACTCCCGAGGGGCGCACGAGCCAATCCGCGCTCCGGGCTGGTCGAGCCTCCGCGAGAGCTCGATCGACCGCGTCCGCGGGACAGAGCGCGCGAGAGCGGCGGTGTGGCCAGAGAACCCAAATCGCTGGGCATGTCAGGCCTCCACCGTGACCAGGCACCTTCGCGCCGCGGCGCCACGCTCGAGCTCGTCACGCAAGCGTCGCGCGAAAGCATCTGGGAAAGGCGATGGGGACATTTCGCCTGGCTAGGGGTTGCGGATATCTGTAACTCGTTGAGCGCATCAAGCGCTCGAGCAGTCCCCCGCCGCTCCACGAAACGACGTCGCAGAACGTTTCGCGCGAATGGTGAGCGCTTGAGGGCTCGACCTCATCACAAAGTCAACAACAGCTGGCTGTCAGAGACCAGCCTTGCCGCGCCACATTAACGTAGGACAGAGAAAGCCCGGCACGATCGCAGTACGAGGCACGCCTGGGGCAGACCGTTCGCGTTCGTTGGAGGAGGCGATCGATCGTGCCCAGCCCTAGCAGTGTCCAGTTGGGACAACCCGCTGGGTAAGGTCGATGAACTTTTCCAGGCTCGATCTGGCAAGGACTTGAACTCGTTGGCGCTGGGATGCGGTGGCGTGTGCGAAAAGCTCGCGAAGATTTCGTCCTGAGGAGACACTGGCTGGGCCATCTCGCCGCGGCCGGGGAGCAGCTGTAACTGGGACGGAGGTTACGCTGCTGCCGGTCCGTCCCAACCGCGTGCGCATATGTGCAGCGCGCGGTGTGGCCCGCCGCGTTCAACGTTTGAATACGGCCACAAAGAAGGTGACGACGATCCCCGCCTGAGCGCACGGGCCGCGGACCGACTCGCCCGTTCTGTAGCCTTCTTGGTCGACCCCCGCTACGCGCTGGGCACACCTTGATACGAACGCAGACCGAGATCGCACCGCGAAGGGGACGCCTTGCGTGCGCGTATTTCCGACATTACGGCCCCCCCTCCCCTCGAACGCGAAGCGGGCGCCATGTGACCCGCGTGCCGGACCCTTGTCTTTGTGGCGCCCGGGGCGTCGACACCGCCGTCGATTCCTTGCGTCGACTTCCCAGCTCGACGCGTCACGCGCAGGCCGGCCGGCGAGTGCGACGACGACGGCGCAGGAAGGTTCGAGAGTACCTGCGGCCAAGACGCCTCGCCGACACGTGCGCACGGGCCACAGTGTTTGCCAGTGGATGGACTGTGACGAGCCGAATTCGGCAGAATTTGGCGTGCGAGCGATCGGAACGGCCGCGCGTAGTACGCGTACGGTTTGCGCTCAAAGGCCCGCGTAGAGTGCGGTGGCGTCATCCCACCGCACCCTGCGTAGCCTTCCCATCCCTCAACCGTACACCGTGGGTGAGAGAAGGACGGTCTGATGTCGTCTGTCACGCTTCTTCCGTGCTGATGCTGAGCACAGATGCCCGTGTTGTCTGTTATCGCCGCGGTGGTTGCGATGACCTCATCGCAACGCCAGCCAGCAGCCCGCGCGTAAGAAGGTCACGCCATGGACACATATGGCGAGTCAAGCTCTCAAGTTTCGGTGGTGTGCGAATCACGAACTCGCCAGATGTGACCTGTCGCGTCATCAAGCGCTCGGTGACGACGCTCTGCGGATTCCGCCAAACGTCTGCGAAACGCTCGCACGCTAGCCCCAGGGTGAAACTCTAGCACTCACGCGGCTGACATGCCCCGTCCCCGGCCGACGACGTGAGCGGCGTGGGCGGACGGGAATGGTCAGAGACCCGAGAGTGCGTTGGGCGCTCCTCTAGCACGAGCGAGTGCGATGGGTGATGTCATTGACGCGTCGTGTCACGCCAGACGCGTGTGTGACAGCGCGCGCGTGACGCGCGAAGTTTTCTTGGGCGGCTGTAGTATGAGGCCTCCAGAGTCCAGGCTCTGGTTCCAGGACATATGGGGGCCATTGCGCGACAACAAACGGGGGACGGACGACGAAACACACCCCGCCGTGATGCTACTCCCGCGATAGCTCGCGGATGCATTTTCTTCAGCTCGCCGTCGTGGAGATGGGCGCCCGCCCATAGGCTCGCGCTGTGGTCGAGACCGCGTCGGTGCGCGTCGGCCACGGCGGTGCGCGATGTGCGCGGCCACCCCGTTGCTGCTCTTCCCTGGACCCCTCCGCTCTTGTCCTCGTCCGCGGTGCTGAGCGCTGAGACCCGCCCCGTCGCCATCATCCCATCACTCCGCGCCTGGACACTCGTAAGTACGGATTTGGGTCGCATGATCTCCCGGACCTTGTGAGTTTGCGTGGGGCCGACGGTGAGATAGCCTTGCGTCAGTGTACGTCGTCGCTGCTATTGTGCAATTCATCATCGCTGTACATAGTTCCACGATAGTGGACAAGATTGGGACCTGACCGGCCTACGCGGCGGGCAAAGGCACGACAACGAACGCGGTACTTACGCAATGCGGTGATGCCCACCCTCGCGTGGCTTTGGCTTTCCGTCGCTCCGTCCAACTCGTTCCCCGCTTGTTCTTTCTTCCTTCTCTCCCACCTTCCCTTCACTCCGGATAGCCGCCGCGCCCAAACGCGACCGCCTTCCCATTCGCGAGGGCCTCGGCCGGGGGCTCTCGCGCGCGTCGCCGGTTGCTATGTGTTCCGCAACGGCAAGCCGGATCTTTGGGGCCCGTTGTCTCCCTCTGCGGCGGAAGGCCTGGGCCCGCACACGCCAATCCGCCGTCACACGCGCACGGTGCGACGGTGCTGATGATGATGATGATGATGTATTCGTGCCAGTGCTGTAAGTATCTTCGTAGAGCTAAGTACGAGCTTACTCAGAGAACGGTGCGACGGTGCGAACTCTATCTCTGCGCCCGCCTCCGAATATTGTACTTCGGCCACCCCAAATCCGGTGCGCAGGCGAACTGGTTGTCACATACGCCGAGCACTCGTACTTATCGTGCTGACAGTTGTTAGGCTTGGAGATCATGAGCTTGCGCAGCGGAATCACGTATGTCGTGCCGTCTGTTTGCCTGGTGCTCGACCTGCTCGCGCCCGTGTCATCCCAGGTCATCATGCGCTCCTTACACGCTCTCGCGAGCCGCCCGTGAACGCGTGAACTCTCATTGAAGGTCGACCCCCCGAGGAACGGCCCGCGCCAAAACAATACGGAAGATTCGAGCTGCGCACCGAAGACGACCACGGACAACATCTGGCGCCTGCTCGCGTCCTCCGTCCCCACACCGCGGTACGCGATCACTGTGCGGAGGCGTGACCCCCAGCCCATCATCGCACCTCTTCTCTTCCCCATGTCACACCCGACTCGCCCGACATCTGTCCCGGCGCAGGCCCATCCCAACACACATCGAGCTCATCACCCCCGAGCGCCGTTGCGTCAACCCCACCGCTGTCACAAACAGCCTCCGCGCCGGGAACCCCTTCGTTTCGCCGGTCGGACCGGACGCCGCGGCCGTCAAGTCTTGGACGGAGCGGCCATACGCAAGTATTTCGTGTCCGGGCTCAAATGTGCGCGAGGCGCCCGCCCTGGGCATGGGCATGACAGATATCTGGATATGTTCCAGCTTCGAAGCGGTCTAGCGTCCTGGGCGCGTCTGCACCGCAAGTGCTCTAGCGCGATCGCCCGCCGTCGACGGCCGCTCGTGCGAGCGTCCGACCGTCACGTCGTGCGACGCGGACTCGACTCGCTGTGCCCCGATCCGGCCGTGTCGGCGCCAGGCCCGTTTCCGGTGAAGACCACGACGCCGGGACGCAGAAGATGCACTCTGAAGGGGGCACGGTGTAAGAGGGTGCGTGATTCCATCCATCTTTGACGCGGACGTCCGCCGCGGCCGGACGAGCGCGAACGCGCGTCCCATCGCCCATCTGCCCGCTCTCATGTTCCCAATCACTCACCCGTGTCCCGCCTTGCAGGCAAGCAGTGGCTGTCGCCCGCGCAAAACGTGATCTCTGGTCGAGCGCGATGTGCATTGCACCCGCCCTCCGCGCGCGCTCCGTCAAACCCGACCTCGGCTCCCGAGGTCGAGATCACGCCGCCACCCACACCCCGCAACGACACTCGAGCTCAGGTCGCGGGGTGCCGGCACCCCGGCTACGCGTCTCGGGAGGCGAGCATCACCAGCTAGTCCCAGCGCAACTGGGGTCACGGTCGCCTTCGGTCTGGGTTTTGGGTGCTGTGACGCTTCCCGGACTGGAATCAAGGTCGGGGGCGTGACGCGCACGGCGAGGCGAGTTCTATCGCTGCGTATCTATCATCCGGATACGAAGCCCATATTCTTCCCCCCTCAATCCCAGCGTCGCATTGCATTACAAGAGCGGCCGTTGGCCTTCGCAGGTGACGGGGGGGCGCATTCCCGGCGCCATCATCGAGGGCCGGCGTTGTGTAAGCCGCGCCCTAATACCATCGCAAGTGCGTCCCCCGCCGTTCTACGCCCACGCACGCACGCTCGATGTTGGACCACCACGCAGAAATAACTGTGCGCAGCTCTGCGGCCTGCGGTGCACGCGAAAGCCGTACCCTAGACCGCGCGCGGCGACGTCGCACAGGACCGCGACCTGCAGGCCCGACCCCACCAGCTTCTGCACCGCGCGTGCCTCGGTCATGTGCGTCCCGCGTCGCTACTCGTCAGCGGAGGGCTTGCGGGGGGCGGACATGAACGGGAAGCGCCGCCGTCTCTGATGCGCGTGCCCGTGCGGTGCTCGACGCTCATGTGCAACACCCCATGGGCCCCACAGAAGTTCATTTGCGGTAGAGGAGGAGCAAGAACACGCGGAGAGGGGCGGATGCTGGCGTTCAAACGTTCACGTCGCTCGTCGGAGGCGTCCGCACTCCGCGCTGAACGCGGCGCGCGTTTACAGCGTCGACGTCCGCAACGAGCGTCGGAGTGCTGCGGCGGACGGCCCCTGCCGTGCTCCCTGAAGGCCTGAAGTTCACCCCGAGCTCAATATTCAATCGTACGTCACCCTCAACGTTCGCCATTTCGCTTCCCTGAAGCTCGCCGGCTAGCCCGCCCCCGGCGTTCCCAGCGATGGAACATCCCGCCGCGGCCGCGGCTGATGTCACCCCCAGCGTTCGCCGCAGCACGCACGGTCCAGGCTCTGATTATAATAGTGCTGCGATTATAATAGGACTGTCAGCGCGTGCGTCTTCTGTTCTGCTCGTGCGCTTGCTGACTCGCGGGTTGGAACAAACTTAGGTCCTTCCAAAGCTCAAGGTGTGCGCGATTGCAATGCCGCGACGCGGCGTTCGGTGCGCACGGCGACGACGGGCGGACGATGTGCGCCCGTGGCCATGGCAGCTGCGCGCGGGCCTCTGTGGAAGCGCGGTGGCGAAACTCCGTGCGCACGCTCGACGCGCTCCTTCTTCTTCCGCGGAGGCGGGGCCACCCGAAACGAGAACGGGAGGTGCAAGCAAACGTGCACTCATAGCCGGCGCGAGCACGAGGACCGTCCCGAAAGTCGACAGGAAAATGGGACGCGAACGTCTTGCGGCTGGCGTGCCCCGCGATCCCCACGCGGCGGTTTTCGAGCTTCAGCACGCGCGCCGTTCCCCCGTCACGATCTTCGCCCACTGCGAAGTTCGCCAGGACCGTGGGTCCCTGGTTTCGCGACACGCCCGTTTCGGTTTCGGACCTCCGCTGACGTCCGACCCGTTCAACAGGCTGCAGGCGACGCTAGGGCACCGCGTCAAGGATTATATATAATTATCGTCCCCCACACTCGGCGTCGCGGGACCGCACCCGACACACGGTGCGCCCACAGTCGCCCATATGCTCCATTCCCGTTCCGGAAACACGCGACGGCCAGAAGGCGGGGCGTCGCGGATCGCTCAGTGCTCAGCGCTCAGCGTCGCGGAGCTGCCAGGGAGGGAACCAAGCTCAAGGGCGCAAGGTCCAGATGGCTCCAGACCGCGGGACCGCGACGCCAGCACCCGCTAGCACCAGCTTGGTGAACCGTGAGCGATTGGTTGTCTCGGTGCCGCCCGACGCTCATGGGTCTCGCACAGGTCACGGCGAGAACTCGAGCGGCGAGCGCTGCACTGTGTGGCAGGCCTGCGGCGCCAAGCCGAGCGAGACTCTCGTCGACTCTCGCCGTCCGCGGCGTCGGTGCGAGGCTTGGTGGGTGGGCAGTCAGGAGATTGGTCCGAGTGGAGGCGCCTCTGCGGCCCACACGGCTACCGTACGTGACTGGGGGCGTCCAGCGATGGGTCGGAGGTCCCCACGCTCGCTGGCGAGGACGATCACGACCGAGGTAGACGTATTCAGTCGACTGTCGCCGCCCCATGATTTTTCCTCTCTCGGGACTGCACCCCGTCAGTATCGCGCTCATGTGTTGGGTCTGACGCCAGCCAGCACGCCGCGCGCCGCGGCCGCTCGACTCGAGCGCCGTGTCCAACTGATTTCACGCCCCAGCTGCCTCGGAGGGTGCTAGAGGAGCCGCTAGTACCGGCAATCTCGAGGTTCCGGGCACTCGGTCGATCAGGTCTCTGCAGACTGCAGGCCGCAGTTGCTCCTCGTCTGCAGGCGCTCGCCGACGTTCATGCGCAGCTCTACCGAGTGTGGGGGGCTCACTTCGTTTCTGGACCTAGCGTACTGCAAAGTCACGTCCAGTCTAGCCGACTATCGGCGCGACGGCGCTCGACAACACGGTTGTCCCATCGAGCACCTCCCACGGCCACGACATCAACGCAGCGCCCCAGAGCACCCCCGACCAAAACACGGGCCTGGACCGACCCCACATCCACCCCACAAACGGCGAGGCTCGACAGCTCGTCCGCCGCTAGCCCGTACCAAGCCGGCCGCGGGTCTGTTCCTGGCCGCACTGTCCACCACGTCACCACGTCCTCTCCGCACCGTGGCGGTCGGCGTCGCGGCGTCCAAGTCACAGGTGGTCTCCCCATACGGGTCGGGTGACCCCCTCGACCCCGGCGTCGGCGAGGGGCGGCGAGCACGTTGCCGCGGCGAGAGTTTGTTCGATGGACGCCTCTGGCCTGGCGTGGGACGTTGGCGACTGTCACGCCCGCAGGCAGGGGGACCCGGGCGCGCCGTGGGGGAGGGCACCGGCACGGGTCGCAGCCTTGTAGCCCAAATGAGCCAGATGGCAGTGTATTCCAAGGTATACGGCCACTAGCGTCCATACCATTGTCCTCCAGCTCCCGTCACCGAGTCTGCGCTCTGACAGTGAAAGTACGATCAACAAGGCATACGCCACCACAAGTCCGTGTGCCTACAAGCGCGACAAGTCGCGACCCCAGATACCCCTGCAGCCACCTCGTCAGCCATCGTCCTCGCCCGACGAGAGGCACGCATCGAATCGAACGTACGCACCTGACGACCCAGTCGATCATGAGCAGCGCGCGGGTGCGCATGCTGACCTGCTCGCTCCAGTACACGCTCCGCCAGGCGTACATCGCCGCGAGGCCGCCCATGAAGCTGTACCTGCCGAGGTCGAACACGGCCGCGTTCCCGATGTACGCGAGCGAGCCGAGGTGCGTGTACCGGAACGGCTGCGCGATCGCGTCGTCGAAGTCGGCGGGGTGCAGGCCGTTCGCCTCGAGCGTCGGCTGCTTCTTGGAGAGCTTCGAGAACTTCTTGCCCAGGTATTTGCCCTGTTGCGAGGCCACTTGCGCGGTCTGCGAGGGTGGACGGAGGGGTGAGCTTCGCTCGCGTAGCACGAGAGGATGATGGACGAACCGCGGGAAGGGAGGTGATCTTGCTCCCGAGCTCTTGGAGGAGCACGGCGAGCTCGTTCAGTGTGAGGGAGTTGTCGCCGTCCGAGTCGTACAGCTCAAAGAGCTCGCGAACTCTCAGAAGCTGGTCTTCAGCCATAGGCATGCGCTTCTTGATCCGCCCAACTAGAAGATACGGGTCAGACGGTGGTTCTCCAGACACAACTCTGCTGACTTGCAACACACCTATGATCTCCCACTCATCGAAGTCAATCTTCCCGTCGTTGTTCTTGTCGGCTTCGTCAACAAGCTCTAGTAGATGTGCCACTATTGAAGTTTCGATCTGCGAGAGAGACTCAAGTTTGAAAGGTGTGCTGAATGATGTGTATCCTGACTTACGGTGCTAGCATCCCCAATCGCGTAAACGTCTCCGAGTGGTGCGCCCTTGACGCGCAGATGCGAGTCGACCTCGATGGCCTTCTTGTGAACCTGGTTCGGGAGCTGATCTGACACACGCTTCGTGAACGGGTTCATCGCGATACCTGTGCTCCATAGCACAAAGTTGGTGGGGATCTCAAACGACTCCGTCTTGCCGTCCTCGGTCCGCTTGGTATAAGTGACCTTGTCGGGTGCGACGGATGCCACCCGTGCCATTGTAATCAAGTCAATTTGATCGTGCATGAATTTCTGCTCAGCATACTTGGAGATGGCTTCCGAGTACTACGTGTCGCGGAAGGTTTGAAAGCGGCAGGACGACTGAGCTGCAATGGAACTCACGGTGTTCAGGATGTGTTCCCTGCTCTGGACGACATGGATAGATACTTCCTCACGGCAGATTTTGGGAAACTAAACGCCCCAGAGTTCAACGAAAGCGCAAAAGGAAACGAATTACCACTCACGTAGTTGAATAAGTCCTCCTGACACAAATCATAGATCTCCGCCGCAGTCTCGACGCCTGTGGGCCCTCCGCCACAAACCACGAAGCTGAGAAGTCGTTTGCGCTCCTCGGGAGTTGTTGTCGGCAATGAAGCAGCCTCGAAGTTATCTGAATCAACAATCCCCTGAGCTTGTCCGTTCGCACAGAGAAAGGGGCGCTACGCACCGATGATACGTTTCCGTATTGCCTGAGCGTCACCGATGGTCTTCAGCTGGAAACAATGTTCCAGGCCTGGAACACCGTGCGTGCTCGAAGTGGATCCCACTGCAATGACGAGCTTGTCGTAGCTTTGGGCGCAAACGCGACACGTGTTGAGCAAGGCGGCAACGCAGCAAAAATAGAACACGTACGGGATGTACATGTGCTCGCCCTTCTCCTGGCCTGGCACGATGGTCTCCACCTCCAATAGCCTTTCAGACATGACGAGGTCCACTGCACGCGCATTGATGAGGTGCCCTCGTAGTCGAGCTGCAATCTTGCGGAGGGGCTCGATCAGCGAGCGGACAGAGACGGTTCCAACCGCAGCAGCTGCAATATCCAGTCAAACACGACGAAGTAGAGGAACGCGGAAGCAAATGCGTACAGGGAAGCAGAGGCGTGAAGGTGGTGTAGGTTTCAGGGGATATGATGGTGATGTGGTAGTCGCCGGGGTCGAGTTTGTCAAGGACGCCAACAGCCTAGGATGACCATACGTTGAACTGAAGCTACCACGCAAAAAGAAATGTGGACGCACGCCCCAGCCTCCTCCGACAATGACCAGGTGGGGTTTCTTGGAGAGACTGCGCTGCTCCTCGTCCTCCCAATCGCTTAGAAGGGTAGAGAGCACCGGAAGATTCTTGGGGCCGCCACGTTCTGGCTGGAGCGCACGGGGCGCGACGGGGACATTCCCGACATGCTAGAAACTGATTTAAGATGCGTGTTGTGAAAGATGTGGCTCTGGCTTACACGGTCTTGGTAGGTGAACGCGTCGTGGACGAAGATGGCACCCGTAATCAACCCACAGCCGAGGATAGTTGAACCGATGAGATAGAAGGTGTAGCGAGCGGCCGTCCGGGTCCTACGCAGGAATGTTGGAGGCGTCCCGGCAGGTGCAGTCGCGTAATGCCTGAGCACTGGACTGCTGTAAGTCCCCGAGCGAGAAGCGAGGCGGACGTAGGAAGGCGGGGGAAGTCGGAAAGGTGGCGAGCATGTCCGCAGGAGGGCCGGCGCGCCGCGCTGCATGGCACCACGCAGAGGAAAAGTCTCGACGAGTGCTCGAGAGAAGACCGCCGGGGGCACGAAGGGTAAGGTGGAATAAGGAAAGGGGGAGGGGGAGGGGGAGGGGGAGGATGAGAGCCTGGAGAGTGCGTCCAGGCAGCTTGCGGGCGCATGATGTCACTGCAGCCAGATCACTGCGCGTGCCCGCGTGGCCTACCGGCGCTTATGTGCATACCCTCGTCTGCGCCGGCGGCGGATAGCAACTGTCTTGCAGCGCATGCGTGAGCATCGTGAGCGTTTCTTTGCATGCTCGCGCCCGGCCGCTGACACCACCAACTCAGCTCTTTGACGTGTGTACGTTTCTTATCATCACCAGGCCGCCCCCATTAATTGCCTCCGCCAGATAGTACAAGGCGCGGGGGGTCTATTAAGTAAAACAATGAAGGTAAGCACACGCCGTTCTACCCAGCAGCCGTGTTACGTTTAAAACTTCTGGACATCAAATTATCACTGACGGCCTCGAGGTCGCGAGCCGCCTTTTCACCATGAGTGCCGGCATGCCTTCCTCGTCGGCGCATATAAGGGCCCAGACACAGTGGCATATGGGCCACCCCTCAATGGAACACCTCCCTGCTGAGCTCCTCGTTGCCATCGCTCTTGTTGCTTGCAGGGACGGCGGGTTCACCGGTTCCTCCCTCTCGCTCGTCTCTCGACGCATCCGAGACGCGACGCATCCAGCACGCTTTCATTCAGTCTCGCTAGCATGGTGCCCAGACCGTCTCCACAAGTTTCTCGAAACATATGGACGACAGCTTAGTCGCTTCCCAAACGCCTGTCCTCGCGTCAAGCATCTCTTCTTGTCGTTATTCCCCGCCGAAGGCAACTCCCAGGTTTCCCCCATGCCCCCTCTGCCGGACTACCGGATGTTCTACACCTATGACAAATACCTTGCCAGCCTCGAACGACAAAGCGCAACCCATTGGCCAAGTGTGTGCGAGTTTATCCGCACCGTGGCCCCCGACCTCGAGACGTTCGCATTCGTGCGTGGCGAGTGGACCGATATTGCAGTCACTCGTTGCGCCTTCCCTAGACTCCGCGAGCTCACGCTGGTCGACTCATGCCCCGGATTTCTGCACGTTGAAAACACACCGCTCGACCACGGACCCCTGTTCCCTGCCCTGGAACGCCTCCACTCGGTCGAGTTCTTTTACGCGCCGCCCGTCGACTTCCAGCGCTGGGCCCTGCACGCGCCCGCACTAACGCACCTCCGGTGCTCGGGGATCCACCATCACAACTCCCCTACGGCCATTTCACTGCAGGCTGTCTCTGGTGCGTGATCTAATTCGGTCTCTCTCCCGTCCCTCGTGCTGATCGGCTTCGTGTTCAGTGCGCGTTGCGCCGCTCCAAGACGGAGAGACAGTCGACAATGCCGTCGATGATGCCGTCTTCTTTCCGCACCTGCAACACGTTCTCGCTCAGCCGATGTCGTCCAAATGCCATCCCGCCTACCCTTGGAACGGTCAGCGGATCCTGCGCGAGCATCTCCAATTCTGCTCTCAGAACGCCCGCCCGGGCGTCCAGTTCGATGTCGTCGACTGGAAGCAGAACCCAGGCTCAAGCCCGCTGTCGATTTTTGAGCTCGAGTCAGCCTCTACGGAGGCAATCGGATACGACATCAGCATCGTGAAGTCGCACACGGAGCGGTGCGTTGCTCACGCCCGCCAGGCTTGGCTGGAGCGTATAGAAGGGGTCCAAGCAGGATGTTGGACGAAGAGCTTCGTTTTCTGAACGGTCATGCTCAACATGCGGTTCTACTCCCGAACTTGCTGTTTATGTATGTAAGTATTTGTTCGTCCTTCAAGCACGCTATGCTGATTACGGCAGCGAACATAGAATCGATTAATCACCAGACCGTTCGCCGTCCGAGATCCGTGAAGCTTTGAAGCTTACGCTACCTGGCCTTTCCTTTGCTCCATTTTGCGCGTGGTCCTCTCACCACGGCCACGTCGCCCGCGAGAGCAAGCATAGTGCAGCGGTACATTTGTCAAAGCGTGAACCCGGACATTGTCAGCGATAGCTTCCGAGCGCGTTTTGCTCCACCCACAGCCCCAGCTTGCATCACCGTTTTCAGTTTCGCCGCTCTCTGCAGTGCGCGTGCGTCTGCCGATCACTCGTACTTGGCAAGGTTAGCGTTCTGTCGCTTTCTGCGCGCTCAAATACTCCAGAGCATCCGCAATTCTTCCTCTCCACCCCCCCAGCCATGCAAGACCTCCCCGTCGAGCTCATCGCCCAAATCGCCTTCCACGCCTGCACCGATGGCGGCGCGACCGGCGCCGCCCTGTCCCGCGTCTCTACGCGCATACGCGACGCGACGCACCCCGCCCGCTTCCACACCCTCGCCCTCACCAGGCCCGCGACGCAGCTCGCCTCCTTCCTCTCCACCCACACCGCGCAGCGCACCCGCCTCCCAGACACCACCCCGCGCGTGCGCCACCTCCTGCTCTCGCTCCTCTCCGGCGGCGGCGAGCCGATCTACGTGCGCCCCGCGCTGCAATTCGGCGCGCTCATGGGCGCGTACGACGCGTACCTCGCCGAGCTGCACGCGCTCGGCGCCACGCACGGGGCGTCGCTCGCCGCGCTCGTCCGCGCGCTCGCGCCCGAGCTCGAGACCGCGCTCTTCGTCCGCGGCGAGTGGAAGGGCGTGCCGGCGGTGCACGTCCCGTTCCCGCGCCTCCGCGAGCTCACGCTCGTCGACGCGGCCCCGGAGTTTCTCCGCCTCGAGGACGTGGCGGGGACCGTCGCTCACCCCGGTCGGGCGAGACGCGAGGAGGATGAGGAGCAGGACAAGGAAGAGCTCGAGGACGCCCCGCTGTTCCCGGCGCTTGAGCGCTTGCACACGCTGGAGCACTTCTACGCGCGCCCGGTCGACCTGCGGCTTTGGGCGCGGCACGCCCCCGCCGTCACCCACCTCCGCTGCTCTGGTCTGCGCTTCCGCAGCTCGCCCACCGTGGACTCGCTCAAGGCTGTCCTCGCGGACGCACAGGGAGAGGGACGGCGACTGTTCCCACGTCTGGAGGAGGTCATGGTGCAGGCGAAGCAGGAGCAGGTCGTGAAGGAGATGGGCGCGTGCGTGGGCGGGGTCCGGGACGAGGTCAAGCTGGCGGTGTTGCCTGCGCACGACCCGCTGGCGGACGCGATGCCGGCGCCGCACGAGGTAGAGGAGGTAGGAAGGGAGACGGCACCGATGAAGTGCGTGCGGCGCGCGAAGGAATTGTGGCTGGAGCGCATCGAGGGTGGAGAGGGGTGTTGGTCGGAATCTTACGCGTTTTGAGTCTGAGGCCTGCGTTCAGGACATTCGATGCACACAGTTTTCTTTCTTCGAGGCCATATGATTGACCAAGTATGGGCATGTGGTCGAACGGGCGCCCACGCGGCGGTCGCGACGATCCGCCACCGCTTTGCTCTCAACTTCATCAATGTTTTATTCCCCAACAGATGATCACCATTGCGTGCGTATCGACTGACTTTCGCATACCTACATCAAAAGACAGCACGTCAGAGTCGAGTCGCGGGTCTCCAACTTCTTCAGACCTCCGCGCCGACCCAGTTCAACCTCCACCCTCCGACTCCCTGTAGCCTCCAGCGATTTCAGCCAGCCCCATGGATCTCTATCCAGAGCGGTCCGTTCTCGAACGGCAGCCCCTCAAAGCCCTCTATCTCGCCTTCCACGTCGCCTCCATCCTCGCGCGCACGCCCTACTGGTCCCTCCGCTTCCTCGTACCCTCCCTCCGGCCACACCCCGCATGGACGTACAAACGCGCGCTCATCGTGCGCGTGCTGCAAGCGGCCAACGACGCGCGGTTCGACCTCACGCTCATGCCGGGGATCGCGGGCGCAGTCGTCCCACCGAGTGAGAAGGGACTGGACAAGTACAACGCCCGGCTGGCGTGGATCGAGGCGCTCGAGAAGGACGATCCGCTGGTGTGCGGGGAGGTCAAGGTGGCGAAGGAGAGGGCGGGGGTGGAGAGTGTGCGGGTTCCGGGATACTGGACGCTGAAGAAGGGGTCGGAGTGGGCGGACAAGGCGCGGCCGGGAGAGAAGACGATGCTGCACATCCACAGCGGCGGGTTCTACGTGAGTGCTCCCCCCTCGCGCGTGCACGCGTCCCCCCCTCATCGAGCACGCCCGGCAGCTCTGCTCCGCCCACCCCTCCGACGTCTCCGCCAACTTCATGCGCGCGATCCTCGAGCACACCTCCGCCGAGCGCGTGTCCCGCACCCTCTCCGTCGACTACCGCCTCTCCGCCGCCGCGCCGCACTTCGCGCCCGCGAACCCGTTCCCCGCCGCGCTCCTCGACGTCCTCGCCGCGTACCGCCACCTCGTGCGCGACCTCGGCTTCGACCCCGCGAACGTCGTCCTCTCCGGGCACTCCGCCGGCGGCGGCCTCGCGCTCGCCGTCGCGCGCCACTTCGTCGAGAACCGCGCCGCGCTCGCCGCCGCGGGGTACGCGGGCGTCGGCGCGGTCGTGCTCGGGTCGGCGTGGATGGACCCGGGCATGACGCTCCGCGGGCCGGAGAGCAGCATCGAGCGCAACAGGGGCACGGACATGTTCCCCCCAGGCTACCTTCCGCAACCGCCGCGGGTGCACGCGGAGTACGCGGTGACGGCCTACCGCGGGCCGATGAGCCTGGAGGAGGCGGCGCGGAACCGGTACGTCGCCGCGGCGTCGAGGCTCGTCGAGCCCGCGGAGGGGCGGGGGCTGTTCGCGGGGTTCCCGCGGACGTACCTCTCTGCGGGCGGGGTCGAGAAGCTGCTCGACAGCTCGCTCGTCGTAGCGGAGCGGATGGAGGCGGACGGGGTGGAGGTCGTGCTCGACGTGGAGCCGCACGCGATCCACGACTTTATCATGTTCCCGTGGCACGAGCCGGAGCGGTCCTCTGCGGCGAAGAGGATCGCACATTGGATCGAGGGGTGATCTATCCTTACATAAATACATGCTACATCTACTCGCACCACAGCACTCGTCTACGGGTCACCGAGCCCGCTGACGGCCCACGCCGTCTTGGACCGGAACCACTCGAAGCTGGTGAGCGTGCTGAGCACCGAGAACTGGATCCACGCCGGGTTGTACGGCAAGACGCCGAAGATGTACTCCGTCTTGTTCGGCACCCAGAGCCTGCTCTGGATCGTGCGGACGAGGTCGATGACCTCCAGCGCCCGCTTCCGCCGCTGCGTCGCCCACGCCTCGACGTCCGCGCGCGCGGCGGCCGTCGCGCCCGCCTCCCCGCCCTTCGCGGCCTGCACGTACCGCGCGAGCACGGGCCCGAGCTTCGCCGCGTCGCGCATGCCGAGGTTCATGCCCTGCCCGCCCATCGGCGGGTGGATGTGTGCGGCGTCGCCGAGGAGGCACACCGGGCCCGCGCCCCCGGGGGCGCTGGTGAGGAAGGCCCCAGCGATGCCCGAGTGCGTGCGGAAGCGCGACGACCACAGCGCGTGCTCGACCTCGAGCGGGGCGGCGCCGTCGACGGCGTGCTGCGGTCCGAAGGCGTCGAGGAGGCCCTGGAGGTAGGCTACCTCGGGCGCGCGGGGCGGGGGCCCGAGCGCGGCGGGGATGCCGCTCGCGATGCGGTAGACGGGCGTGCCGGCGGGGACGGCGTCGGGGTACGGGTCGCCGGGGAGGTACTGGATCATGAGCGCGTTCTGCTGGCCCTCGGGCGCGATGACGAGGTTGATCGCGTCGGGGCGCAGGGACGGGGGCGCCGTGAGGGTGACGTCGGCGACGATCATGTTCGCGGCGGCCGCGGAGTCGTCGACGACGTTCGCGTTCACCTCGCCGTGCGGGTCATTCCATTCGACGCCGCAGATACTGCGGACCTGCGCGCGGAATGTGTGAGTTTGCGTGTGATACCGGCGAGAGGACAGTTTGATGCTCACAGTCGAGCGCGAGCCATCGGCGCCAACTACGGCCCTCGCCCGTATGGTCTCGCCATTCTCGAAGATGACATCGGTCAGGGTGTTGTCGTGGGCGTGCGGCTTAAGGTCGACGACCCTCAGCGGCCGATGGACGATGATTCCCCGCTCTTTTGCAGCGTCGGACAGGATTTGCTCGGAGACGTGCTGAGGAATGCCGAGAATGAACGGGTATTTGGTGTTTTTGGCAAGCGACCGGAAGCCTGCGGAGGCAATGGGAGAGAAACCCTTTGTCCAAATGGTGGTAGACTGCATCTGTCTGCCTTTCGCAACGAAGCGGTCCGCAAGGCCAAGTCGTTCAAGGGCCTACGCAACTGATGAGCTCAGAGTAGGGCACATTCGCGAAGAAACTGACCTCTACGGTGGCTGCGTGAAGCGCTGCCGCGCGAGATGTGTTCGCCGTTCTGTGCTGGCCATCAACGACGAGGATGTCCTGGCATCCGCTCTGGTGGAGAGACAGGGCGAGTGTGTGACCGGCAGGGCCGGCGCCGACGATGACGACGTCCACAGACTTGGGGAGCGACATGATGAGGGTGGAGAGAAGAGAGTGAGCGATCGAAGGGCGGGATGAGTGCGGATGATGGAAGCCGGTGTGGGGACCATATATAGCTGAGGATCATCACAGCCATGCAGCGAATTCGATGCGACTTTGACGGGCGCGCTCTGAAGCAGCTAGTCAGGAAGGTTATAAACGGCATCTCTTGTGGTGTCCATGGTGCAGTGGTGAGGTGGTGGTGCCGACAGGTACCAGTCAACGAGCCGCCCGCCGCGGCCGATCGTAGAGAGACGCCTACCGTGCGGCCACCACGTGCGAGTTGGGGATGGCTGGTGCCGTCGACCGACGATCGACGACCGACCCTTGCCGTGCTCACACGAAGCAACCTTTGCCGAGCAAGTGCGCAAGGCGTCATGTACTACTATCAGGCTACCGAGCCACCGAACCCCGCTAGGTCTGTCGCGATTGGGTCGAGAGCCTGCAGGCTTACGGATCCTTTCTGCCATGCTGACACTCGCTCTATTGCGCCTCGTCAGCATCTGACGATGGGGGCGGCATGCGATGGGACGTCACCACGACACCGTCTCCTTATCAGGGCGTATGCAATCCGAAACGCGACACGCGTCCGCTCGTGGGAAATCTGCCCGAACATTGAATCGTGGTCGTCAACTCCCCGCTATGTAAGTGCCCTACGCCTCCCCCCGCGATGGCCCCAAATGTGTGTGGTGCACGTCGATGTATGGTTTGGCGCTTCTCCGCGTCCTGGGAGGATTCACGATGATTCACGCTTATAGAACAACAGCCTTCGCGGCTTTCGAGTGGATCGGCATACTTGACAAGGCCATGAACGCTAGCAATTCGCAGTGCTTTCGCGACAGAGCCGGGTGAGTCAGACAACTGTAGCCGTTAAGGACAAGGTAAGGATGTCATAAAATTCGCAAGCACGTTTGGACGTTGTTACATTCGCTCATTCTTCGCGAATACTCCGTAGGGAAATGCGATGGCACCTGCTTTGGCATGCCCAAAGTAGGTTTGTATACATGCCGACTCATCCGAGTTTGCTCAAGTTGCACCTAGGCGGCAAATCCGCCACTCGGCCTCGTTGTTCTTCTCCGCCAGGTCTGTGAGGTATATGATAAACTGCTGGTATCCCCACTTGCGCTAGTCAGCGGTCATTCCTTTATAGGTTCATTATGCGTTACTGTGACGCTCTGATTGAATATTGGGTGTGGGCGGATGACCCCATCAACGGAAGAGCGCTCTACGCCGAGGTTTCCGAATTGCGATCCTACTCGAGTCAAATCACTCAGATAGGGTTGGAAGTCAATGTCCCTCCATCGTAGTCCAGATGGATCTCCTTAAGCTCCAACAAGTATACTGGCCATCACTGAAGTACCTCGAGTGAAAGTGCATCAGGGTCACACTAGTGTCGCACCACAAGACGTCATTCAAGTGCAACTTTTCGCCCCTAATCTGCCGCAGCTTTCTTCGCTGGTCTTGAGCGGGGTCTATCTAGACTGGAGCAACACGACTTTGTCCCAGCTCGAACATCTTGGACTTCAACACAATCCCCCCGAGACGCCTCGACAATCACTATCCACGGTATTCGGCAGCATGAGGAGTTGGAAAACCTCAGGTCACTCACGCTCGTCCACTACCTCGCTCCTGTCACCGAGCCTCTGGACGACTCCATGTGTATCTCGCTCCCCAATCTCACAACTCTCACTATTGCCGACGAGCCGGGTCGCATCGCTCATTTCTTGTATCACCTCGACCACTCAGCCTGCACAGCAATCGACCTGTCGGCATCTGCGACACCTGGAACATCCAAGACCGTCAGTGCGGGGGACATGATCCACATGCTCCCCTTGTCCTCTTACGCGGTCAAGTCCTTCACACGCGCGCCACACATATCATAATAGGTTTCACGCCTCGCCCTCCCTTCGTTGATGCAACTGAACTCGAATGCGGGCAAGATACAAGCACCGTCGTCTTCCCCGGGATCACCGCGTTCGAATACAACGAGTCTGCCCTCGCCCCAACATCTCACCCAGAGAAGATACTCGCGCTCCGGCCCACCCCCGCTCCGCTGCTCGACGACCTCGCGCTTGCGCAACGTCTCTTCTGGGAAACCGTCGACGCCGCGACCGCGCTCCTCACGCCCGCGCACACCACCAGCGCCGTGCGCGAGCTGCGCGTCGAAGGCCCTCTCGACGCCCTCGACGCGCACACCCTCAGCCTCCTCCTCCGCAGCCTGCCCGCGCTGCACAAGCTCCAGCTCGTGCACCACGCCCCGCGCCCCGCCGCCGGCACTGTCCCCGCCCGGATGCCGCCCGGGATCGCGTCCGTGTTCGACGCCGCCGCAGGCTCCTGCGCTGCCCTCCGCGAGCTCGAGCTCAGGGACCTGCCCTCCGCGGGCTGTGTCCCGTTTCTGACTGCGCTGGGCGCGGCGTTGTCGGCGCGCGCGCGTTCGGCTAGGGCGGGGGGACTACGCGTCTGCGCCGGCTGGTCGTGCGCTGCGCGGTGGGTCCCGTCGATGCCGCGCGCAGGGAGGCTGGCGAACATGTAGAGGAGGCAGAAGGGGAGGAGGATGAAGAGGAGGTGGTCGCGGAGCTGAGGGACCTGTTCGCGGGGACGGCGGCGCGAGTTGCGCTGTGGTACGGGAAGAGGGGAAGGGTGGTTCACGAGGACGACACCGACTCGGCCGTGGACGCGATGGATTGGGAGAGCGACAACCTTGGCGGGAATCCGGCGGTGTCGTAAACGTAGTACAGTGTCCGAAGACACTCGCGCGTGTGTGCCCCTGTCCGAACAGAAACGCAAGCCTAGATGGAACTACGCCAGAGTGCGGTGCTCGCGTTCGCCCTCAAATGTCTGAAAACTCGACCATCTCCCGCTCTGTCCCTCTCCTACTGCCTTCGCGCAACTCCCCAATCCGCGTCCTCCACTCTCGCGACCAATCTTCAAGGTGCCTTCGGTCGCGTATGATGTGTTAGTTGGGGAGTAATGTTAGGCGCTCACCGCTGGACGTCGGTCCCACACGGTCAGAACGGCCGCCGGCTGGACATCACAGAGGACGTGGTGGACAGCGGGCGCACGATCTTCAATGGACGGACGTATGTTCTTGCGTGTTGGTAGTCAGATTATGATCCATATGTTACGCACTATCACGGCGCCCATCCCCATGATCAACATCCTGTGCTGCTGATCCCGTCTTCCAGGCTTCTCAAGTCTTCGAAGTTCCGATTTGCGGGACATCAGAAACTTACTGGGCGGAGATCCGACCGGAGAGGCAGCATACATAACATACAACACAGAGCGACTCACCAGAGCGACTCCCCACCTGAGCAACCCACCGGAGCGACCCACAACTCATCATGGACAAGCTACCGATTGAACTCCTCACCCTCATTGCCATCTTCGCCTGCACCGACGGCGGACCCACCGGCTGCGCCCTCTCCCTCGTCTCCAAGCGCATCCGCGATGTCACTCGCCCCGCCCGCTTCTTCACCGTTTGCGTCTTCAGCGACCCCGCCAAAATCGACCAGTTCCTGCGCTGCTATGAAGCGGAGCGCGCCCGCGCGACCGACGCCCTCCCCCGCGTCCGCCACCTCTGCCTTTCCCTCATGCGCACCGGAAACCAGGCTGGCCCTGGCGCGGGTCCGACGCGCATGCCTCTGGCCCCCACCTCGACGCAGCCGCCGACGACCCGCGAAGAGTTCCTCGCCGCAATGCAGCGCAAGACCCAGCAGTGGCGGTCCGCCCAGGACAGCCTCGACGAGCAGTACAACCGCGTCGTCCCCGCCCTCATCCGCGCCGTCGCCCCGGACGTGCGCACCTTCGCGCTCGTCCAGGCCCAGTGGCGCTCCGCGACCGTCGTCCGCTGCCCGTTCCCTCCTTGCGGGAGTTCACGGTCGTCGGCGGCGACCCGAGCTTTCTCCCCTTCGCCTTCGCGCCTGCGGGCGGCTCCTCTACCCCGCTCTGCGCAGGCTCCATCACATTCTCGCGTTCGTGGGAGGGATGTGGACTTCACGCAGTGGGCGGCACACGCACCGAATGTGACGCACTTGCGGGTGTCGCGGCTGGGGGCCCTTCCGCGCATCACCGTCGACTCCCTGAACACGGTTATGGTGGGTGGAGCCGGCGGCCTGGGGAGAACCATACTGACTTGGCGTTCAGGCGAGAAAGACCAAGACGAGTGCCCATACTTCCCTAAGCTCGAACACGCCATGATCGAGCCTCACCAAGCACCTCCAGCCCCCGGCACCAAGCTGGAGCAGTCGCCACGGCGCACCTCGTGTTCCGGGACTTCCTCGCATACCTCGACCGCATGGCAGATCGGGCGCGAATCCGCCTCGAGGTCATGCCTCCCCTTGCAGATCCACCTAAGCCACCTCCGGGAATGGATCCTCATCACATGTGCATCTTGAGGGTGAAGCACGAGTGGATACAGCGCATTGAAGCTGATGGGGCGGGATGCTGGGAAGAGGGGAAACAGTACGCGCAAGTGCGCGAGAGAGCGGCCGCAGATTGAGGAAAAGTGATCGCATACACACTGGAGCACCTTCGTAAAACTATATTATGCATATTGGCCGCGCATCTTGTGGGTGAGAAGAATTCAGAAGAGCTGAAAGGGTAGAAGGACATAAGGGCGGAAGAGCATCAGTGCCAGTCCGTTACGCACGCGTGACCGCGTCAGACGCGCATACAGCGGAGCTTCAATGGTTTCGAAGACCGGAGCTTCAGCCACAGACGCGTCGCGATCGCGACAATTCCGGCGGACCACCTGTTCCGCGCGTAATACTAGCCCTCTACGACTCGACGCTCCTACACAACTTGCTCAGGCCTCTACAACTATGGCCGCACTCGAGTTCGGCCTGCCGAGTTTGCTCCTCCCCGCTCCAGCCCCAGATGCCCCGCAAGATCCCACCGCGTCCGACGTCGACGCGTTCATGCCCACCGGTCTGCTTTTCCAAGACTCTACAGCGACAAGCGTAACAGATCAAGCGGAGGAGGATCCCATTGAGTATTCCTTCGGTGGTATGTGGTCTCTGCTGTCTCTCCCCGCCCCCATCCCCTCCGGAGCAAGCGACTGGCTGCGTCCGTCGAGCCAGGACTGACCTCCGTCCTCAGCTGCCTCGTTGCTCTCCGGATTTGCCTCGTCCTCTTTCGAGGCTCTTCCAACACAGTCCCAATCGCAAGGTCCGTTCCCCAGACTTTCGTGCCTGAGTGGAGTTTCGTCTGATTCCTGGTCTGTAGACGAGGAGCTCCCCGACGTTGTGGACATCCTCCAGAAGTCCCGATCTGAAGCTGCTTCCGTTAACGCTGCTGCTTCATCATCCAAGATCCTTACCACACTGTCCTTCGATGGGAGCCTCGTTGTATTTACCAGGAGACCTCGCCGTAAGCCCCCCGCACTCCAGGTGAGTATTCGTCGGTGCTTTCTCAGTGCATGCAAGCAGCATTCTCCACCTTTGGAATCTGTTCATATTATTCCTACTCAGACGCGGGCACAGCGAGAGCAGGCCAAATGCCTGCTGCTGAAGCCAATTCACAAGATGCTGGACGACATCTCGGCTACTACGGCTGCCCAATTAGCTCGCGAGTGCGTGTCCTTCCCGCGGATCCATTTGCATACTCACCCTTTATGCAGAGAGCAAGAACAGCTGCACAGGTTGAAACTTTCAACAACCACGAATACTGCGTTATGGGTAGACCAATACCGGCCCAAACGCTTTACTGAGCTTGTTGGAGACGAACGCGTACACCGAGAAGTCCTGTCATGGGTGAAGGAGTGGGATCACTGCGTGTTTGGCAAGAATAAGAACCGCAGCCGGAAACGCGCCAGAGGAGACGACGACGAGAACCTGGACCAGTTGCGGCGGCCTCGAGAGAAAGTGAGCACACGTTTCGTGCGAGTTCCGACGTGTTGAGACGATTGCGTCCCAGCTGCTACTGTTATCCGGACCCCCTGGTCTTGGGAAGACGACCTTGCGCATATAGTCGCTCAGCATGCGGGTTACACAGTCTTCGAGCTCAACGCTAGCGACAGCCGTTCCGGGAACATTATTGAAACACACATCCGACCTGCCGTGGAGATTGGCACGAAGATAGGCAGCTCGAAGCCTAATCTCGTCGTTATTGACGAGATTGATGGTGCGACAGGGAGCGCGGAAGCTGTGAGTGCGATATTTTCACATGGGTCGCGAAGTGGCTTACGCTCTGGCAGGGGAAGGGAGGCGGGAGGTTCGTGAATGAGCTGATAAAGCTCACACAAGACAGACCGCAGAAGAGAGGTGAGTCGGTGCGCATAGCTCAGAAGACATAGCCACAGTGCCTGACTGTCACCCAGGCCGCAAAGGAACACCGCAGCACTCGGCACCGCTACGGAGACCAATCATCTGCATCTGTAACGACCTCTACGCCTCGTCACTGGCACAACTGCGCCAACATGCACGAATAGTACGCTTCTCACGACCGCACGATACCCACGTCGTCCGCCGACTGCGGATGTCTGCGAGATTGAGAAGATGAAGGCGGACTCTCGTGCGCTTGCGACTCTCGTCGGCGTCGCCCAAGGGGACTTCCGGGGATGTCTTAACACCCTGCAGATGCTCAAGGCGCGGAATGACGAAGTGACGGAGAGTGTGGTACGGGACGCTACAAGAGGAATGAAGCAGACCGAAAGGTCCCAGGTCGACATTCTCAACGATCTCTTCACGCCGCTGTCGCGAAAACGAGCGAAAGAGCTGGGGATTTCCGAAGAGGAGACACGATATGTGGAGCGGCTGAGCCGAGAAGTGGAGGGCGTCGAAACAGACAAGGTTGCCATCGGTAAGCACTCCCCGCCCGCGCGATGTCGTTCTTAGCTCACGTCGCTCAGGCTGTTTCGAGCATTATGCAAACCTACACCGACACGACGGAACATTCACAGGTATCTCAATGGGATACGTTGGCTCTGCACTTGGGACTCGATGATGGGCTCCATTCGCATGGACCGCGAGTACGCGCTCCTCCCATACCTGCCCTACACCCTCGTCGCCTTCTACCCCCTTTTCCAGGAGCGTGGCGGTCCCAAAGTTGAACGCCCCAAGGCGGATTGGGAGTACGTCCCATCTCGTCGCCACTTCCACGTCCTGCGGCGTGGTGTGGGTTGCAACACGCCCATCTCACCATTGACATCCCGCGCGCAGTGCTACACCCAAACGAAGACGAACGAGGAGATCTACCGCTCTCTGGCCGACTGCCTGCGCACTGCGGCCACGCACACGAGCGGCGCGTACCGCCACCTCGCGCCACCCCGGTGCTCGAGCTCGAGCTCGCGCCGTTCCTGAACCGCATCCTCGCGCCCCCGCTGCGGCCGGTGAACAGCCAGGTGATCAAGCCGGCGGAACGCGCGGTGCTCGCGCGCCTGGTGTCGCTCATGTCCGCCGTCGGCCTGCGCTTCCTTCTCGAGCGCACGGAGGAGGGCGCGCTCGTGTACAGGCTCGAGCCCGCGATCGACGTCTTCGTCACGTACGAGGGGCGGCGCGCGGCGGACATCGCGGTCTCGCGCTTCGCGGTGCGCAGCTCGTCGCGGCAGAGATCGACGCGCAGGTCATCGCGCGGAACGCGGAGGCGACGGAGAAGGGCGCGGGGAGCAAATCGTCGGCGTTCTTTGGGAAGAGGTGTGTCTCACCCAGTCCTCGAGACTAACACGCATCGCGCTGAGCACGCGCCTCCGTCTCCAGCAACGCAGACGCCCAGCCGGCCCCAAAGCGCCAGAAGAAGGACGACACACCGGTAGAGAAGGTGCGTCTCCATAGTCTGCAGCTCGATGCCTTGCCTTAAGGCGTTCCTTTCGTGATACAGGCCGCCGTCGACTTCTTCGGGCGGCCAATCGTGCCCAAGGATGCGCCGACAGAGGGCAGCCAGGCGAGGGGCGGCGCGAAGGTGACGCCCTACCGGGTCGCGTACAAGTTCTACGAGGGCAATTCCGCGGCGGTGCGCAGGCCCGTGAAGGTATCCGCGTTCCTGTGACTGTGTTCTGGCATTGCGTTCGTGTGTCGTATTTATCACGTCGGAGCGGAGGTTGTTCGACTGTATGCATCAATGTGCTTCTATTGTCTGATGAGGATAGAGTGAGACAAGAGTAATGTATGTGGGACGGTACTTTTGCTGTGAATAATGATAGAGTCCATGCATAGGAACCGATGAACGAAGCAAGTGGACAAGTGCAGGGATCGGAGCAGTGTCTGGTGATGGGGAGCGGTGAGGTGATGGAAAGAGGACGGAATGAAGCAGTGCAATCACTGCTCCTCCGGGACGAAGAACTCCTGCAATACCCGGCCGAGAATGGCGAGGCCCTGCTCCATCGCCTCCTCCGTGCCCGCAAACGTCGCCCGCACGTAGTTCACCCGCTGTGGGAGAGCGAAACGCGCGCCGTCAGCCCCGGCACCAAGCACGCGAAAAAAAACTGCACTCACGTCCTCGATTGGGTCCTCTACGCTGTCCCACTTCGGGTCCTCCGGGACCGCGAACACCGACGCGGGCATGACCACGAGCCCGCCGTCGAGGCAGCGCTCGAAGAGCTCCTCCATGAGCGCCGCCGTGTTCGTCCGCGCGCGCCCCCCTGCGCGCGCCGCCGGCCGGCGACGAACCGCGGGTGGCGCGCGACGTGCACGCGGATCCAGACGAACATGCCCGCCTCGGGCGGGCCCGCGCTCGCCCAGCCGCCGGGCGCGACCTCGCGCGCGAACGCGGCGAGGAAGACGGCGCGCCGGCGGCGGTACTCGGCGCCGAGCGAGCGCACCCAGCGGTCGAAGCCGCGGACGCCCCAGCCGCCGCGATCTCCGGGCGGCCGAGGAGCTCGGCGAGGAGCATCTGGCCGAAGCCGTGCGGGTGCATCGTGGAGGCGTCGGTGAGCGCGAGGAGCGCGTCGGCGAAGCGGGCGCGGAGGAGACCCAGCCGAGGCGCGTGCCGGGCGCGAGGACCTTAGAGAAGGAGTCGACGCGGAGGACGCGGCCGTCGGTGTCCATGCTGAGCAGCGAGCGCGCGAAGCGGACGGGCGCGTCGGGCGCGGCCCGGGGGCGTCGTCGTACTGGAGGAAGTAGTACGGGTCGTCCTCGACGATGAGCAGGTCGAAGCGCTGCGCGATCGCGTAGATCGCCGTCCTGCGCGCGAGCGAGAGCGTCGACCCGGTCGGGTTCTGGCCGCAGGGGACGAGGTAGAGCACGTGGGGGCGCCGGCCGCGCGCGGGGTCCCAGGTGGCGAGGACGCGCTCGAGCTCGGAGGGGATGAGCCCGCCTTCGTCCATGCGGATGCCGGCCCAGGAGACGCCGTGGGCGAGCGGGGTGTTGGTCACGGATGAAAATGCGAACTCGTCCGCGAGGAAGGTGTCGCCGGGCTCGCCGAGGAGGCGAAAGATCTTCGCGATGCCGTCAGAGTTGCCGAGCGTGAGCGTGCAGACGTGGTCGGGTGCGTTGTGGTAGAAGTTGGTGATCTCAGTAACAACACGTTGCGCTTCGGGAAGGCCGGCGCCGTGGGTGTATGCGAGACCGGCCTGAAGAGGGACGACGCAAGATTTAGATGTTGAGGAGGTGATGGTGAGGGAGGGCGAGCCGAGACCCTGTCGCCATGAGCCAACAGGGTCTTCCTCCTTCACAGACGCGACCTCGTACTCGATTTTACGGATGGGGTAGAGTGAGTAGTGGGGGTCACCTAGGGCAAGTCGCGTATGTCAGCACCATGCAAGCTACAAACGGAAGAGTAGATGTTTCACCATTTGCGAGGGATACCATGTTTGGGCGTCCCCGAGTAAGCTTCCAAATAGCCTTCATGGGGTTTGGCTTGCGTCTACGCGCTTCAGTAGACAAGTGGTGGGAGAGGTCGACCGGGGTCGACATCGCAATCGAGGGAGGGGAAGATAGGATCGCGGAAGGCATAATAGGCGAGTGTGGGTGCGCGGCAGTGATAGAGAGGAAGGAGGAAGGCGTCGTTGAGATGTTGCTCTTAAGCAGCTCGTCTGTCGGCGTCGTCCTTGGAAGCGGGCAGTGGTTGGGGGCGGGGCAGGGTCGCGCCGCGGCAGCATTTATACCGCCTTCGACAATCCGGGCCCGCGAGCCGTGGATCATTGGAAACCGAGGCGAACAGTCCGCCCCGTTCGTTCCCCGCCACAAACCTCGCGGCGCGGCGAGTCGGCGACGCCAGGTTTCGCCGGCACCGCCCAGCCGCGGGACAGGGCATTGGACCCGGCGCCCCTGGAGAGGCCGCTGTGGGTGCCTGTCGTTCGCGAAGTCCAAACACGAACACCAGCTCTTCCCACCCCTCTGTCGGGCCGCGCGCCAACGCCAGTGACTCGGCCGAGTTCTCATCTCCAGACTCCCGGTGCGCGATGCAGATGCTGTCGTCCGTCAATGTGGAATGCCCACCCGCAGGTGCGAAGTCGGCCACCGGCCCCGTACGTCACGGCCGGCAGACGACGAGCAACGTGTCGGCTTCACATCTGCGCAGGACGGGCGGATCATCGCAGGAGCAGTGGTTGGACGACCTGCGACGCGACGCGGACGACGATGCGATGCCGTCGCGCAGCTTGACGGTGATAAGCTCCCGGCGCGCCGGGTGCCTCGCCCTCCCGCACCGCCGCGGCCTCATTTGTTGGCCGTGGTGTGCGCGGGACGCGGAGGCAAAGACACATGGAGTGCGTCCGTGTCTGTGTCCGCGCTACGCCCGAGGCGCGAAGAAGTCGCGCCTCGAGCACCCTGCGAACTTGAGGGCACTGCTCACGTTCCGTTCGTCAAAGTAGGACCAGGCACGACGACGCTCAGCTCGTCTGATTTTGCGCATACAGCCTGACGTTAATTGCCTGGGCGAAACCGGGTCGGATCCGGGTGGGCAAGATACATAACGCACCCACCGACAGATCGTTGTGTATTTGGTCGTCGTCAACGGCGGCTATTTGAATGATGTGGCGATGCGCAGAGGGCTTGCATAATCCTCCGACCGTCCGACGCGTGCCCGGGCGAGGGTACCGTAGCAGTCGCAAGTGCATCGTTTCATTTGCAAGACGCGAACTCTACACTGACGGCGGCGGGAATCGAGTCATTGCGGTCTTAGGTTGTGGCTTGAAGCTTGGGGATCTGCATGACTGTGCTATCCACAAATACATCCTGCGCGGGGGCGAGCGCACATCGTCAGCACAGAACTGTCACATCGAGGTCGAGGCAGTTGCGCACTTCGTCGTGTCAATAATCAGGCACCAAGATCCGGATGGGGAGGAAAAGGCGAAAGTGGGAGCAGGCAGAGATAAGCGCCGCCGGAACACCGACGCCGAAGTTCGCACGTCATGGGCGCCTGGGTTTGGGAGACGAAGCTCTGAGATGGCTCACATTGCATCCATCAGGCCGACGAGTGGGCCCTTCACGCGGAGATGATGTGGCGGGAATGATGCAATATGCGTGCTTATGTACATGTGTCTCTGACGAACCGAATGTCTGCTGTACACGGCGGGTGTTTGTATGAACGACCTTCGCCTGAGAGGGAGAACGAGTGTGATAGGTGCGCGAAAGCGGAAAGCAAGGTGTGCGGAAATGAAAATGGGGGCGGGTGGACATGCGCGAAAGCGAAGAGCAAGGTGTAATGAGTGGACTGGTGAGCAGAGCAAGCAGGTGTATGCGGGTGGCTATCTATGCGGGACGGCGAATGTGGGCATATGAGATGGCGCGAGGTGGCAGATTCCCGGGTCAATGATTTGAGGCAGCCGGGGCAATGGTTCTTCGTAATCTGTCGCGAATGTTTGCCAAGCTGCGCGACGCATGGACGCGCAGGTTGGAGAAAGACGTTTTGCGCTGGCTGTAGACATATTTTGTCACGGCATATAATCTTTCCCGGAGGGTGGTAACCAGGAGAAATGTGACTGGGGTTCAAACGGTGAGCTGCGGATCCTCGGAACTTGAGAGATAAGGACGACGTACGTATGATCTCCAGGAGCTCGTCCGAGGGTATCCGGTGAAGTTCCAGATATTCGTCCCTTTACCCGGCTGGAGGGAGGCAACCGGGCGGCTCTTAACTAAGGTGGAATCCGAGTATAGCGTCCTATCTCGCCATCGTCATCATCTAGAAGCTGCACGGACGAAGCGGCCGGTCAATCCACTGGAGACCGGCGGCGGCGAGCGGTACGCACTGCTAGTGACTCGGGTCTGATCTTCCAGGTGTATTCCATGCGTGTTGGAAGGAAGGTTTCGTCGGGCCTGCAACAGCAGCGAGTCAGCAACTGACTCATGGCGGCTACTGATCCTTCTTCCACTTCTCCATCTTCCCATCCACCGCGCCCACAAGACCCTCGGACGCCGGACGGACGAACGGACACTCACATAACGCGCACGAAGGCGGCGTCGAACAGCTCCGTTGTTCCCCTCAGGACTTCGTCCCCAATCTTGATCACCGACGCAACGCGCCCGTCCCACACGATCTCCGCTGCCACCTCCCGTCGGCGTCGAGCAGCGCCGTCGTGCACGCTCGGGGTCGCATTCTGGGAGTTTTTCGAGGGAGCGCGTCGAGAGGTTGAGGCGCGTCCAGGTGCTGTTATAGAGCCCGCGCGAGAGCGCGAAGGACCGGCGACAGGAGTGGATGTGCGGTAGAGGACTTCGCCCGTGGTGCAGTCGACGAGCGAGGTGTCCCGAATGTCGGGCGAAGTAAGGCGGAGGAGCATGTTGGTGAGTGCTGGTGTGCTACCGCGGTGGGTGTGCTGGTGGGCCGGAGCGTAGGATGGAGGTGGAGAGGAAGGGCGGACGAGCACGGCACAGATGGAGGCGGATGAGCGATCCCATTGTGCCCCGGGAAGGCTCAGGCGATAGATATACGAACAATGGGACCGATGGGAACTCCCCCATTCGCGTATTTCCTTTCATCAGAGGCCTCGATGCGGATGCTGACCACATGCGTCTCAAGGATTCTAGTCAGGGAGGACGGGGTCACGGAGGGCTTCGACCGAGAGCGAAGTATAAAGGGGACGCTGCTACGGGAAGTGGCTTTGAGCACGCGCTTGCGGAGATTGCGGGCGTGTGGTGCCGTCCAGCGCGTATGATGCAACTTGAACTTGAACTAGATGTCCATCTTCTCCAGGAGTGTCGCATGCGACGTAGATGCGAAGCTTCAGATATGGACATCACTGCTGCTGCGCCGGTGTAAAGAACGGAGGTGGCAGGAAAGCAAGGGGATAGCCCGGCGACCTGAGCCACGACTCCATGAGCTTGACACGCTCCTGCCGAATGGGAAAGGCGAAGGAGGACGCAATTCTGCCTTTTTAGATCGCTCGTTAGTCCTCTTTACCGACTCTTTCATCCCCATCCCTTCATTTGGCCTGAGCCACCCGCTTCGACCTTGGCGGCGATGTCAGCCACAGTTACTCAAGATGAGGCCTCAACAAACGCGATGGACGTACCCCAGCTCCTGGTCAAGTTCACATCGATCGCCCAAGCGTCTTTTCCCGGTTCAGGGCGACCACTGGAACTAATACTGTAGCACGCCAGCCTATGCCGCCCGCCCGCTAACGACACGGGAGTCTGGCGTACATCACTTATGACTTTCAGGCATCTGCAAGGTGAGCATAAACTCATTCAGGTTCAATCAAAATTCCTCCTTCTCACCTGAGAGGTATGCCCTGAGAACCTCAGGCCCAGTCATCCCAGCGCAGGCCTTTCCTGCACTTCCGCTCGTTCACCGACCCAACCGGCCTCTTCAAAACATGGCCGCCAACTCGAGCACGGGAACGGGACGGAAGTATTGGCTACCACTCTGGTAACCCTATTACACTCTTAACCAGAGGCTAGGGTCTCTAGACCGCCGGTTCACCAATTGGCCGCCAGCCGATCGCCTACCCCGCTTCCCCGCGTTTTCAGTCCGCTTCAAGTGCCCCGTCCGGATCCCGACGCCGTTCTCTCTCCATCCCTCCCACCTGCCCTCTCACATTTGGAACGCATTCGTGGACATTGAGATGGCCTTCGGTGAGCCCTTTATGTGTTGTTGCATCCAGTTGATCTTTAGCTTGTACGTGACAGACGCGCTGTTCGAGTCTTTCCGCCCAACAGCGCAAGCATTCCCCCACAAGGCGCAGGGTTGCGAATGAACACCCCAAGGGGAACCCAAGTGCACCTGCATGCGCTCGTACGTGCCTTCTCTCTCCCAGTCGCGCGTCGTGACGAACACTATCGTCTAGAATCCCCTCGCTTTCCTCTGCGCGCCGCGCAAATCTACCCCAACAAGCTGGCTATCGTGCATCCAGACGTCGAGCATCCCGAGTATACAACTATTCTGTCTGGTGTGTTCATGTGGGTACGCAGGCGAGATGGTGCGACTGACAGCACTCTGAAGGGCACACGTATACAGAATCTCGCTTATGGTCTCATTGAAGCGGGGATTCAGCCAGGAGATCGCATAGCATACATCGCCCCGAACACGTGAGTCTCTCATTCACCTTCCCCTCCTTTATGCTTTACGAATGCTCTGTGGCAAGTCCAGCTGTTGCTGGTAGGTCATTTTCTCGAACCTGGTAGACCGACCTAACGTCCTGCTATTCGTTGCGTGTAGAGGCATACCATGGTGTAATCGCGGCGAAGGCTGTTGTATGCCCGATCAACATGCGCCTCACGCATGGCGAAGTCGCATATATCCTCGAACACAGCGGCTCCAAGCTCATCTTCGTAGACCACGAATATGTCGGCCTTGTCAAGGGCGCGAAGGTCCCAGGATCGTCATAAACGACACAGGGAGGGAAGATTGTCCGTACGAGCAGTTCCTGACCGCTGGTCGCAAGTTCAGTGCCGAGCGAGGGTGGGGGGCCTTGAATGGGAACGTAACGAAGACGCGCCTTGTGCGCTCTGTTACACGTGAGTATGCCTTTGCTCGGACCAGGGACGTTGGATGTCTGATGCATGTCATGTGCTTTCGCAGCTCTGGAACGACTGGTCGGGTGAGCCGCGATATGTCACTTTCCCCAAGCTAAATGCTCACCTGCTGATGGCGGCGCAGCCCAAGGGCGTGCTTACAACTCTCCGAGGCGAGTTCTTCCTATCATGACCTTTGGGACGGCGTTGACATTGGTTTAGGTTCATACCTGGCCGCGATCGCCAATGCTTACGAGACGAAGTGAGCTGGATGCCGATTTGGTAAAGGCTGTCATACTGATTGTCATTTCGTAGCATGAGACAAGACTCAACATACCTGTGGTGAGTCCGAAGCGCGGAAAGATTTCCCCATGTCGCTGACTTCGGTGTTCTGACAGGGTACTTCCATGTTCCATGCCAGCGGATGGACGTTCCCTTGGGCGATCACGTTTGCAGCTGCTGCACAGGTCAGTTTACCGCCCCGTGGACAACTCCACTGTTTCAGATGGTGTAACACTTCACTGTGCTTCCTCGTAGATCTGCCTGCGTTCGGTGTCCTACCCGCACATTTGGAACCATTTGTTAACTCCGGAGCGACGCACTACTGCGGCGCTCCGACGGTCCAGGTCTGTGTGTTCCGAGCTCGACTTCTCGGGCACCACGATTATGACGAAGAACGAGGACTGATTGATGGGGCATAGATCGGGCTGTTCAACGCCCCACAAGCAAGACGGCTGAACAAACCGGTATACGCAGTCATCGCTGGCTCGGCACCCACCGCGCACCTCCTCGGTGAGCTTGAGAAGATTAACATCCAGCCTGTCCACGTTTATGGCCTTACGTACGTTTCATAACGGCTGTGGTCTTCTTCTGTCCGTGCTGACGTGTTCATGTTCACCCTTCTCATCATCAACATCAACACAGCGAGGTGAGGACAAACGTGTTTCAGGCTTTCAAGCTTCAGGCCTTGTAACGCACGAACAACGCTGACCCCCGTTTTTCTCCGCCCCAGACCTACGGACCCTTGACGAAATGCTACCCGCAGCCCTCCTGGGCCTCGCTCTCGCTCCAGGAGCGCGCGAAGCTCGTCGCGCGCCAGGGCCTGAGCTTCGCGACCGCCGAAGACGCGCGCGTCGTGTTCCCGACGGACGAAGGCGCGACCGACATCGCTCTCATCGACGTCCCCGTGACGGCCAGACGATGGGCGAGGTCGTCTTCCGCGGGAACATCGTCATGCGCGAGTACTTCCGCGACCCCGCCGCGACCCGCCGCGCGTTCCGCGGCGGGTACTTCCACTCGGGCGACCTCGCCGTCTGGCACCCGGACGGGTACATCGCCGTCATGGACCGCAGCAAGGACATCATCATCTCCGGGGGCGAGGTGCGTCGCGTCTGCGCCGGCGCCGACGTGGCTCCCTAAGGCTGACCCCGTTCGTCTTCGACTTGCAGAACGCGTCGAGTCTCGCGATTGAGCAAGGTGCGCCGCTCTCCCGCCCACCCCTGCGTAGTGTCTTGTGTGCGCGGACCCGACTCGTTGACCCTTGCTAACCCACGCTTCCCCCGCACAGAGCTGTCGACGCACCCCGACGTGCTTGAGGTCTCCGTCGTGGCGCGCGCGCACCCGAAGTGGGGCGAGCGCCCCATGGCCTTCGTCCTCCTCCACCCGGGGCGCGCGGACAAGTGGCGCGGCCGCGAGGCCGAGTTCGAGCGGGACCTGAAGGCGCACGCGCGCAAGACGCTCCCCGGCTTCGCGTGCCCGGAGTGGGTGTCCGTCGTCGAGCAGCTGCCTGTGAGTCCGCCGTCTGTGTCGTGTCGTGTCGTGTCTTGCGGCGGCAGCCTTCATGTTCTTCTGGATCTTCCGCGTTCGTCTTGGTCTTGGCTGGACTGGGGCTGACAAGTTGTACTTCGCAGAAAACGTCGACGGGCAAGATCCAGAAGGTGGAGCTGCGCAAGCTTGTCGCCAAGCTGTAGATACATTCGAAGACAGCACCGCCCTGTTTGAGGGTACAACGGATGGACAAGGGTACGGAGACAGGGGACCAGAAACTAGAGACGGGGGAGCGAAGATGCTTGTAGATGCTAAGCGTACGATCATATTGTATAAGGCCTTATGGATGCGATTGTTTTTATATGCGGAGGTGCAAGAGCATGAGTCTGATGAGTCGCGAGGCGAGAGGTATGCAGAAACAGCGCCGTTCTAAGCACGGGCCGTTCAAGAGACGGATGTATGGGGAGGTGACGGGGAGACGGACGGCGGGGGGATAGGTGATCGCATCAGATATATACAACGGGAGGTGTCGCGTGGAGGACGCAGAGGCCTACCTACCAGGCCTGTCCGCGACGACCGGGATGGCAGGCGTCGCCTTGTTCCGGAGGAGCGCAAGACAGTGCTGGCCACCACAGCTCGCATCGACCGCGGTCCACGAGCCACCCTCCTTGCGGACGACGACCTCTGGCGTGAGCTGCTCGTTCGGGTCGCCCTCGTCCCACCCCAGCCCGAGCTCACCGACGACCTGCCGGCCCCACGTGAGCAGCGCGCCACTGCGGGTGACGGCAAGGTTGTTGTTCGTGCCGCACGCGACATGCACGACCGGGTCGTTCGCGTCCGAAAACGTGACGCGCACGGGCTCGGGCACGCAGTCGTCCCACTGGCGGTCCTGGAGCGCCGGGTCGTTCGCGGCGAGGCCGAGACGGCCCTCGGCGGACATCCCGCACGCATATACGCGGCCGTCGGAGCTGCGGAAGAGGGTGTGGAAGTCGCCGCCGGCGATCTGGACGACGGTCGCGCCCCCGAGATCGACCTTGCCGAGGCCGTGGACGCGCGTCGGAGCGTGGACCTCCTTGTTGATGTTCTTGTCCGCGAGGCCGGTGCCTGTCTGGCCGTACGAGTTCACGCCCCAGCCCCAGACGTCGCCTTCCTCGTCGACGGCGAAGGAGTGGTTGTTGCCGGCGCCGACGAGGACGGCTTTGCGGCTGCGGGTGCCGAGGTGGATCTTCTCAGGCGTGGTGCCTGCGATCTTGCGGCGCTCGATAACGCGCCGACCGAGCTGGCCCTCCTCGCCGGTGCCCATGGTGTAGATGTTGCCCATATCGGTGAGGAGGATGAGGTGGTTGTTGCCGCTCGCGGCGGACACCCACTTCTCGTCCTTGAGCTCGAGAACGGGGACCGGGGTGTACTGCCTTTGGGAGGAGCTTGAGAAGCCAACAATTCCTTCGTTGCCCTGACGCAAGTGTCAGCGATATCATATAGGTGATCATGGCTGGGATTCGAGCCACGCGAAAACCGCAGGGATCGTCCACGCCGTAAACATCGTCGAGCAATGACTTGTGAAATGCTTATGCCTTCGACGAAGTCTGGCCCAACGCGACGGCCCAACTCGCAACGGCTAGAGTAAGAATGAACGAGACGTACCCGGAAAGAACCCCATGCACGAAGCTCGCCCTTGTCGTTAATCGCAACCGAGAAGTTGTCACCCGCCACGATTTGAACGGCACGGAAACCCTCCTCCACAAGAGTGTGGACAGGCACAGGTTTCCAGACAGGCTCTTGGGTCTTCTCGTCAACTTCGATGGCCATTTGATCGTTCTTCGGGTCGGGCATGTTTACGGTAACACGGCCAAGGGCACCGAGATCGTTGGTTCCGCAGGACCAGACCTATGGCCATATCAGTATCCACACGTCATCGAGATGAGTGAAGTCAAAGCGCACCGTGCCCTTCTCGTCCACGAACAGCGTGTGTAGACCACCGGCAGCGATGGCCTCAAGACCTGCCTCATCGCCGCCGAATATTCCGTCCGCTATGCCCTCTGCCACAAACGCATTTTTGCGCGGCTTGGTGATTTCCATGTTGTAATCCATCGCAAGCTGGGCCATCTCTCCAGACCCCCAGCTGAAGAGCTGGAGAGGAGGGCGGTAATGCTGAGGGGCGGCGGGGAGCGCATTGAGGGCCTGTGCGACCTTGCGCGGGCGGGCAGGGGCCTTGCCCTTGTCCGATGTCCTGGATCTCTCTGCCTTGAGCTTGGGCTTCTCTGTTTTAGGGTTATCCGGTTTGGGCTTCTCCGAAGTGAAGGATTTGCTTTTTGCGGGGGCTTTGGGTGCTTTGGCGTCCGCCGCGGGATCGGGTTTGGAGACGTCGACGTTGGAGGGGGCAGCGCGCAGAACGCGCTTCGCGGCAGGTGGTTGGTCGTCGACCTGGCCGTCGGCCCGCGCAGCTGCGCGAGAGCGCGAAGGCGGGGGCTGAGCGTTGCTGGCGGCGCGAGAACGCTTAGGAGGCATGGGGGTGGTGGTGGTAGGGGAGGAAGGGAGAAGAGACTGTGGTCTAACCCATATGTCCGCCACGGCCGAACGGGCTTTCCACAGCCACAACCGAGGCGCGCAATAGGCGCCTATACTCGGAAAAGTTCAACAAAAACGCGTGACGAAGTCGCGTCTCGCCACAGCACGTGAAAAGCATGTGACTAGTGGCTCCTGCTTGGCTTTGTTTGGTCTCCGAACATCCCCAGCCAAACTGGGCCAAACAGCCCGACGCCGACGACGACGACGACGACCACAACGACAACGCCTAGGACCCCCTCCTCAACCCTCCCTCCGCGCTCTGTAGTCCTCCTGGCACGTAACTAAGAGGCAAGATCCGCCCCACTGGCATTGGCATGGCCCAAAGGCGTGCTAGGCACCGCACTGTTTCCTTCCCGGACGCCTCTATTCACTCCCGACGCAAACTTCAGGTCCGACGCGCACCAACAAGTCAACGACGCGTATTCCCCTTCCCCACTTCGTATATTGACACCGAACCTTCCTCCTTCGCGTCTGGCAGATCTTCATCCTCCTCCACTCGCGCTGTACTCGTACCTGTCCACTTCAACCTCCGTCGCCTCCCCTCACGCACATTCTCGGGTCACAAGCAAAGCATGCGCGATGTTTCGAATGGATGCGACGTGTCAATTGGTATGAAGCGCAAGCGAGCGGTCAGCGGGGGCGAGAACACGGCCGGCTCAAGAGGCGCCCGCAGCGGCGCCAAGCGGCTGAAGGCGACGGTCGAGTCTGATGATGAAGAACTGCCGAACGAGATGGAAGTGGACGATGAGCAGAGCTGGGACACGTCGGAGGAGTCTGGATCGGAAGATGGGCTGGATTCATGTACGCTTTCATTTCCCTGTTATCACTTTCCTTGCCCACATATATTGCAGCCGATAACTACCTCATCGAAGAAGCCCCTTCCCAGCGTCTTCTCCGTCTACGCAAAGATGAGCTCGTCCGCCTCTATGGCGCAGCCGGTCTCGCCGACGACCCCGACGTTCTGACCAAGAGCGACATCGTCGAGGCCATCCTAGCCGCCCGTGACGATGTGGCTGACCTCCCCCCATCTTCCCCTGGCACTCACGACAGTGGCTCCAGCGATTACTCCTCAGATGGTGGCAATGTCGCTGGCGGTGAAGAAACCGACATCGCACGTCGGTTCCGGAACGGAAACCTGCACAGGAGGGCTACGGTGAACGAACTTGGCCGTCCAGTGCGCAAGCACATGCCGGATCGAAGTCTCTCTCTGGGCCACCTTCACCGCGGTGCTGGCGACTCATCGCCCACTAACGGAAGGCGCAAACGGGGAGCATCTGATACATTCACCGACCAGTCCAATGGTGTTTCCACTAGGAGGTACGTAATACTGCTCCCCGCTCGCCACTCTTGCTCAATATACACCAGTCGCGCCAACAGCAACGTTAGCTCAAGCAGATCCTCCCCGAGTTTTTCCAATGTTGCCTCCATGCTTCCCTCCCCTCCCATCACTCGTCTTCGCACTCGCAAGGCCTCGGGCGAGGTCAACCCTAATCCCAGCTCATCGGGCGCCAACAAGGGCAAGGCTAAAGCTAAGCATGTCGAGTTCAGCACCTCCGTGGAGGTCAACCGTCTACCTTCAACATACATCGACCCTGACGAGAGTGACCTTACCGACCTCACCGAAGTCGAGAACTCGCTCAACCAAGCGAAGCCCAGCCCTCGTCGTCTCCGCAGCAAGAGCTCAACGGTCAAACTCGCTCAACAGAGACGAAGGTCGGAGGATGTGGCGGAGTCGAGTCGACGCGTCGTTCCCGCACGCAAGACCAAAGGCAAGGCGGACGTCTTTACCGAGGGGACAGACGAGGAAGACGAGGAACATGAAGAGGACGAACTTGTCTCAGATGAAGGCGAAGGCGAGATGGACGAGGTGCAAGACACATCAGCACAGGCCACTCCGAAAGCAAAGGCGCCTTCATATGGGCGTCGTACCCCAGTACGGAACCGCCTTCGAGCCCGCCACCTCCAGACGCATACCCCTCCCAGCGATGGCGACGACGAAGGAAGCGAAGAGGAAGGCACGGTTGTCGCTGGTGAAGAAGGCGATGATGAAGGCAGTGACGAGTGCGAGGAGGAGGCTGTCAAGCCGCGCAAGCTGCGCAATGGCAAGGTCGTTGGCGAAGGTGAAGTGGAAGACGATGAGGAGACTGTTGGGGAAGAGGACGAGGACGAGGAGGTCGATGAAGACGAGGATGAGGATGACAGTGAGACGGTTGATAGCGAGTCTACCACCTCGACTGTAGAGGAAGCTGAAGAGGTCGAAGCCGAAGAGGTTATGGATGATGAAGGTCAGCCTCCTTTCGGCTCATAGATGTTCTTCTCTGACCATCCACAGTCGATCTCACCCTCGCTACTGCGAAGACGCTCGTACGCCTTCGAAGGGATGACCTTGTGCGCTTATGTGATGCGCGCGATATCGATGCCAGTGGCACGAAACCTCAACTCGCCGAAGCCCTCGTACAGTGGCGCGACAAGCACTGCAGCGAGACGGCCTCATCTGCCCCTTCATCAACCGGTACCGCTCGACCTCCGTCCACCGCGCGTCAACCCCCTCGTCGCCGGAAGACTCGTTCAAACTCCGATGGCACCACACCACCAGTGCTGCTACGATCGCATGTGCATATGGATGAACCCCGGACCCCTCCCATCTCTAGTCGTCGCGATGCTGAAGGCGAGCTCGAGCTCGACTTGGAGAGCCTCGGCTTGGATGACCGCGAGATCCCGCCCGAGAAGCTCACTAAGCTGGAGAAGATCGGTAGCGGTGGTTTCAAGGACGTTTTCATCGGCAAGTTTAAAGGACGCCGTGTTGCGATCGCCGAGTTCCGTGGCACGCTCAGCCAGAGTACGTCTTTCAATTGGCCGTGGCGTCTTTCACCTTATTTATGGATGTGTTTAGTGGACGTCAAGGAGCTGAAGCTGCTTGGGGACTTCGACCATCCTAACATTGTTCGCTTCGTACGTGACTGATCACTCATATATTTCCGCGTCCTAATTGTTTTGCAGCTGGGCGTCAGTATCCCGGAGAACACTCGCGATACGCCGGTGATGATCGTTAGCGAGCTCTGTTCCAACGGCGATCTCTTCGATTACATCCGAAACGTCAACCCGCCGTCCCTGTACCGCGTGGTATGTCCTATTCCCGGTCCACGTTCTACATGTTGTTAACCCTCACTGTAGCTTTCCATCATGCTCGACATCGCCCATGGCCTCGAATATCTGCATACGCGCAAACCCTCTGTCATTCACCGCGACTGCAAGTCTTCAAACATCCTCGTTACATCGAAAGGGATTGCCAAGATCACCGACTTCGGTCTGGCCAAGGTCAAGCAGTCCACCCGCTCTATGGTCCGCAGCTTGGTCGGCACCGTCAACTGGCAAGCGCCGGAACTGTGGCACCCTCACCCCAAGTACAACCATAAGGTTGACGTATTTTCTCTCGCCATGGTGTTCTGGGAGGTGCTCCAGTGGCACATCCCGAACAAGAAGTTCCCTTGGGAGGGCATGAACGAGCATGCCATTTACGATGCTGTTGGTGCTAAGCGCCAAAGGTATGTTCCAACAGTCGTCGTCGTTGGCTCATCTAACTCTCTGGTCTTAGACCCTCCATCGCCGGACTCCGCAAGCAATGGTGCCCCGAGATCGTCGACCTCATCGAGAACATGTGGGCACAAGATCCCGCGGATCGGCCCACCATGTCTGGAGTGGTCGAAGAACTCTCGAGCATCGTCCGCCAGTATCGTTAGTCTCGCAAAACGCCCCGTATCTGGGCCTCGACCTCTCAGCGCCTTTTCGTTCCCTCAGACTTTACAAGCAAGTTAAAGAGTAAGCTACCCACACGCACTACTACTACCCTGCCCACGCGGGCATATGCACTTGGACTCTGGTATAACCCTCCACGCGCAGCCGTTTATAGGTAGATTCGCATTTCACACTTGACCCCGCCCGCCGCGCCTCATTACCATGCTGTTGGGGGCCGCTGCTGTCGTTTTGTACGGAGTTTGCTTCTGGTTGTATAGCATTATGTTCCCGTGCTGGAAGGTCGTCATTCCCCCCTCACATCTCTCGTCTGCCCCAAGCCACCTACCTATCTCTATCACTAGTTGCATATGTCTTAAACCAAGCATCATTGTATCCTAGTCAACCCCCGCAATGCACCATGTCGCTCAACTGTAACCGTTCCGCGTGTTCGCGAGCTCGTGCGCGCCCCTCATCAAAGTAGCCAGATTCGAGGCTTCGGCGACGTGAAGAGTCGATCGCGAGTATTGGGCGATGGTGTCGCTTTGTAGGATGAAACAACTTGCTCGACGAGCGGTGCATCCATTGACTTGGGGGGCCCGGGGGGGGGGGGGGGGGGGGGGGGCCACGACCACCCCGCGCCCGACTAAGCACGCCAAAGTGACCCTCTCAGATTCAAATAAGTTATTCCCACCGCTGTCGCCGGCATCTCAAGATCTCACACTCGCCATCAAGCAATATGCCGTTGACCCGTCCTGGGGGGACAAGGTTTAAGTATACCGTACCGGGCCGCGATTCGTGAGCCGAATCGACGTCCTAATCATCCCATTGGGAATGGCGCGAGCCACGCCCAAAAGGAGAACAAGGCTCTGGAGCTCGGTGCGTTCCAGATGTTTGCGAACATGACGGGCAAATCGGAGCGCCCTTTCGACTGGTTCGATCCCGTGCACGCGAATGGCGAATCGTAGGGGCCAGAGAGGGGGTTGGTCGAGATCAGATATCTCGGACGCTGAGAGCCAGCGCGCCGACTCGTGCCTGGCATGCGCTCGTGGCTGACGCTCTGGTGGCCTCGCGGCTGTCGGACGTTCACTCCGAGCGAGCGCACAGAGGATCCGCGATGTCCTGTATCGTACTACTGTGTGCCCGGAGCTTTCGTGTGCCCGACTCACTGACCCTCTTCCCATCTCTCCTGACGTGCATAACGTCTAGTGCGCAAAAATGCGCCGGTGGTGTCCAGGGAAGCTGCATGATTACGTGAAGTGTAGGCTAATAATGTCGTATGTGCATATACAAACTAAGTGTGTTCTACGAGTCAAGTCCTTGAGCCGGTCGGACATATAGACACTTGGAAGCATGCGGGCTTCATCGTGCACGCATCACTGACAAAGCGGGTCTCTGTCAGCGACATCGGAGTGCGCAGAAGATCGCAACGGACTCACCAAGGAGGTCGGCTGGAACGGCACCGTCACCGCCGTGTCAGCCGCTCCCACATCGCGCACATTCCCCAGCGCAGCCCAGGACCCCGCCCGGCGCAACCTGAGCGCGCGGGGCACCGCGTCGTCCTCCGCGTCCATCGCGACGTCCAGGTCGAAGTCGAAGCCGATCCACGAGCCTCCCCGCGCCTTTCCCTTTCCCTTTCCCTTCCCTACCGCGCCGCCGCCACCGCGGCGGTCGTCCGCGATGTCCAGCATCTCCATATCCTCGTCGAGCCTCCCAAGCGTCTGCGCGACCCAGGCGGGGGCAACGGTCGCGCCAGCGAGCACGTCCACCGGACCGCGCACGGTGGGGGAGAACAGCAGCGGCCGGCTCACGAGCGCGACGGACGCGTCCTCCTGCGACGCGGCGGCGGCGGCGGCCTTCGCCGCCGCCTTGCGCTTGCAGATGCCGCACGGGCAGCCGTCCTCCGCCTCGACGCCGACGGCCTCCGCGCCGACGTTGGGCGCGGTCCGCGCACGGTCTTCGTAGCCGTAGACGCGCCGCACCTCCAGCTCCACCGTGCTCTCGAGCCGGAGCGAACGGAGCGTGTGCGTCGGGTCGTCGTCGTCGTCCGTGCCGAGCGTCAGCCCGGAGTTCACGGGCGACTCCGCGTCCGCTGCGAGTTCCGCCGTCAGCCTCGACTCGCCCGAGCACGCACACGTGCACACTCGCAGCCTGGCGGGGGCGCACCTTGGATCACCCTGCGCAAGCCGTCCGGCCTCGCCGCCGCGCGCCGCTTCCCCTTCAAGTCGGTGCCCACCTCCAGAGGGGCGGCCGCGTCCTCGCTCCACATGCTGCCTTCAGAAGATTCGTCCGAGAACTGCGGGGCCGGGTCAGCCGCGCCGCTCGCCGCTCGCCACCCACGGAACGGAAGAGAACGCGCGCGCGCACCTCCTCGAGATCCCACACCGCCGGCCTGAGCCCCATACCGACCTCGTGCTCGTGCTCCTCTTTCCTGCACGCGCGCCTCGGGGCGCGTTCTTCGTCCGTGCGCCGCCTCTTCAGAGAGGCCCGGTGCCGGCAGTGCGGCTTCGGCTTCGAGCTGCGCGCGTTCGCGTGCGCCGGGTGGTCGGCCGGGGGGTCGTTTGCGGACGGCTCGCGCTGTGCGATCGGGCGTCCCGGGTCGGGCGCGAGAGGCCCAAAGAGCGCGGTGTCCGGCGGTGGTGGGGTGGACCCCGTTGGGAAAGGCGGCGGTGGCGGGGCGGGCGAGCGGGAGCGGGAGAGGGAGAGGGACGCGGAGGTGCGGCGCACCTTCGCCTCGATGCCCGTTCCCGTTCCCGCCCCCTTTCCTTGCCGCTCCGAAGGCGCACCGCCGCCGTCGTCCGTCGGGTCGTCACAGCCAAAGTCCAAGGCGAAGTGGACCGCTTTGCGCTTTGGCGGGCGCGCGACCGAAGGGGTGGCAAGCTCCCGCTTTGTGCGCTCGTCGAGCGCGTCCGCCGCGACCGTGGGGATCTCCGTCGTTGCGGGCTTCCTGGTCCAGTCCGTGCACGCGTCGTCGATCATCCTAGCAATCGCGAGATCCACAGTGGGAGGTGGGGGACAGAGGTGGGGGACGTCGACGGTGGTGACAGTGGTCAGCCTCGGGCAAGCCGCCACTGGGTGCTTTATACGACCGGGTTGGTGCGTGGACCGCGGGCTATGGAGGCTTGCGTTCTCCGCGGAGGCGGGCCCGGCGCCACGGGCGTGTTTAAAACGCTATTGTCCCTCGAGGCTTGCGCCGTCCTCCGCCTCGCGGCGCGGGCGTCTCTGGAGTCCACAATCGGCGCACAATAGGAGGTTTGAACGACGAGCGAGGAGCGTAGGCTCAATGCCGGGATGCTTACCTCGGGTTTCGATGAGTTAGTGGCCCGCCAAAGCGCATGGGTTCTCGGGCGTGGGGGGCTCGTACGTTGTGGACGATCGCTGTCGCCTCCTGCCTGAGTGGCCAGCCGCTTCAGGGTAGGTCAGCCACCACAAGTTAAGCGCCTATTGCCCTCCCTTTCGTTGGTTCGTTGTGTAACGAATTCAGCGGACCACTTTTCGGAAGACACCTACATATGCGTTCAAGTACCAACTGGTTTGAGGGTATACTGGGCGAACCGCGCTGTGGCCTCGGGGAACTCATCGAGACACACCACCGACTTTGGAAGCCCATCCCGAACATACCACTGGTTAACTGTTACGTACTCTAGTGCAGCACCAGCTGGGCTCGGATGCACCGACGCATTGCCCTCTCACGCGATCACACAGGAGGAACCGCGCAGCCGCGCTCGAACAAGCCTCCCTGTCAGCCAATGACGCTCGCCAGAGCCTCTAGAGAATGAGAATTAGGTGCGGCAGAAAACGAGGCCTATCGTACAGCGAGACGAGCGGGGCTCGGCAAAAGCGGAACGCGGGGGGCGGGTCGTGCGTGCGTGCGGGTCGTCGAGCGTAGTTCCGGGTCGGGTCTAGAACTTGGGCAGAGCAGCAAAATAAAAGCAAAAGCGAGGAGAGCAGCGTTGAAGCCGAGCCGAGCCGAGGTATCAGGTATCATCCGATGCGCGAACCAAAACCAGCCCCCACCCCTCCCTCTCCCCCTCCTCCCAACACGGTCCCCACCTAGAGCACGTACCGGAACTCGCGGTTCTGGCCGTCGGTCAGGTCGAGGAACGCGCGGTCGACCTTCCGCTCCACCGCGTGCCCGTCCGCGTCCGTCGTGGTGATGTACACCTCATCGCTCTCCGCAGCGGGGCCCTCGCGCTCGCGCCGCGCGTTCTCGCGCGCGAGGTGCACGCGCTGGGCGAGCAGGAGGAGCGCGGAGGCGGCCCAGCACGCGGAGAGGATCGCCCACGGGATGTGGTTCCGGGGCTGGTAGGCCTTCTTCCAGTACTGCGGCCCGGCGGAGTTGCCGACCGCGTAGCCGATCATGACGATCGCGTTCGTGGTGAGGCCTGGGTGCGGGTGCGGGGTGAGCAGAGAAATGGGTTAGGCGAGAGAGAGGGGGAGAGGGAAAGAGGGACGGACGTTTTGTGTGGCCGGCGGTGGTTGAGCCGACCCAGGCGAGCATGACGACGAAGGGGGCGATGGAGGTGATCGAGATCCAGTAGGAGAACAGGAGGCCGACGCGGGTCGAGGACGGGAGGGTGTTGACGAGGATCGAGCCGAGGATGGCGACGGCGTAGGCGATGATGCCCGACCACGCGCGCCCGTTCTTCCAGTACGCCGCGGAGGTGACGGTGCAGAAGATGACGATGACTGCACGGTCGCTGTGAGCATGGGGAACGGGAGAGGGAGAGAGGGAGAGGGACGGGACGCACTCTCGACCACGCCGTCGACACAGCCGATGAGTGTCGTCTGGAGCGGCGTGAAGCCAAAGCCTGCGACGATGATCTGGCGCTGGTTCGAGAGCGAGTTCGTGACGTTCCTGCACCCGAGCACGCGCGTGGGTCAGCGGCAGGCGCATGCATCAGGCGAGAGACGGCGCAGCTCACGAGATCGCGGCGAAGAAAAACCAGATCCACGTCTTCGGGTCCCGCAGTGTTTCGATGAACCTGGACGGCCGCCGTCAGCACTCAGCCTCGCGCGCGTCGATGGGGGGCACTCACTGGTCCCGCTTGAAGTGCTTGTTCTCGACCCCGGCCTGGTTGACCTTGATGCGCTCGACGGCAATGACGCGCTCCTCGGGCGTGAGGAACCACGCCGTCGCGGGCGAGTCCGGGAACATGAACCTGCCCGCGCCCAGCGCCTGTCAGCATGCGTGCGCAGGGAAGCCAGCGGCGGGGACGGACCAGAATACGACCGCGGTGACGAGGGTGATGATCCCGGTGATGATCATGAGCCTGCGCCGCGTATCCGTCAGCGTTCACGCTCGCGAGCACGGGGACGCGCGCGGGGCACACGCACCACTGCCAGGCCTGGAGGACGTCGTTGTGGATGTGGAGCGTGCCGTACGCGACGAGCCCGAGCAGGATGATCGCCGCGCCGTTCATGAGGACTGCGGTGGGCCGTCAGCTGCGTCGGCGCGTGGAGGACGAGGGGGACGGCGCCGCTTACACCAGTAGCCCACCCGCTGCGTCTGCTCCTGGCGCGTGTAGAACATCGAGGTCACGATCATGAACCCGGGCGTGATGGCGCCCTCGCATATGCCGAGGAAGGCGCGGCACGCGAAGAACTCGCCAAAGTTCCTTGCCGCGGCGTGGCAGAGGAGCGCGACGGCCCAGACGAAGATGTTGAAGCTGTGAGGGACGGCGCGTTAGCGTGCGGGGCCCTCGTACAGGCTGCCGTGGGGATTGCAATTCGGGGTGGAGAGGTGAAATCCGAGCGCGCATGACAAACCGCGAAGGGAGGCACAGAGCAAATTGAAAAAGGGCGTACCTCATCCATTTACCAACGGGGAGGTACTGCAGCGCCAGGTTTTGCGGCCACTCGAAGGCGAGGAAGAAGAGGTAGAAGACGGTGCTGAGCCAGTTGAATTGGTTCTGGTCGATGTAGTGTTTCGGGCCGTTCCTGTCGACCCACCGCGGTCAGTAATTTCGCGCTCCAGGAGGGAGGAGTGGTACGCACAGAAGGCCAAGGACGGCAGACTGGCCGAGGGTGGTTTTGTCGGCGAACTGCATCCTGCGAACGCACACGGGGAGTGGGTCGGGATTGCACAGACGACTATGAGGGAGAATACGAACATGTAGAGGACTGCGTCCGCCGCGTCAGCCAAGGAGAACACCGCGACAGGCGAGGAGGTACTCACTGCACATGAGCGGCATGAGGTGCAAGTCGATCTTCCGCCTGCGAGCGCATGATGCCGGGCCCGTCAACCTCTGTCGTCCTCCTTCGACGGGCGCAGAAGAGGAAGGAGACGCACCTGACGCGCGCAGCCTCGGCGGGGTCGAGGACAAAGTCCTTGCCAGCGGTGAGGGCGGCCGCGGTGTCGAGGTCGGCGGCGAGGACATGGTGGGAGTGGGGTGCCTTCTCGTCGTGGGTGCTGCGCTTCTCGAGGGAAGAGTTGGACTCCATCTCTGCGCTCATCGGGAGGAGAGCGGGTGGGAAGGGGCTCGGGAGGAGGGTGGTCAGCTCAGGCAGGCAGACCGGGGACGGGAGCGCGCGAGGCGGGAGCGGGGGCGGGGGCGGGAGGGAAGCGCGGACGGGGCGCGCGGGAGAGGGGGGCGCGATGTTATATCGGCGGAGAGACGGGTGGGCGGAGGAGCGTCTGGTGCAGGGTCATACGCGCGAGGGCGGACAGGCTGATTGAACGCATTTCCGCGCGCGGGCGTTCGTGGTGGAGAGGGAAGAGGGACGCGGATATCGATGCTGTGTCCGCTCCTTCGCGCGACTCTCCTCCGGGGACCGCCCCGCCGGGTCTTGTCTGCTCATCGCACCGCCCGCGCTCTCGCCGAAATGACGGTGGCTGGAGCTAGTTGGGACAAGGCTGTCTCCTGTCCGTGGCCTCGGTCCTGCACGAATTGATCTCCAGCGCGGGCGGGGGCGGTATATGCAAATTCTGCGTCCAGGCGTAATTGTCATGCTCCGCGGGGCATCACTCGCCAAAGCTCTGTGCTGAGCGTACTGCTCAACGTCAACCTCTGCCAGCCTCCCTTGCTCAACAGCCGGCGGGGTGCGGGACACCTTCACGGAAGCATCTTCCCAGCCACGCGCAGGCTGTCAGTCTGTTGTCGGGGAGGCTGGATGGACGCCCTCCGAATTTGTTGTGGCTTTCCGATCAGCCGTTCCCCCAGCTGCGCGGCGCCCAGTCTCCAGGAACTTCTAGCCCCGTTGCCCGACTGAACAGGTTTCCAACATGCCGAAAACTTGACGAGGATTGCCCTGCCGGCATCAGCGGCCAGCCCCGCAAGACGAATGCTCTCTCAGGCCTTCAGACCTTCAGGCACGACGCGATAAGTTCTTCAAACTGGGCAGCCCGATGCTCTATACCAAAGTACAAGGGCGTACGTATGTATGCACACAGACATGCGTCTCCCTTACAGCCGCCGCAGCCCCTTGACCTCCCTCCCCACTCTCCGCACACGTGTACACCACCTACTCGCACCCGCCCACAATTCGCAGCTTCGCGGGCCGCCGGTGGTCGATCAGCTCGTTCGCCGCCGTCATCCTCCTCACGCGCCCACAGCGGCGCGAGCTCGCGAGCCTTCCGCCATCCCGCGCAGCCGCGTTCTCGAGCACTCGAACCCGCGTCCGCGCCCCCCGCCCGGCGCCCCCGCACCACTTTCGGCCGCGCGGGGTCGGTTTCAGGGTGCGGACGCGGTCGCGCCCCGACCGCCCTCGGAGGCTGCGCGCGGCGTGGTGGCCAATCGCGGGGCGGGGTCGCGCGTGCGTGGCGAGGCTTCTGTCCAGCGTCGAGCCTCGACTGTGGTGAAGGCAGCCGTGCGTGCCTGGGACGGCTGTCCGCGATCGGCCGACATCGCGTCGCGTCACGGGCGTGCGCAGATGTCGATGAATCGATGACGGTGTGTGGACGCCGGAGGAGGAGGAGGACGGACGGCGGCGTTGGCCTCTGCGCACATGCAGGAGCTCCTCGTTGGCGCCGGAAGGCGTCGGCTCGGGGACAGCATCTAACGAGCACTAGGTTTGCTTCGGTACTTCGACGCGCGATGCTGTGTGCAACCTTCAAGCTCAAGCTTCAAAGCTTCGAGTGTATGCACCCCCGGCTCCGAATCGCGAACGCGCTCTCCGTCTTGCAAACTCCGTCGTGGCGGGTTGACACCACCAGGCTGACTGCGCCCCGCGTCCGTACGCGGAGCGGGCCACGTACCTCCCCACACGCAAGAGCCGAGCCGGACGGTCGCGCTCGGTCGACGCGCTCCGAACGGTCTTCGAATAGTCCGGCGTGTATACGTACAGTCCTACAACCGCGCGCCTTTGTGCAGTGCACTTGAGGCTTGCTATAGAGCTTGAGCACTGCGCCGTCGATCGCACGATCGGTGGCAATGCCCACCGCCGCAGATCGAGCAACCCCCGAGGCACGAGGCTCGCAGCCTCCCGCGCCTCCCTGTGTGTGACGGGCGTCATGAATGGGAACGACGCGAGGTTGTGGTCGAACAGCGCGGGGAGGAGGAGGGACCGAGTCCCGACCGAGGACTGCGATTAATGTGCATTGTGAAGCAAGTTGGGAACGCGGGCAGCCTCGCGGAGGCGCGGTCGCGGCGGAGCTTTCGCTGGCCACGGGATGTCGGTTTTTACGTCCGTGAAGGTGCTCAGCAGGAGGTTACACCGGAAAGACAGGGGCGCATATAAGGGCTCAACGCAGTGCACCAGCGCGAGCCTAGGGGCCATCTATGTCGGTCACGGACGGGCGCGGCGAAGATCACCGGTCCTGTGCGTGCCTCCGTTCGTGCTCGCGAAGAAGTCCCACCAATCGTACGGGCGATTGGTTCCGCGAGCGGGTTGACGTAAGCGAAGGCGAAAACCAGGAGTTGTGAACACGCCAGGACGACGCACTTGAGCTCTGCAGTCTTCGAAAGGTGCACCGGATTTTTGGTCCAGTAGCCAGTAGTGAGGATGGGTATGGAGACAGAGGTCGAGGGCGGACGTGGAGGCAGTCGGCGTGGCGCCATCGATTTGTTCGAAATGCGACCTGGGGGTTTCCAGTGCAGTAGGGGAGTCACCAGGAACCTAGCTGCCTCTGCCTTTTTCAACCCGTTCCCACGCTTTGCTCCCGCCCCTCAACAAGCGCCTACGCTTGTGAAGTCAACTTTCATGTTAAAACTCAGTACCTCCTGCGCTCTTCTCCGTATGTCTGTCTCGAGCCCTGGTAGTTCGCCTTCCTTAGAAACAACACATAGTCTTGTGGCCCTCGGAAATCACTGGTCAAAAAATTGCGTGTCAATTGGGGGCCACACTCGTCGGAAATTAGGTGAGACTTCGTGGCACCCTTCTTACCGGTATTTATTAACCAGTACTTATACCCCCCATTTTTAGGACATAGCAGATGCTCTCAGCCGTGGCGGTTCTTGCTCCTGCTCAACGGTTTGCTCGGTTGGCATACTAGTTAGAGTCGGGCGCCGCTCCTTAGACAGACAAGTTCCCCTCATGACTACTAGCTCTACCCGGTCCCACAACCTAGGTCATCCATCGGTCTCCCACATCATGACCGCCACATAAACGTAAGCCCTGCCCCTGCGTCCCGCTCGTCACCCCCAACTGGCCAAGGTCTGGGGCGGGTCCAACTTCCTTGTCCCCCGAAATCGAAATGACACAGTTCTCGGCCACTCTCAGCCGCCGCCCCGGTGCGGCATTTTCGCTCCAGGTGTATGTGTTCGGCACCCTTCCCGTGCTCCGGCCGCTCATTCGATTCCACAGCTTCACGCATGCTATTGAAACGCATAGATTTCATTCAGAAGGTAGTGTTGCGACCTTCAATGGACGCCATGCCACTTTCTTTTATATGCTGTCTTTACATATGTGAGGTGCGTGGCGAATCGTGGGTCGCCTTTCAGCAGTGGTCACGAAAAATTGGCAGACTTAGACGTTTGTTACGATCTCAGTCCGCGGAAGGCGGGATGAGGGTCTGCAAGATCGCCCTGTTCACGTATGTTCCACAAGCTTTTTAATAAGAATCCATTCATTCGCTTCACCGGTGTTTCAACTGATTCTAACCGCAGAACATCTCTTCGTGTCGTGAAATAACGCGCTTCCTTGAGATATAGTCCGTGAAGTCCAAAGTCCAGTGTAACTATCCCTGTTCAAGCGCAAGAGCCGACATAATCCCGACGATTCCGGAATACTGCCACTCAGCTCTCGAGGATGGTGAACGCAGGGCTGACGTTGCCGGAGTCGCCGAGCACTGCGAAGCGCAAGCGTCAGTAAGCAGTCCAACCGCCAGCAACGTCACACTTCTATACTCACAGACAACCTCGTAGTCGTCGCGAGTCTGCACCCAAGGCACCGTGATCTCGACGTGGCCCGCGTGGAGGTCGAAGTTCTCGGCCAAGATCACTGCAGCGACCAGTCGCGTCAGCGCGCTGAGAACGCTCCCACTCCGACGCGACGCTCACCGGGCATCGGGGTACCGGTGAGACGGAGCAGGATGGTCGCGCCGTTGCTGACGCTCGCGGGCGGGTTCGAAGCGTCCCTGTCGGTGTCCCGGAGTTCGCCCGGTCAGCTGCGACTCTGCCTCGAAGTGCGGGGGAGGAACGCACCAGGTCACGTTGTGGCGCTCGCCGCTGATCCACGCCGTGCCGCTGTGGGGGTCGAGCACGGGAGGGCTCCAGATGTCGCGTTTCTCGGCCGCCGGGGTGGCGGACGAGCCCTGGGCGGCGAGCATCGTAACGAAGACGGAGAGGACGAGCTTCGTGAAAGAGAACATGATGGTGGATTGGGTGGAAAGTGTGTGAGTCGTGTAGAGGAGTAAACGCGGGCTGAAGGAGGCTGAAGGAGCTGACTGAGGTTCCAAGGCGCAAGGCGCAACAACTTATATACCTTTCGTCGCTAGCGAAGTCCGGATACTGCAGAGACCCGCTCAAGTCCGTTCACCGTCAGGCATTGATACCGAGGTGCGGCTTTCCCTGACCATGTCACAGAATACTGATGCCATGCGATGTCACTCGTCCTTGTGCATAGCTCGCAGCACGTTTAGAACAATTTGGTCAGACTTTTGACGTAGGATCCGCAGTGCGCACGCCGGTCATCTCGTCCCGCACTACCTAATCCTAGCCGCAAGCTCCGTGAGCAAACCTCGGCTGGAATGTCCGATCCATCCAACTCACCCGGTCATACCTCAATGCCCGGGCCAAAAAGGGAGAAGCCTTGGGTCCACAGCAACCGTCACGACGGCCGTTTATCCCCGATGGTCGTGTGTGGCGCGGAGTTCACCATGGTGTCGGTGTTGAACACTCAGATAGACATTCGAACACCTTCTGGAGATAATACGACGATGCCACTCATCATGATTTTGTTCGGTTCAAGTTCCAGGTAGTAATATACTCCTCGTGAGATTCCCCATCGCTGGGGATTGCCGCCATTCCTCAGTAAGAAAATACACTTTCTCAAAGAGTGTGACTGCGACTGCCCGCCGCCCGGCGATGCGGCGTCCGTGTGCAAAAACATTCCACGTGGACTTTGTGTACGTGTACGATGTCCACTTGCTCTCCTACTCGGATGATTTCCAACCCCCGAGCCGGCTTCTCGGATGCTTTCCATGTTTTGGCGCAACTTGAGTCCTCGAAAGTTGACGCCCTATTATTCGGAGTGCGCATTCAAGCTGAGCTTGGAGATCGGATCGGAGAACAGACGCAGAGCACCACTTCCGCGCGGAGTCTCAATGTGAAGTTAGACGCTAATGCCGGCGTTTGCGCGTGCATCCCCCCTTAATCACTGTCTACGCAGTGCCACATCTTTTTCCGACGAAGCCGTTCGACGCGCCGTGCAATTCGTGTCTCTCGTCGTCGGTTCTCGTTAATATGCTCACCCGTGAGTTATAGAAACCCTGCCCACCTATATCGCTTATCCATCACCATGTACTTGCAGGACACGCCACGCGTGGCACGCTCTCATTAACACGCTACATACCCATTGAGGTCGTAGAAACGGTGATAGACGAACTCGGTGCACAGGAGGACCTCCGCGCTCTGTCGTTATGCGCGCGCGTATGCAGTACCTGGCTCCCCCGAAGCCGATTCCACTTTTGGCGCAAGGTCTTGGTCACTAGTCGAAAAAAGCTCTGGGCGATTCTTAGGGCGCTGGGGCACGCCGAGGACATCAACCCGTTGGTACAGGTCCTTCGACTGCAGAGTCAGGATTCCGGTTACGTGTCCCCGGCTTCGACGACTGGTGCTGACGACTCGTTCATCTTGCTCGCCATGGACGAGCTCCTCCGCCGCCTCCCCAACCTCAACACCTTGGAGATCGTCGCACGGGACGAACATCTGGACTTGACTTCCCCAGATGTATTGATCAGCTTCTTCGAGTGTCATTCTCTCAGGACGCTCGTTCTCGAAGAGTGCCGTATCCCCTCTTCTGCGTGTTTGCATCAAATGCTCCGTTCATTGCCTGCCCTACGGGAAGTGCGACTTTGCGAGGTGGATTTCTGGGAAGGACCAGGAGAGACCCCTCTGGACTATAGCAATCTACGCTTGCAGAAACTCACTTTGGTAAGGTCGTCGACGCTATCCGGAGCTCCGGAGTCCGCGTCATGGCTGACATGTTATCGGGCAGCATTCTTCCGCCAACCCGCCCCCATTACTCGAGGGAATCCTCAATGGCAGCGCAACTACGCTGACAGACCTTGATATTAGCTGCCAGTCATTGTTCGAAACAGGTGAGAATCCCTCCCGGTTTCGATCGCGGCCAATTTAGCAGCCAGCTGATGAAGCTCCATTCGAACACGGGACTAGGTACTGTCATGGATCTTCCGCGCCTCCTCCATCTGATGGTGAAGATCGATTTGGATGACGAAGACATCTTCCGGGAATGGGATCCCGAACAGTTACATCCAACCAACAGCAGACTTCCACCGTCATTACGCTCCTTGAACATCACGCTACACAGCGGCGCTGTTTCTTGGTTCGGTGTCGATCTCAATGAGAGGCTCAAGCAAGAGATCTCCGCCTTCACGCGACTAGTGCAAGAGCACGGCATTCTCAGGACGAGCGGGATCAAGTGCATCTTGGAGGACGTGCACGAAAATCTTCGCGACAGATGGCTCGCATCATTGGAGAAAGTGTTCTCAGTCTTGCATGGTCAACATCTCCTGCAAATAGAATTCCGCCGAATTTCTCGTTCGTCCATCTCTTTAGCTCACGCATGCCACGGCTCCCCGTTGACGTTCTCCCTCTCTCGTTGCAGCGCGGGATATGGCGACCTATGGTCACATCAGTCCTGCCATACACATGGCCTTCGCGGAGAATAACCAGTGGGCGGCTAGCTATGCGAAATGGGGCTTCCCTGGAGCCGGCTCAGTGATCATCTGGGATGTTACTTCCGGAAAACCAGCACTGGAGCAGTGGGACTACCCAGTCGCCCAGTTAAGTCGCGAAGAACCGCACCCACTCGTTTTCTCCCCTTCAAACACCCTCCTCGCGTATTGCACACGCCATCTCCAGAAGATCTTCCGCTTGCAAGAGGCCGAAGAAGGCACAGGAACTCACCGCCGTCAGTGGCAAGAGCTGGGGGGTATCGATTTTAGAAGCCGGATCGTCCGCGCCGCCGCATGGACCCCGGACAGCAAACAGATCGTCTTCCTGGTGGACGCTGGCGCCGTCGACATTTGGGATGCCGAGACTCTCACGCACACTCGCACACTCCTTTGCCCCTTCCCGTTTGTAGGCAACGACGATGAGTTGATCGGGGTCACCGCGGCAAGCCTCTCGGTGTCTGCCGACGGCCAGTTCGCTCTCTGCTACATAGACAAGTCCTACAATTTCGGACCCGTTCACAGCGAACACGTCTGCGTCTGGGACCTGGTTTCCTGCACGTGCTCTCTCCGCTTTCCCGCCCTCGCACAAGTCCGTTCCCCCGAGCAGGACCGTATCAGCGAAGTTTCGTTCCGCCCCCCACTCGAGGACGCGGCAGACCCCCGCCCTGGCCACTGGGACGTGCTCGCGCACTCGGCCAACGGCAAACTATTCCTCGACACCGCGGCGCAACACGTGGGCAACGACGGCGGCCCCTCAGTACCCCTCACCTCGCTGCTCGAAGGCTTACATACGATAGACATGTCCCCAGATGGGCGCTTCGCCATCTGCATTGGGCCGAGGGACGGGCACCCCGACTCGAGCGTGTACCGCATCGTGGACACACGCACCAGAGAGACGGTCTTTGAGCCGTTCGAGACCGAAGAAAGCTGGCCGGCCCGCTTCTCGCCCAACGCCTCCGCGGTCGTGTTCTGCATCGCTGGAAGGCGTAATTCAACGCAATGGGGGTACTTGAGTTTGCAGGACGGGATCATGTACGCGGTCCGGGTCCCGGAGGGGCAAGAGGTGCACGGATTGGTGCTTTCGGAGGACGGGTCGTTGGTCGCGCGCTCGTGCTGGAGCGGCGCGATGATCTTTGATCGAATCTCCAATGCAATGCAGGCGGTGGATCAAGGCTGACAATAGAGCATGTATTATCGACAGGTGATGTGCATCGTAGTAGACGTTTTGCTTCAGAAATCAAAAGAAAGGAAGTACCGCTTATACGGCGAATAGCCTCCACAATCAAAACATACCGTCCCCCAACGAGAGCGCTCTTGATACTCCATGTACAAATTCGACGCGCAACCTGAGAAGAGATGCTTCCCCACCCGACGTCCGACCTCAGCCCACCAGAGGGTACTTCTCCAACACCTCCCAGCCTTCCACGGGCCCGTCGCAGTTCACCAGCCATATCTCCTCCCCTCGAAACCCCTCAACCAACTCGGGGTCCTGCCCCTCGCCCCGCTCGTCGAAGTAGCACGCGAGCGTGACCTTGCTGTCCTCCGACCCCGGAGTCCCGCTCTCGAGCACGCGGAACTCGGTCCGGAGCATCCGCGCCGTCACCGCGCGCAGCCCCGCGTCCGCGTCGTCGATGTAGTACAGCGACACGTGCGGCACCGGCGGCACCGCGCGGGCGCCGTCGGGCAGCGCCGCGCGGAGGTGCGCGCGGAGCGCGGCGAGCGGAGAGGCGGGCGCGGCGTGCACGGCGAGGTAGACGGACATGAAGTACTTCGCGCCGACCTCGAGCGAGCGGAAGGTGATCGGGATCGTGGGTGGCATGGGAGACATGGCGGCGCGGAGGGCGGACTCGGAGGAGGTCGCGAGCGTGACGTGCGGCTGGAAGGTGGGGAAGGACGAGGGCGATTGCGGCGCGGTGAGGGGTCGGAAGGCCATCGCGGTGGCGATCTTCTTGGAGGTGCTTTTGTCGGGGACGAGCCAGAGTGAGATACCTTAAGTGTTCAAGGGAAAGTCTAGTTAATCGCGGCCCGATAGGAGTGGTCGGATTCTGAAGGAACACACCCATGATGATGGTGCACCCTAGCTAGTCTAGTACTTCGTACCGTGGGGTGTGTTCGTGAGCTGGCTCGATCCAAGGAGCATTGGCGGTTGAAACCGGCAAAGGCCGGGCACTGCGGAACGCCGGTCTCACGCTCCTGGCCATTGGAATCTCCCAGGACTGGCGAGTTGAACTCAACTCGACCAACTGCATCGACGCGTGTATAGGGCTGAATCTAGCATCTCACCGCCCTTTCCGTGTGTAGGACTTAGGCACGTATATCTGAGTACTGTGAGACTCTATGACTGCACGACAGCGACGATGGATGCCACGAGCTGCAGGTTTTTCATTCCGTGCTCAGCGCTGCAGGGGGTTTTGATGCTGATACACCTGCCACTTCTTTGCAGACGCATGCTCCCGTACTAACTTGTTAGCCGCTCGAATCAACTGTATCGAACTTCCATCGAACTTTGTGCTCTCCACATGTATATCTTACGGAGTCAGGTGAGTGTTGCTACCGTATCTCTTCGGAGATCACACAGGCTGACCCAGACCCTGTAGCGCCTGCTTGGAGGCCATCTCCTTAGCGGGACCTTTCTGCGCATTCACTCCCTCTCCCACGACTTCGTTGTCGACTGCAATGATGAGTTAATGGGCTGCTCATATTGGAGGTATAGACAGTTCGGAGATGCAGTACTCACGGTATGCGGTCATATTCCACTCCTTGTTGATGTACTCTTCCTTCCAATGCAGAGCTGCGAGCCGACCTTGCTTCTGCAGGTCTTCTCCCAGCGTGAGGTGAGTGGTTCAACTCAATGTGGTATCACCTAGGCTTACAATTGTTCAACTGGAGAGTGTAGCCTAGATTCCCAGTAAGCCAGCATGACGGGAAGGATATAGTTTCAAGTGCACTCACGAGGCATGTCTTATGTGAGTACTTGACGAGGTTTTAGAGAAGTGAGGGATTGTGCTGGAGAATGACGAGGACGGCTCTCATTTTTCATGTCTTTTATATGACTCGCGACAGTAGCCTGCTGTTTGCGGTCTCTGTCCACTTTCGTTCAGTGGGAAAGGTCTATGAGATGTGTTGCACGCATCGGTTCCATCGTCTGACGGTATCTACTATGCTCCACACAAGCTAATCGGTGTTGACTCGTCGCAGAGCTATACGTTGACATCCGCATACACCGGCCGCCGAGGTGTAGGTCCATGTCTGGTATTTACAATCGTTCGTTGGTACAGACAACTAGTATGGTCCCGGCTACCCTCTGTTTTGGGACTTGGTTCGTCGTCTTCATTCTGTACGCCGTCATCGTAACTCCGTGGGCGGGGATGCATCGTATTACTTTGGTATAAATATTCGACAACATACAGGGAACACTCACTCCGGAGTTAACGGAGTTCCTGCCTCATCAGAACACACCCCTATCAAGCACGGTCTCATCTGCGCCGGCAGCGGCCAGATGATCCTATCCATGGACGCTTGCATTCCCTGTCATGTCATCAACAGTTTCGACAGCGACACTCACTCTCCACGTCTTCGTTTCCGGTCTCCAAAGCACGTATTCCTACCAATTTCCATGAATCCAGCGATGCGCAGACCACTCGTGCTCCCCCGTATGTTTAAATCTGTAAGCAGCGACTGGAATCTCGCGCGTATGAGCTCCAGGAGACTTCGAACATAGGCGTTGAGTCCGCGTGTACCTCGACACCCACAATTACGTCACTCACCGCCCTGTCTACAGACCTCTGGGCTTTTTCTCGCCAGCGCGAGTCGACGTTTTGAATCCGGGCCCAATACGGCAATCGAACGCGTACATAACTGGCCCAAAGCGTACAACGCCACAACTATGCATCCTCAACGGTTTTGGCGACATGACAGCATTCCCGGAAAACCCGATGACGGTGCTACTGCTCGATCCGTTTTGGTACACTGCTACAAGCGTCGAGCATCGACATCTCAAGGTAACTCTCTTGTACCACCACCCACATATACGCATGCTACAAGAGCCTGGTAGTGTATTGCCGTCCGGAGATATGAGCTCCGCGGCACGGCGAACCAGCTTCCCCGCCTCCTCTCACCATCGAAAGCAACCACCGCCACCCTCTCGATGACAGGAGTTGGAAGATAGCCTTCTTCGCGATGCGGTCCGAGTGCTGGAGGCCTCTCAAGCCGTGCTGCTCGAAGTCGGAGGCACTCCATTGACGGAATAAGACATCGGGGGATGGCCGCCGACGCGCACGGCGGAGTGGACGTAGCCAGGCTCATCCTGATGCGGTGGCATGGCATAGTGGAGGGCCAGAGGAGGCGTGCGACCCAGAGGACGACTCCGCCTGGTAGTCGTGCAGGTGTGGGTGGTGCGAAGGAGCGCAAGCGGTGGGAGAGGGGGTTTAGGTCGTGGAGGCGTCGTCGGGTGGTGGCTGCTCTTGGGAGGTGACATGTATTCGGAGTCTCGAGACTACCCTCGTGAGACGGAGGAGAAGATGCGCACCGTGATACCACGCCGTGGAGATGGAACGTACATATCGCAGCGGCCGTTCAGATGCGATCCTCGACGTGGCAAATCCGGTCTACAGCCGCTGCGTTCGCATGCGGGCTTGGGTTTTGTTCTCTGGACGACTGCTGCATTAGTGTCAATCAAGTAATGTGTTTGTTAGCCCACACAGCGCGCGAGCTCAGAAGCGCGTTGCTCCATACTTCAGTTTCATCGTCCCCGTGATCTGCCTAACAGCACCATTAGCCCCGTGTGCCTCCCACCAGGCCCTAATTCCAGAAGAATCTCGTTAACCAGGGTAGGTTAGGCTGCCTCGTCGGGAGGGTGTTGTATCCCCTGATCCACAAGACCTTTATAGCTTCGTGGATCTCGTGAATCCTCACGGGCGCATCCCATACGTTTTGGGAGGAAGGGTTTGTACGGAGCCGCTCGAATAATCAGGGAAGGAGAACGGGAAACATGACCAAGCACAAGAGTCACGCGCGGTTCACAAGTCCCGAAGCAGATGGACATGCCGGGCTCCTCCTTGAGCCCTTCGCCGCAAATGAGACAGCCGGGCCCAGTACTGGACGGATCCAAAGGTACGCGCCAGATCCTCTCTATTTCCTTCACCATCGTCCTGACGTGAGCGTAGCACGTGCAAGTCCAGAGTGCCCAAAGAGCGACCCTCAGAAACACCCGTGCTGCGCATATATCGACTCATCAACGCCTGCGTCCGAAGACCCCGCGACCCCGCTCGACACCACCCTCCTGCCCGCACTCCATCCCGCGACCGCCTGAGAGATTACGATCGCGGAGCAGTGTATGCTCGCCAGCGCCGCGGGGGCGAAGCCCATGCTTACTGTACACGAGGTCCGCGCCACCAAAGCACGCGCGGAAACCCGTGGGGAGCTCTTCGCGGCGGACGGCGAGTCCCTCCACCAACCTGGTCGAGCTATCCGAAGGGGACGCGTCGTCCGCGTGGCGGGACGGGGCTGGGGGTACGTGACGCGAACGTCGGACGTGATACGTGCGTGCGCGGAGCGATCGAACGTCGTGGGCGCGCGGGCTCGGCTTGGGGGGGTCCAGGAAAAGAGCTTGAATTGGGATTCGTTGGCGTATCAAGACGAAAAAAGAAGGAAAGGGCGATGGAGGATAGACGAAGCTGGTGGAGGGCTGCAAGTGAAACGGTGCTCACAGGTCCTGTTTTCGATCAGCGAAACGCGTGCATCTCGTCTGGACAACCGCGAATGGGCTGAGCGTCTGGGTAGCGCGCCGCGCGCTGCGACCTTGTGACAAGAGCGATCCTGACAGTATTGCAAGAGCCGCTGGCTTGAGGAAGTAGATGCGCGGAATGCATCACTGTCAACTGAGTCGGAGTGTCGGGGAAAGCGACGGATGCGTGGTGGTAAGTCGGAGTGGGCAGGACCCTCAGCCAGACAGTCACTTTGGAGGTGAGCGAAAGGGAGAGGTAAAGTGAGGAATGAGGCCATAGCGTCTATGCAGCCGTGCGGGAAATGCCGAAGTAGACATCCTCAGTACTTATGATGTGGCCAGATCGTCTCTCTCCCCCTTTGTCTTTCCTCCATACTCGTCTTCAAGTAAGATCTGCCCAATATGACCTTAGGATTCTCGATACATGAATGTCACCTTGTTTTCGACTGCATCACTGCTGAGAGCCGTTTCTGGTGAGTCCCAGTGAGTCTCGTAGCGCGACACCTGGGCACAGGTAGCGCTTTGTCTGGTCTGGGCGTCGGGAACCAGAGAAAGGACCCGTCAACGAGTTCACATATGCGACTATTTGTGTTAGTAGCTCGTGGAAGAACGCTCGTGGCGACATAAACGGTCTCTCGGCATCCAATCATCGCCCTATGGTGCAGTCCATTTGACCACCACTACTTTTGTACAGCGCTTCGGGAGCGCTCAATAAGCACCCAATTTCTTAGTTCTCTAGCCAATCACTACCTTTTCGCTGTCTGAACAAATCCCCAAGAGGGTTTGTCGAAATTCTGAGTTTGAAGGATTTTCATCTCCCCACTATTGCCACACGTGCTGATGGATGACTAATACAGTCATGTGATGTACTAAGCGCCTCTCTCTAAGACTTCTTTTGTGCGATTGCTACAGTGACCAGTTCAGTCTGGACCAGTACACGCTCATCAATTTGCTACTGAACAGAGATAGTACAATTAGATACATAAATAGCGTGACTATCAGTGCTCGCAGGACAATTTGGCAATCTGGGTGATGGCTTCTAGCAGGTTCGTCTCCACCGCACGTCAATGATGATCTCAGACAAGTGAGGCAGAACTGGATATCGCTACAAAAATTTCTCATTTTGTCCAGAAATATATTCTATACATGTGCATGAGCCCATTATTGGCCGTCTTCAGCTTCTGGACTACATTTTCAAGTGTCTCGAAAATCAAGTCTGGCTATTGCCACCACGTGACTGATTATGTAAGCTGTGCGAAAGTAGTGGCGGCCAAATGGACTGCACCATAGCAAGATAGTGCTTGTTTCTAACAGGCGTTAATGGTAACCGCGCCAGCCGATAGAACGCGGGTCAAATCATCGATGTCTTCAATACCGCAGAAGTCATATAAGTACAAGGGTGGCCAGGCTTCTTGTAATCTCCAGTCGGCCTGAGCACAACGTCGCTGTTCGAGTACAAGTGGGAGCCGCACACACCCTCGGGTAAGTTTCCTCCCAACCCTCATCTCGCGCGCATCCGCTCCGACGCACAGATCTCCCGCCACATCGAGGTAAGCCACAGAAGTTGTCTGCTACCCTGTCATGCTAGTGCTCCCACTAACGCGCGGCTCGTTCCAGCGACCCCGCCACCCGATGGCCGACTACTACCAGAAAGAACTCGCCAAGGCGCAGCGAGCCGTCACCGAAGCCGAGAACGCGCTCTTCGAAGCAGAGCACACAACCCTCGACGACGCCGAGGCCGCCCGCGTCCAAAACGGGGACGCCATCGTCTCGACCCTGCGCATCGCCGTCGCGAGCGCGCGCAGCGACGTGCGGGTGGCGGAGCTCGACGTGCGGCGGTGGCGCCGCATCGAGGCCGAGACGATGGCGGCGGAGCTTAAGGCGAGGCAGGTCCGGGCGCGCGCGACGGCGGTGTGGAACATCGTCGCCTGGAGAGTGCGGGCTCGGCTGGGCAGGTTGAAGGAGAAGGAGAAGGGGATGCGGCGGGCGATGGAGCCTGGGCAGCGGCCGCGTGAGTCCAAACGGCGGAGCGCGGGGGCGGCGCGGCGAATGGAAACTCGCCAGACGACGCGTTCGAGGAGAATAGAGACTCGGTCGATGCGTCGAAAGAACAGTGGCGGGAATTAGTCACGACGGGCAACGGCCTAGCTTCGGGGCTCGAAAACGCGTAGAAAAAGCCTGTGAAAGATGACATTTCCAAGGGCAAAAAAACAGGAGCTAAGATGACCTTTTCTCCACCTTGTTCGACAATAACACAGGTCATCACTTGTAATTACTTCTTTGTTACTCGCATACTATACACGTTCTATTGTCTTTGCTCTTAGCTACATCAAGAAAAGGTCACCTAAGCCTCCGTTTTTGTCCCCTTGGAAATGTCATCTCTCACAGTCTTTTTCTACGCGTTTTCGAGCTCCGAAGCTAGACCGTTGCCCGTCGTGAGTGGTCCCTACACTCGCGAGACTCGTTGTGAGACGATTGTGACGACCGACGAAACGCGGTGCGTCTTTCGTACTTTTAGAGTTGATGAACCTTTTGAGCGAGACTTTTGTATTGTCTCGCAAGTGCATGTACAAAAGAGGAGTCGCGACCGGGCCACTGAGTGCCTCGGCGCTCAAAACGAGTCCACTCACATCCCGTTATTGTAGCCGCTGACCTCGCTATGTTCCCACATACCTTGTTCGAGCGATGCTCCAAGCAACATCGCCACGCCCACACAGAGACAACGGATGGTATAAAACATGGACGGGGAATTGCTTGCTCCTACCCGCCCCGCTCAACTTCTTCACTGACAACTCCGACAGCCTCTAGTCCGCCTCCGGAATGTCATTCTACTACGAACCTCATCCAGTGTACGCTACCCTTCCCCACTGACGTCCTTGTGCCCTGCTGACGTGGAATCTCCAGCATCCCCGAGCCGCGAAGAAGTCCTCGCGACCACGTACCCCGCAACTACAGGACCCCGGCCCGCAAGCCCGCGTCCCGCAAGCCCGCGACCCGAACCAACGAGACCAACGCCGAGAAGGATCCCCAGCGGACCGCAGTCGCGAACCCGCTGCCCCCCGGCGGGTACGTGCGCTCCCTTCCCCACGCGCTCGAGCCGCGAAAACTGACGCGCAACCGCCGCCGCACGCAGCCCCGTCCGCGAGCTCGTCGTGCCCGAGGGCACCGGTGCCGGTGCGCCCCTGGTTGTCGTCACCGCCCCGGGGCACTTCGTCAGCCCGTCTCCCGCCGCAGCCACGGCTCCTGCCCCACCGGCCGACGCGCGCGTCCCAGGTCAACCGCTCAGCAGCCCCTCAGGGACGTCCTTGCTCATCGAAATCCGGCGCGACCCCTCGCCGCCGGACCCCCCGTGCGAAGCCACGGCCACGGCCACGGCCACCTCCAGGCGGGCAGCAGGCGGGCTCCGCGCGCCAAGCACCCGACGGAGGCCCGCAGAGAAGCACGACGCCGAGCTCGAGCTCAAAGCCGCGCGCGCCTCGCTCAAGGAGCACCACAAAGACCTCCTGCTGCGGTTTACGAAGGGCGCCACGGAAGCGGGCAAAGGGGAGCTCTCGGCGGAGCGCGAGAGGCAGATCAGAGAACACCCGACGTTCCTCGAGGACCTCCTGCAGGCGCTCGGGTTGCCCCGCGAGGAGGTCTCGGCGAACTGGCGGAGGCAGGGGAGCGAGAGAGTCGAGGCTACGGAGGCCGACGTGTGGCGGGCGTGCGCGGAGGCGGTGCATGTCGTGGCGGGGGTTACGCGAGTCAGGGAGGAGATAGAAGCGGGGATACGCTGGGAAAGGGACAGGGACGAGCGCAGGAAGAAGGATTCCAAGAAGAAGAAGGACCGCAAGAAAGAAACGAAAGGTAAAGGGAACAAACGTCCACGTCCCGACGCCGAGAACACAGAACCCGACACCCGCCCGAGCAAACGCAGCAAAACCACCAAAGGCGGCAGCGGCGGTAGCAAGGCGAACCCGGCGGCCGGGAGCAAATCCGGTGTATCTGGGGTTCATGCTGGCGACCCCAGCATGATCCCCGAATACATAGAATTCGCCCACAACCAGACCGTCAAGCACTCACGCCGACTCTCGGAGTTGCTGAGTGGCCCAACGAAACCACGGTTCCTGTTCTCTGAGGCCCGCGCGGAGTACGTTGGGGCGAACAAGAAGCTCCTCAAGGAACTTATGGGAATGCTCGGCTTGTCCAGTGACGACTTATGTCCGTGCTGGAGGTACAGAGACAGCGGGGTGTCTGCAGCGGATGCGTGGAGAGCATGCGCGGCCGTGATGGGTGTCGTGGCCGCACGCTGGAGGGTGCGAGAGGCAGAACGGTCGCCATATCGCCGTTGAGTGGGGGAATGAGTGACCTGGATTGCTGTGCTGGGAAGTGGGAGTGTAACGGATTCAATCATACATGTACGTGATAATCAGAGGGAGACGGTGTTGATACAGGCAGTAGTATACAGCACCTTTCTACTCGTACAGGTCCGCAGAAGACTGGAAGGAGAGTAACGCGTACGTTCACGACGCCGGCTGGCTCTTGAGGCTCACCCACGACTCGCCTACGCCGGTGCCATACCCGCCCTCGTTGCTCTCGACATCCGCCTCGCTGCCCGTCTCGGAGTGGGAGCGATCACTCTCAGGCGTTCCTGTGGCCACTTTCTCTGTGGAGGGAGGCGGTGCGATATCAACGGTCGGGGCGGCGGGAGCGACAGGTTCAGGCGGGGGAGGAAGCGCGACGCGCGGTGGAACGGGCAGAAGGGAGTTGCGGAGGGAGACGAGGAGGTAGGGAATATTGAGGAGACCATCAAGGATGATCGCAGGCAGGTGCGAGGCGAGCGCATATGTGCGGGCTGCGACACCAAGCAGTCAGCATCGATTCGACCTGAGCGAGGAAAGGCGCACGACTTACCTCCAGCGCCGACGACCACCCTGTCTCCCCACACGAGCTCGCGCAGCCTCCCGAGGCTCATACGAACCGCCGAGCACGCTCGCTCGCCCCTCCGGCCGCTCCCGACGACGTCCGCCACCGTGCGCACGAACGCCGACACTTCGCTCGGCTGCCGCCGCATCCCCCGCGCGCCGCCTTGCTCGAGCAGCGACGCGAACGCCGCCCCGTACGCTGCTTGCTCGGATGGAGTCCACTCCTCGAGCGAGGTGAGGCTACCCTCGAGCGCGGCGGATGGCGCGGGACCTACGGCGCCGACGTCGACCACGACCACCTTGATGTTGCGCATCGCATCGGCCGCGGGGATGCCGACCGCCGAGGCCGCAGACGCGCGAATCTCACGCCGAAGGACCTCGACGCCGCGCAGCGTCGCGGCGGCGCTCATCGCTTGCGCGCTTGCGAAGGGAAGACCGACGCGTGCGTCGGTCGAGGGCAGGCAGACGACGATGCTCTGCTTTCCGAGACCGTTGGCAAGGGTATCGCGGGCGCGGGCTGGAGAAGCGCGTAATAGGGGCAGGAGCGCCTGGAAAATTTGGAGCGGGGTGATGTGCGTGGCTTGAAGGTAGGATTGGTAGGACGTGCGGAGGTTGAGGTGTTCCAGAGGAGCGATGGAAGGTGGGGTGGCGGATGATGGGAGGGTGAGAAGGGACACGACAGAGTGGACGAAGAGGTGGGTGGAAGAGGGAGCGTGCGGGTCTCCGGCAGCGTTGATGGGGAACCTGCGGGACATTGTGGAAGCAAGAGATCGTAGGAAGAATGGAATCATTTCGGGCTGAGAAAGCGAGACTTGTGAGCTTCACACGGAGTATGATGCTGGATAACGTACCTCTGTGGGGTCTAGGACAAGGGCACGAACATATCCGTGGCATTTGCTTTCGATCTCTTCGACGGCTTCAGGAGTAGAGACACTAGTGATGACAATGTAGCCCTTCTTCTCGAGATCGAGAATGAGAGGGAGACCAAGAGGGTTATCACCTCCAAGAACGACTGGGAGCGATGTCGGTCAGCACTGTCGGGCCTCGAACGAGAACACAACAGCAGAGACAGCACAGGGTGCTAGGCAGGAGGATTCGATTCCGTGGCTGGGTGTATGCGGCGGTGGAAGCGGCGAGGGGTGTCCCCAAAACTTGCAGCAAACCAAAGAAGTACTCACCAACGACGTTCCTCCTCTCCGTATTCGCCGCTGCATGCGCTTGCCTCCGCATCCCAACCCGCCTATGTCTGAACCGCGGGGACGCATACCCGACGAGCAACCCGGCGCCAACTACGCCAACGCTGATCCCGGCGGTCGTCCACGGATGATCGGCGACCCAGTCCGCGGTGCCGTCAAAGAAACCCTTGGGCGCAGGAGGCGGCGGGGGTGGAGGCGGGATCTCAAACGCCCCGAGGCCCTTCTTCAGGCTCGCGGGAACGGCTTGTGGACTGTGGCGGAGAACATCCTGCCAGAGGCGATGGATGGTCTCGGAGACCTTGGGCAAGTCCGGGGTCGCGGCGTTGAGGCTGGAGACGACGAGCTCCTCAACGCGCTCGAGGTAGTCTTCGATCTGCTCGATGGACGGGAGCGGCATGGTTATTTGAGGACAAGGACAGGGTGTGGGCGGCGAGGAGGTGGGATGGAGATCGCGGCCGGTGCGGAGGCGAGAAATAGGAAGGCGTGCGAGGGCCGCGTTCGCTCGCGGCTCGGCGGGCCACCGACGGTCCTTCGGTCCGTCCCGGTGACACATCCACGGCGCCTGCACGATCTTGCCCCTCTGTCCTGTTCAACACCGTCCTCTCATGTCTGAACTACACTTACATCAGGGTCTACACTTCTGACTATATGGAATTCTTCCAGGTACGCACAATCGACGCTTTCCGGACGTGGAGACGAACCGGAAGCGTCGCCGCCGCAAGGCTACGTATCGTCCCCGGCATCTCGAGAAACACGTACGACAGCCGCCGCACTCGTCATCTCATGCCGGGCACTGCCGACACAAGGATCCCCTGCAGATTTCACTCAAACAAAGCCCCCCTTGGTGCCAGAGTTGAGGCAGAGGTTAGAAGACGCCGTAAATGGTAAGTTGAACTTTTGGCTCGTATACATAGATCTCTGGTCTGACACCCACCGGTTTGCCGGGACTCAAGTACTCACGGGGGGCCTCAGCGGTTTACTCCCACTGTGATCAGTGTGCAGAAGTGTTGGTCACAATGGATGACTCTCCGTAAGGAAATACAGACGTGGTGGAGGCATTCCGTTGACGCTGGCTTGACGCCAGATATCCCTCTCGTCGCTTAACCCCGCTTAACGCTCCGAAATTGCATTTACGGGTCTATTAAAAGTGGTCTGGCTTACGGACCGTCATCCAATTTCATGCCAATCATGTGCTCTCGTAGCTCCTAAACACCAGAAGGTATTTCACCAGATGATTCTTGGCATGATGCGAGACATGATGGCGAAGTGCGGACTGGAGGACAGCGGGGCTTGCTTTTCGCAATGTGTCGACATGACTGTGAACGAACGCTTGCGTGGATGTGCTGTCTCGATTATTATCAGCCCGCCGACTCGGGTCCAAAGGAGAAACTACGGACACGTGACCGCGTCGGATTGACCCCTGGCACCCGACGTTTTGGTGACGGCACCGCGCGCGAGTCGGAGGGCGCTGATTGTGGTCGACGCTCTCTGGTCCGGTGTCGACTGCTTTCTGGTCTAGTGTCGTCGACTGCTCTCTGGTCTGCTGCCGCCTCATAGAGCTGGGTACGTCCGCCGCCGCCGGTGACAGCCACGCCCGCTCCTGCTCAGAGGCTGTCGCGTTCAGATACCCCAGACTATCAGCTGCGCTGAACACACGTTCGTCCACCGTTCTGCCCGCGGCTCCGTGGCAGGCCCACACTCGCGCTAACCTCGGTGACTGTAACCCCAGGCTTCCGTTCCCGCTGTTCTCAGGCCCGCTGCCTCCCGTAGACGCCGCTAATATTTAAAAGAGGAACTGCTCGCGCGCGATGTACGTCCCCGGCCTCCCGCCCTCCTTGGTCGACCCCGACTCCTCCGCGCCCGCGTCGCTCGTCGCCGCCGCCATGCCCGATCTCCCCTTCGCCCCATTCCTCCGCGAGCTCGCCCAGCCCGTCGGCAACCTCCTCCACCTCCCCCACTTCCCCCAGCACTTCCCCGCCCTCGTCTACGCTATGCTCGCCTTCACCGCCCTCCACCTCGTCATCTCTCCCTTCCTCAGCGCCCGCATCTTCCCCGTCAGCTACGGAAAGCTCCGCACAAAACGCCAGATCAACCAGTGGTACGTCCCTCCGCACCTTCCGCGGAAGCTCCCGTGGGCTCAGGCCGTCTCGGCACAGGAACATTCAAGTTGTCTCCCTCCTTCATGTCTTTATCGTGCTCCCGCTCGCCGTCAGCTGCTTCTCCTCCGAGACCCTCAAGGCCGATAAGCTGTGGGGCTGGGACGACCGTGTCGGCACCACCGTCGCTGTCGCATGCGGGTGAGTGCTCTCTTATCCGCGCCCCCGTCCTCCCGTTCTCAAAGCCGCGCTTCACGCGTGTAGCTACTTCCTCTGGGACGCCCTCGACGCGATCCTCAACTTCGACGACCTCGGTTTTCTCGTCCACGGTGCGTCCCCTCCCGCTTCTGGCCGCGCCGCCTCGTGTGCGGCCTCGCGCGGCGTCTAGAGATCTGACCCGTCCCTTCGACGCGTGCAGGTGTGTCATGCTTTACGCTCTACATGATGACCTTCGTGCGTATCTCCCTCCTCGCGCGACCCACATGCCAGCTTATACGCCCACCACCCACAGCGCCCCTTCCTCGGGTACTTCGCGCCTCGCTTCCTCTCCTGGGAACTGTACGTACTGCCCTCCTCATGACTCGACCGCGCCGTCTCACGTGCCTCGCGCCCCGCAGGAGCACGATCTTCCTCAACGTCCACCGCTTCCTCGACAAGACCGGCCACACCGGCTCCACCGCGCAGTGGCTCAACGGCGTCGTCCTCCTCTCTACCTTCTTCTCCGTCCGGATCGTCTACGGCTGGTACCTCACCGCGGGCTTCCTGCACGCGCTCTTCGCCGCGCGCGCCGAGCTCTCCCCCGTCTACCTCGTCCTCTTCACCGCCGGCAACCTCACGCTCAACACCCTCAACGCCGTCTGGTGCGTCTCCCTCCGTCCCTCCCCCGCGCGCGCGCACAGCGCCTCCCCACAGTCGCGTCGCGCGTCGCGCGGACGCGTCGGGGGAAGCGCGGCTGGTGCACGTGTGCCCCCGCGGAGGTCCGGATCCCCTGCTGACCTTCTCCGCGCGGTGCTCCGCACAGGTTCTACAAGATGGTCTTCGCGGTCCGCAAGCGGTTCGACAAGGAGGCGAAGCCGCTCCGCGACTCGGACGCGCCGAACGGCACCGCTGCCCCCACCCCCGCCGCGAGCAACGGCTCCGTGCACTGAGCAGCGGGCGTACGGTGCGTTGCAGTCTCGCTCGAGTCCCGGCGCGAGTCTCGGAACGTTGGGCGTACGTGCGCGTGAGGCCGCGGGCGACCTGAGGCACGGCGCACCACGCGTGCATGGCTTCCTTACACTCTATGCTTAGTGCTCATGGGTTCCTACGTGATACCCCGTTTGCTGCTGTCATGTACATAGACCTGTCAGTGAATGTACGCGTCTCGAAGGACGCAGACGTTACAACGTCGCAGGTTGGTCCGGGGAGCGCGAGCGTATTCCATTAACTAGTATGTGACAGAACAACCCCAGGCGCAACCACCCTCACGCCTCCAGGTGCAGCCGGATGAAGAACACCTTCCCGCACTCGGGACACGCGCCCGTCCCCGCGATGGCGTCGAGCACGCACCCGTGGCAGAACATGTGCCCGCACATCGTCGCGACCGGGTCCGCGCACGGGCTGCGCTGGCACGCGCGGCAGCGGAACGACAGCGTCGGCGCGGCGGCGCCCGCGGGTTTGTCCCCGTGCGCGCGCGAGCGGGTGCCGTACGAGGGCGGGGGCGGGGTGGGGGTCCGGTCGGAGTAGGCCGGCCATTCGTGTGCGGAGGCGCGCACCGGGCCCGACGACGACGACGAGGCGGAGACGGAGGTGCGGGTGGGGGCACGGGAATGGGAGTGGGTGGGGCGCGGGGTGGGAGGCGACTGAGGGAAGCGGGCGCGGTGGAGGTCAGAACTTCGAGTGGGATCGAGAGAGGAACCGCGACGTACTGCAGGTGCCGCGGAGTGGGGTGAGTAGGCAGGCATGTAGTCGTTCAGGTCCGTCCACCGTGGGGGAGGCTGCGTGGCCAGCTTGGTGCTGCGTCAAGGGCACGTGCTTAGCGTGGTTCACAGAGAGATGAGATCGTACGGGCTCACTGAGACGATGACGACGACCGCACTGAGAGGGCCGGATGAGTGGGGGTGGAGGCTCGTGAGGGAGGTGAGGCCGTGGCGTTCGGTTCGTCGTCTTCGTACTCGTCAGATAGCACTGACAGTGCGCGAGATGCGGGGGCAGAGGCGTGGGGTAGAGATTTGTCCGCCACGTGCGCGGGCCTGCTGGGAGCGGCGACGGAGGCCGGCGTGGGGGTATGTTAACAGTAGGTTGTGGCGTATTAGCTTTCTGTGGTGTGGGATTCAGAGATTTTTGAGCAGACAGAGGTTTCTGTGGTGTCACGATCGTTGCCAGCGCAGCGGCAGCAGAACCAGGGGGCGGACAACGTCCCTTATGCTGGAGAGAGGCGGGAGTATGAAACAGGACTGCATATAACGACCGTGCGAGATGGGCTCACCTTGTAGAACACGTCAAGGGACACGAAGCCCATGCCGCATGTACGGCAAGTAGGGTGGACAGTGGACTCGGTGTAGTGCTGTTGCAGCGCTGCCGGGGTTGGGAACGTCGTGTTGCACTTCTCGCACAGAGTACTCGTCGGAGGCTTCGGGGGCGCGCTCTGGAAGCAGAGAAATGGGATAGTGTCGTGGAGTGCAGCATACACGGCGAAAAGAACTCACAGTTGACATGGATGGCCCCGGAGCAGCCAGAGTGGGATTTACCCCTCCACTCGACGTGCCGGCCTGGTTGTTGGGGGTTTCAGGGCTAGGATATTGGTGCTTCTTGCTCTGGATGTGAGTGGTGCGCTTCGTCAGGTCGGAAAACACCACGCAGCAGCCCCCTTGTGAACACATATACGCAGGCATGTGCTTGTGACCCTTGTCTCGGGCGTGCTGTTCGCAGGCGGAGATGTCTTTGAAGGTGGCCTTGCATTGGTGGCATTTGGTAGGGATGGCCGACATAAGGATAGGGTGTGCGCGCGTCTGGTGATTCGTGAGGGGAGGATATAGGTGGAGGAGAAGCAACTCGATGTCGACGGGGAGCGGAAAAACCGGTCGCGGGCAGCAAGTAGGATCCAGTCAGGGTTTGTGAGCGGGCCACTGGAGGCACGAGAAAAGCGTGTCAAGAGTGTTTGGGCAAAGATGTACCATAGTCGTGGCAGTTTTTGCAGGAGCGCGGACGCCGAGGGAGAACTACCGCAGCAGCATCCGAGTCTACCGCAGGCGCCTACCGAATACCCGAGTCCGATCTTCCCGGATGTCTGCGCAGGCCCTCTGGACGTTGGTCTCATGCATGTACATTAGTAATTAGCTAGAAGAACGACAGGCCCTCAAACAAAGCACTACTATATACACCTATGCAGCTGGCCAAGATCCGCTCACAGTTCAGTACGACGTCCGGACGACATCTAGCATGCTGTCATGTAAGACCTGAGGGGATGACTCCGATGTATACCGCCACGAACTCCCTTCACAGACGTTGAGTCCCCTAGCCCTCCAAGTGCAGTTGGATGAAGAACTGCTTCCCGCACTGCGGACACGCTCCCGACTTCGCGATCTCGTCCATAAGGCACCTATCCCGTCGGTTCCGCGTCAGCGCTCGACCGCAGCTTCAGACCGGAGAGCACGACGCACCGGTGACAGAACATGTGCCCGCACATAGTCGCGACTGGGCCTGCGCAAGGGGTGCGCTGGCACACGCGGCAACGGTAGGAGAGGTCGGGGCGGTCCACGTCTCCGTTCATGCGCCCTTTCCGGTGGCCGGAGTGTGAGGGCGGAGAGCGCCCAGCCATAGGACTGGAAGAGGCCAACCATTCGGGGGTAGAGGCCGGGGCGGGTCCCGAGGACGAGGAAGAGGCGTACACAGGGGCTCGCGGGGCTGCGCGCGCGTGGACGCGCGAAGGAGGTGCGTGCGTGCGGGGTACATCGCGCAGCTGAGAGGCGTGCGAGGAGGGTGCGCGCGGGATCTGGGGAGGCTTGCCAAGAGTTTTGTCAATTTTTGGCGAATAACGAAAAGTGGAGGTTGTAAAGACATACATGTAATGGCGCGACTTCATCCGCGTATGCTGCCACATAATCGTTCAAGTCCGGACCCGAGGATGGACTGGCTCTGCCTCGGCACTACGACATGCGAATATAGTCAGCGCAAACCAAACGGATAGCTATAAATTCTCACACGTACCGTATATAAGCCGACAACCTGACAGAGGGAGTGAGCCGTGTGTGCATGGGAGAAACCATGGTGCTTGATTCAGGGGAGAGGAACGGCTCCTCGTCTTCGCCAGACGATACAGAGAACGCACGGGACGCAGCTCGAGAAACGGGCGCGGTGGGGCTCTCTGTCACTTGAGCAGGTCTGGCAGCGACGGATGCCGGAGCAGACGGAATATGACTGGAAGATTCTGGGGCCACAGCAATAGGGACCTCAAGCGGTGGGGCATGCCGGGGTGTCTCAAGTCTCTGCGGTGTGGCGGGCTGGGAGGTAGCTTGCATTTGGGGGGTGGTCGGCATCACCGGGGTGGCCGGAATCTGAGGAGTTGCAGGCGTGACAGACCGTTGGACCGGCGTCGAAGGCTGGAGTGGTGTGCTTGTCCTCAGCGGTGTAGCCGGTCTCTGTGGAGTGGCCGGTCGAGCAGCTCCGTAAAACCCGTTCGATATTTTCGGACTGAGAGTCGGACTCTGGACTACCGCAGGAGCAGGAGCCGGAGCCGGACTCGGAGGCGCCGTTGCCGCAGCAACAGCAGCAGCCGAAGGAGGGGGCGGGCACCTCCCCTTATGCTGTGAATGAAGACGGACTAAGCCCAGAGTGCGGGCAATGGCATATGCTAATGAACGTACCGACAACATCGCCGTGAGCGATTCGAAGCCCATGTCGCAAACGCGGCAGTGGGCGTGGATGAGCGGAGTGTTGTTGTAGTGCTCCTGCAGCGCCTCGGCTGTCGCGAAAGTCTTCGCACACTTGGTGCAAACAGAAGGTTTCGCCGCTTGCTGCAACGTGCGTGTGTAGCCAACCGTCGCATACAATATGGGAGAAGGAGTCGGGACTTACGTTTGAAGGCCCCGGAGTACTAGGAGCGGATGGAGGGGGAACCTTGCCATCGTGCTTGTCCTGGAGGTGCTGCTGCCGGTGCTGGATAGCGGAGAACACCTTCGCGCAGTCCTGGAAGGGACAGAAGAAGGCAGGAATGTGGCGGTGGCCCTTGACCCTAGCGTGCTGCTCGCAAGCGAGAATGTTCTTGAAGACCACTTTGCATTCGTCGCACCTGGCGGGGGCATCAGACAGCGTACTCATCTTGCAGGTGCAGCGATGAGCAAGGCGAGTGGAAGCGCTGGGTGTGGGAGCAGCAGGACCTAGAAGCGGATGTAGAGAAACGAGAGGCGGGCAAACGCCCTGCCGGTGCTGCCTTTAAAGCACGTCGAGGGCTCGTGCCAAACGACGCGTGCGAGGACGGCGCATGGTGAAAGAAGCTGACAGGTGCGCTACGGTGGTGACCGCAGAGCGCAAATGCTGCAGCACAAGTTCCCAGGAGGAAGGCGCTTCAAAGCCCCACCGGTATATCCCGAACGCCATCATCAGCGCCGTGCCGCAGTGAGCGTGCAACTGGATGCGAAGCTGCGGGACGACATATCTCACATGGATTATCATACGCACAAACATAAAAGCCACCAGTTCCAGTCTTAAAGCACCACGCTTTCCACCTTCACCTGAGTCACCTTGCACAGTTCCTGCAGCTTATACGTATACTTCGCCTTCGCCTTCCACAGCCGAGTGCCCTTCTGGAAAATCTTGGTGGTATCCGGAATCGACGCTTGTACGATGCTCAGCTCGACCGTCGCCAGCCGCTGGTGCGCCAGCCTGTTGTACCGCTCCAACTCGTGCACCATCTCCTCTCCGAACCCGTCCCTGAGCGACTCCAGCGTCCCATTGTCGATCTGCACCTTACTCAGCTTCCGCCACTTCTCCGGCATCTCCCCCAGGGCCTCCCACAAGCCCCGCGGGAATGGCCCCGACTCGGTCGACACGACCCACAGGTCCTCCAGCGCCGGGAACAGCGCCAGCAGCGCCCCCCACGGCCGCTCCTCCATGGGCACTGGGGGACCGCGGCGGGGTCGACTGGCGGCGGGAGCTCGTTGAAGGAGGCGCGGAGCACGAGGTGCGTGACGGGCACGCCTCGCGCGCCATACTCGCTCGGGAAGCACCCCGGCCGGAAGAAGTGTCGGACCGCGTACAGCGCGTCGCACAGGACGTCCCTGCGCCCGGCGGCGTCATCGAGCGGGTTCGCGCCGTGAGGGAATGAGAGCGCTGTGGCGCGGAGGGTGAGCGCGGGCCCGCCGTGCCCGGAGGCGAGCAGGATCGTCGCGGCGCGGTCCGCGGGAGGGCGTGCGGGGTTGGGCATGGAGACTTCGACGCGGTGGACGGGGAACGGAATGGGTCCGAGGGGGACGAAGGGAGGTAGCATCTGCGCGAAGATGGAGTCGGGGTGGTGTTGGGGCGTGTGCCCGGCGAGATGGCGCGCAGTGAGGAGGTACTCGGAGCAGTTTGGGAAGGTGACTGTTGTGAGCAGGTTGGCGATGCGCCCGGGACGTCCTCTATGACGAGCCTCTTCACGGAGAGAAACTTTGCAGGCTGAAGGGGAGACGTGTGATCGTCTTTGGCAGTAACCTCGGCGGCAGGGTGTTGATTAACTCGAGATCCTGAGGAGTGCCATCGGTGGATGCAAGGGAGGCTATGTGAGGGTGCTGTTCAAGAAGTCAAGCTTGAATATGCTGGACTGGTGATGCTTCTCTGGTAGCGTTTCTGGGCGCGGGTTCGCAAAGGACGATGAGAAGCATTCAACCTTGTCGACGACGTCCGCCTTGAAGTTGATCCCCACGCCGGCCACCACGAGCTCTTTGAGAGCCGGTAGCTTCTGCTTTGGCAGGCGGATGTCCATGACCTGATATGCACCGATCCCGGAGACGACGTGAATCTCGAGCACCTCCAGTTTCGGAAGCTTGTCCTTGAATAGAGCCAGTACCCGGTCGAGGTGATTGCCTTCACTTTGATGCCGACGAGATTCTTGTCCACGTCGAGCGTCCTATCGATATCAGGGACATCGCGCCACTGTGAGGGATCACGGTCGAACAAAACCTCCGCATCGATCGGCCAACGTAGGGAACTAGCTGAAGACCACAGGGGTTGGATTAGTCTGTGTGTGAGCCACCAGACGCGGGGGGCACAGGCATACCTTCCATGGAGGATGCGAGACACAGGGCTTCGGGGAGGGCGTGCATGAAGGACGGCGACATGAGCCGTCTCGTGAAATCATGTCTGGTGATATATACCGTCATCGTACCCTGGAAGGTCAGTGAGTGGCCGAGAGCGAGACCACAGCTGTTGCTGGCCACTGTCGACCTCGGATCGTGGTAAAGAGCCACTTAGTTGAATGGGCGGACGAACGCTTTGTCCCAACTTTGTCTGGTCACTAGTGCAGTGCCACTGTGTCAATGACCGCCTGCCCAAAGAGAACTCCCCTGCAAAGGAAGTTTTCGGTGTTGATGTTGAAGTGGAAGATGGAGTGTGCATCTCGGAAGGATGTCTCGACCCGAGCCATCGTCGCCAGACTGGGTGCCCAGATGCCGGGAAATTGAGTCAGTGTAAGGTGTCACGACTGAGGACGACGTTCATTCGATGTCGTCGAAAGCACACGGTGCATCTGGTAGTGTCAAGAGTACTGCCCAGGAAGTGGGACCGAATCTAGGAGGGCAGGCGTCGAATACATGGAGGACGGAAGGAGTCGGTGGCCATGGATCTTAAGGGTGAAATTTCGACAGGTGTCTGCATAGAGGGCCAGATCAAGGACCCGACTTTCCGCCCACGCAACTTGGGGCAGAGCTTTATAATCGGTGACGATGATGGCGATCAAGTTCACATCTGAAGTTAGAGAGCAGTCTGGGTTAAAAGGCACTTAGATTGCAAGTGCTCCCGTAGTGCCATCAAACGAGGAAGCTGACGACGTACTAAATCTAGCATTGGCGGTGCGAGCGTTTGGACGAAGGACGAGTCCAGTTCAATGCGCAAGCTCGACAAATGTGACAAACCCTGCCCGTAAACACGAACAAACACTGCGAGCCTCAGACTGCAGACCAGTGGCAGCCTCCCCTCCGTCTACTCCAAGTCTTGATTGATAGATGCCGTCTATCCTCGGTCTTCCATATGATGTTCTCCAACACGTTTTCGACGAGCTTTCTGGTCCCGACACACTCCACTTGATCTCTTCCCAGAAGCACCTCTACAGCGAACTCATAGATGACGACCACACATGGCGACGGTTCTGCCTACCCTATGGCGTCGCGGATAGAAAGTCTTTCCAAGATCGCTCCTTCCGGGACATCTATGGACTATTCCTGCATATATACGGCCCCCTCCTTGGTCTCTGGTGCAGCGATTATCCTTTCAGGGGCAACATATTGCAGTTCCGCCTCCTACCAGATCATCAAGAGCGCGACGGGGAGCCTGTGATGGTCGGGGATGTGTGGAAGTTCACCTTCCAGCCTGGGCAGCCATCACCTCACCTCCCGTACTACGTTGAGTTCGTTCAAATTGGTTTCGCACCTCGCACAACCCAAGCCGATTCCCCTGCCAACGACGTGTCCATTACCTGGCACCTCCGCAACGAGCACGAAAGTCTTAGCTTCCTTGCGCAGGGCGGGCCGTGGAGACGTCGGTTCGACGGCAACGCATTGAACAATCCCTCGCTGCATCTCATCGGTCCCAGCGATTCGACCGTCCAGCTCAGAAACTACTTCGCGCACCCAATAACGAACCCGGAGTTCCCAGAGACCCCCATAACACCCTGGTACGACTCCACCCGACGCACGCCGCACCTCCCCGTCCAGAGCCCCCCGCCCATCCTCCTCACCCCGCCGCGCTGGTACAACCGAAGCCCTGCCGAGCTCCGCTACATCTCCGGTGCGCCGAAGCCGTTCTCGATCGCCTTCTCCCCTGAGAGCGCGTCCGAGTCGTTCGCGGACCTCCACCACCCAAACCACGAGCTGAGCGACCGCTACGCCATGCTACAGCCGCGCTACTTCCCGCTCCGCACCGTCGTCGAGGTCGGGGTCGACCCCGCGTCCGCCGCGTGGAGCGCGAACTCGCTGGGCGGGCTCTGGCTGGGCGACTACGGCCCGCACGGGACCGAGTGCTTGTTCATCGAGTATGACGAGGCGGCGGGAGAAGTGCGCGCGTGGAAGATTACGGGGGATACGAACGTCCCGCGCGGGGTGTGGAGCTGGTGCGCGACCGTCACTCACGACGCACCGTTCACGGACGTTTCGGGCGTCACATTTCGGGGGTTCGAGGCGCAGGGGCGGTTCGCGCAGCATGGTTATGTGTGAGTACACAAGTCAGTTGTGTGAAGTGTTGGGCTGAGGTAAATTGGTCATTCGTCTTAGGGAACCTACGCTCATACCTGCTCACCTCATCGTGAGCGGGGCGGACGACCTAATGGTTAGTTTTGATATGGCTTTCCTCACTCGCTATGCGAGGTACAAGACGAATCGAGGACGGACGGGAGAGAACGCAGTTTCGGTAGACGAAGCGTCGTAGATGCCGATGTAGGAAGGAGAGAGAGATGGCCTGAGTGAGGATATGTAATATTACGAAGCGCACATTTCAGGTACATACAATGTCCCCCTCAGTCGGAGTGATTTCCTGCTTTACATCCATGCGTCATCGGGCGTTGAATCCATGCCGACGTGATTATGCAACCTTGCGCATTCCATGCATAAGCCCAGCCTGTGATTCTTCAAGTTTTATGTCAACTCGAGTTAATCCGTTATGCCCCCGCCTCGCGGGGCTTGCACGGACCACTTCATTCGCCCATCTAGGAACTGTCATCGCGTGCGAAACGAAGACACTGACAGCTGCACCAGCCTAATAAGCCCTCAGCGTCGGTGGGCAATCCCCGGTGTCGTCCCCCTGTGTTCCATGACCTCCACCGTGCGATACCCACCGTCGGCCCACCAGATTGAGATGGCGCAAGTCGGGGTGCCCGCGCCACACTCGACTCTGCTTCCTACCATCACCGACTCCCCGGCTGCACTGCATGCGACTTCCTCGGACACCTCTCCCGCGGCCGACCAACAAGACTCGCCCACGGACGTTCAGAACGATGCTGCCAGCCCCGGTCGGTGGCAGAGGATCCGAGATCACTTGGGACTCTCCAGCACGAATCCGGCCATCACACGGCGAAGGATGTTAACGTTCGTTTACGTCGCCAGTGCGGTTGCGCTCAATATCATCCAAGTACGTCCGCCTTCGCTATATCGCATGACCTACCACGAACGTATTTCCCAGATTATTGTGGTCATCGTCATCCTTGTGGTCGCAAGCCAGCGTCCCGCCCTCAAGTCCAGCGACCCGGCACCATCGCAGCTGCAAGCCTGCTCTTCGTTTGCGTGGGCGTGCGTGGTGTGGCTGGTGAGACTTGTCGTGAGGGTGTACACCATGAGCTGGATCTATGCGTTCGGCATACGCCTGTGAGTCCTTGATTATCCGATCTCGCCCTCAGACACAATGTTGATGTGGAGCCTGGGCCGCGTCGATGCTTCCAGTCGACGGCTCGTGTCTCAGAGCCAGCGAGCACCCACCACCCAAACTGCTCCGTCTGCACCGCAAGCAACTTCGAACAGTCAACCGTCCACCTCTTTAGCCAACCCTGTGCAAGGAGCCACGGCTCAGAGTCTCAACAACATCCCAATGCGTACCTACAAAATCCATCTCTTGTAAGTCTTTCCTATATTCTTCATGCGTTATGGTCTTGAAACCCGTCTTGTTAGCGTGCACAGGATCGTGGATCTTCTGTTCACCGTCGCCTGGCTCGTCACGGTCGTCCTGGTCCTCGACTCCCGCGGCAGGGAATGCTTCCACTCCGCCCCGCTGATTTTCGGCATCACCTGGGGTCTCGCCGGATTGACGTGCTTGAAGCTGATGTTCCGCCCTGTTCTACTGGTACGCCGTCACCCCTCCTTTCGCCATCATGTGAATCTAACTCCCGCCAGTGGTTCCTCTTTGTACGAGGGAGGAAACGGCCCGTCCCCGCTCACCTCACCCAAGCACAAGTCGACCGAATCCCGCTTGTGCTCTACATCCCGCCCCCACCGAGCGAGCCGTCCTCCACTCGCTTCTCCCAACCCGCGTCTCCCGTTCGCCCACCACCCAGGAGCGGACGCCGGTTCGTCGTGTTCCCCTCACGCCAAGCAGACACTGCGCCCATGACAGACGTGGACGTCGGCATCGGCATGCCCCAGGACATCGACGACGGATGGGATGAGAACTGGGTGCAGGGTGTGCACCCCTTCGTCCGGCTCCCGGAGAATCTGGCAACATGCATGATCTGCCTGGACAAGTACGAAGCTCCGCCCCGGGCCGCGTCGGCCTCTCCACGCGGCCCCATGCAACCCCACACAACGGGTGGACGCGAGGAGCAAGTGGAGGTCGAGCCATCCCTGGGTGGAGAAGTGCCCGCTGTCGAGCCTGGTAACCCTGCGCCGGAGCCGCTGCGCTTGCTGTCCTGCGGACACGCGTACCACGTACGTCCACTTAATATGATCCGTGCATGGTGCGAAGAGTACTGAGACCGTGCAGAAATCTTGCGTGGACCCGTGGCTGATCACGAAGTCCGGCCGATGCCCATATTGTCAGAAGGAAGTCGTGATTCCGGCTTCTGTGAGCAGAAGGTGGTGGCGGCGCGTGTGGTCGTGGTCCTGAAGGGCGTTCTCGTCACGTTGCTACTCTTGCTTTGCTTTCTGCTTGTATCTGCGTAATTGTACTATACCTCAGTAGCGATCTGTGTCACGACCGTCTAGTAGGAAAACTACTGACTCGTGCTACGAAGGATACGCTCCACACCTTCGACGCTCTCCCGAGGCTTGCTGCTTCACCGTGAACTTTGTAGCAAGCGTAGTCCCACCAGTAGTAATTGAAACGCAAGTTCCAAAGTTCTCCCATGCGGGATCTGAATTGGCCGAGAGATGGCTACAGAGGTACGATAAAGGAATCAAGAAGCTTCTTGATAGGCTAGCCCGAGCGAGAAACCCGGAAGCATACACGGTCTGTAACCGCCGAGTCCGGACAGACGGTTCGAAGTTGTGCGTGCAACCGCACACTAGGAGGAGCTCTCCGAGGGTGGGCTTGACTTGGGCTTCTGCTTGAGATCCTCCTTCGTCCACGGGGCGGCTTCCCACGAGTCCAACGCTTGACCCACCGTCTGTGCGTCCCAACGTCCCTTTGCGACCTCGCGACCTTCAAGATGGAGGGCAGGGATCCAGTAGACGTACTTGTTCTTCCAACGCTCCTGCCCTGGGTCCTGGATGTTCACCGTCTCGAGCTCGAAGGCGCGCTGCTGCCGGACCTTGGCCAGCGCCGCCTTCGCCACCTGAAATGAGGGCATGGACATGAGTGCCATTGTAGAGAGCATGAAAGGTAAATCGACGATGCGTACATCGCAAAGGGAGCAGTTGGGACCGGAGTACAAAGTGAGGCGCGCAATGCCGAGCCCCCGTGACGCCATTGGATGATTGATGTGAATGAGCTGGAGGAGAGTCCAATGAAACCGTGAAAGTTGCGCCTTAGCCGGCTCGAGGAGAACGCGAGGTGGTAGCTAGCTAGGTAGTGCCAAGAACTTGATAGCCCTCAGAGTCTGAGGATTTCGGCGAGTGCATCGGAATGTTTTTAACTCTATAACAATGCGTAAATGTAATATAAACAAGGCGCTATAGCCAAGTGGTTACGGCGACAGATTAGAAATCTGTTCTCCTTTGGAGGCGCAGGTTCGAATCCTGCTGGCGTCGGCATTGTTTTGCTTTTGCGTCCGTCCCTCTCGAGGTTCGAGTGCGCTGGTGTAGTCTTTGAAGCGAGTATGATGGTTCCGGTTGGATATCTCAAGGAACAGCGTCAGACCCTGGGGTTCAATCTCGTAATCAGTATGTTCCTCCCATAAGGATCTTTCCGCAAGCGTGCGAACCTGATATAGCCTACCACTCGCCACTCCCGGAAGTGTCCCGGCCATTGCCCTATGCCACACAGAAAATATCCGATCCCCTCCGTTAACTCTCTACGGCGAGTGGCGTGTGAGAGAGCCCATGTTTCAGAGCTCACTTACACATTCCGTCTCGCTTCGTTCTCTTGCATCCGAAGTTTTCCGAACACTCCTAGTGGCGTCCCCTTGGCGCCCCGATTCCGCAAGAGTTGGAAGCAATCGAACCCTTCGACAGCACACGAGGGACTGTCGCAGGTTTGCTCTCTATGATGAAGAAGGGCGACACTTCCCTCGGGCTTGTGTATTGCATGGCACAGGCAAGTCGCGTCCCCCTCTTTGCGCCAGGCTTCCACTGACGACTCTGCTCCATGCTGTGGTGTTTTGAATAGCGTTTATTATTTCCATGACGGTATGCGCTGGCCCGGGACGGCCAACGGCGAAGGGGGACACGGAAGACGCAGCTGCAAGCGTGCCAGGCATATGCCGCAGTGAATGTCATGTGAGCTTCATGATGTTCTGGTACTGTTTTTGGAGACAAGGTGAGTACATTGACTCGCCGATTCGTGGTAGATTTGACGAAAATTCAGTATCAACCATCATAATCCAGCTCTCTCCGAAATACAAGTTCTTTGGGCAAATCTTGGTCCACGTCGCGCTTCAAGCACGAGAATGACTCCTCAGCGACGATATGCGCCTCAAGCGCACTCTTACCACCAACTTGACTACAGACGTATCCATATTCGACGCCTTCGTACTGGCGTAGGTTCAATTTCCTAACATCGCTCATTCCTCGACTTTCGCTGATCATTTGTGGTTTTCACGTTGCCTTCGATTACGTTCTTATCAGTATCTGGTTCATCTCGGCGCTCCTCATATTTCACCGAACCTGGACCCGATTGTCCCCTCGGGCTGCGACTACTACCAACGCCATCTTGTACTCCATCCTGGTCGGCCTCGTGGCTGAGATCCTACTGCGGGTATGTTATTCACTATGCCGTCGTCTCTAATGTCTAGCAGTACACAGCAGAAGATGAACCGCAAAGGATTGCAAGTACTCAGTCAAGAACAAATCGATCGACTTCCTCTTGTACCCCCATCCCGAACGGGTTCCGTAGACCCACTGTCCCTGTACGTGCTGCATACCCCGGCCGCCGGTGCCTCCAGTTCAGACTCCAACCCTCAGGTGGACGTCGACGGTTAGTGTTTTTCGGTGCTCACCGGACCCACTTCGACGCCATCGCCGACATCGTCCCGCCAACACCTGTCGACAACTGGAGTACGCCAGGGTCACTCCTGTTCGTCCGCCTGCCCGACTCTCAGGTGATCTGTAGTACAATTTGCCTGGGACTATACGAAGCTTCACCGGGTATCTTCGCCGCCGCTGTAACATCGGCGACGTCCCACGGTCGATGGTTTGTGGACGCGCGATCGATGGGCAGGGTGCTGACCGGGGCCACGAGGTTCGGGGAGACGCCGTCCCGGGACGAGAGCAGCACGAAGAGCATGTCGAGGTCGGGAGTCAGCGTTCTGGCGACTGAGGTAGGGCGCGATTTGCCAATTTGAACGGAGTGTTCCCGCCGCTGCGTTTGATGCCCTGCAGGAATGCGTTCCACGTACGTGATATTGCTGGGTCTAAGTGTCTGCTTTGCGACGCTGATGCATTGTATTTTGCGCTGTCAGCGATTCCACAGGCGTGCATCGACCTCCTGTTTACGTCGCAGTCGAACAGGTGTCCAATCTGCCGCGCGACGGTCCACGTCTCCTAGTGACCCTGTGTCAAGCCACCGTCGACAAAGTCCCCGAGACCGTTCAGGCACTTTTGCCGTGGCATGCCGTAAGTAGCGAAACACATGGTCCCTTTCTTCAATTTCCCATCGATACGAGTGGACATCATCTCACGCGGCACAAGTGTCAAATTCCTTTATACCGATGACGTCCATACCCGACTCCCTCCCTAGCGCGGGCAAGCTACGACCCAGCCCTGTCTGTCGTTATCGTTGTACTCTTTTGCTATCGAAATGAAAGTCGTCTTTCGAAGTCACCGCCCGAGTGCACCGCCAAGCCTCGTGCATTGTCGCTCTGCGGTCGGACAGGCGCCGCACCGGGACTAAATAAGCTCTTCTTCTTCAGAGGGTGCCCAACGCTCTTTGCAGACAGCCACCACCTCCAGCCGAGGTCCAGAATGGCCTCAGTTGTTCAGCACCCGCTGTCGGCTGCTGAGAGGACGTTGCCGGACGCAGTGCATCCCGTCACCGACGTCCTGCGGCCCGGCTCTCGCGCGAGCAGTGCCACCATCCCGCCCTTGGACTCGTCCCCCTTGCCTCTCGCCCCCACAACCTCCCATGCCCCCACCGGCCCCCACAACAATCTACCCACCCACTTACCCTCACCGACTGCGACAAACCCAAGTCTCTGGGAAAGGCTACCAGAGGTTCTTGGATTCACCGGCCGCGACGAATACCCCAGGCACAGGCGTCAAGAGCTCGTGTACACCGTCGTGTCGACCGTGTTCAATGTCGCTCAGGCACGTTCGCCTCTTCATTACGCTCGACAGCTGATGCGAGCCTTGGGTCTTTTCAGGTCGTCGTAATCCTCACCCTCACGATTCTGGCTGCCCAGCCGCGCCCAGCCGGCCATGCAAACACTGCCCTATCGGAGCGGGATGCCTGCTCGGAAATGTACGGCCTGGACATCTTTTGGCTCGCGAGGCTTCTTCCCAGATGCGTCACTTTGTGGGTTATATTCTGGCACAACGGACCACGGTGAGTCCCAGTGATTCTTGCCCCCTCTCCTCCCGCTCACGTGCGGTACGTGCAGGCGAGTCCCACCACTTCCTGACGCGGTGCTGGCTCCTCCCACTTCGACCACCACACCCCCACACCCATTGGCTCCCATGAACGCAACCCGCCCCGCAAGAAGGGGTACCAGCGAGACCACCCAATCTGAAGCGGTCGACTTCCTCCCGGGCGCGTTCGCGTACGACGCATCGCAAATTTGCCCGCTCACGAGCTCGTCCCGAGTATGCCTGTTGTAAGTTCCCCGTCCGAACCACCTTTCGTTGATGTACCGACGCGGTCATCCAGCTGGCACAAGATCGTAGATCCCGTCCTCATCTTCATCTGGCTATTCCTATACGTGTCCTTCGTCGTCCAACATGCTCGCTTCTGTCACCGGCATGCTCTCATGGTCGCCGGCCTCACGGATGCTATATTGACGGTGATTTCTATCACATTACTGCTCAGGGCAGCAATTTGGGTATGCGCACTCACCTTTTGTGTCATGGTCGTTCGTTGATTGATCTCTTGCAGTTCCTACGCCGCACTCGCATTGCGGCAGCACAGCCTGCGCCGCGGCCAGACAGGCTTTCGAAAGCCGAAGTGGACCTAATACCTCTCGTTTTCTATGCACCCCAAGAACCATCCGGCGGCACCAAGGTCACGACGCACTCCCCCTCTCCCCATTCATACCCTCCTGCGAAGCCCTTCGGCGGGCATCGCTTCGCCCTGTTTCGTCCCTGCCATACGAGGATGACCAGCAAGGATTCGGACCTCGAGAGCGGGGAGGCCGCTACTATGGAATATGTACTGCGCAGCTGGAAGCCGGGCGAGATCCCCTTCGTGACCCTCGACACGAACCACGATACCTGTTCCATCTGTCGGGAGGAGTATCAAGCTCCGGCACGCGGTGTCCAGATGGCTTCGAAGCCCAACCAACCTTCGGCGGGCACTGAGAACCAGGGAGCGGTACACGAGGCGACGTCCAGTCAAGATGGCGCAAGCGACGGGGGCTGCTGCGACTGCTGGGATGTCGCCACGCATTCCACGTAAGTCTTTCTTGTTGTCTTTAGCGTCGCACAGGCCAACTGAGTTCACGGTCGTGATGCAGAAAGCATGCATTGATCGGTGGTTGTTGGACGAGTGTGGACGATGTCCCTTGTGCGGTGCTGCCGTTGAAGTCGCACCTCCCCACAAGAAGCGCTGGTAGCAGCGTGATCCATCGTAGTCGCGACCTTCTCGGCTCGTAATCCCCGGTTCGGCTTTGAATATCTTGCATGCCCCCACCCGCTATTCTCACACGCTGTACATCTGCTGTATCCCTGCTCTCGACCCCGCTCCTGCCATACCACGCACATATTCGCCTCGTTAGCTGTTCGTGTCACTCGTCCCCCTTTCTTTGTAGCCTCCATCGTGCCCATACTAGTTGTATAGTTCATCGTTGATTACGCGTTGTTTGCTTTGGGCGAATCACGACCCATGGTTCGTGGAGAGTTGTAATACATTATGGATTACCCCTCTGTCTCGACCGCCATATGGGCGACGAGCCCTGTATAGCCAGAATGATCTATAGCATCAAGCCAATATATACGCCATTAAATCCCAGCAAGGTATACCAAAAGCCCCAGAGATGCAATAACGACATCCAGGAGACGACGGAAGAAAGGAAGGTGTGTGCGCCCGTTGGGTTCAGAGAGGGCGGACGGTCTACAACAGGGACCACGCCATCTAGATGCACGAAACGGACAACGTACCGCGCGCCCGGAACCCCGCGAGCCTCTCCGCGAGCTCGCGCTTCAGCTCGCGCTCCGCCCCGGGCCGTCGCACGCGACGCACACGCGCACCGCGAGCCCGCGGAGCTCGTCCCGGCAGAGGCCCGCGTCGATGCGCGGCCAGTCGAGCGCGGCGAGGTCCGCGGGCGCGCCGACCTCGAGCGCGAGCGAGACCTCCTCGAGCCGCGGGGCGCGCAGCGCGCCGAGCATCGCGGCGACCCACGGGAAGAGGCGGCGCCCGGCGGGGGCGCGCGACGCGCGGGCGTCGAGCCCGCCGAAGTGCAGGGCGCGCAGCGCGGTGTTGTGCGCCAGGCTGAGGTCTTCGTCCGCGAAGGTCAGGACAGGGTCGGGACCGGGACCGTTGGGGGGAGCGGGGGCGGGGTCGGGGGTGTCGCCGGTGGGGAACTCGACGTGGAGGGTCTCGAGGGACGCGCCGGACGCGCGGAGGAGGTCGCCGACGGGCTTGGTGTTGGCGAGCTCGCGCCAGCAGAGCTGGATCGTCTGCAGCCGGGGCTCGTCCGGGCGGCGGAGGAGCCACTCGGTGACGAGCGTGGGGGACGACGCGGGGTCGAGGAAGAGGTAGGAGAGCTGCATGCGGCCGGCGGGCTCCTGGGCGTCGGCGGGGGCGTCGGCGTCCTCGAACGGGGACGGGGAGTCGTGCGCCCAGGAGACGGACTGGAAGTAGAGCTCGCGCAGGGCGGGGAAGGCGGAGAGGAAGAGGATGACGTCGCGCGAGGCGGCGAAGGAGACGTCGAAGAGGAAGAGCTGGCGGATAGAGTCGGCGGCGGCGGTGAGGGCGGCGCGGGTGGCGGGCGCGAGGGCGTGCCAGCGGATGCGGGCGAGGGCGAGGGCGGTGAGATGCGTGAGCAGGGGAAAGAGAGCGGCGGTGGCGTCGACCCAGCCGTCGTCGACCCGGGGGGAACCGTCCGGGGCGATGCCGGCGTGGTCTGCGTTGAGGGAGAGCTTGCGGACGCAGAGGGCGACAGAGGGCGCTGAGGCAAGGAGGGCGCGGAAGCGGGTCAGATCGTCGGCATGGCGGAGGCGGACGCTGCGGAAGAGGTGGAAGCGGCTGCTGGGGAGCCAGTCCTTGCAGGTGAGGCTGCAGGCCCGGAGGGAGTCGATATCATCCCATAGGTGGTCGATGGTCTCGTCGCAGAGCTCGGGAGGGAGTCGGGTGCCTGTGCGGGCGGGTATCATGCTGTGCTCACGGCGGAGAGTCAGAAGAGGAATGCACGGGGAGGGACGCACTCACAGGGCATATGCAAGGGAGGAGAGATGCGGAACAGCTGCAGAGAGCGGGAGAGGTGCCAGCAGAACAAGGATTAAGTAAGGCCGGCAGGCGATCCGATGCTGTCGCCCCGCGCAAAAAAGGGTGGCAGCATGGCCTCCACAGTGCTGTTCTTGCGCTCAATGTTGCAACTGCCCAAAACGAACCTTCCGGTTGGCCATCTCGTTGCGGTGGCATGCACCGAAAAGGAGGGTTTCATGCAGTATGCGTTACCCGTATATATCAGGGGGAGATTAAGGCACATCCCCCGATAGCTCAGTTGGAAGAGCGTGAGACTGTAATGGTTACCTTTCATCTCAAGGTCACTAGTTCGATCCTGGTTCGGGGGATTGTATCGAATGGTTCTCCTTTTGCACTGTGGGTCAGCCCAACTCCAAGTGATAATTCAAAGTTGGTTTGTCCACAATGCTGCTTTCTACCTTCGCCATCGATCACTCAAGAATTTGTCTTCATGAAGAGGAAACTATTATAAACGAGTGTATGGGCACAGAACGGGGCGACAAGGTAGACAACAGGAAACACTGTATGGACAACACCACGGGCCAAGGCATCCAACCGACACATCCCGGACGAGCACGCCAAGACGTGCCCCGGCAACTTGTGGTTCAATCATCGACAACGAGCGTGTGCGGCCGCAGCACGTGCGGCGCGGTCGGACGGGGCGGAGGAAGAAATCCAACGGAGAGAACCGAAAGGGTATCACGGCGCGGGTCGCGCGGCGACGTGCAGAGGGGTAAGCGCGTCGCGCGCGGGGTTCGGGTCCAGGGCGCGGACGCGCGTTCACTGCGCCGCGTTCGACGGGCGCGCGTTCGTCTGCTCCTTGAGCGCGAGGAGCTGTTTTGACCGGAAGGCCTCGTAGTGGATCTGCGCCGTCGTCTCGATGAGGTCTTGGAGATGTGTCCTGGAGAGGAAGGAGATGAGACGCAGACAGATAACCAAGTGGAGAGGCATTACCTGGTGAGGAAGTTGCGGAGGTAGACAAACTCGCAATGCTTCTCATCCTCGACGTTGACAACGCCCCAGCGGTTCTTGCGGCCACGGACGGGCTTGCCATCGACGATGACTGTGCGCTCAGAGCCAACAACCGCGAAAGGGATCATGTTCTGAGCGGAGATTGAGGAGGTGCAACGGCAGATGGCAGTGTGGAACTTACACGAATGCTCTCGTTGAGCTGAACTTCCTCCTCGTCGTTCTCCTCAGTGTCGAAGGGGTAGAGGCGGATGTTATGGTACAGCAGCTCCTCACGAATCTACAGAGCAGACATTATTAGCCCGGACTATTTCCGTCAAGTGCTCCCAGGCAGAGACGGACTTTCTGCTTGAACGCATCCCGCTCCTCGAGAGTCAAGCTGTCGGACTTGGCGATGACAGGGACGACGTTGACGACCTCACTGAGCTTCTTCATGACAATAACATCAATGGGGCGGAGCGAGTGGCCAGTGGGGTTAATGAAGAACAGGCAGCAGTGGATACGCGTGTCCTGGATGTGGCGGTCGCGTTGAGCGGTGAGCTCCTTGCGGAGGTACGCGCTGTGCTGATCCTTGATGTACTTCACAATCGGGTCCCAACTGGTAGGAAGCACATGAACGGGTCAGTCGCATACAAGGCAGACGCGAGGTGGACAGGAAGCCAGGAAGACGCGACCGAAAACGCAAACACGTACCAGTTTTCGTTGTTGATCTGGTCACCATACCCAGGAGTGTCAACAATGTTGAGGCGAAGCTTCACACCGTTCTCGACAATGACTACAACCCGGCGTTAGAAGACATGCGGGGGCCGGAGCCCTATAACGCGTACCGTGCGAGACGGGGTGAATCTCCGTCGTCTGGCGGACAGGCTCATCAGCCTCAAGACGGCCCTTGGAGTCAATGAGGTGGGACGCAAAGATGGTGTTGATGAGTGTCGACTTTCCAAGACCGGTCTGGCCTGCCGGACGCGTCATCCAGGTGAGCGGACGTGTACTCGCAGACATGAAACGCGGCCGGCGACGCACCACAGACGATGACATTGAACTGGAAACCGCGCTTGAGGAGCTTGTGCTCAATCTGCTGCGTGATGGTGTCGAAACCGACGTAGGAGTTGGCACGGATCTCGTCAGCGGACATGGTGGCGGCACGGGAGGAGGGAGTGCGGGGCGGAGCGGGGCGTGGGCAACGACGAGGAGATGGGGGCGGACGACAACAGCGCTGTCAACGCGGAGGCGCCCAATTTTCCACCCCAGGCCTATCCCGACGTCTACACTGGAAGCCTTTCGGAGTCTGAAATTGGAATAGAATCAGACCTCTTCCATGGTTATCCGTTATAGAGCCTTCCGATAAGGGCTGTTGAATCCGTTCTTGCCGCTCGATCGGCGTGCGTTGCGCATCGTAACATCTTACCGTGAGCCGTCCGCAATCGCACCCCCACCTCCCGCCATGGACGCGTCAAACGCGTGTTCCTTATCACCATCACCCTCCACATACCCCACGGATACCCTTGGCCGAGTCCCGCGGAGTTAGGCACATATAAAGAGGTAAGTGCACGCTCGTATACCCTCTCTGCCTGCTCGCGTGGCCTTACTCGAGTACAGTACATACGAAGTGCGAATGCCAGGATGTCACCCATACTACCTCAGGAACTCATAGATGTGGCCATCAACCATCTCTGGAACGACATTCGAGCTCTCGCCGCTTGTGCTCTCACATGTCACGCATGTCTCCACTCGGCACGGACCCACCTCTTCCGCGATCAACGCCTCACTGGCTCAAAAGACTACGAACGTTTCGCGTCCCTGCTGGAACGCTTCCCGGAGGTCACGCGTTATGTCCACAAGCTCTCAGTCACCGAGCCAACAAGCAACTCGTATGCCCAACCATGGGTGAACCATATCTCGGGCCTCATCGTGCAGCTCACTCGGCTCGCGTCTCTCGAGCTCATCGGCCTCCGCTACGTTTCGCTGGCACACTGCGCACCAGAGACGCTCGCCGCGTTCGGGCAGCTCAGCGAGCTCGTCTTCGCCGACGTGCACTTCGACCACTTCGCCGACGTCCACAAGCTCCTCGCAGCCGCGCGCAACGTCGACAGTCTCTGCTTCTACCGCGTCGGCTGGGCCCACGCGACAGGCACCCCGCCGTTCGAAGAAGCGCCTGCTCCCCCACCCACTCCTCTCCGCCTCCGCAGGCTTGTCATCGACTCATGGGCGGCGTCGCTCATGTTGCGCGAATGGGTGCTACCATGCGCCGAGCAGGGCGACTTCGCGATCAAGTCGCTCATGGTGCGGTGGAGGGAGCGGGACGCGATGGACGTACTCGACTCGCTGCTTCGGGTTTGCGGGTCGGCTTTGGAGCACCTGTACCTTGAGCTGCCGTCAATGACCGAAGGTGAGCATCCTCTCCCGACTGCTCAACTCTTCCTCAACACGTGGCTAGTCGGTCTTGGTCATACATGAATAAATGAGAAGTTCATGGTGCTTGAACTCATAGCACATGGCACATATACGCTCATCATGCAATGGATGCTCCACCTGAGAACCATCTCTTAGTGCATGAATGCTCGTATTGCATAGGCCGTGGCAAGGCCGACGCCACGCACTAGCTACGAGCTTTTCATCTGTATCACGTCAAGTCGAGAGCTGACTAAATTGTGTCCGCAGAGTTTTCGAACGTGCCCACGCTCGGGCTCAACACCGGACTTCGCACATTGGAGATCGACGGATTGGTGCTGCCGGGCTGGGCGGGCTGGGCATCGTCGCTGCTCGCAGGGTTGCGGACTGTGCAGCTGGAGAAGCTAGTGGTCTCCATGCTCGTACTTCGCAACGACGTGCTCCCGAGCTTCGAATGGGGTCAGCTGGACGATGTGCTCGCCCTCCCGCAATTCGCTACCGTTGCGCTCGCCGTCACCGTCAACCGCGCGCTTCACCCAAACAACGATCCAGCTGCAATGCGCGACGCTGTGATGGCGCATCTCCCCCGCGTGCACCACCGCGGCCGGCTCTCCATCAGCTGCTCCTAATCTATTTACATGTGTCTGGACGCTTGTTTATAGATCTTGATTGTCATGCTGTTGTATATTCCTGATCCAAGCATCTAATCCGTAGATATAATGTAGGGCTCGCTTATAGAGTAGCTGTAGCAACCTCACGCGTTTTGTCACACTCTTGGACGCCTGCGGAGGTGGTCGAGAGCTTGGCCTATGTCTGACCTTGTCTCTGATGCGATGCAAAGATGTTTGGAGGTGACGTACGTATATAGACGCCCGAAAGTCGCATGGAAACAAGGGCCGCCTTCAGCGCGCGACGCGCCTCGCCTTCGCTCCTGCCCTCAGCCTCAGTACTTATGCCCTAAGCCCTTGCCCCGTCGCCCTTCTTCTCACCCTTCTCTTCCCTGCACCCCGACATGTTCTGTCCCGACGAAGGCTACACCGACGAGGACATCCTCAGTTCCGAAGGTGACGTTAGAGCCCCCGGGTTACGCTCGGTGCGTGAGCGCGAAGGTGTGTGTGTTCTGTTGTTCTGTGCGTGTGGCGGCGAATGTCTGGCTGACTATATGCATCGCATACGGGATTGCTGCTGCAGAAATGGCGTATAAGATTCTCGCCTCTCTGCCCCGGTCAAGTCTGGCGGTGCTTCAATCGCGGATTGCCCCTCTCCTTAAGCTAGACATTGTCGGGGTACGTCTCTGCATATGCACTCCCTTTTGCGCGCATCTGCCCTCCGTTATCCTTCCTGTCTCCTTGCCCTCACTATACCTGGAGGCTGACACGAGGTTCTCCGGCAGCTCCTGCCCACAGAGATAGCCCTCTGTGTCTTCGCCTACCTTCCCTACCAGTCGCTCCTGACGTGCGCACTCGTCTGTCGACGCTGGCACGCTCTTGCGGGCGACCAGTCGTTGTGGAAAAGCCTCTGTCTGGAACGGCAATGGGAGTGGCGCTCAGCTCCGGATGCTTTCAAGCTTGAGCGCGACCGATGTTCCGAATCGCGCGGAGTGGAATTCGAATCAGACTCAGATGACGAGGGCATGGGTGATGAAGAAGACGACGACGAGATCGTACCGGCAGACGACTCTGGCATCGTGTCTATGGACATCGACCCACCCCCATCCCCACTCGCGGCGGCATCTACCACCAACCCTACCCGCCTCTCCGTGCCTACACACATTCTCACCTCCACCCCCGGTGCCGGGCCGTCTTCACCAGTACGTCCTGTACGTCCGCGCACACGCCATTCTGCCCCTACGGTAATGCAATCACTCGCGAACGGAAGGCACGCGCACCTCAAAGCCGACTACAAACTCCTTCACCAGACCCACATTCGCCTCAGAAAACGCTTTACTATGGGCTCCTACACCCTTTCGAACCTGCAAACACGCGGAGCGCCGAACTCGCATTCGAACACGATCTACTGCCTCCAGCTGTACACGTACCCTGAGACCGGGAACCAAGTACTCTTTACGGGCTCCAAGGACCGTACTATCCGCGAATGGGACCTGGCCACGGGTGCAGTCGTGCGAGTTCTCGAGGGCGTCCACGAGAGCAGTGTATTGAGCATCTGTGTGCACCGCGGCCTCCTCGCGAGCGCAAGCAGCGATCGGAGCGTCGTTGTATGGGACCTGATGAAGAACGCGCCGACCAGGATCATCCGGGACCACGTGGACAGCGTCCTGTGCGTCCGTTTCGACGACAAGCGACTCGTGTCTTGTTCCAAGGGTGCGTACCATTCCTCTCTCGTCGTAGTCTGAAAGCTTACGTTCGTACTCATAGACCGAACTGTTCGGACATACCTCTTCCCCGACCTCCGTCCGCAACACGTCTTGAACGCGCACCGGGCTGCGGTTAATGCCGTGTCGATTTCCCACAATCATATAATCTCAGTCTCGGGGGACCGATCCCTACGGCTATGGGATGCTGACACCGGTGCACTTCTCCGCACATTTGAGAACCACCATCGTCGGGGGTACGTGCTAAGCTTTGTGCGTCCTCCGCACCTATCTAACTCCGATGCGATGTGCTTGTCATCTCAGTATCGCCTCCATCGACTTCAAGTATCCATTCGTGCTGTCCGGCTCCTCCGATAAACACATTCGCCTCCTCGATGTCTCTACCCTGCAGGGCTGGTCGACGTCTCCATCTGGCGAGAAACCTCCGTCGGTGACACCCGCCGCTACGTGTGACGCGTGCGGCGCGAGCTCGTCAACAATCGACGGCACGCCACAGACGCCTCTTCGAAGGCGTGCGCACGAGGACCTTGTTCGGAGCGTGGCGCTCAGCGACGACCTCGTCGTGAGTGGCAGTTACGATTTCACGGTTAAGGTTCGTGCTAGTTCCCTTCTCCCCTCCACACGTCGCTCGTCCCTTTGTTCTGGTCCCTACCACCACACCAGAAGCGTCGTTGACCATGTGCGTTCTCTCCATAGGTCTGGGACCGTAAGACGGGTGCGCTCATTGCCGACCTCGCTGGTGGACATACCGGAAGAATTTTCTGCGTAGGCTTTGATAGCGCCAAGGTATGTGTAGCGCTTTGTGTACAGCGCTCTCAGCCTCTGGATCGTGGGTAGTATGCTGACGTTTGGTGGCACGTGTCTTTTTTGGTTGCAGATTGTTTCTTGTGGTGAGGACCAGGTGGGTTCAGAATACACACTGCACGGACGCCACTGACCTCTTTCCCTCGGCTCTCTCCACCAGCGGATATGTATTTGGGACTTCTCCCACGGGATCGACACCACATTCATCAAGCTCTAGTCTCGGGCTGTGTATATCTCTATTCATTTAGCTCTCTATTCATGACATTACTCTTGACATACCGTTCCTCGCGCGACTGCCCGCTACTTGGCTCCCGCCCGAGACCATCTGATGCTCCGGTGTCAGACCGGGCTGGGAAGCATCGCGGCAGGTCGCGGCACGCGGTGCATATCCGCCCGTCCCGGGATGTTGCCCCGCCTTCTGCCTTCTGTTCCGTGGCCGAGGTCGACCGTGTGTGTATATTTGTGCGTGCCTAATCCCCTCCCGCGTTCATTAATAGAGCCGTGCCAGATCTCCACGCGCCGAACAAGACGTGGGGCCATCGGTCGGTGGCTGCCCACTATACCTATACAACATCGCGCGCGCGCGCAGATCGGATCTCCGCGGGGACCTCTAGCAGGAGCAGGCTTGCTCAAAGGTTCCGAGCGGCGCTTGCCTCCTTTGCTCGCTACACGGTCCCGCGAAAACGGGCATTGAAGGCAAGGGCAGTGGTTCATGGGAAGTGCGTGCTCCACGGGGAACGTCTCATACGGCTCGGCCGCCTCCAAGCTCGACTAGCGGGGGGTCTGAACGGACTTAACTACGTGCAGCGCCGCACTAAGGGGTTTCCGCTCCCCCGAGACCCTTGCTCGTCCACCCGTCCAGACGAGATCAGATACTGGGAGACAATCGCACGCCCCAGCCCTCAGAAAACGCGCTCGGCGCAGCCGACCCTTGTGTCCTAATTGCGCCATCAGATGTGAGCCGCCTCGCCGTCCATGCGTCCGTCCGTCTGACTTTCCGCGTCGCAGAGCCGATATGGGGCAGCATATAAGCGTCCGTCGATGCTTGTTTTCTTGCAGACTCGCCACAGATCTAGAGGCCCCCCAGGCAATCGTCTCCTTCATCCACGCGGAGCACAATCTCGCCTCAAGCTCAAGGCTATCACCCGGGCGTAGTACCCAAGCATCACTTCACCACGCTCCGTCCCCACAGCGACTACACCATGCCCGTGGCCATGGTCCTCCCAGCTCCTCTTGCTGCCGCCGGCAAGCCCGCCCAGTTCGCCCTCCCCGACCTCGTGGGCCACTGCACCTTCCCGCTCACCTACCACCCCGCCGGGGACGCGACCGCCGCCGCGTCCGTCGCGTGGCTCGCGTCCTCCTCGCCCGAGATTGCGGGCTCCCCGCGCGCCCTCCGCGCCCTCCACGGACTCCGCGCCGGCGAGCTCACTGCGATGTGCTACCCAACGTGCGCGCCTGAGCGGCTCCGAGTCGTCAGCGACTTCATGTACTTCCTCTTCCGGCTCGACGACATCTCGGACGGGATGGTCCGCGCGGGCACGCAGGCGCTCGCGGACGCCGTCATGAACGCGCTCTGGTTCCCGGACCGGTTCTTGCCGACCGAGAGGGAGTGCGCGAGGGAGCGGGAGCGCGGGAGGGGGCGCGGGGAGAGCTGGCTCGCGGCGGGGCGGGGGGCGCCGCCAGAGATGAACGCGGCGAAGATCGCGAGGGAGTGAGTGTTCCGCTCGCTCTAAGGGAACGACCCGCCACTGACAGCCTGGGTTTTTGCGATTCGGCGTAGGTTCTGGGTGCGCTGCACGCGAGACGCAAAGCCGGGTCCGCAGGCGCGCTTCAAGGAGCACCTCGAGCTCTTCTTCGAAGCCGTCCACCAGCAGGCGCGAGACAGGGATGCAGGTTCGATCCCCGACCTCGAATCGTACATAAATGTGAGAACGCTCGTCTTGGCTTCTTTCCGTCCTCGACGGCGTGGCCGGGCTCGCGCTCAGGGCTCAGAGCCTGCCTTCCACTTCGCCCCGTCATCCCATCGGGCCAAGTATCGGGGCATCGGGGCATCGGGCCCTACGCTTCGCGCGCGCCAGGGCGGGTGCGAGTCCGGTCCCTGACCGCCTATGGCACCGCTGCATTGCGCTAACCACTCTTCCATGCCCGCAGGTCAGACGCGACACTAGCGGCTGTAGGCCGGTGTTCGACCTCATCGAGTACGCGGCGGACATCGACCTGCCCGAGTGTGTGGTCGCGCATCCGACCATCAGGGCCCTGAGCGACGGCGCGAACGATCTCGTCACGGTGCGTCTCTTTCTTGCCAGGGTCCTGTGGAGGCGCGCGCTGACCAGGCATCCGTGCGCAGTGGAGCAACGTCAGTAACTAGCGGTTGGAACGCTCGTGCCAGATGCTCACTAGTGCGCGCAGGACATCTTTTCCTACAACAAGGAACAGGCTCGCGGCGACACGCACAATGTACGTGGACAGCGTGGGTTTAGGCCCGCTACCACCCCGGATCGTGCCTAACGAGTGGTGCCTGCAGATGATTGTGATCCTCATGAAGCTCCGCGGGTGCGACCTCCAGACCGCGGTGGACTCCGTCGGGGACCTCTGCCGGCAGACCATCGACGCATTCGTGGCGAACCAGCGCGCGCTGCCGTCCTTCGGCCCCAAGATCGACCGCGATGTCGCGCTCTACGTCCGCGGGCTGCAGGACTGGATCGTGGGCTCGCTCCACTGGTCGTTCGAGTCCGAGCGGTACTTCGGCAAGTCGGGGGCGAAGGTGAAAAAGCTGGGGATCGTGAAGCTGCTCCCGCGCCGCGACTCGCGGCCCGCGATCCGTCTCGTTCCGTTTCTTCCTCTTTCGCACGGGCGGCATCCTCGGCTGATATGTGCTGCTTCTCGTTCGTCGTGTCGTGCTGTTTGCTAGCGCGGTGGAAGCGTCACTCCCTTTTCTCTGGCTGGACTATTTATTTGTCGTTTCGATCGAGATACCGATTCCATTAGTACAGTCTACTTCACACTTTCTAGTTAGAATCGCAATATACACAAGGGTCGCAAAGATAGGACTGGAGAGAAATAGATCAGAGTTCATGCAGGGACAAAGCCAGATTATAGCAGCAGATGACAGCAGAGCGAGATGCATAACACAGCGAGCGTATCAATCCGCGAATTGGACAAGTTTGCGTTTTTTCTGTGACGGCTGTTGGACTTCCGCTTCAATGTTAATTTCAGTGACGTCTGGTGCCTTTGGCCGTAACGCATCGAGGTCGAGAAGCGGGATGTTGAGCTGCAGTCGTGTGGAAGTGGGTATTGGTAAAAACGTTGGATGCTGCCAAAGGCGATGTCAGAGAGTAATCGACGCTGACCACCAAGAATTTCTCACAGCAATGAAGTCACGGATAGTTCGATCGTCCGTAATATCTTTGGCAAATTCTTGCTGGTTCTCCTTGAGCATTCTGCTCCTCGATACTATGACCTCCTCGGAGGTGCCTCGAATAGCGAGGGTTTTCACTGCAACAGGTTGAGCGTCCATGCGTTTGTGGGTGGCATGGAGCACGCACCGACAACTTCCCGCGTCTGTCCAATACGGTGCACACGCTGGTTTGGAGGGTCAGCCTGAAGTACAGTGGAAACGATACGAATGTACCTTGATGGCTTGTGATTCAACATCGGCTTTCCAGACGGGTTCACAGAAAATCACGCGAGACGCAGACACAATATTCCTAATAAACATGCAGGTAAGCACCAAAAACAGCGATTTAGAAGGCAGAGAACTCACAAGCCACGGGCGCCGTGCTTCAGCTCCATCAAGATGACACGATACTTTCCCGACGTCTCGAACGTGGTGGGGACGCTTTGCTTGAACTCGCCCGTGAACTGGAGGTACTCGATCCTGGCAACATCGAGGCCTTCCGCGACGAACGCCAACGTTGCGGGAGACGGCGAGAATATCAAGAACTTCTCTTCCGAGCTGTGCATGAGAACCTGAGGGGCACGCGAAATCAGCAACGTCAAAGGTCTGAAACGAGTGCCCTCACCTCGTTCAAAATGAAATCCAGCTTCGTCGACGTCGAGTTCCCGATCCGTACGTCCTTCACCTGGCTCTTCTCCAAAAACGCCAACTGGACCGTCCGCGGGCCCTCCGCCTTCGGCGCGCCCACGTTCTGGCCCGCGGCTTCCGCCTTGCGCCGCGCGACGCACGCCTGGTGCTCCCCCAGCATCTCCGTGTACTTCTGCTCCGCGTCCTTGGGTTTCACGGCCGGCACTGCCGGCCCCGCCGCCGCCGCCACGCCCGACAGCATACGGACCGCGGCCGTCGCCGTCTTGTCGCCGCCCTTGCCCCGCGTGGACGACTTCCACAGCGTGCGCCGGACCGCGTCGATCTCGCGCAAGACGATCTCCTCCCGCACGTACCCAGCGCCCATCTGAGCGACGTCCCGCAGCGGGTGCGCGATCACGCCCTTGCGTAGCTCGGCGAGCGCGGGCCCAGCGACTAGCGCCTCGGGGGAGGAAGTCGAGAGGCAGGCGGCACGGGCAGCGGGGGCAAGCATATTCCAGGCATGGAAGATCGGTGGGGGCATGCCGGTCGTGCGGTGGAAGGCGTGGTAGTGCGCCTGGAGGGCGGTCCAGATGGGATCTTGAAGGGCGGTTTGGCTGGAAAGGAAGAAACGCTTGAGCAAGGAGGGTGAGAGTCGGCAAGGAGCGGGATGTACATGTAGAAAAGGGCCTGCTTGGCGAGCTCGATGTCTTCTGGGCCCGCTTCACGCTCGTATGCGGTCTTCACGCAGCCCTTAGCGTTGCGCAAGATTTCGTCGGCCAGAGCCATGTCGGCGTTGTGCAAAAACATGACGCTTTGTGTCCCTGAGTCGACACGAGGTCCACTTCAAGAAATAGAAAACTTACTGAGAGATGTTGTCGACAGTGTTACGGAGGGGCCCGACGTTCTGCGAACATATGAGACACTCAATTTAGGCTTAGTATAATCCTGCTCACTCGAGGATGGAACAAGTAATCCTGATGATTGTTATTATCGGCTCCAAAACGGCTATAAAAGCGAGATTACACACCTGATCTGTCCTCTGGGAATCTATGGCGTTGATCGCGATCACAGCTTGCATGTAGTTGTACGTCTTCACTGCATAGGGATCTAGGTCTAGAAGCACTACATCGCTGTGCAGCGCTGGAAGGCGGACTTCTTGTTCAACGTCTTTGATCCTACAGCGTCTCACAGTCAGTATGTCGCGCATATAGTTACCTAGAAAAATGTTTACCGATGTCGGACCATGGCGGTCTCCATCACTCGTGTCAAAATAGCGACGTCTACAGGCAACGGCCCTTTAGTGTCGAATATCGGCTCCGCGACCAAGCTCGTAAAAGCGTGAGGATCGTGCGCGAAGGGTGGCATCCCCAAGAAGTCAGTAAACATTGTCCCAAGGTCCCGGAAGCTCTCGCGCTCGCTCTTGTGCCACACGCGTTGCGAGAGCACGCGACCACTTGGGGTGCTCAGATCTTTGCTGTCTGAGATCACCCCGTCGCCTTGGTCTTGGATGTCGGCGGGGTAAATGAGCTGTGCATCGATATCTTCTTCGAGCACCTCGCTCCCGGAGCCGAAGTTCAACCCAAGCAAGTCGGCTGTAATGGGGGCAGTCAGCGGTATGCACCATGAGCGAGCTGGTGTGATGATCACATGTCGGGGTGCCGGTTACGATCCACCGTCGCTCGACGCTGAGCGCGTTCGTGAAGACCGCGTAGCCGGTGCGCTTCTCCGTCGCGTTGTGTCCTTCGTCGACCACAAGGCGCTTCCACCGCACTTGGCGGAGCGGCGAGACGTCCGGGCGCCGGCTACATATGCAGAAGGGCACCCGGGTGCCTGAGATAACTTTGCATTTGCACGGCTTGTATGGGCCCTTGTCGAGGTTCCCCTTCTTTTGAGCCTCGCGCGCGACGCCTGTGGGCCGAAGGGTCAGATAAGGCGACTAGACACATTGGGTTCAACAAACGCGTATGGCTCATAAGGATCAGCTAAAGGCGATGGAAGTCGGCACAACACACAACATCGACAACGCAATCGAAAGCTCACGTCATAGTCCGATGCCAACCACGGCGCGTCCGGCAGCTTGTCGTCCCCTTTGACGTACAGATACCGCAGCGCGTCCGACCGACAGTGCTTCAGTATCTCGCTCTGCCACTGCATCTGCAAGTTGTCCGGCACGAACACGAGCGTCGCCCCGCTCAGGTACACCCTCCGCGGCGCCGCGCGCTTGGCGGCCCCCGCGCGCCCCCCGCCGCGTCTGGCACGGGCGTGCGCGCGTGCAGGTAGAAAGGCGTGTTTGCGCGCAGGGGCGCGAGCAGCCCGCGCTGGTCGAGCTCGTCGCGGTGCATCCGCAGCACGTTTGAGCGCGGCGCGATCCTGCACGCGTGCAGCGTAAGCTCCACGAGCGAGGGCACGCCCTTCGGCGCTGGGTGGGCGGGGAGCTTGGCGCGCTCTGCGGCAGCGCGGGCGTCTGGAAAGTGCCGCAGCGCGAGTGGCGTCGTGGGGGTGCGTTGCTCGAGGGAGTCGATGGGCTCTTCGGGCGCAGGAAGCGCGTCGAGGGTGGCGAGGATTAGTGACAGGATCATGAGGGTTTTGCCCGTTCCTAGGGGGGCGAGGGTCGGGACGTATGTTGAAGAACGGGCGGAAGGGTGACGAGGCACTCACCGAGCTCTTCGCACAGAATCCCGCCTTTCACGATCGGGACGTGACGCTTGTCGGAAACGACCTCTATCGTCGCGGGCTGGAGGTACAGCTCGCTTGTGGAATTCACGCCCTCGACACCGCGCAGAGGCAGATAGAGCGGATGGTCCATCATCCCCGTGGCTGTCTCGCGTTCGATCATCGTCGAGACTGTCTCTGTCTGATATATGTGCAGGCGGGTCCCTGCCTGCAACCCTGGGACATTGTTGACCATGCACGAGGGCCTCGGGGACGGCAAATCGTTGTACAACTCGAGCAACGTCCGATTATCCTGAGAGAGAACAGCGTCAGATTCGAAAACCTCTTAAGCGTCCGCTGCGACGTACCACCGATTTCGGCCAGAACAAGCGCGGAGCGGAGCCCGACGCATGGTTGCCGTCCCAGAGCGTGCGGTCTTGTCTGATTTGCGTAAAGAGCTTCCGCAGCCCCTTCTGCGCCGCCTTGAGGATGACGCGTTCTTTGCCCCTGCGCCAGTACAGGCTCAGCTTGCCACCAGAGCCCGCGAGGTCCCATGGCACGATGTAGACGCGGATGATGAGCACCGCCGGCGCGGTGGCGTCGATTTCTGAGGCCGTCTTGATGAGATACGTCGCGACGAGGTACTTGTGCTTGACGAGGAAGCGGAGAGTCTCGAGGAGAGCGTCGTCGGGGACGTGGGCGCGGAAGGGTGAGGATGATGGTGTCCCAGGAAGGGGTGCCCAGCCGTCCGTCGCGATGTCCTCGGACAATGACGGCCCATCTTCGAGAATAAACACAGGGATGGAAACGGTGCCTGCAGGGAGGAAGCTAGGCAGGGTGGCAAATAAGTTATTTGCAACAACCATGGCGAGGCAGGATGTTGTGGCAGAAAACTGCACTCCCCAAGCTTTGTTTTTGAAACTATATTTTACGTAGTCTTGCTTTGATATTCAAAATAGCTTTGAGCCTGATTTGGGTGCTGACTTCGTGAGGGTGGAGGAACAAGAGAGATGAAGATGTGGCTGTGCTTTATCCTGGTCTTTGAACGTGTCTCACCAAGCGCCCACTCACGCCTCGAACTCGCCGCAGCACATGTGTCAAGCTTTTAAGACATGTAAGTAGGCATAGAGTGCATACGAAACCATATCTCATTTGCTCTACTCCCAGACGTACGACACCAGACATCACAGTCGTCTGACAGAAGTGTTACTCCAACGAAAGATGAAAGCAGGACAGTCAGTACGACAGTCACAGCAGTGCCGTGAGACGAGATAAGCGGAGGGCAACAGAATCGGATGCGGCAATTAGCTGTATGCATTTCATTTTATCGGTAGTGCAAGGGTCTACAGTAAGAAGGGTCCAGCCTTGCACCGCCGCGACGCACGCGTCCTCGTCCACGTCGAGCCGGTGCGACTAGCAGCTACCCGCTCATGAAGACTCGCCCATCTCCTTCGCGAGCTGCTCCGCCTTCGTCTTCACGTCCTCGATCGTGCCGACCATGTAGAACGCCGACTCGGGGAGCGAGTCGTGCTGGCCAGAGAGAATCTCCTTGAAGGAGCGGACGGTGTCCTTGAGCGACACGAGACGACCCTCGAAACCAGTGAAGACCTGCGCGACCGCGAAGGGCTGCGACATGAAACGCTGGATCTTACGGGCACGCTCGACCTACGGAGGCACAGATTGTCAGGACACCATTTACATCCGTTATCAACGGAAGGAGGTACTTACGGTCAGCTTGTCCTCCTCAGACAACTCGTCCATACCCAGGATAGCAATGATATCCTGGAGCGACTTGTAGTCCTGAAGGATCTTCTGGACGGCGGTCGCGACCTCGTAGTGCTCCTGGCCGACAATACGGGGGTCGAGCATACGCGACTTGGAGTCGAGGGGGTCGACGGCGGGGTAGATGCCGAGCTCGGCAATTGAACGGGACAGTACAGTTGTGGCGTCCAAGTGAGCGAAGGTGGTGGCTGGAGCGGGATCCGTCAAATCATCGGCGGGCACGTAGACGGCCTGCACAGACGTGATGGAGCCCTTCTTGGTGGTGGTAATACGCTCCTGCCTATAGGTCAAACAAGCGCGTTAGAAACGTGTGCCAGGACGCAAATCATAAACGCGACGTACATGCCACCCATGTCCGTCGAGAGCGTGGGCTGGTACCCGACGGCCGAGGGGATACGACCGAGAAGGGCAGACACCTCCGAACCCGCCTGGGTGAAACGGAAGATGTTGTCGATGAAGAGCAGCACGTCCTGGCCCTCCTCATCACGGAAGTACTCCGCAATGGTAAGACCAGTAAGCGCAACACGGGCACGCGCACCAGGGGGCTCGTTCATCTGACCGAAGACGAGAGCGACCTTGGAGTCGCCCTGGAGGTTGATGACACCAGTTTCAATCATCTCGTGGTAGAGATCGTTCCCTTCACGGGTACGCTCACCGACACCTTGTGGAGGCTTTGTCAGAGCGGATATAGAGCGCATACAAGCGACAAAGCTCACCGCAGAAGATAGAGAAACCACCATGAGCCTTGGCGACGTTGTTGATGAGCTCCTGAATGAGCACAGTCTTGCCGACACCGGCACCACCGAAAAGACCAATCTTGCCACCACGGGCGTAGGGGGCGAGGAGGTCGACGACTTTGATACCAGTCTCCAGGACCTCAGCAGTGGTCGACTGCTCGACGAACGCCGGGGGGTCGGCGTGAATCGGGAGAAGCTTGACGCCCTCAATGGGACCACGCTCGTCAATGGGCTCGCCAATGACGTTCATGATACGACCCAGGGTCGCAGTGCCGACGGGGATACGAATGGGGGCACCGGTGTCGACAACCTTCTGGCCACGGACGAGACCCTCGGTACCATCCATGGCAATGGTACGGACCGAGTTCTCGCCTAGGTGGGCAGCAACCTCAAGGACGAGGCGACCACCGTGGAAGTCGACGACCTCAAGGGCGTTGAGAATCGGGGGGAGGGTGTCGGACTCGAATTGGACGTCGACGACGGCACCGATGACAGTCTTCACGTGGCCAGTCGCAACAGACGCCTCGGTCGCGTACGTGCGAGCTGTGGGCGACGAACAACGGGGAATTCATGGGAAGCCAGGGGAAAACGAAAAAAAAAAAGGACGCGTCAGAGAAGGACAAGGGGTAAGGAGGGAAGGAAGAGACACGAACCAGACTGAGACGCGCCAGCATAGCGGGGGAGAGCGCGTTGTGATGAGGAAGGAGCGGACGCAGCCCTGGCAATGGCGGGCGCGGCAACAGCGGTGGAGAAGAAGGCGTTGGTCCTCTTCGCGCTGTTCAGCGCTCTGCGAGAGAGACGGTGTACGCCGCGCGAAGTGAGCATCGTGGACGTGGACGGAGGAGGAGGTGGTGAGCTGGTGAGAGCCGCCCACCGACACGTAGGGGAGTAAAGTTCGCCGTTTAAACTCCGACGCCCCGTTGCCGGCCCCTCCCGAGTCCTCGCCCGTCTCTTTCCCGCCCGGTCCGTGCGGCGTGCCCGCTTCCCGTCTCCCCAACAAATCCTGGCGACCGCACGCGTCCTGCGCACGTCTGCGGCTTATTTCCGCCACGCCCGCTGCTCGTCGCCGAGGCAGACACGGGTGCGCACGCGCCCGCCCAGGCCATCGGCCGATTTGCGGGCGTCTGTTCGGAGTACTGGCACCGGGACCCCGGGGACGGGCCGCGCGATGCGACAGGACGACGGGCCGGCAACGCAGAAATTTTGGAGAGCAAACGTCTCAGGGAGCCATCCCAACCGTGGACGGTATGGACAAGGGGAAGATGTTGTTGCCCGCCACTACGCACGTTCCTTGCATCCCTTTCCCCGCACCCGTCCCAGGCCCACGACATAGCCAGTGAGTACATGCCCGCCTTTCGCCCATCGCACCCGTACTGACGCGGGACAACCCAGTGTGCGGTATCCTCGGGCTACTTCTCCAGGACCCGACGATCGATGCCGCTTCTGAGATCTGCGAGGGCCTCTCCCTGCTCCAGCACCGCGGTCAGGACGCGTGCGGCATCGTCACTTGCGGTCACAAGGGTCGCTTCTACCAGTGCAAGGCCAATGGCATGGTCAGGGATGTCTTCGATGCTCCCGCCCTCTCCAGGCTCCTTGGAGGCATGGGTGTTGGCCATGGTGCGTCTCTTCCTATCTCTCTGCATTCCTTTCACCAACTGGGACTCTAGTGCGCTATCCGACCGCGGGCAGCTCCAATCACGCGGAGGCACAGCCGTTTTATGTCAACTCCCCCTACGGCATCGTCATGGCCCACGTGAGTTGCTCATCTCGCATTGCGCGATCGCCCCCTGCTCCTCGCCTTCGTGCTCGCGTCGTCTAATCTACGCGACAGAATGGCAACTTGATCAACTCTCCCTCCCTTCTCCACTTTATGGACCATGTCGCGCACCGGCACATCAACACTTCCTCCGACTCCGAGCTCCTCCTCAATATCTTCGCCGACAACCTCCAGAAAACGGGCAAGTTCCGTATCAACGAGGAGGACATCTTCTCTGCCATCGGTGGGCTCATGTCCCAAGTCAAGGGCGCGTACGCCTGCGTCGCCATGCTCGCCGGCTTCGGTATCATCGCCTTCCGCGACCCCAACGGCATCCGCCCCCTCGGCATGGGCTCGCGCAAGGCCCTCGGTGGCGGGTCCGGCAAGGACTGGCTGTTCGCAAGCGAGAGCGTCGTGGCCGACGCGAGCAACTTCACCGAATGGGAGGACGTAAAGCCCGGTACGTGTCCCCCGTGCCCACCTCGCGCGCCGCTGCCCATACTCCGCGTGTTGCGCGTCCCCCACCCCCAGGCGAGGCCGTCATCATCACGCGCAGTGGCGTCTCCCGCCGCCAGATGGTCACCAACGCGCCGTTCGCACCCGACATCTTCGAATATGTCTACTTTGCGCGCCCAGACAGCGTTTTGGACGGGGTCAGCGTCTACCGGAGCCGCATGGCGATGGGCGACGCCCTCGCGGACGAGGTGCAGCGCGTACTGGTCGAACACAAGATTGAGGTCGACGTCGTCATCCCCGTGCCGGACACATCGCGCGTGGCGGCGCTCAACCTCGCGCAGAAGCTCAAGCTGCCGTACCGCGAAGGCTTCATCAAAAACCGGTACGTCGGTAGGACGTTCATCATGCCCGGCCAGCAAATGCGGCGGAAGAACGTGCGGAGGAAGCTGAACGCGATGGCGCTCGAGTTTGCGGACAAGAACGTACTAATCGTCGATGGTACGTACTACATGCGTATCCTTGCCTATACAAGGCTGATCGTACGCGCCTGCAGATTCGATCGTTCGCGGCACGACCTCGAAGGAGATTGTACAGATGGCCAAGGACGTCGGAGCGAAGAAGGTCATTGTCGCGAGCTGTGCGCCTCCTATCCGGTACGTGCTCCCGACATTTCATTTCTCTTCCTGTACCCACGCCTAACGCCTCGCCCCAGGCACGTGAACGTCTACGGCATCGACATGCCCTCCCGCACAGAGCTCGTCGCGCACAACCGCTCCGAGGCGGACATCGCCCGCGCGATCGGCGCCGACCTCGTCATCTTCCAGACCCTCCCCGACCTCATCGCCTCCGTCCGGCAGTTCAACAGCGCGATCCCCGCGTTCGACTGCTCCGTCTTCACCGGCGAGTACGTCACCGGCGGCGTCGACGAGAAGTACCTCGCCGCGCTCGAGCAGCTCCGCGCGGATAATGTCAAGTCCCATATGGAGGTAGGGGACCTCGGCACGATGGAAGGCAAGGGCGCGGGCGCGGCGACGCCCAAGTCGGACGCGGCGCGCGTCGCGGAGAGTATGGAGGTCGCGGTGGGCTGCTGCGGGCCGATGAACGGGGCGGACAGTACGGTAGGCTTGCATAATACGTACTCGATGTCGTGAAGATAGGCAGGCGAGGCGTCTGGAGGCTGTGGCGTGCTATATAGACGGTAGTGATGGTATCTAAGAAGTGTATAGTAGATAGTAGGTGTATCTAGTGTTGGTTACGATTCTTGGCATAGAAACTGTTTGACTTCCTATGTGAACGACGCCGATAATGCAGCAACATACATATACACGCATGTGTATTTGCGCTGTTCACTCATCATTGCGTTCTGACCGTTATTTTTTGCATGCGACTCAAAACAAAGTGGCTGGCAATATGACTTGGATCACGCATGGCAGGTTGATGCCTCCGAAGTAGCGTGCTCTTGTCTGTCCCGATCCACAACTACAACTCCGCCTGCTAACCCCCCTCTTGATCACCATCACCTTCTCTGTCACCAACTTAACTGATAATGGCGGAATCCAGTCTGGGTCGGCATCGACGCAGCGACAGCGATTCAACTGAAGGTTCTCCGGCTCATCGGCCGGCACCGTTCGAAGATCCAAAGCCATGCGACAAGATGGACGATGACGACTTCGTCCGCTTCCTGCGAAAGGAAGGGGGCGATGGAAAGCCTTTCATGTCCTTCTGGATCATTGGTATACTTATGAGACTGTGCAAACTTTACGGCAAAGTCGTCGACCTGGCACACCTCGAAAACGAAGATTACTCTGCTATTGCGAAGGAGCACGGGGATGAGCTTTCGGAGATCATTTTGGAGGCCATGGGCGACAAGGAGAGCTGGAATAGGCTCTGTGAGCTTCGTACGTCCTTTTAATTCCAGTGGCATTCGTTCGCATTCAACGACCACTCCTGTGACGACTCTAGCGTACATCCGGCGATCGCCACCGGTGGTCGAGCCCCCGACGAAGTTGCGCGACCCTGACGAAGTCGACGCCAGGGAAGTTCATGGTACGCATCCTGTAATGTCGGCGATTTCCTGCTGATTTAATACGACAATCAGCCACACAGAACGCATGGAATGGCGACTTCAGGGGCAAGATCGAGCTATTTCTCCTCGGATAATTCCTAACAAGATTCCTACGCAGGCACCCACTACGTTCACACAGTCGCGCGGGCGGTGAGCCAAGGAAGCGACAGCAGGTCCAGAAGCGACAGCCCCCCTCATCAACGAGAGTCACCGTTCGTCGTTCGACCGGACTTGCGCAACAACATGCACGACGACATATACATCGGTTTTCTTCGCAATGAATCCCAACGTAACCAGGCTCGCCCAAGTGTCACCACAGTGGGCACCGTCCTTGGAAGACTGGCACACCATTACACTGACCTCGTCAATCCGAGCCTCAATCGCGTAGACGTCCCATTCATCATATCACGAGATCACCATTCCGAACTTGCCGCGCTCGTTAGCGAAGCCTTCGATGCGAAAGAAAAGTGGGACGAGATATGTGATTTATGTGCGTCATTCACTTCCCATGCAATCGCATCCATACCCACTCGCGCGTGGTCAGCGTATATCCGACGAACACCTGCAGTCGTGCGCACCGCAGAAGAAATCCTGTCGGATGAGCAGTACGGTTCGTATCGGGAAAGGGCCACCTGTGAGTTTGCTCTGATTCAACACGCCCTGCAGCCACGAAAGCCGCCTGGAGCGGCGAGTTCAAGGCACGACGGGCAACGGCCCAGCTTCGGAGCCCGAAAACGCGTAGAAAAAGCCTGTCAAAGGTGTATTTTCTGCCGCCTTTTGTGCGCGTGTGAAAAAGGCACTAAAATGGGCAATTTTTCCGGGTGCTTTACGGGGTGCCGAAAAGGATCGATAAAGAGACCTTTGGTGCCCATTTCAATAACACCCGTTACTTATCACTCGTACTAACTTGTTTGTTACTCACATAGTATACACGTTCTATTGCCTTTACCACGAATTATAATGTCTTTGTTCTGAGCATAGTATTCTGTCGGGCCGAAACATTCGCCCAAAACGTCACCTTTCAGGATACTCTGCGACATACACAAACTTGACATAAAAGTTCGCCTTTCCCACCCTTTTTCTCCCCTGGAAAAACACCTGCCGAAAATGACACCTTTGATAGGCTTTGTCTACGCGTTTTTGGGCTCCGAAGCTGGGCCGTTGCCCGTCGTGAGGGAGAAGGGGATCAATTGTTGCTTGGTTGTCTTCGCGATTACTCGGAACAAGAGACCTTCGCAGGCATCCGCTATGCTCACACACTCGCAATTATCAACTCGTCCGGCACAGGGAAGACGCGCACGGTGAGCCAAGCAAGCCTCAAGGTGCCCCTGGTCATGGTGAATCTCGCCCGCGACGACGCAACGGGGCAGTGGTAGCGCACCACATCTGCGTCCATGACATTTAATAGGACGTTCTCCCGGCAGCGTTTCCGCAACCCGACCACAGTATCCGAGATTGGCTGAATGACTCCAAGACTGAGTTCGAACAGAACAAAGGATGGGGGCAGCAGCACGTCTACCTCCGCATGCAGGCGCTGTTCTATGGTATCCTCGTTGCAACTCATGAACACCTATCACGCATTGAAGATGGTAGCTTATTTCCTAACCCTGTTTAGTAGAAATTGGCTAATGGCAGTCATTCCACTCAGCGGCGGAATGGAGCCATGGAGTATCCGACCTCGCAACACCGGACAGCGCACAGACGCGCAAGAGGTTAGAAGCACTTGCTCAAGCTCTCCACGAGAAGTTGGCGGCCGGCATGACTTATCGCAGGGGACTTGGTCCATATTGTCGGGGCTTCCACGACGCGATTTTGCGTCACGCCGGCGAGGTGAGCATTCAAATCACCTCTTCTGGTGACTTCAAGTTTATGTTCGCTTCAGTTCTTTCACGATGTGGTGCACACGACACGGCTATGTCAGAGTCCTCTGCCGCTCTCTGTGACGATCAATTTCAGTGAGTAATGATTAGACTGTCACTTCGTTGTTTTACGCTGACACCTTGCACCTCAAGAAACCTCACAAGATGACAGCGTCAACGCTGCTTACGTGAGGCTCGAAAAGTTCCTAGATCCTCGGTCACAGTTGGGCCATGCTCCCGCCTTCATCATGGCGTTCGATCACTCGGAAGCCCTCACCGCCTCCCTCCGCAAGTGTGCCATCCTAGCTGACGAGAAAAACTTCACCTTCTATACAGAGCTTCGTCGCGTAGCTCGCAACATCAACAGAAGGCGGTCATTCTGGATGTTATTTCTCGCCACTGCAGGCAAATTCCACTTGCACACTCCGCCCCTCCCATTGGACAGCTCGGCCCGTGTGATACCAGACTTGATGTGTACGTTCCCACCAATCACGGAGGTCGAGATGGATAGGTGGATGGTGAATGTACCGTGCGACGGGACGGCGTCGTTGGATTCCATCGCGTCAACCTACAACCTCGCTCACCTTGGACGTGCACTGTAGGCTATCGTCTCCTTGTTGAGGCTTGTAAGCTGACCTTGCGATACAACAGGTTCTCTACTCGATATGATCACGGTAGTAAGACCGTCCGTGGGGACATTATTCGCTATGCTCGGGAGACGCTTTTGGGGCCTTTGGGGTACCGCACTTTGGACGACGATCAACAACTCGCCTGTCTTTGTGTTCGCCTCGGCCTGCGGTTTCAAGCGGTCAACTGGCTGCAATCAGAAGCCGAGCGCCGTCAGGTTGAGAAGCACTTGCGCCTTTGTTTGGGCGCCCCAACAGGGAAACATCCGATGATCACCATCGCACCCTCAGAGCCACTTCTTGCCGAGGCAGCAACAAAAACGATGGGCCCTTACGCAACATGGCGTGTTGCGGATGCGCTGCTAAATCACGTGAAGACCTCACACATCAGCTTAGGTTCTCATGGTGAAGTGGTCGCGGCCGCCATCCTTATCGAAGCCCGCGACGTTGCTGCCTGGAAGAGGAGCGCCTCTTACAACGTGGATCTCAAGAGCGATGGGTTTGCTACTGGTCGTGTCATATCGGTCGTCGATTTCCTCGAAGCGCTCCTAGGCATCAACAAGGGGATACGCAAGATGTCTGCGAGCTGCTTCCAGACGAACGCCGAGGCTATCGCTTTCGAAGAGGCCTTCAAGGATTGCTACGTCAACTTCAGCCACTTCCTCCGAGCCGACAACTTTGACATCCTCAGCCAGATGCACCTCGCGCGCATCATGTGTCGCTGTGCAGCCGTCATCTGCCCAAACAACCAGCGCGGGACCGATCTTGTCATTCCCGTTCTCCGGGGCAAGGTCCTGGACGACAAGAATATCACCGCTATTCTCGTCCATGTCAAAAACGACGTGACATACACCACGACCGTCCTACCGCGGGTGTTCGACGAGATGTGTCCCTTGGATCTTGGCTTGTTCGCGAAGGGAGCCACCCCCCTCCCTGTCGTCCGACTTGTTTTCGCCCTAGCATCCCCCGAGCCCGCGGTCGTGCTCGTTGACGATGAAATGCGGCGGCAGTCGACACACGCGCTGGCGAAGGAGTGTGGCTACGCTGCTTTCGACATCTGGTGCGCGGGTGCCACCCGAGCGACCTTCCCGGCCATCCATAGCAAGAGCGGGGAGGCGTACGTCAAGGCGGTGCTCCTCACGCGCTCGAATGGCCTCGTCTACGACCCCATCACGTCCTCGGTCACGCGTGGTCGCAAGAGAGGAGGGCTCTGGTCGAGAAACGGGAAGCCATGCGCCGTTCCATGAACCCGGGGGCTTTAAACTAGCGCAAGCATCACGGGAACCGCACTGGCCTCCGTGAGGATTTGGCGAGTAAGACAGTTGGCATCCTGTATCGTTTTCACTTCGTGAATATGTATATTAGTACTCTCAGTTGGGAACCTATAGGCTTGCTGTGGACTCCGCAGTTTTGCATTTGATTTAGGCGTGCTTCATTTAAAGGAGGCTTCATAGATACATAGCCATTGCAGTCAGTTTCACGAGGCACCTTTACAGTCGAGTGAGATGGTTCACCGTGAGGCACTCATCAGGCCATGTGGATCTCTGTTCGAGTTCACCGTACGACGTTGCTGGTGTGCTGATGTCGATACGCGCGATCCGGCGAACGTCTCGCGTGACGTCATGTCTCCTCTATGCTCAATGAAAGACGCCTGCCCTGCTCGACGACGACGACGGCTTCGTCTGCCACCACCGTACCCCTTCTGTCCTCTCCCGTCCTATCAGTATTGCGATTTAGAATGGAACAGACTACTCTAGGTCGACACGGGCGTAGCGATAACTTGGATGCGACCGACTCCGCCCCCCCCTCCCCCCACAGTGGTCAGCACCATTTCTCACTCGAAGACCAGAACCATGCGAGAGCATGGACACAGACATGACGTTCAAATTGCTTCGCGAACGGACATCCATAATGACGAAGGCCATTGCGGATCCGCTGTATATTGGACACATCCTCGCTAGGCTCGCCTACTACTATGTGGACGACGTCCTTGAGAGCCTCAGCGACAATGCCAGTCGCCAAACCATACCCCAGGACAACACTTCCAATCTCTGAGCATATCCGTGGTGCTCTGGAAAATAAGGAGGAGTGGCATGCTATAGTAAAGCTTTGTGCGTTGTTTCACAATTCCTCAGTACCACATGCGCTCGTGTTCAACCCACGCCCAGAGTACATCCGCAAGTCTCCCGATATTGAGCGACGTTCAAGGTCCACACGGGAAGGATAATGTATTGTAGGGACGAGAGGACTGGTCTTAGCCAGTGTGTCTAGTCTTCGTCACAGCTTGGCAGGCAGATTACAGCTGTTTCCGAAATGATTGCCCGACCAACTCCGATGATACGTATGTATCAGTTCCACGCAGCCGCCCAGTTGGAAGAGACAAGGTGGGACATACATCAGGCTTTTGGATCTCCGCCCGAGTTAGCAGTGGCTGGTGTGCAGAGACCGAAAGAGGATGCTCGAAAGTTCTGGAGATCGAAACGCGCGATCCGGCGAGCGTCATGCTCGCGTTAAATTCACGCGCGCAACGATTCCTGGGAGGCCTCCGCCTACACACCCAGCCTCGTTCTCTCCCCGTTCCCTTCGCTGCTCTCTTCAGGTTTCTCTTTCCCGTTCACCTCTGCAGTCCGACCTAGAAGCTTGATCATACATAGACGCAATGGCCACCGCAATCCCCACCCCGATGGCGCCCTCGACGGCGAACTGGCACTGGAAGAACAAGACGGTCACGCCCTGGGCGAAGCAGTGGTTCGACCGCGAGCTCACCGCACTGCGCGTCAGCGGGGAGGGTAGCGAGGAGGTGCGCATCGACCGCGTCGTGGAGGTCGATGGCGACGTGGAGCTCGGGCAGAGGAAGAGCAAGTGCGTGGCGTCTCTCTCTTGGCTTTTACTCGGTGCTCTTGCGCTGGCAGCCGTCTTCCTTGGTCCGGGGGAGTCACTCCTGGTGCGATTTGCGCAGAAGTGGCATGTATTAAAGATGGAATTTCTCTTCCTCTGTTTTCTCCCCTGTATAGATGTGGGAGTACTGTCTCTGACATGCTTTGAATACAGGCTGATCACGATTTATGACTGTCGGGTTGTCATGAACTGGGCAGGTACTGCGTCCGATGGAACGGAGGTGTCGGGCAAGCTTACCATTCCTGAGGTCTCTCACGAGATCACCCTGGACGGCACCTCGGACTACGTCGTACGTTCTCTTCTCTCCTATATCTACGCATTTTGCGCGGCTTCCATGGCTCACGTTCACTTGTAGTACGAATGGAGCGTGAACACCGCGCGTTCCCCGGCGGTCGACAAGCTCTTCCAGGTTGCAAAGGCGAAGCTCGCTACCGCGCTCGAAGCCAAGTTCGCCGAGTTCCCGTCGGCGATCATCGAAATGCACGGCAAGGATCTGACGATCTCTGCGAACGGGTCGCGTCAAGGCACCCCCGGACCGTCCTCCACCTCCACCACTCCTGCACCTACCACAAGTTCTACGTCGAAGGCTGCTCCTGCGAAGAAGGTGCCCGAGAAGGCAAACAACACGACGACGGTGTCGGTGGATGCGCACTTCATGGCGCCTGCTGAAGATTTGTTCTCGCTGCTCACGGATGAAAAAAGGATACCGATGTGGACTCGCGCTCCAGCTCAGGTGAGTGTGCCACTTGATCTTGCGATTCTGTCCGCTGACCTTGCACACGGAATGCAGAGCACGCCAACCCCAGGTTCGGAGTACTCGATGTTTGGTGGAGGTTTGAAGGGCAAGTTCGTGTCGCTTTCGTCGCCGAAGGAGTTTGTGCAATCCTGGGCCCTGTCGAGTCCATCTTGGCCGTCAGGTGAGCATCCTAACTGGTTGGTTGTTATATGCGCGACATGCTCACTTTCGTCGCAGATCACTTTGCCACGCTCACCACTACGCTGGACCAAGGTAACGACTCCACGAAGGTGACTTGGTTCCTTGAGGGTGTCCCCCTTGGAATGGAGGAGGAGATTCAAAAGAACATCCAGGGTTACTAGTGAGTGGCTTTGTACACTCTCCGCGAAGCTGGCGCTGACTGCGGCTCGCAGTGTGCACGGCTTGAAGTCCATTGGGTATGTACTCGTTACTCCTTACGTTCCTCCCCTACAAAAGCGCCGCATCGTGGACGAGAAGGCGCAGATCAAACACGAGTCGTCGAACGGCGCGAACGCTTGCTTGGCCGTCGGCTTCGCGGCGCTCACCCTCGGCGCGGCGTTCGCGCTCCCGTACTTCTACAACCGGCCATAAGCGTCGCGTCGCCCTGCGCTGTCTGGGGGCCTCTGCCAACGCTCGCGTCTTGGCTCCGAGGTGTTTTATGCTACCGTATGTTCTTGTAATTGACACACCCTCCTTTCGGCCTTGTGCGGGGACAGGTTGGGCTCGGAGTTGTAGAAGGTTGCCGAGGCTGCCACTGAAGGAGTCGAACCTGGACCGATCCCGACAAGCGCTGAGGCCGCGACACGCACTCAATCGGTCGTGATGGGATCTAGGTGTCGGGGGTCGTTGGTCGCGGATCGCTAAGAGGTGGGTGAGCGGGGAGGACGGGGAGACGCAGAGGGTGGTCTGCGATGCTGGACGCATAGAATCAGAAATGTACTTTGGCTGTTGTACGAACTGCGATCGATGAATATTCCAATGAAGTATGGCGTCTGTGCGGAATTCGCCGCTCGTTGCTCTCCGCGTTCGCGGCCACGTGACAAAAGCGGGCGCCGTGCCGTTCAGTTCAGGCGACGCCGCCCACTAGTCTCTCGTCGCCTCCGAAGGCCTCTTCCTCCACGACCCACGCTCGCACCACGTCTCACGACTGCCTGCCTCGCAGCGCCGCTCTTTGTTTCCCTGTTGCATGCTGTGAGTCCGCCTCGTTCATTTGTGCGCATATATATGGGTCTGTCGTGCTATAGGTGCAATGGTGTATCATGCCGGTCATCGCCTCGGATTGTGCACTATGAGCATGTATGGGCTAAAATATGGTTTCCGGGTGAAGCTTGGCAGTTTCTGTCGCCTTGGCCATGTGCCTACGAAGCTATACATCATAAGCTTCGCATCTAGTTCGTGATGTTGCAGCCACTGACGATGAATTCTCGCCGTGCAGGTCGAAGTGCTGTTTGGTTCTCAGCTAGATTTCTGTCGCATCGCTCTTCTCTCATGAATCCATGACTATCGAACACCCACCATGGAAGAAAAGGAGTGAGTGCTTGTATTCCTTGTGCTCTTCCCATTTCGCTCCAGAAGTACCACCATCCCCATTCCCAACCTTTCATGCGTAAACTGTGCGGAATCTGCGGTTTACCGTAAGCCATTCCCTATCTTGGCTCCGTTCGCCGTTAGACCGGCGGTCTATTAGGCTTCGGTTTACCCCACCAAACAAGCCAGCGCTTGGAGATGTCTTAGAGTTGGAGCACGTCGGAGCTGGCTCTTTTGGCGTACACACCAAGTTGCGGTGAACGGAGCCTTCGAATGACCGGCTCACAGCTCTTGGCATGGATCTTTGGGTTTAGGTGCGACGAAAACGAGACGCTGACATATCGCCCCCCACAGCGCGTCCATGTCCCTTCTATTCACAGGGCCGTTGTCTGTTTGCCGACTCCTGCAACTTCATGCACAGCGTCAATATCCGCCGACCAGACAGCGTCATAGGCTCAGAAGACTCGGATCAAGCAGACTACCGTCTGGCACTGGATTCCCCTACTGGGTCGAAGCTGGTACGCTTCCGCTCGCCCCCTCGGTCACCACGGACGTCCGGCCTTTTGCTCGCTCTTGGAGATGTCATTCAGCAAGACGAGGACGACGGGGAATGGGAAGAGGAAGAATCAGGAGAACAGGAGTCGAACTCGGGCGAGGAGCAAGAAGAGGTCGCTGGAGATCCCCAACGAACACTGTTCGCCGACATCGCAGCGCGACCTGCGCCCATCCTGGGCCTTAGTGAGGATGCGGCAAGAATTTTGCAATTCGTTGCTTCCCGTCCAAACGCGCATACCAGGGACGAGTCCCCTCCACCTCCTTCCTCTCTCGGAGGGGTGTCATCCACTCTGGTCGACGGTCTGTCTACTCAACCCGGAAGTCCGGGTGACGAATTGGCGGCTGTCGAGGAGGACGAGACGATCACCCATATGATCAGCTCTGTGATACCGGACTCGCCTCCAGCATTCACCAGCTCTCCCCGCGGTTCCGTAGCCGTGTCCGACGACCCGTCAAGATCCATCTCCCTAGCCCCCTCACCAGTCCACGGCTCCCCCACACCCTTACCAAGATCCTTGGAGCCCATTCCTGAGTCGCAACTGCCTTCATATCCCACCCTTAATGACCCCGATATCCCATCTCATACCGGCGAGCCACCTGGTCACATGGAACACCGAGCGCGTCTCGATGAGATATTGATACCACCTCCTTCTCTCGCGTCTCTCTCCCAGCGAGACTCCCTCTCGTCTTCTTCCGGACTTCTCTCCCCCATCGACTTTACCGCTGGATTCGCCACCTTCTCACGACCCACGAGCCTCGCCTCTCATCGTCATGAAAGTTCATTAGACTCTCGGATTGCAGAACTCCCAGAACGACTGCGTGGGTCGCCCCCGCGCTCTCCGCGGCGCATGTCCACCTTATCCATCCTGTCGTCTCCGTTTGGATCACCTTCCCGACGAACCATACACGGCAATACAGGGTTCGACCCGCCCTCCGCGTCCACGCTCTTCTCTCCCAGGTTTGGAGCCTTCCCCATCCAGCCCTCACAATCCGACGAGGACCGACAGAGCAACACGCGGCCTTCTCGCAGCGACAGCGTGGATTCTTTCCTACTCTCCTCCGAGGAGCCGAACTCCAGCTCTGTTGAAATCCATATAGACGGTCCATCGAACGTCTCGGGTCCCCGAGCGCCCGTGCTCCTGGACGAGGACGACACAGCAGAGGCGGTCGAACCCGAGGACATGATGGCCGAGTACCACACGGCTAGCGCATCGGACTTCCTCATCGCAAACTCGGCCGACACGTCGTTCGAATCCGATGAGTCGATGTCCGCGCTCTATGAAGGCTATTACACTCCTACGATCCGCACGGGCAACGTTGGAGTAGCCATCGCCGAACCGGAGGAAGTCGATGACGTTTTCGTTGCGGAGGTTGGCCCTCTCGTCGTCCCAGCCTCTCATGATGTTGCTCCCGTCACCTCTCCCGCCCAGCCGGAATCCCATACGGAACGTAGAGAGCCTGTCTTCAGCCCTCCTTTCGCCCGCCCTCCCTCAGCCGCATCATCGCTCTCCGAGAGATCACACGTTTTCTCCCCTCCTCTCTCCCGACCTTCATCCTCGCTCTCGGGCCAAGTTCCAAATTTCTCGCGGCCAAGTAGCGCCCGAAACTCCATTATTTTCACCCCACCTCCCAGACCTGTGTCACCTGCGGCTCCTGCCGCCGACGACAACGCCGAGGAACCCTCGTCGCGAGCAAGCTCGTCCCTCGGCTACACGAGCAATGCACGACCCCGGCTCTCCGTGCAGACCGGGCCGTCGTCAGAGGGTTCCAGGAAGGTGCCGTTCGGCTTCCGGAATTCCATGTCGAGTCTTTCGTCTGCAGGCATCCGTTCGTCGGGCAGCCGGTCTCCCTTGCCTGCCATCAGCACAGAACTTGAGCCGCAGTCCCGGTCGGCCACTCCGTTGTCTCCTGTAGAGGAGGTGCCGTTGACGTCGTCTCCTGCTACGAACACCAGGCGTTTAAAACCCCTCCGCTTGGTGAGTCGTTTAGAGTGTTTGCGTTCTGTTATCGAGCTCATGGTTGTCACCAGTCTATGGTTCTGAACTCCTCCGCATCGTCGTTGAACTCTTCGGGTCCCTTTTCCAGTATCCCATCATTGACCACGGCTTCTACGGCAACTACCGGTCAGTTCTTCAATGTGTCTATTTGTGACACATGCTCACGTGGCTTGCAGCACCAACTCCATCCTCTGCACATGTATCAACAGAATATTCGCTGTCCGATAACAAATCAGTACGCCATTTGATCTCGATCCTGAACAGCATCTCACCCGTCATCTAGCTATCATCTCCACAGTCTAACGTTATACCTCCGCATATACCGCATTTCTCTGGATCATCCCAGCCTAACTCTCCTTTACTCAATCCTATCACGACATCTCATTCACAGCCCACCTCTGCACCTGCATCTCGTCCATCTTCATGGAATAATCGCTTTTCGCGGAAATCTCTTTTGCACAATCCTTCACGACGTTTCTCTGCCTATATGGAGCAGCAACTTCACTCGCGATCCGACAGCCGACTTTCCGAACCTCCCGACTCTTTCGACGAGCGCCGAGAAGACGAGTACTACGAGTACGCCGAGGCAGACGAAGAGGACATCACGATCCGGCGTCCGGCGTCCGCGCTCGACCACACCCCAGGCATCTTCGCCTCCCAGCAACAGACGCACCGCCAGTCGCGACGCCGGTCATCTTTCTTCCCCGCCCCTTCGGTCACCCGCATCCACGCCTGCACCGACTCCCACTCGCAGTCCGGGTCCGAGTCCAGGCGGGCGTCGGTAATCGTGGAGCCGGTGCACGCGATAGCGACGCCGCGGCCGACGCTGCTCTTCGCGCTCGCGAGCGACGACGTGGACGCGGTCCGGCGCGTGCTCGAGAGCGGCGAGGCGCGGCCGAACGACGACGTCGGCCCGCAGAGCGCGCTCGCGTTCACGCTCGCGAACGGGCAGCTCAAGCACCGCACGGAGATGGTGAAGCTCTTGCTCGCGTACGGCGCGGACACCGCCGCGCTGCGCGACGCCGAGGCCGAGACGCGCGACGAAGACGCGGGGGCGCCCCCCGGCGCGAGTCGGCTCTCGAACGTGCTCGAGAACCTTGATCCCGCCACCCGGTGCGTGTTTTTCGTTCGACATCCGTGTTGTGCGCGCGCGGAGGCTGTGAACTGACGCGGATTGGTGTTCGCAGGTATTACATCGAGCGCGCGGACTCGCCGCAGACGCGCCGCACCTCGGCCCTGATCCACAGGTCGTACTTCCGCCCGCTGACGCGGGTGAGGTATGAGCTGATCGGACAGGAGCGGGTTCTGGAGCAGCTGTTCCGCGTGCTGAGCATGCCGGCGCTCGCGCCCATCGTCGTTCTGCTTTGCGGTGAGCGTTTGTTGGGTTGCTGGCGGTGCCTCCCCGGTCTGGGAAGCGGTGAGCGGATGCTGATGTCTTGCGCACGGAACAGGACCGAGTGGCCATGGGAAGAGCCTTCTCGCGCGCAAGTGTGAGTCTTCGCCCGTTGTGATGATCAGCGTGCGGGTGCCTTGGTGCTGACGGACGATATTTTGGCAGTCGGATCTCTCCTGCAAGTTCCAACACACACGGTCAACATGACCACCCTCCAGAACACGGGCGACATCTGGAGGAGCCATTCCATCGCTCCCATGGAGGTGGGTACTCCTACCCATCTCACAGCACTTGCGCGGCCATCTTTTTGTATATCTGAGCTCCGGGGTGTTGACTTTCCAATGATGCTGCGCAAGGGACGTCATCGGCGCCTGAGGCGCATCTACACGGACTTCCGATCATCGAATTGGTCGCGCATGTGCGAGGTTATGAAACTTGGCTAACTAGAACATGCATAGGCACCTTCGGACAACTCCCTCAAGGACTTCTTGATCGAGAACGAGGGCAAGCGTTGTGTGGTCGTGCTCGATGTGCGTCACTGTTTCCTTTTTGATGAATCAAGGGACGCTGATCATTAGCTGCCCAAACAGGAGATCGAAAAGACGCACGACGAGAAGATTCTGTCCTCGTTGCTGATGCCGTGGGAGTACGGTGAGTGCCTGCTCGTTCACGACATATGGTTTACGATATTCACGTCCGTTCTTTCCTCCCGCAGGTCGCTGCTCGTTTGAAGCCGGGTACCGACATGTTGATGTATCAAAGGTGATATGGCTGGGCACGTCAAACATTGGCCACGATCTCGTGTTTGAGCACCAAGACGGCCGCCCTGCGCCGTCCACGCAGCTCTCGCGTGAGGAGTACGTCGACCTCATGGGCCTCCTCCGCCCTCGGGTGTCAATCCGACTCGGGGTGAGCGACATTAGGCTTTGATCGAGAGACCGCTCGTGCTGATTGCTTCCCACTCAGCCCTCGCTGCTGTCGCGGGTGACCGCGGTCCTGCCGTTCGTGGCGTTCACCACTGAAGAGAAGCTGGCCATCGCCGCGGAAGCGCTGCAGGCGCTGGCGGGCGAGGCGTTCGCAGAGATGCCCCCGGCGACGCGGGACCAGATCGTGCGGGCCTCGCTGGGATCGTACATCGCACCCGAGGGCGCGCGATCACTGTATCGTGCGGTGTCGACGCTGTTGTTGGACACGATGTGACGTGCGCCTCGCGCGCGCTGGCCGGCTACGGCTTCGGCTTCTGAACGGTAAAGATGGAGCGGGAGGCCGGGCGCTCTGGGCGCTGGGCGAGGGAGAGGCGGAGGCAAGACCGGAGACTGCTGGTGGATCACGGCGACCATCCGACCACGGCGGCGAGCATGGCTGCGACTTTATTTTATCCACTCTGGCGGACGGCGCGACCCCGGATAGTGCGTTCGAGTATATGATAGTGCTTTCGAGAATTGAAAGACAGCGTAACCAGAGTACCGCTGCGAGGTCCCCTGGCAACAGTGCGCGGTGGGTGATGGCCTGTGTGGATGCGGGCGCCGGAGGGAGGGCAGCGGAGGGCGCGGTGGCGGGGGGTGTGATGGCTGATGTGCGGGCGAGTGCCTGAAACGGGTGATGGTGGACAGCCTGGGCGGGAGGATATACAACAGCTCGCGGGGCCGGCGCGCGCCATTCGCTTTCTCCTTTCCCCTTCTCCTTCTCCTTCCCTTCGGGCCCTCGCTTTCCTTCCTTTCTTCTTCGCCGACCCGGGTTTTAATGGCTGTTATCGCCTCTTTCGCCCACGCCCGCAACTTCCGCCGCGCCCACCAGGCCCGCGCCGCGCTCGAGTTCCGCGATGTCGCCACCACCGCGGACGGCCAGCCGGTCGTCGACCCCCTCCCCTCCTCGGTCAAGGTTTTGACCGCGTTTTTCGTTATCCTGGGCGCGTTGGTTTTGGGTGAGTGCCCGTCCGTCTGTCGCGCGGCGAGCAGCGGAGTAACAGGCGCGCGCGCAGGGATCATCACCTGGCGGATCGTCGTGTGGAGGCGCCGGAAGGCGTTCCCCGCGTCGGCGACGTACCGCCAGAGCTCCTTCATCCCCTCCGAGAAGATTCGACCGCTCGCGGACGGTGCCCCGTCGGAGAAGTCAGAGGTGCTCGTGATCCTGCCCATCGAGCCCCCCGCCGCGCGCGCCGCGGAGAGCGGCAAATGGGTCCCGCAAATCAGGTCTGTCGGCGGCGGCGGCGGCGGGTGGGTCCCCCAGAAGTTCGGGAACACCAAGGCCGACACCGTCGCCTTCGTCGACATCAAGGTCTCGCCCCCGGTCGAGGCCGCGCGCTCGCCCCCGCCCACCTACTCCCGCGCCAGCACCCCGAACAGCCCCCGCGCCCGCCCGCGCTGAACCTGCCCCCGGTGACCGCCGCGGTCGACGAGCACAGCAACCTGCTCGTCCCCGCCGCGTCGTCGCCCGTGCCGAGCCCGCGCCGGACGTCGTCCTTCCTCGACACCCCGCAGCTCAAGGCGAAGCCGTCGATCAAGGTCACGGGCCAGAAGCTGCCGCGCCGGATGCTCGTCGAGCACACCTTCGTGCCCTCGCTCGCCGACGAGCTCTCGATCAAGGTCGGCGACGTCCTCCAGATGCTCGAGGAGTACGAGGACGAGTGGTGCCTGGTCGAGCGCATCGGCTCCCGCGCGGGCGAGCGCGGCGTCGTCCCCCGCTTCTGCCTCAAGGAGCGCCCCCGCGGCCACAAGCGCGGCGCGTCCTCCGCCAGCCACGCGTCGTCGACCAAGAGCGGCGCGAGCCGCCGGTGAGCGCGCCCGCCGTCCATCGCTTGTGCACCACGACCCCCGCCACGACCCGCCCGACGTCTGCTCTCTGCCCTCGTTTCGCATCTGGACCCCGGACATTGTTTCGCAGCACACCTGCACCTCTCTCAACCCCGTTCTGCACCCTCCTTCCTTCTACCCGCCGCCTACGCAGACCCCATCCCTTACATCCGCCCCTCGAAATCCCGCCGCATTGGAGCGCGCAGACTCCCGCCAACGTCAACACGCCCTACCATAGTCATTCCTTACTTTGCTTCTATTTATTGCATTTATATTGAGACCACCGTACGTCGCCTCCCCTCCTTCCCCTCCGTTTCCCTTTCTTGTTGTACTCACGCACCACGGCTAGACGCAGCTTCCGCCCCGCCTCGCGCCACGCTCGGGTTCCGCTTATCGACTATTTATCGATCGCGACTCGCAGCCCAGGACGCCCAGGACCTCCCTCCCCCCTCGCCCAGAGGACGCAACCGCCCCTCCGACTCCCCCACCACGTCGACCGGACCTCTCCACCCCGCACAACACAAACCACACTCCGAGCGCGCAGGCGCGGCGCTCGGCTGGCTCGCGGGCACACGGAGGCAAACGACATCCCCGGGCCCGGCAGTCTGGCTTTCTCCTCTCCCCGGCCGACGTCCTCTCCTCGCCCCCCTCCTGTCCTGCGCCGCCCGCTGCGAGCCAGATCGCCGCGCTCGCTCCCTGCACCCTCGCCCGCTCAGCCCCGGGCTTGCAGCCACGCTTGCTCCTTCCACTTCCCTTCGTGCCCCCGACTGACCCCGCCCCGCGCTCCCGATCCATATGTGACCCCCGGACCCGACCCGTCCCGCCTCGTGTCTCGCATGCACTTACTGTAGTAATACCGCCGCACGTGTACGCACGCCGTGTGCTGGCTGAGCGCAACAGGAATCCGAACGGAACGCCGGGCGCCCCGGGCGCACCGCTTTTTCTATCTCCCTCGACGTGCGATTGGCGGTAGCGGGAATCCCCGCGAAGACGAGGTGAGGTGCGTTCGATGATGAACCGGAGCGACGGCCCCGAGGGGTTCGGGGCCAACGGGAAGTATGAGTTCGTGCGGCGCATCGCATCGATGCACTGCTCTCTTGTACCGTCGAGTGTACGGTGGCATCACGCCCACAATGAATTGAAGGTAATAAGGTATAGCATTGTGAACTAACCTACGGAATATGATACGGGTACTAGGGATACATAGAACATGACTTCAAGTTACCGCCGCCGGGTGTTTGATATTCGTACATTCAGGCGAGTTCCAACAGCTTACTGTTGCTTTTGCTGTTCCTGCTTCGGAGACTCCTCCTTCGGCTCGTTGTGCTTGATCATGACGTAGTTGTCGCTGTCCTCCTGAGCCGCAACCGTACCGATAGCGCCTTTCACAATGCCCTCGGTCTCCGGTTGCTTTTGCTTGCGCTCCGCGCGGATCTGTCAAAGCCATTAGTTTCACCCCTTCTGATGAACTCAAAATGGCACGCGCACCATCTGGAGGTCGTGGCTGACGAGCCCGTGCCCGCCCACAGGACCCCAGTAGCTCGTCGCCGCGAGCGAAGCGATGATGCAAGAGCCCACGAGGATGGACAGGTAGAAGCGGTACTGCGAGTACCACTTGGGCGCTGCAGAGTGGCGTGGCCGAGGTGAGAAGACCATTCGTCATCCAGCGAAAACACGGACGAAACACTCACTCCACCCGGCGCCAGTCGCCTTCAGGTCAGCCCACCAGAGTGTGGTGAAGCCCGCCCACTGCGCGATGAGCGCGCTCGTGGGCAGGAGCGCGAGCGTCGACCAGCCGAAGACGACGGGTGCAGCGCCGAGGAGCAGACGCGAGTACCTGGCATATGTATTCAATGTGTGGCTCGTGAAGACGCACTCGGGACAACGTACGACTTGTGGCCGCCATAGCCTGCGAACTCGAAGCCCCAGTGGAGCGCGCCGAGGAAGGAGAGCATCACCGCTCCGTAGGTCGTCTGGAGATTCAAGGCCTGGTCGAGGAGCGTGATCGCCACGCCGGGGTCCATGTTGGGGATCAGACCTACAGGGTCTGTCAACACGTTTCCATGCGCCATTTTCAAGAATCCAACGTACCTTGGGTAGCCATACCTGCCTGGTGGGCGAGGTAGACCGTCGCGCCCGAGGCGCCAAGGTACGGGATGCCTCCAGCAAGACCAAACACGACGTAGGGCGTGGGGACGGAGTGCGCGACCGAATTGGTGATGCCGAGCTGCAGCGTCCTCAGCACTCACTCACACGAGCCTCAAGGGGAAGTGGACGTACGAAAGTCTGATTCGAGGGCGCGACGCCATCCGTATAGGCGTTGCCCGCGGCAATGGTCTTTGCGAGGTCTGAGGCGGAATGCCCGAGCTCCTCGCGGATGTTCTGCGCGGCGTGCCCGAGGGTCTGGGAGCCAGGTTGCCCGGAAACGGAGCTCGCAGCGCCACGGGCGAGGAGCTGGCTGCGGAGCGTCGCGGGTAGTGGACGCGTGAGGGCGGTCGTCTTGAGGAGAGAGGAGGCGGAGGTAGTGGAGGAGAATGGGCGACGGAGCGCGAAGGGGGCGCGACGGAGAGCGGGGGCGAACGCGGTAGACAACATGGTGCGGAGGGTGGGCAGGATGGAAGAGTGCGCTGGACGGTTATATGCCCTGCGCGAGGGCGGGCTCTTGGTGCTGGACAGCTGCTCCTGACGTCACGGCCTTCGTCATAACCCGCACTCCGATCGCGCGGCTTGCCCGCAACGGATACAGGTGGCTGCGAATGGCACATCGTCCAGAAGTGAAGAGCAGAAAGTGAGAGTACCCTACGAGTTAGCACCTAGTTTCAGATGAGGCCAGCGGTCGTCTCGCAGAAGGGGCAGATCAATTAAATGTTTGGCGCCCATACAGTGGGTCGAGGAAAACGTAAGCCGACGCCAGCAGGATTCGAACCTGCGCCTCCAAAGGAGAACAGATTTCTAATCTGTCGCCGTAACCACTTGGCTATAGCGCCTTGAAAGTAGTCTTCTACTGCATATTTATACAGACTTACAGGGCTTTTACTAGACTGTAGTACCTGTCTTGTTCTGCGCGCTTCCTCTGGGCAAACGACGGTCCCAGCGCTCGAGGCGCCGACGCCACCGCCACCGAGTCCCGGTCCTCCCTTCCCACGACCCCCCGTTTCGGTCGCCGGCCTCTTCTGACGTCGCCAGGCCTCGGCTCGAGCCCCTCTGCCCGCTGCCCCGCTCCTCCCCGCTCCTCCCCGCTCGATCCTCGTCGATCGCGCGATCGCGCCCCCCGAGCCCCGAGCCCGCCTCCCCTTCAACGCTCGACTCCTCGCGCCCCCTCGTCCCCTGTGGCCGTCGTCACGTCACGCCGCGTCCGGAGTCGGTGCGGTTCGACGTCGCTCGACGATTCAGCGCGCGCGCGCGCGGCTGCGTCCTAGTTCGACTCGGTGGGTCGCCCGCGGTCCACGGTCTGCGGTTCGACGAGAGGATCGAACGGCGGTCGAACGAGCGGCGAGCCCACGGAGCTCACGCGCGCGCGGCGGAACCACCGCATCGAGAGCGTCGTCCGCCTCAGAAGAGGGGCGGGCACCGCGCGGCGTGCGTAGCGAGCGCGCTCCTCGTCGTGCTGGAGGATGCGGGGAGCAGCCTTCGGACGTGCCACACAGGTACTCGTCAGGCCCAGTGCTCCCCGGTGGGCGCGGCGGCGGCTCGGGGTCGACGCTGGGCTGGGAGGCGGATCGGGGCCGTTGGTGGGAGGACAGACTCCGGCGGGGCTCTCGTAGCACTGTTACTGTACATGCACCTGTCCGCGTCCCCGTGTCTTCACGAGTGCGCCGTCCCCGTCGACTAGCTCGCTGAAATCAGCATCCACCTTCCTCCTCGCTCGCAGCTGCACGCATACCGCCCGTCGGTCGGAGGCTCACGACTCCGCTTCAAGCATGAGACCCACCAGACCTCAGCCCTCGACAGCCTCGGGCTCAACCTCGCAGGCCTCGAAGGCTCGACTTCGATTCGCCCGGTCGTGTGCGCAGCGGCACTGTGCCAGCCGTCCCCAATCCACCGCACAGCGACCCCGTGCGGTCGGGTTCATCGGCACACACGCACGTGGACGTAGCACCTCTGAGTAGCAGTCAACAGGACCGGCCGACTAGCGGATGGCTGGTTCTGCAAGGGCATCGTTCGGTCCGTCAAACCCTCAGATGATGAGGCAACCGACAAGCGGCGAGTACGAGTGAATGCTAAAATATGTACTAGGGTTGGGAATCGCGAGACGACGCGAGCTAAGGTACGCGGTCTAATAAGGTATGTGGAACATATACTCATACCACGGAGATTAATAGAGTAACGATAGGTGCGTCTATGCGGGAGAATGCGCCGCTCCCTGCGAGTCCGTGCAGAGGCGGAGGGCGGCATCGGTAGTGAGCTGTGTGCATGCCCGCGCGGGGGGCCCCCGTGCATCGACGCGAGCCCCGGCCGTTGCTGGCGCGAGTTACAGCAGCGTTGCCTACCGCGAGAACGTGCCGACCGCGGCGCGCGCCGCCGCTGCAAGGAGCTCCGACGGCCCCGACCCTTCTGACATGTGCGTCGCCGCCACTGTGGATGGGCCCCACGGCAGATGGAGTGAAATGTCGGGCCAGGTGACGCCAGTCCGCCAGGCCGCGGCAACATCGGGATGGTCTTCGAGCAGAGTCTGCCAGCCCTCTGTGATCTTGGAAAAGTCGGTCGCAACATGGTATCGGCCGTCCTTTTTGTACCTGAAGTACCAGGGCACGACTGGCTTCCCCGTGCGCAGGTCCGTTCGCCGGTCGATGGGGCTGAGGTCATTGTGGAAGAAGACAAGGGCCTGCCGCGCGACCACGGCATGCTGGTCCTTCCGAACTGCTCGGAGGTCCTTCAAGATGCGGGTCTGGTTGTGCCGCTCGCCTCTTGCATTCGAGTGGGCCACCCAGAACGCCTCGACGGACGGGTGCCTCACCCGCTCTTCGATGAGGGACTGTCAGCAGGGATGGACAAGTTAGCCACACTCTACTATGGCAGGCCAAGAGCACAAGAGCGAGCGCCGCACGGGGCAGCGCACGACACTGAGGTGGGCACGAGGTTGTCGGGAATGTGGTGCTGGGATAAATGACGGCTCACCTTCCAGACATGCCATCTGTGCTTGAGTGTGCGCCAGCCTGATTGGATACCGGACTTGCTCTGGAAGAAAAACGGCCACTCCTTGATTGGGATCCCACGGCAGTTCACGACGAGGCGGCGCGAGACCTCCCATTCAACGAAAAGCAGGTCGAGGTTCTCCGCAAACGACACAAGCGTGGGCGGACGGACGGCGGTCTTATCAAACGGGAATCTCTCCCCGTTCAGCAAGAACCAGCGCACTCTATCTGTGGGGATTTGGTCCCCGCTCAGTGGTGTATTGATCGATTCATATGGGGCTGTGATGCCGGGTGCCCCAGCCCAAGTCGCGGATGCAGGCGAGGTGCCGTCGGACGCATTGGAAGGGGCGGCTGGGCCTGCTGAGATCCGTTCCAAGCCGTGTGATCCACGGGCGGAGCGTTGCGGAGAGCCAGAGAAGGGGGCAGCACCTAGATGAGAACGTGCGGGAGCAAGCAGTGTCAGAACTGTTCAATGAGGGAGGATAAAGCGTACGGGTCAGAAATGCGCACGACCTGTTCAAGGTCCATGGCGCCCACGCAGATGTGATTGTACGATAAGGCAGAAGCTCACCGTGGGATGGAGCTGCGGCGGCGGCACGGGGCGCATGTGCACCACCATTCTTGTCGTTCTGTCGACTGTTGGTGGACTGCGACAGTGCGGTTGCTTCTAGCCCCCTCTTCTCTGCGACCACCAACCGACTCTGGACATCCGTCAACGTATCGGCGATGCTGATTATCCTCTGCTCAAGCGTCAGGACGCCCGCACTCGACTCTGTATGACCACATCCACCACCATCACCGTCTGCCCGCCTGTTCGAGGAGTCGCCACTGATCACCACACCAGTATGGCGGCTGTGGCAGCAGCGAGGTGCCGACTCCGACCTTGGAGCACTAGCCTCCGCGCCTTGCTCACTGCTTGCCTCGTGGCTCTCAAGGCTCTGGAAGCGTTCCTTGTCCAACCTGAGGACTTCCTGGACCTTCAGGAAGAAATCGGAGCAAGTCAGTGGCCGCGAGAGGGCGTAGGTGAGTTGCCATACCCATTCGTAGTTCGTCCGCGCAGTGGCAGGGGGCAGCGCTGGAGGATCGTGCATATTGCCAACGGCGGTCGGTATGGTACGGGGCTGATACTGGACAGATGTGCTCTCTTCACCAAACCGCTTCTTGAGCTTCCGGTCTATCCGGCTCCTCTTCGCGCGTCGAGCTGATATGTTGCCGCGTGTGCTCATTCCACCCTCCACTTGCAGTGTGCTCTCCCAACATGTCGGATCGCCCGCGAACTCCCGCAGTTCATCGAGCAACTGCCCTTTCTTCCAGCTCTTGGTGACTGGGAGGCTGTATTCTACAAGATAGGCAATAATCTTGTCCTTCGTCAACTTGCGGTCAGATCTGCACAAACCAGAACAGGTGAGTCTGATATCTGCTGTAGTGTGGCATTGTCACGCCGGTAGCACCCTTCCACCATGGGCTACTCGTGCTCACTCCACCCTGACCACAGATCCATGCGAGAAAAACTCACATGGTCACATCGAACGTCTCGAACGTTCGGCTCACCGGATTGAAGGGTTGGAGGAGGTCGGGCAGGACGAGGACTTCGGGGGCAGTGGTAGCAGCTGCAGTCGAGTCCGGCGCCGGACCACCACCATATTTGGGCTTGGCCTTCTTCACGACCTTGGGCATAGTCAATGGAGCAGTGGGCGAGGTGAAGAGGGTCCGACGAGATGAGTGCAGCAAAGAACGGTGGGCGGTGGCAAGCTGAACCGCGTCTCCGCTGTGAGGGGCCAGACCTCACCATAACCGGCCCAACATTCGAACTGTGGTGAGTCCGCCGCGCGCGACCCCGGGCGAGTCTGCCGCACGCGCGCGAGACCCACACAGCGCGTGCGATGTCCGAGACCCACACGGCGCGCGACGTGCGAGACCCACACGACGTGCGATGTCCGAGACCCACTGAGCGCGACTTGTCTCCTGCCAGCCATCTCCTTCTCCGCACCACCTCACTGCAGCACCCATACACCTCTTGCTCCCGAAAACGCGATGCCCTTCCCTGCCGAGACCCTCCGGTTTCTTGCCAGCGCGTCTGCAATGATAAACATGGCTGGTGGGGTGGGACCTGATGGTGTGGGCGACGGTGGAGTCTCCCTTGATGACATATGTCAGACACCAATCGACGGCCGACCGGTAGCAGATGAGGACGATTGGGAAGAGAATGGTGAACCCGGTGGTGCGCAGACTCCTCACAAGGCAACCTGTAAGGACCGGGAGTCCGACGAGGATGAGGACGAGGACTGTGAGCCTTCTCGAGCAGACCCCAGTCCACCACAGACAAAGAAAACGCGAGGCGATACCGAGGCTCCGGACATGCAACAGTTCAAGACCTCTGTTGAAAAGGCATCCGAAGGTGTCATTGTCAAAGCCACCCGGGATGACTACCGAAGGTGGGCATTTTGAACGAGTCGGTGACAATAAATCCATGGCACACGCTCACTTGAATCTTGTAGGCTGTTCAAGCAGTTCCGCACGTTCTGTGTCACCCAAGGCATCATCACCACAGAGAATGACACCGACAGTTTCTGGAAACAATGTCCTGAGTCCTTGCCACTGTGGGTGGCCTCGTGGATCATGCACAGGTGAGCCTTATAAATCCGCCGGAGTTGGAGAGGCTCGTGTTCTGCTATGCTTCACCGTTCACACATGATGTCTATGCTCAGGGCCGACGACATCGACTTGCACACAGGAAAAGCGAAGCCTGTGGGGACACGACTTGTTACATATACCTACGGCGAGAAGATGCGGGCGGCTATTGGCCACCAGTATGCCCGGGAGTACAAGCTTTGCACCCTAGATCAGCCGTGGGCCGAGAGCAAGACACATCCGGGCACCTGGACAGGTAACCCATGCAACTCTCCCACTGTCTCTCAGTATATGTCGAGCCTCAAACGGCGCAAGGTGAGCTCCAACTTATTGCAGCCCCATAGCTTGCCATCACTGCTGGCAGTCGGTCACTGATCAGTCATCCGATGTGCCGTTGCCCTCGGCTCTATAGGTCCGGAGTGGGGCATCAGAGTCCACCAGTGCGAAAGCTATGGACGAGAAAACCATGCAGAAACTACACGACATCAACACCAACTACCCGGTCGAGCTGACGCTCATCACCGTGCCCCGAAAGAGAAAGTCTGACGAGATCGACGTGCGCGAGCCATGGGCTGGGTACAGAATTCGGACCATGCTGCAGTGTCTCTACATCATCTCCATGCTCTGTCTACTGCGCTATGACGAGGCCCTCCACATCAGATTTGACCATATCGAGCTGACTAAGAACGAGGATGGCGAGCTGGTGCTCATCCTCAACCTGCCCTTCCGCAAGACCCATCAGACTGGAGGTAGGCATCTCATGGCGTAGCGACTTCCTCTTGGTGATGCTGATATCTTTCTCCCTTGCAGGTATCTTGCCTTTTGTCCTCTATCGCAACGTTGAGAAGCCATGGATGTGTCCCGTGACAGCCTATGCCCGGTGGCACTCCATTTTCTATGACCTAAACTACGAGACCAGAGGGTTCATCTTCAGGTCACGTGTGGGCACTTACAATGAGTTCTCCGACCAACCCACCCACGGCCTCGTGAGTCCCTGCAGCTCGGATGAGTACCATTGAGCTGAGTGCATGCTGACCACCCTCTCGCAGAGCCCACAGTCGTTCCTCTCAGCCTTCCGCCAGAACATGGAGGAGATCGACATCAACCCCATGCCGTACGGCACACACTCCTTCCGCCGAGGAGGCTGCCAGTACCTCGCACTAGTGCGGCGGTGGAACATCCGGGATGTCTGCGTCTGGGGCGGGTGGAGCGACTACAAAAACAACCCATCAACCCTCTTCCGCTACCTCTCCTCCCGTATGGACAACACTGTGCAGCGCCATGACTTCTTCAACCCGAACCGCATGGGGACAGACCCGTGCCCCCGCTGCCGCCGCACCTGCCACTGCGCTTGAAATTGCGCAAGACCTGCAATTTGTGAAGTCCGACAGTTGGTGTTTTCGTACATAAAGCTTGGATAATGCGGCATGTACAGTAGTAAAGCTAGTGATTTGTCTCTAAGAGTCTGTGCACCGGAAAAAGAAACAGCACGCAAACGCGATGATGAACACCACACAGTCAGAAAAGGAAAGCGTGCTCACGACGACAAAGTAGGCGGCTGGCGCCCACTCGATGCGGAGAGGACATGGGTGACGATGTGCCCTTCACACCCGTGGGCAAGCCTGCGAGCTTCCCCCTGCGTGGGCTGCTCGACTGCCGCACCTCATCCCCAGGCGGGCCCAGCATCGCGCCAACATAGGCAGGAGGAGGCTGGTGCAGCTGCCGTGCCCAGGCATGAGTTCGGAGGGAATACAACAGGCAGCCGTGGCAACGTCGTGTCCCGCGGAGGTGCCACTGGGGCTCTGACCCATGTTGAGTGAGTGCGACGTCGGAGGCTGCTGGTGGAAGGGGATCAGAGCCGCGCGCGAGCCACGGATGGCGGTGGATGCACGTACCGGCAACTCACGCCAAGTCTCGCGATCGAGCAAGGTGTGCTGCCCCGCCTCGTTGACCCTTGTTGACCCACGTGTCCTCCCCACATGGCTGTCAACGCACCCCGACATGCTCTTGAAGATCTCCGTTGCAGCACGTGCGCACCCAAAGTGGGACGAGTGCCGGGCGATGGCCTTCGTTCCACGTGGGGCACGTGCCGACAAGGTGCGGCTGCGACACCGAGTTCAAGCGGGACCCGAAGGCCCACGCGTGCAAACTCCCTGGCTTTGTGTGCCCAAAGTAGGTGTCTGTCGTCGAGCAGCTGCCAGCGAGTCCACCGTCTTCTGACTGTCAGAGGTGTTGTGTTGTGTGCTGGTCGACAATGTGTGGCTGATGGGGAACTCGCCACGCTTGTGGGTGTGGGGGCGCTCCTTGAGGCAGAAGCGGGGGACGACACTGCGTATCCGGAGGACACGTGACCATGTCTACTCTGCAAGGGTGCGACGACCGTTGGGGTGAGCATCGCGCGGTTGTTCGGGGTCGATAACAGCGAGACGTGAGTTGCGGGAGCACCCATGTGCTTATGCTTGATGTCGGGGTGCTGGTCGTTAAGCCGAGGGCTAACTTGTGGTTGAGCAGTCGCCATCCACTGCTGGAGGGTAGCAACTCTGCATCGAGCGGCTCCCTGGTGACGGAGCAAGGGCGAGCGCCGAGCGGGCTGAGGGGGCGATGTGGATGTGGAGGCAACACGGACGTAGACAGCCCTCGCATGACTAACAAATAACATAGGTATCAGCAAAATTGAAGTTTCGAGACAAGGTGGGAGGGCAGCCTCTTTGCCTCCGGTTTATCCGGACAGCGCCACACCCTTTGCAAGATGTCGATGCGCCGTGCCGCCACCAACGTAGGGTGGTGGACTGTAGGCAATAGGAAGGATGGGAGAGTGGGGGAATCGAGCACAAAGTCGCAAACAGCAAACACACACCTATCAACTAATCAACACCTGCCAGAGTTGTGCAGGGTTGTGCAGTGTTCAAGTTGTGTGACACATCCTGTGGTGACTTGAAGCCGCGTACAGCCGCTGTGTCGTGTCGGGAGATGTGTGGTCGTGTTTGGGGCTGGTGGATGACAAGCAAGGAAGAGGAATGGGTAGTACTGCAGACTGAAACCAGCAGCCGTTGCTGTGTTGGATTGACTGGAGCAAGAGAACGGGACGAGAGGTGGAGGACAGAAGAGACGGGTGGGAGGAGAGACAGAAGAGGCGGCCGTGGGTGGGAGGAGAAACAGCGGTGATTCAGTGCCTGTCGCACGACGATTTGTGCTGACTAAGCTGCTATAATTCACGCATCACAGCCAACCTATGGTAGCACAGTACAACTGAAGCTCTTTGACATACACTGCTAGTACTAATACATATAGAATACAACCTTCACATCACGACACAGGCGTGTGCGCACCACAGCACAGCGGAAGTCCAACGTTAATCAGACTCGTCGCCAGTCAGGTCAATCACCTCGGCCGCACTCGCAACCGGACGATTGTCCTCCTCATCCGTCTCTCCCGTCAAATCGATATCAACCTTGTTACCTTCGTCCTCTTCATCCGTCTCTCCGGTCAGATCAATGTCGGCTTCTTCAGCCTCGTTCTGGAGGTCTTGGGTGAGGGCCCCTATGGCTGCAGCCGCCGCCACGAAGCCTGTCGATGGTCCCGGCGCGATGTCAGAAGCTGGAAGAGGTTGAGTGCCGTCTACGGGAGGCACCAAGATGCTGCACGGCGAGACGGGAAAACGGGACATTAGTGAGTAGGTGCAACTTAGAAGCTGGGAGACACAAACTCACGCGAACTCTTGTCGGCCGTAGTTGAACCCGGTTCCATTGTAGCTCGGGTTGACAAGGAGGGGGCGCGCTCGCTCCACGATCAGAGCTGGGATCTTGCAATCGAGAGGCATGCGCGACTCAGCGAGAGCGTCCACCTCGGGAACCTTGCGGGCGTCATACTCCCGTGTCCCTTTCAGCAAGCTCGTGGCGAGCGCGTGGAATCCGCTATCGCGAACCCGAACGGTGGCCACAGCGTAGCCCTTGCCACCCACCCCACTAACTTCAAGCTGGAGGAGACGGCGACACTGCACAAGAAAAGCGGGGAGTCAGCCATCTGCAGGAACGGATGGAACTGGACGATAGTACCTTAGCGGGCCGATTGATCAGCGCCAGGCCCTCCGCAAGGAGCATTCGTGTGACCTCCGCAGACCATAGCTTATCTCGGAAAGTACGTACGATACCGGTGGAACTACCAATGGCGAAGTGAGTTTCACATAGTTGCGCGATCCGAGCGATGTCCATCGGCTGTGGGGCGGTGATGCTGGCGTAGCGTTGAGGGTTGGATACCGTTGGGCTGAGAAGCAGATGTGCAATATCGAGGTCGGGAAAGGTGTCCGTGAGGTTCGCAGCGACGCCTGGCTGTGCGCGCGTGAGAGGCGATGCACCTGTGATCAACACGCGTCGGACATCCGCTCGCCAACCTTCAAGGAATTCCGTGAGCTCGGTTTTAGTGAGATGTTGGAGGAGCGCATGGTGGAGCTTGCGCCCGAAGCCACGTTGAACGAGCTGGGCCGCGATTGTCGTTCCACAGCCTGGCAGACCGCGCTGATGCAAGTCACGTCAGCGCGTCCTCACGGAGCATCAATAATTGAATCCCAGCTTACCTTGTTGTCGTAATCAGAGCCTACCAGGAGAGCATACAACAGCATATCCCCGCGGGTAATATACACCTGTTGACGGATGGCGTCGGCTCGATACACTGACACTTGGCTGGTCAGCCCGGGTTTGAAGTTGGCGGGGCTAATGGCAAACGGTCAGGGTGCAAATATCCGATGGCGGAAATCAACATACTTTCTGATAATTGTGTGAGCACCGAAGATCAACACGTCACTGTCGTCAGTGAGAACCGCGTCAATGCGACCCATGGCGTTCATGACGGCGAGCTCAGCCTCCGCCTCGCCTACTGCCTGTGACAAAGAGATGAGTGGCAGCACCTGCCAAGCTCAGAAGGTCTCGGGCGTACCTCAAACCATGAGAACCCAAACGCACGCGCGAAATTCTCCATGAGACGCTCCAGCCATCGCTTTGTCGGGTCAACTCGTGTGCCTCGCTTGATTGAAGGTCGAAGGTCACCGTCGGCGACAAAGACGAGGTGCACCGGAATGTTGGAAATCGCACCCAGGCGGCCGAAGAACGCCCACAGCTCCTGGTTCTCACCGCGTTGTGCCTGCCTGATCCGAGCCCCCGGCATGTTGAGCAGCTGGTGCTCCCAAATGCTGCCATAGTATTAACCACCAAGCATCAGCAAAACGAACAAAGATGATCGTAAAAGCTATCCTGACCTGACATCGACACCAATCGTGTACACACGATCTCCTCGGGAGCCTTCTTCAAATCCATCCTTGATGGCTAGTCGGGGCAGGGTGTTCTTTTTTTGTGCGGCATCAACAAGCTGACGGCACCATGTGTTGTCGGACACGGAGGGGTAGATGACACTGATCAGCAAGCTCGGAGACAGACAACCAAAGGATGGTGCGCACCTTCCATAATCCTTCGATCCCCATTACGGTCGTATGCCGTGGCTAGGTGTCGCGAAAGGGGGGTTGCGTCCGTAGCTAGGGTGGGCGAGGTTGAGCGTAGGTCCGGGGCCCAACATGACTGTGCTTTATGTTAATGCCACTGGGTAGGGATGGAGCGGTGGGGGTGGGGCCTCATCCGTCAAAGTGGCAGAGGGAACGTGGTCGCAAACAGGAGGCGGATCGCGTCGGGAGGAGGCAGAGGAGGGCACGCCGGAGGCGGTTGATCGGTCCTGTAGGCAGCGGCCACTCGCGAGCGGGTGGTAGTGGAAACCAAGACGATTGAGCGCCGAGGGCCGGGCGGACGAGACGCTGAGCCGGGAACGTGCGCTCGCGCGCGGGGCTTGCACGCGAGGACTGTCGTCCCGAGGGACTGTTGTGCGGAGGGCGGGTAGTGGATGTAGGGAGGAGAGCGAGGGGAGGAACGCCCTGCCAGGCAGGGCGACGGCAGTTCCCTACCTGCGCGACGAACGACAGTCCCTCAGCGGCTCAACGGTCCCGCGGGAGCCTGGCGGTCTCGCCCGTCGGGGACGTGTCCCTTGCACCCGCTTGCCGACGCCATCGCTTGGGACTCGGGCGGCGGTGGAGCTCTAGTTGAAACTTGCGGCGAGCGCGGGCTCGAGCCCAGTAAGTTGTCCATCCCCAGCCTCTGCTCCCACATCCTCCTCCCCTTCTCGCGACCGCGCGGAACTCTCCACCTCCACAGCTCTGTGCGCCATCAAGCAATTGCTCGCACATCCGGCCTGCCTCTACCTCTCTTTGCTCAGAGTACGCGACCGTAGGGTGCGGCTCAAAACTTGTCGTCATTCAGTGCGGAAGCTTAGTCTACAGCTGGTGAGCACAGTTTTGAACTCCACGATCGGACCCTCCGTGCAGGGCAAGGGGACGTGGGGCACGCGCTGAGCTCCGCACATTTCACCGCCGTGCTGCAAGTCTATCCCCGGACTGAAGGCGCCATGCGCGAGCGGCCCGTGGGCCCTAGGTCTTAAGCTCGTGGGCCAGTGAGTGACCGAGGATGTGCCAACGTCTTTATAAGTTCACCGTTCTGCTTGCTGGGTCACCTCGCGCGCGCGCGCCATACATCGACCGTTATGCTTGTTGGGTCACAGCGCGCGCCGTGCGCCGTACGGTCGCGCGAGCTGGCCTCGCGTCTCACCCGTTGGTGGAGCTCCGGAGCCGCGGACAAGCGATCGGCGTGCCGCCGAGCCGCCGCCGATCGCCTGTGCTCGGCGCCGGGCGGGTTTGGCAGGGACTGGGACGCCGCTTACATAAGGAGGCCGGGGGACTGTCGCGCGTCTGGTGCGCAGCCTTGCATATCACTGCTATGACCATGCGACAACAACGACTTCATCCCTATCCAACATCACCATACATCAGAAGCATCCCCGCACAGAACATTATATGGCTCAATTTAAGCAGAGAATGACCGTGCGTACGTTGCTCGGTCTGAATCGAGCCTTATGTATAAACTACGCTGATTGCCAGGTATCGGATGGCCAGATGCACCAGAGTCCACAGTGAGTAATTCTACATTTATAGCAGTCAGATCCACCCATCTATGGTGTTATTCTGTCATTTCTTCCACGTGTTCAGCGTCGGGACTTAGGAGGCGACTGGTGACGACCCTGATTTCATCTACCCCTCCGGCTCCAACCCTGCTTTTTGGGTGGACCATAGCGGTTCCTACTTACACATGCTATAGTTGATCACTGAGAATAGCATCCTGGATGTAGATTTCCAGGATTACAGGAGTAAAATCTTTGCCCAGCGATACAAGCTGCCCTTCATCGAACCGGTCAAACGTATAATGAGGAACCGCGCACGATCAACAAGACAGCGCCTCCGACGTCGCGGCCTCCTCTCTTGAACGTCTACCATGTTCCTGACGATATTGGCCCCGAGCCAGGCCCGATTTGTGGTAGATCGTTCGTGCGGTACGTCCACCCCTTTGCGCGTAATGGCAGCTCTTGGATATCTTATTAGGGGGGTTCTCTTTCTCTCCCTCCAACCTCCAAGTCGTCTCAGGCTCACTGCCTCCGCGAGCCGAGATGACCTGCGTCACAACAGCCACGGACTTATTGTTCACGACCTTCGTCACAACGTCGCTCTCTACGAGCTCGAGCGTCAGCACTTCCGCGATCGAGGAGACCACCACCACGTCTACCTGCTCATTTAGCGCCATTTCCACCAACGACTCATCCACGGCTTTCTCGACGACATGCGTGGAAGGTACCACTGTCATAGGTGATTCGTTCGGCTCAGGTCCCGCGAGTATGTTTGCTCGGTACTAAACATCGTTCTACTAGATATTCCGACCACGGTGCAAGTGCCTATCGTTGTGACTGTAACGTCAACGGCTTCTTCGGCTACTAGTACGCAGTTTGGGGTTTTCTGTTCGTCCTCGGCCTCGGCCTCGTCCTCGGGCTCCACGTCAAGTTCACCCCCTGTCTCGAGCTCGAGCACCAGCTTAGACCCTCCCTCGAGCTCGGTTGTGTCTGTGACATCAATATCGTCCTCACAGTCGACGTTCACGTCCAACGGGAAGGCCTTCACCACTGCGGACACGTTCACAATCGTTATTCCGTTCACCACCATTTCAACGGTGCAGGCGACCGGTTCGGGCGCCGTGCTCGCAGTCCACTCTTCAGACAACATTGGCGCTATTGTCGGAGGCGTGGTTGGAGGCATCGTCGGGCTCTTCGCGCTGCTCGCTCTCCTGATGTTCTTCCTGTAAGCGATCTCCTACCTCGCGCGAAGTCCTTCATCGCTGAAGACGGCGAACCAGCCGCCGCCGTCGCCGCCGAAAAGCCCTCGCCGATATCATCTGGCCCGAGCCCGCCGCGCACCACAAGCACACCGAATCCAACGACCCGAGCCTGTACGAGTACGGCACGCTCAGCGGCCCCGCCCTTGCCGCCAGCTCGACCGACACCGCCGCCTTCCATCCCGACGGCGGCGCGTACGGCGGCCCAGGCTACTCGCTCGACCCCGGCGCGAACGAGTCCCCCTTTGACCAGTGCCGCTCCGACACGCTCTCCCCCGCCACCTCCACGCTGCACTCGCCCCCGCCCTCCCAACAGACGTACTGGGGCATCGACACCGTCCCGCGCCGCGGCTCCGTCGGCCGCGCGAGCACCAGCACGGCCGGGGGCGCGCCCGGCTCGATCTTCTCCGAGACGGGGCTCCTCTCCCCCAGCGCCAGCGCTGCGCCCGCTGCGGGTGGTGCGACCGGCGCCGTGTGGCGCGCGGGGTCGACGTCGACGTCTGGCAGCGTGTCGGGCACGCGGCCCCGGGCGGGCTCGGAGCGCAGCTGGGACAGCGCGGTGGGGGGGCCAGAGCACGGCGAGCCGGCGCGGCAGGTGTGCGGTGCGCACGCGGAGCGCGGGCGCGGGCTTGTGTCCGTTCCCGAGCAGGAGCGGGCCTCAGGTCGGAGCGAGGACGGCGCGAGCGGGGGATCGCGTGTGGTATCGCGGGGGAGCACGCCTGAAGTCCCTTGGGAGTCGGAAGAAGATGCGGGGATGAACCCGCGGCAGAGAGAGAAGTTGGCGGAAACGGCGCGGAGGGTGGTCACCTCGCGGCTCACGAGGCGGGGAACTAGCAGTGGGTCCGTGGGGAGTGAAGGGGAAGCTCCTCCCGCGTACGAGGAGTGAGCTTGGTCAGTATCAGCAGTTGCATTTGGGGAGCATGTCTGTACTGTAGGGCACTGTCATCTATGCAAAGCAATGTTCCGTTTTCCTCTTGAGAGTCGTGGAGGCTGCGGAGGAATTCGTTGTCTCCGGCCCGGAATCCGGAGGCATGCGCCACAGTCGAACATCGACAACTAACGCCTCACTTTCCATCCACTCCCCGCCTCCCTCAAGGCCTCACGCTTCATTCATACCACATCGCAGTCGGCAGAACCGGTCGAAGTGTGTCAGCAGGCAAGGCGACCATCGATCTGAACCGCCAACGCCTCACCGAGTCCGCTGGCCGTGACGCCTCCCTCCGGGATCTCGTCGTCGTGGACACACAAGGCGCGTCCCCAGAAAACGTCGGCTCGACCTCGTACGTCCCATTCTACGCCCGCGCACACGGCGGAGGCGCCCTCGGCGACGACCCCCCGGACGACGACGACGACGACGCGGACGAACGCGTCCAGCGCTGCTTCAACTGCGGCACCCCCGGCCACGTCGTGTCCGAGTGCACGCGCGCCGTCGACCGCGCGCTCGTCGCGCTCGCTCGCCAGTACTACAACTTCTTCCGCGCGGGGTCGGATTCCGGGCCCGCGCAGCGCATCCACGAGGCCGGGGAGTGGCGGCAGCAGCGGCTCCGGTGGTTGCGGGAGTTCGAGCCTGGGGAGATCCGCGGCGAGCTACTGCGCGAGGCGTTGGGTCTGCGGGATGGAGATGCGGGCGAGAACGTGGAGTGGCTCAGGAATATGGCGTGCTGGGGGTTCCCTAGGGGGTGGACGGGGACGCGCGACCCACGCGAAGACGTCAGGCGGCGGATTGTGGACGGACCGAAGGAGGAAGACGAGCCGGTGGAAATCTGGGTCTTTGAGGACGGGCACGAAGAGGTTTGGGACATTTCCATTGCTGCCTTACCTGGGAACGCTGCTGGGAACGGTGCAACTTCCGACAGTGAGCAAGAGGAGGAACACAACGACCCTTTGCGACGCTGGGCCACCTATCCGAACACGCATTTCCACCCCACCCTGCTGCGTGTGTACGATGGCCAGACGCTCCCTGCATTAGCCGAATATACCCATCCGATCGCGGTCAGCGAGACGTACACGGCCGACCGCCATGACTTGTGGCAAAGTATTCTGGCGACATCGAATCCTCGTCTACAGATGCTCCCTGAACTATCTCAGGCGGTCCCACCACTTTCTCCTCCTCCTCCTCCTCCTCCTCCTCCCCTGCCACCTCCACCTTTGCCCCCCTTGCCGCAGGATGCTTGTTCAGACTCTGGGGACGATATGGACCTTTCGGATTAGCCCCGTGTTTGGTGTGTCACGCGATCTATCTGTTGCGATCGTTTGAATATGGCGAGTAGTGCGCGAGGTGGACCATTTGTGCGTGTGGCGTTATGCGATGCATCATGTGATTTGCTCCCAACATAGTTTTGAGCACTCCCTGAGGGGTATCCGTCGACTGTATCCTACTCTTGCAGAAACATTGCGTCCATTACGATGCGAAGTTCCTTGCCCAGAGTTTATTGGCCACAAAGCAGACAGAGATTACTGCGACGAAACAAAAAGGGCCTGGCCGGGAATTGAACCTGGGGCCGCCTCCAATTACGTAAGCATTTTCTCCCACGCACACGCCCTAAGAAAGAATCATACTACTAGACCACCAGGCCGTTGAAAGCGCCGGCTTAATAGCCTTCATATATGTACTAACTCATGTGCCCAGTCGCGAATCCGCCCTTCTCCACAGCCTGTTTCCTACGTATGACTAAACATATCAGCAATTCCATTGCGCAACTGGTTGCCAGGTCTTCGCGGCTTGCTGTGTCTCGAAGTCCCCAGAACGCCTTCGAGTTTGCATGTCGTTGGCGGGCTTCAGTCGAACCACGCAGTCTCACTGGTTCAGTGCATGACGGGAGCATCAGGCCATCTTTGGGTGCCTACTGTACCAACTCGGGAAGGGCGTCGAGCTATGTGTTATGGAGGGTACACGTTGCGAAAGAGTCGACTGCATGGGCATACTCTGATGTTTTCGATGTCGCGATTGGTGCGCCAAGGAAATGTTCAGACACACTCGCGATGTGGAGTAAAGGGCACTCAAATATCTAGTGATACAGAAACGATTACAGATACACGATATAGTACGTACAGGGAAGGGCAGCGTCCAATGGCTCCACACAGTCATAGTTTCTCGAGCATATCGCGGAGCATCTTGTTGTTTGCAGCTGCGCCCGAATCTTTGTCGAGACTTTTGCTCCTCTTGTCCAGATGCGAAATGGCTTGTTCCACGTCCGCTCCTAGCGCTTCCAGAGCAGTCGAAGCACGAGCAGCTTAATGACACCGCGAGCACAAGGGTCAGCGTCCAGACAGCCTACGAGTCAGCGCTGCCAGGGGACGAGATAATCACCACAGCGCTCCAGGTCGTCTTCCAGTTTGGCCCAGAGCTCCTTCCGGCGGGCGTATGCGGCCTCAAGTTCCTCCAGCGTTCTCTCGATGTTGTACTAGGGCGCGCTCGGGAATCGGCGGGGGCAAGGATGCGAGGTTATGCGAGCACCAACCTGCGACTCGGCGCGCGCAGAACGCAGTCCGTCTTCATCCCGGAGCGCGATCCGTTCGACCTTTTTGCATACCTCGTCGAACGTCAGCAGCCCGGCGCCGAACCTCAAGTCCACTACGCGAGGGACATCAGTCGCTATATGCGCATACAGTCGCTCTTGCACGCACCCTTGTCCTCGATCGTGGCGTGGACAGCCTTGACTTTGTCATATGCCGGCATGATCGCGCGCCGTAGGTAGTCCTTCAGACTCGCGCTCTGCGCGGCCATGGGCCCTTTGAGGCTGTCGACGAGAGCCATGAGCTGCTCCGCCTCGTCGTGCTCAGACGAACTGCCGCACGGGATGAGCGTCGAACCGTGGAATGGAGCCGATCGGAGCCTCTCTCACCTGTCCTCGAACATGGCCTGCAGCGTCGACTCGTCGTCCTCCGAGAGCATGTCGACATCGGCGTCCAGCCCAATTGCGGTCGGCGACCACGCGGGATGCCTCCGGGGCCCGTGGGGATCGCCGTATGCGCGCTGCCGACGAGCACTGGCTTCGGGCACCTCGTCCTCTGGCTCTTCTTGGATTGTCGTCAGCTGCGAGCGCGAGGCGAGGAAGCGGCCGGTGTTGGCTGAGCTTGCACGCGCACGGTGCGCGGGGCTCCGCAGTGCGTGCGCGATGGTCGACCTGTGAAAGAGAGCAGGTTTGCGGTGGGGCGAGCTCGTGGCCCGCGACGCTGCGGTCCGTCAGCTTCACGCGTGCAGCGGCGAGAAATGCCACTCACGATGGCGGGGGACTTGAGCGTATGCGGCGACGCGCGGCGGAGGAGCGGCGTGGGGTGCTTGCCCATCGCGGCTGGGCTGGCGGGGCGGGGGCGGAAGGCGACGGGGGAGGAGGGCAAGGCAGGGAGGCGGACGTCGGACGTCGGACGATCAGTGGACCGGGCGGGGGCGCCGGGATATCTTGTCCAGCAGGCGCCGGCGGGTGGGGATTGTGGTCGAGCCCGCCGCCACGCTTCTCCCCTGCCGCGCCCCTCATCCGCCCGCCCCGCCCTCCCTTCTCCCCCAGCACTCCCCGGCCCCGGCCCCCCGCTGCCTCCTCCCCGCGTTCGCCAGCGCCGCCCTCGCCCCGCACTCACCCTCTAGGCTCCCCTCCCCGCGTCGTTCGCCCACCATGAGCGGCCGTCCTCCCAAGCAGTCCATGTCCGAGCTCAAGCTCCGCCGGCTCTCAGAACACAACCAGAGGCTCCGGGAAGACCTTGCGCGGCCGCGAATCCGGGTCAGCGAGGCTAGCAAGAGGTGAGATTCCGCCCGTCGACCTTCCATGCCGCCTGCTGTTGCTGACTGCCCGCCTGATGCGTCCCACTAGTCTGATAAACTACTGCAAGTCCACGCCAGACCATCTCGTGAGTCCTGCTCTTTTGACATCCGGTTCCCTGGCATCCCAGAACCAGAGCCGTCCGTTGCTGTCTGCCAAGCAGTCTCCCGCTTCTCGTGAGGGTTAGGCACATGCGGTTCCGCGACGGTGTCTCCTGCTTCTACGCCTTCTGTCGCTCAGAAGGGCCCAAGTTTGCTCCTTTCTCGCATATGCGGACCTCTATCTGCTCGGGATTTCCTATCCGACTTCCTTCGCATGTGGTTTCCCCGTGTTTCTGGGAACAAACACGCGCGCTCCTGGTATTGCTGGCAGTAGCCTATCGGGGTCTTCCAGATTCCTGACGAGCCCAGCATGCGAAGAAGATGTCTCAGAAAGATCTGAAGCGACGAAAGTTGAACTCATTTACATTTTCCTCCGAGTCCTGCGCTACACACATCTGACCCCCTCTCTCCCACAGATTCCGTCGGTCTGGGGACCAGTCAGCAAAGCAGACGATCCCTTCGCTATGCCCAACCAGGGGTGCCAGTGTGTGGTCATGTAAAAGGGCCGGCCGTACCCCTCGTCCGCCGACATCCCGCCTCCTCACACTTTATCCGTCGAGCGGCGACCTTCTGGGACACCCCCTTGGAGACCACACCCTCTGTACCAGAGGCACGAAGGCTCACATGGAGTGAATGGGGTTCGCATCCGTGTCTGTCTTTCCACATCCCTCGCTATCCCTCTCCTCTCCGACCCCACCAGCACTCCCTCCAGGGAGCTGCCCCCGCAATAATTACGCGTACACGTAAATGTTATTCGCATATCTCAAGCGTACACCCCGCCGCTCCTTCACACCTAGCACTCCACCAACTCTGCCTCTACATCGCGTTCCCCGCCCTATCCCACCACACACATGCCTTTAGTTAGCATCTCGCCCCGGAGCCCGGAATCGTTCTCTTTCTCATCTATATCCGCGTCCGTCCGTCCGCCCGCGCCGCGAGCACACCCCGTTCCACATGTTCCTCACCCGTCGATCGGTCCGTGGCGTCCACGCCTCCCTTCCGCTCTCTTTCTGAAAGGAACGCGGGTCTCGGGCTCGCGGCCTACACCTCTCCCCCTCTCCCGGCACGCCCTCACCTTAGCGCACCACCCACGTCTCCAGGCTCCGCGTCTCCAATAGGATGTACATAATTTTCGTAGCAGTAGTCCCGCTCCCGATCGCATGTCGCTCTCCTGCTGTGACCCTCAACCCAGACGCTCGTTCTCGCTCCCGCTGGCCGCACTGCGGAGCTCTGGCCAACCCCTCGCCAAGGCGTTACGGCCGCACGTCCCGCCGGCCCCTGTGCGCGTCTCGATCCTGGAGACGCGACCGCCGCCGACGTGCTCGAGCGATGGAGCGCCCCAAAGCAGGCTGTGAGCCTGCGAAGCGCCGACGCAAGCTCGCGTAATGCGTGCATGGCGCGATCGGGCCTCCATTCCTCCGACGAGCCAGCGCGTGCACACGCGGATTCGACTGGTAGAAAAGTAGATTACTGGTATGTAGATCGATCAGCACCGGCGTGCGGATACCAGTGGAGGTTGTAAACTTGTAGCTGGGGAGGAGGCGAGACGGACTCTATCGCCAAGCGTACGCAGGAGACTCGGGCAAGTCCAGAAGCCCTGTGGTTAACTGCCAGGATTCCATCCGCATCACCAGGCCGCTCCGTCCCCCGCCTCGACCATGCCCTCCCGCGCGAGCTCCTCCCAGGCCTCCCCCTCGCCCACCTCCGCCAACACCACGCCCGGGCCCGCCCGCCCTCCTCTCTCCCTTCCTCCCCTCCCCTCCCGCACCCGCGCGTCCCCAAACGCGAACCGATCCCGGCGAGGGGCGGGGCGGACGACGCGCCACGCGCGGAGCCACCGCGGCGCGCCGGGCGCCGCGGGGAGCTCGACGAGCACGCCGACCCACGCGAGCGCGGGCGCGGCGAGGGCGAGGGCGGCGGCGCGCGGGGCGGCGTGCGCGCGGAGCGCGTGCACGATGCGCCGGGTGTGCTCCGCGGCGGCGCGGAAGGGCGCGACGGTGTGCCGGACGAGGACGTGGGAGACGGCGAGCGGGCGAGCGCGCCGTGCAGCTCGTCCTGCGCGAGGAACGGGGTGAGTGTTAGTGAGCAGGGCGCAGGGCGGAGACGGAGACGGGAGAGGGGACGCACGAGGAGGATCGCGGCGACCTGGACGTAGTCCGGGACGCTGTCGCCCTCGAGGGAGAGCACGAACCGGCGGATGCCCATCGCGGCCTCCCCGCCACCGTCGTCCGCCGCGACGGGGTCGCCACCACTGGCGTCTCCTCCGCCGCGCTCCCGGGCGCGCGCGTCGGCGTGCGCGCGGCCCATCCGCGCGAGCGCGCCGAACCGCGCCGGGAACGGGTTGTACTTGAAGTGCGCGTTCGTGACCCGGACCTCGAGGCACGCGGGGCGCGCGTCGCACAGGACGCGCGCGAGCATCGCGTCCCCCGCCGCCGCGGGCTCGGACGCGGCGAACGCGACGGACAGGCGGCGGACGGCGCGCGGGAGCGCGAGCGCGTGCAGCGCGCACGCGCTCTCGCCCGCCACGCTCTCGAGGTCCGGCCACGGCCACACCGCGCCGTCCCGCGCGAGCGCGCGCCACTGCGCCTGCGCGCGCTCGCGGGCGCACGCGTCCTCCGCGCGGGCGCGCGCGGTGCCGCAGAGGTGGAGCGGGCGCGCGCCGCGGAGGGCGAGGCGGGGAGGGCGGGGAAGGCGCGGGCGAGGACGCGGGGGAGGTCGCGGTCCGCGTGCGGGAACTCGATCCCGAGCGGTGCACGCGCGGGAAGGGCGCGGCGGGCGCGCGCCAGCCGCACACGGGCAGCTCGAGCGCCTCGAGCGTGGGCGCGAGCGGGAGGAGCGCGGCGAGGGCGTCCGGGGCCTCCTGCCACTTGCGCGAGGGGAGGAGGACGAGGGAGCGGAGCGGGGGAGGCGCGCGAAGGACGCGAGGTCGAGGGCGCCGCGGGCGAAGAGCGGCATGCGGACGTGGGTGAGGTGCGTGAGGTGCGTGAGCGCGTGGTGGAGGAGCGAGGGCGGGGCGTCGTCGTACCAGCGGTCGATGCGGAGGCGGGAGAGGGCGGCGCACTGGGGGAGGAGGGTGAGGAAGGTCTCGAGCGCGCGGTTGCGGGCGTCGCGCATGAGGTGCTCTTCCGTCAGCGGGTGGTGGGCGGGGAGCGCGAAGTAGGACGAAGGGAAGCCCGAGGAATCCGGATTGGGGGAAGCCGCGCCTTTGGCGAGGGTGAACGTGTACTCTTCAAGGTTGAAGTGGAGCTCCCGGATGAGCGGAGTGCGGGTGTGCTGCGGGTCGTAGACGCGGAGAAACTTGGCGAAGGAGAGGACCTGAGACACTGTGTTCAAAGGGATCTTTGAGTGTGAGCACAGAAGGACAATGCCAGCCTCGAAGTAGGAGCTGCATGTCCTCATCAGACGTGACAGATCGGCGGGCGAGAGCAGGCTCATGATGTGGTATTGCACGTCGAAGTTGAGGGTGGTCAGGGTGAGCGAAGACGTTGGAAGGGTCATCCACGCGCCACCATCCTGTTCAAAGTAAGAGACTGCATAAAATGCTGATACATGTGCATACCATGTCGACGTCTTCTTGTTGAGTCGTTGGCCCTGTCTGAGTGTAGACTTTGAAGTCCACATTCCCATAGCCACTGGCAGGGTAGGCGTCGGATGCGTGTGTTCTGTTGAGTTGCTCTACTGGATAGGCGAACCGGAAATCTTCAGGGTGTAATCCATAATAGCCCGCACAGGAGTGAGCTTTGGTATGTGTGCGCGCGAAAGTTGTCTGGCGGGATGTGGTGGTTGGAGACCAAGTGCGACTGGCGTGGCGCGCTATATGACGCGTATGTGACACGTGACCGCGAAATCTAGTCACGGTCTTTGCCGGTCCACACGGATTGAGAGAACAATCAACAGTCTCATGTGGCGGCCTGGTGAGCATTTGGATGCGATGCAAGCTTTTCGAGGCGATTTTTCAGTGCGGCCGGGCCGTGTTTCTATGATGATACATACAGTAGTACTTACTTTGAGACGATCGGAATCAAAGCGGCCTAGAGCACAGCGGCCGTCTACCTCTTCGCCTCCTGCAGACTTCAGAGACGCGGCTCACAAAACGTAGGATTGAGGATGATTCGGCTCACCATTTGCGCATTTTCGCACACCGGCACTGTCAGGCACGGTTAGCGCCCCCTCGCCCGATGCGCCGTGCGAGGAGGTGAGGGCGGAAGGGGGAGGGAGTCGGGCAGGGAGTCGTGTGCATGGACCATGGGGACGCGCGCGTGTTTCGTTCGAGCAGCGAACTCCGGGCGGGGGAGAACTTTGCTGGATGGCCGGGGAGGCGGGGCTCGGGACTGCGCGGCCGAACAACGTCGAGGTCTTCCCGAATGGCTGCAATTGGCGGTATCCTGGAAGACAGGGTGAGCGCGGAGAGGATGGTGGCACGCCCACCCGAGACTCGGTGTGCATCGCCAAAAAGGTGTTTGCGGTCATCTTGAGGGAAAGGGGCTGGAGTGGTTAGCTTGTTTAGCCGAGCGTGCAAGACGCCGGAAAGACATTGCCCGCTATTGAGATTATGCGCGGCGCAGAAGATTCGTGAGCATGCTGTAATCTCCGTTACCAAACGCCCGAGTTTGCGGCGCGCGAAACGCTAACGTTATGAGTATCGACGCGCTCGGGGAGAGCACTGCGAAGACCCTGAACAATCGCGCCCCCTGTCAAACCTTCCAATGGTGCTTTGAGCCCTCCTACTCGATACCCTGAGGCAATAGAGCTGAGCAGGGCCTGCAAAATGAAGCACGTCACGAGCAAACGCGCGGTTCACATACAAACGCGCGCGCGCACCTGAGGAAGAGCGGCAGGACGCTGACGTACGAGCCCGCACAGTTTGCGCGAAGCTGAGAAGGTTCAAGAACGCCGTGGTTGCCATGGCGGCGCTCGCGATGCGCACCGTGAGCGAGACTGCGGGCGAAAAAGGGAGGCGGGAGGAAAGAGCGTTCGAAGTATATGTCGCTGCTTCTTGATGGCGGCGATGATGAGCTCTCGAGGCTGCCGTCCCCGCTACGCGCCGGGCGATCTGGACGGCGACGGAGATCGAGAAGGATAGGCTCGCGGCCATCTGGGTTGGCGAGCACTTGCGCTGCTTCGGGCACTGGCACACAAACTCCCCGTGCCAGGTGGACGCCCGCCAGCGCGGTTCGGGCGTGCATTCTGCGCTGACGTGCTGGATGGATGCAATTGCACGAGATTTGTCGAGGACCGTGCCGCCGTGCGTGTCCCTGAACATACGTATGTAGTCAGGAACTCAGAGGCAAGGGTCGCCCAGATGGAACATTTAATTGCAGGCTCCAGACCGCTCTCCGCCGTTTGTCGAGGGCTGGAGGAAATGGCCATCAGGAGATGAGGGGGACATCACGTCTCTGATCCAGGGCGGGCTTCGTCTGTTGAGAGAGTACGGGGCCTGGGCGTCTGCCGACGGAGCTCTGGATGGGCGAGGCCGAAGTACATGCTTATGGCGGCGTCATGGTTGTTGTGCAGTTGGATACCGAGAGAGCAACAAAACGTCGAGAACATAACGCCCAGTCGATGGACGAGCCTCGAGCAGAGGTACGATCGGGCCAGGGCAGCCAACACTATCCCACGCGGGACCGATCAAAAGCGTCCACGGCGCATGCGAGCGAGCATACCAGCCTGTGCGGAGTGGCAGCTCGGTGGAGAGCAACGGGGGCAGCGCGACGGACATCGCCCGTCGCCCGTCGTCCTCAGCATTCGTATTCTGCCGCGAGGGAGAGAGCGGGCGGAAAGCGTGCGGGGAGGGCGGGGGAAATGCCGGCGGATGGGCCTCAGATCAGGCAGCTGGCTGCCGACGCCGAGCGCTCTCCTGTCCCCGGCCCCCGCCCGCGAGTCCTCGCTCGCCCTTTGATCCTCTCTCCGTCCGTGAGTTTCCTCCGCCGCCCTCCGCCTCCCTCCCTCTCGCTCACTCCCTCCCAGCGCCAGCCCCGTCTGCACTTCTTCCCCTTCATCCCGCGCAGCCGCTTTTCCAGCCCGTCCCCGCGCCTTTCCCCACACCCTCTCTTCTTCTCACCACCACCCCGCGCCTGCGCCCGCCCCCCGCACGCCGCTGCCCACGATGAACTCTCGCCCGCACAAGCAATCCATGTCCGAGCTCAAGCTCCGCCGCCTCACCGAGCACAACCAGCGCCTCAGGGAGGACCTCGCCCGTCCACGGATAAGGGTCAGCGAGGCCAGTGCCAGGTCAGTCCCCCGCCTTCGTCCCCGTCTCGCTCGTCCACCGGTGCTCACGCCCCGCCCCCAGCCTCATCCGTTACTGCAAAACGACAAAAGACCCGCTCGTGCGTACCCCTTCTGCTCATCCTCTTCTCCCTCGACCCCTGCCCTCTCGCTTGCCCCGCGGACTGACCGCCCTCGCTTGCCCAGGTGCCGTCAGTATGGGGACCCGTACCACGCGCCGACGACCCGTACCAGTCCCAAGGCGGCGCAGGCAAGGGCTGCTGCACCATCCAATGAGCCGCCGCCCGCCCGCCCCGCCACCCCCTCCGCCCGCGCCGTCCTTGGTCTCCCTCCCCATCTGCTCTTCAGTGGCTTTCCGCGCTCGCGTACATTGTCCCCGTCCCCGCCGTTTACTGTATCCCTGGCCCCGCTCGCGCTCTTGACGGCACGCTACATGTCTCCGCCTCCTTCCCACCTTCATCTTCTCCTTCACTTTCACTTTCACTTTCGTCTTCCCAATCCGCCCCGCCCCCCACCCCTGCACGTCTTCCCTCTCGTCTGTCCACCGTTGATACTGTTTATTGACCCTCTGCCAACTCACGACCGGTCCCGTCTATACCATCGCTCGTTGCCCCCACGCTCTGCTCAGCAGTCTGCCTCGCCCTGCCCCGCCCTGCCCCCCGCCTTCTTCCCGCCGACCGCACCCACCGGCCCCACCAGCTCCGACGCGGCCGCAGCGCCCGTTCCCGACGCCAGTTCGACGCTTCCACCGCCAGCCACCGCATGACTCATCCGGTCCGACCGGACGACACGCGCCCCCGGGCCCACAGGCGAGGCGAGGTTGCGGTCGCGCGCCGACGACGGGTTTGCGCCAACGAGGGGCTCGGGTGGACTGCGGGGGAAAGGGCGGACGGGCAGGACGGGCGCGTCGGCGGACGGTGCGATCCCGGGTGCGTGCGCATGCGGAGGTGGAGCGAAGGCGAGTCGATGTCGACTGTCGGCTGAGGAGTGCAGTAAGGCCTGGTGGACCGCCGTTTGCGACTCCGGGCCCCGACTCCCACATCCTCGACCCCTCGTCCGTCTCGTTCCTATGCGTTGTTGCCCTCCCCCTTATCCTGCCTCGGACCTACTCGACCCGGCTCGCGGGTCGCTGTAGCAGCCTCGCTGTCGGTTTATGCCTCCCAGGCCCACTAAGTAGAAAGTACACAAGTATAAGTACTGCCGTGTCCATAACCCCGCCCGTCCGCCTCCGTCTCCTCTGCCCTCCCTTCGCCCTCACGTCCAGCCCCCACCAACAACCCAGCTGCCGTGCCTGGGCTCGTAGGACGACGAGCCTGATCGCCCATCAGCCAGCCAGCCGACGCCGCAAAGACACCGGCGTGCGCATCTGAGCGATTGATTGTTCGCGCGTCCCGCAACCTCGTCGTCGTCGTCGTTGGCTGGCCCGTCGTCTCGCAGTCTCGGACTCGGAGGGGGACGTCCCGAGACGGAGCGGTCGTGGAATGATGACGGACAACCGGGCGTGTTGTTCGTGTGTGCTTCTTGCACCGGTGCACGCCGTCTGCGCGTGCGCGCACCCCTCCTCGCCGTCGGAAAAGCCCCAGCGCCGTGAGGCGGGTCGCAGGATGCCATAACAGCGCGCGCGACGGTGGGAACGGGGGGCGGGAGTGGGAGTGCCGGGTCCGCCGGGGTGGGAAGTCGGGCTCTGGGGGCTTTGAGTTTTAGAGAAGTCGGGACGGAGCGCGGGCCAGGGTTCCCACCCCTGTTGTGGCTTCCTGCGGGTCTTGGTGTCCTCGGGCTGACGCTGGGGACTGGGGCCTGTGCCTCGAGCCTCGAGGAACGGAAGGAGCGCGGCGAGGCGAGGGGTGGAGGAATGGGACATTAGGATGTGGGCGCTCCATGAGGATGACACCTGTGCAGAAAGGTTGGCAGGTGCTGGCAGGGAGTGGATTGTTGGACGTGGGCGGGCATGAGGAGGGAGGATGGGCCGGATTAAAGCTCGTGGTCTTCGTCGTCGTACGTTTCCTTGATCAGCCTGTGCACCGCGCCGCATATATCAGTCAAAGTCCTGAACGTCAAGTGCGTGTCCACGCCCACCTGTAGACCGACGACGGCGGGTGGTCGCCGTCGTTGGTGATGAAGACGTCGACCAGCTCCGGGCCGACGTAGTCGTAGTACGGGTTGACGACGTCGACGCGCTCGACGAGCTTGCCCTCCTCGAAGCCAAGCACCGCGCTCGGGTCCGCGAAGTCGAGCGCACCGTAGTCGTGGTAGAGGTTCCAGAGCGGGGTGAGTTTGAACTGCCCGGCGCAGACGACGACCGGGGTCGAGTGCGCGCGCGCGGCAGTCGCGGCGAGCAGCGAGCCGGCGATCGTGACCATGCCGCCGTTGGCGAGGATGGCGTGCGCGCCGAGGATCAGCTTGTTCACCCGGGAGAGGATGGCGTAGATGGACGAGTCCGGGACGAGGTAGGTCGAGATGCCGGCCGCGGACAGTGCGCGGGCCATGTCGTGCCCTTGGTAGGAAGGTGCGGTCTCGGCGACGATCGCGGTGTAGTTGCGGTAGTGACCGGCAGAGCGGAGGAAGGCCTCGACGGTCTTGGAGTGCCCGATGGTGAGGATAATTTCGCTGTGGGAGATGACTCATGAGGATGGCGATGGATGGGGATCACTCCAAGGTGAGGACGCACTCGGAGTGGATGTGGTCCTTGGCATTCTTTGAGACGTTGTCGTAGACAGTCTCGAGCTCGTCCAGAACATCCTGGATCGCCTCCATCAGGACGGGCTTGAGCCCTCGCGCAAAGGAATCAGGGTCATCGGGGTCATCCTCTTTAAGGGTACCTGTCGCCTCCGACTTGGTTGCATATGTGGTCTGTTTGCGCGGCTGGCCCTGGAGGACGAACTTGCTGATGGTGTACACGTTCCGGGTGGAGGGGTTTTCTTTCGTCGCAGAGTTATACTCCTCCCTGATGTTGTGAAGGACGCGCCGGACCGTGTTTCCAACGGTATGTTCTGGGGGGCACCTTCAGCGCGTGGTAGACATGATGGAAGCGAGGTATATGCGCATGAAATGAAGTTATGGAACTGTACGAACCCTTTGGCTGTGCAGCTACGAGCCTCCGGCCGACCTCGCGGATGATCGCGATGAGTTGCTGGATATTTGAAAAGCGGGCCTTCGAAACGACTTGGCGGAGGACGAGGACGGTCTCGAGGGCTGCGCCGCGCGAGCCCACAACTTGCCTACAGGGAGCACACGGTTTGATAAATGCGCGTGATGACTGAAGAACGAGAAGTCCGCACCTTCTGCGCAGCTTGGCTGCCAGAGTCTCCACGGCCTTGTGCCCAGGGATGGGCCCGGGCGGGAGGAGGCTTGCGGTGCTCATAGATTTGACGGGTTAGCTTCGAGGGTTGGAGAGATGGATAGCCTTGGTTCAATACGTTTTATGCCTGGGGCTACCGTAGGAAGGCGAGGAGAGGATGAAAAAGCTGAGAGGGGTCGGCTGGTGGCGTACAAGATGCAGCGAGATCTAAGCGAGATCAACGAGATCGAGTCACCTCCCACGAGCACGTGCCAAGTACCAATCGGACGCGTGCACCTATACTTATTATTGGTATCGTCTCGTCCACGCATTTCTGCTCCAAGCTTTCTGCAAGGCCATACTGTAACTGCATATAGGTCCAGAAAAGTGCTGCGCACGGTGTACTGTTATTAGCCACGAAGTCTTTCCGCTAACTTTTGTTTGAGCTAAGTTCTTCGGCAGGGAGCCCAGCAAACTCTGAGGTCCTTCAGTACTAGTGGCCAGAGAGTCAGAGATCAGAAGAAACAATGCGCTGTTTTCTGTGTAGATGAGCTTTGCGCAAGACGCCCCTCAACTTGAAGCCGTTAGGCATAGATGACTGGAGTAAGGTGACGCCCAGTCGCTTCTGGCGCCGCTCGTCCAGTTGTCACGGGTGAAGTGAACGACCCATATGCCCGACTCGAGTTGGTGTGAGATATCATAGAACCAGTATTAAATTAAATCGCAGCCAATAAACCCGGAAAGAATAGACCATCGGAGACGGATTAACGGCACAAGACGTGCACAGGCCTAATCTTACACGCGATGACGACGTTGTTGTCGTCGTGTACATCAAAGGCCTGTGCGCCAGGAGAGTGTCGAACCGAGAAAATGCTATCGGTACAAGCCAGACCTTCGCCTCCCTTCTATACCGTGGCTGTCGATGGTCCCCCGACAGGCGTTATAGTCGCCAGTCGAAAAGCGACTTATAGAACGAGTCGCAGCGCTCCACCTGGTACTCGCACTCCGCCCACCGTCCGTCGAGAGCAGCCATCACTTCCGCGACGCGGCGCAGGATCTCCCTCGACGCCTTGACTTGGTCGTCGTCGTCGTCGCCGGAGTTGTCGTCGCGCCGCAAATCGCGGATCAGCCGCGCCATCAAGTCCTTGTCGAAATTGTTCTCCGAGAGGGCCGCGTAGTGCATCCAGGCGCTGTCGCGGGCGAGTGTGTGGGCGCGAGGGATTCGGGCGGCGAAGAGGGAGAGGAGAGCGAGGCGAACGGTGAGCGCAAGCGTAGAGAGCAGTGCCAACACTGTGGGACGTACAACTCGGCGGCGGTCGTCGGGTCCAAGCGCGGGGCCTCTGGCATCGAGAGGAAGCTGTTGACTAGATCTGGTTTGTACTCCCTGTGCGAACAAACCACGGCGACGGACACGGAGTCAGCGGACCCCTGCGCGCTGAAGTAGCGTATGGGTCGTTGCACGTACCAATTTTCACATATCGGCGGGGCACGCCGACGGATCGTACGGAGAACGGCCTGAAGCACGCCGAGCTCTTCTGTTGTTCTAGAGCGAGGCCCGGCGGGGAGCTGAGGATAGACTTGATAGGAGAACACCTGGGCGGCGTGCGGCATGATGGGCAAGAAGTTGGATGGGAGTCTGAGAGGGTGAGGGAGAAAACCGACGAGGGCTGAACGAAACTAGTGCGCCGCGTACCCTTTTTATATCTTTTGACCAGCCCGGCAGGAACATATCGTGCTCCTCGCTGGCGGCACCATAAACCACTCCGCGGCGGCTACGCGGCGGGGAGTGCCGAGTCGGCAATGTGGCACGCCCACCAGAACACTGCCCCTGGTTTGGCTTGGTGGCTTCTCCAGCGAAGCACGCACTGCCGCAAGTTGCCTTACGTGGAAGAAAGGAGAACTTCATTGTTCGCCTCAAAGGGAAGGCCGAGTCGCAGCAAAGCCCGTGTCGCGTGCGCGCGCGAGCCCGTATCAGGGGAGCAAACGGCCGCGGCGAGCACTTCCGCGTGTGCGGCGGTGGCGTGGACTACAACACAGAAAAACGGGGTGAGCCACTCAGCGGTGAGGCCTAGTGAGGCCGCATAGAGCTCTGATGGGAACGACGACGTACCGTCTTATCGCAACGGCCGACCGACCTGGGCTGAGGGCACCGGCATGGACGCGTCATTGTCTCAGAGCAGTCCGGAACTTGTGAGCGTATGCCGTCTAGGTCTGCGCTTGCTGGACTATACAGCGCCGATACCATATTTGACGGGAGGATACGCAAGTTCCGCTGAGGGACACGCATAGACTTTGTCAAAGGCAGTTCATTACGAGCTCTCGTACACAACCGCGTTACTTCTAGACGATGCTTCGAACTCTGCGTTTTCCTCCTGGGGCAGCCTGTGATGTGGTCGGATATCGAGAGGGGCGCGAGCGACCCGGTCTAATGCTCCGCTGTGCCCTTCAGGGGTGAGTCGGAGATGTACCAGTCGAGCTTGCGCTCCCATTCGCCGGGGAGGAGCTGGGAGATCTGCTCGACGTCCTTGTCGCCACGGCCGGAGAGACACTGTACAGCCGGGCCGCGATATCAGTATATCATTGGGAAAGCCGTGATTACAGACGCAATGGCCACGTACAATGACAATGTTGGCGTCCTTAGGCAGGGTCTTCGCGAGCTGAACGCCACCCCAGATGGCATGCGAAGACTCGAGAGCTGTGATGGAGAACAGTGAGCAACTACTCAGGCGACGGCGGACGTGGTGGAATCGAACTCACCAGGGATGATGCCCTCCTCCTGCGTCAGCATCCTGAATCCACGAAGCGCCTCTTCGTCCGTGGCAGCCGTATACTCCGCGCGACCCGATTCCTTGAGCCAGGCGTGCTCGGGCCCAACACCGGGGTAGTCAAGACCCGCGCTGATCGAGTGCGTCTCGATGATCTGACCCGCCTCGCTCTGGAGCACGTAAGTCCTGACGCCGTGGAAGACGCCGGCCTGACCCTTGCTCAACGTCGCGCTGTGCCTGACGCCATCAAGGCCCTCTCCTCCCGCCTCCACGCCGACCAGCCTCACGTTCTTGTCCGGAATGAAGTCGTAGAAGGTACCGATGGAGTTTGAGCCGCCGCCAACACAAGCAACAACGGCCTCAGGGAGCTTCCCCGTCTCCGCAAGAAGCTGCTCCTTGATCTCCTGGCCGATGACGCGCTGGAAGTCGCGAACAATTGTCGGGAAGGGGTGGGGGCCGATCGCCGAGCCGATGAGGTAGTGCGTGGTGGAGAGGTTCGTGACCCAGTCGCGCAACGCCTCGTTGACTGCATCCTTGAGGGTGCGCGAGCCGGACTCGACGGGTATCACGCTACCGCCAAGCATGCGGATGCGGAAAACGTTCAACGCCTGACGACGGACATCCTCCGCCCCCATGTAGATGACACACTCGAGGCCAAAGCGAGCACAAGCGGTCGCGGTCGCGACACCATGCTGGCCCGCACCGGTTTCAGCGATGATACGCTTTTTGCCTAGCCTTTTGGCCAGCAGGACCTAGTAAGAGGAGCAGGGAATTAGCATCTCGAAGTCTAGCGACATGCAGCTCGCTACCTGTCCGATGGCGTTGTTGATCTTGTGCGAGCCGGTGTGGTTCCTGTGCAGCGCTCAGCTCACGGGCAAGCGATCAACGCGGAGCGACTCACAAATCTTCGCGCTTCAGCCAAATGGTAGCGCCGCCCGCGCTCTCGCTAAGCTTTTCGGCTTTGTACAGGTTCGACGGCCTGTTCATGTAGCCATAGAGATCCTTCCATTCCTTGAGGAAATCTGGATCCTTCATCGCGATGTTGTGGGCCTCTTCCACCTCGACTAGACAGTCCCAGAGAGCCTCCGGAACGTACTGTCCACCGAACTGACCGAAGCGCGGCGGCAAGACATTCGTGGAGCTCGACTCAGCTGACTTGAGAGGTAGCCTTGTGGCTCGTGTGGAGGTCGAACGAGGGGCGGCGGCGCGTTTAGGCTTTTGACCCTTGAGGCTGATCTCGCTGCAATACTCCTCGACCTTCTGCGCAACCTTGTCTGCGGGGGAGGTCTTGATGACGGCGATGAGACGAGACCCGATGACCACACCGTCAGCGCCTGCATCGGCTACCAAGTCGAAGTGCGCGCGAGTAGCAACACCAAAGCCAACCGCCAGTGGGACGTCGGTGTAGTCTCGGACACGAGAGATGAGGTCCGGAAGGGCGGAGTTCATGGTTCCCGAGACCGAAGATCCCGTGGTGCCCATCTACAGAGTAAGTGGGTGAGTGAAAACGCCGGTCAAGATTCGCAAGCGGGGCGCGGCTCACCTTGGACACAACATAGATGAACGAGTCCGCGATGGAGGCCAGGAACTCGATACGACCCAGCGTCGTCGAGGGTGCGATGAGAGGGACGTAAGAGAGGCTAAAGATACTCAGCAGATGATAGTAAACTTGACAGGCAGAATTACTTTGCAGTGCGACATTTGTTGCGGAATGAGACGGCTTCTTCGGGCGGGAGGTCGACGACGATGTAGCCATTGGCGCCAGCCTCGACCGCATCTTGGATGGCCTTGTCTTCGCCATAAGCGAGAATAGGATTATAGTAACCTGCGACCAGCTATGCATCAGTTCTGATATGACTCGCTTAACCGGAAATGACTCACCCATGAGAAGGACAGGCACGGTCAACCCTTTGCTGCGCGCCTCACGAATCATGCCCAAGCACATGACGTAGTCGACGTTTTGTTTGAGCGCGACCTGCCAGAGGGTTGCAGTTAGACAAGCGTTGGTGAGATGAAAGGGCCGCGAAGAGGGAACGACGCTGCACGGCGAGACGGCGAACAGTTGTATGCGCGCATAAATAACCTGATGGCCGCGAGCCACGTCCACTCGACGGAGACCCATGCACGCGAGTAGAATGGATGCGGGAAGGACGGCATACCACGTTGGTCTCCTGGATCGCAGGTCCATCCGCGATGGGGTCGGAGAAGGGAACGCCGAGCTCGATGATGTCCGCGCCTCCTTCCTGCATGGCGAGCAGGCATGGTACCGTGTCCTCGATGGTGGGGAAGCCAGCGGTGAGGAAAGTAACGAGAGCGGGGCTCGACTGCAAGACGCGTGAGCATGGTGGCGGGGTACGGAAGCGCGACGGGGACACGAACGTTCTGGTTCTTGGACTCGAAGACCTTCTTGAGAGCATCCATGGTGGAGGACGAGATGAGAGGGAGCGGGGTGGGGAGTCAAGCGGCGGGGCCTAGTCATTTTATGGCCTGTGTGCAAGACAGAGGATGAGCCTGACGCGGGCCGGCCGGAGATCGAGCCCAGCTGCGCACTCCGAGCATGCTCCGCTTTCTTCACCGTCGCCAAAGGGCGGCGCCTGTTCTTCCCGACCGCCATCTCGCTTCCACGATGGACATCTCGCACTCCTCCGACGAGTCCAAGGTGCTCATCCTCAACACCGGAGGGACCATCAACATGATATTCAGTCAGCAGGGATATGTCCCAGAGCCCTACTTTCTCACCGAGACGCTTCACAGTCAACACCGCTTCCACGACCCGCTCGAAGAATCGCTCTTTTCCCACTCAGGGTCGCTTGAAGGATACAGGCGGTGGACGAACAGCGGGAAAGGCAGTCCAATGGGAACGCAGTTCGGAAGCCGAGAGCCATCTCCGAGTCGCGGCGGAGCGCGTGAAGAGCCACCACAGTCCCTCACTCTCCCCGTCCGATCATCTCGCCCGATTGGCCTCCCAGAGCACCTTGCGCCCACCGCAGACAAGCTCTTGCCGCGTCAGCCAATATGCAAGAAGCTCTCCGAAGACGTCTACGAGGCTCAGCTGCCCACTCTCGTCACTCCGCGGAGCAGCGGTCCTGGAGGAAACCGCAAGCGGATCAGGTATGCTGTTCTCGAGGTGAGCACCGCAACAACTGAGGTAGAGGCGCGGCTCTGATAAATACGCATATAGTGGCATCCCATGCTAGATAGCAGCAACATCGAGATCCAGGGTGTGTCTATGCGCTCGGATCCGGCGCCCAGCGTTCTGAGCTTCTTGTTGCGTCCAGCACAGATTGGATCCGAATCGCTTCGGACATAGAACTCAACTACTCCACGTTCGACGGCTTCGTCATCCTTCACGGGACGGACACCATGGCCTACACCTCTTCGGCTCTCAGCTTCATGCTCGAGGATCTGGGGAAAACTGTGGTATGTTATGTGCGGTCTGGATGACAGTGTATCGCTCCATTCACATTGCCCTGCTCAGTAGGTCATTACGGGCGCACAGATCCCGATGTCCCAACTGCGCAATGACGCCGTCGACAACTTACTCGGAGCTCTCGTCATCGCCGGACACTACATCATCCCGGGTGCGTGATCACGGAGCGCTTCTTCGGCGACTGTTGACGCTCCGCCAGAGTGCTGTTTGTATTTCAATCACACACTCTTCCGCGGCAATAGAGTCTCGAAGATGTCTTCGTACGACTTGAACGCATTCAGCAGCCCCAATTTTGCGCCTCTCGTAAACGGTGAGCATAGACTCTTCCTTGCTGTCTGCATCGCTTACGCGCTCGCGCATGTAGTTGGAATAGACATTGTGGTCAACTGGCAGGACGTCATCCGTCAAACTAATCTGAGGCGTTTCCGCTCGCACAAACGTCAGTCATTTAATACGTTGTTGTATGCGCACTATATGCTCATCTCCGCCACCGCAGTCATGAGCCCCCACGTTGGTGAGTCATTTGGCTCTTGGGCGGCGCTCGATTGCTCACCAAGTCCGCATATACAGCGACACTGCGTCTGTTTCCTGGCATTACAGGCGCCACCATCCGCGCATTCGTAGCTCCGCCCACTCGCGGAGTGGTTCTGGAGACCTTTGGCGCAGGCAACGCTCCGCAACGTGCGGATCTCGCTGAAGCTCTCAAAGAAGCTTGTGACAATGGAGTCGTTATTGTTGCAATCACGCAGTGCAGCAAGGGTTCCGTTTCTGACGCCTACGAGACCGGACGAAGCCTGCTTCAGGCCGGAGTAGTTCCCGGCGGCGACATGACGCCAGAAGTGAGCGCGCATCTGATCCTCCAAAGCATCACACTGACGACCAACAGTGCGCGCTCACGAAACTTAGCTACCTCCTCTCCAAACCTGAGCTCTCCGTTGCGCAGGTCCGAGCGCTCATTGGCACCCCACTGCGCGGCGAACTTACCCTCCCGGAAAGCAAGATCCCTGCGTCTCTCAGCCAGCCAATCTCCATGGCGCAGAGTCTGGACAACATCCAAGGCCTCCTCTCTCAGGTTGTCCGTCTGTCTTCCTCTTCCTCTGCACGCGCGCCTACCATCAAAATCGAAACCGCCGACACGCGCGAAGACGCCGAGGCGGCTGAGCAGGCCGCCGCGCCCTGGTCCTGGACCGCCGCCGAAGCAATCGCGACTGAGTCCTCGCTCTTCCCTTTCCTCATCCACCTCGCCGCCGCACGCGACGACCCGGATGGTGTCGCGTTCTGCCTCGCCGCCGAGCGCGACCGTGCACCCGAGTCCGGTATGGTGATCGGCGGCGGGCTCGCGAACTGCGCGGACCCCGCGTCTGGGCGCGCTCCGTTGCACGCCGCGGCGCTCCAGGGCGCGCACAGAGCGGCGGGAATGCTGCTCGAGGCGGGCGCGCTGGTGCATGTGCGCGACGCGCTGGGCCACACGCCGCTGTACTACGCGGCGCGCCAGGGGCACGAGGAGCTCGTGGAGCTGCTCGTCAAGACAGGCGCGAACCTCGGCGGGGCGGACCTCGAGGGCGGTTTCGTGAGGCTGGCGGTGAAGAAGGCGGTGCGCGCGAGGGATGAGGCTGCCCTGCGTGTGTGGAAGAAGGCGGGGATGGACGTGGAAGCGTGAGTAACAAGCATGCTGTAAAGGGCTCAACGTCGTCAAAATGTCTGCGTCAAGAACATGTACAATAGATGTTACACCGTACAGTACAGTACCAAAAACTGCAGACAATCTTTGCTTTACTTTATGGCCCGAGGAACGCGTACGATAAATGGGCGGTACATACCGACCCAAGTGCGCAACAAGTAGCGGTATGCTTGCTCGCTGGCCCAGTGGTCGACGACGGGGAACGTCGACGAGTCGGCGGCTCCCGCGCAGTAGATGTTGTAGGACACGAAGGAGCTGTTGCGTTGGTGATATCATTACAAGGGCATGCGCCCAGCCGAATAGACCGCGCGTAGGCGGGTTGGCGGCGTACTTGAGCAGAGCCTGTCCACTTCTACACAACGGGAACGTCCTTCGTCAATGTCATACATCGCGAAGCTGCGCTGTGGATATACTATTTGCCTCTCACACTACACAAGCATGACTCGGAAAAAGCATTCGATTTCGCACTACTCTACCACACGTAAACTGTACTACGAAAACGAACCCTGGTGCATGTGAGCAAAAGGAGCAGGTCATAGAGAGCGGTTTGGCATGGTGCGGTTGCGGGTGTGTGGGGGGCATAGTTTGGTGGGGAAAAGGGCGGCTCATAAAGAGCGGCAGTGCGACCCGCGGCGGCGGCCCCCGGGATCTGCAACCTCTGTGACATTCCGTGCGGACCCTCATTAATCATTAATCATTTCTGGGCGGGCGGCGGCGGAGAGGGCAGATCGATCGGGACCGTGGACGCAGGCCGGCAGGCGGGTGCGGTGCGCGGCCTTGCGCGGCCTGAGGGAGATATTTTGCGAGAGGGCGGAGTGGCCAACGTCCGAGTCGGCGCCGCGTGGCCCTGACGGGAGTGGGGAGAAGGCACAAGGGGGAGCGTACCATAACACCTTATAACACCTTGCGCGGGCACCGATGGCCCTGACATCGGCGACCCACAAAACACGACAGGATATCCGCCTGCCCGCCGTGGCGCAAGGGGCTTCTGTGCGGGTCTCATGAGCGTGCGATACGATGGGTATAGGGAGTGCTGGTGGCCATGAGTGTGAGTGCTGGTGGCGATGGATCCATGGTGGCGTAGCTGGGCAAGGGCGGGCATGGGGCGGGAACTGCACACGGCGCGCGGGCAGCGGGACTGTGCGTTGGGGGCCCGGTGCATAGCTGTGATCACAAATGTAAGAATCGTGAAAGCATGAGAGCGTAGGCCTAGGTTCCATACTACTCGAGGGCAATCCCGAGTGGGGGCGCCACTCCCCGCAGAGCGTGCGCGGCCGAGTGCCAGTCCACCGAGGCGGTCCTAGGGACCTGTTAGAGTCGAATCGTGCATGCTGCAGGGGGTAGCCGCGCTGAGCCTCGTCACCGGGAAGGCGGAGGAAGGCGGGGGATGAATCGATGACCGAGGAGGTCTGCTGAACGAGGCTGCGGGCGGCTAGAGCCAGGATTTGCCGCCATTCCAAAGAAGTGGGCGCTTGTCACGTGATGTGGCAGGCAGTGTAGAAATTATGGTGGTATTTGTTGGCAATGCAAACATCCTTCCCGCTGCCGCGTACTATTCCGTCCGCTGCCGACCCCCGCCCTCGATGGCGGCTTCAGGACTCTCGGACCGATCAGGGTGAAACGAGGCCCACTCCCACAATGCTGGTTAGGGGCCGGCAGAAAAGTTCTCTCCTACAAAAGCCAACAAGTTGCGTCGACGCTACATCACTCTCCTCCTCCTCCTAGAGCTGCACCCAGGGTAAACAACTTCGCGCAATTATGGCAAGGGTCGGCACCATGCCCGGACACTGCGTGACGCAGGACCAAAAGTCCTTCCTAGACCGCCTCACTAAGGGAGGCCATCCAGACGTGGAGCGATCCCACTTAGTGAAGCCCGACGTCGACAAACTGAAGAAGGGACACGAATGGGAGGTGACGCTCGAGTTTGTGCGTATTTTCGCTGCTCATCCGAAGTATCGCGTTCTAATATCATCTCTTCAAGGTCCGTTTCGCCCACAGCATCTTGGAGCACACAACTCCTCCAGATGACCGACCAGAACTCGTCGTCCGCGATGTCTCAGACCGACAAATGCCGGCCAATTCCACTCTGACTGAATCCGGCCGCTCCAACTCGACCAAAGGCGTTGGGTGCGATGCCGGCCTGTTCTTCAACGACGAGCGGTATCGTCAAGTCGTTCACGTTTCAGAGGAGGAATACCTCGACGTTTCAGAGGAGGAAGACCGCGACGTTTCGGAGGAGGAAGACCTCGACCCCTCAGAGGAGGACGACCTCGACGACTCAGAGGAAGAATACCTTGACGATTCAGAGGAGGAAGACCTCGGGAAGCCAGGTGCAACATCGGAGCTGGAGGACAAGCACGGGATGCGTGCCCCTTTCGTCGGGCGCTGCTCATTCGCCGACATCGTCGTCCCCATCGAGGTCAAGGCACACCACAGCCAGTGCGCGTTCGAATTCAAAGATTCTGAAACCACTTCCATTCGGTCGGAGGAGGCGACTGACGAGGACCCTGCATCGATGGGTTGGGCCCGTTCGGCAAGTACCTCGGGTGACCTTCGCCAGACAGCACCGGATCCATGTCTACGCCGTCTACATCTTCAAGAACCTTGCACGCTTGGTCTACGTCGATCGCGGCGTCTGTGTCGTGACCGACGCATTCGACTGGAGTAGTGAGAGGGTATGGATGACCTCGTCACCTTCATCTGGCGACTCGCGCACATGACGCGCACAGAACTCGGCTTCGACCCTACCGTCACCACCGCTTCGCGGGAGGACTTCGAGGAGATGTACGACTTTGCGAGGAAGTCGACTTCCATCACCCCATACGTCCGCAAGCAGCTCTACTACGCGCTCTGCCTCACTGAACAACTGGCCGATGACACCCCTGCGACACGTACCCCGAGCCAGTGTGCAACCAGTGGCGCTCCGGCGCATCAAGAGGTCGAACGGCGGATACATCTTGTTTGGCCGTCCGACGTTCGTGAACCCGTCTCTTGTCGGTCGCTGCACCATCGCCGGCGTCGCGTTCGTCCCCGCCCCGTCAGACGCCGTGGACAAGGCGGCCGCCGGGAAGGCGATCTTCACCAAGTCGCTCTGGCGGATCGATCACCCGGCCATCCGGCCAGAGCACGAAATCTACGAGATGCTCAAGGCCAAGCTTGTGGGAGGCATCCTCACGTGTCTGGGTGGTGAAGACGTCTCTGCCGGCCCAGGACTCCAGCGACTGTGCACGCGTGCAGCTGAATATCTCGACGCAAGGATTCCTTCGGCTGCCGGCGACAAGGAGAGCCATCAACGGTGCAGCCGGGTGCTCTACCGGATCAGTTTCGAGGAGATCGCTCGGCCTCTTACGGACTTCAGGTTCTGGCCCGAGCTGTTTGCGATCCTCTCCGACGCCCTGACAGGTGGGTCCTTGTTTCCGTAGATGTTCGACAAATCTGACGAAGCCGGTGCACAGCCCATCAGGATGCGTGGAACAAGCGGAGGTCTTGCACCGTGATGTCAGCGTCAACAACATTCTGATCGTCGAGAAGAATGGCACGCCCTCCGGCGTACTCTGCGACTGGGAGTGTGCAAGCGTAAAGACCAAATGGGTAAAGCGCAGAGGATACCCGACCGCACGGTGTGTCCTCTCACTCTCCCGTGAAAGGGCCAGAGCCTGACAGGCATGGTCTCAGGGGACTTGGCAATTCCGATCTGCGACGTTGTTGAACTGCCCGTGGATGCCATACAGACTGTCGGACGACATCGAGTCCTTTGTGCACGTGCTCAACTATCTCGTCATGCGCTTTTATTACACAGGCATAGGCTCATCCGAGTTTGTCGCAAGGTACTTGTGTTTCTTCGAGGAATATGGTGAGGTGAAATGCGAGGAGAGAGGCGTCACGGCCTACGTTGGCGGCACACAGAAGCTGTGGGCACTCAGAGCCGCACAGCCGCATTTCGAACCTGAAGATAACGACACTCTGGCCACAGCCATGCAGGACGTCGCCGACATCTGCGCACGGCACTACGGTGCTATGGACTTCAAAACGCTCCGGCGGTTGTATGCCCCCGTCAAAGAAAAGAAAGGCATCGTCGAAATGAATGCCAACGTAGAGGCCATATCAGATGCACTTGTCGACAACTTTCAACGCGACGGGCCCGCGCGTGAGGTATCTCCCAGCGACGAGGATTCCCAGTCTGGGGGGTCTTCTCCGCCCCTCGTTCCGTCCACTCCTCTCGCCACCCTGTCATCTCCCGCCAACCCCGTCCCATCTTCTCCTACCGACCGCGAGGACGCAGAGACCTTGGTAGGCAGCCATGGACTCGACGAGTCCGACGGCGCAGACGCCAACGCAACGGCGAAGTCCAACCCCCCGCCATCCCCGCCGCCGCCGCGTCCCGACCCTCCCGGCCCGCTGTCTACGCACGAAGATCTTCTTGCTGTGTCCAAGAGATGGAGCGTGGCCCGGAAGTGGCCGAACAAGAAGGAGCGGTCGCGGTTGACGCAAGACTTGTTCGTCGACGTGCGGCTCGTCAAGCGCAACAACAACGCGTTCTCGCTCGGCTCGACGGACCCGTTCTACTACTCCAAGCCGACCGAGCCGGCGCGGAAGAAGGCCAAGACGAACAGCGGGACACCGCTCGCCAGCGTCGGCGAGGAGCCTGTGCCGCTCGAGCGAGACGATGATGCGGACAATGCCAGCCAGGCGCCGTCCGGTCATAAACGCAAGCGGAAGGAGTAGTGAGCGAGCCGCTGTGCCACTCGGATTTGGAATCTCTATGGTGTTGTTTTGGCAGCTCGAGCGTGTTGAAGGTCGAATAAGAGATAGTAAATGGCCATCGTGAGCGGCTTCGGCCCGGTAAGTACAATGTGTGGGCGCAGAGCACGTGCGAGCGGGCAAAGCACGCACGCGCGAGCACTGGTGGAGGTGCCAAAATAAACAGGCTGCACTAGTGAGTGAGAGACACAAAACCGCCGTTGACCTGAGGACGTCGATGCTTCGAGCGTTCGTCTCCTCTACTCCGATGACCTGGGTCGCGGACGCGTATAGCAATCTCGCGCCTTCCTTGCAATGAAGTCCCGATAGTAAAAACATCGACCTGTCTTGATTCGAGTCGCGTCACGAGAAACTTGCAAGTGTGCTTCCTCAAACGTCATGGTAATGCGGTCAAGTCTAAAGTCTGCGCGAAAGAATAATGTTAACTGGTGACTAATCAATACATGCATCCCAGTGAGACAGCGTTTGCACGGAGAACAAAGTACACGCGAAAGCAGTCTAAAAGCTTACTCGACGACGATGACTTCAGTAGATTCGTTCCCTACGCCCGCGCTCCCTTTGTGCTCGAAGATCCCTTGCACAGTCTCATTGAGCGTCCGCAAAAAGACCGTCATCTGGTCGCGCGCGAACATGAACGGGTCCTTGAAGAAATCAAGCCGCTCCACGATGTCGGGGTCTTCCTTGTCGAGGTCATTCGGGACGTATTTGACCTTGAGCACGAGTTCGTCGCGCGACACCCGCTGGTTTACTGGCATGTTGTCTGGCCGGCCGTACATGTTCCGCAGGACGAAGTTAAGCGCTGTTAGGGTCGCAGAGCAGATAAGACGGCAGCACAAGTACTCCGAAACAGTGTACCACGTACAGAACTTGGCGTCATCTTCGCTGGAATACGTGTATACGCACGTCATCAACTCTTCCTCGATATCAGGCCACTCGGGGGACTTCTCCATCTTGACGTTCATGACAAGGAAGTTGGTCATGTCTTCGTAGAGCTTGATCACAACCGCATTGCGAAGTTCTGTGGCCGTTGCCTTGATCGAACGTGGGACTAAGGGCCCACCGGTACGTGACACCATCGTCTTGGAACGCTCAATTTCCAGCTCCAGCTCCTTCTTTGTCATCTTGGCTGTAGTACAACGCCTTCATTAGTGGTGATTCTGGCAAGGCGATTCGAGAGCGTACCTTCTTCGCGGGCATCTAGCACCTCCTGCTCTTTAGCGGTCACCGCCGCGTCTCGTTGCTTGAGGGCCTCCTTCAGTCGAGAGTTCTCCTCCAGCAGCGCCTTCTTCTCTGCATCGGCGGCTTCGCGGGTCATGAAGTGCAGGGTATGCGTCCCATTAGCACTAGACTTGGAAGGGGATTGTAGTTGGGATAGTTGTCCGGTAAGCTCGTGTATGAGACTGTCCTTCTCTTTGACGCTTGTGAGACCGCGAAGATGTTACCTGAACGAGCGGCTTACTTTGCACGGTGTCGTCGAACAGAGCCTGAAACTCCTTCAGCTCTTGCTCAGGCTCGGAACGTAACCGGAAGAGTTCTTGAAGGGTCTTGTCCAACTTGTCTCGCTGAAGGGTGATCTGACGCCGCACCGGTGTCCTGTGAGTGCGTGCCCGGAAGAATGCAGCTCCTTGCTCACCTCGGTTGTCGCCTCTTGTGCTGCAGTAAGTTGGGCGCGCAGATCCTCCACCTCCCGCCTGAGCCTCTCCTCCTCTTTCGAGGGTCGTGCAGGGACGGCTGCTCCATTCTTCATCTTAGCCTGTTTTGTGCCTCGTCCTGCTCGCGGCGCTGGGGGTTCTGGGGCGTCGTCGTCGTCCGGCTCGATGGCAGCTTCCTCCACCTCCATCGCCTCTCCATTTACGGCAGACTGATCCGCTCGAGTCTTGCCCTTTGTCCCGTTCGGCTTGGTGGTGCCATTCGTCATGGCCGTCGCTGCTGAAGACGTCCTCTTCGCTCCCTTGGGTGGACCGATGTTGGTCGCGACAGCCTCGGGGTCTTCGCTGGTCTTGCGCTTCTTCTTCGCAGGTTCGACGACCGCGACCTCTTCCGGCTCATCGTTGAGCTCGATGGTAGAGCCGCGCTTCGTGGTGGACTTCTTCGCGGCCACGGCCTTGGTCTTGGAGGCAGGCTTTGTGGAGGGACCCGCAGTGGTTTTGGCTCCGGTCCGCGGACGACCGACTTTAGCGGGGGCGGGGGTGGTGGGACCGTAGTTGTTTGCTGAAAAGCATGGGCACTTCCATCGATATTCAGACGTCCAGGCGCGCGGCAGGGAGACGACAGGAGCTTACCGAGATCGTCCTCGGAGGCGTCGGACATGGGGAGCACAGTGGGTATGTTGGGGGTATGTCCGAGTGAACGGTGGCGAAAGTGCGTTCACGCGCCTTTGTTTGGCCAGTCAACAACGCGGCGAGACGCGATCGACGCGGCACGTGCGGTCCGCCCGCCCACAAGTCGCGATGGCACAATGCGCTCGCATGATCTTCTCTCCGCCACCATGGGTCGACTTCAAATCAACCATCACACATCACACCACCCTGGGTCTGCCTCCTGTTTGCTGGTAACCCACATTCACCTCTCAGCTACCCGCCTAGTCTGCTCTTCGCGAACCCAGTCTCAATGGAAGCCTACCTGAGCAAACGCGAGGAGCTCATCAGTGAAGACAGGGCCCTACGGCCAGACGGCTTTGCGTCCAAAAGCCTCACTCCCGATGAACGCAAGGCGGACGAGATCCTCAGGACCGTGCGGGCAGCGGAGGCGGAGTCGGTCTGGGGTTTGGACCGCAAGTCCAACCATCCACATGGATCTCAGCAGATGTTCCCGGGAATGGAGTTCTTGACTGGTGCGTGGATCCAACTCCTGTCGGTGGCCGTGGTTTCATTTCGTCGCCAGCCCGGAAGACGATCATGGGCACGAAGATCTTCGACATCCTCAGCAAGGTATGTCGTTGCCCCGTCTCCGACCCCATATGCGCCAACCTATCCTGCTCAGATGCCCAAGGGTGGACTGCTCCATGTGCACTTGGACGCAACCGTGCGTGCGGACGTTCTCTTGAAGCTCGCCCTTCAGCAACCCGCTATGCACGTCCGCATCTCCGGTGCTCTCGCCCTTAACAGCTTCAAGACGGTGCTCCCTGAGTTCCGCGCCCTCCCCCAGTCCCAGTGGACTCAGATCGCTGGCATCACGGACGCGCAACACGTTCCAGGCTCGTGGGTTCCCATTCAGAACGCGCGCAACAACTTCGACAAGGCCATGGGCGGCCCGGAGGGTTTCGACCAGTGGGTTATTGGCTCCCTCATGATTGATCCATCAGAAGCATATCATACACACAACACTGGGGCCAAGGTATGTACGCGATCTGCGGTGATCGTTGGGCTGGAGTTGTTCTGACGTGTTATATGTAATAGATCTGGGAAAAGTTCGAGTCGACTTTTGGTGTGTCTGGGGTGAGTATTGTAATACCTGTGCGGCGTCCGCATCCTCAACGAGACTTCGCAGGGTCTTATCCTGAACATGTCGATTTTTGCGGAGTACATTCGAGAGTTCCTTCTGTCGTCAATCGAAGATGGAGTGTCGTATGTTGAGCCACGCATCTTGTTCTGGGACAAGTGGGTCAATGAGCGTGCGCATACAACCACATGTCTGATCCGTCCCCTTCTATTTCCAGGTTCATGGTCGGCGAAGACGGCGAACAAAACGTGCCCCACCGGGTATGGGTTCAGACCTTCGAACGCGTCATGAACGAAGTTCGTGCAAAAATGCACGCGCAAGGCCGCGACGATGAATTCGTCGGCGCACGCATCGTCTATTCCACCGTCCGTGTATGCGAGTCGAGCGAGCTCGAGTGGTTCTTGGAAGACTGCCTTGCGCTCGCCAAGGAGTTCCCACATCTCATCGCCGGCTTCGACCTTGTCGGCCACGAGGACTCGCTGAAGCCCCTCATCTACTACTACGAGCCCCTCACTAAGTTTGCGGAGAGGCAGAAGGAGGAAGGCGTCAATATCCCATTCATGTTTCACGCCGGCGAAACATGCGGTGATGGCTCCCCAGCTGATCTCAACCTGTATGACGCCATTCTGCTTGGCACTAAGCGCATCGGTCATGGGTAAGGCTTTGACGGCATCCCTTCCTGCACGCTGACTCACCCTCTCGAGCGTAGATTCTCCATCTACAAGCACCCCAAGCTCATGGAGATATGCAAGGAGAAGGGTATTTGCATTGAGATGTGCCCCATCTCGTGAGTGTTGGGCTTCCCTTTCCTTGAACCACTGCTAAGGATACCACTAGAAACGAGATATTGCGGTTCACGGGCTCCATGCCTATGCATCCACTTCCGGCCGTCCTGAACCATGGTGTACACGTCGCACTCTGCTCCGACGACCCGTCGATCTTTGGCAACATGGGCCTCTCGTTTGACTTCTTCCAAGTTTTCGTGTCCAGCGAAGTTAGCGGAATCGCGACGCTGCGCTCCTTCGTGTGGGACAGTATCAAGGTGAGCCCTGCACTCTGCTCTCTCCTGTGCCTTCCCGTCTGACTCCACATGTAAAGTTCTCGAGCCTTGATGACGAGGAGAAGAAAGAGGCGTATGGCAAGTTGGAACGCCGCTGGACGACGTTCATTCGCTACATCATCGACACCTACGGCCGCAGTATGTGAGCCGCTCAATCACATTCTCTCAGACACTGCATCGCACCCATGTATCTCCATGTATCCATAGGTAATGTCTCGGTTATGTGCATGTACCACCCAACGTAACAACTCAACTTGTTGCAAATACTACTGTTCTGAGCTCTTCATTGTTCTGCCGTGTCTCTCCGGAGTCATTCCGTCCGGAATTAGACGTCGGCGTTTGCCGCGGCGACTGATGAGACGAAGCTGCGGCACTATAAATCTGCAAGACCACAAATGACTCCCCTCCCATCCTCGAGCCTCCCCTCATCGAGGCACCATCTCGATGGACGCCAAGTATCTTGAAGACCGGGAGCGCCTCATCGCGGAGGACAGAGCACTTCGCATCGATACTCTCGCCCTCGCTCAGGCGACGGATATCGAGAAGAGGGCAGAAGACATCGTCCGCCAAATCCGTGCGGACGAGAATGAGCGAGTGTGGGGGCCGAACGCGCCCGAGCTCCCTGGCGCGCAGCACATCTTCCCCGGGATGGCGTTTCTGACTGGTAATTGCCCTTCTCATGGTGTACGACATAGGCAGTGAGAGTTTCTTAGCGAAGGAGACCATCCTGAAGACGAAGATGTTCGAGATTGTCTCCAAGGTGAGCGCGGCTCCGCCTGACTAGCCCTCGAGGTTGACGTTCTCCCGTTCAGATGCCCAAGGGCGGTGTACTTCACGTCCACTTGGATGCCACGGTCGATGCCACGACGCTTCTTCGCATTGGTCTCAAGTACCCCGCGATTCATGTTCGTGCGCCGCAACGAGTGACTGCCTCGTCTATGTTGTCCACCTTTCCCGAGTTCGCTCCACTCCCGAAGAGCTCGTGGACGTCAGTCGCAAGCCTCACTGGGCCTGATTACGAGCCTGGCACATGGGTTCCCCTCAAGAGCGCGATGGATGTGTTCGACGCTACGTTGGGCGGCCCGGAGGGCTTCTTCAAGTGGGCCTGCACCGGGATGACGATCAACCCGTCTGAAGCGTACGGGACACACAACACGACCGACAAGGTGCGCCTCCGGAGTCCTCGTAGGGGACAGTTCCTAGTCGGAGCTGACGACTGCACCAGATCTGGAAGCGCTTCGGGAAGACGTTCGAGATCCAGCGCGGATTCACACGATACCTGCCCATTTGGAAGGACTTCGTCCTCGCCCTTTTCAGGCACGCGGTCAGCGATGGGATCTCGTATATCGAGGCTCGGGTACCGTTTTTCTTCAAGTAGGTGTCGACGTCCTTGACGTGCTATTCGCTCCCTGTTTCACCATCATTGCACAATCAGGTACATGTTCGGCGAAGACGGCAACGAAACCGTGCCTCATCGCGAGTGGTTGATCGCCTACGACCAAGTGCTCGCTGAATTCAAGGAGGAGCTCGTCGCGCAGGGCCGCGCGGAAGAGTGGGTCGGCTCCAAGGTCATCTACAGCATGCGGCGGACCGTGACCCCAGAGGAGCTCGAGTGGTTCCTCGAAGACTGCATCGCGCTCAAACGCGAGTTCCCGCACCTCATCTGTGGTCAGTTCTCGTTTCACTGGCGTTCAACCGCGCAAAGCGGCGCTCACATGGTGCACGTCGCAGGATTTGACCTCGTCGGGCACGAGGACCCACTCCAGCCGCTCATATACTACATCGATCCCCTGCGGCGGTTTGTGGAGCGCCAGAAGGAAGAGGGGTTGGACATCCCGTTCATCTTCCATGCGGGAGAGACGCTGGGCGACGGCTTGCCGGCAGACATGAACTTGTACGACGCCATCCTGCTTGGCACGAAGCGTATTGGTCACGGGTGAGCACCAGTTCGAGGGACTGTTCAAGGTGTAAACTCAGATTCGTGCTGCATATAGCTTTTCTCTCGTGAAGCACCCCAAGATTATGCAGGTGTGCAGGGAGCGCGAGATCCTCATTGAAGTCTGTCCGATTTCGTGCGTCGCTCCTCAGTCTCTGAGCTTTCCGAACGTTGTGCTGATTGACGTTGCACCGTGTAGCAACGAAGTCCTCGTGCGTGCTCCCACTCTTCGCTTGTCGTGCGCTGACGTCGTCCCTCCTCCTGTAGCGCTACACGGGTTCGATGCCGATGCACCCCCTGCCCGTGATGATGAACCAAGGGCTCCACGTCTCGCTCAGCCCGACGACCCAGGGATGTTCGGGTACATGGGTGTCTCGTTTGACTTCTTCCAGGTGCGACTATTATCAGACCGACGCACGAGGTTTCGCTTATGCAGGGGCTCTCGCCCTCTAGGTGCTCGTGGCGAGCAACGTGAACGGGATAATCACCATGAGAGAGCTGGCCAAGGACGGGCTGCGAGTGCGTATCATCAAACCGTCCCACACGCGAGCCTTCTCTCACCGTCTGCGTTTAGTTCTCTTGCCTAGAGCCAGAGGAGAAGGCGCGTGCGCTGGCGCTGTACGATAAACAGTGGGACGCGTTCGTGGACTGGATCGTGAAGACGCGTGCGGAATGTGCGTAGAGAACGCCGCATAACGTGGGCCCATGGGTTTTCGCACACCTCACGGGCCCCCATCTGGATCAGCTCAACCTGGCCCTGCCGGACAGCGTACGGGACCGAGTCGTCGTGGGACTATACACTGACTCGACGAACTTCAACGTTCGCATCACTATATGATATCACTGTATTTCTAGAGCACGTCAACTTGCCATGCCAGAGGCACGCTTTTGTCACTACTACATTCAACATGCATGCTAGATCAACAATTAAAGCACCGCAAAATATTTTGCTCTACTACAATCCCGCTGCGGTGGCACTGCGTCCGCGACCCAGGTCCTTCGGATTATAGGAAGCAAGCCCGGAGTATCGACGTCCTCAGGGTAACGGCGGCTTCATGCGCGCGCGCGTCGCTCTGCACTCACTATTGCAGCCTGCTCATTTCTGCACCTCTACCTGTGCCCGCTCGCACGTTCTCTGCGCCACCCCTTGTACTTGACGAGCCAAAGCTGCTCACAGTAGCCATTTACTATCTTCAGCACGGTCGGGCTGCTGAACCAACAAAATAGAGATACCAAATCCGAATGACAAAACAGCGTCCCTGGCGACTCGCTCACTACTCTTCCGCTTGCGTTTATGACCGGACGGCGCCTGACCATCATCCGCATCGTCTCCTCGAGCGGGTGCACAGGCTCCTCGTCGACGCTGGCGAGCGTGTCCCGCTGTTCGTCTTGGCCTTCTTACGTGCCGGCTCGGTCGGCTTGGAGTAGTAGAGCGGGTCCGTCGAGCCGAGCGAGAACGCGTTGTTGTTGCGCTTGACGAGCCGCGCGTCGACGAACAAGTCTTGCGTCAACCGCGACCGCTCCTTCTTGTTCGGCCACTTCCGGGCCACGCTCCATCTCTTGAACACAGCAAGAAGATCTTCGTGCGTAGACAGCGGGCCGGCGGGTCGGGAGGCGGCGGCCGTGGGGATGGCGGGGGTTGGACTTGGTCGCTGCGCCGGCGTCGGCGCCGTCGGACTCGTCGAGTCCATGGCTGCCTGCCAAGGACTCCGCGTCCTCGGGTCGGTAGGAGAAGATGGGACGGGGTTGGCGGGAGATGACAGGGTGGCGAGAGGAGTGGTCGGAACGACGGCGTAAGAGAACCCTCCGGACTGGGAATCATCGTCGCCATGCGCGGACCCGCGGTGCTGCGCGTCGTAGAAACGTAAGTCTACCTGGCCCTTACTTCATCACTCGTTTCGAAGACGGCTTTCTTTTCTTCGACGGGGGCATACAACCGCCGGAGTGTTTTGAAGTCCATAGCTCCGTAGTGCCGTACGCAGATGTCGGCAACGTCCTGCATGGCTGCGGTCAGAGTATCGTTGTATTTGGGCTTGAAGTGCGGCTGCCCGGCTCTGAGTGCCCAGAGCTTCTGTGTGCCGCCAACGTAGGCCGTGATGCCTCTCTCCTCGCATTTCACCTCATCATATTCTTCGAAGAAACACAAGTATCTTGCGACAAACGAGGAGTGTATGCCTGTGTGATAAAACGCATGACGAGGTAGTTGAGCACGTGCACAAAGGACTCGATGTCGTCCGACAGTCTGTATGGCATCCACGGGCAGTTCAACAATGTCGCAGATCGGAATTGCCAAGTCCCCTGAGACCATGCCTGTCAGGCTCTGGTCCCTTCGCGGGGAGGAGAGAGGACATACCGTGCGGTCGGGTATCCTCTGCACTTTACCCATTTCGTCTTTACGCTTGCACAGCTCCCAGTCGCAGAGTACGCCGGAGGGCGTGCCATTCTTCTCGACGATCAGAATGTTGTTGACGCTGACATCACGGTGCAAGACATCCGCTTTGTTCCACGCATCCTGGTGGGCTGTGCACCGGCTTCGTCAGATTGGTCGGACATCGATGGAAACAAGGACCCACCTGTCAGGGCGTCGAAGAGGATCGCAAACAGCTCGGGCCAGAACCTGAAGTCCGTAAGAGGCCGAGCGATCTCCTCGAAACTGATCCGGTAGAGCACCCGGCTGCACCGTTGATGGCTCTCCTTGTCGCCGGCAGCCGAAGGAATCCTTGCGTCGAGAAATTCAGCTGTACGCGTGCGCAGTCGCTGGAGTCCTGGGCCGGCAGAGACGTCTTCACCACCTAGACACGTGAGGATGCCTCCCACAAGCTTGGCCTTGAGCATCTCGTAGATTTCGTGCTCTGGCCGGATGGCCGGGTGATCGATACGCCAGAGCGACTTGGTGAAGATCGCCTTCCCAGCGGCCACCTTGTCCACGGCGTCCGACGGGGCGGGGACGAACGCGACGCCGGCGATGGTGCAGCGACCGACAAGAGACGGGTTCACGAACGTCGGGCGGCCAAACAAGATGTATCCGCCGTTCGACCTCTTGATGCGCCGGAGCGACCACTGGTTGCATACCGGGTCGGGTACGTGTCGTGAGGGGTGTCATCGGCCAGTTGTTCAGTGAGGCAGAGCGCGTAGTAGAGCTGCTTGCGGACGTATGGGGTGATGGACGTCGACTTCTTCGCAAAGTCGTACATTTCCTCGAAGTCCTCCCGCGAAGCGGTGGTGACGGTAGGGTCAAGCCGAGTTCTGTGCGCGTCATGTGCCCGAGTCGCCAGATGAAGGTGGCGAGATCATCCATGCCCTGTCCACAGATCCAGTCGAATGCGTCGGTCACGACACAGACGCCGCGATCGACGTAGACCAAGCGTGCAAGGTTCTTGAAGATGTAGACGGCGTAGACATGGATCCGGTGCTGTCTGGCGAAGGTGCACCCGAGGTACTTGCCGAACGGGCCGAACCCATCGATGCCGGGGTCCTCGTCGGTCGACTCCTCCGACCAAATGGAAGTGGTTTCGGGATCTTCGAATTCGAACGCGCACTGGCTGTGATGTGCCTTGACCTCGATGGGGACGACGATGTCGGCGAATGAGCAGCGCCCGACGAAAGGGGCGCGCATCCCGCGCTTGTCCTCCGGCTCCAATGTTGCACCTGGCTTCCCGAGGTATTCCTCCTCTGAGTCGTCAAGGTCTTCCTCCTCCGAGTCGTCGAGGTCGTCCTCCTCTGAAGGGTCGAGGTCTTCCTCCTCTGAAACGAGGTCTTCCTCTTCCGAAACGTCGCGGTCTTCCTCCTCTGAAACGTCGAGGTATTCATCCTCTGAAACGTGAACGACTTGACGATACCGCTCGTCGTTGAAGAACAGGCCAGCATCGCACCCAACGTCTTTGGTCGAGTTCGAGCGGTCGGATTCGGTCAGAATGGAATTGGCCGGCATTTGTCGGTCCGAGACATCGCGGACGACGAGTTCTGGTCGGTCGTCTGGAGGAGTTGTGTGCTCCAAGATGCTGTGGGCGAAACGGACCTTGAAGAGCTGATATTAGAACGCGATACTTCGGATGAGCAGCGAAAATACGCACAAACTCGAGCGTCACCTCCCATTCGTGTCCGTTCTTCAGTTTGTCGACGTCGGGCTTCATTAAGTGGGATCGCTCCACGTCTGGATGGCCTCCTTAGTGAGGCGGTCTAGGAAGGACTCTCGGTCCTCCGTCACGCAGTGTCCGGGCATGGCGCCGACCCCTGCCATGATTGCGTGGAGTGCTTCGCCTTCGGACTCAACGAGCGGGACAATCAGACGTTTGTATTGCAGGCAGACGTCCAAGTGTTACGGTTCGCTGTAGTGGCGAAGTGCTGGCCGCCACGGAAACCTGGTCAGGGGCTGATCCAGACTTCTCAGAAACGCAGCAAGGACCCGAGAAATTGGCGACATACTATGCAAACGCCTGCTTGATCGAGTCGTCGCTGTCCTTGGCGAGGATTCGGGAGAGGAAAATGGGTCGAGGCCGAGGTCAGGGTCGTGGGTTGTTTTATAGAAGGGCTGCTAGGGGAGGAGGAGGAGGAGGCGGAGGCGGATGATTATGTCGCTTTTCTGCCGCCTCCATAGTTTCGGAGACCAAGGCTGGATATCGGAGTCCGCGCGCTCAAGGGGCTGAATTTGCCATGGCTATCACGTGGCAAGGTCGGTCCGCCCGGTGCTGGCGCCAAGTTCCATCTCGAGTCTCGAGTCTCGCGGGTTGCACATACTGCGCTTCTCCTGAACCATGTCCTCATATCCATCACTCTCCCGTTTACGTCCGAGTTCGACAACGATGTCGATGTGGCCATTACCCAAAACGCCAAGGTGCTGCCAGACCCAGTCTCTCCGCTCTCGGAATTCCTGCTCGCGTCGACTGTACACCGTACCCTAGGCTCCATCACAAGCGGGAGCCCTGGTATATGGCTACTTCCTCGACGTGGAAGTGGTCGCTGCCATCGAACGCCAACCAAAGCTGGTGGGCCTCGACCACAACCTCTGGACGCTCAACTCCCCACCGTACGTGCGCATCCTCCCGGGAAAGGTCGACAAGCGTGCTCAGAAGGCGATACCTCCAGTATGAGGAATTGAACCCGGCGGTGTGGACGTCGGTGCCCGACCTCTCGCTGTTCACATTCACGAAGACGGCGCTGGGCACTGGCGGACTTGCCATCACGGGAGGAGGATCACGGATATCATGGGATTTCCGCCAATGTGGCGGCGGGTCGAGCGTTGGGATATGTGAGTGTTCCTTTCGCATCGACGCTAGCGTTCCAGCTCCTTGCGTCGCGCTTAGCTAGACAGAATGTCCCCACCTCTATTTGTTATCGTTCGCTCTCGCCGCATTGTCACGCATTGTCGGTTGTATCATCTCGACCACAATCATGATCGTCCGTCCGTTTCCAAATTCGCTGGGTGACTGCGCCAAGTAGAGATCGTCCACATCATGACGGCGAACGGGGCCGGTCATTAACCTCTCGCCTCCGCCTACGGCCCTGCTGCGGCGGCACTTGTGTACGCCGGATGTTCGTCTTGGCCCGCGAGGGCAAGGAATGTGCCGAACGGCGCACGGTGTAGGCACGCCGCAGCAGAATTCACGCAGAAACGCAAACCCGACGGTCATCCACAGTTCGCGCGCCATGCACCAAATAACATTATCGGCCGGCTCGTATCCACTAACATACCAACCAGCTCGGGGCTCTATCGCGTCCGACGAACGTGCAAGTTCAAACGCGGCCCGTCCGTCGGATCGGCGATGGACGTAACACCGCTGCGTCAGGAGCCCAGATGGAGCCTGACCAGGAACGGCCGCTGGCACACCGGGCAGCACATCTTCGTCGCGAACTCGTGCGCGATGCACCTGTCGCGCACGCGGTACGTCAGCGATCGTGGTGAGGGTGCGGGAGAGCGGGGCGGGACGAACCGGTGGCAGAATATGTGGCCGCACAGCGTCGTCACGGGCTCGATGCTCGGGTTCGCGAGACATTTTCGGCAGTGCAGACCGAGCGGGAGGGGCGGCGGGACGGCGGTCGGAGGGAGGGTAATGGAGCTCGCGGCGGGAGAGGGAGGGCTCGTTAGTAATGGTGAGGGGTGCAGTTGACGCGCAGAGTCGGGTCCTGGCGTAGTGCGACTGGAAGGTGGTGGGAATGGGTTCTGGAGCACCGACAAAGCCTTAGGAACAACCATGAGCGACCTAGGGAGAGTCACGACGACACATCGCCGACTCACTGGTTGCTGCACGCGAGGACTTGGGGTGTAGAAGGGAGTCCGGGCGCCTCTGCCTTCGTCCTCGCCTTCATTCCCTTCGTCATCATCGGATCCGTGATAGCTCACGGATATTGGGGATATGCTACGAGCGGTCGACAGAATTGCGGGCTGGGTGAATGTGAAGCAAGTCAGGGAGCGGAATTGAAGAGTAGACAAAGGGCTTACGTTCGAACTTGACGGTGACCTTTGATTCAATGGGATAGCACTTTGACTACCAAAAGTAAAGCTTTGCGCTGTGCTGCTGACAAATGAAGAGGATTGGCATTGGGTCCTGTGCTGCAGGAAATTAAAACTAGAGGTAAGGAGACCATAAACATATCAGAACCGCTTACACTCAACAAATCCTTCATGTCGAACAATCCTTTACCGCAGCTTGAACACTTCGGATGTTCCATGGATTCACGATAATGCTCTTGCAGCTGCTGACGAGTGTCGAAATCCACCTTGCACTTTCGGCACTCGGTGTTTTTGACGATTGCAACGCCAGTACGCAGAACAAAGTCCTATCCGAGATCTCGTCAATAGGCCTGTCTCTGGTGAGACAAGAAATGATGCTGCAACGCAACGCACCTCCGAACCCGAACCACTCGGAAGGGAGCGCGCAAGCGGTGGTTGGGCACCGAGCGAGGGTGGGCCACTCCCGGTGAGGCTTTGTGCAGGTTGTGTCGAGCCCACAGAGTTTCCGGAAGCCGATGCACGATGCTGTTGTCTGACATGAGCCAAACAGTCCTTGTGGCTGTCAAAAGTCGCCTTGCATGCTGTGCAAAAGTAGCCTGGTCGCCACGAGTGCCCGGTGATGCGGCCATGTTCGTCACCAGTGCCGAAGCCCAAGAGTTTCGTTTTGCACTGGAAGCATCTGACTTCGACGCTCATTTTGGAGGTCCGGGAGGCGATGGCGGAGGTGTACGTGCGTGCGGGTGGTGGTGGTAGGTGAAGCTTGAAGTACCGCAGCACCCGTACTGAGTCTGTACATACGCTATTCAGATACGTCAGACACACGTGACTGAGGCGTGGTGACTAGAGCCTCATGGCTGGAATTGGGAGACCGGGAATAGATGAATGTGAGAAATACAGTAGATCTCGGCAGGAAAGGGCATGAAAACGGGGTATCAAATCGAATCGAAGCAGTCTCGAGGAGACGCATCAAAATATGGTACGGGAAGGACAAGGAGGTGCTTTCTTTGGATGGAATGCCAACAGATGTTTACGCACAGTTCATGATTCAAAACGAAAACACCCAGAGGTTGTGGAGACACCGACGTACCCCTCATATACATCTATGGCAGTTTGGATGGTGGGTGGTAAAGGGGCCGAGAACCCGTTGGTAATTACTGACCGAGACCACACGCACATCCAGAGTGTCATCTAGTCCAACGCAGATAACTAGCGGCCAAGAAACCTGTCACAAGTTAGATGCACTCCCTGCGCCCGGCACAGACGCACTCACAGATGCCTACACCTCCCATAATCCGCTTCCCGACCACCGAGCCCGGTGCTCGAGCACGAGTCATTCCCAGAGCATACAACCCTACTGCACCCAGTGCGCCGCTGCCTACGATACGACACCCCAAGCAGTCCTCATATTCTTGGGGGTGCGTTGCGCGGACGACCTTGGTTTCCTCCGATGGACTGGCTGGAGTCGCAGTCATTACGGTGGAGATGGAAGTGAGACGATGATGAGTGGAAAGGTACTGAGATCTGAGAAGAAGATGGAGGCGACAGCATCGTTGAGGACTCGGGTGTCGACGCCAAGTGTCCGCGACGGGCCGGCGCCGAGACCAATCATGGCCACCCGCCACCGTGAGGCCGCAGTGAGGTAGCTCTAAAGTTGCTTCCCTCCGCGCAGGATGGACGCTGTTCAGCCGGGATGCGCTCAAGACCAATTAATGCGCCTTTCTAGTGCCTCACGGGAACTTCGGGCTCTTCCGACGGAGGTCTATCTTGTGGCGAGGTGAGTACGGTCATCAGTTTGTACGGCTTTCAAGTCTCATAATTCCACGCATAGTCTGGACCTAGTAAGCTCTGGAGACCATGCTTTCGAGGCTCGCTCCATCTAATACTGAGACTTTAGCTCCGAGAATCAGAGGTGAATCTGGCCCAAACTCTTGCGCGGGTCCAGGAGGTCATAAACTTCAAGTCTGTGCCGATCAATGCTCTCCCTGTCGAGATACTTACTGGGGATGATACTGCGGCAAGCTGCACAATGGCCTATTCCTGAAAGAGCATCCCCCCTTGGCCACAGCGTCTTCATGCTCAACCGTGTGCGCGTAAGCGCAGTATGTAGGAGATGGCGCCAGGTCGCGCTCGGCACAGCGATGTTGTGGACAATCGTTGACGTGAAACACCACAAGCTCAAAGAAGAATTCATACGCCGCTCCCAGAACACATTTCTCAGCTGCGAAATCCAGCTGGATACTCCGAATGCTTCCCTGGCAGAGTATGCAGCTCGCATTCGCGACCTGAGCATCAGAGACATGCCAAGGACCTCAAACCTTTCACCGCTTTTCGATGTGCCCAACCTTGAGACTCTGTCTATCTACGGTATCCCCGAAAGGATATGGCATCAGGTCAAACCAAACCAGCGTATATCATTATTTCAGGCCCACCCTCCCAAGCTACGTTCCCTTACCCTCAGAGACACAATCTTTTTGCCTACCATCCCTCCTGCATCGTTAACACACCTCGCCCTCAACCACCTGCACTTCGGCTTTGCGGATGAACTCCTCAACATCATTTCTGCTCACTCCTTCACGCTCCAGAAAATCATACTGTTCCACATCCTTGTCGACTCCAAAGACTGGCCTTCTTGCGATGTAATGCGCCAGATTAAGCTCCCACACCTCCAGCGCCTCACTCTCGGTTACACCAAGTACCAAGCGTACTATTTGTACCCTTGGCGGCTCCTCGAACACCTCCTACCACCTCCGTCCTTCACTCTCAATCTCACTGGTTGCCTTATCTACAACCTCCCCCGACCTTTCCCGCCCTCGCATGCTTCGCCGGTTGCACGACGCTCGCGGCCGAGCTCGGCTTCCAATCGATCACCATCGTGCTCGCAGGCGCCCCGGATCCCCGCGCGACGCTCGAGTTCCACAAGTTCTCGTACCGAGGCGACCATCAGGTCACCGACATGATGCCTCGTCTGCGGGCGCTGCTGCCGTGGACCCAAATCACCGCCGTCGCGTGCCGCGCGTCGTGTGAATCCGAGGTGTTGCTCCCCTTCCTAGACTTGCTCCGCGAGACCACACCGGGGCGGGTTCGGTCCCTGCGCGTCCGCCTGGACCGCGACGAGGTCAGGGAGTCGACGCGCTACGACGAGTGCCCGGATCGCCTCAAGCGGTTGGACCTGCAACTCGCGAAGGCGCTGGGCGGACTCGTGATGGGCAATCCGGAGTCGGGGCAAGTGGCGCTGGGGCTGGCGGAGCTCGAGGTGTCGACGGAGGACGTGCAGGACTTGGTGGGGATGGAACCCGTCGGAGGTGCGGCGGCCGGCCTAGAGAGGATCGTGTTTCGTTGTCCGCCGCCGAGCCCCGGTGCCGAGCTCGAATGGTGGACGAGGATGCGGAAGGCTGTCCCACAGGTGGAGATGCACGCGCTTGAGGGCCGAGGGCTGGACGGGCTGCGTCTACCGGAGGTAGACCGGGCGAAGGACGGGTTTGTTTGGTGGTAGGAGCATCGAGAAGTGGAAGAGGCTTGCTTGTAGTTAACATGACCGTGATATCGTCGCCCGCTCCGGGGGAAGGCAGCGTGGTGTGGTTCACCAAGACCGCGTGTTCGTCACCCGCGTCCGTGCCGTCCTACACGCGCACGACAATGTTCGTGAGGCCGACGCGCGTACTTACGTCTTGTACAACCGGCGACCTGTCGTGTCGAGCCTGCACATAAGTACCTGTCAGACCTCGCACCCGAGCCTGCGCCCTGGCGCTGCTCACGCACCTTCTCCGCTTACACAAACACCCCGAGCGCATGCTCCACGCCGCGATATCCGATGTCTTCGGAGAGGTCCTTCGCATGCGTGAGGATCTGTACCTCCACCGAGATTGGCGGCAGAGACGAGGCAGGGTTGATTCTGGTGAAATACGACCGCTCAATGAGTTGACGGCGCGCGTGCCATTAGTCTCAGGTAACGCTGCATGTTGAAGATATAGCAGCTAGTCGCGGTAGAGTGTCTGGCAGACGCTTATGTCAGCTTCCTCACGCGCACGGGTAGTGGCAAGATGCGTGAGGTATATTCACCTGGCAGACGCTTATGTCTGCGTAGTACAAGTGTGAGCGCATATTCGACATAGGTAACACAACAAGAAGACGTACCAGCTTCCTCACGCGCACGGGTAGTGGCAAGATGCGTGAGGAAGCCGGACGAGCCCCGCCAGTATATCTGGAAGCGGGAGCTCTCCAAACGGGAGCGATCGGTCGCCCGCGTGCCCAGGCCACGCGAGCGCTCATTAGTCCATAGCCGGTCATCAAAGTCCATGGCCGCCCCCCCCCGCCGGTCACCCGTCCGGACGCGCTGACCCACTCTCGATGCGCGCGTGCTGCGCCCGCGCGCCGACCACAACACTGCATACAGATGTGCGCGTCAGATATGAAGATGAGCGTACCAAGACATCATCAAATGGAGGAGATATCAACGCGCGCAAGCACTACGGTGAGGCTCGCAAACGGGCCTGCGGAGTCCACGTGGCTCACGGCACCTTTCGCGCTTTTGGCAGGCGCTGGCAATTGAACGCTCTCCAGCCTATGCTCTGCGTCTGACTACAACTTACCACTGGGCTCACTCTCCCCCGGTTTCATATCGGAACAGGATATTTGTAGACGCAAAAAGCCCCTCTTACTCCATTACTTTCGCCGGTCTTCGAACACTTGGCAAGTGAAACAAAGTACTCATGCACTTGTAAAACCCGCTGATGAAGACATGTATGGGCAGGTTGATGATGCAAATATATGTCTAACAGCTCCAGAAACCCCTACAATTTCAACATTCACGGGTCAACTGGAGGCTAAGAGGCTAGTACTACGTTCAACTCCTCGAAGTCGGTGAGAAAATCACAACGAAACTCCCTCGACGCCCACACTTCTGTGGTCTGCCGTGATATTCCGAAGCTCCTGGTGTTGATTACGAGTATCACAGGACCTCTGATGCCCTCTTCCAGAAGATGTGGCCCCGTTGTGCAGCTGAGTCCTGACAAGGGTGACCAATGGTACGGTGTATTCGGGCGAAGCGTTCTCGTCATAAGGTCTCAAGGCTTCCCGAACCTCTCCGACCAGCCCACGGCGGAGTATGAAAGCACTGAGTGGCGTGGCGTTGGGGGTTCGTGCAACGGACCCAGTCTTCCCCTCTTCCCCGTCGCGCCATGCCATTCGCCACAAGAGTTCCCCGCCTCGCCTCAGGTTGTATCGCGCTGGCTGTGCTGTTCTCGTCAGTGTATCTGGCTGTGCGCCGCTCCAGACGCAAGGCTATTCGTGCCCGGGTATGTCCCCTCATGTTTCCTCGTTAAGAACTAGCTCGAAGCCCGTTCGGTATATAGCTTCCTCAGGATCTGCTCTCGTGGCGGGAACCGTTGGATAAGAACGGAAAACTTGATGTTGCCGTTTGGGACTGTCTCAGCGACCACTTTCAACGGCGCGGCTACACATTCTGGCGCCGGGCGCAGAGAATGCTTCGTCAAGACTTGGACCCACCCAAGGTCGTGAGCTTGCGCGGGTTTGGGTACGCTCGCGCCCATGAAGGCTGGGACCGCATGAGCAATTTTGATTTCCTTCACGAGTTCAACTATCCTGTACGTCACTCAGATCCCTTCAACCCGCATTGAAAGCTTGTCCTGCTGACACTGGAACGCAGACACACGCCGTACACGCAGCTAACACTCGGGAGGGACAGGCTGTCGTGATACGTGTTCTTGCTGTGGGAAACCAGGGGTGTGATCACGTTACGATCCTCCGCTTTATAGCATCCACGTATCATGCCACCGCGAGCAGGAACCATGCGTTACCACTCCTCAACGTTTCCTATTTCGAGGACATCTTGTTCGGGATCTTTCCGATGGTCGGCCAAGATTTGCGCGATCTGCTCTATCCGTTCAGAAAGAACTCTGTTGGCGATATTGTGGACATCATCATGCAGTGCTTGGAGGTATGTCCGCTTCTACGACTGCAATGCACTTACGTTACCCTCTGCTTCAGGCACTTGACTACATTCATGGAGAGAACATCGCGCACAGGGTTTGTATTCAGCTCTTGTCCCATCGAATGTGACTCAGGTGTTCCCATAGGATGCATACAAGGAGAACTTCCTCTTGCAGTATTATCCGCAGTCGTTGGTGAACGACCCCCTCCGCATCACGCGTCCGCGTGTATTCCTTCATGACTTCGAAGTCTCAGTCATGTTCGAGAACTTGCCCCGGGAGAAGCACCTTTGCATCGGCGTCCCTCAGGGCGGCACCGTCCCGTTCTCCCCAGACTTCAACGGCCGAGCCTCTCCGGAGGTACTGACGGGCGAGCCGTACTGCCCTTACAAGCTGGATGTGTGGCAGTTGGGGAAGAGCTTCACCGACTTCAAGGTGCTTCTCCCGCCATTCGTGCCACTTCAGACGCTAACTCTTTCCTACAGTCGACGGTCCCAGCAATTGATGCAATCCTGGAGCGAATGCACGAGCCTGATCCGGCTCTGCGTCCGACGGCTTCTGAGGCACTAGGGCAGTTGGCAGACTTCGTGGCCGCTACTCCGCCCCGTGATTTGCTGATTCCCCCGACTACTCCGCATTCTCACCCTCCATCATGAAGCTTGGAAGGCGAGAGTTCTTCCCCTAGATCGTATCTGTATGGGGTAGTTTTGCTGCGGCTGCAAACTTGCTGGATAATCGAACAACCTTCCCATCCCCTGCTTGGATTCTGAGAATATTCTCCATCTGGGGTTCTGACTCGCCTCTGACTCGCCGTGTGATACGTTGGCGCCGCGATCCTTGTTTCGCGAAGGTGAGATTTGTGGGTCCCGCAGCTGGTTAATGCACCAATCGGGAAGGAGGAAGGGCGTAGTCAGTCCTGGGACACAAGCACAGAGGCAAGTCTGGTGGACGGGAAGGTATAAAACGTCCTCAGACCCTTTGGCTTTTCGCATAACCTTCCCCCAGGCTCCCCTATCTCAATCCCAGCCCTCGACACATTCATGCCTGTTCCTAAACACCTCAAGGTATGCGTCGTCCACCCCCGCAGAAATTTGCCCCTGCATACCCCCGGTCTAACCTCTCTACCAGGGTGCACGCTTCCTCTATCGCGAAGGCGAGTCCCACGTCGGTGAGATCGTTGACCTCGCGGAGTCCGCCACTATAAGCGGGGTACGCCGATTTCCCCTCCACTTGCACCCTCGCACCCTCGCCCATCGCCCCCCTTCACATGCAGGTCCTGATCAAGCTGCAGTGGGGATGCGGCACCCACACGTGGTTCGGGTTCGAGCAGGTCAAGCAGACTATGTGAGCACCCTCTGCTCCTCTCCTCCGTGTCCAGCGCTGATGCTGACTTCCTCGTAGACTGGCACCGACGTGGCCGCATGTGCACAACCCTCTGAACGCGGTGCCGACTCTACTGAGCCGGCGCGGGCCCATCACGCAGCACTACAACGCCCCTCCGACACCAACGTCGTTTAAGTTCGAGTCGACCGAACGCTTCTGGTGGTGAATTGGCATACGCATGACGTGTATTCTATGTTATACCCTGATACGAGCACTTCGACCGATAGCCTACCAGCGGAAATGTGACATCAACCCGTTTCCTCTAGGCATAACGACGACGTGGTTTCAGGGCGGCCATGGGCCACTTCAGCCAGCAGTCTACAAGGACTCGTTCAAACAACGCCTACATCTCCACAGTAACTCTTCCCATAGGACAGTCACTGATACTCTTCCCCTCACAACGTCAACTTATGAGAAGATGCATGTAACAAATGGCCGGGGCCCGAGACAATTTCGTTGTGTACTTCCCGAGGAAGCAATACACCGCGGAAGCGTGGGGCAGCCCGTGTTTCAAACCGGTCCCCACAGGTGGGTTAGGCGTGTTCAAGAACATGCTCAACCCATTTGTGGTCTTTGATAATGACAGAACGAAGCACTCACACAGCAGTGAATCTCAGCCTGGAACGTGTATCCACCAAGAAAGACATCCTCGGGGAAATATTGATGAAGTCCATCTTTACAAGTGTAAAATACAACTACCGGCCAGGCAAGGATTCCGTCATGCAAGCTTCACAGTCTGCACAAAACCCTCCGTCAGCTTATTCCGACACGGAAATCACGGAATACTTACTTTGGCGTACAGCGAATCCACGACTTTGCCCACTTGCTCGAGCGTGTCAATCGCGGCGCCGTATGTCCGCTGCGCAACTGATGTGAGACATGACTCACAGCAGTATCAAACAACGACTTACATCCGCTTCCGGCTCTTCGAAAATCAGCAAGCATCCTCGGCCTTGGTCAAGAACACCATGGAAGACCTTGTCGAGGATCATTTGTGAAAGTCTGATGGGACGACGGTCAGCTATGATCAAGCACGTCACGCGAAACGACGCACTTGAGCTCCACGGCTTGTCGACTTTGGCCAACCTGCTGCGCAACGTACTCGATCTCGACGACAGAATACGGCTCCACTATCCGGAGGAGGTTTTGCTCGAGCAGCGTGTCGTACAATCCCGATAGGTGTGTCCTGATCGTGGTGTCCGAGGAGAGCTCTACACCGTTCCTCAGCATCAAAGACGCTCATAGGTGCAAGGGAAGGCGTCCGTACCTTGTTGGTAGTCCTTCAGTGCCTTCTCGAAGTCCGCAAGATTCCGCTTCTGGTGAGCTCGTGCAATCGCGCGCATGCTCTCCACGTCACGCAATTGCGCATACTTCGACGCAAGCTTGATTGACAGAAGCGACGTAACATCTTCCGGCTGTCGACATTGAGATCAGTTCGGCTCAAAAAACAAACGATTGGGCATACCAAGTTGAGCATGACCTTGCACAGCAGCATATACTTGAGCGCACCAAGCGCACTTGGATCGTCTTGTGTGCTCAAGTTCTCAAACGTCTCGTAGAAGTAGGAGTATGCGGTGGTATAGTCCTTGTCTTCCGCATGCAGAACGCCGGACTGAAGATCAAGGCGTGCCTGGAGGTGTGGAGGACAGTAGATCGCATTCGCTGCTGTCCGTGAAGATGTCAGTGCCGCCTAGGGTATCGAGTCAGTGCGCCGAGATAGAGAGTCAAGTTTTCCAATGGCGCACCTTCGACTTCGCCAGGTTACCGATCCCACGATATGCGCGACTCTCCAGTAGATGGACTTCGGTAAGAACCATCTTGTCGTCTAACCGCTTAAGCTCAGTGAGGAGGGTCTCAATCATAGCGAGCGCGGGCTTGTACTGCTGTGTGTCCAGCTGCCTGGTGGCGTGCGATCTGAATATATGCGCACATTCGGGGGAGGCGGGTACTCACAAGCTGACGAGCCTTGTCTCCAAACTGTGCTTCAAGAATATCCGCTTCTCCTTCTTAGCCCATTCGATATTTTCCATCAAGACGTCGATCTGAATCTTCTGGCTGTCGGGAATTGCGGTGAAGCAGTCAAGAAGCGTACGGACTGAAGCGAGTGGTCAATACAGGACATTCGGACGGTGGGGAGATGAACATACTGAGTTTGGCGGTCTTGGCCTTCGCGGTCGAAGAAACGAAACCGCGAGACATGGTGATGACTTCAGCGACACCTTTAGCATTCCTGTGAACTTGCGATGAGTCCTGCGTCTACATGCCCTCAGCCACGCCTGAGACTCACTTCTGATCCCGGTAGAGCTCTCCCAGCTTCACGAGAGCGCTTTCCTGGTGGCGGAGCTCAGCCTCCTTCTCTTCCACAGAAGCATGAGGACTGATTGGTGATGCTGTAGTGCGCGCGGTCAGTCGATCGCACCTCCCCTCCGTGCGCGAGCCGAGACTTACCTAGGAGTTCCTTGTAGAGCACCTCTGCGCGCTTAGGGTCCTTCGCGGCTTCGGCCAGAAGTTCCTCCTTGGTAGGCATGATTAGGTGTAGTCGGTGTGAGATGACGGAGGTGGAGAAGGGGCGGAAGTGAGGATGAGGACTCTTGCGCGGCAAGCAGAGGCGAAGGACGCGAGGTGACGCGTCGAAGAGCGTGGGAACAGTCGCGGTACTGACGCGTCGCTTGCAGGCGCTCGCACTCATCTCCAGTGTCCACGCTGCTCTGCAAACCTCTCTCCTCTCGCCAGATAACATAACATCGCGACCAGACGAACACAAAATGGCAGAAGACGCGGTCCTCCCTATCCCGAACCTCACCCTCGCGCAGGACTACTTTGTCCTGTCCTCCCCATCTCTCGCGCATCTGCATGAGACCGCGCGCAAGTCCCTCCTTGAGGGCATTCAAGCTGACCGTACGCGCTCTGTAACTCGCGGGCATGTGCGTAGTGCTTATTTTAGGGATGCGTACAGATATGGCGCCATACTACCGCATCGTGACCTCCACCTCCGCGCTGCCACTGGACCAGCCTCTTCTCGAGCGTATGGAGAAGGAGAACAAGGACGAGCTGGACAAGATTGACGAGCGTCTTGAAGAGGCCAAGAAAACGGAAGGAGAGACGGACATCGCGGACGCGCTCCGTGCGCGCGCGAACTATTTGACCAAGATCGGGGAAAAGGTGAGTCGTGCTACCCACAAACACATGGTGCGCGCATACGAACGCGGAATTTGCAGGACAAGTCGGTAGAGGCGCAGAAGGTGGCCTTGGAGAAAACCCCGGGACTGGGTTCGAGGATAGACATCGTGCTCACTCTCATCCGAATCGGCCTCTTCTTCGGGGACCATGAGTTAATCACTCGGTACCTTGAGCAGGCGGAAGAGTATGTCATGTTGTTCCTAAATTTCATGCACTGCTGAGCACCCGCTTCAGGCTTGTGGAGAAGGGTGGTGACTGGGATCGGAGAAACCGTCTGAAGGTGTACCGTGGCCTGCACATGCTGTCAATCCGACAATTCAAGCGCGGCGGCGAACTCCTCCTCGATGCCCTGTCAACGTTCACCGCCACCGAGCTCATCTCCTACAACGACTTCGTGGCGGCCACCATCATCGCCAACGTCCTGACACTCAGCCGAACAGACCTCAAGAAGAAGCTCATTGTCGCACCAGAAGTCATCCAAGTCCTCCCCGAGCTGCCAACACTATCCGACCTCATGAAGAACCTGTACAATTCGCATTATGACAAATTTTTCATTGCACTCGGTCCGTCAGCCGCCGGTTCGTCGCGTCATCTCGCACTGACACGCATGCAGCCGCCCTGGAACAAACACATCTGCAACCCAACCGCCTACTGGCCCCGCACTCGCGCTTCTACGTCCGCGAAATGCGGATCCTCGCCTACAACCAGCTCCTCGAGTCGTACCGCAGTCTCACCCTCGACAGCCTGGCACGGTCATTTGGCGTCAGTGTCGACTTCGTTGACAGCGAGCTGTCCCGGTTCATTGCATCTGGGCGGCTACACTGCACGATCGATAAAGTGAACGGCGTGGTGGAGACGAACCGACCGTCAGTGAAGAACGCCCAGTACGAGACTGTCATCCGACAGGGTGACATCCTCTTGAGCGCGGTGCAGAGGTTGAGCAAGGTGCTATATTGATGGTGGCGACCTCGCGCGTGCCGGAATCTTTGTTGTATTGTAGCTAGCTTTTGATATGGACGTCTTTCGAATATCCAGACTTGATTCTGTGCGCGTGTCCGAGGACATAAACAAATTAAGAACATGTGACAGTGGGTAAGCTATGGTACAATGAGCTGGTCGAGAGCCAAAGCGAGAGTGGGGGATATTATGGAGACTTCTTCGGGTCTGCTGGAGGTTCTGGCGGCGGAACGCCCCACTCCGGTAACCCTTTCGGTCGCTGAATGCGCTTAGGCTCCCAATCGTGTTCTGCGGTCGCGTTGAGTTTCTGTTCCGCAAATATTCACGTTCACAAGTCGAAGCCAGCGTGCGCGCATGTAGTGTGCTCACGAAGTACTCTTCCCGGATGTCGAACTTCTTCCTGTCCTGCGCCAACCTGAGCTCCTGCTCCTTCGTCATCTACCGCACCAGCCGGGAGGTTAAACGCATCCTATGGTGCAAGAAGCGAATATACGCACCGCAGAAACCTTTTGCGACTGCAGGTCGTACTTCGTCTGCGTGAAGTTCTGCATCGCGAAGGACGCGCCGACGACGATGAGCACGAACGGCACGCCGAACAGCGCGGGGTACCGCTTGAGAAGTCTGCTGTAACCGGGCGCGTTGAGCGACGTTGATCGGAAGACGGCCATGTATTCTAGGACGCAGAGCACACGAAGTGTTTCAAGCGTCGAGGTCTTGTATCTGCACCGCGAGGGCGGTAGGACTCGGAGGAATGGTGGTGGTGGTGGGAGGGACGGAATGGGCGCCTGAATCACGGAAGCTCGCCTGGATCAGCGACCGCGCGTCATCCGCGCGCCCTCGCTCCGCCTGTCCTGCGCCGACGACTGCGCCTTGCTGCTCTCCGATTCTGGCTGGCCTGACTCCTGTATGAGCCTCCAGTGAACTGCTATGCGCGCGATGCCGGCTACGGAAGAGGACGGCGTTTTGGACCGCATGGTGACCGCAAGCCCGGACAACATGGAGGAGGTCGAGGTCGTGGACGGACATGCGAATGGGAACGGATCAGCGCATCCGGAAGGGGCGGAGGGCAGCAGCGAGGAGGACGAAGAAGAGACCAGCGAAGAGGATGACGAGGACGAGGAAGAGGACGAGGACGAGGACGAGGAGGACGATGAGGAAGACGAAGACGAGCCGGCACTCAAGTACGAGCGGCTGGGTGGTATGGTGAGCCAGCTGCTGAGGAGAGACTCTGCATCCGCACTCGCATATTCCAATCAACGGCTGGTATGTTTCTTGTGTTTCTTCCGGGGCGGCCGCTCCTGACTCTGCTCATCCGCACAGGCATTGGGCACACATGCAGGAAAGCTTCATCTCTTGGACCTCGCCGGGCAGCTCGTCAAATCGTTCGCGGCCCATACGGCCTCGATAATGGACATCTCTCTCGACATTACCGGCGACTGGATTGCGACGGCATCTATAGACGGTGAGTGTATCCCATGCAGGATTCACTCCCTTCCCTCAATGCGCCCCCTTCCTTCCGTGCCGTAGGACAGGTCGCGGTTTACTCGATATCCCAGCCCGATTCGCACGTCTTTAACCTCAAACGGCCCGTCCGCACTGTCGCGCTGGAGCCCAACTTTGCGAAGAGCAGCACGCGATCGCTCATTTCCGGCGGTATGGCCGGCAACCTCGTCCTGCACGAGAAGGGCTGGCTCGGCTATAAGGAGACGATTCTTCACTCTGGCGAAGGGCCAATCTGGCAAGTCCGATGGAGGGAGAATCTCGTCGCGTGGGCAAACGATTTGGTGTGTGTCCTCCCTCCACCAGAGCATGTGCGCGTATTGACGACGTGAACGTCTGTCCTTCGCAGGGAGTCAAAATCTACGATACCACCTCCCAATCACGCATCACTTTCATCGACCGCCATGCGGACAGTCCTCGCGGAGACTTGTTCAAGTGCACGCTTCATTGGCAAGACGAGAGCACGCTCCTCATTGGGTGGGCGGACCAAATCAAGGTCGCTCGTGTCCGCGCACGCCCACGCAAATCTACTTCTGCCCCAAATCTCCCCCCTCTCCTCGTCGAGATCACTGCAGTATTCCAGCTTGACTGCATGATCTCTGGCATCGTCCCCCACCCCATGTCCCCTTCACCCAGCTCCCCCAACGCCCCGGCTGCACCCGCACAGAAGAACGGCTCAGTGCGCTCCGCGGCCCCCCCTGTGCTCACCGCATTTCTCGTCGTCGCCTATACCCCGACCGATGCCTCGCTTCTCACAGGCGCCGAAGGTGAGGCCGCGAGCGACCGTGCCGCTCAAGCACGCAAGCTTGCGGAGCGTCCAGAGCTCCGCATCATCTCCCGCGGGGGCGAGGAGCTCGCAGCGGACGCGCTTGGGATCAGCGGGTTCGAGCGGTGCGGGTGCAACGACTACGTCCTCGTCGACGTCGAGCCCGGGCCCGTCAAGGCCGGCGCAAACGGGGCCGGCTCTAGCGGGGCTGGGGCGGACGAGCGGTTCTACGTCGTGCTCAGCCCGCAGGACCTCGTTGTCGTCCGCCCGCGGGACTGGCGCGACCACGTCGCGTGGCTCGTCGAGCGCAAGCAATATGAAGAGGCCTTAAACGTCATCGAGCGCATGGGAAATGAGCAAGGCACGGGCGCGGAGAAGGACGAGCTAGACGCGGTGACCATCGGACAGCGATACGTCGAGCATCTGGTCGGTGAGGGCGACTTCGAAAAAGCCGCCCGGCTCTGTCCGAAGGTGTGCGGGCAGGACACGAAGCGGTGGGAGGATTGGATTTTCGTCTTCGCGCAGAAGCAACACTTGCAAGCGATCATCCCGTTCGTGCCCACGGAGTCGCCTACGCTGGACCAGATGGTGTATGGGATGGTGCTCGCCCACTTCGTCAAGCATGATCGGCAGGTGGGTTTGCTTCCTTCAGGGTTTGACTGTGTATGCTAAGCCGACCCTTTGACAGACGCTATTGCAAACTATCAAGACATGGCCAAAGGGCATCTATGATATCTCCGCCGTCATCGTCTTGGTCCAGTCCGAGCTCGACCACGCTCCATCCTCGTCTTCTATGAAACCCACGGGCCCCGACACGATCATCCTCATGGAGTGTCTCGCCGAATTGTGGGTCCCGTCGTGATATCTACCGATGCACCATTGCTCACGACATTCCAGGTACACCCTCAATCGTCAGCCTGGCAAGGCACTTCCATACTTCCTTCGCCTGCGGCGTCCGAACGTCTTCGACCTTATCCGCGATAACAACCTATTCACGGACGTACAGGATCAAGCGCTCCTTCTCGTCGAGTTCGACCAGGAACTCCGCGAGAAGCAGAAGCAGGCCGGAGAAGATATCGACACCGACCCCGTAGCAGCGATTACGCTTCTCGTGGATCACATACACTCCATCCCGGTACACCTTTCGCGACTTTCTCGCCCGTCTGCTCCCGCATGCTGACAGCGTTCACAGATGACCAGGGTGGTTCAACAGCTGGAGAGCCGACCGTACTACCTCTTCCTTTACCTCAACTCCCTGTTCCAGAAGGATCCCCATCTGGCGTCACCGTACGCCGACACGCATGTCAAGCTATATGCAGAGTACGCACCACGCAAGCTCATCGACTTCCTCCGCGCGAGCAACTACTACAATCTGGAAGCGGTAGGTGTCCTGGTTGTATGGCTGTGCGTCTGCTCAAACCCGATGATCTAGGCATACAACGTCTGCAACGAGCGTGACCTGGTTCTGGAGATGGTATTCCTGCTGGGCCGCATGGGCAACAACAAGAAGGCGCTGTACCTCATTATCGACCGGCTCGGCGACGTCAATCGCGCGATCGACTTCGCCAAGGAGCAGCATGATGACGACCTCTGGGAAGACTTGCTCCGCTATTCCGAGACAAGGCCTGGTGAGCTCCCTTCCTATACTCTCAACACCAGCTGACTCACACACTTGCCCGTGACAGCCTTTATTCGCGGTTTACTCGAGAATGTCGGCGCGGAAATTGACCCCATTCGGCTCATTCGGCGCATCAAGAATGGACTCGAGATCCCAGGTCTCAAGCCGGCGCTCATCAAGATCCTCCACGACTTCAATCTCCAAGTCTCGCTCTTGGAGGGCTGTCAGACGATCCTGAACGGCGACTGCGCGGACCTCGCCCACGAGCTCCATCGGAGTCAGACGAGCGGTTTCTTCCTCAGTGGTGAGTCTCTCCCGGCCGCTCCTGGTGGTATCTGCTAATGCAAGATGTACAGCGAGAACCCCGTGTCCGGTCTGCGGCAACTCGCTCGCGCAGACGCCGCACGGGCTCAACCTGCTCTTCCTCTGCCGACACGTCGTGCACGCGCACTGCGTCAGAGACGACGTCGAGCTCCCACACCAGCCCGACCCGGCGCTCATTGGGATGGGCATCGGCGGCCAGCCCGGTGTCGGCGGCAAGATCTCGTTGTGAGTAGTCCCTGCTTGACTGCGCTCGTGGCGATACTCATGATCTTCGACTCTTCGTCGCAGCACGGCGATCCTGCGCGCGAGGATCAACACGGGCTGCCCGGTCTGCCACAAACGCAGCGAGGGGCAATGGACTTGACGGACGGAACCACCTCTCACATTCGCTGTGCACCTCTATGTACACGAGCCAAGTTACCCCGCTGCGCGCTCTGATACCTCCATACTCTACTGTACATGCTGCCTGTTCAACGTTCAACGTCTATCCGGAATCTGGACACCATTCGTGATGAGCGGGGCACGGTCTGCAGTGTCAACCACCAGGGGACGCGAGGAGGTAAATGGGAGGCTCTTCCGGAATGCCCTGCCACACGACGGGAACCCTGTCCACTCCCTCCACCGCCAAAATGCTGGGTATTTTGTGTGGGGCCAGAGGAGACCAACACGCGAGGAACGCGAAGCTATGTGTTGAATTGGGCTCAATGAGCATGCAAAAAGCGTACGGAACTTCGACAATTGAATCCTAACATCATGGTTCGACTACATAGACATACATCCATTCACGGAAACATGCGTGCGTAAACAAGTGCCAAAATCTGCGAGCCGCTGAGGTGCCGACGAGGGAAGGTCTGAGCGACGATCTCTGCAGCAGAGCACCGGCGTACCTTTGCAGGCGGGGCTCAAAGGTTAGCGCCTCTCATAGCCGTTTTCTCGCCCCGCATCCACTTGGGTGGACCGTTGAGCTCCAAGGACTCGATCCACGCGTCGAAGTTTCCCATGCGTGGACGGAAGTCCACGACTTTGCGCGTCCCGTCTCTGCGGAGGTTGTTCATGGCCAGCATGATGAAGATCGGGCCGTCGTTGCCTTCGACAATGTCTTTGGTGTCGACGTGACAAAAGAAGACCGCCATTTCAGGCACTCCCGCCCGGTCCGCAGATGCGAGGATGGCGTCCATGATCATCAAATCAGACCTCTGAGGACGAATAATTTCTCGAAAGTGGTCGCGGTTGGATGATTCGACGATATAGCCGTAGATGGCGGGGTCCTTGCGCAGGCGGGGCGGCACAGGGGGGATGTCGCCTCCAATGCTTCAATCGCGTAGGAGTCAGGAGCGGGACTCGAGCGGCAAGTTCGACATAGGAACGCACCGTTCTCTTTTTTTGCCGACCATATGGACAGAAGATAGAGAGTGGGATGTGTTAGTCGAGAGGGGGCTGGAGAGGGTGGCGGCGGAGGCTGTCAAAGGAAGCGTCTCCATACCAAGATCGCTTGGTCTTGGTAGTACCCCATGTCGTGGACCATAACCCTGCGCGAGTCAATGAAAGCAGCGAGGACGCGGCTCCTCCTGCAAATTGGCACGCAGACCTGTCGCGCGCTGTGAATTGCCCTGGGCATACTGCAGGAGAGGGCGGGAAGAAGGGCGGGAAATCCAATAAAATCCGACAAATCACCCCTTCCCTCCCAACAAACCGCTCGCCCCGTGTGGAACGTCGTCTCCCGTAAGTTTGTGCGCCGCGATCGCCCCGCGCCCGCCGTCGAACGCGAGCAGCAGCTTCGTTAGAAGGTTGGCCAGGTGACGAGTCGGCGTCGATACTGCCACCCCAGACCACCACCCAGCAAGCAGAGCTCACCCTGCGTCAGCCGCGGCCTCCCATGGGAGGCTTCTCAGCCACGGTGGGCCGGGCGGTGGGCCGAATGCGTTCGATGCTGCAGAGGGTGAGGAAGTTTCGTCGGCACAAGTCGCTAGATGAGCGTCAGTAGGTGTTATCTCGGATCAATACTCAAGAGTGAGAATTGCGTTGCTCGATACAGTAAAACAATCAAAAGCCAGTGACCGGATGCTAGGACTCTGCCCTGTGGTTCGGCGGCCCGTATGTGTGCACGAGCATGACTGCCCGTCAAAGTGCGCGATGGAGCGCAGGCCGTAGCGCGCGGAGGCGACGGGCCGCAGCGGGTATTGAACGCTACAACCGTTTGCATCTGAACCCGGAATCGCGCGTTTCAGGCTTTGTTTATTTGGTTCCTCGCGATTTCGTCCCAAAAAGGCAACCTAGAAGCGCCTGTTCATGCGTCCGCGCCCTGCGCTACTAGCCTGCACTGTGCTCTGGCGTGCTTGCACGTCGCTCTAGCATTCTTACCTCTCTGTGTCTCTATTCTTGAAACCTGGCGTGTCACGGTACCTGAAACTTCCTGGATATCGCCTGTCCCACTCTTCCAGCAAGCCAATGGCACTGCGGATCGGTATCCTCAAGGTGGTGGCTGACCCACATCCTGGTTGGTGTGTATCCACTGGCGCTGGTATGTGGACGATCATACCAATTGGCGGAAGTGGGGATGGTCGGAACGGAGCCTGCCGTGCGTACGGAGCGAGTCATTTCAACAAGGTCACGTTTCTCTATCCTACATATCTGCGCCTCCAATGCACGGAATTATTGCACTTGATGTCTTTGAGGGCTGCCGCACTGTCAACAAAGCGGAGGGTGAGGGTGCGGCGACGAGCTGGCATGGGCATCTGAGAGTGCGCTGGTGGTGGAATTGCGAGCCGTCTCTTGTCAATGCGTACATACAGAGAACACTCCACGATACCCCCGCCGTACACACACCCTCTCCCCCGTAACTCATTACAGCCGCTCTCAAGAACAAACCTGCCATATTCCTCGACGAGCTTCAGCAACACCTCTTTTAGCTCACTGGAACCAATACGTCTCTAGCCACCTTGTCGCACGCCCTACGTGAGCTTGTCCTTCACACAAGTGACGGAAGAAGATCTCGGAGGTTGTTGCGGAGCGGAATGAGCTTCTGCGTTTCACATGGATTGCGGAGTGGGGGGATTCGCCAGTGGAGTGACTCATTTGGGTGGATGGATCGAGCGCGGCCAGTCTGGTCGAAGCATGTCAAGAAGCTGATTTTGTTGAAGTTGAGACAGGGCCGAGCCTGGCCATGGCCATGGTATGTTCCCGGTCACCTACAGACTCCCATTCCCCTGCGCTGTTGTCTACACGTATTTCCGCTGTAATTGTACGTGTCCCCACCCCGGCAGCCACCTTACTTATCGACTCCGAGACTAAGGTATATCCAATGGATTTGTCACAGTCAATGAGCTTGGAGATCTCGTCGCGCGTGAGCAGGCGCTTCTCGGCTGCCTTTTTGGGACGAAATCGCGAGGAACCAAATAAACAAAGCCTGAAACGCGCGATTCCGGGTTCAGATGCAAACGGCTGTAAGCGCGACGAGGTCGGGCGCGGGGAGGACGTCGTAGGGGAGCACCGCGGGCGGGGCGTCGGGTGAGAGAGACACGCCGTCCTCCATGCGGTGTGAGGGCCGGCTAAAGTTGGATCCGAGAGTCGGTCGGTGCGCGGAGGAGGCGGAGGTCGGTGTATGTTCTGGCTGGATACTGGTCTATATGCATATGCCAATGTCCACTCATGCCCTTGGGCGAAGGCTCTGTTGACAGACCGCAGTGCAGTGGTAAGCCTGAAGCAGGGGTTAGATCGAAGCAGTGGTGGCCGTTATCGATCAGTGACAGCTTCAACCCGCTCCGAGAACGCGTCGACGGCGTGACCATGCTGCTGCACGCGGTTGCGTGGGCGATCGCGGAACACCAAAACACAGCGTCAGCAAGCTCTGGACGAGGAACACGGAGACGATACGACGAAGCGCACGGGTGGAGAAGAGCACACGAGCACGAGTAGGATCGCCCACAGATCCCACGACGGTCGGCGCGCACCCGGGAAGACTTGTCCCCAGTCCGCGCCGACACAGGGCTCGAGAAGCGGAAAGGCCTCGTCTTCTCCACGCACGCGTTCTTGGACATCGTCCAGTCCGCACGCCACCGTCCAGTGGGCGCGTACCTACCGCGAGAAGCACCGTTGAAACGTTGACGGGCCTCCCACGCCAGGCTCGCACAGATTGTCCTCTGGGCTCGGACTTGCGTACGTCGAAGAACACAGGCAGACAAATCAGCCAAGTCGACATCCATCAAAGGGATCGAGGCCCGGTTGTTGGGACAGCACAAATACAATTAGGGGGTGGTCATGTAAGTGTCGTGAAATGCGCGTGAGATCGATGTTGGGGGCAGCCCGGGGCGGAACGGGGGTGGGAGCGGGGTGGGGATGCGGGGGTGGAGATGGGAGTGAGATGGGATGAAAGTCTAGTAGCACGGGTGCTCATGGATACACATACGGCGGACAGGGAAGGGTGAGCACTAGGAACACAGGAGAACGTCAGTCACCATGCGATGGATGCGGGGGAGGGGGGATTACTTAGATGGCGCAGAGGGGGCGAAAGTGCGAGGGAGGGGGAGGCGATGATGCGAAGGCGACAGCGATCAGCCGAAAGCGAACGGGAGATAAATATGTACAACAGGCAACAGGGCATCAGTTCAGGCTATGACCTGCCCGCAGGTGGCGGCGACCGAGTTCGGCTCGCAAGCGACGACCTCCGTGCCGGCGGCGACCCTGGTGGGGACTCGTGCTGCCGGGACTGTTGCGTGGATGACCGCGCCGTCGGCGGTGGGTGGCGGTGGCCGTGCTCGTCGTTCGCCGTGTGCAGCGTCGAGCCCCCCGAGGTCGAGCCCTCCGACGGCGGGCGCTTGCGGCGGATGGAGCGCGAGATGGAGAAGGGGTGCATGTGCATCCCCTTCCTGCGCCCCCGCGTCTTCTTCTCCCGCGGTGGGGTCTGCATTTGCCGCTCGGAGAGGTGGGACTGCATGCGCTGCATGGCAACGCCGCATTCTTCGGTCGCGAAGTCGAACCCGCGGTGGACGGAGGAAATGCCGGTGACCATGTCCGTCCGGCTGGCGTGGAAGGCGGACGGGCGCTGGCAGAGGCTGTTGCGGATCTCGTCGCGCGTGGGGGCACGCTTGAGGTGCGCGAGGCCGCCGTTCTTGTCCTTGGAGAAGTCGTGGGTCGGGTCTTGCTTCCTGATCCAGCGCGCCACGTCCATGTCACCAGGGTTGACCGCGAACCTGTACGCTTTCCAGAGGTAGCGGGGCAGGCATGCGATGATGATCACCAGAGGGAGAGACAGCCAGAAGAGCGCAGATCGGAACAGGTAGTGGTCGTTGCCGAAGACCGGTGTCGAGAACCAGCCGGGGGAAATGATCGAGTAGACGGCCTGTAAGTAAAGATGTTAGTGGCTGTCAGCTGAAACGATAGCAAATCTCGACCGACAGTGTACGCCCAGACAAGCACAATACCGAAAGAAACGGCGAAGAAGATCCAGGCAGTCCATACATGCGTGTTCAAGCCGTTGAACAAACACGCGGTCATGACTGCACCAATCACCATGGTCTGCAAGATTTTGAATGAGCACAGGGGACCACAGACGGATCAAGAAGACGCACCGTCGAAAACTCGTACTGGTAAACGCTGTAGCCGTCTGTGCGAGAGGTGGTGACGTCGTACGTATAAAGGATTAGGAAAAAGACAACCGCCGACTGGAAGGAGATGTTAGCTTGGATCAATCGGCTCCGCGACTACGCACCTGTACGACCGCTTCGAACATATAAATAAGGAACAACTTAGTGCCAAAGTAATCGTGCTTCTTGCTGTGCTTGTACATCTCCGGGAGCGCCATGAGGACTTGATCGTCTGCGACCGTCATTTGAGCACGGAAATGAAGTACCCGAAACTCAAACACTCACCGACGATACGATCGAAGAGGCCGATGCCGATGACGGGCGCGATCGTCCAGAAAGTGTTCCAGAACAAAAGATAAGTGTACTCGAAGACGCTGAAGGACCATGCTCGTCAGTACGCGGTGGAAACTCGCGGAATGTAGTCCGACTCACTATTGACTGCTCCAGGCGCAATAAAACATAAACCACCAAAGGACCCCAATGCAAACGACGTTCTTGTAGAAGAAGTTGACAATCCTGCGGAGAACAACCGGTCAGCCGCCGCCGCCGCCGCCGCTCAATCAACTCACATGTTCCCGTTCCGGGCGTACGACCAATGCCCGTGGACCAGCAAGAGCCGCTTCAGGAACCGGAACTAGCACGACGATGTCAGCGCGCATCCAATGACCAACCGCCGCCGCGGGGTGAAACACACCTGGGCGATCGCGTAATCGGAGGAGTTAACGGCCTGGAGACCCTCCTCGCCCGAGATGCCGACGCCGACGTCCGCGGCCTGGATCATGCTCACGTCATTGGCGCCGTCGCCAATCGCGAGCGTCATCGCGCCGACGCCGTCTTTGACGAGCTTCACGACGAGCGCCTTCTGCAGCGGCGAGACGCGGCAGCAGATCACGCCCTCGCACTGCATCGCGAGCTTGAGCAGGAGGCTCTTGTTCGCTTCATCCGCGAACGCCTGTGCGTGGGGACGGGCGCGGTCAGCACGGCACGGTCATCGGGGATGATCAGAACAGCGGGGCTTACGTGGGTGAGCGCGGCACCGTCGATGACTAGGACGAAGCCGCCCGGCCGCTGGCCGTTGCCCTGTCCGACGAGAGACGAAACGCCCGAGTTGACGCGCTGGAGCGGGAGGCCGTTCGCCTGCACGTCGGGTAGCTGGTCCAGCCGCACGTCGTCGTCCTGGAGGATGCCTGATTCCGGGAAGAACTCCTGCACGGCGTTCAGCATCTGCGCGTACACCGGCGTCGTGTCTTGGTGCCCGCCGCGGATGATGATGATGTTGTCCTGGCGTCCGATCAGGTTCGTGCTGTGGCCGATGGCTGGAAAATAGAACGCGGATGAACACGGGAGCAGGCATGAGAAGCGCTGTCACGCCGGAGAATACGTGGACGGATACGCACCAATGGCGGTCTCAAGTTTGTCACCGGTGAGAACCCAGATTTTAATGTCAGCTTCCTTGAGGTCCGCGATAGCCTCCGGAACGCCGTCTTGTAGGCTATCCTCGATGGCAGTCGCGCCGAGGAGCTTCAGGTCATGTTCGATCTCGTCTGAGACGGCCTCGACCTTCTCATCACGGTTATCCAGAGATGAAATGGCCTCATTGTAGCGAACGGCCCAGCTCTCGTATTCCTCCTCTGCATAAGTCGGCCTAGTCAGCTCAAGGATCGCGCATGCAGCCACCAGAGACGTACCAGCGATGACCTTGTACGCCAAAGTGAGCGTCCGGAGACCCTCGCTCGCGAACTCGGCGAGGTGGTCCTCCGTCGTCTGCACCTCCTGCCCCTGGCCCTTGCTCAGCCGCTCGATGATCACGTTGTCCGCGCCCTTGGCGAGCAGGAACACCTTCCCGTCGCTCTCGCGTTCGTCCCCGAGCTTGCGCAGGATGACGCTCATCCGCTTCCGCGCGCTCGTGAAGTCGAGGATGTTGAGCAGCTCAAACTGCTCCAGCCCGCTCTCGTCGCGCGCGAACGGCGACTGGAGCGTGAGCACGTCGCGCTCGCGCCCGCGGAAGACGAACCCGGCGTCCGCGGCGGCCTGCACGAGCGCGGCCTCGTCCGGGCTCTGCGCCTTGTACTGCATCGCGCCCGAGTCCGGGTCGACGGAGACGAGCGCGGTGTGGCAGAGCGCGAGGACGGTCCAGAAGCCGTTGAGCATGCGTCCGTGCGCGGCGGCGGGCGACCCAGATGGCGAGCGCTGCGCCGCGGTGATGTCCGCCTCGAGCTCGGTGTCGCGGAAACGGGTGGTCGCGCGTTCGGCGGCTGGGGCGCTGACCTCGGCGGTCGACGAAGAGGTCGACTGCTTTGGCGAGCCGGTGGGCTGCTTCTCGCGTGCGGTGTTCCCGCTCGAGCTCGAAGATTCGTCGGCGGCTGGGGCGGGGATGTCGGGCTCGGTGGTGGACGCCTCGCCGCGGTAGACATGTCCCGCAATCGTGCACTGGCGGAAGAGCATCACGTTCTGGGTCAGCGTGCCGGTCTTGTCCGAGAAGATGTACTCTATCTGGCCAAGGTCGTCAGACAAGTTCCAGGAGCGGGCGAGCGTCGCCTGGCCGGTCTTCTCGTAATAGATCTCCTTGTCGAAGTATATGAAGAGCGCCTGACATGTCCTCACACCCTCGATAGAGATGTAGAGGGAAATGGGGACGATGTTCTGGAACGTGATGAGCGCGAAGACGGCGGTGATGAGGCCATTGATGCGCGGGTTGTTGTCGCTCTGGTTGTCGCCGTACAGCCAAGGGGCGCCGAGGGAGAAATAGCGCTGCTCGAGCACGGAGTCGACGATGCCGCAAGTAATGCCCATAAGCGCAAGGATCAGGAGGTTGATGAAACTGTCGGTAGCACAGGGTCAGACGAGTGCAATCAGACAGATTCGGCAGGCATGACGTACACCTGCGGGTTCATCTGGCGCTCGACCCGGCTGCGTTTGCTAGGCGTCGCGCCCGAGTTTAGCACGATCTTGGTGTCCTCCCCAGTGAAGAGCACGACGCCGATGGCCCACTGGGTGTTGCGAAGGACGGTGCCGCGCAGGAAGACCATGTTCGTGTCCACGGCCGAGCGCTGCCCGTCCGAGGAGATGACCGCGGCGTGCAGCTTGTACAGATTCGTGTCCGGGCGGTCGCACTCGACGTGGAAGGCGTTCTCCTTGGCCGCGCAGACGCGTGCGGAGTTGAGGTGCGTCAGCGCGGGGCACGCGCTCCGGCTCTTGAGGTTCGTCTCGCCGTCGAGGTTCTTGGTCTCGACAAACGCGACGTTCTCCTCCTCGGAGGTGGAGCATATGAGGATGTCGGCGGGGAACGGCTCGTCCTCGTCGATCTTGACGATGTCCCCCACCCGCAGGTCCTCCCAGATCGTCATTTTCCAGTGCGGACGGGCAGACGCACCATGATGACGGAACAGACCGCCCGCCTCCTCGTCCGGCAGCTCCTCGCCCTCGTCGTCCTCGTGTGCCACCGTCCGGGTGGGGATGGTCTCGAGATCGGCGCCGTCGGTGTGGAAGCCTTCGGGCGGAGCGCCGTGCTCGAGCTGCTCGACGGCCGCGGTCGGGTGCGCCCTCTTTGCCTTCCTCCTGCGGAACTTGGGCACCATCGCGCGCACGAACGTCTTGGCCTTGCCCGCTGTGGCGTTCTCGTTCGTGAACCCGCCGCCTGTCAGGACCCGTACCTGGGAGTAGTTGACAGCTCGGTCTGACTGGTGACGTTTTATGTCCTCATAGGCATCCTTTAGGCCAGTGATAGACAGCACGATGAGCAGGGGGAGGATGACGAGGCCGGGAGAGACGGTGGAGAAGATGGGGAAGAACTGGAGGATGGCGATGCCGAGGAAGAAGATGTTGGCTATCCGGCGGAATTGCTCGAGCAGGTTGCGGGGGAGAAAGGTGATGACGGTGTACTTGGATGTGATGACCTGGTTGGAGCGGTATACGTGCTCGTTGAGGACTTTGGTCGGCTTCTTGGGGTCGAAGTACGCGTCGGGCAGTGGCTGGTTGACGAATACGGTGCGCGGGGGGCCGGGCCCTTTGCGTCGAGAAAAAAGCTTCTCGACGTTGAAGTCGGATATCCGCCGGTACCAGGCGGCAAGTTTGGACGGCATGGCCGTGGGGGGAGGGGGGGAACACTCGGCCGAGGACGGGAGGAGGTCGGACTATAGGACAGAGGGCGGAAGGGCATAAGAGCTGACTTGGCCGCCTATAAGCCGGAGTGTGTCATCATCGCCAACGGCTGCCCCCGTTCCCGCACCGCCGGCGTGTCCGATCCCAATTACGATGTTCTCCCGAGCGCCCGGCCTCGTCTCATCGTCAACCGCCCACCGCAGGCCGCCCGACCCACTGTCCCCCGCAGTGAGGGGCACTATATGCTCATGTGGCCTGCACAGTCGCAGCAGGCCCGACGACCTCGCCCAACACACACTCCCAGCGGTCCCGGTTGCTCGCCATCCCACCCTTCTGATCCGGAACCGACCGCTGACTCCGTGCGGACTGAGCTTCGTCAGCGGCGGCGACCTGTTGGAGCCTGTTGGGTTCCTCCAGGTTCTTCTTATATGCTCGGGCATGTTTCCTTGCAGACGCGGATGCTGATGACTTCCGGGAAGGTGCTACCAATAGGTCGGATAGTGGTCGAACGACTACCCACTGCGTCCTCCTCACTGCGCGAAGATCATACCACGTCCGTCGGTATTGCACCCCAGTGCATGCTGCGATCTCTACGGCCGGCCGTTTGCAGGGACGCCACTACGCCCCGCTAGTAACCCTTGGTGGCCTGTTTTAAGAGCCACGATCGCCGGTGATTGAGCGCTTCCTTATTACAAAGCCGCACCGGACGTTAAACCGTCGGAGGTTCCGGGACGAAGTGAGGGAGAAAATACTGCGAGCTCTTGAACCCTTTATGCTCTCTTACAGCGCCGGAGCCGCAAGGAGGAGGAGGCGGGCGGAGTCGATTTTGTGCCTCTAAGCCGCCTCCGAACTAGCATAGTTCGGTTATCACATGGCAAGCAACTGCACTAGTACAGAGCAAGCTAGCTCAAAAGACGTCCCCCTTAAGGAACCTGTTAGAGCCTGTTAGAGCCTGTTAGGCCCTCTGTCAGCGCGAAAGCCGCGGACCCGGTGGGTCGCCCTGGGTCGCCTCGCCTCGACGCGTAGGCGGCAGAGCCGATGACGTTCCGTAGAACTCGCCGGCAACGAGCGTCTGAGCGCCCTCTGCTGCACCGCGCGGCCTCGGCGCCAGAGAGTCAATCACAAGCCGCAGCTCGGTCGTCGTGTGCGATGGCAGATGGGAGCGGCCTCGCAAAAAGCCTCACGGTTCGGCGGTGATTGAGCGGCAGCAATAAGCAGTCGAGTGACTCGTGAGGAAAGATGAAATATGTCGTAGCGCATGATGGCGGCTTTCGAATGTCGCATGTGTGGTTCCCGGTTTCTCCCGCTCGTGGACGCCTGGGCCGTGCTTCCGTCTTCGACCGCCAGTCCGAAGTCGAGCTTGCCTCCGCGCAGAACGCAAGCTTCCTCCCGTTCTCGTCGGACACCGCAGACGTGTCACGTGAACAGGCCCGATCAGCGTGGGTGCCTGTGTGATTACCTCAGCAGAAAGCACCGATTTGGGATGTGCCTGATTCGCTGTGCTCCGGATGGCGCTGAGTCCCTGCTCAGCGAATGTTCGCAAGCATTTTCCCCTTCCCTACATTGACCTCAGCGTGAGCCCGTCGTGTGCGACAGTGTCCTCGCGGGGTGTCCCGCGCCCGTAACCTCTTCTTCCTCCCCTCGTCGCTCCTTATTCCCCCTGCCTCCCTGTCCACTTGCTATCGCCCCTGTCCAACACCCACGACCAAACAGCGGAAGACGACCTCCATGTCACAGACGATCATCATGCACGACGTGCCCACCGCCCTCCCCGACCTCCCTACCCCCGTTGGCGCCACGTTCTCCAACATAGTCGTCTCCGCCTTCGCCGACTCACCCAATCCGCCAGAGCCCGCGCCCACACCTGAGCCCGAAGCCGAGCCCACTCTCGAGCCAGAGCCCACACCAGAGCCCGCACCCGCCGAGCCTCCCCAAGAGCCCGCACCCAGCGACCCGAACCCCACCTCCGCCCGCTCCTCCGGCTCGCTCGAGAGCACGAGCACGGGCACGAGCCCGCCCTCGCTCGACACCACCCACAGCGCCGCGTCCTCCGGCACCTCCGCCTCCGCCCCGTCCAGCACCGCGCCCTCGCCCTGCCCGAGCATCCTCATCCGCGCGGACCCCGCCCTCGCCTTCCCCCGCTCCTCCCCCGCGTCCCCCAACATCACCTTCGCCCCGCTCCCGGCGACCGAGCCCCGGAAGCGGAACACCTCCCACCAGCTCGGCGTCGCCGCCCGCTCCCGGCTGCTCCGCCACCGTCGCATGCTCCGCGAGCAGGGCCTCGACCCGGCGGACTACCCGTACCCGCCGCCTTACCCTTACGGCCCGGGCAGCGGGGTCGCGGGTGGGGTCGGCTATGAGGACCGTGTCGAGGTGCAGGGAGAGGACGCGAAGGAGGGCGGGGAGGCGAGCGAGGAGGGGAAGGTGGTCGTGCGGGTGGAGGAAGAGGACGGACTGGTGTCGCTCGGACGGGCACTCAAAGGTGCGGGACGGAGCATTTGGCGCAGCCTGTCGATGCGGGAGATGCGGCCGAAGGAGGCAGTCGCCCCGGAGAAGGAGAAGGAGGGAGCGCAGCGGAGCGGGTCGCTGCAAGAGCGGCGGCCGTCGAAGAGGACCACGACCGCCCATCTCTTCGCGGACGCCACGGAGGAAGTCCATTCGGGCGAGGGTGTCTGGGAGGAGGAGATCGACCCCAATTCGTGGAAGAAGCTCCTCTCCGCGCCCGTCTCAGCAGAGCCAGAGTCCATCGAGGATGCGACGACACCATCACCACCTCCACCACCGGTCGTGGTGTCCGTCGAGGCGGATGACAAGGTCGTTTCGAACAAGTCTAAGACCGGGTCGCTACGGCGAACCAAGAAGGCGATCACGAAGTCGTAACGTGCCTCCTCCATCCTTCTCTCCCCCTTCGCTGCACTCTAAGATACCCTCCCTGCTCACATACACCTGCGCACCCTTCTTCATGCTCTCCTTTGCTCCCCTCGACACCCTTTGCTCTCCTCACATCCCTCATGCACCCCACGCCTATTGCGACCCCACGCTCATTAACGAGGAGAACGAGACGACGCCCTGGCCGGCGCCCGGGTTGCTTAAGAGTCCACCCACCGAGATTACTGTCTACCACTAGGGAATCCCGCTCACGGACGCTGCGCAATCTACCACTACCACCACACTCACCGCGCCCGCTAACGGGCGGCGGGCGGTACGATAGTATATAAATTACTAGTCACCCGCCCTCGATGCTCCAGCTTACAAGCCATTTAGTGCACCGTATAATGTGTCGCGATACCCTCTTCCCGCGCATTTATACATATCTATTTCTCGCTGTGCCCCACTGACCGGCATCCCAACATTCAAACGGGCGAGGTATTTTACGTCCCGAAGCATCCCACCCTCGCCCTCGCCCACGCCTACGCCAGCGCCGGGTTGTTCTCCGCGAAGTACTCGTGGTTGTCCGCGTTCATGACCGCCTCGCCCGGGTTGCTCACCGCGAGCGCCGCCGCGTCCGTCTGGCCGTACACGTAGTCCAGCGTGCCCCCGTTCGCGGTGAAGTGGCTCGACTGTACACAATCCGCATCGACCGCGTCAGCTCCCCCTGGCTCCCAGATCAACGAACGACACGGACCTCGTGGATGAGCGTGCCCCCGCGCGAGTCCGTGCCGGCGTCGGGCGCGGCCCAGAACGCGTCGCAGAGGTGGTAGTACCCGAGCTGGTCCGGGAAGACGTACGCGTACGTGCCCGCGATCGTGCACGTGCAGTCGTACGTGAACGTCGCGAAGTCGCGCCCCGCGATCGCGCTGAAGTGCGCGAGCGCGAGCGCGTGCCGCGACGCGGTGAGCGCGCCGAACCAGGTCGTGAACCGCGGGGTCGCGGTCGTGTTCGCAGTGAGGTAGCTGTGCGGGCGGGGGTCAGCGGGGGCCCAGGGAGGGAGGGGATGGGGACAAGGGAGAGAGAGGGGAGAGAGACGCACGCGAGGGACTCGGACGCGTACTCCTGCGCGACGGCGAGCGCGTTCGTGATCGCGACCTCCATCGATGCGATGCAGCCGACGTACGTCTGCCGCTTCGCGAGCGGCGGGGCGGGCGCGGCGAGCGAGCCGGTGAGCCTCGCGACGTGCGTCGCGCCGACGGACGCGCGGAGCTCGACGGGGCTGCCCGTCGCCGGGTCGACGTAGAAGAAGAGCGTGGAGGGGCTGATCGTGTACTCGCCCTCCGAGGCGAAGCTGTACGCAGCAGACACTGCGCCGACCCGAACGCATCAGCGCGGTGTCGTATGCTCGACAAGGGGGAGAACGTACGGTCGTGCGCGACGGTGAACGCGTCCCCAGGCGCGAGGACCGTCACCGCGTCGGGGGCCCCGCTTTCCGCCGCGAGCGCAGGCGAGTACTTCACCACCGCGCCGACAAACTTCGGGCCCGCGCCCGACGCGGATGCGATCGAGAACGCGTTCGTGGGGAGGTCGTGCAGCAGCCCGCGCGGGTCCCGGAGCAGCGTGAGCGCCTCGTCGCCCGTGTTCGTCACCGTCGCGGCGACGTGCAGGTTCGAAACGCCCTTCACGGTTGTCGGCCCGGAGAGCGACACGGAGAGACCGGGTGCCGCCGCGGCGAGCGCGGTGAGGGAGAGCACGGCGAGGAGGTTTGCGAGCATTATGCTGGACTGAGGGTGCGGGCGGGGAGTCCTGAGGTTTGGGGGAGGTGAAGCGGGCTATATGCTGTCTGCTGTCGCGCAGAGGAGTAATCGCGCTGGAACCGAAGCCATGGCCAGGGGTTGGTCCCTATCCTTGAGATGTAGGGCGTTGAGGTGGCACATCGCAAGCACATTGTGGACGACGGTCGCGTGACGGAGGTGTCGCGTCGACCGTCCGACCGCCAGGGCATTTGCAGACCGCTGTCCGAGGAGTAGGCGCGTGCGGCCTTCCGTTGAATGACGTCGGTCCCCGCGGTGCCGGCAGATCGAGAAGTGTGGACATGAGGTCCGTCGACGGCGCCGTACTAGAAGAGGTCGATGTGATTAGGACTTGGGCCCTCGACGGCTATGAGAAGGGGACATACCGCCTATATTTAGGAAGGAAGGGAGCTCATGTGAGCGGAGACTTATCGCCCCGGACGTTCGACGGAGATTCAAGCGACAGGGCCCGGGATGTTGCATGCGTTCCGCGGGAACAGTGCGCAGGCATTTGTTTCGTGGTGCAATAGAATACCAGATGACGGCTTCTTCAAGCGGTTCCTGGAAGAAATTAAGAATCGGCTCCGTTTTGCATTGGAACGTGGCTGGTGCGTACCAGAGACATTAACCTCGAGCCACAGGCGGACCGTTATTCACGGAACGAGGCCGAGAACGCTCTGAAAGGGTCAAGCACAGAACACGATAGAAAAGCGTTGAACTTCAATGCGGTATCGGAATTCTCGTGGCAACAATTATTGCGTCCGCGAACGAAGTGATCCTGGTCAATGACACGACTTGTCAACTTCCCAATGCAAGCCAGTCCATTGCCCTCACCTCCGAATGGCTTGTACAGAAAGCTGATGCGTGTTTACGCCGTTATGTAGAATGCAAAATATCCTTCGTCTCTAAGGGAGTTAGTGCGCCGCAAGCAAATGAGCGGATACAGGTGGGTATATGCGCTTGAACATGACTGTCTTCTGACTGGTAACGAGCGAGTTCCGGATGTGAACATCAACGTTGTCCAATTTCGTTGCGTGCACCGGGTGCAGCATCTGAAGTTGAACTCTGGATGAGTAGTTTTAGACAACTTGTCGACTCTTGCACTGGGATTGGACAACCACCAGGGTCGGTGAGCAGAAAGATTGACGTTGATGTGGGTGGGTCAGCCCCTATTTGAACATTTGAGTAACCATGGTGACCTGTATACACGATGAGTGGGACAGGAGATGTAAGGTACCAAAAGGCACAGACCAGTACGTTGTCAGACCAAGATTCATTTGCGCGACGGGTCGTGATTAATGACGCAGATGTAGCTGAGTGGTAGGGGCCGCGCCCTCTCGCCGATTTTGGATGACAAGAGGCAGATACGGTCAGGGACCAGACGGAAAGAGCAGTGTCAGATTACAGGCATATGTTAAGAACCGTACAGATGGAAGCGATGTTCAGCGAGGACCAAGTCATTAGAAGGACGGAGAGGAAGCGATGGGGATGGGGGTGCAGATGGGGATGGGAGTGAGGACGGACGACACGAGAGAAGCGGCCTAACCACCCTCACCGCTCGAGCTTGCCCGCCACGCCCGCCGCCTCGTCCCGCGCCTGCCCGAGCTGCGGGTCAATCGCCGGCGGGCTCTGCGCCGTCAGCCCGGGGTCGATCCCGTTCGGCGGCCCCCCCGGCGGCGCGGACACGGAGCCCTGCCCGTCCGCGGCGACGGACGCGCGGAACGGCGAGGGCGCGACGAGCGGGCGGTGGAACCGCGCCCGGAAGTCGTTCGCCTGCGCGGGGTCGTGCACGTACGGATGCGGGCCGGGGACGTGCTCTGGCGGGAGGCCGTTGTAGGGTGCGGTGGGGTCGGGGAGGGGAGCGCCATCGGCAGGTTTGGGGGCGTGGGCTTGGGCCTGGGCGTAGTGCATCCGTCTCTGCGGCGGGGGTGAGCATAGAGTCACGTGGGGAAGAGGCGGTGGATGTAGGGGAAAGAACTTCGGGAAGGCGTTGCGAAGGCGTAGAGAAGGATCGGCACGAGAAAAGACAGACGGGCGACGTACCTGCTGGTCCCAGTGGTCCCAAGCTTGTGCAATGATAGGCTCGAGCGACGCGAGCTCCTCGTTCGTCATCGACAGCGTCCGTAGGAGGTGTTGCTTGAGCAGTGGCGCGCACGAGAAGCTGAGCAGCAGCGTGCTCGCGAACGTCTGCCCGCCCAGCGGCTGCCCCTGCGGGAACGGGGGCTCGTGCATCGCGTGCGGCGGCGCTGAGTGAGGGTGTGGCGGGTGCGGGTGTGGTGGGAGCTCGTGGGCGAGCACGGGCTGGTACTGCCCGTCCGCGCCCATTCGGTACTGCACCTCCTCCATCCCCGACAGGATCTCGTTTCCCATGTCGAGCCCGAGCTCGCGCAGCTTCCGAGCCTTTACCAACGCACGGTGTTTCCTTTGTCGCTCCCGCGCCGCCGCCCGGATCCGGTCCCGCTTTACCGCCTCTTCTGGAGAAAGGTCTTCGCCCATCACCAGCCCGACTTGCACGTCCGGAGTCTGAGGCAAAGCGGCGGGTGGCGGAGGAACATCGACGGGAGGTGGTGCGACCTGCTGCACCTGCTGAGCGAGTGCGAGAACGGCTTGCTGCTGTTGCTGCTGCTGCTGCTGTTGCTGCTGCTGTTGTTGTTGCTGATGTTGTTGTTGCTGCTGCTGCTGCTGCTGCTGCTGCTGCTGCTGCTGCTGCTGTTGGTGTTGGTGCTGTTGCTGCTGCTGCTGTTGGTGCTGCTGCTGGTGCTGTAGGTGTTGGAGGCTAGCAGCAGCGGCTCGGTCGCGCTCGCGCTTGCGGCGCTGCCGTTCTGCTGCCTTCTCCCGCTTGTGTCGCTGGCTGGGGGTCTCGTTCTCGCGGGAGCGTTTGCGCGCGCTCTGAGGGGTGATCGGGACGTGGTTGGGGTCCATCCGGGGCAGCAACGGCGTATATTCTGTGCTCTGAGTGACAGTAACGGCCGACGAGCGAGTGTCGAGGCCGCGGAGGATGGGCGGGGGTAACGTCGTGACGACGAGGTGACTAGGCGGGGGCCCGAAGCTGTCACACGCGCTCTTATACCCTCCTCGTGGCGTGGGAAGCAGCCGCACGTAAGCGGGCAACGGCCAATCCGCGGCATCCGCGACCATCGTCTTGTTTGCGCCTTGGCTCTAGAGTACAAGCCGTGTTCCTTGTCTACTGTCTCTACACTGCCAGCATCCCCACCTTCTTCACCATGCTCTCCCGCCCCGGACCGACCCCGATCCACTCTATCGGCACGCCCAGGAACCGCTCAATGAACCCTATGTACTTCTGGCAGTTGCCCGGCAGATCGTCTATCGACCTTGCGGACACAATCGACTGCTTCCACCCAGGAAGCGTCAAATACACCACATCGACCTTGGCCAGCACTTCGAGGTCGGCTGCAAGCGGCGGCCGTCAGCCCCATCATCCATCATCAAGTGCACGGACCACCTACCAGGGAATCCAGGCAGCTCCTTCTCATCCACCAGATACTTGACAGCCACCTTGATCTCGTCCAGGTCATCGAGGATGTCCAACTTGGTCAAGTTAAGGCTATCGTAGCCGTTGATCATGCACGAGTGCTTCATGACCACCAAGTCTAGCCACCCACAGCGTCTCCTCCGGCCTGTTGTGGTTCCGAACTCGCGACCGACCTCTTGGAGGTGCACCCCGATGTCCTGATGAGATATTAGCCGTATTTCAACATATATTTTGACGCTTTGCTCACGTTGAGCTGCTCGGTAGGGAAGGGGCCGCCTCCCACACGGGTGGTGTACGCCTTGATGACACCGATGGCGGTCCCGATCTTCTTGGGCGGGATACCCAGTCCAGTGCATACTCCACCGACTGTGGTGGAAGAGGACGTGACGAAAGGATAAGTGCCGAAGTCGATATCCAGCATCAACGCATTGGCGCCCTCGACAAGGACCTTCTTGCCTTCGGACAAGGCTTTGTGGATATAGACAACGCTATCAATAACGTACGGCCGAAGCCTCTCGGCAAGTTCCTGTTGAAATAATCAGATACTGTTTCTCGTGCGCACACAACAGATAACATGCCTTGTAGCGAAGGATCTCGCCTTCGGTATCGTACTCGAAGTGCCCGTAGCGCTTGAACCGGCCCTCGACGAGCTTCCGGAACTTGGCAGCGAACGTCTCGTGGTCGAACAGATGGTGCACGCGCAGGCCGGAGCGCGAGGCCTTGGACGAGTACGCCGGACCGATGCCCTTCTTGGTGGTGCCGATGCTGGAGCCACCGAGTTCAACCTCCTTGAGTCCGTCGACGATCTGGTGGAAGTCGAACACGATTTGCGTGCGGTCGGAGATGAACAGGCGGCCGGTGCAGTCGAGACCTGTGTACGCGTGTGACGCGGTGGCGTGGAGCGGAAAACAGGATGATTCGAGAGTTGGCCGCGCGATAGGGGCAGATAGCGAACGCGTAGACGCACCTTGCGCCTGCAGCGCGTCGAGCTCAGCGAAGAACGAAGGGATGTGCACGACGACGCCATTTCCGATGAGGCCGGTGCACTGGGGGTTCACGAGGCCTGCGCAGCGGGCGTCAGAGATTTGAGATATACGCGGGGCTGGGAGGGTGGTGCAGGAGATGAACGATCGGCTCACCGGATGGGAGGAGGTGGAACGCGAACGTCTTTTTGACCTTCTCGGGCCGATGGGGACGACGATCGTGTGTCCGGCATTGTTTCCACCGGCGCAGCGCGCGCAGATGTCGAAGTCGGCGCTGAGGATGTCGACGAGCTTGCCTTTGCCCTCGTCGCCCCACTGCGACCCGAGCACGACGGTAGCTGCATGGCACAAGGGCAGCATATCGTTACGTAAACACCAGGTTTGGCGGGAGTATGATAACGGGAGACGCACCGCTCATGGTTGCCTGCAGGTCGCGGCTGGGACTGGCGGGGAGAGAAGAATACGATGGAGATCGCGCAACGGTTTCTATCCGGGCGTGGTCGGGCGACCGCTGGGATGGACGCAGGTGTGCGCCTGGGCGTAAATACTACGGCGATGGGAGGTGTCGCTGCAAACGACGCGCGCGATAGACGTGGTAGCGGAAAGAGTCATTTTCTCCTCCGTCGTCCAGCCGAGTCGCTCTTGAGCGCGATCGGCCCGGGTCAGCCGGGTCCCCTAGCACCAGCGCCAGTGAGGTTGGCCGCATCTCTCATCTCGCTTCAATCCTTCGGATAAGCTGCCGGTTGCAGATAAGATGTACGGTGAGTGACTTGTAGTACACCGTAGTACATAGAGCGGCGGATCCAGAGGCGTACTAGGATGTGCGGGAGAAAGTAAGCAATTGATGCAGCCCTCCGATGTGAAGTACTAAATACATGAGGGCTCGGAAATAATGGTCCGAATGGAAAGCATCCGAGAAGCCGGCTCGGGGATTGGAAAGCGTCCGAGTGGCAACGCTAGTGGACAGCGTATACGTACACAAAGTTCACGTGGGACTTTTGTAAACACTAGTGCGCCGCATCCCTCGGGCGGCGGGCAATGATCGCAGTCACTCTCTTCGAGTAAACCAACGGACACCGGGCTCTGGGTATTGTTTGAGAATTCTTGTCGTATAGAACCATAGCCTGTTGACTCCGACACTAGAGTGTGTGAAGTCAGACTTAAAGGTGCCGGGCGAGTACATATTGTCTTACTGAGGGATGGTAATCCCCGGCGACGAATAATTTCAGGGCATGCGAGGAGGATATTAAAAACTTCTGGGACTTGACCTGGAACAAATTATGATGAGTGGGACCGTTGTATCGCAACCCCACCGTGGCACCTTCATATTATCTCGAGAAGGTGTTCGCATTGAGTCACTAGTCACTGACACCAACATCATTGTGAGCTCCGCGCCACATGACCACCGTGGACAAACGGTCGTCGTGACGGTGGCTGTGGGACTCAAGCGTTCAATCCACACGATCTTCTATGGTTTGAATCTCGTCTCAGGTCCATTTTTGGCCAGGATGAAGCATGACCGGAGGGGGTTGAATAAATCGGAAATTGTAACTGAGGTTTGCTCGCGGAGCTTACCAGGATCAGGCGGTGCGGGACACAACGACCGGCGTGTGGCTTTCATGGTCAGCGCGGGCCGATCCGACGTCAAAATCATGACCAAATTGTTCCAAACATACTGCGAGCTATACAAAGGACGACTTCACATGTATCAGTATACTGTAACACGGGCAAGGAACGCCGCACCTCGCTGTTCATACCCGACGTCAGACCGGGACTTGAGCGGGTCTCTACAGTATCCGGACTTCGCGACTCCTGACGAAAAGTATATAAGTCGTCGGGCCCTGCGCCGTAAAGCCTCAGTCTGCAGCTTCTTCAGACCGTGTTCGCTCCTCTACACGACTCTCGCACTTGCCACCTGATCCACCATGTTGTCTTTCACGAAGCTCGTCCTCCCCGTCTTCGTTACCATGCTCGCTGCCCTGGGCTCGTCCGCCATCCCGGCTGTCGAGAAACGCGACATCTGGAGCCCTCCCGTCACCTACCCCCACACCGGTACGGTGTGGACCAGCGGGCAGCGCCACAATGTGACTTGGTGCGTTTCTCACCTGCAGCACGAGGCAGAGTCGCAGCTGATCGAGCGAGCTCTGGGACGCCAACAGGAACACTGCGAACCCGCCCGCGAACGTCAGCAACGGCGCGACCATCCTGCTCCGTCTCACCGGTACCCCGATGCCCGGTGAGCATCGCTTCGAAGTGGAGACGTTCTTGGCATTCTGACGCGGCTGTAGTGATCCTGGCTCAGAACTTCGACCTCCACGCGGGTCGCGTTGAGGTCACGGTGCCTTGGGTGCAGACTCGCAACGACTACGAAGTTGTCTGTGAGTGTAGAAGTGTACTCCCTAGCTGTTGAACTACTTACTGACGTTTGCGCTTTGCAGTGCTCGGTGACTCCGGCAACGTCAGCCCTGCGTTCACCATTAACGAGAACTGAGTTCTGGAATCGTTGCAATTATGTCAGCTCTTGCACTCGAGCAGGGGTAGTTATCCTGGATTTGGACTTCACGGACTATATATCACGGAAGCGTTTTGTATAACAACTCGAGGGGATGTTTACGACCGCGGTTGCGATATGTTTGGTGCACTGGTTACGGTGAAGCGACTGAGTGACTTCGTATGAAAAGCCTGTGGATGATCCGTGAACGGGACGATCCTTGATCGTCACAAACTGTAAGGCAGCCAAGTTTTCGCAGCAATCACTGAAAGGCGACTCACGATTTAATACACACATGAAGAAGAAGAAAAACAGTCCCCAGGATAACGTCAATTGAAAGTCGCAGCACTGCTTTGTGAGTGAAATCGACGCGTTTCAATAGCATGCATGGAGCTGGGGATCGGCGCGAGCGAATCAGCGGCTCGAGCACAGAGAGGGTACGGAGCACATACATACATTTGAAGTAAAGATGCTGGTCCGGGGCGGCAGAGAGTCACCGAGAACTCTGCCATTTTGGAGTCGAGTAAGCTGGATGGGCCGGTGGCGGGCGGAACTGCGCAGGGGTCGACTAGCGGTCATGACGTAGAAGACCGGTGAACGACCTAGGTTATGGGACCGGGTAGAGCTAGCCATGAGGGGATCACCCTGTTTCCTGTGTAGAGAGCCTAACTCTAGCTATGCCGACTGCCAGAGTAAACTGTTAAGCAAAACTGCGGGCAAGAATCGCCACTGACGAGAGGAGAATCTGCCATGTCCTACAAAACGGGCGGTATGATACTGGTGGATAATGAGCGGTAAGAAAACTATCACCAAGTCAGACTCTTACCATTGACCAATTTCCGACAAGTGTGGCCTTCCACTTGACACGCGATTCTGTTGACCAGTGCCACGCGGTAAGGGAGAGAACAGATATGTGTATATGTTACTGCTAAGGAAGGCGAATTATCAGAGCTCGAGACAGATAGGTGGACGAGAGCGCAGAAAGCAAGCTTTGAGATGAAAGTTGACTTCACAAGCATAGGCGCTTGCTGAGGGTGACGGAGGGGCGGGGACAAAGCGTGGGAGCGAGTTGGAAAAGGCAGAGGCAGTTCCCGGAGGACGAGGTGGGTGACACCTCCCCCAGAAACCCCCAGGTCCCATTTCGAACAAATCGATGGCGACCACGCCTGCGTCCGCGTCCGCCCAACCCTCGACCTCTGCCTCCACACCCATCCTCGCCACTGGCGACTGGACCAAAAACCTCGTGCACCTTGCCAAGACCGCAGAGCTCAAGTGCGTCGTCCTCTTTCCATTCTCTCCAGCGTGCTCACAACTCCCGTTTCTCGCCTTCGCTTCCGTCTTCCCGCTCTGGAACCTGTGCTTTCCAAACGTGCTCGTTGTACGCGTCTCGCCTGCACCCCACCACGCACACAACCTCGGTGGGCGACGGCACAACTGCTCTCGCGACTACCGCACACGTTGACACGCGCAGGAAGCATGCGTTAACATTACAACTCCACACCGCGCACATTCTGTCCGCCCATGCTGCCCTGGAAACGAAGAGCAAAGCGATCCAGGACCTGAAGGAGCAGAAAAACAAGTACGTCACCTTCGCGTTCACTGCGTGTGGCCGTGATTCCTGTGCGGAGACTATGGTCCTAATAGCACGAGTTAGGCTGGAGAGCGAACGGTCACGGTTGCTCAACTGCTTACGCGAGGCATGTATTTCATGATTCTGTGCCATGATGCTTTGTGCTAAGGTCACCATAGGTAAACGAAGACCGGGACAAAGTAAGTTTTGGTCAACATACTTGGTCGCCCGACGGGACAGTCTCTTAGTGTCACACATCTCTAGACCGATCTCGCAGAAGCAACACTTGACAAAGAGTACGTTTGCAGGCAGCTAATGCAGCATGCGGTCACTCCCTTTCCTGACCAACTTTGCGCAGGGTCAAGGATCTGCAGGCGAAGATCAAGACCATTACCGATGGCGAATATTCGACGGCGAAGGTGGAGGTAGACCGGCTACGACAAGAGTTGGGGCAGCCGGCATTACCGAGCTTGCAGTCGACGTTGGAAGAGAAGTCGCAGGAGTACGTCATCCTCGTTCGGCTTTACGTTCCCTTCAACCCATCAGACACGCTCTGCTCGGTCTTGTGGCGTCGTTTGAGCTTCACGAGCCCGGACCGCGTGGACTCTGGCATTTCCAACACTTGGGGCATCTTTCCATGCAACAATCCCTGCAGTTGTCCTATCGCACTCACGTTCGCCGGTCGTCTCCTCTGCACTCATACTCACGATGGCCACCCTCCCACATCCCGCATTCTTCCGTGCCTTCTATCCGAGCACCACCGTACTGACGCGCGCCCTATTAGGTATTTGAAAGCTCTGCGTCTGCAAGCAGAACAGGTCGCCAGTGCGACCGGTACAAAACGCCCAGCCGCAGACGAGCTCGGCGCAGACGGGCAGCCCGTCAAGCGTCCCCGGGGCCGCCCAAAGGGCAGTAAGAACTCGAAGCCGCCGAAGCCGAAGAACGGCACCCCTTCCGCTTCGGCGCCTGCCTCCGCCTCCTGAGCTCTTCCACGGTTCTCCATCCCCACCTTCCTCTCGGACCTCCTGCGACCTTTATCGTCGGGGCGCCAGATGCAACCGCTTCCGCGGATGCGGTGAGAAGCCCCGGGCGGAGACGGCGCGGGGTCGTCAACGACTCGCGCTTCGCGTGGACAGGGTTGACGAGCGTTGGGTTGGGCCAGCGCGCGAAACCACTTCGCCCAGGAAGCGTATGTTTCAGTATGTTGTCGCTATGTTCCATATTAGTCGCTGTACGTTATCTGCCCTCTTACAGTAGTCCCATCTGTACAATCTCACCCAATTACTCGAGTCTTCACCGTCTACCAGCGTTCGGCCCGAAGCGCGTTCCAAATGGTTTCATCGCGCCCAAGGCCACCGCCTCTGCAATGGTCTCCAGATTTAGCGTGCCCTTGAGCGCGGGTGCCCTCCACTTCGGCGCCGTTCGCACTCGACGACTGCTTATTCTCTGCAGGCGGCCGATGCTGATCCTCCTCGCGTTCACTGTCGGCACCGACCGCCCTCGACGCCCCCGACCTCTCTCCAGGCCATCGCCCGACGAACAAATCCGAACTGCTTTCGAACACCTCTGCCGGAGGCGCCTCGGTGCGTCCACCCGCTCCCACCCGGGCTTCAACGCGCTACAGTCGGGTCGGGGTTGGCATCATTCTGTGGCCTGCGCGACCGGACTTGGCTGATCGTCTGTAGGGTTTCTGCGCCTTTGCCGACGTCCACGTCTAGGCTTCTACTAGTAGGCTCAGGTGGACGAGAGTGTGTGTCGAAGGTGAGGTCGAAGCGCCGAAGTCACGGGCGGACGTCTTGACTTTAGAGAGTGTGCACTCGGAACGGCCTGCGCGCTCTGAAGATCCTGGACGAGGAGACCGACGTGCACGGGGCCCGGCGAAACGCGTCCGTGAACCGCGGCGCTTTCGCTCTGGTCAACGGGTGTTTTGCGCCTCGAGACTCGCGAGGCGCGTGCACCGTCCCGCGTCCGTCTGGTTGAGCGGTCCTGTCAGAGACGCGAGCATCGCGGGACGCCCGCGTCCTCTGCTCAGGTGGGAACGGCTGACGCGCCCGGGTGCTCTTGGGCGCGGGTGGACTGTGGTCTGTCGCGCAGCGGACCACACGAGCGGATAGGACGGGGAACGGTGGGCTTGGGAACGCAGTGCGCCGAGTCTGTGCGACGAGCGACGCGTCGACCACGTTGACTGGACTTTCCTTTTCCTCGGTGGTCGCGGGTAGGCGATGGAGCGGCAGGCGACGAATGGGCGCGCATCTCGGTGTGCGACGAGCACGTACATACCGATGTGTGCTAGGCTACGCCCGGCACGCACACCCCCCGTAATCACCGCCCAGCTTCGATGTTCTTTCCGACCGTACGAGGACGCCGGGAGCGGGATCGGCATGATGGCTTCCTTGGGGATGCCGCCGTCCGTCGACGTCGAACAGTCGCGCGGTCCGAAACGTTGAACGACCGCCTGGGCGCACCCTGCCCGCACCCCGGAAGCGCACCAGGACCAGAAGCAGAACCCTGGCCGCTCTGCGAAGCCGTCGAGGGCGGCAGAGCGCAACCAGCCGCGCTAGCTCCCTCCCTCCCTTCAGGCCGCCCGAGGGCAGCCCGGTCCCGCAGGTACATTGCGCACTTGGCACATGCACGATTCGTGCGCGCGCGCCCTACGCACTTGCTTGCCTCGCGCACGGCGCACAATTTCCGCACCGCGTCGCAGCGTGCGCGCCGAGGTCGAGCGTAGAGAATTTGAAGTGGCAGCAGCCGACAAGTCACAGAAAGATCGGCGCAGGCACAACGAGCTCACATCACGATTCACAACACACTTTAGCTCGTGCTCGTCCCGCCCCAGGCACGCTACATACTACTCATTGCACATGCATGTTCGAAAAGGGCGCAGCGAGCGCCGACCGCCTTGGCACGTTCTGCCAACCCTGGCAGTCGTGGCGCGCGTCGACTCCGAGCATCAAACCGACGACGAGACAGCTCGGGCGGCCTGCGCCCCGCGCCGGCGCCGGCAAGGGACGCTCCGCGTCGCGCTGAGCGCCCGCCGCCCGGAGCCCGAGAGTCCCGGAGAGCGAACACCCACGGCGCGGAGGGGGACGTGGACGTGGACGGACGACGTCCGGGCGACGCGGGCGACGGCGACGTAAAGTGCGTGTCCGCGAGAGACGAACGTCGAACCCCGAGCCGCTCGGCGGCGGGCACGATTCCGCGATCATCATCCCGCGGCCGCGGCCGTCGTCGTTTGTTCGTCGTTCGCCGTTCGTCGTCGTCGTCGTCGCGAACGGCATGGATTTGACAGCTGCACGCATGTATCGTGCATGAGCAGCTGGGTATTCTGGACGCCGGGCGCGATCGACGCGTGGGGGGGCCGTCGCGGACGTGAAACGCACCGAACGTGCCGCGTCGGCGAGAGCGCGGGGGGTCGCAAGGAGTCAAACGCGCCGTCGCCGACTCGGGGCAGGCTCGCTGCCTAATCTGGGCCACAATCCCGACGGGGCGCGTTGGGGCGGCCCAGAATGGGAACCGACGCGCTCCACGTGTGGGCGTCGAGACGGGCGCAGTGATCGGTTGTGCCGGTACGCGACGCTCAGACGAGACGACAAAAGAGAGTGCGCGGCGGGAGATCAGGATCGCATATATGAGCACCGTGATGGCCCGTGCAGGCGTGGACGCCCGAGTGAGCCCAGGGCGGGGTGGACGACGAAAGATGAAAACTGACGCACCCGGGAAGTTCGCAGCACCGCTGAGTGGCCATTGTCGTGCTCGCCAAAGAGGCAGGACGAGCCATTGTCCGGCCGACGCGAGATCGACGGGCGATGCAGTGCGAAGCGGACACAGGAACCTCGCGAAGGGTCGACAGCGCGCAGCACCGCACACAGCACATCACGTCCGCGGGCGCGCGCTGGCGCATTTGTCGCGCGCAGGCGGATCCGGAGGCGCGAATCAGGCAGCCTGCGTACGCGGCCAGCTGTCGTCCGATCAGTTTCGGGCGTAGGAGGACGAGCCGACGCCGCCGCCGCCGTCGTCGTCGTCCAGGCGGCGTACGCACACAAACTGGATATGTTTAATTATGGTAGAGCGCAGGACGGTCCCTGATCTGAGTGGCCGCCCGCACGTGCTTCCAGATCTCGGACCACCTGCCGGACCGCATCGAGATAGCGATCGTACTGCTGCCCGCCGTGCGTACCATGAGCGCAAGGGCGCGATGCTGCCCCTCCGACGTCGACATTGGCATCGATGGGGCCACTCGCCTGTTCCCCCGCCCCATGCGCACGACGCGCGACGTCGGCCCCCCGAAAGCTTCGGTGACGGCGGCGCACGAGGCTGGCGCGCGCGCGCACCGGACTGCGCCCCGCTGCGAATGGAAGGCGCGCCGTCGGACGTGTGTGCGTGCGTGCGGTGCGGTGCGGGGAAGCGGCTCGGGCGCGAAAGTCGGACGCCCGAGCGTTCTTCGAATCCCCACAACGATGCGATGCGGGGGTGGGCGCGTGCGTGATGGAGGAGAAGACGGGAAGGACGAGGGTGCGCGCGACGCGGGTGGCGGGGACCCTCGTTATGCAGATACGCGGTGCGGCGGGCGCGTGCAAGCACTGTGGGTGGCGGAGTGCGCGTGTCGGTGCGGGCGGCGGTGCCACTGATCACCGCCATTTCGCACCTCTTCGTGCGCGCACCCTCGACGCGCGTGTGCTGAGCGTGTTCGCGAGGGGCGTGACCGCGCCAGCCGACACAAGCGCCCAATAAGGTCTGCCGTCATCCAGTCATTTCGCTCTATCGGGACGGCCGGGCGGTGAGTATCCGGATATCCATATACGTCCCTGCAGTCATCGTCCTTCCCCAGGACATAATACATCAGTCCTGCTTCTGTGCGTGTCTCTGATACATTGGACGTAGCGAGCTGTCGACATCATCTCGCCTTCGCATCCCACTCACCGACCGAAGGACCTCACAGATCCGCTGACAAACGGACCTGCAGCCGCAGCGCCCGATCGCGCATTCGAATTCGGAAGATGCTGCCGATGACTCAGCTTCTCCGCTCAAACCGTCCTCCCACTCACGACCAGTCATCCCGAACCCCGGCGTTGCGAAGACGAAGGCGACAGTCGTGCACGTCGAAGCTGTGTCGCTTATAGCGGCGGTGTCGAGTCTTTCAAAGCAGAGCCCCCGAGACGTCGCAGGCGCTTAATGGCGCTTAGATTGCTGCGCAGACCTAGCTAATAGTAGCTGCAGTAACTATACTGGAAGCCCCACCGGCGGTCCTGCGCGCGCGAGCGCCGGCACTCGGAAAGAAGCCCGGAATGCGGCCACTGCAGGAGCTGATCATGCGCGCCATGCGCTCCGACCCACTTCCGACCCACTGCGATTGCGCAGACGGGACGTGAGCGGGCGGCACGCGTGGGCCGCGAACGAGCAGACTGTCTGAGATCTGAGCAGGTGAGCCACGGGCCCCCCGAGCTCGCCCGAATTCCGATTGCCTGACGTACTACGTGCGCAGACTCGGCCTGCCCTCACCCCTCAAATCCGAACGATGCCCGTCGTCCGACGTGCCGAGCCCGCACGCGCGCGCGCCTGCCACTCCTCGGCGAGGGTGTCCTCGACGAGTATATCCGAATTTGACGGCTCGGGTCGGATCGCGTCGGGCCCACTAGTGAACTAGTGACGACGGAGCTGCCATGGGGCGGCAGGAGCGCTGCGGTCTGCGCTGACGTTCACGGTCCAGGTCGGCTCGGTGCGCAGGCTCGGTCAGGGCGCAAGTCACGGTGTCGGTGGCCACCGAACTTCCTGCTGTATGTAAGACGACGAGACCGAGTTCCGCCGTACGAAGTAGTGCCTGCACCGTTGGCTCGTGGCCGGGCTCGCCGCGGCGACCACGCGCGCCGAGCGCCTCCGGATCCGCGCGGCGAATGTGCACGACCTGGGCGGAGACGACGGGGGAGATTCAACGTCAACATTCGAGAAGACGATGAATGCCGTCGTGGGGCCGCAAGCCGCGGCGGCGCGTGCCATCGGGATACATCCGACTGCGTGCTCCAGCACACGCAGCGTGTGCGAGCCTCGTCCGGTCCATTTCCATGCGCTCCGGCTGGCGCGGTTGCCGTTCCGTCGCGCGCGCGCGTGGGCGCGGAAAGTCAGCCCGGGCCGTCTCCGCGCGCCCGGTTTGCCGCCGCCGCCGGCGTGCTCTCGCGCACCGTCGAGGACATTCTCTCGACACGAGTGCACGACGTCGCGCGACAAGCGCCCTCGTCACCCCGTTTGACCACGTTGCCGCCGGCCCGGCGCGCAGCGGCGCGATGCGGGAGATCGCTGCGGCACCTCGAGCACCGCGCTGCGGCACCCCCCCGCTCGCCACGTCTCGAACACGCGAGCTCGCACGAACGATTGCTGAGGCGGCGACGCGCCACGCTTTCGGCCCCAGCAACGAACGATCGTCGATCGGGTGTCGGGCGTCGGGCGTCGGGCGGCGACGCAGAGCTCCCGTCTCGCGCCGGGTCGTTCTTGGGCCGTGTGGTGGCCAGCTCGGCTCGTCGCTCGTGCGCCTCGGCGTTGCCGCGGGCGGGCGCCTGCGCAGGTATAACGTCGAGATTGGATCGGGGCCGTACGCACCCGGGCGCGTAAGCACCCTCCCGGGTGGGTGGCACAGGCCCGAGCGGGATAATTGATGCATTGTGCGAGGTGAGGTTTGGAGTGGACGGCCGCGTCGGGGCGTGCAGAGCGTGGGCGGGACCGGCCGCGCCGAGCGCAGGGAGGACGTCAATTTCGCACGCGCTGGGACGGGTTTATTTGATGCGGGCGAGCGAGGGGGGAACGCGAGCGAGGGCGACGTCCGAGGACGACGGGCAGACGTCCGCTAGCCGACGCCAGATTAATATCTGGCGTCGTGCGCGGCGAACCGGGCGTTGGACGGCCGAGGGCGCGAGCTGGGGGGACGGTGCATCTATCGGATTATTTGGCGGTGCGGCGCCCGCTGGCGGCTGACAGCGCTGACAGGCCGCGGGCTGCAGCAGCTGCTTGGAACTCGGAAGACGCGCCCTTGGCCGATCCCGCCCCCGCGTCTGCGTCGATTCGAACGTGGACGCGGACGCACGCGAGGGGCGGCCGCGCGCACCCCCCGGCCCACGCACGGCCAGAACCGCGGCGGAGGGGGCCTGCACTTTTCTGCGGCTTCTCGCGATGCGTGCGCGCGGGCGAATCGCGAGGGCGTGCGAGGGCGGGGTGCGCGAGGCCCGCCGGCGAGAGTCTGGGCTCGCGCGGACCGGAGGGCAAGTAGGGGTGGCGGTCGCGGCGGGAGTGGGCGGATGGAACGCCGGTGATGGTCTGGGCCGCGGGGGTGTTTAGTAGACAGTTGAGGACGTTCTCGTCGGCGCGGCGGTCTCGAACGACAGGGGGGATCGCGGCGGTCTGGGTGGGGAGAGCATGGGGCTGGATGGGGCCGTGGACGGGGGCTGGGATGCAAGGAAGGTGCGAGCAGGCTCATTCAGCAGCGGGGGAGCTGAGTGGACGAGCTCGGGTGACAAACGCAGGCTGAGTGGGAGGGGATCGGGCGGGGTGGATCTGGCGGGGGCAGGCGGAGGACGCTTACGAGCGCGGCGGCGGGGACGCGTCGACGGGCGGCCTGAGTCAACCCAGGCCAATGAGCGCCGTCCCGATCCCTGCGGAGACAATCACCGCCTGCGCCTGCGACCGGCGCCTGTCCCGCGTTCATTCGATCTCAGATCGGACGACTGGCTGGTGCCCTCCCCCGCCCGCACTTGTTAAATACACCCTCCCTCCCGCCATGCCATCCCCACCACTCCGCCCCCTCCCGAGCCCGCCGCTCCATCCCAGCCACCGCTCCCACCTCCACATCCATGTCTTCATCACCACTCCACCCCGCCAGCCTCGTCGACCCCTCTTCCCACTCCCCGGCCCTCCTCGAGCTGGTAGAGGTCGACATGAGCCGCAGTCTCATTGGTACGTCTCCTTTTTTCTTCTTTCCCTCTTTCGGCTGCTCATTCTCGCATAGAACATGTTGTCGACACAGTCGCGGAGACCGTCGACTACGCCCTGGGCCGCCCCTCGTCCTCCCGCAGGGGTCGCAGCCTCTCCCGCAGCACGGAACACACCAAGTTCCTCAACTTTGTCACCGATGTCCTCCACAAGGCCGAGGTCAAGGTCCCCGCTCTCCTCGTGACCCTTGTCTACATCGAACGCGCCAAGCCACACATTCAGATCGCTCTTGAGCAATGGGCCCACGAGCGCGTCTTCCTCGGCGCCCTCATCCTCGCCAACAAGGTATGTGTTCACCGCAGACGTCATCTCGCGCATCTTCTCATTCTGTGCCTCCAGTACCTGAACGACTCCACCCTCAAGAACGTCCACTGGGCGCTCTGCACTGGGGTCTTCGGCAAGCGCGACATCGGCCGCATCGAGCGCGAGTTCCTCGATGTCCTCGACTTCGAGCTCTCCGTCTCCGAGGCCGACCTCCTCGCACACCACGACGCGCTCCTCGCTGTCGCCCGCCCTGCCGTCCCCGTCCCCTGCGCTGCCTCGCGCCGCAAGACCCACCACCGCCGCACGAGCTCCGGTTCGCCCCTCGGCTCGCGCTGGTCCGCGTCATCCTCGGAGATGGACGTCGACTCCGAGTCTTCCTTTGACTCCGTCTCCCTCCCCCGCACACCCGAGCACGTCCCCGTGTCCGCCCCCGCGCCCGCCAAGGAAGAGCTCGACTTTTCCGCGAACCCGCACGCGCACGCCGCACACCACGTCGATCCCACAATAGCGCAAGCCACGCGCGGCGCGCGTCATTCCGCGATGGCCATCCTCCGCGCGTTCCCCCTCCCGCACTTCCACTCGGAGCCGCATCACGCCGCGCCGCAAGCCGTACCCGTGCGTGCATAACGCGCGCCCGCTTTCCCCCGCCTTCGACCTTCGGTGTACAAAATTCTACCATTTGGCGTAATAAGTTATCGCCTCGCGTCGCCTTCGCCTCAGTGCGCCCCCGCTCTCGCTACAGCTAGGAGATCCTTCGTATAATTCGCTCTCTCTTATTCCCCTAACGTATTAGTGTAGTTTTACCCCCTTTACCCCCCATTCCTGCTCCCACTCGGCCGCCCCCACTACCACCGCGCGCCGCCACACTCTCATTGCGCCTCCGTCTCTCCTCATCATCATCGCCGTCGTCGTCTGTTGTCTCTGCATTTGCGTCATTGTACGAGTACCCGCATCGCAACGGAATGGAACCCCCCTTCGAACACCCGAACCCCTCTGTGTGCCTGCGTGCATCAAGACATCGAGACTTCAAGCCCCAAGCTCGCATCTAACATCCGAGCTCCGTGCCCCGCACACCAGCGAAGCAGGTACGTTTCCAGCGTTGGATCTCTCGCGACGAGAATGGATTGAAGCGCCACCGGCCACACGTAGATAGTACCGCAGCCGCCTCGCGGGACACGCACGCCGCGATGGGCGATGAGCGGCGGATGACGCCGACGGGCCTCGCGCGCGCGCGCGCGCGGGTCATCCGCGACGTCATCCTGCGTGGTCCTGCGTGGCCGGTCGCCCCCCGCGCAGCACACCGCACGCACGGCCGTCCTTACGGGCTAGCGCGTTCCCGTTCGAACGCGTCCTCGGAGCGCCTTCCGCGTGCGTGCGTGTGCGGCGGGCGAGCTCGGCGTGCCGCACGGCGCGGCTATGTGCGTACATATGCCGTGCGCGCTACGTTGTGCCGTCGCCTAGGCGCCCCCAAGTCCGCGCCGTCTCGCCCGAGGAGCACTCGAGTCGAGCGCACCCCGTCCACCCCGTCCCCGTCTATCCCGTCCCCGTCCCTCCCCGTCCCCGTCCTGGCTCCCCCATCAGACCCGCTGCCGACGGCGGTCGGTCGGGACTCGGGCTGCGAGCGACCTGCGCATGCGCCTGCGAGTCTGCCGTCTCTGATGCCGGCCGGTGCTGCGTGTGGACGCCAATGCCAATGCCAATGCCGCCGCGCGACCCGCCGGCGCACCCCCTTTGTCAGGCAGGCCTTTGATCGTCGTCTCGCCGCTGCAGCCTGCCGCTGTGGCCAAGGCCCGAAAAACCCGCTAGGGGCGCCTGTGGCGCTCGCGCTCGGCCCGCGCGTCGCGAGTTCGTGGTGGGGTCGGACGGGCGGCGCTTGTGGCCTGGGGTTTGGGGATTTCGATTAGTGGTGCGGGTTGACCACGGCCGGCCCTGGGACGGTGGGCAAGCAGATGATCTCGGTGTCGGTGGGTGGACGGCGGGTGGGTGGCGGGTCGTCTCTCGCGCGCGTTCTTAGTAACCCATCCCCGGGATTTGACGTGGACCCACGTCCCGCTCTGCTGCAGGATCCTGGATGAGTCAACCCCCCGGGCGACATTTCATTCTCATCGATGGCGTTGGGCACGTATGTACGTATGGCCGAAGTCCGAGGCCCCGAGGCGCGCGCGCTGGAACCTCCCCGTCGCCATCTGTGAAATCCGCGGAACCATGTCCACCCACCCACGCAACCGTTCGCCCGCCCTCGACACGCTCCTCCGGAATCGGCACTGCTGAGAACCGGACGTCCACACGACCCACGCGCGCACGACGACGGCCTCCTCTCGAATTGCAGCGGCCGCGCGACGACGGCGACGGACGTCACGTCCGAACATCCGAACGTCCGACCGCTGCCATCGCCATCGCCATCGCCCGCACGTCTTTGCGCCGGTGCCCCCTCCAGCCACTTACCCAACTACAGCGACACGTCGCCTCGTGTCGGCCATCCGATTCCAAGCGCCGTGCTGTTCTGCGCGCACACACGCCGCAGACCGGGCAGTACTTGCGCTGTACGTGCGTACGTGTGCCTGACGCGCCGACACCGCTGCTGGCTGGAAGTCGTCCGCGCGCGCCGGACTCGGACTCGGACGTGGGCACTTACCCGAGGACACTGACGGTGACGCGCGCGCCTGGGCTGGCACGCGCACGAAGCCGCAGCCGCAGCCCCCGGTGCGGTGCGGTGCAGCGCGACGGTGCGCGGTGTGGCTCTGAGCACACCGTGGGGCGCACGACGGTGGGCATAGAGTGCCTGTGCCCTCGGACTCCCGGTCGTCGCCCTGCTGATTCTAGGGCTCGAGCTGGGACGACGCGGCGGGCCGTGGGCGATTTGAAGCATTGATGATCCGACGTCGACGACGTCAGGACTCGGCGGATCGTTCGCGCTCGGACGGCGGGGGCGCGTCGACGCAAGGCCCGCGTCATCTCGAGGTCCCGCGCTCGCTCGATCGCGCGACCAAGTGCCGGCCGTGGCGATGGACGACGACGCGATCGTGTAGCAGTTCGCGCGGCCACAGAACTCGCGTTACAACACAAAGCACGGGCTCGGAGTCCGACGCGGGGGCCCGAGCGGCACCCGGCGGTCATGGATGATTGGGATGGACTCACGCGGGTCGAGCAAATCTGTGCGCCGGATCTGTGGCCAGCTGTAACCGGCCCCTGGCCACAGCTGCACGCCAGTTTCACGAGGCGCCCGCCCGCTGCCGCCCATCCACCGTCGGCCGGAGGACTCGCGCACGCAATCCTTTCAAAAGTTGGCTGTCCACCAGCAGACGCTGCGTACCGGCCGCCTGCTCCTCCCTGACCCGGACTCGGACCGTAGTCGGTGTACGGGGTTTCGGGACTGGCCCACGCAAGTTTTTCAGCAGCCCGCGCTGTTCGCACAGGCGCCCGTTCCGTCGTCCGGTCGGGCGCGCGCGTCTCCCGGTCGGCCGACCGGGGCGGCTTTCGAGTCAGTCCTCTCGTCCACGCGACTGCTGGACGTCGGCGGTGGCCCGACCGGGCTTTTGCGTGCGCGTTCCGACGCCGACGTTGGTACCGGGGCGGCGTTTGCGTTGCGGGCGATGTCGGTGGAGGGGGCGAGGAAGAAAGAACAAGGACGGGAAGACGCCGCGATGTCGACCGCGCGAGGTTTGCGTCGGCTTGAAGTCGATCGATCGTACGGGGTGCACGCCACGGTGAGTATCAAGTAAGTTGGAGGGGTCGGGTTCGGGTGTGGAACGGTCGAAGAGGAGTGTGTGTAGTCGATATATTTCATTCGATCATCTACGTACACACTTGGAACGGGCGGATTCGTGGTATGGCCTGCTGTCCGACAACACCGGAGATGAAGCATTGGACAAGCCAAATGAACACCCACGGATTCGTGAGGTGGTCGCGCCATCCCGGGAAATCTCGCGAGTCGTCATGGTAGATTCCTCCACCCAGGACCGCCGCGTGCTCTCACAACTGATGCTATAGCCTCTTGATGCCGTGTGTTTAGAGAGTCTGTGCACGCGTGAGCTATTTGTTGTACCTGAAAGTCGACTGGGCACTCACTAGCACTGGGCACCCTCGCGACCTGGGCTCTGTACCGCGTGCAAACCGCGTCTAGGCGCAGAGGAGATCAAGGTGCAGGGCGCGCACTAGTCCCTAGTACTCATTGCTCACGCGGCATTCGGCATGGGAGGCGACTGGGAGATGTCGCCGTCGATGACTGGCGGCGGGAAGGGGCCGGAGTGGTGTGGTAAGCGCTTAGGAAAGCGCGAGCCCAGCCCCGAGTCCGAGAAAGTCGGGGCTCTGCTCACGTGTGGATGGCGTCTTGGAAAGCGTGCGTTGCGCGGCTCTGGCCGGCCGGCGGCATCTGTTAGACTCTGGCTGGGTCTGTCTGGGTAGTGCGCCGTGTTTAGAATGGGTTGAGCTTCTCGAGAGATACGAGCGGGCTTCGCGAGGAAGATATCGAGGCGTAGTGCGATCATCACTTGACCGCCGTCGTGGTCAGCACTGGGACAGTTCGCCGTCTGTCCCAACGGCCAAGCCCCACCGTCGTGCCGCGTCGAGATGCCCCACATCTGGACCGCCGCGGCGCCACCACCGCTCGAGAGCCGTTAGAATCGCACCTACGGGCTGCGGCCGACGAACCAGCCAAGGCAGAGTTGCAGACGACTGCCGGCCAATCCCGTGTTTCCATGCTTGGTCCGCTCTACTTAGTTCGCATGCGCATGCGTTCAGCCTTCAGGTGCTTGATGAACGGCGTCACATGCACGACCGACTGAGACCACCGCGAGCTCCGCTCGGGGACTGCACAGAGCAGGGCGGCGGCGTGGTCATCATGCTGCCACAGAGACACGGCGAGCGGGCCCGGAAGCATCACGCATGCGTCATGCTGGGTGCGGTGTGTTTTGGAGGCCTGAGAGACGTTGCGGCGTCAGGGAGTTCACCGTGTTGCTGATGAACCGACCGTGACGCACCTCGCACACGACCGCCTGGGTCGCCACCCACCGCTCATGCGATGTGAGCGGGGCGCGCGATGTGCGGCGCGCACGCACCACGGTCACACCGACGTTCGGTTTCGCCGGTCGCGCGGTGCGCGGGCGCAAGTGCTCGGGACACTCCGTCGCCGGAACGAGCGTGCCGTCGTCGTCTTCGGGGTGATTGCAGTGCGAGTGGCGGTGGAGCAGCGAACGCCCCTCTGTCGTGCGCGTGCCGTCCGTCGCGTCCGGTCGTGAGAACGTGGGCAGCGCATCAGTCGTCGCGTGAGCGCGGCCGGAGAGGCCATGCATGATGAATGCATGGATGCAGCGCGGCGGCCGTGGGGAGGCGCACGGGACCGGGGGCGGCGCGCACCGGTGGGTGAACTGTCGGAAGGGCGCACGCGAGCGTTTGGTTCGACAGGCAGAGGCGCGGACGTCCGCGGACGCGGGTGGGGACCCGCTGACGGGCGTTCGAGGGAGCGGGCGGAGGGAGCCACGGTGACCGTTCGCGCCATGTGGGTGTTGACATCAAAAATGAGACCGCATCGCCTGGGGAGCTGGCAGAGGACCGAGAGGTGTGAGCTGACCAAGTCCGATTCGACGGGTTTGATCGACGGTCGAAGGAGCGCCAGGAAGCAACTGAGAGGGCAGGTTGGTCATGTTCGTCGTTTGGTGCGTCTTGCGCCATCGAGGGTGGATCGGCGCCCGTGCCCTTCCTTCGATTCCCGAAGTCGGCTTCGAGACTAGGAACGGGAGAAGGCTTCTGGTGACGGGCCACCCGGAGTTGAGGCTCGCGGCGTTGGAGCAGGACGAGCTGGTGCAGCTTGAACGGGTCGTTGTCTACTATCTTTGTGAATGGGCCGGCTGGGACTCGACACCGAAAGAGCGGCGGGAGGGGTTGAAATGCGAGTCGTGGACGATGGAAGCCAAGGCTCTGTCTCACGGAGTGGAATAAGGCGAAGACGGATTGTTTGGTGGCAGATGAATAACATGGCTTCGATATGTCAGCACATGCGTACATTTTACTGGTACCTACGTGCAGTGGATGTGCATGATCATCCATAGCCGTCAGACGGAACCGCTCCCTACCAACACTGAGCAAGATGTCAGATAGACGACAAACGACTACGGTTCGATGCACTTACTAATGCTCATCCCCGCTTTCTTCATCGAGTACTGGGATCTTTGGTTAGAACTGTCGAAATATGGCCCAGGGACTGCGGGCTCACCTCAAACAAACCACCCTCAACAACCAACATATCGCCATGGTAGAGCGTGACCATTAGAACCTCCTCGAGCTGTTTTGGCTTTCCCTTCGTCTTGCTGTCTACTTTGGGAACCGCTGCAGCCGGGAACTCCGTCTGAACGACCAACTCTTCTATCAGGAGCCCCTCAGCGTCGTAGGGGGTACCATCTTCTTTCGGATACGTTGTTGCAAAGTCCGAGTTCGATGCAGGGCGTGCTCCGGGTAGCGTCGACGCCTCTTGCCAGAACGTCAGCTCCACGTCCGCGCCCAGAGACAGGACGACCACGGGCGCACGCTTCGCGTCCACAGAGCACCCTGGGCCGGAACCACTCATAAGCACCACCCACACCCGCACCCGCACCGCGCGGAGTGCTCACCTTTTTGTTCCCCCCGACTCTCCACGCCGAGATCGCGATTTCGCCGAGAGCGACCTTTCGGACGCGCCGTCCAGGCGAGCGCGCCGCTCCATCAGCTCGCACGCCGCACGCACGCACGCCGGGACCGTCTCGCGCGCGCCCGCGTGTCGAACCGCCTCGAGTACGTCGTGGCCCCGGCGACCCGCTCCTGTGCCGGCGCTGCGCGGGGTGGGGGGAGCCTCGTGCGGGACCTCGATCTCTTGCAGCGCGCGGAAGAGCTGCGAGGGCTCGGCTTGGGTGGCGGGACGGTTGCGCGTGAAGATGTGGTGGACGGTGTGGGACGTGGGGTAGAGAGGGAGGGAGGGTGTAGGTGAACGCGCGGAGCCCTTCGGGAGTCTCGGCGGAGGTGCAGGAGGTGTTTGGGCCGTGGCGGTCCCAGGGGAAGGCAACCGGATCGACCCCCCGCGAGCCGCGGACGTGTTGGACGCCAATGGGGCATAATCCGTTGGAGGTCTGCAAGCGAAGAGTAGACGGAGAGCATCAGTGATTGGTTAGGCTCGTCGGTGTGAGGAGAATACGTACGGAGCAGGAGCCGCACTTTTGTGCGGAGAAGTTCCGCTGGGGGTTGAGGCGCCCGCACGACAAGCAGTGCCAACCTTTGACATCGCCGGTGATCAAGTCGCGGGGAACCAAGAGTTGGAGCGGGAGGAGGCTGTGTGCATGCTTCAAAGGTATCGGTTCGGCGGGACCACAGGGAGCTTCCGCGGGAGGATTCCACCACGGTGTCGAACTGCAGGCTTCAAGCATGTCGGGGTCTTCTCCTCCTGGGATCCACACGAGCTCGAATGTCCAGGCGATCTCGCCAGTAACTTGCATCTCCTCGCGGGCGGCTTCAGCGCAGGCAACGACTGTGATATAGAACGTTAGGACCACCGTTTGTCATGAACCATGTTGCGCACCTTGGTCACTTTGACTGTAGAGATGAAGAAGAAGCCTAAGAATGCACAACCGCAATCTTCCGGTAGAATCAGTGATCCCACGAGGGATTCCCGGCACAGAATAACATTGAGAAGTTGGTTGGTGTCGCGCGCATTCAGTAAAGCCTGAATGTCGTCCGGCTCGCTCTTGGGTTCTAACACCGCAGTCGCAGGTTGCGGGTATCATCGACGCCGGGACCGCACTTTTACTTGTGGTGTACGCAGCGTTCGCGCCATTCTTGAACGCATATAGTCCGTTCTCTGCCCTCACAACTTCCGCCCCAGGCTTTTCATCACAGGGATGTGTATGCACGGCCGAGGATGATGCCTCATTTCGGGAGGAAATGCTCGTCTGCTGAATGGCATTGAGCAATTCCTGGGAGGCAGGATACTGATAAGCCTTCCGCCTGGGGATCCGTTGCGTGTACGGCATGAGCCACAGCTCGACATAATTACGCGAAAGTACGCACATCACTATTCGTAAGGAAGCTTCTGCGACGCCCCATCCTTCAACATCTGAGACCTTGCCGTTGATGAAGAGTATCGGAGTCTCTGTGCCGTCCCAAACGAGGGAGTGGCCTGGTTTGCCGTACTCGGGGATGATTTCACATAACTCCTCGCGGGACTGGATGAAAATGTGAGCGACGGAGAGGTGGAAGGAAATCGGCTTACTTTCGCCCAGATAAATGGTCTCTCGGTTGGCCTTGGACCAACACTCGGCGTTGACCGGGCATCTGCACGCGGTATGGCCCATTGAACCTGGACCGGACTGCGAGGTTCGACGGACGAAGGTGGAATCGCTACCGGCGGAGCCGTCGGCCGTCAGCTTGGGAGATCTTTCAGTAGCATTAGCTACGCACTAGGCTCTTGTGATGCTTTCTCTGGAACTGGTAATGGACCTGTTGCGTGTGAAGGCTGCGACTGGGCAACTGGTGCTTCTGCTTTGGTCCTGCTTCGCGTGTTACGAGTGCTGCTGCTGATGCGGCTTGCGGATGCAACATCGGCTTTCAGTGGTAGTGCGGCCGTCTTGGAGGAGCTCGACCGTGTTTTGCGCATGTTAGCCACTGGCAATGTGAACGACTCGGGCGCCGGGAGGGCACTGGGGATGGGAAGGGGCGTTTTTTCGGGGGTTCGACGCCATGCGCAGAGTGCATTCGAGATGGACCCAAGCCTCCTAGCGAGGTCCTGCACGGTGGTGTCAGAGACATCAGGAGAAGGGGGATTGCGTCGGCATAACAAACGTCGAAGTTCTCGGAATTGCTGAAAGCCGAGGGATCGGATGTCGGGAACGATGAGGGACCATTGGACGGTGAGTGTGGTAAGGGTGTCCGGGATGTACTCAAAATCTGGACATATGGAGTGGACAAGGAAACGAGGGGTATTTTGGAGTGCTTCGCTGTGTAGAGCTACTGCTTGCAGATACAACGCGTAGCCTAGAGCCAAAGGGCGTCAAATGCGTCCCTGGATGTATGTAGAGTTTCGTTCAGAACGCACCTAGAGCCTCGCGCCCCTCCTCCGACGGTCCCGCCCTGCCTCCGCGTACCAGCAGCCCATCCACCTGCGCACCCGCAATAGAATCTCGCGATATCTCCAAGAGGCCTTGACGTAGATCCCGTTCGGTGATCTCCCTTGCATCCATTTCGCGCGCGAAGAGCCGCGAGACCTTCGAAGACAGCGAGGGAGGCGGGGAGTAGAGAGAACACTGGTGCTAGCGGCGAGCAGTGGACACACACCGCGGGGCGGTCTCCGAGGGTCTCTGGGGCGCTTGCAAGCCCGGGCCGAGAAAGGCCGGGCGGCGCTGAGCAGCAAGGCGCCCACGCAAATTCCGAAGGAGTCGTTTTCGCGAGGCTTTCCAAGTTTCAACGATCACCTCCTCTTGACTTGCCCGACTGCAACACATCGACGGCTCTCATGGATGAAAATATCACCAAACGAATACACATCTCAGGTTTGACTCCCGCCATCACACAGCAAGACCTCTCCAGTCGGCTTTCCTCCTTCGGCACGGTCACATCTATGGAAGGCTTTGGTCTCCTGGACGCTGTCGGCCAACCGCGCAAGTTCGCATATGTCACGCTAGAAACAACGAAGGGGAAGCTGGCGCGATGTGAGTTTACTATCCCACTTTCTGCCCTGCGTCTTGGACCGAGCACATGCTTTGTTGGTCAGGCATGAACCTACTGAGCGGTGTCACTTGGAAGGGAGCGAAGCTACGGTTGGGTGACGCAAAGCCTGATTTCAAGGAAAGGTGCGTATCCATTGACTATTTACTATCTTGGCTCTCAATCCTATCTTCCTGGCTTGCCCCAGGATCCAGAAGGAGCTCGACGCGTTGAAGCGTACCGCCGAAGCCAGTGAAGACGAGCCAAAGCGAAAGCGGCGCCGCCTTCATGGCGTGCAGGGCGTTCACGCCAACGACATGTCCCTCATCACTCCCGAGAACGTCGCCACGCGCGGAGGCTGGCGCGTCACCCCGACCGGTCGACTCATCCGTCCCATGCGCATGCGGCCCGACCACCCCCTCCCCGACCCTCTTGACGTCGCGAAGATCGAGAGGGAGAGGGAGAGGGTGCGGGAAAAGGGTGGCAAGGAGAAGAAACGGGTGCGTGTGCGCGATCCGCCTGAACGCGCGAGAAGGAGGACGATCGACCCGACTCGATGGGGCTCTCAACATTTGACCGGGATCTTCTTGGAGAACGCCGCGGCCCTCCCTTTTCCCCAATCTACGCGCGAAGTCCCTCGCCCCCCCTCGACGGACAGTGAAGACGACGAAGATGAAGCGGATCAATTGCTCGTGCAAGACGAGGAAGCGGAAGAGGACGAAGAAGAGGATGAGCGCGACGGCGAAACGAGCGGAGAGAATGTGGAAATGGCTCCTGCTATAGCGCCTCCTGCACCCAAGACCAAGCCATTTCCGCCGAAGCCTACTTGCACGTCGACGGAACCTACGGAGTCCAAAAGCGAGCTAGCTGCCGAGACTTCGCAGAGTCTCGGTTTGCTCCAAGCCATGTTCGGTGATGAGGATGATTGGGGAGGTGCTGAGAGCGTTGGATCAGACGTGGATGAAGAAAATATTCGCGCAGCTGCGGTGGCTTCTACGATTGAAGAGCTTGACGCCGCAACCATGGACGTCGATGTCCCGGCAGAAGAACCGGAAGCACTGCCGACGAAACCTGCAATCTCTGCAGCGGTCTCGCAGAAGAAAAAGCTGAAGGACCTCTTTGCTCCGCGCGAGGATGAACGTCAGTGGTTGTCTCTTTCGTGAATATCCCCTTTCACTCATTCAATATTTTCTTGACAGCTGGCTTCTCGCTGTTGGGTCACCTCGATCTGGACCTCGAGCTTGACGACGACGTGCCGTTTGATACCTCCGTTCCCGTGGCTCCTCCAACTGTCGCGATTACTCGGTCAATGATCGCCCAGCCAGTCCACACGTCCCAAATGACGTTCTTTGATGCATCACGGCCCTTCTTTTTCCCCACCTCGCAAGCAGGACTGAGAAGAAGCGCGCTGGACCCCACCCACTGGCGTACGTGGTTTTACCGCACGGACACGCCTGAGGTTATCAAGACGCGTTGGGAGGAGACGAAGGGCGAGCTTACTGCTGGGTGGAAGCGGCGGCACCGGGAGGCGGTCAAGAGCAAACGGAGAAGAGGAGGAGGTGGGGATGCAGAATGATTCGAGAGCGACTGTACAGTCATGTTGTACATCTTACCTCTTTCTGCGCTTGTTCAATATGCAATCTTAGTAGCGAGGAGGACCGGTATGACACCCTGCGGATGACGCTCCGCAAGCGCGCCTGTTGAACGCGTTCGCTGACGGATGTGGACGAGGCTTCCTCCTTCGCTGGCGACCACCACCTCAGAAGTATCTTTCGCTCCCCCCTCAACCTTTGTGGCCATTTACCCGAGGCCACGGCGGGTGAAACCATGAGCAATGCGCCACGCACCCGATGGGGACCCGTTCGGTCGCTGTTGTGTCTCGCGCCTCTCTTCGTCCTCGCTCCCTACTACGCCTACCGCCAGCACTACGGTACGCCTTGTGTCCACATCCCTCGGGTTTCTCGCTGACGCGCATATACATCTGCAGCCTTACCCGAGCCCATCACCGAACTGTGAGTGCACCTCGTTCCCCCAGAACGCGCGCGCCGTCGTCTGATTGAGCGGTTGGCACGTTTCCTCAGAATCAACCCGTCGACATCTCTGCCACAAATCTCGGAAGCCCAAATCCTCGCGCACGCAAAATACCTCTCTGAAGACATCGGGTACCGCACGGTCGGCACTGCGGAGCATGCGCTCGGGGACGCGTGGATGGTCGCGCAGGCGGAGAAGGTGCGCGCGCAGTGCGATGACGCCGTGCGCGCCGTGCCAGGGCGCAAGCTGGAATGCGAGGTCTGGCACCAACGGGGTAGTGGGCACCATCGGTACGTCGTCGTGACTCTCCTGCGGTGATGCCACGCACGCGCGCGTTGTGCACGCTTAGGAGAAAGAATGCCGGTTGACTGTCGTGTGCAGGTTCGACATGATGGGCCGTCGGTTGTACAAGACGTACGTCGACCTCACGAACATCGTCGTGCGCTTGTCGGACGGCACGGACGCGGGAAAAGAGCATGCGGTCTTGGTGAACTCTCACCTGGACAGCACGCTGCCTTCCCCCGGAGCGGCCGACGATGCTCTCCCGGTTGGTGTGATGCTGGAGTGTATCCGCGTACTCGTGGGGACGCCAACTTGGGAACCAAAACATGCAATTGTATTTTGTGAGTATCCTTTGCCGTCTGTGAAACTATAACGAGCTGAAGGGGGTCGTCTAAAGTATTCAACAACGCGGAGGAATCGCTTCAGGATGCTTCACAGCTATTCTCAACCCAGCACCCTATTGCACACACGTACGTTGTATTTCTCATACCGCACTGGACGTTGCTGATAACCGTACGTTCTACAGCATACGAGCTGCCATCAACCTAGAAGGCATGTTACATTTCGCTCTGTCCTCCCTGCGCCTTGTTGCTGACGGTGTCGTGTGATGCAGCTGCCGGCACTACTGGCCCCGAGCTTCTCTTCCAGGCGACCTCGGAACAGATGATTAAAGCTTATTCAAAAGTACCTAGGTACGCCCTCTCATTTACCCGCTATAATCCTCCTTCATCGTCCCTGGTTGTCAAACTGATGTCATTTTTAGGCCGTATGGCTCTGTGATAGCTAATGAGATATTCACCTCTGGAATCATCTTGTCGGAGTGGGTATTTTATGCGTTGTTTGGCTGCAAGAACTGTTGAAGCTGATAACAATCTCAGCACCGACTTTAGACAATTCGAACTTTACTTGAACGTAACCGGACTAGACGTAAGTTGCCGTGCTCGCGGTTTGCTCAGCGTTTGGTCGCTGAGCGCACAACCTAGATGGCCATTGTCGGCAACAGCTACCTGTATCATATGCGCAAGGTGCTTTCAGGGACTCCCAGAAACGGTGTATGGATCTAACGATCTCACCCTAGGACCTTGTAGAAAACATCGAACCGGGCGTCGCCCAACACATGGCCGAGAACACGCTAGCTCTCCTCCACCACCTCACTTCTTCCGAATCGCCTCTTCCCGAACTCGCAAGTGCTGGTTACTCTAAGCCCCAGACGGTCTTCTTCCAATACTTTGGCATGTTCCTCGTATACTCCTTCACCACGGCCAAGATCATGTATGCCACCAGCTTTATCCTCGCCCTCATCGCCACCCGCGTTACCTACGTCGACCCCTCACCGGCCCTCAAGAAGGGCACAAGTTTCGTGGGGGAGCAGGCACGCGGCTTCCTCGTTGTGACGGGCTCCTTCGTGGGTGCGGCAGTGGGAGCGAATGTCGTTGCCTTCCTCATGGATACAGTCCTTGGTCGCTCATTGAGCTGGTTCTCGTCGATATTCGCGTGCATCTTCCTCTATGGGCCGGCGGCGCTCACAGGTGCGTCCGGCCTCTGTTTTAATGGTTCAGAGCTCACCTAATCGTCTGATCTCAGGAGCACTTGCCTCTCAACTCCTTTTCGGTCGGATCCGGGAGAAGACTGCGTTCACGTCGATCGCCGTCTTACAAACCTTCATTGCCGTTCTGACGCAGATGTTCAACATCGGGTCGGGAGGCGCGTTGTTCCTGTCCTCGGCACCGCTTGTTCCTGCCATGTTGCTCAACTCGATGCTCACCAACCCCGGCGATGACATCTCGCTCTGGGCGTACGCACTTGGCCAGATCAGCCCTCTCGTCACGGGTACCATGCTGTCCTGCGCCGTCTTGGATGTCTTTGTGCCCCTGGTAAGCTTCCGTGGCTGTCAACCAGTTATCTAGTTTTACTTATGGTGTCTCGCAGACCGGCCGCATTGGCGAGGAGGCACCTGCGGAGTACATGATTGCGAACATCGTTGCCGTCAACGGAGCGTACATCGTACCTCTCGTCATTCCCTTCGTACACCGCTTCAGCCACCGCATCCTCGTTCGTGCGGTCATCTTGTTGTCGATGGTCACCGGGATCTCTATGGCTTTCTTCGCCATGCGGTCACCTTTCGATGACATGCACCAGAAGCGGCTGTTCGTCATCCACATGGAGAATGTGAGTCTTGCCTGCAATGTGTATAGCGAAACGTGACTAATGACGGCCTATACAGATTACGAGCCAGGAACAGCACCTTCATGTCGCTGCGGCGGACGCTGCTCCCCGTTTCCACGATCTCGCTGTCAGTATCGCGAAAGAGTTCAGCATCCCTGGAGTTACCTCTGAGACCCAAGTCATGGATGACTGGAACAGTGACTGGGACACCATGTACCCCTTCTCCGCTGTAAGTAGCCATACGTACTCCGCTCGCTGCACCGAAGCTAACCAACGATCTCCGCAGTTCCTCACACCGTACAAATTCGACCTCCCCCTACGCGCGGAGCACCAAGACATCCCGCTCAAGCACGACCTCACCATCTCCGCCGTGAACAGCACTGTCGATGCTGCCGCCGGCACCCGCACCTTCACGCTCATTGTCACCCACCCGGGCATCATCTGGACTGCGATCGCCTTCGACGCGCACGTCATCAAGTGGGGCCTGGACGACAACCCCCCGGACGAGCACGCGCGGCACCACATCAAGGAGGCGAGCTTCTACGGGGTCGACCAGTGGTCCGTCGACCTCGTCACGAAGCTCGCGCCGGGGGATGAGACGGGCGAGGTCAAGGTCAACTACGTGGGCATTCATGAGAAGGCGATGTGGCCGGGCAAGCGCGCGGAGAAAGAGCAGGGCGGGCGGGCGATGAAGCTGTTCGAGGAGATGGACACCTGGCTGGAGAAGGAGACGAAGGGGAGCGTGGATGCGATGTTCCTAGGGTGTGTTGGGGGTGTGGACGTGGTATGATTGAGAATGGAGTTTGCGTGAGTACCGCCGTGTATCTTCCTGTTGGTAGGAATGTCATGATCGGCGACCTCTTGGAGATTCGCGTCTAATCCCAGTGAAGATATGTTCGATAATCCATTTCAAGAATACATGTGCTACAAGAGTCGACTACCACTAGACTTCGCTGTCTACCTCCGACAAATGCAACGCGTTCGTCGCACTCCTCTCTAGCGTGCCCATCTCCAACCGAAGCATATCCCGTTGTATTTGCGCCCCGCCAACCTCGCTGATGTCGGACAATGGCACCGGCTTTTCTGGAGGAGACGCGCCGCTTCAAGCTTGTTCCACTGATTCCGGAGCATGTGCTATCCAGAACCAGACCCGCCACTCAGAGACTCTTTCAAGTGTTAAAATTCATACACGAAAGTACCGTATTCCGTCACTAGTACCCAGCTGCACTGTCCCTCATCGCCTTGTCCAGTGCCGGTAGGTTGACTTCCAACAACACGTGACCCTTCAGCATACGCACCTCCAACTGCGGCAGCTGCCCACGCATCTGCTCCACCCACGCCTCCGCCGTCCACGGGCAACGGAGGACGATCCTCTCCAAGCCCGGCACCCGCCCTCGTAGCTCCAACTGCTCCAGAAACACCCTCTTTTCCACCCAGAGCTCCAGCGAGGTCAGCCCCAACGGCACGCGGGCCGTCTCCTCGCTCGCCTGCGGGTCTCCGCCAACGACCTTTCCCAGCGCCTTCACCGCGTCCTCCATGAACTCGGGCCTCTTCCTGGTGCGCTTCGCAATGACGCGCAGCAACGCCATCTTGCCGCCGCGGGCGCGAGCCAGGCCGTTCGCGACGAAGGTCACCGCCATGGGGACGTGCACGCCGGCGCGCAGGGTGACCGCGACGAGCTGCTTCCACGGGATGAACTCCTCAAGCTTCTGTAGTATTTTCCAGGAATCAGGGGAGTCGCCGGGGAAGAAGGCCCGGAGGGAGAGCTGCGCGTGGGCCTCCGGGGCCCCGGCGAGGAGGACAGTGAGCTTCAAGAGGCTGAAGTCTAGCTCGAGTGTCGTCCAGTGTGGGGTGTGCGTGGAGGGGTTTCGCAAGGTAGCACTGCCTCTGCCGGCGAGATGCACGGCTGCTGATGAGGGAAGGTGGAGCGAAGGGATGGGGAGAAAGGGATATTGATATCTGATCTTGCTATCATCAATGAAGAGGTATTGGAGGCGGGGGAGTCGTACGGTATACGGCTCCCACCAGTATTCATCCAGTTGGACGTCGCGAAAGGTTAAACTTCTCAGTGTGGGGCTGCAGGCATCGAGGACCTCTAAGAGAGGTCGAACGAAGAATTGGCACCGTGGGTTCGACAGGGATAGGTGTGTGATGGATCCGTACGGAAGCATAGGAAAGGACGTTGTCATATGTAGCACGACCTTGCGAAGGTTTTGGAGAGCGTTAGAGAACATTTCGCTGCCTCCGTGAAACCTATGGAGCTGTGCAAAGTCCCCGACGACGGTGAGTTCTTCGAGATTGGGAAGATCGAAATCCAAGGCCTTCATGTGTGACTCCGGGTCCCACTGTCCGACCACGATGACCAGATGGCGAATGCGTTGAGCGTGTTCCGACGCCGAGGGGTCAATGTGGCCTTCGTCATCGAAGCGATAATGGATGCAAAGTGGCGCGCTTTGAGAACGATGCAAGAACAATTCTTTCACAGCACTGTTTTGGCAGCTCCAGTCGATGGTTGACCACAGCGACGCCGTACTGAGTGCGACAGTGCGCCATCGGCGGCACACCGCGCACAGTTGTAGGCGATTGACCATGCGCGGGTAGCCGATAAGATAGTCTTCTTCAATTCTTGGTGGCCATATTGCAGTGTCTTGGAAGATAACAGCGAGGATCTCGGCAGGAATGGTGTGGATGGGGGGTAGTAGGGGAGGTTCTTGAACTGACTGGGCTACCGACGACGTATCCTGGTTCTGAATGAATAGTAAGTCAAAGACTCTTTCTATGGCTCGGATGTACGTCACCTCTGCTACTGCGCTGTCGCACTAGCATAAGACAGCGATGATCAAGGGAGCTACGACGGACTCACAGACTCGGCCCCGCTGTTGTGGCTGGCGAGAGATCGGAGCTCGCTTGCAGCGGCTCAAACCAGGGATCTTGAACTTTCTCCGGTTCCAAGGACATTCTGATACATGTGTTGGCTTCGATTTGCAGAGACGGTCGGGAGAGAGAGAGAGAGAGTCGATGGTGTGTGCAGGGAGTCAGCGAGGGCGAATCGGACCATCGTCCCACGTGATCGATATCCTGCAGGCGATCGCCATGGTGATCTCCACCTTGAATCTGCACGGGATATCAACAGCCGGCCATGATAGGCAATGATACAGTTTCATAGCCACCCGAGCGGCAGGACGAGTACCTTCGGCTACCACATCGATGAAGAGAGCTGCAATTATTACAAAGAGAACAACCCGAACATCGACAGGTAACTCACTCACCGTGCACGAAACGATCTGCTCAGTGAGTCCCGTGTATTGTGTCACAGGAGTTCTGACCGGGTCGACAATATGATTCGACTACATACATATGTAGCTTTGCAAGCGGCATTAGACGACGACGACCCCAGGTGGATTTCTTGCCCCGCATCCACGGTGGCGAGGCTTGCGAGTGGACGACGCGTCGTTCGGCGCTAGTATAGACGCCTCCAGTTTAGGGCAGGTCATTACGCGCTTGACGTCCCTGTCCGGTGTTCCCTTCCTCGACAGAGCCTCTCTTTGCCCTCGTTCTGGCACCCCACGTTTATCCTTCACTATGGCTCCTACCTGATCCCCCTCGACCATCCAGGGCGGCTTTCCGCGCGCAGTTTCCGGACTCCCAACGCGTCCCGCCCACTCGGAGGTTCCGGACTACACACCGGCGCCGCAAGCCACAACTTCACTCCCATCGGGTGGTGATGCCGGAGTTCACGACGGTTCGTCCTCTGCATCAAATGATGGGTCGGAAACGCTTTGAGGTCCTTGGTGAGTTCGCATGTACAGTCTGTAAGTGCGCGCGCTAACGTGAGATCCCGGACTTTCAAAGCGCCACTGGGAGGGCAGGATCTGCGAGCAGGCGGAGCGAAACGCCGATGACCCCGTGAGATCGGAGTAGCATTTCGTAGGGGAACTTGAACTACGTCAGGCTACGCGTACTGACGAAGTCATCGTCTGCTATTCTAGTACATGCATATATGTACGACCGGCCCACCTCCTTCGAGCCTTCAAGCTTCATCTCTTACGCACTCTCCGCCATGACCAGACCCATCGCCGTCTGCGGTGCAACAGGGAAACTAAGGTCCGTGGCTATATGCGCGTATGCTTATCACTCGCACTCAATCACCGTCTAGGGGGCGCCGTCGCTAAACTTCTCGTGCAACATACAGCGTCCGCGGTCTCACGCGCGATCCGCGTCCACCGACTGCCCAAGCTCTGACCGCCCTCGGCGCGGAGGTTGTCAAAGTAGACCTCACCGTGCCCGCGGAGGTCTCCGCCGCGCTGGCTGGATGCTGGGGCGTCTTCGGGGTCACCAATTTCTACGACACGAAGATCAAGGACGACCCGGGGAGCGAGGAGCGGCAGGGGAAGAACCTTGTCGACGCCGCGCTCGAACACAGGCTGCATTGCTTCGTGTGGAGCACTCTGCCTAGCTCCGATAAGCTCTCGGGTGGGCGGTTTGGGTCTCGTATCTATGACGTATGGCAGTTAGCCTGACAGACTGTCGATGATGCTGATGAGAGTCTTAGGGAAACAACAGGTCGATGATTATATGCGCAAGATGGTCCGGCCGGGGACGTTCATCTACACGGGCAACTTTTACGAGAATATGATCTTCCGCTCGCACGTCAAGTACGGCGAAGAACAAGACCGCGTCGAGTTCACGCAGGCGATCATTAACGAGGACGTCAAGCGTGCGTTAGTTGTTATCTTCTCTTTTCCTTCTTTTTGACGAAGCCCTGGCATCGCAGAGCTAGGTGCATAAATACCTCTCGGCGATTACGAAAGCTTTGCTCGACAATTGGGGTGCACGCTGAGGGGAGTTGAACCAACAGTATCTGTACGGCGCCGACGCTCGCTCGAGATTATGAATGACGGGCAAGAACTTCACGTCCTACCGCGCTTTCGAAACGACTGGGGTCCCCGACCGTCAAATGTACATCGAGCTGGGCATGTATGGCGACAAGGCGCTCCCGGACGAGAACGTGACCAGGCTCGGAGTGACAATGCACGGGATCGATGACTATGTACGCGACACCCTCGCCCCTCATCCCGGTCTGCGTCTACTGTGAGCTACGCTTAATCCCACCACCGATACATACCGTCCTTGATGGCTTCGTCAAGCGCCGGTAGACGAGCCTCCTTCACCGCCGCGCCCTTCAACGCGTGTACTTCCAACTGGGGAACCTCACGTTGCATCTGTTGCACCCAGGGCTCCGCCGTCTCTGGACAGTGCAAGACGACCCTCTCCACCCCAGTTGGCTGTCCTCCGATGCACAGCTGCTCCAGAAACGCTCTCTTCCCCGCCCAGATCTCCAGCTTGGCCAGCCGCAACGGTTCCCGGCGCGCCACCTCACTCGCCTCCGGATACCCCCCGATGACCTCTCCCAGCTCCTTGACCGCCGCCGCGACGGCTTCGACCTTCCTCGAGCGCCTGGAGGCCACGTACACCGACTGGAGTCTGCCTATCCCTCCGCGCGTGCGGCGCAAGCCGTGGGCCAAGAACGCCATCGCCGTGTGCATCCGGGCAGTCGCGCGCAGGGCGACGGTCTCGAGCTGCGTCCAGGGGACGAGTGCCAGGATGGCGCGCTCGACGTCTTCCCTCGAGAGCGTGGTGCAGTACCGGAGCGTTCTCCGCGGCGTGCCACGGGCGTCCGCCGGGGACTCCGTGAGCACGGCAGTGATCTCTTCGGCGCCGTAGTCGAGCGCGAGCGTCGTCCAGCTCCCGCCGGAGACGAACCAGTCCGGGACGTTGTGGTCGCAATCCTCTAGCGTCACGGCAGTGGAGGGAGGGATCGAGAGCAGCTCGAGGAGATAGCCGGGGTTGCGAGCGAAGAGCGTTTCAAGACGGGGAAGGTGGATCGGGGGTAGCGCGTCTCCGCTGGAGTAACGCCACGCGTGGTCGATGCAGAACACTAGGTCCTTGAGCGTAGAGGCACAGGCGGATAGGGCTTCCCGAACGTCGTTGATCGACAACGCGCTCTCCTGCTGTATGACGAGCCGTGTGAGTGCTGCGTATGGGAGCGCAGGAAGGGATTTTTCTGAGACCAGAATGATGGTGCGCAGCTTCGGGGGTCTCGTAGGGAAAAGGCCGTCGGGGAGATTATAGGCAGTGATGCTGAGAGACTCGAGATTGAGGAACTTTGAGCCTGGTTCGAAAGGCTGATGCTTGTGGCTCAAGGACGAGCAGGCGATGGATAGGTTGCGGACACGGGGGGCGCACTCCAACACCACAGAGTCGAGGTGACCATCGGGATCATCGCACAGTCGGAGGTCGAGCAGGGTCTGCTGGGAACGACGCAGGAATGCTTCCCTCATCTCTTTGTGTGAATTCCGGCGGCTGCTCCAGTCGATGGTTGACCACAGTGACCCTGTACTGAACGCGACAATGCGCCAACGGTTGCAGACCGCAGAGAGTCGTACGCACTCGCGCATGCAATGGAGGTGGAGGGGGTCTGAGTGGTGTGTCCTGTAAAAATAACGGAGACGCTCTTCCTCTCTTGATGGTGTCTTTGTTTTTCCCCCCTTCACAGAGATTTCAAATATAATGGCGAGGATTTCGGCGGGACGACACTTGCACCTCGGGTACCCCACTACCTCTGTCGTGCCGTCGGTCGTCAAATTGTCGGATGAGCCCTCAAGGTGGCACTCGGCTGCGTCTCGTCTGGGCCGAAGTCAAAGAGTACGTAGCTGCCAGGAGCAGCGGGCCGGGGCATGTTGGCGGAAGCGGCGCGGGCTGGACGAGACCGTTCGGTGGCGAGGATGAGCGCTTAGAATATAGGGCAGGCCATTACGCGCTTCTACCCCCGACGTCCGTGTCGTGCACCGTCCCCTCCTCGACAGCCACTCTCTTTGCTCTCGTTCTTTCACCCTTCGTCTATCCTTCCCTCTCCCACCCGACCCCCCTCGACCATCCTGGAACGCCGATAAGTGAGGTGGCGCGCCGTTCGATGTCCGCGGAGTGGGCCACTTGGTGAACTCAAGTGATAAGTAGGGCCGGGCAGCGGGCTTTGGGTGTCTCTTGAAGCTTGAATGGCGAGGGATGGCGAGTGATGGAGGGGACCAGGGACAACGACGTCTTCCGGGACTCCGCAGATCAGTGGCCGGGATTCTCGCGGGGGATACTTGTCGCTCTCCCGTGCGGTGTACGGGTTCTTAGGTAGTGGCGTGCTCCAGAACTGTGGGACATATCTGTTCGAACCAGTGTTGTGTGAGTGGCGTGCTATAGAATCACTGTCCGGCGACGCTGAGGCCATGACTGCACTACCCCGCCGCCGCTCCCCGTGGAAGCCACCCGCCGCAGTCTCCGCCACCGACCGAACGGTGCCAGAACGGAAAAGCCCCGACTTGCTCGACGTCCCGGTGGATGGCGTCATGCGTGCCCCGTCCGTCGTCGTCGTCCCATGTGGCGGGGCAGGTCCGGCTGGGCTCACCCAGGGCGGATTGGAGAACATGGTCATCGAGGTCGTCCCAGCCTCGCCGCTTCCACCACCGTCACTGAAGTCAAGCCTTCGGGCGCGGCAAAGAGCGAGGGGAAGAAGGTGCGAGGCTGGAAAGCTTGAAGGCTGATTCGGTTGTGTGCTGAACGGTGACCGCCGCAGTCTAGGGCTGAATGGGTCATTCTTTGGCCTATAGAGCCCAGCACACCATGGAGTCAGACGAATGGCGAACAGTTTCCTGCTGCGTGCAAGGGACGCAGAGATGCATTAGCGACAGTGTCGCACTGTGCGGGTGAGTAAGTGTATGCTACACGAAGCCGGGTGAGTGCGAGTCGTTGCGCTGAGTGGGGCGCGGGCACGGGGGCGGCTTCAGTCGGAGAGGATGGTGAATTGGGGACTGAAGTTGCCAGAGTCGCCGAAGACTGGGAGATCGTCAGGAGGTGCAGGACGGGAAGAGAGGGGAAGGAGGCCCTCGCGGACGATGCCGTAGTCGTCGCGATCGTCGACCACAGGAACGGTCGATGCGGAGAAGGAACAGGGCGGACGCTGTTAAGGTGCAGTTCGCGTAAGTGTTGTGTATCTCGCTACTGGTAGGAATGTCATAATCGGTGACCTCTCGGAGGTTTGCCTCTAATCCCAGTGAAGAGAAAACATCCCGTGGGGCGGTTCAAGTCGTCAACGTCCGGCGTCCCGTCGTCGTGAGGATGGCTGCCAGCAGAGCAACCCTCTCCGCGCGCCGGTTTCTTCACGACATGACTGAAAGTGAGTGTCCCGCACCACGACACCACTGCGTTCACTTACCAATGCCCAGTTCGCGATAGCAAGCGGTACGCGACCCGTGGCGGCGCGGCGAGAGTGGCAGTGGGTGTCCCGGGGCAGTGGGGTATCGAGTCTGGTGCGCGACGGACGGTGCGTCGAAAGGCATCGATAGCGTCCGAACGTTCGTAGAGCGTCCATCGACACGATAGAGGCAGGCGCGGGACTAGAAGGTGGTGGGGCGGGACGCGTCGACAGGGGGCGCTGCGCGATGGCCCACAGGTACACTTCGGCCAAAGCTGCGCTGCGCGCCGTTCGTGGATTGTCACCGACCCTCAACGTTCAACCTTCGAAATGTCCGCTGCTCGCCCGGAGCCGCGCTCGCGCTCAACGAGCTGGGAAGGTATAAAAAGCTCTCGGGGTTCCTGTGCCGTGCCCCACGCCCTGCCGCCTCTGCCAGCTTCCGCGACAGCTTGCCCGGTGACCCTTCGGCCCTGCCACTGCACACGCAACTGATGCTCGCCGCGACTCTCGCTCTCGGTGCAGTCCTCGTCAGCACTACGCTGGGGCAGCGGACCCAGAAGACGTTCGACCTCACGTCCCCCGTGCGCACGATGGGCCGGATCAGCTCCAGCTGCAGCACGACCGGCCAGAGGTCCTGCCATAACACGACGGACCAGTCTGACAACTCCTGCTGCTTCGAGTCCCCTGGGGTACGTCGTCGTCCTGGCTTCCTTTTCGGCCGGGCAGCAGGGAAGGGTCGACGATGCTCACCCGCACACGACGCAGGGCCTGCTCCTCCAGACCCAGTTCTGGGACACGCACCCGTCGTCGGGCCCGTCCGACTCTTGGACCATTCACGGTCCGTCCCTGGTTCACCGTACCGCTGGGGATCCGCAGCTGATGCCCGCCGTCACGGCCCCTCCAGGTCTTTGGCCCGACAAGTCGGTCGTCTTTTCTTAGACGGACAAAGGATCGAACGTGCTTCCTGACCTCGAACCCGCAGCTGCGACGGCACGTTCATCGAGAACTGCGACCCTTCCCGCGACTACACCGACATCGCCGGAGTGAGTCGGCGTTCTATTCCCTGTTACTATCGTTATCAGAAGCTCACGGTCGTTCGGGGAACCAGCTTCTCACAGACCAGGGCGCCTCCGACACCTTGTCGTTTATGCAACAGGTAATCCACCGCGTTTGCCGCGGATCCGTCGGAGGCTGATCACGCCGGCCCTCCGTGCAGTTTTGGGTGGACATCGACGGCCGGAACGAGAGGTTCTGGGAGCACGAGTGGAGCACGCACGGGACGTGCTACAGCACGCTCGACCCGTCCTGCCTGCCCGAGGACTCGGCCAGGGGCGCGGAGGCGGTCGCGTTCTTCCAGACGGTCGTCGAGCTCTTCAAGACGCTGCCCACGTACGACTGGCTCGCCGCTGAGGGCATCACGCCCTCGTCGAGCACGACGTACACGCTCTCGGCTCTCACGGGCGCGCTCGAGCGCGCGGCCGGGGTGGCGCCCGCGCTCAACTGCGAGGGGGCGTACCTGAACGCGGTCGAGTGGTACTTCAATCTCCAGGGCTCCCTCGTGGACGGCCGGTTTGTCCCCATCGACGCGCCCAAGAGGGGCTCGTGCCGCAAGAGCGGGATCAAGTACGTGCCCAAGAGCGGGTCTAGTACCTAGAACGGTATAAGGGCGGTAGTTTCCCAACGAACGTGTGTCCTGCCTCTCTGGGCGGAACGGCGCCCTCGTCTACGAGCGATGTAGCCGCCTTCCTGCAGTTTGAATTAGCGTACAAGGAACGGATATTGTGGCTTCGTCTTGTTCGGATTACGTAGTAGGAGAGCTACTACAAAGCAAGGCTGTCGAGTCCTTCGCCCGGTCCACCTACGGCAGCAGATGAAGCCTCGCCGCGGCCCGCCAACGGCCCGTAACTAAGCGCCAGGTGACACTGTACCACTAGTAGCGGAAGGTCTGCCTAGGGGAAACTAACTCGCACCACGACCGTGCCCACTGCCCTTCGCCCATTTCATTGGCCTCACCCAATGGAACAGGCTGAATTCCTGCAACAATATGGCTTTGTGAAGTGAGTAGCCATGAAACCGTATCATTCCTGGTTGTTGATATCCCGTGCAGATTCAAGGTGGAGATCACCGACGTGCCACCCGAGCTGCAGGACGAGTACGCCACCTTCGGCTACCGCCGAACGTCGACAAGGACCTCACCGTGCACGAAACGATCCGCGCGGCCGCGGAGGAGGCGGGTATGGACTACACCGAGGTGTGCATGGCCGTTGCCGACTACAAGCTTGCTCGGTTCGGATGGAGCGCTCCGGCGTGGCAAGTCATCTTCGCGAAGAACAAAATGAAGTTCGACGGCACGCGGAGGGTGGTCGACTTGACGCCGTGCATAGGGGAATTAGCCATCTTCACGCGCCTTCTGAATCTGAAGAGCGAGCCGGAATGGATGCTTGGAGTTTTGCGCGAGCCAGGCCACTAAAACGGTATGTTGCTCTGTTGTCGCAGGAGGGTGTTCCGCTAAACTGATGTAGAATGCATCCTGACGATGTAATCACGAGCTTCAAGACGCTAGCCACCTTGTAAGCTGTAGACTAGGATCAAATCGACATTTGAATCCACGTCGGAGTCGTGTCATCTACGACCATACAAAGCCATCCATTGCCTTATCCAGCTCCGGTAGGTGCAGAGCCTCCATCGCCTGACCACCCAGCAGTCGCATCTCCGCCTGCGGCAGGTCCCTCCGTGTCTGATCCCACCACGTCCGGAGAGTCTCGTCCTTCAACGCAGGACAGTGGACCACGACCTTCTTCACGCCTCTCGCCCGCCTCCCAAGCTCCATCGGCACCAGTTGATTCTTCACGTCCTCCGTCCACACCTCCAGCTCGTCCAACCCCGGCGTCTCCTTCCCAGGCCCGCCTACCACCGTCGAGAGGACCTCCCCGACCTCCCGCCCGTGCCGCAGCGACAACGACGGCGCGAGCGCGACGCGCAGCGACCGCACGCGCTCCGGCGCGGCCGAGCGGACGACGTCGAGGAGGACGAACGGGGAGCAGTCCAGCGTGTCCGCGCGGAGCGCGACGGCCGCGAGCCGCGCCCACGGCACGTGCGCTAGCAGCTTCGCGCGCGGCGCGCTCCGAGGGTCGTCCCGGTCCTCCTTCCAGCCGAGCGAGAGCGTCGCGGCCGCGTGGGGGCCGGGGGCCCCAGAGAGGACGAGCGTGACCTCTCTGTCGGCCAGCGCGACGGCGAGGGTGGTGCAGGCGCCGATCCATGCGAGCGCGGGGAGGGAGGGGGGGAGGTTCGTCGCGACGTCGCCGACGAGGTGCAGCGACGCTGAAGCGGGGGGGATGAGGTACTTGAGGAACTGGATCGAGTCGTACGTGACGGACCGGCTTCCCAGAGCGAGGCGTCGGACGCGGGGGAGGTGGATTTGAGGGGGTTCTTCTGCGGGAGTAGGGGGACGGGCTCGGACGGAGAGCTCGCGAAGCACGAGGCCTTCGAGGGTGGGAGCACACCTTGATATGAGGCGGAGGACGCTGCCGAGAGAGGGAAGGGTCATGTCCTCGAGGGCAAGGTGCGTCAGGGAACCATAGGCGATACCGGGGAAGAAATGGAAAGCCTTCAAAGTGAGCTTGCGTAACATGGGCGACGCTGCGAAGGAGAAGATCGGGACGGGTTCGTGTGCGGCTTCATCGCTTCTTGAAAAATAAATGAAGCTATACAGGGTGAGGCTTTCAAGCTGAGGAAAGTCGACATCTAACTCTAACACAGGCACTTGCCAGCCACAATAAATGGTCAAGTTGCGGACGCGGGGTGTGTGCACTTCTAGAGGACTCATCGTTGGGTGGGCATAATCCACGTGGAGGTCGAGGGGTGCATGCCGAGAACGACGGAGAATTTGTTTTTGTAGCTGCTTGTGCTGTTTCCCCTTGTCTGATCTGTAGTTGACGGCAGTCCACAGCGTAGCTGTATTGAGCGCAGTAGCACGCCATCGCCGGCACACTGCGCCCAACAAAACGGCTTGTTGTGGTTCAGCGCAGAAATTCTGCGACTGCTGATATCTCGCTCTGCGTGGTGGCATAGAGCACTCTAGAATCATGGCGAGTATTTCATGAGGGAGAGAATTGATGGGAGCTGCGCGGAGATTGATGGTCTCTTTGGTCAGGGAGAGAGCTTCATGGAGGCGATTTTGCAAAGTATGAAGCTGAAACAGCCGCTATGAGACGACGCGAACGCTCATATTCAAACCAGGTCACTGACATCTGTCGTGCTGTTGGAGAGAATTGATACCGCTGAGCCCTTGCATTCGGAAATATACGGCAGTCGGCTTACCTTATTCCTGCCAGGGCTTGTGGAAGATGGCGCAAAAGTTCTTCCAAGATCTGTGTGGAGCGGGGAGTCTGTAGATGCGCGCATTCTGTGGCAGTGGGCATGTTGGTGCAGCGAGAGCTAGGCGAGACTCAAAGTGCGAAGTGAGAGAAAGGAGGACGACAAGGTCCCCGCGCGCGCGAGAACTCCTCGCACATTCGCACTCCGCTTTAGGAGGTTGCAGCGTAGCCGCTGGCGCTCGTTCCTCACCGTTCTGCGCTGAACGTTGAACTACATAATCACCCGCCTCCTCCTCCTCCGCGCTTCGACAAGGCTCACAAAGAGCGCACCTCGGAACACAGAGCTCGCGTCCGTCACGCGTGTGCGAAAATGGTACATAGTGAGGCGTACCCGCGAATCACAACCGCGTGCCCCTCGCGCGATGACAAAGGTCGTGCACAAAACTGACAGCAACAGCCAAGGCCAGGCGCGCGTATAACAGTCAGGAGAGGAAAGCGGTAGATTCTCGTGCACCACACAGTACGTGACTATGCGGCAGCTACACTGACCACCCCCTTCCGTCTATCCACGGTCATTCCTAATCTTAAGTGCTCGACAACAGCTCCTTCAGGTTTGCCTCCCCCTTTGCAACCCTCGTCTCTCCTTATCTGAATTGATCGCCCCTCGACCAACCCTGGAAACTTCCCAGACGCCGCAGTGCGATGTGGCTAGCTGGCAGCCCGGAGTCGCGCCCAGCACTGGGCTCCCGGACTCCGAACGCGCCCCGACGAGGTTACGCACCCGCTCCAGTCACCTCGCGCACCAGCGCTGCGCACAACTTTATCCGTGGCGCTGCTGGAAATCACGACGATTAGCGAGCGTCACGTAGGTAGCGCTTCGAGCCTGTCCGCACAGGTGCGTGTTAGTGAAGTGCGCGTGCGCGCGCTGACGTCGGTCGTGGCTAGCGCTGGAACGTTGAGGCGCGGTAGAGCTCGAGGAGAAGAAGGTGCGAGTGGTTCCCCGAGCTCCGCGGGTCGTGTGGCAGTCTAGGACTAGATAGAACATACCTTGGCTTATTTGAGGTTATATAGACGGGCGCAGCACATATTCGAATGAAAGGCGAACACCTTGCTGCTGCGCGCAAGGAACGTAGAGATGCATTAGGGAGGGTGCGGTACTGCGCGAGTGAGTAAGTGTATGCTACACGAAGCCGGGTGAGTGTAAGTACAACAAGAGTCCGTGGAGCGCGTGCGGGTGGTGGTGTTACAGCCAAGCGGGATGTGTGTGGTTTACAAGTCCGTGTCCGTGTCCGTGTCCATGAATGTCCAGAGGGTTCGTTAGAGAATTAGCGTGCGAGTCGTGACGTTGAGCGAGGCGCGCGCGCGGAGAGCGGCTTCTCAGTCGGAGAGGATGGTGAACTGGGGGCTGAAGTTGCCGGAGTCGCCAAAGACTGGGGGATCGTCAGAACGTGCAGGGGAAAAGGTGGAAGGAGGCACTCACGGACGATGCCGTAGTCGTCGCGATCGTCGACCAGAGGAACGGTCACCTTGACGCGGCCATCCAAGATGTTGAAGTTCTCGGCAAGGATCACTGCGAAACGGAACACGATTGAGCGAGATCGCTCAACGCGAGAGGGAGAGAGGGTGCTCACGAGGCGTGGTGATGCCGTGGAATCGGAGGTAAATCCTGCCGACCTTGTTCGTGATGTTGACGGGCGCGGCGGAGGTGTCCCTACGAGCGCGAGCAGCTCTGAGCGTCCAGGCCTCGACACGTCGGACAGGAGAGCGAGCTTACCAGGTGACGTGATGTGTCTGCCCGCTGTGCCAAACGGTGCCCGCGTGGGGATAGGTCACTGGCGGAACGAACACATCGCGCTTTTCCGCAATCGGCGAGGCGGACGCGGAGCCGGTGGCGAGTGCGAGAGCGGCGAGGGGGAGGAGGAGGGTACGGGTGAAGGAGATCATCGCGTGGTCGTTAGGAAGAGGCGGAGAAGGCGAAGAGGGTGTGAGGTTGGGGGAGGCCTGCAAATGCGAGACTGGGGATGGAGGGTGGAGTGGCGGCGGTTTATATACCCGCGTACGCTCGGCGCCGCTGACGAGACGAGAGGATCATGAGACGCGGCCCCACCTCGGCGCGCGGGCGAGAGTCCGACGGGGCCCGGGGGCAGAGCAGAAGGCGGAGGTGGGCCAGGGCAGACCGCACAGACGGCGGAGACCGTCCGGAGCACAGGGCCAGGGCTCTGCTCGCTGCCCGAGGCGACGTCGGCGACTCAGTGAGGTCTGCCAGTCGGCTTTTCGTCCCCGGCGGGCCGGGCTATGACGATGACGCCACCACGTGAATGTGACGCTCCGCGTCACCTTTCGTTTTCCAGTCTGTTCTCGGGCCTCTCACGACTCGTCCTCGCTCATCTACGTCCCCTTTTGCCTTGCCGTTATTCTCCCCGAATTCTGCGTCTATGCGGCTACAATCTCACCTCATCCCAGTGAGTGACGAAAGCACCCACAAGCATTATCTCAAACACTGACTAGCTGTCGGTGCCATCTACGAAGAAGAACTTGGAGTCTTGGACTCCTTTGGGCTAGGCATCCATGTGCACATCCGTCTCGAACCTTCCCTGCACCTCCGTTACCCGCCGGGCCGCCGCACGCTCTTCACACTGCTTCAACTCAGCAGGTCCCCATTTCGGGCTCCGTCCGCATGTACCAAATTTCGAACAACCACGCACCTTCCACGCGCCACGCCTCGGAGGCCCTGACCGGCGCAGCTCGTGGCCCCAGCCCAACGTGCACCAACGTGTCGTTCGACTCCCCCCACGCATCTCCTTCACCATGTGTAGTAATACAGGCATCGTACAAGCTCACAAGCCGAAGCACAGTCATGAAATGTCCAATGTCCGGGAATCCGAAAGCGTCCTGCTCTGTCCGCGAGGCGAGAGCGCAGAGCCAAAGTCGTAAGTCAGTCCGAGCTGTCTGTGTCATGCGCGTTCGGTCACCCCCTCCACGCCTTCCACCGCTCCGTCGCCGTCGCCATTGGCCAGCACCTCCGAGGGTTCGGGACAGGACTTTTAGAAGATGTCCGGGCCGTTGATCGTGAACGTCGGGCTGAAGTTGCCCGAGTCGCCGAAGACTGCGATGGGGGGATCAGCGCCGCACTTTCATGTCCTCCGCCTCGCCCGCTTTCGCAGCAGCGTGAACGCCGGACGCCCACGACACGACACGACACGGCGCAGCGAAAGGGCAGCCGGAGAAGGACGCCGCGGACAAGAGGGGCGGTACTCACGGACGATGCTGTAGTCGCTGCCGGGCACGACCCACGGCACGGTGACCTCGATCCGCCCGAGGAGGATGTCGAAGTCCGCGGCGAGGATGACTGGGCGGAGACGGACGCACGACAAGTAAGCACGACGATCGGCGACGCTCGTGCGGGCGATGCACGAGCTGGGCCGGGTACGCACGGGGGGTCGCGGTGTCGCCTTTGCGGAGCTGGACGATGCCCTGCTTGTTCGTGATTTGCGTGGGGGCGTTGGAGGTGTCCCTGTACCAGGGCGTGTGGTGTGTTAGTTTGTCACTCCTCTCCCGCTGGTGCTGGGGCCAGACGTACCAAGTAACGTTGTGGCGCTGGCCCTTGGTCCAGACCGTGCCGCTGCGCGGGTACAGAACAGGCGGGACGAATACGTCGCGCTTGCCCTGGACCTCGTACGGTGCGGGCGCGGCGAGGACGGCCTGCAGCCAGGAGGCGAAGAGGGCGAAAGCAAGAACGGCGCGGACGAGAGTGAACATGGTGAGTGTCGTTGTCGTTTAATCGTGAGAGGGTCGAAGGATACTTCGGGGGTGGAAGACGGGGAGGAGGGGGAGTGGAGTGGACGGCGCAGAGGAAGGCCTCGGGGCTCTGTTGGGTGGCGAGGAGTTCTATATATTGTGGCAGATCCCAGCAGCTGTCTGTTATCGGTGGTGCGCACGTACTTCTATTACGACTGTATGCTCTAGTCGGACACGCAGACAATACAATAGTCCATGTGAACCGGTCTGGAATGATGCCCCGTCGTTCCCGCGGAACGACTGCTCGTTCTCTCCCCAGCGTGCACTCGCCACGATGAGATACCATCCGAATGATTCGCTCGCGGAGAAGTCACAGACCGGCCTCGCGCTCGTGCGCGCCGTCTGATCTGCAGCCCGTGGAAGGTCGCGCGGCACGGGTGCGCTGCAGAAGCCCTGCCAGATAGAGGCGGGAAGCTGCATTGACACGTCAGCTGCTCAAATGTCCATTCAGCGGCTGCGATATCTGGGCGATCTGCAGGCCTGCGGTATTCGCGGCCGTCGTCGGCGTCCTGGGTGCGATAAGCCCGACCGTTGGGGGAGTCGGCATGCGCGACGAGGTGGTGGACGACATGATGAGGAGCGCGTGTGCGACGCAAGCGGTAGGCGAACCAGTGGGAAGGCTGCTGCAAGCCGTGGGGTCCGGATTGGCAGCGCACATGGAAACACGACGGATGCTCTCGAGCAAAAGCGGAGCGAGTGGTTGGAGGATGGGAGGCTGACTAATAGGCATGCGAGGACTCCAGCCTGGAGTGCGCTAAACTCCCACACCGTGAGCCCGTTCTGGCGTTCCGCTTCTGCTCCTTCTATGCTCCCTGCAATGAAGACGGAAGATGTCGATGCGTACTGGCTCTCACCAGGCTGGAACTTCGATTCAAATGGAGATATCTAGCCGGAAGATGACACCTCGCCATGTCGCCGTCTCTGGTCTCTCCACGTCTCGCCACCCCTCGCCATTCAAGAAGCATCCCTGACCCGAGGTCGCGCAACTGAATGGCCCACTTCGAAGAGTGGATTATCACATTGAAGGGCGAGCTCCTAGAAGCTTGCCAGGAGCACTTTTCGGTGAGTGTTGCGCCTCGCTGCGACCTGATGTAGCGCTCACCTATTGGCGTTCAAGTGTCGTGCCTCGACGAAAGCCCCAACGTCGAGCGCGTGTACCCAGCACGTCATCCTCGCTCGAAACCATCTCCCCAGTCCAACCACCAGTGGAAACGGTCACGAGATTCCGAACGGGATCTCAGATCTCATGTCCCCTCCTCTGGCACACCGAATCGCCGCTGGACGCCGCAGTGCATGCGCTAGAGATCGGACCGCTTTCCAGACGACGACGGATGCCGCCTAAGTACGGTGCCTTCAACGCGCCTGGCATCTGCAGCCCGGCGTCGCTCGAGTTCCCCTTCGAAAGGCTCGCCTCGACGCGACCCCGGTCTCGCGGGGCTCTGTTGTTGGCGTCTCTCTCCACCTCCTCCCAGGTCCACGTCGCCCTTCCGTTGACGCAGTAGTCCGGGAGACCTCGCGGCAAGGCCGACGGTGCGCGTGCGTCAGCGCCAGTCAAAGCCGACGTCAGCACGCGCATTCCAACAAGCACCTCGCTGAGGACAGGCTCGCTGCGCTGCCGATCTGCCGCTCGATGCAAAGAACGAACCAGATTTCCAGGAACACCGCCCGATGAGGATGAAGCTGTACGCGGCGCGGGCGCGTGGACGCAACTGGAGGGGGCTTGGAACCTCGTCGGGGTGCGTTCCGAGCCCGGGAGTTTGGGAACTGGGCGCAACCCTGGAAGGAGGGAGAAGGACTCGGGATGACGAGGGGTCACACAACGAGGGCAAAGAGAGGTGTCGGGAGGCAAAGGAGCGCGGTTGTGGAGGAAGGTACTTACCTTATGCAAGAGAGGGAACCGCCTATGCTATTGAAGTGACAGCGGATACGGGAACGGAACAACTTACTTACAAGTGGGGGTCAGTCAGTTGGCCTGCCCTAAACTCCAGCGCCTATCCAAATCAGCAACACGCGCCGAGCGACTCGCCACTGGCTCTCGCTGCTCCGCCAACATGTCCACTGCCACAGAATGCGCTCAACAGACTCCCCGCTCCCCGCAATTCATCGAAGAACCTTTGCGCTATCTTCCACAAGCCCTGGCAGGAATGAGGTAAAACGACTGCCGTATATTTCCGAATGCAAGGGCTCAGTGGCGTCAATTCTCCCCAACAGCACGACAGATGTCAGTAACCTGGTTTGAATATTTATGAGCGTTTGCGTCGTCTCATAGCGGCGATATTAGCCTCGTACTTTGCAAAGTCGCCTCCATGAAGCTCTCGCCCTGATCAATGAGACCATTAATCTCCGCGCAGCCCCCATCAACACTCTCCCTCACGAAATCCTCGCCATGATTCTGAAGCACACTATGCCACCACGCATAGAGGGGTATCGGAATCAGCTGATCTTCCGCGATGAACTACGACGCTCCGTTTTGTTGGGCGCAGTGTGCCGGCGATGGCGTACTACTACGCTCAATACAGCTACGCTGTGGTCCACCATCAACTACAGATCAGACAAGGGGAACCAATACGAGAAGCTACAAGAAGAAATTCTCCTTCGTTCTCATCATGCGCCCCTCGACCTCCATGTGACTTACGACCACCCACCGATGAGTCGCCTAGTAGTGCACACACCCCGCATCCGCGACTTGACCATTTGTTGTGACCGGATGCCTGTGCTCGAGCTAGACGTCGACTTTCCTCAACTTGAAAACCTCACTCTGTATGGCTTGGGTTATCTTTTAAGCCGCCAAGAGGACAAATCCGTCTCAATCTTCTCCTTCGCAGCGTCGCCCATGTTACGCAAGCTCACTTTGAAGGCTTTCTATTTCTTCCCCCGTATCGCCTACGGTTCCCTGACACACCTTGCCCTCGAGGATATGGACCTTCCCTCCCTAGGCAGCGTCCTCCACCTCATATCGAGGTATGCTCCCACCCTCGAAGGCCTCGTGCTTCGCAACCTCTCCGGGGCCGTCCCCGCCCATCCGCCTGCTCCCACAGAGAAACTCCCTCAAATTCACCTCCCCCGCGCCCGACGCCTCGCCATGGGCAGCCTAAAAGCACGGTGCGACTCGATCCAGTTCCTCAAGTACCTCATCCCCCCCGCTTCGGCGTCGCTGCACCTCGTCGGCGAGGCCGCGACGACCCTCCCGCCCGACCTCCCGGCACTCGCGTGGATCGGCACCTGCACCACCCTCGCCGTCGCGCTGCTCGAGAGCGAGGTCACGCTCGTCCTCTCCGGCGCCCCCGACAACGCGGCCGCGACGCTCTCGCTCCGTTGGCAGCAGGACTGGTACAACGCTCGGAGCGCGCACGTGCCTTGGGTGCGGCTCGCAGCCGTCGCCCTCCACGCGGACACGCTGGACTGCTCCCCGCTGCTCTTGCTCGATGTCGTCCGCGAAGCCGCGCCGGGGAGCGTGCGGTCTCTGCGCGTCGCGCTCGGGGAGCGGATGTCGCAGCGGTATGGGCGGGAGTTCCTGGCGGTCCTCTTGGCGGTGATCGGCGGGTCGGGGGAGAAGACGCTGGGGTTGGATGAGCTGGAGGTGTGGACGGAGGACGTGGAGAATCACCTGATGCGGATGGACCTTGGGAGGCAGGCGAGAGATGTGAAGAAGGTCGTGGTCCATTGTCATACGCTGAGGGACAAGATGTGGTGGGATCAGATACGGAGGGACCTGCCGCAGGCGGAGATGCAACTGCTGGCCATGGATTGGAAGGTGCGGGCTCCGGATCTCCCAGAGCTGGATAAGGCGATGTGTGGCTTCGTATGGTCGTAGGTGTCACGGCTCCGACATGCATTCACTTTTGTCGAGTGTTAGGGAAGCACGTAAATATTTGTTTGGGGACGTCGAAGGTTGACTTGGGATGCTTAGTGCTGTCAGGCGTCTGCTCTGACAAGCTGGCTTGCATGAAAAAAAGGTCACAGGAAGGACAAAAAACGGTGCATCACCCGGAGGCAAGACTACCATACACATGCGTCAACAAATACGGAACTGCCGCGCAAAACTCCAAGCATCCAGGCTTCCCGTACGACCGGTTCTCCCTCCACGCCCTTGTGCATCTTCGACAGTCGCGGCAACAGTGCGTTCGAGAACTCACCTTTTGTTCCCCCGCAGAGTCTTCCAAACAAACCCCGAGTGCATTTTGCTCGTTGTGCCGCTCCTTTGTCTCGTACGGCATCAATCGCACACAATCGTCCGCTCCAAGGTTGCAGCAGACGCCCTTCTCCGGCTCGGGAATGACCGTCGACGTCACCCGGTGCTGCGAGTCGGGAAATACGGGATACGCCATGACCGCTGTGAACGCGATGATGGAGAGTACAGATGAGGGCGGACAGCTGCGTTTGCCGCCGATAGGCTGGGCTGGGTGTACGGTATATGTCGACAGAGGCGAGACACGGAAGTAACTCACCAAGAGGATGTCATGGTGTGTTTGCGGTGCGAGTCCCAAGTGTCGAGTTTGCGCGCTCTGACCCAGCGCAAAAAGCGCCGAGGCTCGACGTTGGACAGACATACCAAGGGGAAATAAAGCGGGTTGGCGTCGTTGAGGCGAAGTAGATGGGAAGAAGAGTTGAGCGCTGAGCGTGCGTGGAACATTGAAATGTGGGCCGTTGGCAGTTGCCCACTCGACTCCTAGTCGCACATATCGATCACGTGGGACGAGGAGTGGAGGCGCTGGTCCGAGTCCCGACCCTTGATGACTCCGTCGGAGTCCGAAGCCCCTGCACGCCGTCTCTGTTGACCCAAGAACTGGAGAAGATGCAAGATCCATGGTTCGAGCTGCTGCAAATGAGCTCAGATCTCTTGCCAAGGTGAGCCCGTCGTGACCGTGATCATCACAGTGCTAAGCACAGTACTAGCAGAGGTGAGTCGTGACGTGCATCCGAACCATAGAGAGAGTCTTTGACTTACTCTTCATTCAGAACCAGGATACGCCGCCGGTGGCCCAGTCGGTTGAACCTCCCCTACTACCCCCCATCCACACCATTCCTGCCGAGATCCTCGCCGTTGTCTTCCAACACGCTGCAATATGGCCACCAAAAAGTGAAGAAGACTATCTTATTGACTACCCGCGCATGGTCAACCGCCTGCAATTGTGTGCAGTGTGCCGCCGATGGCGCGCTGTCACGCTCAGCATGGCATCGCTGTGGTCAACCATCGAAACAGTACAATAAAAGAATTGTTCTTGCATCGTTCTCAAAGCGCGCCACTTTGCATTCAGTATCGCTTCGACAACGAAGGCCGCATTGACCCCTCGGTGTCGGAACACGCTCAACGCATTCGCCATCTGGTCATCATGGGACGGTGGGACCCGGAGTCACACATGAAGGCCGTGGATTTCGATCTTCCCAATCTCGAAGAAATCACCGTCATCGGAAACGTCGCACGGCTGTATAGATTTCCACACAGAGACGGAGGCAGCGATATGTTCCCTAATGCTCTCCAAAACCTTCGCATGGTTGTGCTCAGCAACATCACATTCTTTCCTTCTCTTCCGTACAGATCCATCACACATCTATCCCTGTCGAGCACGTACAAAGTCTTCGCTCGGTCCCTCTTAGACATCCTCGATGCCTGCAGCCTTACACTGAGGAGTCTAGCCTTTTATAGCGTCCATCTGCACAACCGCAGGGGGCAGCTGTACACCGTACGACTCCCCCGCCTCCAATACGTCTTCATTTATGGTGACAGGTTTCCCTGGCTCCCCATCCCTAAGCTCCACCTTCCCTCATCGGCAGCCATGCATGTCGTCACCACAGACAGCGTTTCATTGCGAGTCCCTTCCATGTACACCCCACATGTACACTGGACAACACTCGAGCTAGACTTCAGCCCCTTAAAGGTCACCGTCCTCCTCGCTGGGGCCCTGGAGGCCCACGCGCAGCTCTCCTTCCGGTACTTCTACAGTCGCTACTTCAACAAGTCCGAGGATTTCTGGGACGTGCTGCAGAGGCTCAAGGAGTTCATCCCCTGGAAACAACTCGTCGCGGTCACACTGCGCGCCGCCGCGCGCGTCCATACGGCGGTGACCTTCGTCGCGAACTGCCTCGCTCTCGCGCGCGGCGGCAAGATTGCGTCGCTGCGCGTGATCGTGAAGCGGCCCGGTGTAGGGCCCTGCCCTATGTTTTCGCGTTTGGAGCTAGTTTAGGGTTTGATTAGTCAGCCATGTACTTAGCACAGCGGCCGCCTCTGGGCCTTCCTCAGATTTGACCACCACCTTCACCCTTCATAGCTCATTTCTCCGTGTGTTTGCCACCTTTTCTTCTGTTCTGCTCGCTCTGCTCGACGTCTAGAGTCACCTAGACCGTCCGTTCTGTCGCCTTCGGCTCCAGAGCCTGAGCCCAGCACCCTTGACCCACCTGCACTCCTGGGTTTGTCCTGTGGATTCTCCACTTTTGGGCACCTGCCTGGGCACGACCTCACATTCTGGTGACCACCGCAGGGGGTTCTTGTGGTTGACTGTGGTCTCCAGGTCTTTTGGATGCCAGTTCGTCGGCCTCGACCTCCTCCAGCTCTGCAGTCAGAGGTACATCCACACGTTCATCGTGCCATCCATCCCCTTCCCGCCGTCCGTTCGCCTCGATCCTGGTATCATTCGATCCGTCTCGTCAAGACCTTTCGATCGAGGCCTTTCTCGCGTCGATACGCCCCGAACTCATCGCACAGTCGTCCGAGGACACGAAGAGCTGCCCAGGGAGACCAGGAGAGCGAAGACTCGGCCACATCTCCGTCGGTTTTCGTCGTACGCACTTCGTTCCTTTCGCGCTCGAAAGCCCTTGCGTCCCCCGTCATATCGCGGCCAACACGCCCGATTTCCGCCGCCGGACGCCCCAGGCCGTTTCGCTCGAAGACGCCGTCCTCCTCCTCCCCATCAAGACATCTCCCGCCCCGTTTGTCCGCGACGTCGCCGCCGATTTCCGCACGGCTGGGCTCGTTTCGTGCGTGTCGTCCGTGGCTTTCCAGCGCGCCCCTCCGCGTCGTGACGCGTGCCGTCGTCGTTGACCTACGTCGCGATCGCTGCCGCCCTCGACTTGGACAGTGCTCTCCAGCCTCAGGCTTCGACTTCGCGCCGATCCCGGCTTCTTTCGCCACGCGAGCGCCGCCGCCTCGAAGCTGTCGTCATAGGCTTCTTGGCGATTGCTTCCGCGTCGCAATCGGAGCCCGTGCGCTTCCTCGACGTCGCCCTGACCCTTCGCGCCCGCCCACGGCCTCCTCCGGCCGACTGTCGCCCTGCCCTTCCCCGAGTTCTCCCCTGTTCGACGCTCGTCCGGGTTTGTTTTGTGCGCATTTCCCCCCTCTTTTCGACGAGCCGCCCCGTTCCGCGATCTGCCCTGTTGTCGTCCCGCTGCGCGTCGTCTTGTGCGACAGAAGAGCGCTCGTCATGTCGCCGACTTGATGCTCCCGTCTTTCGACGGTTCGGAGCTCGTTTGCGACACGGCTGGGTTCCCTCTCTTCCCCTCGTCAAGAGCTTTCCGACGCATCCTCATGCACGCCGGTACGCTCACCGTATCGTCCACGACCGCCGCCGCATCATTGCCTCCACGCTATCTGCCCCTTCCTCGACCCTCGCGATTTTGAGCACCGCGGCCCCATCTCCAGTCCGTTCCGCCCGCGATTTGGCACGCGAGCTCCCCTCGTTACCCCTCATTGAACGCGCCCTCGCCGCCGCCAAGAAACGCAGCCGTTCACTCGCCGCAGTCGCTGCCATCTCCTTGCCGCCTCTGGTCACCCTCAGACCCGGACTCGACGCGCCGCCTCCCCAGTTCCGCTACGATCGCGCTGCAAGTTAGAGCGTTGATAGCCCTCGTCACCCCCTTTCGAACTCGCCCGCCACCGTCTCGCCCGCCGCACTCGTTCGCTCGCTGTGCGCTGTGCAAGAGCGCCCGCGGTCAGCCCCTCTTTCCCTCCTTCCGGTGCTCGATCTCGCCCGCCCCGCCTCTGTAGAAGACGTCACCAGATCGGTTCGATGCGCGTCGTTGAGACCTTCCGAACGAGGCCTCGGACGCAACAATTGGAGGAGATTTGCGTCGCTGACGACGCAATCTGCGTTGTCCCTCTCGCCGCCCCGCTGCCTCCCGCGTACGCCCCCGCATCTCGCCCGTCCCACGTCCGCTTGTCGTGCGATATGGCGCATAGGTGCGCATCGAACACGTCATTCGAACGCCGCCTCGCGCGTCACGATGCGTGGTCTCCTGGACGTCCGGCAAGGTGTTCTCCGCCCTGCTCTCTACGCTCTCCCCTCGTGCTGCCGACTTTGCCGCTCCGTACCGCCGCCGCTGCCGATCTCGCCTGTTCGACGTGAGGTTTGGACGTCAGACAGCCCTCGTTGCCCCCACTCGATCGTGCTCAACGGCGCCTTACCCGCCTCGCTCGTTCGGTCGTTGTGTTGTGCAAGAGCGCCTGCCGCTGGCGCCCCTTCCTCCTCTGTTCAGTGCGCGATCTCGCCCGTCCCGCCGCCGTAGAAGACGCGGCCGGGCTCGTTCGGTGCGCGTCGTCAAGGCCGTTCGAACGCGCGCTTGGCCGTAGGATTTGGAGGAGATTTGGTTGGGTGGTGCTTGGATTTTCGTAAGTCCGCTTTGCCTTGCCCCCACCTCTTGCGTCCCCCAGTCTCGCCCTCGCATCTCGCCCGTTCCGCATCCATTTGGCACGCGATTTGGCACGCTCGTGCGCTTCGATCTCCCCGTTCGAAAGCCCCCTTCCGCGTTGCGATCTGCGCGCCCCCCGATCTTCGGCGCGGCCGTCTCTGCTGCGGCCGCCACGCTTCCTCCCCTGCACATCGCCCACTTCACCACGCCTCCCACGAACTCGATACGCTATCCCCACATCCATTACGTACTCGTCGACTCCCTGCTAGTTTCCCTTTCACCCCTATCGCTTACAGCCGCCCCCTTTTCTCTTTCTGAAGGCTTATCGCTTATCGATCACGCACGCTCGCTCGAAAGGAATCCCGGACCTCTACGATATCTCTCGAAAGGATTCACGGACCTCTACGATATCTCGCGCGCTCATTTACTTTACGATACTCTCGCGTTTTGCCTAGCAGTTGACCGAGGACGGTCAAGATTTCAGTTGGGGGGAGATGTAGGGCCCTGCCCTATGTTTTCGCGTTTGGAGCTAGTTTAGGGTTTGATTAGTCAGCCATGTACTTAGCACAGCGGCCGCCTCTGGGCCTTCCTCAGATTTGACCACCACCTTCACCCTTCATAGCTCATTTCTCCGTGTGTTTGCCACCTTTTCTTCTGTTCTGCTCGCTCTGCTCGACGTCTAGAGTCACCTAGACCGTCCGTTCTGTCGCCTTCGGCTCCAGAGCCTGAGCCCAGCACCCTTGACCCACCTGCACTCCTGGGTTTGTCCTGTGGATTCTCCACTTTTGGGCACCTGCCTGGGCACGACCTCACACCGGTCTGCCCTTCGTGCATCAAGGGCAAGATGACTCGTGCCTCGTTTCCGCCCTCCACGCGAGAACGACCCAAGCACCCCCTTTCCTTCGTTTCTTCGGATCTCTGGGGCCCCGCGCAGGTTCAGACGCCTAGCGGGAAGCGCTATGTCATGACCTTTACGGACCATTCAACACGTTGGGTCTGGATCGCGCTCCTCCGGCACAAGTCCGACGCGTTCTCCGCCTTCAAGGACTGGCTCGCTCAGGTCGAACGGGACAACGGCCGCAAGCTCACCACGTTCCGTGCGGACAACGGCGGCGAGTACCTCTCCAACGAGTTCACGTCGTACCTTCGGGAACGCGGAATCCGTCTCGAGACAACGTCACCTCGTACGCCCGAACAGAACGGTGTTGCGGAACGACAGAACCGCAGCCTCTTCGACCGTGTCCGGACCATCCTTGCTGACGCCAACGCCCCTCTGTTCCTCTGGGGCGAAGCGGTGAACTACGTTGCCTACACGAAGAACCGAAATCCCACCTCCTCCCTCGGCAGCCGCACCCCATATGAGCTCTACATCGGCCGCTCTGCTGATGCGACCTTCTTGCACCGTTTCGGATGTCGTGCTTACGTCTACAACGACAGTCCGTCACGCAAGAAGCTGGATCCTCGCGCGATCGAGGGCGTGTTCGTTGGATACTCGGGCACACAGAAGGCGTACCGGGTCTACGTCCCTAGCTCCCAGAAGGTGGTTACTTCAATTCACGTCAGGTTCAACGACGACATGAACGGTTACCCCAGCACCTCGGCTGAGGGGGAGCACTACTACGACTCGCTCTTTGGTCCCTCGTCTTCCTCTTCTCAGGACGATCCTACCGATGATGCTCCTCTCATCAAGTCCAGCCTCACGCCAGTGGCACCGTCCAAACCACCTCCTGCTCCGGCCTCTTCACCTCCTGTTCCTGCGCCAGAACCTGTCCCACGCAAACGAGGCCGTCCACGTGGGTCCAAGACCAAGCGTGGAGGTAGCCCAACTCGTCGCTCCTCTCGTATCCGGCAGAACATCACTGCGACCACCACTCCTCCATCTGTCCCTCCTGCACCTCACGCTTCAGGCTCAGGGGGAGCTGATCCGTTCCCTGGCGATCTCTCACCCATCACGTCTAGTGATGACTCGTCCGACCATGCCCGCGAGATTGAGGACTCCATCCTCCTCGAGCTCACCTTCGCACTCTCAGGCGATGAACCACGGACGTACAAGGAGGCAATGGAATCACCGGACGCGAACGACTGGGAGGACGCGATGTTCCAGGAGATCAACTCGCTTGCTGAGCTAGACAGCTTCGAGCTCGTCGAGTTGCCTCCAGGTCGCAAGCCGATTGGTACGCGCTGGGTCTATGCAGTCAAACGCGACACGGACGGTCGCATTCTACGCTACAAGGCTCGTCTCGTCGCTCAAGGATATTCACAGGAGCCCAACGTCGACTACTTCACCAACCAGACGTATGCCGCTGTCGTCAAGCCTGAATCGCTCCGCGCGATCTGCGCTATCATGGCGATGCGCGGCGCATCCATCCACGTTGTCGACGTCAACTCCGCGTTCCTGAACAGCGAGATACCTGAAGGCCAAGAGGCGTACGTCAAGCAGCCACCCGGCTTCGAGGAGCCAGGCAAGGAGCACTTCGTCTGGATCATCCGCAAGGCGCTCTACGGTCTGAAGCAGTCCGGCCATCTCTGGTACAAGAAGCTCTGCGCTATCCTCATTGAACTT